CAGCAATTTCGTTTGCCAAGTCATCAAAAAACTAACGGTGTTAATGGAGTCTGACGGAACTAACGGCAGGTGACTAACGGTGAAACGAATCGTAAAGTTAGTGGCTTATAAGAAAGAAAAGTAATTCGGGTGGCAAACGTGAAAGATTTATGTAATTTGAGTGACCAAACTTGTAATTTAGCCTTATATTTTTATAATCCAAATACAAAACATTCATGAAACTAGAAAGAAATATCTCCAAATACAAATAGTTGGATATTATTTATTTCTTATAATTCAACTTAATAAACATAACCACCCATAAATATAAGATTGTCAAATATAAGAAAAACATAAGTTTGATATGGGTATGTTATGGGTCCCGTCAATAGAAATTGCTAAGGACTTGTTGGGATGGAGATAGTACGAAATTGTGAAGGAAAAAATTGTTAAATTGTTGATGTAGTTGAAGAGACTAATTTAGAAATTGCTAAACAATTTATGGGATTGAATTCAGAAATTCCGGTGGCCAGAGCAATGGCCAAATTGAAGGCACATACATACCTGAAAAGTGTTCACCACGAAATTGGGCAGAGTGGGGAGAGAGCTAACTCCGACGTACCCATCGCCTTCAACAGAAAGACCCTCGAACCGAATCTCGACCGTCGGAATCTTAATCCCGACGACATCGGTCCTGTGCCGGATCCGACGCAGCAGCTTCTCGTTGTCCTCTTCCGCGACTTTGAGAAGGCTTTCAATCAGCAGCTTCCTCTCTGTTCCGCCGAGCTTCCCCACGTCAATTTCCTGCAACTCAACTTCCCCTGCACCGCCGTCGGCGACATGCTTCAGAACCCCCTTCCGCAGCCTGTCGTAGGTGGGGAGGCGCTCAATTGCCGCCCATTTCAGCTCGTCCTCGTCGTCCTCCGTCGTGCTCCTCTGGAACTCGAAATGCCCTGCCGCTTGGCTCCCTGCCCCGCCGTCAAACGCCGCGTCCCGCAAACTCCTGGACCCAAAACTCCCGCTCCGGCTCAACGACGTCGTCGACCCCATTGATCTTCTGGGAGCTGCTACTGCTTCCGCCTCCGCCATTGGCCAAGTGCAGCAGGGCGCTAGTATTCTATGAATTAATTACTCCTGCTCTGTTTTCCACACTTATATATACTAATAATAATTCTGCGGGAACTGGGGGCATCAGGCCTGGAGCGGCAGAGTCCAACGAGTGATGAGACGACATTATCGTCAACATTGTCGAGAAATATAATACAATTTGCCATTTTGGCAAGTCCTGTTCTGAAAACTCGATGGCCGGCATTAGGCCGTACTACCTGACAATCACAAAGCTCTGTTTCTTTGCTTTCTTAAGCTCTGTTTCTTTCTACCTGAGAATATATCAGCAAGGCGACGAAACAGCCGATATCGCTCAAGAACGAACAATGAAACGCCAAAATTGTTGTCTGTGACGCAACATCCCATGCTGAATTGAAGCTGGCATTTTGATTTACTGTACTTGACAAACTTAATGGTAACCATGAGAACCATTCTACCTGTATTGAAGACTGAAGTTAGCTTTCGGATTTTCCTCATTTGTACTGAATCCGTATCATGAGAACCATTCAGCCAAGTAACATAAACACAAAAAATCTCCCTCGAAGAAAGGTACAATTGTCAGCAAGCTCACCTAAGTGTTTTTTTCCTCTTCTTCCTTTTTGGACCGAGTTATTATACTTATACCAAGAGAACCAATACTAGAGGAAGAAAGGATTAAAGTTATGGTCAAGGTGATAGGTTTGAAACACAAGATTGTATGCCTCGGGGCTAAACGACAGAGTCAAACAACATCATGAATTAGGACGAAAAAAATATCTATATTCATATATATTTGGTCTCGATCTAATCGGCTTGAGATGGGGTCAGTAACCGGCGGTTACTGACCTGTGAGTAATCATTTATCGGCCGTTGATCTGGGACAGAATCATTGTGTGGCTGGGATTGACGCGGGGTGGGGAGGAGCATTTTTGTCCGGCTTTTGAATTTTATTTCTTGTCTTTTCTACTTTTCTAGCATGTATATACTTACTTTTACGGAAGAAAAAGAAACCAGACTTTTCTCTTCCTCCCTCTTTTCTCTTTCCCTTCCTGTCTTCGTTCTCTCTTCCAAACTCCTTTTCCCAGATCTAGATATGTTCCTTTCTTTTGTTCTTTATTTTTTGGGTTAATACCTTATTTTGGCCCGAACTATGACCATATAATCAACTTTGGCCCGTGGTTTCAGAAATTAATATCCTGACCTCAACTATGTAGCATATAGACTCAATTGGCCCGACACATAGTTTGACCGTCAATTTGGACGGTCAACACGCCATGTCATTGCCTAGTCAGCCTAAAAATCATTAAAAATGTAAATTCAAATTATTTTTCTAATTTTTCTTATTTATTATCAAATTAACCAAAAATAAATATAAAAACATAAAATAAATTTGTTTTTTTTATTTTTTGGATAATTTAAAAAATGATAAATTTTATAAATTAACCAAAAGTTATCAAATTATTTTATATTTTTAAAACTTCCCACAAAAATATAATTTATATCATAATTTTTAAATTTATAAAATTTAATTTGATAATTTTTGGTTAATTTATAAAATTATCATTTTCAGATATCCCAAAAAAACTATTTTATATTTTTAGAATTTTATTTTTTGGTTAATTGGAAAATGATAAATAATAGAAATTAGGAAAATAATTTGAATTTAAATTTTTTTAATGATTTTTAGGCTGACTAGGCAATGACATGGCATGTTGACTAACGGTCAACGGAGTTGATTGTCCAAATTGACGGTCAAACTATGTGTCGGGCCAATTGAGTCTATATGCTACATAGTTGAGGCCAGGATGTTAATTTCTGAAACCACAGGCCAAAGTTGATTATATGGTCATAGTTCGGGCCAAAATAAGGCATTAACCCTTATTTTTTCTTCAACAATTGACAAAGAAAAATTGCAGCATCATGTCTCAAAATCTGGTGACGCTCCAAATCCTTCTTCTTTGTAGCTGCTTCTTCCTTATGTTCTTTCTTTTCTCGGCCTCAAAATAGATGACGTTCCATATTGACCAAGAGGGGACGGATCTATGTGAGTTAAATTTGCATGTTTTATATTTTAGTATTTGTTTGTGAATTTTCAATTCCGATCTTCTTCCTCTTTTTTTGTTGCATTTGGTGTTCTTGATTGCGGAGGAGAAATGAGAGGAGACAGAAGACGAGTTTTTTTACTCTCTCTCCTTCTGTTTTTCTTCCTTTTAGGTAATATATATTGATATTACCACACTATACCATATGGTAATGGGTGATAACTAAATGTATCTTTATGGTCACGAGTTTTATCATGGTGGCAGTGGGTGGTAATCGACTCCAGTTCTGAGAAAAAAGAGTTAGAAGACAATGAAGTTGGAGAAGAAAGTGAAGAGAGTCGTAATTATATATATATACTGAGATTACCACACTATACCATATGGTAATGTGTATATACCACACTATACCATATGGTAATTTGTATATACCATATGGTAATGTGTGGTAATGAAATGTATTTTTATGGATATCGTGTTTTACTATAGTCGTAAAGGGTTGTAATTAGATTTATATTATTTTTGTATGGTTTTACCTTCTCATACCATGTGGTATTGTATGGTAATTACAATTAATTTGTGTTCATTCGATTAACCATGTTCTAGTATGGTGGTATTGTATGGTAGTTAGATTTATAATTTTCTGTAACATGTTTTACCATGTGGTGGTAGTTGGATTTGTAATTTTATTTTAGCATGTTATACCATATGGTATGATATGGTAAATAGATTTGTAATTTCTGTAGCATGTTTTACGACGTTATACCATGTGGTATCTGGTAGTGTATGGTAGTTAGATTTGTAATTTTTTTCAACGTATTTTTACCATGTTTTACCATGATAGTAGACAGTGATAATAAATTTCATATTTGTAATTACTGTCTTTTGCACTAAATTATTTAACGAAAAAATCACCATTTAATTTGAGTTGAAATTTGAACAAAGATAGCTAGGATGATTAGATTCATTTTTGTTGTAGATGAGAGAGAGTAAATAAAGTACTTTTTCTAATAATAAAACAAAGAGTAAAAGAGAGGAGAACTAGGTGGGGTGGGAGAGTGGGATCCGCGTCAGAGCGTCAGCGTCAGATCATCACTGTCAGCGTCAGCATATTTTGCATTGAATAGGGGGGTACAATTTACCCTATTACCCCTCCGTGTTGAATTTTAATAAAAGAAAAAGACTGACACGTGGGGGCCAGGGGAAGGGGTTACTGATGGTTACTGATGGAAGGGTTACTGAGGTGATCCGGTCGGACAGGATAAAAATCTAATCAATAGGAATTTGCATGATAATGATTAAAACCCATATGAATTTAGAAGATAAATATATGATCGCATTTTTTTTACTATATATTTACATCTAGAAATTATCATCATCTTGCCCAACATATTAAATATTATTTTTATAAAAACATAAATCACTATCCATTGATACTTAGTTATAGGCACCCAATAAACGTGCAATATAGTTCACGAGCTGGTTAAAGACTTAAAGTTAAAAACATAAATCATTATCCATCGATACTTTCAAATGCCCAAAACTCGATCATAAACCAAAAATCACAGTATGATCAAGATTATTAACTATTCGTCGTTCCGTTGCCATCCCTGCTAACTGCTATGAAAGCAAATCAAAATTAACAAGGTGTTCCAAGGGCTCTCAATCTTAGAATGTAGGAATCGACGGCGGAAAAAACATGCTGCATCACCTAACCACTCTTTTTCTTCTTCCACCCTTTTGCTTTTGTTTAGTTTCATTGTGAGGTTTATTACAGAGTCGAGTAGTACAGTATATACATAAGGTAAAAATCTGTACAAAAATTACAACAATTTTGCTCATCCGCAAAGGCCGTGGGGAGGGCTTTCTTCAAAAAACGGCCGTCTGGGGGCTCTTTTACTTATCATCGTCACCACCATTACTGCTGCCCACATCAAACATCTCAGTGGTGGCAACTTCCACTGAATCGAAGGCAGAAAGGGCCTCCGCGATCCTAAGTGCCATGGTGGCTTTGTAACACAGCAGACTAGCATTCTCCATCAGCAACTGTGCCCTGCGTCGCTTCTCAATCGCCAACTCCATGGACCTCTTCACCGAGTCGTTGGCTTCCTCCAGCTTAAGCATGGCGTTCCTTTCCTCCAGAGCATCATGCTCGACCGCCATGGCTGCTATAAGACAAACACTCGCCAAATTTGAGCACTTGCACAGGTATATAGACTACAGTCGAGAGAGAGGGAGAGAGAGAGCAATGGAAAAAGAAGACTGCAGCAGAAGGAGATCACAAACAACATTCAAGCAGGGGTTATCAACTATTTACACAGAAAAGAAGAAAAAGAAGCAGGATATCAACTATAAAGCTTTCCAGTAGTAATCCTAACATAGAACGAAGGAAAATCAAACCGAGGAAAGCGCAGATGTTACAGACTAACGGGGTTATTTAGCAACTCGGAACTATTTGCAGACTACTCTCATGTCTATGGGAACTCTACTGGGACCTTCTTCGAACTTAACTAACAGCAAGTCAGCAACACCTACCTTGCAATAGACCCAGTTGCTTGCCTTTCCCACTTTGGCCACCCTGTCTTTTGAATGACCGTCTCTTACGTAGGACAAGCTTCGCAGTTACTGGAGGTTTCTTGACTTGATGTTTCTGAAGGAAAGAAAAAAGACATTCATTATCATCAGAAAAGGGAGAAATACAGAACCAGGGAATTTAGCTAAACTCTTCTGAGACAAAGTGGACGAGCGCGTGTGTGTGTGTCTGTACAAACTTTGTATCAAACATTAAATGTTTACCTGGAAAACACGCAGTAATGCTGATCGCCTCTGCTTCCTCTTTTTCAACCAATAGCTATACACAGTTTCAGCTACCTCTTGGCCAGCCAAGTCAGCAGCAAGACTCAAAGCGGCTTTCTCATCTATCACCTCTTCAGAGCTGCAGTGTGAGGCCTTCTCAAACACATCAATCATCAACTCAAATGTGTCCTCTGTAAGCTGCTGAGAGCACCTAACTGCATTAACCGATTCAGGGCTACATGCCTTTAGCCATACCTCATCTTCAGAGTCCATATCATAGTTAGCACTATGCTTCGCTAGCGCTCTGGCCACTTCATCAGTGGTTACAGAGATATAAGCATCTGGCCTTGAAAATACACCAGAACGATTGGATTCATAGCCTTGCACTTCTCGCACTCCAGGAACAGGAATAGCCTTGACCACTGTCAGGGCAGGTGGCACATTGAGATTTAGACATTCCTTATAAAGCTCCTTGAAGTTGGACCAATCCTGCCGACTAGGAAACTCTAGCTTCCAATTCACATTCCCAGACCACAAGACATTGTGAGTTGCTCGGTTAACAGCGCTGGGCCTCATGTATTGTTGAGGCAAAAAGGACAACTTAGTTTCATCATCTTTCTTCACTAAGAGTACAGACTCTTTTGAATCAGAAGATTCCATATCAATGGTAACCCCTTTAACCCGATAACATCTGTCAGATTCAATAACAAGCAGATCTGCGGAGCAGCCAGCTTTACCTGTTGTGCATTTGTTCTCCCCAGCTACCGCTAACCCTGCTTTTTTTGGACCTCCTGTCATGCAGCTAGCTGGCAATGCATTCCTAAGTTTGTACATTGATACAACAGATGAGAGGGGACGACGAGTCTTCTTCCGGCTACCAATAGAACTAGTCACCATCAAGCCATTAGATGGCTGAACTCCAAGCAGAGACGGATTTCTTGCTCTCCTCCTCCGCGAGCTCCGACTTTTTCGAACACCACGGCTGTAATGGCCATTTCTTGGCAGAGTGCTTTTGACAGTCAACCTCGAAGGTCTAAACAAAGGAATCAACAAGGGCCTGTTCTCCGAAACATCAGATTCAGATGCTAGTTGAACTTGGGGCATCTTCACACTGACGAATAACTGATCTTCTTCATCTTCACTCATCATCTCAGCACATTCCTCCGAAGACGTATTTGAAGGCACACGAGACAACCTTAGTACCCAATTCAGATGGATTTGCATAAACCATGAAGGGATCACAGAGAAGTCCAAATCAAAAGTTGGCACCGTATTACTAGAATCAAAAAATTTGCAAATTCCATTACTTGCACCAGGTGCATCCTGGAAAAGGCGCAAGCAACAAAGAGATCATTAACCTCATAACAGCATCTAAAAGAAACCAATGACATTGAAACCTAAAACTCATGAGAAAAGCCAAGCAATATTGCCATAAAAATCCATCACTTGGGAAACAGCTGAATTCACAATTCATCACTTGCGAAATATACACATAAGAAAAGAATAGAGGACAGAAGATAGCAAGATAGAAGAACAACACTTACCTTCAAGAACCGGATCCCATTTGAAGCAAAAGTACCGTTAAGGGGCTGAGAGAACAAGAATCCAGCAAGTTCACACAATCCAACACCATTGTTGATGTGCCTAAAGATTGAAGTCAAGAGAGAAGCTGCACGACTACCAGAATTCTGAACGACAGCAACAAAAACACATGTCTGAACATCAACCACGCAACCTGCTCCCTGCTTCCTTGCCAGCCTCCGTGAGAATTGAATCCCAAACATCTTATTATCAAAGCTTTCTAGCTTCACGATACTCCCGCTCTTCCTTTTCCTTGTGTAAACAATCCCGAACATCTTGTCAACTACAGCAACTTGATCCCTTGTCACGACAACCTTGTCAGACTCGGGTGCACCTTTCTTCACTTTCTTGACTTTCTTAACTGCCAGACGAGGTCTCTTCACACTTCTGGGAGCTTCACCATGAACAACACTTTCAGAAGCTTTCCTTTTTAGCCTATCATCATTGCTGGCCACATTTTCCTTGCATTTGTGTGGGAACTTCTTGATACTATGGTGGAGCGACTTGTCTTCATCTTCTTTAACCCTCCTGACCTGTCGCTCCCCGGCTCCAGGGAACAGTCGCCGACCAGACCGCAAAACCCGGACCGAATTGGCACCTTTCACCATTCCAATCACCCTCGTGCCCCGGCGAATCTCCCCTGACGGCATAATTGCTGTTCTGTTGCGCTGGTTCAACCCAATTCCTGGAGCGCCGATCTTGTCAGCCTTCAACTCACTGAGCCTCCAGCTCACTCTCCGATCAGACTTGCCCAGTTTCCTGGCTTTCCCTCGGAATTTCCGACTGCGACCTTCGGCTGAACCCAAAACAGAAGCACTCCTAGTAAAAGGACTCATTATCCCAATTCTGTCGAAAAAAGTCCATTCCCTCCAGAAATCGCGACCGACTCAAGCCACCTCAGTCACTCCGACACGATGGACAAAAAAAAAAGAGCAGATCGCAAACTTCGAGCCACCGATTCTCTAACCTAAATCTAGAGTCCTAAAACACGACCAAATTAACCGCCAACGGTACAGCCCAAACATAAATCAAAAAGAAAAAACCGTCGACTCCTAATACAAACAAATTATACAGGCGAGTATAAGCACAACAGTCAAACCCAAAACTCCGTTTCCAATTTCTCTTTACAAAGAGAGAAAAAGGCAGATCCTTTCTTTTTTATGGCTACTCACGAGATCGACAGATCGAGAACCAAGCTTCACGAAGCCGTAAAAGAAATAGTCATCGCCGTCGTCATCAGCAGCTTCGGCTGCGATATTGATGAAACTCAGAGTAGCGAGAAGAGGCCGTTGCTGGGTTGGGGAAGTTGGGACGGTGGCGCTAGGGTTTAAGATCGAAGGAGAAACCACTGAATAGAGAAGAGAAGAAATTAGGGTTAACAATTGGGCCGAGCGATGGTAACCGTTGGATTGAGAATTGGAGGGCTAGGATTAATCGGGGATCCGAATAGAGAGCGGGTGGGTAGATTGGTAGGGCCAAAGTCCGGGGGAAAATAGAGGGAACTCGAAACGAGATTGGGAGGTTGCCAACAGAAACAAAAGCAGGCGGATATTTTGGGGATTCTCAAACGAAGGTGGAATGACCAAAAAGGGCTTGCTGATGTGACGAGGGTCGAGGGGTGCTTTTGGGTATTCCTCCAAAGTTAGACGACAGCGACCGGCGGCCTAAAAGGAAGCACCCCGCGACCGACGACGGAGAACGTGTCGAAGAAGATTTGAGATTGAGATTAACCCCGGCAATCTGGGAACAGTAAAGGAAGGCAAAAGATCATTTTTTATTTTTTTTTATGTTCGACACAGTTTAAATTTATTTTAACGGTTCCGATCAGTGAAAAATGAAAACCAAAACGTAGCGTAGTAGGAGAACGAGCCTTAAAAAAAATTAGTAAACAAAAAAAGTCCTAACAAAATTTCATTAACCAATCTTCCAAGCGGGCCAAAAGGAGAGCTGGGCTATAAGCCCAAATTAATTGATGATCCAAAAGAGCATACACAATGGCCTAGTAAGTGGGCCACTCCATTGCTTCGTATAGAACTAACACTGTTTTGGGCCTCATGGGCACTATTGTGTTAGGTGTTGGCCTGGTTGGTCCTTTCCTCGCTACTTGGACAGGCCTCGTCGTAGCTAGGTGTGTATTCAAGACAATCTCGAAGTTGATATGACATAAATTCAATTTCGTCGAGGAGAGGATTAATTTTTGCTTACGTAACTGTTTGATTTGTTTTTACAACTTTCCTATTGTACCAAAAAAAGGTTACAGGTGTAGCATTTCATCATAAGCAAAGAGGAAGAGGACAAATTAGGTATCTCAATATCCATATTTATCTTAGCAAACTCGATTTATTTTTAAAAGAAGGTACGTACAATTACCATCCGGCAGTCGTGGCAATATATGGGTCATCCAACTACGTACGTACAAATTACCTACTGTATATGTACATCAAGAAATGAAGGTATTCATTAGCCCAAACAGCTCCTCCAATTTTATGTATAATTAGGGAAACCCACCCAGCAAGCAAACCTTGTTTGTTTCCTCTCCAGTACTTGATCATATATTGGCTATACAAGCAAAACCTGTAAATTCGTCGACATCAGGATACGTAGGTGAAAGATAAGTTGTAAATTGAATATTCCAATTTGAATTGGGGTGTTGGGGAGGATAACCTAACCGCAAAATTACTTGCTAGCCGCCAGGGGAAATTCTGTGTTTGACTTAGTCAATTATTTGGATGTATAATCGATTGAGTACATCGGAAATTCACTGTCGTCATGGTAGCTTATCAAACGTACGTTACGCCGGGCCGGCCAGGACAAGCAATAACATTGGCTAAAAATAACAACTAGGAAGGAATCAAACTTAATACGCTATTCCCATAAGTATAGTAGTATACATATATGCAATGCAACTAGCTAGCTGTTCGGAATACATTATTATGTTGCTGTCAATCAAATAGCAAAGAGGTGTTTTGCGTTGCTTCTTTTGTTGGTTTGGATGAGGTGTTTTGCTTATGTTGTAATTTTTTTTCTTTTTATGACCAAGATTCTTATTCGTAGTTGTTACATTGGTTATGTCACATGCAGGCTAAATTCTAGGTCATCGATCATTGATCGGATCATTAATAATGGGTTGGATGTGTGGTATGACTTTTGGACCTCTTTTGCAAACCTATGTTGTATTTTTGGATCAAATTATGTGTTTGTTTCTAGATGTAGTATAGATTTATGAATTATTTGGTGCTTATCATGCAGGGGGGAAATGTCTTGTTAAAGTAGAGCATTCATATGAGTTATTTAGTTGTGATATTTCATAACGAAAATGTACGAGAAAGTATTAGCAAGATTGGTTATTTCGAACAACTAATTTCATTTAACTGATTTTAAGTTATATATTTCAAAAATAAAATATATGCTTTAGGGGGAACGGCTACGGTGCTAATTGTACAATAGTTAGCACCGTCTAACCCAGGGAAAAACTACTACTAGTTTGAATTAGTAGTGATTTAGCTTAGATGTTGTATTGATTTTATAATAATTCGTAGTGATTTTTGCTAGTTATCACGATGCTAACCCCTATAAAGGTTAGCACCTAATCTCATCCCTACTTTAGTAGGCTATGTTGTTTCCTTGGTCTATGTATGTCATCTAGAGATAATTAATATATGGAATGAATAGCACTCTTAATCGGGGAATTCTTTCCCATTTGGTATTTACTTACTCTTAATTCAACATTTTTGTCTCACTCGCTCTAAACCATATTATGCCATCATCATTACCATTTCTATTGATTTGGTCAACCCTAAATTGTAGAGAGAAGTAGGGATGACAATTCAAACCCGTTCAGCCGGGTATTATCCGACCTTATTTGTTGTAGTGTGGGATGAAGTATGGGTATCTACTTCTAACCCGTCAGGATCCGTTCATGGTCGTCCATTCTATCGCAATTTCTTATAGTATCTGTTCATACTTCCCCTATTTTGGTTTTTTTTCCAACTAGTCAGACTTAATCTTTTAATTAGTTATACTCAATTACCCTATCTATTATCACTATTTTTTATGAGAAATTTTACAATGCTATATAGTATTGGTGCTATAGGTTTTTGCCTTTATGGTACAACTTAAAATTGTACATTTACGTTATGGTACAACTTCAGATTGTACCTATACTTTTTGTACAAATTCTTTTATGGTACAACTTGAACTTGTACCTTTATGTGATGGTACAACTTCAAGTTGTAAAGTTGTACCATAACATAATGGTACAAATTGCTTTATGGTACAACCTAAACTTATACATTTAATGTTATGGTACAACTTTGAGTTGTACATTAAAGCACCAATGTTATATAGCATAGTAGAAGTGCTCTTTTTTTATTCATAGAGTGTTTTTCCCTCCATTCTATCGTAAAAAGTAAAATATTGCGTGTATTTTTTTATATAACATGTAAGAGTGGATCGACCCATCACGTCATTCATAGTAGCATGGGGTAGGACATGGGTATTGACATACCCGCCGATTGTGAGAGAAGAAACAAAAGTAGGCAGCTGCCCCTATCGCTATCTGCTCTATAAATAGGCAGACTCTCAGCCTCGTTAAACACACACATCGAATCCAAAACACTACTCTCTCCATCAACGTACTATATATCCCAACATGGCAAAGTTGTCATTACCATTCCTCCTCCTCCTCCTAGCCATTGCTCTCCCACCACTGTCAGGAGCCAGCAGCAGACGCACCACCACCGCCGACGTGGAATGTTTCCAACGTCCGGCCGGTGGAGATGCCGTCGTACATGGCAGCTTGGTGGAGCCGGAAGAAGAATCTTCTGATGACGACGACGACGCAGGATACATATTATTTCCGAGTGATAGTAATGACGAGGATGACGAGGAGGAGGACGCCGCCGGCGATCAACTAGGGCTCGTGGTGGGTAACGTGGTGACGCAAGATTTCTTCAACAGCATAATAAGCCAGGCAGCTCCGAGCTGCGCCGGGAAGCGATTCTACAGAAGGAATGATTTCCTAACCGCCGCCAGGTCGTTCCCTCAGTTCGGGCAGCTCAAACCAGACGGCGCCGCCAAGGCCGAGATCGCTGCCTTCTTCGCCCACGTCACCCACGAAACTGGACGTAAGTTCGATCCCTAATTATTGAGAAACGACCATTACCAATAATTCGAGTTGTAAAAAGAAATCATGTTACTTATCTATTTCGGTACACGCACTGTCAACGGTTGAGTTTGAAATTTGCACGTAAAGAGACGACAGTAAATAGTGGCGGACACAGATGTTTGGGTGTCACGGGACACTCCTAAATTTTGGAAAAATGATTATGTACTGTCTACAATTATTTTCGAATATGAAAACATATAGTGGACTTTTTTTAAGTGGTACGAGTATGTATTTTTACACCCCTATGTAAAATTCCTGGATCCGCCACTGGCCGTAAGAAAGACTTGAACACGTGACCTAAAAAACAAACAAGTTCTGATACCATGTCACAAAGTAGTTGGTCCCAATAACTTGAATTATTGGAAATAGCTAGTTGGTTCTTGGCATGGTATGCCATATCTATTTTGTTTCGTCATTGAGATCACGTGTTTAAATCAACACACTACCTACAATATTATAATTATCGTCTTAAAATACAAGTATGACGGATCTATGCAAATTTCAAGCTATGAGATAACAACTCGAATTATTGCAATAAATTGGTTTACCACCTACGGTTACATGTGACAATTTTATTAAATTTCCTTGCAGATTTGTGCTATATCGAGGAGATCAACAAGCAGAGGTACTGCGACACGACGAAAGAGAAGCAGTGGCCGTGCGCCCCCAAGAAGCAGTACTACGGGCGGGGCCCACTGCAGCTGACGTGGAACTACAACTACGGGCTGTTCGGGAAGGAGAACAGGCTGGACACGTTGAAGAACCCGGACCTGGTGTCGAGGAACGGCGTCGTGGCGTGGAGGGCGTCGCTGTGGTTCTGGATGAAGAACGTGCGGCCGGTGGTCAAGAAAGGGTTCGGAGAAACCATTCGGGCCATCAACGGCGCCCTCGAGTGCGGCGGCAAGAACAAACCGGCCGTCGAGGCTCGCGTCAAGTACTACACCGAATACTGCAAGCGCTTCCGCATCCCGCTGGGGCCTAACCTCCGCTGCTAAAAACCACATGCAAGCATATATAGGCATTTGCTGATATGCATCCATCTACGTACTGCATAAGTAATGTGTTTCTGTTTAATTTCCTTGTTTGATTATGGTGGGAAGGAAACTTAAACGACAAAAGATGGATTTTGTTTCTGTTTATTCTGTTTTGGCCCGGCTTTTAGAAGGTGTCAAACACCTTTAAAATCTCGATTTGATTTGGTTTGAGCAAATTCCACAGTTGCAACTTGGTCAATGATCCACAAACAACTACAATAACGCAACAAAGCATTTTTAATCTTCTGGGTCCTGATCACATACCAGACATTTGCAAAAGTCCATTTCCGAAGTTTGCAGCAAGAAAGAAATAATGGATGTCTCTTCTTGTAAAAGCAACAACGGCAGGGTTCTTGTACCCCCACAAAAAAAAAAAAAAAAAAAAAAAAAAAAAAAACAGTTGTTTTTCACCAAGAATGCTCCCCAAACAAGTACATGAAGTTGTTCTGTTTTTCCACACTGCTAATCATTGCTGCTCCATCCACCCGAGGAAACTTCTGATGGAAACCCTTCAGCGTAATTAGGGTATCCGGCTCTATTTTTCTTGTTTCTTTCGTTCCATAGCACTAGCAGACTAGCTGTTTGTCGCCATTGCTGCCTTGGAGGAGGTATCTTTATGAGCGAAAGAATCGGAGAGTAAATGTGATTGAAACGAACCCCTCCGCATTATGGTGATGTAGATGATGGTAGTTACAAGTCTCGCAAGGCTTTCAGGCACTGGTTGTCTACATTGCAAAAGAATTTCAGGAAGGTGCGCAGAACATAGCGTTTCTTCTTGAGTCAAGCATCTGCAGAGAGCATGTGATTTCAGAATCATCAACAACCCGAGTCTGAGTTTGCATTGGATTGTGCAAGGACTAGGTTAGGAGTTTTGGGAACACTGGAAGGTGGAATGCAGAACACAATAACCAATTGAGATCAGTTTATGCGCAAAAGGACGTGGAAAATTTCTCTAGACTTCTGAATCTAAGTGTCCAAATGCCTACTTGGTTACTACTACTAGTATAATAGTTTTTAGGCCAAAAGCAGAGGACACTTCCAAAAATGTTCGATAGGGCAAGTCCATCACAGGAAGAAAAGCTTGTGTTTGGTTCCATCTCACATTGTCATATGAAGTAGATTTTTAATCTCGATGCCCATCTCACATTCAAACAATCAGATGACACCATGCAAATAGCCCAACTATTTATGTAATCCAGTTAGAATTAGATATTCCAGGATGTAGAAAGGCAAAAGATAAAGACATCTGTACATCCTGGATTCAAATGAGAGTAATCAAATATGCAAAAGTGCACATACCTTCAGAAGTTTTTCTGGTGCAGAAGGGCAAACATTTATCTTCTGCCCAACGTGTGCACTCTGATGGCGGACAGATTGATCAAGAGACAGTCTAGAAACTGGTCCAGGGAGAAGCTTTTCAATGGCTGGGGAGGAATTATGATTGCCAAACACCACAACACGAGAGCTTCCAGAAATTGATTGCCTGATAGAATTTAGAGCATCGAGGCTTCCATCTTTGGAAAGTGGTTCTAGTCCATCAACAACCTATCAGCAAGAAAAAGAAAATCAGGAATCTTCGTGGCGGTAGGTCTTTTTAGGGACATGGCAAGGTTGAAATAACAGCCTAGCATTATGATTGTACAACAAAAATACATGTGGAAGAGAATGAACACGATAGCACAACATCAAGTCAGGGAGACTGCATTATTGTGACAATTATACAATGCATTCACCACATAGTCCATGTAGCTCAACTAAAGAGAAAATGTAGGGTATGTTTCCGACAGAACTAAACATTCCCACTAAATTCGTTTTTCTGCACTTTTTTCTAAAAACAAGATACCCAATGTTAGGTGACAGGTAACTAATTGAAACATTACCAGAAAGGAGACGTCAGATATGTTGATAGCCTTCAAGGAAACAAGCTCCAGGAGTCTCTCAGGCGTAGATACAAGAAACTCAGGTTCACAACTCTTCAAACTGTGCAAATGTAAACAGATTTAGTCAGAGCAATTAGACAGGGCGTCTTGAACTTTATTTCATCTTCAACTCAGAAGTTAAGATAAAATATGTATCAATGCACCCTATGCAACTTCTAAATACATAAAAGACAACGAATAACATAAAGAATGAGGTACAGTTATTTAGTCTTACCCATTCATCTGGTGTTCAAGGGATGCACCAGGATGTAAGCTGACTGTATGAATGCCAAGTGGTTTCAGAGGCTTGCAGACAGATCGTACCTGGCATGGTTGAACAGGAAACATGGACACCGAAGGAAGAATACATTAAGATATTTTGTACCAACAAATAATACATTCATCTAGAATAGCAAGTAAACACACGAATGCGACATGAATACATAATCACGTTTTAGATTCGAAACTGGTTATGCAGTACCCAAGTTACATCTGTTTTAAAAGCAGCATATGCGCAGTGAAGTACTACCTTATGCCAGCACTTTCAGGGACAAACAAAAGAAATAACAACATCATTCCATACTCTTTCCCCCATTTGATGAATTGTCGGCATAAGAAGGTACACACGCTCTCAAAAGGATTGACATCTTACGGGGGAAAATGGGACAGCTTACCTGTATGGCCTTTTCCTGGGATGACACAAGGAAAAGAAGAAATGGGCCTGTGAATGACAGTCCTTCCTTTTCCTTTCTAGTGATGGAATCGGCAGCAATCGAAACCATCCAGGCCATTTGCTCAATAGTACAAGAAGAGCCACTTGTCTCCATTATGTCTTTCCCACCAGCATAACATTTCAGAAACTCAACTCCCCATGGATCAACAAACAAAGGCTTGTCCTCCTCCTTGCCATATAGACCCTCTAGGCGCAATGCACTTTCTATGGCATTTAAGCACAATAGAAGGAACTTGGATGGGCAACCTGAGTTCCCACCGGCCTGCCTTTGATGATTGCTTTTGCTAGCATGTTTCTCCAAATGAATGGTTGTGCTTTCATCAGTATTCAAAGCTCTCTTTTCCGGAAACCCCAATTTCTCCTCATTCTTCCCCCTAGATTCTCCATTTGATAGAACACTCTTCTGTTTTATAGCCTTCCTCTCTTTCACTTGGGTCTTTTTAGAATCCTTCTTCGAGAAATCAGTTTTGCCACTCCTGTCATTGAAGGGGTCATCTGGAGTTGGAAGACTAAAACACATTCCCTGCATATTAAGTACAAACAAACCGTTCATATAACAGCAGCATGAATGACAAATGTATTCTCAATTTACAGGGTAGAGAGTGAAGTAGGAAACCCACCATAGACACAAAAGCGAGGTAAATGGGACCATTATCAAATACATGCATCTCTTCAAAGTAATGAAAAATTGGTCCAAGATTCAAGCAAAGTTTATTCTACAAAATCTCTGCGCACAGGGTAAACTGAGACCACTCGCTCGTGGATTCAAACAAAACCCAATAAGAAAGACTTCAACTTTCAGCAAACTCGATCAATGATTCTAGGTTTTTTTACATATTCATCCATGATTCTAGATTCCAGGTAAAGCGAATTATGTAACCTGAGTACCTGACACTGGCGTCGCTTCCCGGAGAGCCGACGTTTTTTGGCTGCAATAATGGACGCAACACGAACTGATACAGCTGAAGAAGAAGTGTCACTGTTCATCTTCTTCCTTCTAGATTTGTTCTTCTTCCTCGCCACAGCATCGTCTCCTTTCGCCATCCTTTTGTTCCCGTTTCCTTGATTTACTCTACAGGCGGCGGCGCGGCGGGGCAGAGGGCAAAAACAGGGTGAACGGGAGCTAGGAAGTCCAGTTCAGGGTTTCGCAAGCGGTTTAGTCTAGTGGGCGAGGTAAAGGGTTTAGGAATTTTGTGCTTTTTTTTTTTTTTTTTTTTACTAAAAATATCATTCCTTGGCTAATGCCACTATATGTCTCGAAGTTTAGCTAAATATTCATCTGTACCCCAAACTTTTAATAATTGCAAACTGGTCCAAATTATGGTGGACAAAGTGCAAGTTAATTTTATTCCCTAATATTTTAAAGCCCTTTTTTTTATTGAACCCTGTTACAGCCTTACAGGAGTGCTATTGGAGAGGTGGGAGGGAAAACGAGGGTGGTACTTGGTATTTGAACTTGAGGGTTACGAACTGAAAAACTATATGTACGACCACTTGGTTCGTGGTCATTTGGGCATTTAACATGAGGAATATCTATAACTATTAAGCTCAAATGTGAATGCGTTGATGCATGTTCACTATTCAAACCACATAAATAAGTAACTTTCAAATTCGTTAGCACTAGTTATTCGTATTTATAGGTTATACATATGATTTGTGCGTAAATCGAACTTGATAAGGGTTGAGAGACAAATAAGCCTCTTTTCTCTTAAAAAGTCATTAGAAGCAGAAATTCATAGTATTTAGTCCGACAAGTATAATATTTAACAAGGTAGTTGGAAGAAGAAGAATAACATTTTGTAAAAAACTTATTTCCTTATATTTGGTCATCCTAATTGATACTCGTTAAGTAAAAAATAACCTTCAAAAATAAATCTTCAACTCGTGATTAAAATGTTGCCCAAATTTTGATGCCATCTTAACAGTGATTGCCAATTAATATAATGGTTAAACCATAGTGAAAATAAACACAAAATGGAAGGAATTCGATTATGATTAAATTTTTATGATTATTAGGAATTGTTTTTTGCAGCTACTTTTGACTATGATATTTTTTTAATGGAGTATAGACTGTGGGTTAGTAGTTGTCTTATTCAACTTTCTATTTTATAATAAAGTGTTTAAATGTTAATATCCCACTTTTCCACATGTCAATCAATTTTGAAGGTCATGTTCAAGAAATGGGCTGTGACACAAAAAAATATTAATGCAAGAAAATGATATATTTTTTAGTTATTGCATATGAAATTGTCTTATAAAATGTTAAATGAGTGAATAACTAAAGTGACATTCTAGTTAAGTTAAATTAAACAAATGGGTTTGAAAAAAACATTTGCATAAACAAATAATACAATTAGCGAGAGTTGAACTTATGATAAAGTCTGCATCATCTAATGACTAATATGCTACCAAGAGATCAATGGAAAATCAAATTTTTATTTACTCGCTACTTCTTATATAAAGTTGTAATATTTTCAGAAATTTGAAATCCCCCGAACTTTTACACTATTGACCAGTTCTAGTACCAATGATAAATATTCTGAGAAATTGAAATCCCATAGGTGTTTGTTGGCGGTTAACTATTTTTCTTTTTATATAGCCAAATCTAACCGTACTTCAGTTTTCATCAAGATTTTATGGCCAAATTTGGGTTATACACTATTACTTTCCCCCCTACAAAGACCTATTACAGGGGTAACATGCGTAGTCTCTAAAATTCGAATTTGAGGACTTCAGATTGAAAATCAACAACACGAGTTACACGACCTCGTTACCGGTGATACACTTTTACTTAACTGAGGGCTATGCACCAAACCCTCTACAGACTACAGTTAACACTCAACGTTATCTAAGTGAAGAACAAAGTTAGACAGAGTAAAAGAATCCTGTTAAGTGGTGGGGTGGAAAATATGGAAATATATAATCCCATGATGTTGAAATTTTAGCAGTCAAGCTTGATGACTGTGTCAGTTCCATAGTCAATGAAACCATGAAGCAAGCAAGCTTGAAAAGTCTAACTACTCAACTGTCCATCCCATCTTTATAATTTTGGAAAGCAGCATTTCCTTCCAAGAAACCACCATCTCTCTCACTGCTGCTGAGCATCTCAACAAAGGAAATGCCAAAAACCATGGCTCCAAACTCCATGAACATCTCAGCAGCAGCAGACAAGGCAAACGGTGACACTGATTCCACTGCTCCACAGCAGCTTGACGCCGGAGCTTTGTTTGTCCTGCAATCCAAAGGTCAGATAGGAAATACAGAAGAAGAAAAAGAAGAAGAAGAAAAAAACAGTTACTTTTTCTGTTTTCTCAAACTTTTTCCGAATCGAAAGAGGCAAAGTTTTGGTCTTTCTTTGAATGTGCAGGATCATGGTGGCACTGTGGTTACCATTTGACCACATCAATAGTCGGTCCAGTGATTTTCAGCCTCCCTTTCGCCATAGCTTTACTGGGCTGGGTTCCTGGAGTTGCCGTCATAACCCTATCCGCACTTGTAACTTTCTATTCCTACAATCTCCTCTCCGTGGTTCTTGAGCACCAAGCTCTGCAGGGGAGGCGCCAGCTCCGGTTCCGCGACATGGCTGCAGACATCCTAGGTAAACTTGAACTCACAAACCATGAACCAACGATGAAATCTGAAATTTTGGTACCATATTCAACATTTTCAATAAGAAATTTGTGTCACACAGGGCCAAAATGGGGCAAGTACTTTGTTGGTCCACTTCAGTTTGCTATATGCTATGGTGCCGTCATTGCTTGTTGCCTTCTTGGAGGGCAGAGCCTTAAGGTCATTCATTCCCTCATTCCCTATTTTCCCTCTTTGCCACTTCTTTCAAGAGATATCACATGATTGTTTGCTGTAACAATTTTGCTTTTTTTGTCTGCAGTTCATTTACTTGCTGTACACCTCAAATGGAGGGATGCAGCTCTACAAATTCATAATCATTTTTGGCTCTGCAACTCTGGTCTTGGCTCAAATGCCATCTTTCCATTCTCTAAGGCACATCAACCTTGTCTCTTTAATGCTCTGCCTCGCCTACAGTGCTTGCGCCACAGCAGGATCTTTATACATTGGTGAGATCAATGGTGTCTAATATTCTCAATGAATCAACATTTAGGGCCTGATCTTGATTTCTTGAGACATTCATTTGCAGGAAATTCAAGGAAAGCCCCTCCGAAGGACTACTCAATGAACGGCTCCCAAGTGAGTCGATTCTTCGGCTCCATCAATGGCGTCTCGATCATTGCCACGACATTTGGGAGCGGGATCATCCCAGAGATACAGGCGACACTAGTTCCCCCGGTGAAGGGGAAGATGTTCAAAGGGTTGTGCATCTGCTATGGCGTCATCATCACCACATACTTCAGCGTTGCAGTGTCTGGTTACTGGGCGTTTGGGAGCAACTCTAAATCAATCATCCTCACCAATTTCATGGATGCTGATGGATCTCCTTTGCTCCCGATTTGGTTCCTTCTTCTCACCAACATCTTCACTCTCATGCAGCTGACCGCAATCACCGTGGTAGGTAGTTTCATTGCTTCAGATTGAGCTCTCTCCCGACCAATGTAGTCAAAATCGCGCTTTAATGCTTAAAAAGGTTACACTTTTACGCTTATATGTAAAACTGCGCTTTTTACTGCGATTTCCCCCAACAAAGAACAAGTTTCATTGCTGCTGATCTTGGGGGTTTTCTCCAGATCTACTTGCAGCCCACGAACGAGATGTTCGAGAGATGGTTTGCGGACCCGAAGAAGGACCAATTCGCGGCGCGGAACGTGGCCCCGCGGCTGGTGTTCAGATCGCTGACGGTGGTGGTGGCGGCGCTGATTGCAGCGATGCTGCCGTTCTTTGGGGACATCATGGCGTTCTTCGGGGCTTTTGGATGCATACCTCTGGACTACATTCTGCCGATGGTTTTCTACAACACGGCGTTCAAGCCTTCTAAGAAGAGCTTCATCTTTTGGGGGAACACGATCATCGCCGTGGGTTCGTCGGCGCTGGCAGCCGTCGGTGGAGTGGCGTCGGTTCGGCAGATCATTCTTGATGCCAGGACATACAGCTTATTTGCTGATGTTACAATGTAAAGGGCAGGGCAGGCCCCATATGGATGGTTTATTGTCAGTACAACCCGCTTGAAAAACCATATATATACGTCTCGACTCGAGTTATAAATATATAATAATTATCGATAAATTATGATAATTATTATATATTTCGAAATAAACACATGGTAAAAATTGAGTTGTACAAAAATTTTATATGGATGATAACTTATAATAATCTTATCTGGTCATGAAATATTGTGTATATCATACTATGATGGTACATTAAGGGCCTGTTTACTTTCATTTCTGTTTCCTGTTTTTGAGAAAACAGATGTTGAAAACAGGTGAAAACAACATTTTGTCGTTTCCGAAAACAGCAGGAAGTTGCCACTTTCTGTTTTCATAGTTGGAAACGAATAGAAAACAGAATGAAAAGTAAACAAGTTTTCTCATTTCGGTTGCCAAATTTATCACATGAAAACTGGAAACAAAAATGAAAGTGAACAAGGCCTAAGATGAACATATAAAAAGCTTTCATACAAAATTGTGTTTTGTACCTAAATTTTTCATATATAATTTTATAACCAAAAATTTCAAAATGAATCAAAGACTGAATTTAATTTAGATCTATGAATCCAATCCAAAAATATATTTAATTCATTTAATTAAATCTGTAAATCCATTAATTTAATCTATTTGCCACCCCCTCAATTCTAATGAATATTCATCTCGGGACCTCTATAAAAAAAAAAATTCATCTCAGGACCACACAAAGCTTGTATTTTTATAAAACCTGAACTTAGACCTAGTAAATAAAAGGATAACCACGTAGCCAAAGAAGAGTTAAATGATTCATATGTAGGAATAGACAAGAAAAGCAGAACTTATGAGTGATTTCCATAATTTGGTTCGGTTGGCGTTTCGTTTATTAAATTAAATCTATCAATTTGATTATTAAAAAGCGTTTTTCTGTTCCTCCTAACTCCCAAGTCCAACTATGCAAATCTTAAATACACTCGTTTCTGGGTTTCTTGTCTTCCATTCCATTCCTCCATGTTTTTCCGGAAGGGTTTCCTTTCCCTCTCTCTCCATGTGGTTCTAGCGGGTCTTCTCCCACCTGCTCTTTCCTAGTTGTTTCCTTTCCGCCCTCCTCCTCTGCACTTTCTCTCTCTAACTTTCCCCTCTGCAGTCTGCACTTTCTCTCTCTCTATCTCTAAAATTTTCCTTTTCGTTTTTTTTCCTCTTCTGGGTTCCCTTTCCCCTCTTATCTCCGCTTCTTCCTCTTCATGTGATATCGTAAGTTTCTCTCACCTTCTCAATTACTGTTTCCTGGCCGCCACGCTTTCCTCTGTGCTTTTGCTGCTTTTGCCTCTTGACTGTTGCTAGCTTGGTTATGGATTTTGGGATTGTTTGTTTTTTGGGATTTTGGTTGCGATTTGTTTGGGTTTGCTTTTGCTGTTTGTTTGTCTTTTTATTCGACTCTTCATCGAACCCTTTGTCGCTGTTCGTTACTTGTACACAGTTTTTTTGGGGTTCTTTTTGATTCTTCAGCTGGGTGGATGGGCAAAGAGGCCAGCATCCTATCAGGGTTTTTTCTTCCTGGTCGTTATCTTTCGCAAGGGTGTGATTGCCAATAGTAAAATGGGGAAATTTTGTTGATGTTTGATTGTTTAAGGAGATCGAGTGCTTGAATGGTTTCTTTACTTTCCTCAATGAAAGTTGCATTGAAGATTCGGACTTCCCTCAAGTGGAAATCTTTCTTTCTCTAGTTAAGGGCGGGATTCATTTTGGTATTGAAAAAAAGGTAGTTCCTGAACTTGTAGGTAGATACCGCCTGGGTGGCTGACTTGCTGTTGTCTACGATGGCAACTAGCAGAATATGCTTTTACGGCGATTTTACAGTTGTTATCTTTTTGTCTTATTTCAATTTAGTTTTATGTATAGATGATGATTGCTGACTGTTGGGAAGACACAGAGAGTGTTGCTTATTGTTCCCTTCTTGTGGATTTTTATCAGATTCAGTTGGGGTAAAAGATGGTGTCAGAGTCTTGGTTTCGCAGCCTTTGGAAGATTCCTCGGAAGCACGATCATGGTCGAGATAAAGTTGCTCTGGGCGTTCTAGCCCTGGAAGTTGCAAGCTTAATGTCCAAGGTAGTTCATATATGGCATGCTTTGAGTGATAAACAGATTTCCAGGTTGAGGGAGGAGATTACGAATTCTGTGGGTATTAAGAAACTAGTCTCTGAGGATGAAGATTATATTGTTAGGTTGATATGCTCCGAGTTGATGGAAACTGTGGTGCATGTGGCCAAGTCAGTGGCTCGACTATGCAAGAAGTGTGGTGATCCTACTCTAAAGAGCTTTGGAACTGCTTTCCAAGAACTGGTAAAGATTGGTGTAGATCAATATGGATGGGAGTTTTCGTTGAAGAAAATGGATAAGAAGGTTAAAAAGATGGAGCGCTTCATTTCAATCAATGGTTCATTGTATCAGGAGATGGAGTTGCTTGTGGAGCTTGAACAGACAGTTAGAAGAATGAAGTGCAGTGAACCAATACCAGATAGTTATCCCGACTATCACAAAAAGCTTTTGTGGAAGCAACATGAAGTGAAAAGTCTTAGGGAGATGTCACTATGGAATAGGACGTATGATTACACAGTTGGCCTTCTATCAAGATCGATATTCACTATATTCCGCCGGATCAATCATGTTTTTGGTTTTAATACTACATTGGATCAGAGACCTGGACGAGTTGTGGATTCTGATTACATTTATCGCAGCCAGTCAGTTTCTACGATATTGCAGTCTTCTGTGCCTCGGTCTGAAAGTAGAAATATCCCAAGATTCTCTTCTGGCCCCCTTGGCCTGTATAATGGGAAATCTGGTCCTCTTCCTAAAGCAAATAAGAGGAACGATTTCCATTCGGGTCCTATTGGTGGTGGCTTGCCGACAAAGCCTGCTCCTATTGCTGAAAAGAAGAGAGGTCTTAAATTCTTTTCAGGACCACTTGGAAAGCCGAGTTCGAAGTCGGGACCACTCTATGAAATCAGCAAAGTCAGCAACCTGTGGCAAACTCCACAATCACAGGCACCACTGGGAAATCGGTCTCATTCAAAGCATAGTCGGTTGACTCAAGTTGGTCCTTTCAAAGGATGCATAGCCACAAACAGTTCACCTGTTGTCAATTGCCACATTCCGGATCTTCATTCTGGAATTCTTGATGCTACACGGGAAAGCAAGGGGAATCACTTCCATCATGGGAGCTTGGCTTCTACTGGTCAGTCGATATTCAGTACCAAGTTTGTGGTTGCTCTTCCTGAAACCCTCAGTGCCACTGCTTTAGCACTCCACTATGCTAACGTTATTATTATTATTGAGAAGCTAGCAGCATCCCCTCATTTGATTAGCCATGATGCAAGAGATGATTTGTACAGCATGCTACCAGCAAGTGTAAGAATCACGCTAAGGCGAAAGTTGAAGCCATATGCCAAGAGCTTGGCGCTAGCCGAGTATGACAGTGTACTTGGGAGTGAGTGGACTGAGGCTATATCTTCAATATTGGAATGGTTGGCCCCTCTTGCTCATAACATGATTAGATGGCAAACCGAGAGAAGTTTCGAGCAACAGAACTTTGTTTCTAGGACAAACGTTTTCCTGGTGCAAACTCTTTTCTATGCTAATCAAGAGAAGACTGAAGCCACGATTACAGAGCTTCTAGTTGGTCTGAATTACCTCTGGAGATCTGGCCGGGAACCTGATGCAAAAGCTCCTAGGGAGTGTGCTACTGGCAGAATATTTGACGAATATTTGGAGCTCGGTGAGTAGTATCTTTTCATCCTTCTACATCGGCCAATTATTGCAGAAGCAGGCAGCTCCATGTGACTCGTCCTTTGTAACATACAAAATGTGTATGGTTTTGGATGAGATTTCTCCTTGCTTAGAAGTTTCCCCGCATCAGGACACATACTTAGTAAGGCGGATGGCATAGGTTGAGGTTTCACCCTCATTTGTGAGCGAAAAGTTTTCCTCTTTCTGCAATTGTAAAAGGTGGTGGCTCCTGTACTCCCTTCGTCTGGTTAGTTTAGTCTAGCCTTGCCGATTATCCTTTTAATGCAATGGTTTGTGTAATTTTGTTTTCCAGCAGTGGCTGTCTATATGAACTGTAAAAATGTACCATATATGGTGGTCTTCTATTCATGTATAGATATGGTTGGGTTTTCTGGAATGAGCTAACTGGTAGTAAGTATTAACTATTAACTGAAGATGACATAGCAGCCATGTTATGCTTGCAAAGTCTCTCACAACCCCTACATTTTAGTATGCAGCAACTCCGCCTGGTCAGTATTGATGAATCATTATGTATACGAGTTTTCGTTCTTTTTTATGCTATGCATGAAACATTGTCTCTTGCAGCTCTTACGCTTGAGATTTGTCCACAGCCCATTTGGTTGCTGAATCAGGAAGTGGAACAGCACATTACTGTTACCAGTGTCTTTGATCTTGGTGTGCTCTCTCCATTTAAGCAAGGATATTGGCAGCTGGGCTCGCGAGACTGAAACCAGGTATGCTGAAGACTACTGTCAAAGTTCTTGTCTTCCCATCTGTTTCATGCTGCCATGGAAGTTGCAGCTTTAGTCAGTACCACAAAATGGTTACCTAAGGGAAAAGAAAGGTTAGGCATATCTGGATAGCAAGAATTGACCTCCATTGTTGTCAGCTTCTATCTGTCTTCAGGTTCGATTGTCGACATCCCATTTTGGAAGGGAACTTCGCGGTCAGATGCTTTTGTAATTTTGTGGTTTTGGGTTAATCATAATTAGGTCGCTATCATACTGAGATGAAAGAAAATGATTAGTTATGTTTGGAGAATTACGACTACGAATATGGAGTGTTGTGAAGAGTTCTGGCGATGATAAAGCTTCAGAACCCGGTCGATTTATCAACAACTTCTTATTGGCATAATTGCCAAAAATTCGTTTAATACTTGTGCCGTGCTCCTGTATGCTTTTCGAAGTTCTCGTTCGCGTTCTTTACTATTGGTCATTGGAGAGTTCGTTTCAAAAAAAATTTCATTTCTTTAATGTTTCATGTACTAAACACATTTTAATATATAATTTCTATTCGAGTAGTGAAAAATTTGCTTGGAATTCCATATAGAAAAAAAGACAACGAGTCTTTTTAGAGATAGTTGTAGACTATACAGGTTTTATCCGCGGTGATTGGGTTGGGTCGGTTAAAGTACCCGTGGATTCGGGTTTTGTTGCATCCTTATCTTCATTTCTCCCTGTGTATGAAAAAAAAAAATTAGGTTACTTGTTAAAAAATATTTTATCATTATAAAAAATCATTTCACTATTAATATTTATCTATTACTTGTCATCTTTTACAACGTTTATAGTTTGCTTCGTGAGTTTTCTTGTGTGATTTCTCGTCTTTTCGGCTTGCTTCATGATAATTATAGTGTGGTTGCACACATATTTCTGGTCGGCTTAAGAGAACTTGTGACCTGCTTCAAGGAACTTGTAATATGCTTTAGGAGGTTTCTCGTCTACTTTAAGAAACTTATCGTCAGTTTTTTACTTTCTGGTATGCTTTATGAATTTTGTGACGTGGTGATGTTCTAGTATGCTTTACAAGCTTTCTGTTATACATTACGTTATTTGTGGTCAACCCCCTTAGAAGTGTAAAGTTATCAAAACGAAATATTCATATTGGTTGAATCTAATGTTAGCACCATGCTACACAAATTGGATGTCAGCATCTTAACCTTAGTATGACTGAGACTTTTCGATAGTATTTGGATTTTGGTTGTAACCCTGACCTCAAGAGGTTGAAAGCACATTAAGCTGCGAGATGAAGTATGATAATAATGCGTTACATTTAATTAGTGTAACAATTTTTTTCTTTAAATAGCGTGACAAATTTTACAGTTTAGTCACCAATGATTGTATTCTGATCGTCTTTAGTAATTGTTGAACTATTGATCTCATCAATTTGAAAGCATGCTTTAACGACTAACTAGTCACATGTAAATAATGTAATGCAAAGTGAATGGAATGGGAATTAACAACTACCGGAAGTTTCATCTGTGAAAGTTGGATCAAATTACCCAAAACTTCCAAAACTTTCCCTCTTATCACAAGGTAAATATTGATTCTGATAAAACAACAACCTTCGTGTCTTCTTTTCCTCTTCTCCATAGTTTCAACCAAACCGTTTGTCTCTCTCTTCTGGGCTTTTTTCCTTCGCTTTGCTTTCTGTTGCTTGCATGGCCGCTTCCAGGACACGTCGATCTACATCGTACCGAGGAGGAGACACCTCCGACTCCGACACGATGGAATCTTCCGTCGGATGGGACGACGCCCTCGATTGGCTCAAGCTTGAGGTCCTCCTCTTCACCCCTTCCCCGCTCTCAGAAGCCGCATTCTCTTTTATTGGCCTTCGTGAATTACTGAACAATTTTGGTTGTTTTCGTTCTTCCTTCTTCTATAGCAGCACCAGTCGGTCTCCCGCTCTGTTTCGCTCCCGCGTCACGGCAATTACAAGTGTTTGCTTGAAGGGGAACGCGTCTTGGCCGAGGTAACACGCTTCTTCTCTTGCAATCGGGGGAATATCAATTCTCGATAGACGGCTGCATCCTGCCTAATTCGATGTTCTGTTTTTCTTGATTCTTCCCTTTCCTGAAGGACGATCTTTTGTTATTTGCGTGATGTCAATTTGCCCTGTTCTTGTCTGTGAGGAAGAGGTTTAAGAACTCGTTCCGCTATCAGTAGTGCGCTTCTTTAATTGAAAGATTGTTCTGCCGATGAGGGGAATGGGTTTCAAATAGTTTCTTGGATGTTGAGCTGGAAAATTAGCAGCCTTTTTGGGCGAAGTTGTTGATTTTGAACCAAGAAAGTCGATTCAAATGCTAGTGAACAGTTTTAAGGTTGAAGTAGAAGACAAGGGGAGGAAAGAATCAAAAGGGAGGGGGTTACCAGGAAGCATATATAGATAAGCAATCAACTTTATGGTTTCATTTACTTGCCATTATAAGTTGCAAGAGAGAAGGCTGGACCGAATAGGCTGTGTATCGAGTCCAGTACACGGTCAGCAATCCTTGTTGTTAGGGGTGTGGTTTCTATAAGCAGTTCGAGATTAACAATTAGTCTGAGAAAAATGCTCTACCGATTGCGTTGGATGGGTTGTTGATGGCTGTTTCTTGGCTGCGGCCTTAGAGGATTAACTAAGAGGACATGAATTCTTAGATACCAGTGGCATTAGTCTTATGAAAAAGAGGAACTCTGTTGGGTACCAACTGATACTGAAAGAAGGTATTGATTACTGGTTGTCGGCTCTGTCAGATACATTGGGCCGTTTATGTCATGGAAGTCTCCCCTTATTTTAGTTTCACATCCAGATACTTATTGGGGTTAGATGATGGATGCATTTCATGAATATTCATTTCTCTCATGATGTTGACTAATCTATAAAACGGTCAGGGAAAAGTTGAGGACAATGTTTCAGTTTGTTTTGCTTTGTCTATGCTCTTGTGTCCTTGACGTATGGTCAGATGTGCTGGGGTTAATGTATTAGCAGTTTGGTATTTCAAAGCTGGTCATTGCTGAGACTGACTTGCCAGAATTGGGTGTTTTATCGATTTCTTATCTGATATCAGTCAGTGGGATGTGGCAGGGATATCAAATGTGCTATTTTCTTTTACTTTTGAGTGTGGTTTGTGCTTCAAAAATTTTAACCTGCTTTGTTGTAATTTAGTGATGCTCATTTTATCTTCAGCTTTGTGGTCAAAGTAAATATAAGGACCTTTTTTCCGTATGATAATGTTTTCTTTCCAGGGACATGGTGTTGTTCTTGTTAATACAGATGAAGCAGGCACACTGGTAGTGACTAATTTTCGTCTTATGTTTCTGGTGAGTTTTGTGCATTTCTTTCTCGCATTGGTCCGTAAAGATTCTTTCTTTCCAGCCCAGCTAGTTTCAACCCATTTCTTTATTTATGTACATTTGACAATTCCAAGGCGACTAATGTAGCTGCATCTAGAAACAAGTATGATGCAGGTCTGTAACTGTTGTGAGCAATGGTTTATGGTTCTAATTCCTATTTTATTTACTCCTAGAGTGAGGGAACTCAAAATACTGTCGCACTTGGCACAATACCGTTGGCAACAATTGAGAAGCTGAGCAAATTGGTAAGCGGTGTCAATCTTTAACTTAGTATTTGTCCTGTCATAACTTGTACTCTACAGAATTTGATACATAGTTGTTAATGCTGGTTGTGTCCTTTGTGCTTATGTGTTGGTCTGTTAGATTGATGCTGGTCTTAATATTATGGGAGAAATTGTTTCTCCATATGGCTGGGTGACAATATGCCTTAGGTGTTTTTTCCATCTGGCTTTATATTTTTCATTTTGAATGACGCTGTGTAGTTTCCAGATAAGAACATTGCTATTTACTTCTATCAACCTACTTGGTCATTGACTTGCTATACTTCTAGAGTGGTATTGAGACTGTTGTAATTTGTAAGGGCAAAGATAGGTAAATGCAAGGTGAAATAGTCAGTCAATAATATTATTCTGCATCTTTCCTCTAGTTTTTCATCTTGTGCTCTTTCCTGAACCTTCATTATGAGTCATGAGTTTTGACTTCCCTGTTAGATAACATATGTTCTTTTTATTTAAGTCCCGGAACATGCATATCTGTAGTTACCGTTTTTAGGAATATCTTCAGGTTGCAAAGAACCAATCAGCTCCACGGCAATCTGAAAAGTCTACTTCAAGACGGCTCCTCCAGGTTATTGGTGCGTTTATTTTATGGGCCTGTATCAATCTGTTTGAAATTTGGAGGCACTACCCTTGGTCTGGAAGTTGGCTTGAAAATGTCCATAACTTCCCTGCAATCCCAGCTACAGCACTCCTTGTATTCCTGAGCAAAGCTCAGTTTTTGGGTTGTAGAAAGCAGAATAAATGTCATACTTTTATTAGTGGAAGGCCAAATTTATTTCTTCTTTTGTTTCCATAGTTCTGGTGACATGTCTAATTGTAAAATAGTTTGTTTAGTACTTTAGTAATTTAATATGTACAGGTTGCTCTGAGACTAATGTTCTTTCTTTTGCTTCCTGAATTGTTATTGAAATCTGGACTAAGCTAGAAGCATTTTCTCAACTTAAACTGTGGGTCAATGAGTCTAAATATTCCAGGATTTCCAAGTTTAGAGACTTTGCCATTTCTTTTGCTGTTTCATACTGGGTGTTGGAGCAGGATCACGGTTTTTATAATTGTTCTTCCACATTTAATACAATAACACTGTTTTGCTGTGCTTTTTTCAGGCAAAGATTTGAGAATTGTAGTCTTTGGTTTTCGCCCTAGAACAAAGCAGGTGAAGTGTTTATGCTCAGCATTTGATTTATGGCCCGCCATCTTCATTTCAGTGATTACATGACGTCTTATCTTTGTTATGAAATCAAATTATTCATTATTGCTTGTGTATGCTATATGCTTGTACAAATTATGCCAACCATTACTGGAGAAATTTTGAGAGTACAATAGATTCCTGTTGAAAGTATTGCCCTGTAATTTTTTTTATTGATGAATGTGTAATTGGATAAAATAGAAGAAATACGGATTAAACTGTTTTGAATTCTAAACTGTTCTGGTGGATAGGGAAGTTGATACATCTTGAGAGAATCAAGTTCATACCTGCCCATGGTCGACACCTCAATTTGGGTTGACTTGAGACATTGTATTAGAAAACTTTCCCTTTATTCCCCCCTCTTCCCTTCAGTTACCTTCACTTACTCCCCATCTATACTATTCATAGTTTTACAATGACCTCTGTATTTCCCTAACACAGCGTTACAATGATTTCTTGACCTTTCTATTTTGCAGAGGCGTGTTATATATGATGCCCTACAGAGAAGTTCAAAGCCTCTGAGAATCTGGGATCTTTTTGCATTTACCTGTGGATCGTTAAAGTTCAGCAACACAAATCCCAAAGTGCGGCTGCTGAATGAGTATTTTCGCCTCCTTGGAAAAGGTTCTTATGGTGCAACGATGAATATGATTGAGAAGGAGTCTTATATGAAATATAATGAGCTGTGGCGGATCAGTAATGTGAATTCCAGCTACTCAATTTGCCAAACGTACCCATCTGCCTTGGTCCTTCCAAAATCCGTCAGGTAGAATGGTTTCTGTTTTGTTGCTCGAGGGGTTTAGGCAGAAGTGAAACTAACATCACTTATTGCAGGTCCTACTATTTTGGTTACCAAATTAATGTTTATTGTATTGATGGTTCCTCGGAATCAAATTGAATTTTAGTGACGATGAGGTGATCCAGGCATCCACCTTCCGCGCTAGGGGTCGCTTGCCTGTAATTTCATGGTGTCATCCAGGTAGGGCATCATCAGATATTGTGTTTTTTCTTGCATGATCTCAGGGGATGCAAGTTCCTTTTTTTTTTCTTTGGTTGGAATAATGGGGATGCAAGTTTATTTTTATCGTGTTGCAGTGTCGGGGGCACTCCTTGCTCGGTCATCCCAGCCTTTAGTTGGTCTTATGATGAATCTGAGGAGGTATGGTATAATGTCCGTTTGATCGCTCATTAGCAAGAACCTTAGAGATGAGATTGGAGCTAAAATTGATAATGTACGGCCTTTAATGAAATAGCAATTTGACCTATGGCTGATATTAAAAGTTGATTTGTTTTAAATATTGAAGTACTTAACACTTAACAGCTTTTCTTGTGAGCTTATGCTTTAGCAGTTAACTGAGCTTATTTTTGTTGACCAGCAATGCTGATGAAAAACTTGTTGCTGCACTTTGCACTCGACCTGGTGGGGCTCGTGGGAGGAGGTTCGTTTGTTGTCAATATCTGTACTAATCATCCGTTCTTCCCTCAACCATTCTTCATCTATAATGTTTACTCCACCATTGTGGGAATAACAAAGGGGAAAAGGAGTTTCAGGTCACGTTGGTATGGTACTTATCGTATGAAGCAATTACTGTAACTCTACCGAAAAGGCAATTGAAGGATGTTCCCTTCAGTTGCATAATCTATGTCCACAGTGGATAACTTATCATGCATCTATGTTCCTATTGTTCCTAGTATCTTTTTTCTCCTACTCTGAGACTTCAGTTAGGATTCAAACTTAAATGGCTTTTGTAAGACACATGATTAAGATCGGATGGTACACCCTATTCTGTATATAATACCATCATTAACATAACTTTTGGATGTAGTCCAAGCTCTCCTGTTATACCTGGATAATCTTTCAAATTCTAACCTCTCCTGTTATAATACTATGTTCACATTTAAATGGGTTGTTCCATAAAATTTTGACTCTGTGGTGTGATTGCTTATTTTCTGTTCAATTTCTAGGAAGTTATACATTGCTGATGCACGTCCAAGAAAAAATGCTCTAGCTAATGGGGCAATGGGGGGTGGCTCAGAGTCATCTTCCAACTATTTTCAGTCTGAGGTTTTTCAACAATTCATATGGTCAATTTTTTCTTAACTTTGCCAAGGTGTAGACTAAACTGTTTCCAATATGTTATCAGGTAGTCTTTTTGGGGATTGACAATATACATGCAATGAGGGAGAGCCTTTCTCGGTTGAGAGACTACCTGGATACTCATGGCACAACATCGTCAGATGGAATGTCGTCTTTTCTGGTATGTCTTTTGAATAGACTCCCTATGAGATTTGAACATGACAAACTGTTGGATAGTTCTGGGCTGAGTGGAGGATCTAATAGAAACATTTATCCTCGAGGGTTTATGAGCAGATAATTTAAAATGATCTGATATCAAATAGGAGAGTATGCATCTTCGTATTTCTCAAGCCATAAAAAGATTAGTTAGGCCTAGATTCAAACTCTGTTACCTCGCCTTTACTTTGCTGGAGTTATGAGTAACCCTAGTGGTGCACCTATTAATTTCTATTCTGGATGGAGTGTGTCAAATTTCAAAGGTTGGCTCTTGTTTTGTATACTTGCTTTGCTCCTAATTTCAGATAAATATTTTTGTTTGCTGAATTTAATTATCCATTGCATTCATGCATTACTCCTTCGTTACTCTTTTACACTTCAGCCATGAACACTTCAAATTCATATGCTTAATTGTTGTTACTATAATAAATACTAATCAGGCAAATCTGACTCTAGCTGGACTTTCTTACTTTGATCTCACTAGTAACATGTAAAATATGATTTTTCTCATGCAGAGGCATGGCGGTTGGACATGGGGTGGAGGCAATCTCAGCAGTATGTCTGCTTCTGTGTCTGCCTTCGGGGACAGTGGTTGGCTGACTCATGTACAGAGTGTCCTGACTGGTGCAGCCTGGATTGCAGGACATGTTGCTTTAGAATCAGCATCTGTTCTTGTACATTGCAGGTTAATCACTGATGGCTATCTCCTTGTATCTTTTTCCTATTTGTTTGAAAACAAATATTTTTAGCAATTTCATATTGTTCTATATCTTGTTCAGCGGTCTGAGGTCACAACATTTGACCTTTATTTTCATTTTTTCCTGTTGTATTTCTTTTTGTATAACTTTTGATTGTACGTGCAGTGATGGATGGGACAGAACTTCTCAGCTGGTTGCACTTGCTAACTTATTGCTTGATCCATACTATCGAACTTTTACTGGGTTTCAGGTGAGTTTCCTGAACGCTATATTATTATCTGTCTTTTCCATTGCTCCTTTGTCCTTGTATTTATATCATTTGGCTGTGCAAGCGGAGCACGTTCTTTTTAAACTGCTGTCTTGCCTGGTAGCTCAAGCCACCGTACGTGTATTTGTGGCATTCGAACTTTTTAATTTTTATGGTTCTCATCTTATCTAGATGTGAATATTGTGGTCTGGAAATGCAGGTGCTTATTGAAAAGGATTGGCTTGCATTTGGTCATCCGTTTGCAGATCGTATGGGAATTCCAACTACATCTGGAAGCAGCAAGATGCCATTTGAATTAACACGTCAAGCTTCTGTCGGGAGTTTTCCGCCCTCCCCTGGTCGGCAATCAGTGGGATCGAGTCCAGCTCCCAGTGCTTCTCATGCACAGAACAACTGTTCTCCAATATTTTTACAGGTGACCGTTCCTTTGCCCTCTATAGGTCTGAATTTATGAGAAGATGTTTGGTATTAATATTCTTAGCCATTTGATGATAGGAAGATTTGAATAGTCTGCCTTGGCATAAGGCTCCCAGTTCTGAAGTATGGCTGTAGAGACTCGGTGACCATTGCCCTGGGCAGAAGAGCCTGTCATTATATATAATCTATCCTCACTTCTACGTGTTATGTGCTGTCTGTTTCCAAATGGTTAGTTGTAGTGGGTTCTTTTTCCTAAAAGAGTAAAGAGGAGACATACAATGAGCAGAACCGATAGAATTTCATTGGTCGAATTTTGGGAATGAGATGCTACTTCTCTCAACTTGGCACAAAGTTGTAAAAGCCCCTACATCTTATCTGATAATTTTCAACAAGTCAGAAGCACCCGCTGTAATATGCATGAGGAAAACAGTAAAAGCAAGATTGAGGATGCTTAGACTGTCTTGTGTTCTTCTGGAAGTCCTGGTACTTCACTGATAATGTTTTGATTGTTGCTTGCAGTGGATCGACTGTGTGTCTCAGCTACTTCGGATCTATCCTTTTGCTTTTGAGTTCTCATCGGTATTTACTTTTCTTCCCTACATAACAATGATTGTCTGCTTACTAAAAGAACATCCACCTTTTCCTATGTTATGGAAACTTTAGTCTCATTGGAATTATTGGTGTTCTTTCATCATTTAGGCTTTCCTGGTTGAGTTATTGGATTGCATGATGTCATGCCGTTTCGGGAACTTCTTCTGTAATAGGTAACTATTCTATTGGTAACTACTAGGTTTTGTCTGTTTTCTTCTGCTTGGAAGGTGAATTATGAATTAGTATCTCTATCCATGATATTCCAATAGACTCTGAAATGACTCTAAGCTCCATGCTGTGTAGATACTCTATTCAGTAATCATCCTATGTCTATTAACGATTTTGATTTTTCTATCTAGTAACTATAATTTTCCTCAAGCCTTCTCTTACTTATTGGCTGGGAAGTTGATACCTAAAGGATGCGATAAGTCCCTATTTAAATTGGATGGGCGATAATGTGTACTGCATTTAGTAAAAGAGACCTTTGAGACGATAATGTTTTTGGGAAGTTGTATCCCCCTCCCTCTCTTACTTATTACTCGTGATTTACAACAGTGAAAGGGAAAGGCAGCAAATTGGTATTGCTGAAGCATGTGGTTGCATGTGGGCTTATCTGGCTGATGTACGCTCCTCACAAGGAAGGTCTCATGGTCACTACAACTTATTCTATGATCAACTGAAACATGATGGTCCCTTATTACCTCCAGCAGCAGCTTTGGCTCCTACCTTGTGGCCTCAATTCCATCTTCGATGGGCCTGCCCATCAGAAGCACAAGCTGACGATGAGCTTGAAGATCGATGCAAACAAATGTCGCTTAGATTTAATGAACTACACAAGGTAATGATTACTGCTTTTTGCTGCTCATTTATGTAACTTTCCATCAGCTGGACTTTGACTTGTTCTCCTAACAGGCAAAAGAGGTAGCAGAGAAGAAAGCTGCTGACATGACCAGTGCCTTTGAATCATTGTCTGTGGAGTTGCGGCATGAGAAGCAGCTAAGTAGCTCCTCGATAGCCTTGGCGAAGAGAGCCAGCAAGGAAAGTGCAGCAATAAGGCGGGCCATACAGTCCCTGGGATGCAACGTTCATTTCGCCAGTGGTGGCGGTGGCGACATTGAGACCAGCAGCCCTTTGGATGATAGATTAACAAGTCGGGAATCAAATGGCCAAAATGACGAGTCGGATCTTTCGGTTTCGATTTCGATGGTGGCAGACGAGAATGTTTCTTCTGCTAGCAATCCCATCAGCCGGATATGTGAGACTTTGTGCCCACTACGTACGCGTGAGGGGGGATGCAAATGGCCCGATGCTGGTTGTGCTCAGCTTGGCAGTCAGTTCCTTGGACTGAAAGCAAACTATGATGCCTTTGACAAGCTTTCTATATATGATAGCTATTTCCAAACAGATTGAAGAGGGAGGGTTGTTCGTTTCTTTCTTTCCTGGAAATCAAGAGACGAACAACCCATTTATGGTCGTCTCAGAGGATCCACCTTTCTCTCCCCCAGCGTCAATCGTCAATGCTGACTTGGACGATTTCGAGAAAGCTCGGGGCGGGAAAGGGAGGGTTCCCCCCATGGGCCAAAGTTGGTGATGAGAGGTGTTGCCCCTGTGGGCTGAGTATCGTTGGCTTTGGTTGCATGTAAGCAGTAAGCTATAATGCTCAGCCAAGGAGGGGTGAAGGTTGAAGAACAATGCTGTTGTTAACGACGGGGCTGGTGAGAGCTGGGCTGTTATCTTCCTTTTGCTGTTCAGAGCTCCGCCCTCAGTTGTTAACTCCACGGTAAGATTCAAGCATTTGTATACAAGAGGCTGGATTGGCTATGTACAGAAAACCACATTGTTTTTCGTTTTTGAGATACCACGTGTAGCAGGTTAGTAGTTTATATAGGATACATTTTTCAAGGATAAGACACCAAAATTTTGTACCAATAAAGTCTGCCCTGAGGAGAATAAGGTTCATTTAACGGAGATGGGTAATAAAAGTGGACAAGTTTATTGAAGAGAATCTCTTCTTTTACATTGAAAAATCAGATTAAATTCTTCATAAATATAGGTATAGTCGTAGTTGTGGAACACTCAAAAAATTCAGATAGAGATATTTGTAAATCTTTTTTTATAATGGCGATCGAGATAATTGTAATTTTACGAATCTACTAACATCGAACATCCTCAATCGAACGTCATTTGAACAAATGCAAATCATAGCATTTTGTTTATAATTCTGTAACGCATTCACGATTGAACTCAAATGCATCAAACCCTGTATGTAAAACAGAACTTACGATTCTGTATAGCAACACTGAACCACAATCAGAATTAGCAGACACACTAAAGATTCAGTCACAACTATATCAATTGCTAGGCTAACAATGAAAGAGACTAATAATTATTTTACACGAGTCTGGTAGAATCGCGAATATAAATTACCTAGCTACAGCACAATGGGGAGGACATGCTTACACAGTCCATATCACATTACACATCTTTGTTGTCTTGCTTACTTGGAACACCAAATCCAGATATTTACAAACAAGAAGCTCGAAAATGTATAAAAAGGGCAATCTGGGATATGGATGGCAGTTATTGACTAATCCTTCCTGTTTGATCAATCAAAGTCCCAACTTGTTCACCACATAGTGCTCTTGATATATTTCCAGGCTCCAGCATGTTGAAGACCACGACTATAAGGAAACAGGAAAGTCCATCAGGAACGTAGTGTAGTGAAAGAAATGGAAGCTGCAACACAAAGAAGAGAATCGCCGAATTAGAGAATCAAGTAGAAGGGGGTATTGATGTACCTGGGATTCCATTCTCTTCGCAGTAGGTAATCGCCATCATGTCCATCGAGGTAGCACCCCCTGAGACCACGTCTCTGAATGATATATGATCGAGTATTATATTGCTATTACTGGTTTGCCAATCATAGATGCCATCTGCGTTTGTGCCTTTAAGCAGAGCATCTGCATTGACTGATGAAAGGAAGGAAGAAAATTGTGTAAATTCAACTTCTTTTGGGGGTTGAGATAGGGTAACAAGTGGGGGGTTAATGTTCAGATGAGGGCAATACTCTCGGAAGCTCTTAGAGCTGCTGCTGTGTCGGTTGTAAACAAAGGGTTGCCAGCCCCAGCACCCACGCCACCAAATATGACGACTCTCCCTTTCTCAAGATGTCGGATAGCTCGTTGCCTGCTATACGGCTCAGCCATCTCTGGCATTGAAAATGCACTTTGTACGCGACTCTGAATGCCCAGTTTCTCTAAAGCTGATTGCAGCAATATAGAATTCATGACAGTTGCCATCATGCTGATACCATAAATAGTAAAATGGTCAGACAACCAGGGAAAGTAACAAAAACAAATATGCAGCAATACATATGATATTCGAATAGTAACATGAAAATTTTAAGAGAATCACAAGTTCACTTGAGCGGACAGAACGGCAACCCCCAAATCTGACACAAGAAGAATTATGTGGGTAAACTGGTCACCCATAATGGAGAAAGGCCAGAGAATGGAATTTCAACATAGTGAACTAATGTTTCCCAGAGAATGGAGTGTGCCGGAAATTCTATGCCTCAAGAGCCTACCCAATCTGGTATGTCGTAGGTCTATCCAAGCCAGTGGCAGATATCCATGACTCTCCACAAAAGAAGTTACGGCCACCAACAACAATTGCCACCTGAAGAAGCACAATGGATACTGGAATTCAGTCTCTCAGAAGTCGGGGAAACAAACGAAAAAATACGGAGTCAAGGCAACACCTCCAGTCCAAGGCGACAAACTGTTGATACTTCCCTTGCTATCTGAGTTGCAACCTGGTTACAAATGAAAACAATCTTAACGTGCACTCCCTTGGAAGAAGTTAAATAGGTCGTTAATGAAAGGAGCAGGTACTCAAAACGAACACACCTTTGGATCAATATTCTGGCAGTTACCTGCCAGAGCAGCACCACTGATTTTGAACACAACTCTGCGCCATTTCAAGTTCGGCATTGATTTAGATTTCAAGCTGTTTGCAAGTGCGGAACTGCTTGGCGTGTATCTGTACAAGAAAATGTAGGAATGTGGTTACACAATCGTCCAACCTTTGATATCGTTAGTAAACAACAAGTAGGTGATCAATTGCTACAGTTGATTCACAGAATTGTCAAACCACAAACTAGCCATAGACTACTGCTTTAGATGCCAATATAGACATATCAACCCAGAGACCGAGCATGATCATGTAGTCTGGATTCTGGAGTTCATAACTCTTAACATCCAATGATCACATCTGACTTCACCAACGTTACGGATAAGACAGTATACCAACAACATAAGAATAAACGAATAAATGAACTGAACACATCTTCGTAAATCAAAACTCTTTCTAGCTACAAGACAGTTGCTACCGTTAGTCAAGAGAAAAAATGATAACAACAGAGAACAGAGAGTCACCAAATGCTTACCTTTTAGTTTGCCTGACGGTCGGCAAAGTGCCATTCACAGCAGGAACCGCCACTATGGCGGGTTCACTATCTGAAACAGCTGCACTGCCACCAGCGGAAACCGCTTTAGAGCTAGAAGACGAATTCCCCATGATGGCTTCAATCTGCTTAAACCAATGCCAGTTACTAGTCGCATTGCCTCCAAACCCAGCACTACCACCACCATTGTTGTTGATCCTCTGCAGCTCCACCTTATACCTCTTCTTCAAATTGTCAATCTTGTTCTTACACTGTTCCACACTCTTCCTGTTATTGCTCCCACCCCTCTCGCTCACAGACTCGGCCACCTCCTCCCAGTCCCTCCCGCGCAGATTCCCGCGGTTCAGCTGGCTGTACTTCACCGTGTAAGCGTCCAGCAGGCAGGAGATCGCCGTGTCGCTCCATTCCTCCCTGTCCTTGCGATAATCCGCCCTGTAATCCGGCGTCGTGGTGGTCGTGTTGGCGGTTGATTCCGGTTCCGCGCTGTTGCCGTTCGCTTTCTGCCTTTTGCTGCCGCTGTTGTTGTAATAGAATTGCTGCGACGGCTGCTGCTGCTGGTGACTCCGTTTGGACGACGGCGTGGCCGGAGCTCCGGATCCGGATTTTTCCTGGTCGGAGTCGGGGTAGGTTGGGTAGTAATCTCCACCGTGGACGGACTCGGAGTCGGGGTGGACGGCGGGTGCGTGAGCGGACGGAGGAGCGTGCGGATCGTCGATTAATGGGAAATCGTCGGTGGCCATGAGATTAGGGTTTGGAAAAGGCGGGCAGAGGGGAGAGAGAGAGAGAGGGAGAGATGACGACGTTAGGATCAGGGTGACGGAGGGATGGCGGAGGTGAGGACGGAGGGGGGATTGAGATCGGTGACGGAGTGAGCAAGGACTGAGGGAGGACGTTAGGGTTGATGCTAGCCAGTCACGGGCTGTAACGGATCCGTTTAAAAAGAGACGAAACGGAACTGTGGAAAGTGGAAGCAATCGCTTTGTAATTTTTTCTTTTGTGTTCGTTCTATTTTTCACTTTTTAGTTTTACTTTTACCACCTCCCTTCCCTTCACAGTTCACCCACCGACAGTTTGGTGGTTTCAGATTTTTTTCCCTCTCTTAACAGAGATGGATTGGTTAGATAACAGATGCCACGTTTAAGTTCAGACAATGAAAATATTACATATGGTCACTAAATAGAGTGTGTAAATCGGTTTGGTTTGGCTTGAAAGTACGTTATTAGATAAAAAGAAAAAGATTGGATATAAGAAAATGTTCATGAGATCATGGTTTTTAGGCACATATTATACTTTTTCAAATAAAGTTGGAATTAGAGTATACGATACGAAATCTAAATTGAGCAACATCATTTTTTTATGGCGAAATTTTCAGAGCTCTACTACTATAACTACTCTTACATTTACGTAGGATTAATGTATAGTTCACATATTGTTGATGTTGTCTTCTCCTCTTGTTTACAAGTGATCATTGATCATGGTTGGGAGTTGAAGAAATAACTCTCATACGGAGAGACGAGGACGTAACCATCCTATCAATGTTGGTTTAGTAATGTTGATCTCAATGCATAGTCTTTAACTACCTAAATTGCTTGTTGATACTGGATTGTCGATTTTAGTTTTGATTGGGTGACATCAAGTTAGCATGGTGATGTTGTCGCGTTAGGTTGTTTGTTGGCATATGGTTGACAATGTGTAGCACTTAAAAGCGTAACTAACATTATATTGATGTTTTGGCTAAACATTAGGGCTAAGAAAAATGACCCCAATAAATCGAAATCATCTTCGTCGAGTCAAGTTCACAAACTCATCTCTGGGATGGCGACATTCTTATGAAGGTAACAACAATACTATGTTCAAAACTCTACCATCCATAAATATAAAACATTAAAACTTCATTTGGTCATTTAGAAGTAAGAACTTTCCTGTTCCCATAAATACAACCGGGAGAGCTACAGAAAAGAGAAGGGGATTTTTCTTATATGTGTGCTAATGCTATACACCACACCTCCTCCCTCAGCTCTTCAATCAGTCCTCGCCTTCAGCAGGTGAATGGTATTCCGGAGATCGATTCTCCTCCGTTGATGACCCCTTATTTGCTCTTTCCTTCCTTTCATTCCACCTTGCCCATACCCACTTCAGAACGATGAACCCTCCGAGTGCATAGACCTGCAAACCACACATAACCTGGTCAGGTCTTTACCAGAGCAGAAAGTAGAGAACAAACTTGCAAGCCTGAAAGTAATTAAAATGAGCCCACTGCGAAAGAAGGCTTCCCTCCTCAACAAAAGGAGTGTGGGATGCATTGTTCAAAAGTAAAATGGAAATTGACATTGTTCAAAAGTAGGAAGGCAGCAGAGAGTAAGATGTCGAGTGAACTGGAGAAAGTTAATTCCTTTTTGGCTCCAACACAATTCATGCAGAACAACAGCAAATCTTCCTGCTATTTCTTTCTCGGGCTCTATGAGTATCCATAAGATTGTATAGTACATCAACATCTTATATAGGAGTTGAAGTGATTAAATCGAGGTCTCACATTCCTCCCGTGGCATGCATCTTGTGTACACTATGTAGCAGATATGATAGAGCCTTATACTTTACATAGCTCGTCCCACCCAAAATTGTAGGTTATACCTCCATATAATTCAACCTCTCATACGCTTCGCCAATAATTAAGAACTTAAACAACAAGAGGTCAATCAGGTCATCCCTACCAAAACAGGACACACTGACTAAGGGTTGCCAATATTTACAACTATGATTCCAAGTAATTAGACAGCGAGAGAACATCTAATCAAGTCTACTCGCCCAAGACATTGGAAACTAGCAGGATGGAGCCACTAGTATATAGCAGACTGCACGTAAGATTAATTACCAACTCAAAGTTGGGAGGATAGAAACCAACCCAACATATCTGAACAGTAAATATACCACCAGAAAGCTATTAACTTTCTGCCATTCAAGCTCAAAGCCCGACGTTTTGGCCCCTGGTTCAATACTATCCAAATACACACCATGAAGATGGATGATTTGGAGGGTTGTACTCTATGCAACTGCAAAATTAAAGTGCAAACTAAACAAGCCATGTTATTTTACAAACATCTCTAAGCTAAGGACTGCAAACCAAAGTATCACTAACTAGAGAACTTTCTTGGAGTTTCTTCCAAAAACACCAGACTGCCAAGGACAAGCAAATTAAGCATGTACTCATAGTATCAAGACCCACCTGCCTTAAAACCACACAGCCATCTCAGACAACGATAACCAGCCTTATTTTAGGACCTAAACAAACCACCAAACCCCAAGCTTTAAACCAAAACTCGCTCCCATTTGCAAGCACAACAGGCCCCCATTCAAGCTTCTTTCTATCACAAACACAAATCAGCGGTGCGGTAATCGACGAAAGAAGCAGAAGCGTAGTAATCAAATATCAAACCTGCCAAATAATGACGGGGTTGTGACTTTTACTAGTGCTCTCTGAAGCCTGAACCTCCATAGAAGGAGCAACTGGACGGGCATTGGGTAGCCTTACAATGACAGGGTTAGGGGTTTCGGTATCCTGCTGGTCTTTCCCAGTTACCGCCATGCTTCCACTCCTCTCCGATAGCTGGTGGTGTGATATTCGAAAAGAGTTTTAAGTTGCAGAATGGAATGGAAAAAGGGTTCTGGGTTTCTCGATAACTTTTGACCTCTTCACTTCCTAAGACCTTCCCCCACTGGTGAAGAATGAAAAGCCGGAGCCCGGCCCAGAGTGGGATGTTAAATTTACGTTTCTAGCCCTCGCAACCCGTCTTATTTACTAGATTATCATTATTATCCACAAACAAAATCTGTTTTCTTCTAACTTCTACGATTCCCGAAGTCCGAGCTCACCAACCAAAACCAAACGCGAAACTTGGGAACGGGATGGTGGCGGCAAAATAGACGTACCGAATAAGTGAGCAGGGGATGAGAAGGCTCGTCGACTTCCAGCTGGAGAGGAGGAGCAGTCGAGGAAGGTTTGCGTTCCGCAAACTTGATTGCATCAGGTTTGTCGGCGGCGGCGGCGGCCGGTGTAGGGTCATCGGAGGCGACGATTTGGCGGCGGGGTTGTTGGGTCTCCCGGCGAAACGGATTGGGGAAGTCGAGGTGAAAGTTGGGGAAGAAGGGGAAGGGACTGGTGGTGGTGGAGGCGCGATCAGGAATTGCTTTGTCGCCCATCGTATGGTTCATGGTTATCGGCGGAGTAGTTTCGGTTGAGTATGAGAATGAGATGGAAGGAGAAATTGAAGAAGAACACCGCCTGGAAAGCACCAGCAGTCCAGCACAGACTTGTTTGATATATATTGTCCACAAATAACTTTTTTAAATTGGTGTTTTCTTATATTTTTTTAGCTGTGATAAGGTGTTAGGTTCGATAAATTCAAGATCTTTTACCCTTTCAATTTTACTAAAGTTTCAATTTGGTTCCTTCTCAGATTTAAATCAATCGAACATATATTTTTCAATTAAAGTCATGTATTTCTTACCTGCTAATAAAAAAAAGGACATATTCTCTTCACTTGCCGTTAGTTCAGCTTCTCATCACTTCACACTTTTGATATGATCCTATGGCTCAGTTAGGCCTGGTGTAAATTTTGCATAAGTAGCTTCTGGCTTGAATTTGTAGAGAAATACTTAAAAAAAATAGTTGAGTGTTTGGTTGAAAAATTATTAAAAGTGCTTTTTGAAATGAGAGGTTGTGTAAAATGACTATAAAGGACTTATAATATAAACTATGAATAATAATTCTAAACAATAAAATGTAGTCAAAATTGATTTTTTTAGACTTCTTTGATATTATATAATATTATTTTATACTTTACTTTATTTTTAAAATGATATAAATGAAATAAAATGATATTTTCTGAAATAAAATTAAAATATGGTACAGATAATCTTGTATTTTCAAAACAGCTTTTCGCAGAAACTCCAAATCGGAGCTTTTGCTTTTATGTTACACAAAAGCGCTTTTCGACTTTTCAGAAGCCAAACTTTTAAAGGTGTTTGCCTCTGCTTCAGTTTTTGAAGCCGAAAAGTATTTCTAAAAACCAGGCCAAACATAGGGTATATCAATTTTGGTGCATGCTAGTTAATCAACCGTTCAATCCAATTCAATTGGTACCCGGATCCAAATTGACGAAATCAGTCAATCAATCGTCTTTAAATATAAACAATTGACTTTATATGTTGTATTAAAATATAATGTTTTGACAAATTTTCGTAATAATTTGTTTTTATTCAAATATGGTATATATATGTTTAATTCCTTCGATATTAATGCTTTCAAACTTACCCCATATATTATCTCAATAACATTAGCATAGTTGTATCTTGATCTCACCATTATCTTCATTGGCGTGACAATTTAAACCGGTTTGAAAATTGAGTTTGATATAATCGGTATTACTAATAAAATTAATTAACAAGCTCATTGATTATCAAAGTTGAACTTAATGATATATTAAGTACTAAAATAAGAAAATTGTGTTTTCATACATTGTTCATAAGGTCGAACCAACGAGAATGATCCTGCCGTGACAAGATACGCGCAAAGTATGTGTCATACCCTCTAAAACAGTATCACGAATGGGCTTAGATACCTCCGACTGATTCCCATCCCCGTCTCGAATTCAATTCTCACGTTAAATGCAACCAATAACATGTTATTTGATTTCATCCCCTCGCCCCTATCCTCCACCAAAATTTCAAAAGCATCCAACTCTAACGTCCTTGATTCCACAATGATAGTTCCACTACAATGGAGCTTGTCATTCACATCGTCTTGTGACAAGCAGGCGAAAATTTCAACCGTCAATTGCCTTTCTCCTGAATATATCGGGAGAAAGAAAAGAACAAAAAACCGTACTTCCCCCCTAAGATTATAGTGCAAGCAAAACCGCATTACACTGCATGTACACTTGATTCCAACGTATATATAAATAGCTATATCGAATGCAGTAATCCTACCAGTAATCATGAGTTCAAAGAGGGTTCAGAAGATGCTCCACTTCTGCTCCAGTGCATGGCATATCATGCCTAGACAAAACTTGGCACTCAACGGGTAGTCTGATACTGATCAACAAGAAAGAAAGAGAGAGAAAACCAATCAGCATTCCGGCCGTTCATCACACTGGTAATGTATTTTCATGTTCTGTTCCACATTTCGCATGCAAGATCTTAGATGCTAGTTCGTTAGAATATATGACCAACAGTAACTCTCCTTCATCAGCTCTCATAATTTCTACTGTCATACAGGTGAAATGAGCAGGGAAGTGCATCTGTGGAGAATGATGTTGGGTAGTGTGAGCACAAACAAACTATACAGCGCAATGCCAAAGGCCAGTCTATGAGAAACTCTAAATTTGTCCTTTAATACCTCCTTGAGCATTCCCATCTCCAGTAAATGTCACCAAACAGATGCAAGAAAAATAATTGAAGACCAAAATTACTCCACCGTTTCAACAATGGCATGCGTGTGTTAGAAAACGCGACAAATGGTATAGAAATCCACTTTTATCAGGATAACATGTATGAAAATGAAACACATAGGCCATCTAAGTCTGCCATGCTAAAGCCACGAAACTTACTTGAAACGTAGTCATTAGTGTACTCCTCACTGACTTTACCATTCACCATTGCACCCACCTAATGCCAAAGGGAATTCAGTCATATAGCATACATCAAAATACAGTTGTATGCAGTTTTATAAGCACAAGAACCAGCTCAGCCTAGAAATTCCAACAAGTCCATACCACAAACACAGGGTTGAAATCGTCACTAATGCCAGAGACATAGTCCTTTATCTGAACAGACTTTTGTGAGCTGTAAGAGAGGCCTGCAAACCAAGGAATGTCACTATCAATACATGTCAAGCACAACTATAGTAAATGACCAGAAAAAACATCAATACCAGACCAGTTATACAGGCATTTTCCGGTAGATATCGTGTCACAGGTCCTTCAACCACACGAATGAGAACATCCCCAGTATCCTTGGACCGTATACAAGACTTCTCTAGTACATCCACTTCATAAATTGCGAAAGCCAACAGAAAATGGCCAAGAAAATCAGCTCAAATAAAGCAAGTTGGACTCGTAGTTAAAAAAAAAAAAAAAACTGAAAAGGAAAAGGGATGCATTTCATGAATACAAATGACTCACCCACTACGCCGCAAAATCTCTTGCAAGTTCTTGGTATTCTTACATTAGGTTTGACTTCAAGGAGTAGTCCAGCATCAGTTTTGACATAAATAGCTCCAACCATACCAGCCTTATTAAGTTTACTGTCCAGAATTGCCCGCAGAGCCTGATAGAAAAATAAGTATTCAACACATCCGCCCCATCTATTCAGAAAAGGGGGAAATACCAACAACATTGCGAAAAAATCAAACCTCAAGGAGCATTAAGATAAGAACGCAAGTGATGAACCAACCTCAAAGACAATGTCAGGCTGATAGTCATTGGGGTTCTTCCCTTGCCTGAGCAGAGAGTTCCCATCCTCGTTACATCGCAGTATCTTCTTTTTCTGGACAAGCATAAAATTCAAAAGGGTGTCATCATCACCAGAGTTTATTGATTCCGCTTCATATGAATTGGACGGCATTGGAAAATTGGAATTGTAACTAAACCTTGTGGACGAAGCCCTTGGTCAGAGAAGCATTCTCCAGAACAAATACAGCCCGTGACTTGACATCCCTCAAATGGGGATTACTCTTGCTGCACTTGGCAACGGCTTCCTCTCTTTGCTTTGAAGCAATTACATCGTCAGCTTTAGACTCTATCTTGCCCCTTTCTCCTCTTCCCTTCTTCGAATCGCTTTCCACCGACCCCAAAGCCTTCCCTCTCTTCCGCTTCGCCATGTCCGCTGCGTATCAATCTGCACAATCGAAGCTAACGAATGAAACCCAAAACGCAATTCCAGAGTCACAAAGTCACTCGCAATGCAATTTCCAAGTTCACCGTAGACGGGAAAACAGCAGCGTTCGAGTGAAGAAGCTTCAACAAACCTTTGGGAGACCCAAGAATCCGGCTGTTTTACTTTCCTAACGCTAGTGCGTTGATGGTCGGAGGAGGAGACGCCGAACAGAAATCAGCCGCTCCTTACTGAACGCTCTGCCCCGTCGGGAATCTCCGAAACGGAGGGTTTTGGGGGGGTTTTGCCGAGACGGTTGCGGGCCGGGTCGATCCTCTAATGTCTGTTTGAAAGCCCAATGCGCAGCGTATTTAGAATGCTAAATTGAAAAGCCCAACAGTTAGACAAAACTGAAGAGGCTCCCGGCGGACCAAAAACCCTGACTACCGTGGCGAGGGAGTGACCAGTCACCGGTGCCGCAAGCAATCTGCAGGTCCTCTTCTTCGATTTTCCGGTCGACAGACTTCCCGATATTCTTTGGCTGCAGGTAACAACATCGATTTTTTTTTTCTGAAAGAGCAACCCCCTATAATTTTTGTCTTGCCCCTTTCCGGCCGTTCCTACCTGTAACTTCTTTCTTCTGGTGCTTTCTGAGCCAGCGGTTGCGGTACTAGTATTTTATGGAGTGTATCCGTTTCTAGGTGGACAAACAAATGCTGTTAGACTGTAAACCTTGAGGATGATTGCAAAGTGGGATCATTATCCTTAACCATAATACTAGTGTGGTGTAGCAGGTAATGAATCCCAACGATGGTTCTTGTAGCTAAACATTCAATTCCAATGGTAGGTAGGGTTCATGAATTTGCCTCATATATTGCTTATCTTATCCAATATGTCTCTATTGCATTCCTATTCTTGTTTGTTGGTTTTTGGTTGTTTGTCTTCAGTTTTATGGTTTCAATGCCATTATAGGATGGATTCCGTCAGGCTTTATGCTTAGGGCTGAATTACCATTCTCTACAATGGAGGCTTTGTTGTTCAGGTGCTCATTTTATGTTTATTTTATATAGAGGGGGTTAACAATTTGCCAAACGGCCCAAACCTTGTTTTAGGATTCCTTGAGCTAACTTGTGAAGAGAAGGTGAGAGTAAAGAAGGGAGATGAAACGAAATAAGGGAGATGAAATCGAGGGGGGAGAAGAAAAGATAAAGGTTTTATGCTTGAAACAAGCAAGTGATGAGCCAAAGCTTAGCAGAATTTCTTCAGGACACGGGAAGCAGGGATCAGAATTGGGAGTAGATCAGGAGGCAATGGATCTCCCTGGGATTGCATTGCCACCATCCAGTCCAGACTCCAAAGCTGGGGTGATTTTTGTTCTTGAGAAGGCTTCGTTGGTTCTTGCTAATGTTGGACGAGTAAAGCTCTTTTATCTTATCATAATGGTTTAAATATGTATCATCATACAAGGCACGTGTTGGGTTTTAGCCTCGCATATACTATCACAGGATAGCTGCTTGCAGTACGTAGGTTGGCAGTTTTTAAAGCATGAGAACCAATGCTGCTGCTAGTTAGTCATATTAGTTTCAGAAGGTCCTGGTCAGTTATGCCTTCTCACACTAGAGTTGCCTACTTGCAGAGGTATCGTATTTTGAACGCAAATGAGCATTCCGACTACTTAAGGAAGAAGAACATGGATCCATACAAGTACAGACCTGATATTGTTCATGAGGTTAGTCATTCTTCTATCATACAGGGTGTTAATGCTATTTCTATAATTGATGCTCCATCCTTTTCTTCTTCTGCTGAGTGGTAGTCCCTTGATTTACTGGGTTGTCAAATTAATCCTAGCTAGGTGGCATAACAATTAACAGCTTTGGTCCTGTTACACAAATTATGAACAGGCACCGTTTGGTTTAATTTGTCTTCTTTTATGGACCAAAATTATGCATGAAACTCTGTTCATTCTCTATGTATTTTAGGCTCTCGTCGGAATTATGGATAGCCGGCTCCGTATGGCTGGTAAGTTAATGGCAGTGTACATCAAGACAGATGAAGGGATTTTGATTAAAGTCGAACCTAATGCTCGAATTCCGAGGACATTGGAAGAATTCTGTGATATGATGGGTGAGTATTAAATTTCTATGGAATTCAACAACGTGAATCATCTTGGTCAACTTTGTCCAGTGGTTTTAACTCTTGGGAAGTATCACTTGTGCAGCTCAGTTGTTACAGAAATTGAGCATCAAAGCCAAAGCGAAGGGTGGGAAGTTGTTGCGGTTGGTTCAGAATCCAATAACTCAGTACTTTCCTGTAAACTCCATTAAAATAGGTCGGCAAGAGAGTTTGTTTTTTAAGCGCTTTGATTAGTTTTTTTCTTAAATATACGTATCCTTACACTGCTTCCTGCTGCTACTTCAGGTCTCTCGTTTGTTTCGCAGAAGGCAGTCCCCGTAGAGGAGTACATTAGTGGAGTGAACAAGGACAGTGACCTCATTTTTGTGGTACATTTCAAGTTTCGTATGATTTTGATGGCGCTTGGTTCTTCAGCCATGCAGTGATGTGATACTTATGTTGCAGGTTGGCACTATGGCCCACGGTAAAATTGATACCGACTACCTTGATGATCTTGTAGCAGGTATGATCCGATCGTTTGTTAGTTTCCTTGCTTTCCTCTCTGATTTCAATGCTTCCTCGCTGATTTGAGTGCTCTTTTCGTAGTTTCGAGCTACCCATTGACTGCTGCTGCTTGTTTGAGAGACATATCCATTGCATTGGAGAGCAAATGGAAAATCCACTGATAATATTGTCCATCCTACTGGGATCAGGTTGTGCTGATGGTTCCTTTGCTGACTTGATGAATATTTCAAGGTGGGCCCCAGAGTAATTGTCAATGCAATGCAGCACTACTCTGCTCACAGCCTTAGTAGTTCTAAATCTGTTACAGAAGGCATTTGTTGAGTAAGATTATGAGAGATGGAGATGGGAAGGGCAATTAAGAGTCTGTGTTAGTTTATTGCATGACAGATAATAGGTTAACTTGGTTTCCTTGGTTAGAGAAATCAATCGCAGTGTTCTAGAGTTTTGTTTGTCGTTTTGGCCTTTGGGACACTGGCGACTCGTTAGTTTTACTTTAATTACAAAGGCCCATACAATTATGAAGGGGGCCGATAAGACCAAAAAGTATATTGGACTCAATCAGAGTAAAGGTGGACAAACAGCATCACGGGCCAAATCTCGATATCCATACCCGCGTCCTGGAAGGTTGGATTAGATTCGAATAATTATCATGTGTCGCAAATCGGAGTAGGTCAACTTATATGAGTATGTAATTTAAATAAAAAATATTAAGAACATTCATTTTTTCATTATAAAATCAAAAAAACAAAATATAACATGATGAATATAGCTAAATTATTCGAGAAATTAAAGTTCTCGCCAATTTACAACTCCATAATAGCTAAAATATGAGTTAAAAAAAGTAAAATCCTAATTAATTTGAGTAAATCATGTTAATTTAGACAAGAACGGGTCGAACCAAGTAAGGTCAATGAGAGTACCCATACCCTATCCTCTACAAAACAAATCAAGCAGGTGGTTTCGATATTGAGTTCCAGCTTCATCCCCGTTATGTGCTTTCCAGTTTCTGGCAGTTTGCGAATCGTGAGTTAACTTTTGTTTTCTTAGTACAGCAAAAGAAAGTCCAACGCAAAAAACAAAGTCTTATTTGTAAAATACATTCGTCACATATACTACAACTAACCATCTCTTAATAATATGCAATTACACAATCATTCGCTGCCAATTTGATTATCATGAAGAGTATCATTGATGTAGGTTAGAACTATAAAAAACTCTTTCACCACTGTACTCCGGGTTGGATCCGGTCCTTAAACCCCAATTCTTAAGGAGGATCTTAAGTCAATTCTAGCCAATAAGAGGAGGAGAGAGGTAAGTCGAAGCAATGATTGCTTAACTGCCCATAAGGGCACGGAAGGAATTAAAAATCATTGTCATTAATAATTAAAAGCAAAAATAGGCATTTAATAATTAAACGAAAAATATAATTAATCCTACTTGACGGAGCAAAAACCATTTTCGAAGAGCTGTCTCTCCGGCGTTCTGCGTCGGAAGAGCTCGTCCGTGATATCCCCCTCCGGCCACGACTACAGTGTCTATCTCCGCCGCTTCTCTTTCGTTCGTAGCCGCTTCGGTGGTCCGCCGCTAGAGACATGGAACATGTAGTTCCATTTGACTTTGGTACTAGGTTTCATTAAAAGTTTATACGATTTTTGTTGGTATTTGGGTTTTTTATGTTGATTGTTTTGTCGTTGGGTTGGATTTTCGTCGGTATTTGACGTCTCGTAGCAGATTGATCAGTGATAATATTAAAATCGTAATTTGTAAATGTTGATAAGGGATGGAAAAAAGTTGATATGTACTAGTAATAACGTGTAATAAGATTTTAATATAACGTCGATAATATTATTGATAAAGTTGATGATATTATTAATAACGTAATTTAAGAATGTTGATAGGTACATGGTAGGTCGGCTCAATTTGGTTGATCATGATTTTAATAACGTTGATTGGAAATATTAATAAGACACTTGTAAAAATTAATCTTTTGATGACGTTGATATTATTATTGAAAACGCATAGCGATGATGTAATCGGTTAATAATTCAAATAATATAGTTATAAATAGTCACGTGGTCGGTTAATAATCTATAATAAGATGAATTGATAGCATGGTTCAATATAATTAAAATTATATATTTAATCTGTTAATAATGGGGAGACTTGAATAATTGTCAACAACATATTTAATGATTGAATGATTGGTAATTGTAAATGTTATATGATTTACGTTGAAAAATGATGATATCTCATTTATAATTATTTTGTAAACAACCAACAATGATTTGGAAAGAGCTGATAATGTTTTGTATTTCGTTAATAATACATAAAAAATATTTAATGATATCTGGCATAAACAAGGATAAATGATGAAATATTGTTAATAAATGATTTAGTAAACATCCTAAAATTTTATAGGAAACATTAATAATGATGACTGTATTTTGTTAATAATATTATGCATAAACGTTGATAAAGTCAAGTTACATTGTTAATAATTGTTGGGGGAATGAGCATGGGCCAGCCCAGAAGGGTAAAGCCCAAGAGTGGTTACAGGGGACTGGGGGCATGGGCCCAACTAAGGGGACAGAGAAAGCCCATGAAGGCAGGGACATTGGGCTGAAGGGCGTCCAGACTTGACCTGGGCGGCCGAAGACAGCATGAGGGACAGGTGGGACCAGGTCCCTGGCGAAGGGCGCGCGAGACAGAGGCAAACAACGGTCGGAAGTGTACGAAAAGCTGAACAGATGATGTCACGCGCCTTCGATCTCTGACCAGTGTGTCAGATGGTCGAGGCGCATGAGCAAGGGAAGTACGAAGCATTTATGGCGGGTCTGACATGGGGCGAGAGCGACGTGTACCGGCCGATCTCGCCCCGGGTATAAATAGTCGAGTAGGTAAACCTCATTTACTCAGTTTTGGCTTCTCTAACTAGAAATGTTCTATCACTTCTCTCACTAAAAAGTAGCTTCTGACTTGAGCGTTGGAGTGCTAACGGACCAACTAGGTCCGCAAGGCGCTTGGGTTAGTGCAGGAAGGAAGGCCGCGCGGAGAAGGAAGGCATCCGAGGCGTGAAGTACGTGAAGGAGGTTACCAGGCATAAACAATTGGCGCGCCAGGAAGGGGGATATAACCATCGAGCGCATGGAGACTGCGGGATTAGGAGAGAAGGACGGAGGGGCTGAGCCTCATGAGCAGGGGACGGAGGTGACGAAAGATGCAGAAGAGCATGGGGGGAAAGGGAGCCCGAGAGTTGACGAGAGCGTGCAAGCAGAAGGCGCAGCGCTCACCAAGGAGGAATTGCTTCAGATCATCGAGAGCCAAGATCACGCGCTCGAAATTTTGAAGAAAGAGGTTGAGGCGCTCAAGAGGAGCGGAGGCGACCCACACGCGCCTGGATCGAAGAGGAAGGAGCGGGATGAGGAAGGAGACGGAGCGTCCAGCCTTGGGAAGCGCGCGGAGGAGATGGGGCACTTGACCCGACACTTGGAATCAGATTATGACGACTACAATGGATGGGCACAGAGGCGTGCAGGGAGAGGCTGGGGAGTTCGACAGCCCTTGGCCAGGAGCGTCCTCGCCGAGGCGCCGAGCTCCGTCATACCAGCGCTACCAAGCTATGACGGTACGACTGACCCGGAAGACCACCTGAACAATTACTTCACGAAAATGCAACTGTACAGCAGTTCGGACGCCACGATGTGTCGTGCGTTCCCTTCTACGTTCACGGGGGTGGTGTTGGACTGGTACCACCAGCTGGAGGAAGGACGGATTGACTGTTTCGAGCACTTTGCCTCCTTGTTTCTGTCAAAGTTCGCTAGTCGGAAGCGCAGGACCCTCACCATCAGCGCCTTGTTCAAGGTCCGTCAGAGGGAAAGCGAGCCACTCCGCGATTTTTACGAACGATGGATGTCGGTAGCAATGGCGGTGAAGGACGCCAAGCCGCCAGTCTTAGGATGCTGCCTGGATGAGTGCACGACTAGTGAAGAGTTGTGCCGGGCGCTTTCCAAAAGAGACGTGACGTCCACTGAGGACCTTGATAGGAGGGTGCAGAAGGTCATTATGCTGGAGGAAACGCTTGCAGCTAGAAGGTTTGACAGGCGCAAGAACAAAGCTGAAGAAGGAGAAGTGTACAGACCGCCGGCGCCCCGTGCGCCAATGATGACACCTAGCGCGCCGTTTCCAGGGCGTAGGGTGGAGAACCAAAGGCCCGTTCCGAAGAGTGCGGGAAACTTCACCGAGCTAAATGACACACTGAAAAACGTGTTGCAGTATGTGAAGGACAAGGGATACCACCTGAGATGGCCTGGTCCCATGAGAGGGCGCCCGAATGAGCAGAATCTCGACAGGTATTGCGAGTTCCATAGGGAGCGGGGACATCACAACGCAGATTGCTATCAACTGAAGTCCGAGATACAAGGGCTGGTGGACAGGGGCATGCTGAGCGACTTTGTGAAGAAGGATGATCGAACGCAGAGGACGTTCGTAGCACAGGAGGCTCAGGTGAAGGCGCCTGACGAAGAGCCGCAGGCGGCAATCAACCAATCCGGCGGGGGAGAGAAGGCGTCTGAAAGTAAACCACGAGAAACTGTTCTCCCCCCACCACCATTCGACGTAGAGCAGGAGGCAGACCCAAATCGTGTGAGATTGACAATTGAGGCTATCACGGGCTCCATAGACTTGAGGCAGAAGCTGGAGGAGGGAAGGCGCCTGAAGTCGGCCACCGCCAGCACTCGCCAGGCCATCCAAATACGCTTCAATGAGGTACCGGAGGAGGCATGTCGAACGCCTTCCACGGAGGCGCTGGAGATTAGGGGAGTGGTGGCTGGATGCGAGGTCAAGAGGATGTTGGTCGACACCGGAAGCTCTATGGACGTGCTATTCCTGTCCACGTTTGAGAAGATGCAGTTGGCACCTAGCATGGTGAGGCCAGCGGATACAGTGCTCGTAGGATTCACGGGGGCACCTGCTCAAGTTATTGGACGCGTGCGACTTCCCGTGACCTTGGGCGACGAGGCGCTTTGCGTCACACATACGGTGGATTTTGGCATCGTCGATTGTCCCTCGCCGTACAATGCCATCTTGGGGCGCCCCTTGCTGGCGCTCTTTAACGGCGTGGCCTCCTCTTGCCACCAAATCCTGAAGTTTGTCACCCTTGAAGGCATCGGAATTTCAAGGGGGGAGGCCTCCGCGGAGGCACGTCTTGCCAAGAGGAGCCGGATGTATAACATTGACACAAGGCCCGAAGATTTGCCAAGGGCTGAAGCGGCTGATGAAGAGATACATGTACCGTTGGACGACCTGCGCCCTGAAAGATGCGTCCGCGTTTCGACGCACACGACGAGTGAAGAGTTGGGTCCGCTAGTGGGGCTTTTGAGAGAATTCGCAGACTTGTTCGCGTGGAGCGCGAAGGAAATGCCCGGAGTAAAGGCAGAGGTGGCGGAGCATCGACTGGCCGTAGCAAAGGGCGTGCGCCCCATCCAACAGAAAAGGCGCCCGATCTCACTCGAGAAGGAAGAGGCGCTGAGAAAGGAAGTGGGGAAGTTGCAGGAAGCAGGGTTTGTGGAGGAGGCCAAATACATCACTTGGCTATCCAACGTGGTGCTAGTGCCCAAGTCGTAAGGGGAATGGAGGATGTGCGTAGATTACACCAGTCTAAACCGAGTGTGCCCCTCGGACGCATACCCCATGCCCAGAATTGATCAGTTGGTAGATGCGACGGCATACCACGAGGCACTCAGTTTCCTGGATATGTTCTCGGGCTACCATCAAATACCCATGTGTAAGGAAGACAGGGACAAGACAACTTTCATGACCCCGTTCGGTAACTTCCGCTACCGAGTGATGTCGTTTGGGTTGAGGAATGCGGGAGCCACGTATCAACGTATGGTGAACAAAGTTTTTCAGCATCAGATCGGGCGGAATGTGGAGGCGTATGTGGACGACTTGGTGGTGAAAAGCAAGAGAAGAGAGGATCATTTGGCGGATTTGCGGGAGACGTTTCAGGCGCTCCGAGCCCACGACCTGCGCCTCAATCCCCTGAAGTGCGTGTTTGGGGCGGAAGCCGGAAAGTTCTTGGGGTTCATGATCACCAAGCGTGGCATCGAAGCTAATCCCAGGCAGGTGGAAGCGATAAGGCGCCTTCAACCCCCCCGCACACCTAATGAGGTGCAAAGTCTGAACGGGCGACTAGCTGCCTTGGGGCGCTTTATACCTCGCTCGGCGGACAAGGGCGCTCCCTTCTTTCGAGTGCTAAGGAAGGCCGCCCGATTCAAATGGACGGAAGAGTGCGACGAGGCGTTCGAGCAGCTGAAGACCCTGTTGATGGCCCCTACCGTAATGACCGCCCCGAGGCGAGGCGAGGTGCTCTACCTGTACATTGCAGTGTCAAAAATGGCGGTCAGTGCGGTGCTTGTTTCCAAGGATGAGGAAAGTGGGGAAGATAGACCAGTGTACTACGTAAGTAAGGTGATGGCGGGAGCCGAGACCCGTTATGCGCCCATCGAAAAAGCCGGGCTAGCAGTGGTCACTGCGGCAGAAAAGTTGCGTCCCTATTTTCAGGCCCACCCTGTTACAATCCTCACGAATTTGCCGCTAAGGAGCACGCTGGGATCCATGGACGTGGCAGGGCGCATGGTTAAATGGGCTGTGCAACTGAGCGAGTACAACATAAGCTATGCGCCCCGCCCGGCGATAAAGGCGCAAGTATTGGCTGAGTTCGTGGCTGAGGGGGTGGTCAGTGCGGGAGACAAAGCAGAGGAGGCCTGGCAGGTTTACGTGGACGGCGCAGCGAGCAAGGTGGGTGCGGGGGCCGGAGTGGTGGTTGTGAGCCCCTTGGGCGCGACGCATGAGTTGGCCCTTCGGTTCGCGGCCCTAAAAACCAATAACGCGGCGGAATACGAGGCGGTGATCGCGGGGCTCCACGCAGCTCGAGAACTCGGCGCCCAAAAGGTACAGCTCCGCTCGGACTCCGCGTTAGTGGTGAATCAGCTGAACGGCGTGTATGAGGTTAAGGAGGAGGCGCTGAGCGCCTACGTTGCTATGGTAAAGGCCAAGGGGGCGTGGTTTAAGGAGGTGGAATTCATACATGTACCAAGGGAGGAGAACGCCCACGCGGACGCTCTATCTAAGCTCGCCACGGCAACTGATTTCGAGGAAGATAGACAAGTCATCGTCACCAAAGAGCATGCAATGCGCGAATCTGTCATAGGAGTGACCACGGAGGCCGAAGAGAGTGAGAGCTGGATGTCACCCATCAGGGCATACTTAGTGCAAGGGCTCCTCCCAGAAAACGACAGGGACGCATGGCAGATACGGCGCAAGGCCGCACGTTGCACCATCATTGATGGCCAGATGTACAAGCGGTCGCACTCCGGCGTTTACCTAAGGTGCCTCACCGAGATAGAAGGAAAGAAAGCAATTGAAGAAGTCCATCAGGGGGCGTGTGGCATGCACGCGGGAGCGCGCAGTCTCGAGAAGGTACTGTTAAGGCAGGGGTATTACTGGCCAACCATCAGGGCGGATGCAACAGAGCACGTGGTCAGCTGCCACCAATGCCAAATACATGCCAATGACATCCACGTTCCCGCGGCGCCTATGCGGGGAAACGTGGGCGCGTGGCCGTTCTCCCAATGGGGCATGGACTTGCTGGGACCATTCCCCAAAGCGCCCGGGCAGATGAAGTATTTGATAGTGGCAGTTGATTACTTTTCCAAATGGATAGAAGCTGAACCTCTGGCATCCATTACTCAGGCGCAGGTCCGTAAGTTCACGAACAGAAACATCTTCACGCGGTTTGGGTTGCCGGAGGCCATAGTGACCGATCACGGGAAGCAATTTGATTGCAAGAACTTTGTCGACTTCTGTGACGAGAAGGGGGTGATCCTGCGCTTCTCATCCGTGGCGTATCCTCAAGCGAATGGGCAGGCAGAGGCTGCTAACAAAAGCATTCTGCATGGATTACATACGAGGCTTCTGGAGGCAAAAGGCAGGTGGGTTGAAGAGCTCCCGAGCGTGCTATGGGCGCACAGGACGACATACAAGGTGGCAACAGGAGAATCCCCGTTTGCACTCACGTATGGGAGCGAAGCAGTCATCCCGGTAGAGTTGCGCATTCCAACCTTCCGAATGGCAAGCTATGAGGCGCAGGCTAACGAGGGAGAGCGCTTGCATGATCTTGACATGCTGGAAGAACGGCGCGATGTCGCTTCCCTCCGCCTAGAGGCTATGAAGCAGCAAGTGGCAAGGTATTACAACAGGAAGATGCACCCACACCAAATACGGCAGGGGAGCATGGTGTTGAAGAGGGATTTCAGGCCCAAGGCCAGTGAGGGGAAGTTAGCACCAAAGTGGAAGGGGCCCTACCGGGTTCGTGAAGTGGTGGGGCCGGCGACGTTCAAGCTGGAACGCATGAGCGGGAGGAGCATCAAACGCACGTGGAATGCGCAGAACCTGAGGGTCTATCACAACAAGGAAGAAGAAGAGTTGGTAGGGTAAGGCCAAGTAGGGAGGATGAGTAAAAGGGGCAGATTTTGTGTGGAGGCAGCCAGGGGGGCTGAGCTGTGAGTAATGTTCGTAAGTAGTTTTAGTTCCAAAAGCGCCCTTCTAATTGCGCCCTGTGTTCGTCAAGTGGTAACTACAAGGGCGCCTTCCAGTTCGCGTCCTGTGATTAAGTAATTCTCAAAGCGCCTTTTAATCGCGCCTTAAGATTGTGGGTAGTTTTTGCAGGCAAGTACAATGTTCGTGAGTAGTTTTTATCCAAGTGGTTCTTAAAGCGCCCTCTAAATTGCGCCCCATAAGTGATCAGTAACGCGCCCTCTAATCGCGCCCTGGCCCGTAAGATTATCAGTAATGCGCCCTCTAATCGCGCCCTCGCCCCACAAGTTATTTATACTAGTGCAAGCAATTCCAAAAGCGCCCTCTAAATTGCGCCCCATAAGTAATCAGTAACGCGCCTTCTAATCGCGCCAAATAATGCGCCCTCTAATCGCGCCCTGGCCCGTAAGTTATCAGTAATGCGCCCTCCAATCGCGCCCGTAAGTTATCTCTAATGCGCCCTCCAATCGCGCCCGTAAGTTATTTCTACTCATGCAAGCAATCCCAAAAGCGCCCCCCTTATCGCGCCCTGAAGAGTGAGTAGTGTTTGGGGGCAAGTAATTCTCAAAGCGCCCTCTAATCGCTCCCCATAAGTTATCCCTAAAGCGCCTTGGGTACCGTTAGCAGCAAAGCAACAAGGCAAAGGTAATGCGCCTTGAGAGAAGCGGTAGCCATAAGTCAATTACTTGATCAGAAGAAAATAATAATAAAGAAAAAAGGGGGGGGGGGGGGAACAGACTGATTGTTCAAAAAAAAAAAAAAAAAAAAAAAAAGGTGCATTCTTTACTCGTTCATTCACGCGCCCTCACTCGACGCTATTCTCCTCGTCAACCTCTTCTTCCTCCACCTCCGCCTGCGCGGCCACACGTCCTCTTTCACCGCTAGGCGCATCATCACTCGCCGGGGGAGCGTCCGCAGCAGCCGAGGCGCCCGCCTGCTGGATCTCCATGGCCTTGACGACGTGCTCGATGAGAGCGATACTGTCAAAGGCCAATCCTGGGTGGTCAGCCTGGAACTTAGCCTGGAGAATCTCCACAGTACTGATCACGACATTGGCTTGGAGGTCTTTGCCAGCGTCCGATTCGGGGAAGTCAGCCAAGTCCTGGTTCAGGCGCCCTACCTCGGTCTGAGACTTCTTCAGCTCACGCTTATAATGCGCTCGGGACTTCTTGGTCTTCTTATGCGCCTCCTCAAGGTCGTCGACAGCCTGTTGCAGCACGCTCTTTTCATTCAGCAGCGCGTCCCGCTCCCGAACGAGCGCGGCGCCCCTTTCACGAAGATCATGCGTCACCTTCTCCCACTCAGCCTTGTCCGCTTCGGCCTGCGCCTTGATTTCCCCTTCTAACTCAGTTCGGGCCTTGAGGCGCTCGGCCGACAACTTGGCATCCAGGTCGGACTTCGCGGCATCCAGATCCTTCCGCAGGCGCTCGGCGGAGATGGCCGCATCCGTGCCCTCGCGGGCTATCGAGGCAATCTCACGCGTGGTGGCCTCGCAGAGAAGCATCATCTGAGGCGCATCAATGAAAGACGGCAAATAGTTACACAAATATTAATTATTAACATGATAAAAGGAATCGATGAAGGGAAGTGTTATGCGCCTCATCACATGGACGCTCATGTTCGTCAATTTCGTCCAAGGCTTGTCAGAAATTAGGCCACCCGGATGTTCTATCACATCGTAGTGCGCCTTGGCCATCGCCATTGCCGCCGGAACATCCTTGGCCGCCCGGACGGGCACGTCTACGGGCACCTTGACGAGGGGGCGCCTGGATTGAAGGTATGGTGGAATCACCTCACCAGTATGCGCCCCAACGGTGGGCTCCACGAAGCTGCGGGGCAGACCCGGCTCGCGAGTGGGGGCGGACTTGACCTTTTTCCCCGGGCCTGGTAAAGCGCCGCCCGCTCTTTTGCGAGACCCAACAGAGGAAGGAGAGGGAGGCGTGCTCACCCCGGCTGTCTCCCGAGGCGTGGAGTGAGAAGGCGAGGCTGAAGCAGATGAGGCCGAGGCAGGCGAGTCCTGAGCGGTGCGCCCCCTTGAAGACGCGCCAGCAGCAGCAGGTCTTTTCACCCTTAGCCTCGTTGGCTGCGCCCTGGCCGGAGGAGGCGCCTGTGAGGAGGGAGCGCCTTGGCCAACATTGGCGTTGCGGAGGCGGTCGAGCTTTGACTTGATCAGGTTCGTCACCGAGGTAAAATCAGTCCCTGCACCAAGAAAAGAAGCGAGTTAGCACGGATACATCATGACATTATCAAAGGCGCATAACCTACGAGAAGGCACATAGTCAGTACCGTCGCCGTAGAAATCGGCGAGAACATAAGCGTAATCATTCCCGGCGTCGAGATCAATGGGGTGGGCCGATATACTCTTCGCCATGTCTAGCTCAGCCTGGCTTAGAGCCTCCACTTTATTAAACTCGAAGAGGTTCCCCGGCGACCACTCCGAACTCACGGGGCGCCCACTCTCAAAGAAGGGCACCTCACGTGGTTTGACAAAGAAAAACGAGTCAAACCACGAGCGCCCCATTTTTCGGCAGCTGCTGATGAACCCATACCCTAACCTACGCCTTTGTAAGATCAGGCAGTTGTCACTCCTAATCATTTTAAAGAAGTGTTTAAAAAGTTTAAAAGTGGGGGGCACGTTGTGTCTTCGGCACTGGTAGCGAAAGGCGATGGTGGACAAAATAATGGAGGGAGAGAGGCGCGCGAGGGGACACGCGCAAGCAACCATGACGCCCTCAAGAACGGGCTCGATTGGGAAGCGTAGGCCGAACCGGATGAATTCTTGATATAGGCCCACCCATCCCTCTCCGCACAACCCGATCCGCGCATCGGGAGGCGCATGAATGTATCTCCAGGGCGCAGGTAGCTGCGCGCATACAACCAATTTCTCTAGGCGCACCCCAAGTTGTTTCGAGGCGTGATGTGGCCCGGCCTCTTCTAGGGGCAACAGGTAAGTATTTCGAGGCGCATAGCCGGGAGGCCACATCGAGTCCCAGGGCCGAAACATGTAATCCTGGGGCACGGGAGCGCCTGAGTAAAAGGAAGGGGCAAGGTGTAAGGTAACGGAGTGCGTAGGGGGCGCTTCAACTCTACGCTTGAACCCTATGGCAGTGCGACTTATGCTAGAAATTGAGTGAAGGAGACCCGAAGATGACAAGAAAGGCGCATGAAGGAGGACTTACTCGATGTGGCAGGGGCGACAGAGGCATTAGGGGCATCACGAACAACGGGCGCCTCGGGGTGCGTTGGAGCGGAAGAAGTGGGAGGCGCCTCGGTTGGACGGGGAGAAGATCCGCGTTGGGAGGCAGCCGCCTTGGAGGAAGGCGCATCAGTACTGAGGGGGATTTGACGGGAAGAAGCCATGGCAAGCGAGGCGCGTGGGAAGAAAAAGGCGAGAGCAAGGGAGAAGAGGGAGAACTAGAGAGAGGAAGTAGAGAGAGGGAATCTGCGACTTGTGAGGGTATGGGGAGGGAAGAAAAGAATTTATAGGGAGAGGAGGTGCGAGCGAAGGAGAGAAAGGGAGGGGAGGCGAACGGACTTCCCCAATCCCCTCCCAATTTTTGAAATTTGAATTTCAAAACGCGAGCGGATTGGGGGGAGGGAAGATAGAGGAATCATAGGGGAGACAAGGCACGAAAAAAGAGGCGGAAGCCAGGCAAAAAGCGTGGATAAATAATAAAGAATAATAAAATATATATATATAATAAAAGGAAATAATGGATAGCGAGGAAAAGAACACGTACGCACATGAGTGCAGGCGAATGATGGAGCAGGCGCAGGTCTAAGCAGACGTGCGGGAAAAGAGGAAAAAACACAGTCAGGCCCCTAACTTTGGATGTTAGGCGCCTAACTGGGGGGCAATTGTTGGGGGAATGAGCATGGGCCAGCCCAGAAGGGTAAAGCCCAAGAGTGGTTACAGGGGACTGGGGGCATGGGCCCAACTAAGGGGACAGAGAAAGCCCATGAAGGCAGGGACATTGGGCTGAAGGGCGTCCAGACTTGACCTGGGCGGCCGAAGACAGCATGAGGGACAGGTGGGACCAGGTCCCTGGCGAAGGGCGCGCGAGACAGAGGCAAACAACGGTCGGAAGTGTACGAAAAGCTGAACAGATGATGTCACGCGCCTTCGATCTCTGACCAGTGTGTCAGATGGTCGAGGCGCATGAGCAAGGGAAGTACGAAGCATTTATGGCGGGTCTGACATGGGGCGAGAGCGACGTGTACCGGCCGATCTCGCCCCGGGTATAAATAGTCGAGTAGGTAAACCTCATTTACTCAGTTTTGGCTTCTCTAACTAGAAATGTTCTATCACTTCTCTCACTAAAAAGTAGCTTCTGACTTGAGCGTTGGAGTGCTAACGGACCAACTAGGTCCGCAAGGCGCTTGGGTTAGTGCAGGAAGGAAGGCCGCGCGGAGAAGGAAGGCATCCGAGGCGTGAAGTACGTGAAGGAGGTTACCAGGCATAAACAATAATTGTCAAAAAACATTTGACGATTGAATTATCAGTCATTGTTAATGTTATATTATTTACATTGAAAAATCATGACATCCCATTAATAATAGTTTTGCAAAAAATCAACAAATGGTTTGGGAAGAGAAGATAATATTTTTGTATCTCGTTAATAATACATCAAAATATTTAATGATACATGGTATAAGCGTTGATAAATGATGAGATATTGTTAATAAATGATTACGTAAATATCCAAAAAATTTATAGTAAACGTTAATAATGATGATTGTATTTTTGTTAATGATATTTGGCATAAACGTTGATAACGTCTTGTTACATTGTTAATAATTGTAAAAAAATTAATGATTGAATTATTGGTCATTTAAAAATGATGACATCCCATTAATAATAACTTTGCAAACAATCAACAAATGATTTGTGAAGAGGTGATAATGTTTTTGTATCTCGTTAATAATACATCGAAATGTTTAATGATACCTGACATAAATATTGATAAATGATGAGATATTGTTAATAAATAATTTGGTAAAATTTTATAGTAAACGTTAATAATGACTGTATTTTTGTTAATAATACTTTGAATAAATGTATTTTAGTTAATAATTGTCAAAAAAATATTTTAATGATTGAATATTGGTCATTGTTAATGTTATCAAAGAAATCAGTCGGAGACTGGAGTAACATCGTACGAGAGCGACACCGGAAGTGGGAGCGACCTAGGAATACAGGTCGACGCCAGACGCGAGCGACGCCGTTGTTGACATCAATTGAGGGACGTAACAGGCCGACGACGGGAGAGGGGAAAGGACGGAAGCAGCACCAGAAGCCGGACCGACGCCGCTGTTATGTTTGTGCGACGAGGAAGAACACAGGGCGAGGGGTTAGCAGGCCACGACAAACCGGACGGGCGCTGGGAGAGCAGAGCTATGCGGCATGAGAGGGACTAATTAAAAGCAAGCTTCGGATGGGAGAGCAAAGCGAAATTGAGCAAGCTTCCGGGGGGAGAACAAATCGACGTTGCTGAGTGACGGTGGGAGACGAACCAGATGGGCAATCACCTCAACTAGAGCGATTGTTACTGCTGGCGGGCGTTGAGGGCGAAGGGGGGAGTTGGGGATGGCTGCCGGAAACGATGGCGGGAAAACACTGGGTCGGATAGAGATCCCCGCCGGGAGACCAATGATCAGCAGATAACCTTGCTTGACGGAAGGGTTGAGAAGAAAACGTTCGGCGCAGGGAAGATAATGAGACGTGGGTTAAGAGATTGTTATGGTTAATTATTTTTGTTGGGCATGCGACTCGGATCCCTCCTTTGAAGAAACACCAAGGATAATCACGCCAAAGAGGAGCGCGCAAGTACACCGGTGTGAAGCGCGCCAAAGTCAAGAGCGCGAGTCGTGCCGCAACCAAGCGCGCTGATAGAGATCGCCCCCGGAGAGGCGCGCGCGAATACTAAACGACGACGCATCACCCGGGCGTGGGCCCTTATCGAGAAGCCGCAGAAGCGGCGCCGCGTCACCGCGTATAGTCCTAGGTATAGCCCTGCTTGTGTCAGGAGTAGTCACATCAGTGCTCTAAGTAGTCACATCAGTGTCCTAAAAGCATGGACTAAATCTCTGTCATGTCAGCGGTCATGTCATTGTGTCCACTTGTAACCCAACCACTCACCCACCACCATGTAGCTTATAAATATGGCATTTACTCCGGTGGGTGAGGGGGATCGGATTTTTCGACTCTATCTCTAAAATCATCGACTTCTCTCTCTAGAATACTTCTCCCTTAATCATTCCTGTAATCTCCTCCGTTCTCCCAGATCGATCAATCCCTTTCTGCTTACTCTCCTTGACCCATTTTCCCGAGTCTCCCTCCTACACCCAGTTAGGCTCAAACAATTTTAGTTTTATATTACTAATAATTTCCCAAAATATCCTTATTAATTAATTAACGTATAACTCCCTATTAACTACCAAATCACCATCCAACCAATCAAAATGCTTTAAGATCCTCCATAAGGAATTGGGTTTAAGGACCTGAACTCAGGCCACTGTACTCGCGGCAGGTAAAATTATAGATGTAGGGCATGCTTGCAATAACAAAAAGTCAAGTACAAACATATTATTGCGTCATAAGAATACAAGATAGTCGCAATATTATACTAAGGAAGAAGGGAGAGTACAAGGAATTCACGGGATTTTTCCAGAAATAGCACTGTTTAAATTTTTTTCCCAAAAATAGCACCCTTTCCCAAAAACCGCTCCCTACCAGTGCGGTTTAGGCGAAAACCGTTACCCAGGAGCGCGTTTTTCGACGAAAACCGCACCCCCACCATGCGGTTTGGTTGCAGATCGCACCCCCACCATGCGATCTGTTTTTTTTATTTTTTTTATGAAATCCTAACCTAGGTGGAAACTTCAAACGAACATATCTTTGTGTTCGGGTATCAGATCGTCGTGATTTTTTTTTTATTCTGCATAACTTTTTGAGATCTTGCAAGCCGAAGACTGCCGAAGGTGGTTTGATCTCGCCTTCGTACCAAAAAATGTCGTTTGCTACCCCGCACGAGCTTATTTCTGATTTCGTCAAACTTTGGACAACCATAATTTTGTGCTCCAAAATCCAAACGACATGAATTTTTTTTATTTCGCATAAATTTTTAAGGAATACAACTTTTATCATAGACATAATTTCAAAATGTACGTGGATTGCTGAGAAGGGAAGGTAAGCTATTCCCAAAATCCTGTATATCCAAAATAATTCCTGTTTTGAAAATTCATTCTAGTAAAAATTGTAGTCCTTAAAAAGTTATGCGAAATAAAAAAAAATTCTTGTCGTTTGGATTTTGGAGCACAAAGTTATGGTTGTCCAAAGTTTGACGAAATCGGAAATAAGCTCGTTCGGAGTAGCAAACGACATTTTTTGGGACGAAGGCGGGACCAAACCACATTCGGCAGTCTTCGGTTTGCAAGATCTCAAAAAGTTATGCAGAATAAAAAAAAAATTCGGGACGATCCGATACCCGAACACAAAGATACGTCTGTTTGAAGTTTCCACCTAAGTTAGGATTTTTTTTTTAAAAAAAAAAAAGCAGATCGCATGGTGGAGGTGCGATCTGCAACCAAACCGCATGGTGGGGGTGCGGTTTGCAACCTAAACCGCACTGGTAGGGAGCGGTTTTTGGGAAAAGGTGTTATTTTTGAAATTTTTCGGACTTAGGTGCTATTTTTGGAATTTTTTTTAAACAGTGCTATTTCTGGAAAAAAATCCCGGAATTCACATGAAGTTGTTTGATATTCTAACATTTTATCACTAATTTGCACCGCGAGTCCGCGAAATCGTAAATTTAAACAATGTTTTCATAATGTACCTGCAAATTTATACAAAAAAAAAAGTCACGAGCAACTTAAAATTTCAACGGATTATCAGGAAAGCTTTCAAGTTTTCAACGGTTGCTATGAAAAAGCAGGGTAATTGCAAAGGTGAATCCCCCAAACGACAATCATGCCTTCTGTTATGGAGCAAAAGCGAGAAACCAAAACCCCACACCCTCTTCTTATTTAAACCGCGCACACACAACACCAACGACCTTCAAACCACGCGCACCGAATTCCCCCCACAACATAATCATGACCCTCACCACCACCACACTCCCCCTCCTCCTCCCCCTCCTCCTCGCCGCCGCCGCCTCCGCCGCCGGCGACTACCACCGCAACTCCACCACCACGGACTACATCCGCTCCAGCTGCAACGCCACGCTGTACCCTGACCTCTGCTACACCTCCCTCTCCCGCTACTCCGCCGCCGTCCAGCAGAGCCCCCGCCGCCTCGCCCGCGTCGCCATCGGCGTCGCCCTCTCCAAAGTCCGCCGGACCGCCTCCTTCCTCGCCAACAACGCCTCCGCCCTCGCCGACTACGGCTCCGACCGCCGCGCCGCCGCCGCCCTCCACGACTGCCGCTCCAACCTCGGCGACGCCGCCGAGGAGATCCGCGGCTCCCTGAAGCAGATGCGGCAGCTGGGCGCCGCCGGCGCGACGGAGGAGGCGTTCCGGTTCCAGATGAGCAACGTGCAGACGTGGATGAGCGCCGCGCTGACGGACGAGGAGACGTGCACGGACGGCTTCCAGGACGTGGCCGACGGGGAGGTCAAGGCGGCGGTGTACGCGCGTGCGGCGGAGGCGAAGAAGTACACCAGCAATGCGCTTGCGTTGGTGAACACTTACGCCGCCGCCGGAACTCCATAGCTTCTTTCTCGCAACTTAGTATGTATAATAATGTCTCTATTAACGTAGTCTTTCTTCTTTTTTTTTTCAAATTATTTCAATATAACCCATGATATGAACCACATATGTTGATGAACGATTATTGAAAAGCGGCGAGTGTTATTGCGTACATCGATGATGTATTTCCAAACCTCATTAACACATCATGTCAATCTTAGTACAAGTTCGCGGCTCAAAATGAGCTCGATCTGAAATCATTCTCGCTAAAAAATATGTACACACGACAATTTAAATGATAAAAAGAACACTAGAAACTAAAAATAGCAGCTAACTTCCATTCACATTTGTATTAACAAGATAATATTCATGTTGAGAAGGGAGTAATTAATCATTCTACAAGTTCTAAAACAATCCAGCTCGTGAGGTTAGCTCAACAAGCCAACGAGTCAAGCTAGCTCATGAGCTTATCTAGCTGAGCATGATATAGCTTTAGTTTGACTCGTTTTCTAACGAATCGACTTGCTAACTAACGTACCTAGTGTCGAACAATTTTTTTTCCAATTCGAACGTCGAGTTGCTCGCTAACGGGTTGGCTAATTTGCTGCACTAGCTTGGGACACCACTACGAGGATCGGGTTCATGGTGGAGGAGTTATTTGAGTGATTGGTGAAGGTTTCTATCAAATGAGGTCATGGGATTATGCAAATGGACTTTGCGGACTCCGCGGCGTTGATCAAAAAGGCTGGGGAGTTTTGGTGGGTTTGGTCGCTTCCAACTTTGCCGAGTAATAATTAGACAGGCAGGAGGGACCTAAGAATATATGGGAACCATTAAACCAACGCAATCGAGTCAAGTCAATCACGCCTTCAAAGCATTAAGCATGTACATTCACAGAGACATGGCTTTATCTGTTTTGTAGCACTTGGCTAGGGAAGCTGATTCCCTGAGAGTCTTCACAGAGGATAGCAACTAAGTTGGCCGGAGATCATCTAGTTCGTACGTACCGAATGGATAGACGAGATTGTGCTTCGAGAGCCAGTATGCGACTCTATTCTCTTCTCTATACGGTACGAGCAAGCTGAACCACCCAGCCTTGCGCCAAAAAACGCGGAGAATGTTGTCAAGAATCATTGAGTACGGATGAGCATGATCTGACCTCTGATTAATCAAGTCTATGGCTAGATGTGAGTCGGATTCAAGGATGAAGAATTGGGCCCCCCTTTCTCCACGCCAGATGAAGCCCCTACAGGATTCCCCATAACTCTGCCAGCAAGGGTGATGCAAATAAATTATAGATAAAAAATATTGATCAGAATATTTAGTTTGTGAAAAAATCGAACCATACAAATATATAATCCCATTTAACTTGTAAACGTTTTTGCCATGTTTCGAAATTACTTTATCGAACAGATTTTATATACGAATTTAAATGCGGCAAGTCTCATAGCACCTCAACTTTAGAACAAGAGTTGCAGGGGTAGGCACCATTGTCCTTGGCACAGTAAACTATAGCCCTTGGGTTGGAGTTGGGCAGAACGATAAAAATTGTGGAAAGTGTTATATTATATTATGGTAAACAATGGTTAGGGTATTGGCCAAATTCGTACCAGCTAAATGTTGTTCTCGTCTTCAAAGTCAAGTACCACTAATACCCGCCACTTTAATCGATCAACAGTGAGCGATTGTTATTAAAGCTGGTAAATAACAACCCAATCCACCAATTTAATTCAATAGCTCTGTTAAATATGAACCTAATCCAAATATATAAATTCATTGGGATCAAATGCAATAGATTTGTGGATTTCTACACGTATTTCTAGTTTGTATATTTTATTTTATTTACTAATACTAAATTTTTTGATTTTTTACCAAAAAAAATCCATTATTCATCCATAAATTCCATTAACCTAATTTGATTCGTTAAATGGAGGAGTGTGGCCCATTTGTATCCATTTTAACTAATTGAGGAGTAGAAATCTGAAACATTCAATCGCATAGATTTCTCCTTGCCCAACTTTGTTACGAAAGTCAAAATCTATTCCTCCCTAAACAAAGTCATAATGTTGTCTTGAATTGGAAGAAGTTGGGCGCACATGCCATTGAAGATAACACTCAAAATTGATGTCAAAATGAAGATATGGCCTTCAATAACATTGGCCATTACGGAATTGGATAAAAGCAACAATATTGAGGTGTTCTAGTTAGAAGGAAAACAGTCGTACTAAAACGCAAGTGCTGTGAAACCATACCGAATATCATACTTGGAAAATCAGTGATCGAAGTATTGTACTTAAATTATGGATTTCTACCGTTGTCCAACAGTTTACTATCGTTAAAATCACTTACGGTTTATGATCTGGCATTTCCAATATGACCGAATGGTAGAGTACAGTTCCTAAAACATTGAGGAGACACATAGAATTTACCAATCGATGACGTCTTTGTTGAAAAGAAAACAAAAAAAAAAATCGGTTCGCCTTCGGTTGGGCTTTTGCCTTCTGCGTTGTGGGCTAGTTTTTTTTTTTTTGGTGCGAAAATAAAAAATCAATGTATGGCGCGCTGGGCCTAACACCCAGAGGAAACCTCTGTTTGTGGAGGATTGTTGCCGCAACAGCTGAAGGGATTCTCTGCTCGTCTCCGATCGACAGTATCCCGGCCGGGATTTTCAGCTTTTCATATACAGGTAACGACGTCGAAAGAGTAACCGCAAGTCCCTAAACCTAATTTTATGTAGCGGCTAATTCCTCTCTCCTTTCAGCCGTTCCCTACTCTTTCCAGTGTAGTTGCAGACCGGGACAAGATCATTACCCTTTGAAATCGTCACCGTTTACTGCTTGTGGTTTCAAGTTTTTTTCTGGTAAGGACGAAGGACTATTCATCGTCTACTCCTTTCAACCGCAAGAAAAACTGAATAGAGAGATTAGGCTATTTTGGAAGGCTGCAACTTGGAATAGTTTACTGCATTCTGTATTTAGAACCATTTGTATTTTCTAGTTTCTTTCATGGCCTATTCAAACTTAGAGAGATGAGCTATGGTTGGTTGTGTCCGGCATTTCTAATTGGCTTTAAAGCTTCCTGAACTGGTTCTAGGACGGGGACACTATTTGTTCACTGTTGCATTGTTGCTTACGGCTTGTTTTGTTGTTCTTCCTTTTTGTTGGTTCTGCAATCATTGTTTATTGCAAGTGTTTCAGTTTAGCACTCTGATATTTCTGTTTCCTTACTGTGGTTAAATTGGATCTCCCTATAGTCTCTTAGTTTGAAACTTCGTTTTCTATCATTTGTTGTTTTCAGATTTATCTTCATCTTGACTGTTTGTAGCAAGATGGGTTTGGAAGAAGAAGCTGGTGGCTCTGCAAAGATTTTGCCTCCTACGGAACAGGTATTTATGAATCCCTAATGTCACTTCCTAGGAAAACATGTCCTAGCAATACAAATCTGGTAAAGCCCATAATTAGTCCCAAGGATGGTTCTCATGTCATACCTAGACATTTGAATCTGATTTTTCAAGTTCATAATTTTCAGATATTACTTAGCTTATCCAATATTTTCCTACCTCCGTTCTGTGAAATATTGCCAGAATTTGGTACTGAGGTTTTGAACATGTGATCTGTTTGCTAATGTGGCGTGGGAATTTGCCACCCATCTGAATCTTCCATCAATATTGTATTGTGGTCCCAAAGTATGTAATTTTTTTATAACCTTGAGCGACAACTGATTGAAATTCCTTCTTGTTTGTTGCAGGAATTATCTGCAGAGCTAGATACTAAATTGCAGAAGTATCTTAGAGGAGAGGGTGCAGATCTTGAGGTATCCACTTGTGATTCAGATTATTTGCTTTGACAGGGTTGTGCTTGCTATTTAATATTGGTTCTTTCTACGCAGGCTTTAAAAGATAAAAAGTTGAAAGGCCAGCTTTTTGTTCGAGAAAGCTGCAGTAAAGTTTGAAAAGGTCGGTTTCAATACTAGTCTATTACTTCTCTGGTTCAGCTGATAACATAGGCATGTGATACCCTCCGTTGATTCCCTATATACTTGAATCAATAAACTGATCCACCTGTTACAAGAAAGGAGGAATGAAGTACATATTTTTCTGTTTTGTCTCTAAAGATATTTTGGGGTTGGAATTCCTTACTAAATTGGAGGTTTGGTAGCGTGGAATGATTGCATTTCCAGATCAATACATCATATCAAACAAAGTCCTCAATGCATTTCTAAGGATGAAGCACGATATATTATGCTGTTCTCTTCTTCTCGTGTCTTTTGAGTTTTGGTGTATCTGAAACGTTGGTGTCATGTAATCAGGGTAACAATTTATTTGCCCCTCCATTTACTCAATTTGTGTTATTCATCTTGCTCATGTGAATTTGGTAGATCGAATAATGCAGTTGCTTATTGAACCATGTTAAGTTGTTGCTTTTTTCAGTGGCTTATGCCAAGTGAGGGAGGATATCTGGAGGCTGAAGGTGTAGAAAAGACATGGAGGATCAAACAAGATCAGCTTACTCGTGAAGTTGATATTTTAAGTTCAAGGAATCAATATGATATAGTGTTGAAAGGTTAGTTTATAGTAGCCTTGCCACTTAGAAAATTTATAGGCTCAATATTCCTTTTCCACCTTCATCTAGAAACTTGCTGCAATTTTCTCCTTACCTATGTGATCTACAGGTTCTTGTTGAGAACTTGTCACTTGTTTTATTTTATGTGATTATCTGCATTACTGATATTGATTTCTGATTATCTTGAGAAAATATTTGTTATTATGGAGAGAAAATAATCTTGTTAGTAAGGAGAATGAAAAGTTGTTAAGCTGATTTGTTATATTTCCTGCTACTTCTCCTTGTTTTTTTTTGCCGAGTTAGACTCACCATGTAGCTTTCACAGCTGCTTAGTTCATTGTAGATTTCTGGATGAATTAAAGTTTATCTGATCATGATTAGCTGTTGGTGCTATCTGTATTGACAATAGTTTGGTGTGCAGATCTTGGTCCCTACACTCTGGATTTTACCCCTAGTGGTCGATACATGGCGACTGCTGGACGTAAGGGGCATGTGGCTATTGTAGACATGAAGAGTATGGAGCTAATTAGAGAGATGCAGGTGCATTTAGGCTGCCTCATAATGACCTGTTGCCTTTATCCCAAATTAAACACTTTGTTCAGAATTAATACTAGATGCTTAAGCACTTAGTAATCTTCTTAACCCATTGAGACATAAAACTTTTTTGTCTCAATTTATAATCTCTCAAAGGAAAAAAGATTCAGTTTTGAAGTTTGCTTTATCTTGTTGACATTTAAACACTTAATCTAACATGCTTACCAAAAAAAAAAAAAAACAATCTGGCATACTTATGGTTATGATAATTATCTTCACTTTCAGGTAAAGGAAACAGTTCGAGATATTGTGTTTTTGCACAATGAGACATTCTTTGCAGTTGCACAGAAAAAGTATGGCCTTCTTTCTTTTGTTGCATATAATATTGGCAGTACCATGTATTTGTCTATTGTTATAAATTCTCCAAGGATTATTTGCCATTGAACTGGATAAGTCTTGTCATACTATTTGATAACAATGCTGTCCTCTGGTCTTCCGGTATCAAGCATGCACCTATTCCTACTTGTGCTGTGTAGGATCTACTACAACGCAAGTGGGAAATAGCATGCTTAGTACTTGAAAACTGCAACGAAACAGGTGTCCGCCTTGTGGCAGGCTTCTTCAATTTTGACTTATGGATCCCTCTCTTTTGTGTTCCCCTGATATTAATTCATTATATATGGCATGCAAAAGCTGATTGAGTATGCAGTTCAGTAACTCCACATGTCAGGCTCCTCTGTTGAGATGAGATGTCTAAGATTCTATCCTTTGTTCAGGTACCCATACATTTATAACCGGGATGGAATCGAGCTTCATTGTTTAAAGGTAAGTAACACTGTCGCTAGCAGTATTCTTAATAAGCCTCGAGTTTTGTGTCTTGCAAAGTAATGGGCAGAAGGTATTTACATCTTTATATAGGTAATCCGATTTCAAGATGCAACAGAGTAAAACTAAGTTAAGTTATATTTATTCAGGAACATGGAGCAGTGTCTAGGCTACAGTTCTTGAAGAACCATTTCCTCCTAGCATCAATAAATAAATTTGGACAGCTCCGTTACCAAGATGTTACCACAGGCGAGATGATAGGTAACTTCCGTACGGGGTTGGGACGCACCGAGACGATGCAGATCAACCCTTACAATGGCGTTGTTGCAGTTGGTCACTCTGCTGGCACGGTAAGCATGTGGAAGCCCACCAGTGCTGCTCCCTTGGTCAAGATGCTCTGCCATCACGGCCCTATTTCAGCACTAGCATTCCACCCGAATGGCCATCTCATGGCATCTTGTGGAAGAGAAAAGAAGATAAAAATTTGGGACTTGAGGAAATTCGAAGTGGTTCAAACAATACCCGGGCACCATGCTAAGACCTTGGATTTCAGTCAGAAAGGTTTACTTGCTGCAGGAACTGGATCATATGCTCAGGTTTTAGGTGATTTCTCAGGAACCCAAAACTACAGCCGGTACATGGGTCATTCGATTGCTAAAGGGTACCAGATCGGAAAAGTATCTTTCCGGCCTTATGAAGATGTTCTGGTCATGGGCCACTCTATGGGATGGTCATCTATCCTCATTCCGGGTTCAGGTGAACCGAACTTTGATACCTGGGTTGCAAACCCATTTGAAACAAGTAAACAGCGGAGAGAGAAGGAGATCCACTCTCTGCTCGACAAGCTCCCACCTGAGACGATCATGTTGGACCCCTCGAAGATTGGTACATTGAGACCATACAAGAAGAGGGAGAAGCCTACAAAGGAGGAGATAGAGGCAGAGAAAGAGGCTGCTGTTGAATCGGTCAAAGACATTGCTTTGAAGAAGAAGACTAAAGGTAGGAATAAGACGAGCAAGAGGGTGATGAAGAGAAAGGTGTTGATCGATAAAGCCAAGAAACCTTTCCTGGAGAAGCAAATGCTGGAGGAAGGAAAAGTTGCAGGGAAGAAGCGAAACCTTGGTGAGGAAACTGAACTGCCTGCGTCTCTGAAGAGATTCGTGCGCAAGAAGGCTGCCGTCTAGTAGCCTAGTAGATGCTTTCTATTCAACCTTTCCAGCACCGGGTTTTGCCATACGCTCTAACGCCCCAAAATTTTGTTCTAACAGAGATAGGTACTCAAATGTATCCAATAGTGTATCATACTGCAGTATACACTTGTGTTGGATTTATAATTACATTTATACGTTTCTCATATTTCATACATAATTTTGTGCAATGATGTTTGAATGGATTGGATTAGGTCGACAAAAATCAAGCATGCTCTGAACTGTTACAGGGCGAAAAGTGAAAACCAATTGCATGTATCTTCCCTATCCTTTGACAGTCAGATTAGAGAGGTCACCAATAGTCACCACAGGAACAAACTCCATTTTTGAAATGGTGAAACCTATGCATGTCGCGTACAATTATCTCCCTTCTTGTTACCAGTGAAATGTACTTTGTCGCGCTATGGCAATCCCCACAAACTCTCAGGTTCTTCCTGATGTGGATGGTCGTGCCCCGGGTAGTATTCAGGAGCCCAAAGGCAATTGCCAACTTCTCACTGTGAGTGTTTAGCAACTGCTCCTTGACGTGATCTTCGACGTCATGGATTGAATTGGTCTCAGGCACATAACCAGCAGCTTTGATCTTGCCAACCAGTTTCTCAAGGAAAGCATAGATTTTTCTGGACTGTGGATGCTCTGTACTCCCTGAATAGAAACTGTGCACTTCATTCCTCAACTCGACCAAACTGCACCCTGGAGTTTTCTGCAGCCCTTTCTTCTGCATCATTCCTCTCACTTCAGCTACTTTCTTCCACATCGACGCAGAGGCGTAAATGTTAGCTAGAAGTACATGGTAACCACCCTCTTCTGGATTTAATTCGAACAGTTTCTCCGCTGCTTTCTCAGCAAAATCAACGCTCTTGTGAATCTTACAAGCTCCCAACATTGCTCCGTAAACTGAAATCTCTGGTTTGACAGGCATCTGTTGTATGAATTCCCATGCATCGTGTAGCCGGCCACCTCGACCAAGAAGGTCGACCACAGCTCCATAGTGGTCCATTGCAGGCTCTAGACCATAATCTTTCTTCATGCTATTGAAGAATTGCATGCCTTCATCCACCAGACCTGAGTGGCTGCAAGCTGACAGAACACACAAGAACGTTATATGATTTGGCTTGATATCTCCCTTTTGCATATCCATGAACAGTTCTACAGCAGCACGCCCATGCCCATGGACGCCATACCCATCGATCATGGAGTTCCAAGTTATCACGTGCCTAGCCTTCATCGTGTCAAAGAGTCTTCTTGCAGTATGGATGGCTCCACATTTTGCATACATGTCGACAAGAGCAGTCATCACAAACACATTTTCGTTCAGAAACCGTCTTATGACAAGCCCATGTATCCACTTTGCTTGTCGCGGAATTGACAACTCTGCAAGAGCAGGAATGACACTCACCATCGTGAATGAATCTGGCTTTATATTCTGTGACTGCATCTGGCAGAAAGAGTTCAAAGCCTCATTGACGCATCCATTCTGGGCATAACCAAGTATCATAGCATTCCATGACACCAGCGTTTTATTCTTCAGTTTCGCGAAGACATCAGAAGCAAGGTCCACCCTCTTGCACTTGGAATACATGGAAATCAAGGAGTTCATGACAGAAACATCAGAACCAAGCTTCAATTCATCCACCAACCTATGTACAAATTTCCCTAGCTCAAGGTTACCCGAATCAGCACAAGCATGTAGAGCTTGCATAACAGTGACATTAGTTGGTTGAACACCTTCATTCATCATTCTCTGAAATATAACCAGTGCTTCTTCAGGATCCCCACTTTCTACATACCCATCAATCATCGAGTTCCAGGAAACCACAGACCTACGGTTCATCCCATCAAAAAGTACCCTTGCCGTTCCCACATCCTTACATTTTGAATACATATCCACAAGAGCTGTAGAAACATTCACAAGACCTTCAAATCCTGCCCGAATGGAGTAACCATGAATCGCCTTCCCAATTCGCAGCGACCCAACATCAGCAGCCGCAGGCAGAGTAGAAACAACGGTAATCGAATCCGGCCTCTGCCCTTCCTCAAACATCTTCGAAACCAACTCCAACGCAACCCTTGCCACCCCATTCTGAGCATACCCAGAAACAATGGTATTCCAAGACACCAAGTCTCTGTCAGGCATTCTATCAAACATTCTGTAGGCATCATCAATTTCCCTACACTTGGCGTACAAATTCACAACCCCAGTCATCGCAAACAAATTCCACGACAACCCACTACTTATCAACTGCCCGTGAATCTCCTTCCCCCTCCTAAGATCCGAATTATCCCCACAGAGCTTCAGCAAATACGCGAAATTGTACACAACGGGCGTAACGCCGTCGTGCCTCATCCTACAGAAAAACGAAAAGGCTGTATCCAGAGAAGAGTGGTTGACATAACCTTTAAGCATCGTATGGTAAAACGCATCCACCTTATTCTCAATCCGCTCGAACACCCGAGCCGCCTCATTCAAGCAGCCATAGCTGCAGAATAGGCTGACGAGCTTCGTCTGAAAGAGGTGTTCCCCGCAGAGGCCGTGCTTGATAATGAGAGGAAGGATTTGGTTGAGCTCTTTGACGGAAGTACAGAGCTCCAAGAGAACGGCGGCAGGGTGCTTGTAGATATGAGGCGGGATGTAAACTCGCGGGGAGAGAGAGTGGCGCGGAAGAGCTGCCGAGGAAGGGAATTTGGACGAAGGCGTTTTCTGGGTCGTGGCGTTGAGGGTAAGAGGAAGGACAACGAGGTTGGAGCTCATTTCTCAGGCTCCTTTATCCCAGGATAAGATTAACGAGGGAAAACGGAGGGCGTTGATTCAAGTCGCAAAAGAAAACCGATAACTTCCATTATTGACATCAATAAAGCTTTCTCAATATCAATGCCCCGCCCCCCATTGCTTCTTCAGTATTGAAGCAAAAAACAACAATGATTAAAAAAAAACAGAGCAAAAAAGACGCCGCCTTTTTCTTCTTCCACAGGAAACCTCAGAGATGTTTTCTGTTAGGAGTCGGAAGCGCCTTCAATCTGACAACACCAGGCGAGAACTATCCCTCGCATTCTTCTTCCTTCTCAAGCAGCTCATCGTCGCTATTGTACTCAAACCTCTTGTGCTTCCCACTGAACTTGGCTGCCACCATACTCATTCTAGTAATCCCTTCACACAGCTCATCAACTACTAATCCTCTATCATCATACCTTTCTTCTTCCTCGTCTTCACTGTAGTCATCATCGTAAAGCTCCTCTACCTCTACTACTCCTTCAATCACTTCATCAAGGTCTTCATCATCATGGGTGCTCGCGTTGACCTGAATCGACCAGAGAGAGGCGCTGTCATCGTCTGCTACCTCTGACTGTGGTGACAGCGACTTCTGTTCGCTTCCCGATTCAGTCCCAGCTATGGATGCTAAAAAGCATTCCGGAGAAGAATCAGACTCGGACTTCTCGGAGAAATCCATCAATAATTGCCTGTTCAGACTCTTCTGAGATTCCAATGCCTCTTGCTTGAACATTTCACTCACCACGGCCTGCAGTTTCACATCCATGCCCAAATTCGTTAATTTCTTTTTCCGAGCAGATATCAAGATAGATAGGAAAAGACAATCTTCAGAAGAGAAAGAAATTACGAACCTCACAAATCTTGAGCTGTTCTTCAATTACTGGAACAGGAGAGATCTGTTGAATGATGCTGTTATTGTTATGGGTCAGATCGTCAAGGACCATCGGGGTATTCGCAGGAGTTGGGGCGAGAAGTCTCATGGGATTAGAGTCGAGAAGCCCTTGGAGACGGAGGAAAGGCCGATTCTCCAACCCAATCTTTGACTGATCAGCTTCTTCCTCGACTCGCTGCAGCAGAGTCTTCACTTGACCCCTGAGAAGAGCTTCTCCAGATCCAGGAGTTTTGTTACTGTTCTTGAGTATGTTACTTCTTTGCTTTGCTGTGGCAGAGGAGGGAGTCTCCCAGATTCCCTTCGCTAGCCCAACAATCGGGGAATCATTTGTTATGTCAATTAGTACGGATCTTTCTTGCTGCTGCTGCTTAACACTAGCCTTGGCTGAATCTTCCATCTTCCCTGGAAAAGGAAAAGGAAAAAAGTACCATAACCAAGAAACGTCAGTGCGGAATTTCAACAAACAGTTGGCCGGCCTCAATAACAAAACGCAAAGGTCCGCACTAAAGATCCAATCTTTGATTGTTTTCCACAAGTACCCAGATGATCAAAGAGTACAACGAAGCGGGAGAACACTTACTGGACATGGGGATATTGCTGTTGTTAAGCCCAAGAGAATGGGTCTGTGATCTTGTGATTCTTTTGTTTGAGGAAGGAGTCTCCATTGATGCGTAAGTGCTAATAAAGAGCTCAAAGTAAACTGGAAAAAAGAAGATCCGGATTGAGGTATTCCACAAAGAGATTGATGAGATGAGAGAAATGGAAAATCGGCAGCGGAAAGTTGAATAGACAGTAATGTTTAGCGAGGATATTCGAGAGCGCTTTATACAAATTCCAAAATTGTAACGGTAATGTGACCGTTAGAGGGGAGGCGCAGGGGCTGCCAGCCAGGCATCTTAGTGCAGCTCGGCAAAACTAGCCGTTGTGGAGTTTCCTTTTATCTGTTGATTTTTCGCGGCAATTAGAGTGAGACGATTGCCCTGCTTCTTCTTCTTCGCGTTCAGAGACTCACTAGGCCTGGGTTCCTGTGCTTAAGGCTAAAAGCTTAAGCATAGGTTTAAATCAATCTTATTTGTTGTTAGTGGATATGGCAGTTAATAAGGAGTTTTTAGTTAATAAATGATTAAGGGTATGAAAGTAAATTGTATATTTAACTAATTAATATTTACACTCTAACACTCAATTTGTGTCGTTGTGACTTGCGATTTCTAACATTTTGTGATCACTTGAGCCCACGAGGCTAATTTAAATTTGACAAAATTTGCACTTAGTTGGATGTATTATTTTTATAATGTAATAAAGGGGTAGGCAAATGGATTAATCACATCCAAATTAAGTAGGCTCATCAAAGGAGAGCATGCCTGAAACTATAAATCTTAATCATCTTCTATAAGTGAAAACGATATGTTCTAACTTCTTAAATTTTATATACAAAATAGCTATAAAAAAATTTCAATGGTGATATACAGACTTGTGAACTCTCTAATACCAAAGTTATATCCAAAGTTATAAAAAAAAAAGGAATAACTATCGTGTGACATTTGACGAGGTGTGAATCTTCTCTAAATACTATAAAGGAGAGCATGCCTGAAACTATAAATCTTAATCATCTTCTATAAGTGAAAACGATATGTTCTAACTTCTTAAATTTTATATACAAAATAGCTATAAAAAATTTTCAATGGTGATATACAGACTTGTGAACTCTTTAATACCAAAGTTATATCCAAGTTAAAAAAAAAATTATCTTGTGTGACATTTGACGAGGTGTGAATTGGTATGAGAGGGATTCTAGGAAGTGCAAGAGACAGAGTAACCCCTTTTGGAAGAGGAGGTATGGGTGTAAATGTTGGGCTACGGGCTCGAGCCCAGGCCCATTTATAAAAGACCCATAGTTGGTACCCACCTCATCGGGCCCGCGACCCACAATATTTGCATATCCAACTTAAAACATCTGGACCACTCTTTTATCAAGTAAGGATATGAAGGGGCCCGCCACCACGACGACGCTATAATGCTATATTGAATATTGATAGCCTGTTTGCTCGCAAGTTGCAACTGCAAGAGTTGGTGATATTTTGCTCAGAAGTCAGAGCAGAGCAGTTTTCCGGTAACTATATACCATTCCTCGATCGGTAACTTAATTTATAAACGAAGGGTCCTCGGTAAAAAGTTGATAGTAACTAGTTTTTACCTTGTGTAAAGAAATTCACCACCATATATGTTTCCAATGATTAGAAAGTGCGTCCAGTCGCTGGCCTGGAGGTGGAGCTCAGCCTGCCATACCCTTCTTTGCTGGCCTCGTGTTTTCCGCTTCCCCTCTCTTTCTCTCCCCATCAAATGGCACTAATGGCTTCCTCCTCGCCGCTCTCCTTCTCCGTCGCAATTTCCCGCTTCCACAACCATTCCACCTCTTTCCTTCTCCCTTCTAAATCATCTTCTTCTCCGCCTTATGTCTCCTCCCCTGCCAAGAGGCCTCTCCTTCTTCGCATACCCTGCCGCGTCCTCGCCGGATCTGATCTTCTTCGGGACGTCGGAGCCACCGCGGGGGTGCTCGCCGGCGCCTACGGTCTCGTCCTCACCTTCGATACTCTCACCCGCCGACAGATTATCCAGCAGGTGAGATAATTAAATTAATTAATGTTCGCTTGTCGCCGCCGGCGAAAAAGTAATTTATTACCATCTTCTTACTGTTTTCCTAATTACGTTTACTTGAGGATGCATGTATACTGCCAACTTTTCTCACCACTTAATTCTCTTACTGCTGCGTTTTATATTCTAGTCTGTAGATTCGGATTTTTAGGGTTCTTCCCGTTATTCCTGGGATATCTAATTTTTCTGCAATATTTACCCAATTCCCAGAGAATTAAATCCTACATTAATACATAATACTTTGTCTTACCATATAGTAGTAGCTTTTATACGCATGTCAAAATTTTATACCTTATCCCCTCGGGTTAGATTCTTCAAATATGAGCTCACAAATGCAATGATTGTCCGGACATAATATTACAAATTTTACCACTAGTAGTTGTATTCGTTGCGCCTGTTGTTTTGAGAGGTCAAATCTGAAACTACTGCCATGGTACTATGAAGCAGTCTTTTTTAACGGGTAACAATGAAGCAGTTTGTTGCTATACGAGGACTGAGGAGGATGGAATATGATGTGAGGCAAAGGTAAAAGGTTGCTTTGGGAATTTACAGTTAGTTATCACTCATTCATACCTGGTCCTAGCCAAGTTGCCAAAAGTAGTGTCAAGTCATGATCCAACAGTATATATGTCCTTTCCTATTGAAATCTAGTTGGCATGGTGATTTCTTTTTGTGTGGTAAAACATGCAGACATGGTGATTATTGTATGATGTCTGAGGATGATCAGCAATGATCGTGAAACAATTATACCAGAAAAGTTAGTAAAACTGTATTTTGTACTAAAATCGTGGTATTCGATATTTTCGATCCGACCAGCCTAGGATCTTGAAACATTGGGATGATGACTCTAGACAAAAACATGAAAAAGTTACTTCTCGTCAGTGTTTGGTTAGTTTCTTTTATGAGTATAGTGGCATCACTGTGCTCCATATAGGCCTGCTCTGCCCGGTCTAATATGTGTATTTAACAGTTTTCATGTTTTGGGACAGAATTTGAGCAGGAAACTAGTCCATGTGCTCTCAGGGTTGGTCTTTGTCATCTCTTGGCCTATTTTCAGGTGACCCTTCCACTTTTTTGCTTGGCTACTACAGTCATCAACAGTTGAAGCTCTTAATAACTATTATATATATTTGCACCAGTACTGTTATAAATTTCTGAGTCTTTCTTAATCAGTTCAGTCTCTGATCGTTTTGATTCTAGAGTAGCACCTCCTCCGAGGCACGCTACTTCGCTTTGTTTGTGCCGCTTATGAACTGCCTGCGGCTTGTTATCCATGGTTTCTCTTTGGCTACTGATGAAGGGCTCATTAAGTCAGTTACCAGAGAAGGAAAGCCAGAGTATGTAACTTAACACATATCTTCCACCCTCTCTTTGAGTTGCTTCCTTGTCAGCTACCATAAATCATATGTTGCTTCCTCGCAGGGAGTTGCTGAGAGGGCCTCTATTTTATGTTCTTGTACTGATCGCGTGCACTCTTGTTTTCTGGCGCGAGTCCCCCGTTGGGATCATCTCAGTGGCAATGATGTGTGGTGGAGATGGTAAAACACCTCTGTTCCTTCATGAACACAACGTAACAAATCTCGTTTCGCTGTAATTTCGCTGAACTGACTGCGTAATAATGTTGCCCTTTGACAGGCATGGCTGACATTATAGGAAGACGATTTGGGTCGATGAAACTGCCATACAATCAGGAGAAGAGCTGGATTGGTAGCGTGTCCATGTTCACATGCGGATTTGTTATATCGATTGGGTGAGTCGATAGATTGCTCCTTTCATTTCCCACTCTCACTTCTTATGCATACTTGTGGGTACTGATTTGGAATAGATCATGTACAGGATGCTTCAGTACTATTCAGCTCTTGGTTACTTGCAGCTGGACTGGAGTTCTGCAGTTCCTGGGGTTGCTTTAATCGCTCTGACAGCCACAGTCATGGAGTCGCTGCCCATTACAAATGTGGTCGATGACAATATCTCTGTTCCTTTGGTTAGCATGATAGCGGCATACTTGAGTTTTGGTCAGTAGCATAGGAATATGGGAATTCTGGCACTGTAGAAACTGTGGATGGTATGTCTGTAAATCTCTACCACATTCCTGTCCGTGGAGTTTGCCGAAATTAGTCTATTTGGACATGAGATTGGGGAAATAGTAGAATGCTATATTTTCGATAACTTTGGGTGGTTTGCCTTCGTCCTCAAATTAAGTTGTTTGCTGTCCTAAATGGGTCATTTTGTGATTTAGCGTAACGTTTGGACAGTCTTAATTTTGTGTTGTCATTTGATCATTATATATATATATATATTGATTTTGCATAATCTTTCACGAACTACAATGAGGGTACGACAACCAAGTTTATGCTATCGATCGAGATCACAATATTTCGTTCATCTCAATATACGGATTTAATATAACTCCATCTCTCATAGTGGCTAGTTACTGAATTGGGCGTAACAGATTCCCCTAATGGTAAGCCATTGGCAAAAAATATACAGGTAAGAGAGCTTGTATAATGATCGAAGCGCATTATTGACTTTATGACTTAGTTAAGGATGGCTAGCTATCATCAATTTATATATGACCGTATTAGGCGTAAAGCCCTAATATGCATATTCCTACGAAACATCGTATTGTAACATTGTGATAGGACATTGCATTGCATCACCATATCGCACCGAAGTGGTAAACTAGGCTATGCAGTATTTGGTTATGTACTGAACCCAGATTAGTAAAAAACACACTGATATTGGGATTTACTCATAGGAGTGAGGATTGAGTGGATGAAACCATCAATATACTAAAATCCAAGCACAATTGACCACTTATGTTGTGGGTGGTTCATATGAATAGATGTGGGTTCTAAAATAGGTGTCACATTAAAACTCGAATGGGTGTGGATGAATTAAAATTTAGAATGTATGTTATAAAATCCATCAAACTAGTCCAACCACCCAACATCCAACAATCACACAACCAAACCCAACTCACCCACAAGTACGTGTTGAGTGGGTGCGGAACCACCAATTTCGCATATAACCACACACTACTCACCAATGTTTACCGTTTAAGATAGCGTGCATAAATTTAGATGGGGCAAGAAGGACTCATATCTAAGGGGCGAGAATTAATGACTTTTATTTTTCCTAGTTTTCTTAATCATTTCATAACTTGTTCGTTCTAACTTGAATTTAAAAAAAATTAACAGATGAAACGAGTTCGTTGTGATCTATAAAATGAAATACATTTTCAATGTATTTCGACAAAAAATTTCATACAACTCGTTATCACCTTGGTACCACCTGCTATCATCTTCATTTTTAACTCGAAATTTGAAATTTTTTGTACAGATGGAACTAGTTCAAGTTCATCATGATTTATTCGATCTACAAATTTATAAAAAAATATATAGGACCAAAATGTACCGCTCCATACCATCCTTGTATATGGTGGTAATTGGTGGTAAGTAGGGCTGTTAATGAGTCGACCGAACCGAGATTTACCTTGATCAGGTTTGGTTCATTTATAAACGAGTCAAACTCGAGCTCGGATCATTTATGAACGAGTTGAGTTGAGTCGACACGAGCCAGCTCATTTATTGAAACTTGGCTCATCATTAAGATCGCAATTTCGGCTCGAGCTCAAATCTAAGATAATTTACAGATTAAATACCCTAATATTTATATGTCATGCATGATACATGTGATTAACTGATCTTCATGTCATATATGAGACATATTTGTTCGGGATGGGATTAGGTGCTAACCCTTATAGGGGTTAGCACCGTGATAACTAGCAAAAATCACTACGGATTATTATAAAATCAATACAACATCTAAGCTAAATCACTACTAATTCAAACTAGTAGTAGTTTTTCCCTTGGTTAGGACGGTGATAACTATTGTACAATTAGCACTGTAACCCCTCCCATATTTGTTCACATTCTCAAATTATTAAACATCGCTTGAGGTGAGATATGCAATTTAATAAATCTATGCATCATTAATAAACCAACTCATAACATATAAATCTATATTCTCATAAGTCGTAATTAAGTTGCTTTGCTAGTTACGATGTTGAGACATCTCATGAGCTCAAAATGAGATAGTTCATGAGTCGAACTCAACAAGCCACCTAATCGAGCTAGTTCACGAGCCTCTCAAGCTCATTAATAGACCTAGTGGTAAGCAATGATGAATGTGGTAAAATGACAGTTCATATACTTCTACTATCATATATTTAACCATTATACACTCTGGTATGTTCATTCCACCATGGTACAATTTCATATAACGTGGTATGATCATATGCAATACCAAACATTACCACCATGATATAGACTGGTACTAAATGTCTCAATTTTGTTTGTCTAAAAATATATCAAAGTGAATATCATTTTGAAGTGCACAATTAATTTGATATATTTGTGTAAAAAAAATTACGACTTAAAATAAAAAAGATATAACCCATCAAAATTTATAGGAAAAAATGTCACACTTTTCACAAATGATTTTTTTTTATTACTCAGGAATCTCAGCCGCACGTGTCATTTGTGACAACGGGGTCTACTAAATCTATGGGCCACCTGCAATCAATTCGACGCCAACGGAGTTTCGCCCTGAGTAGCTTTGTACCTCCGGTAACACCTACGAACCTCGCTTGGATTCGAACCTGGAATCCACAACTCCCAAATCTTCACTATCGCGGCAGTTTTACCGTTGGACTATCTTACCTTTGGTACACTTCCCATAAATGATAATGTGACACTGTGACAGTGATATAACAAATATGTATTCTTATGTAATTGTTCCACTCCTCCTAGTTACTCTAACACAAGCAAAAATATAAACGGTATACCAGATTAGAAAATTAATTGGTTAATTGAATCTAGATGGCTGCTTCAAACAATTGAATCGAAATCCACAACGTTTTTGAAAGGGCCCCTGAATTGCTAGTGCCAGAGTTGTTAATATCAAAATAATTTTTTTTTTCTTTGAAGTATAGTTGTTAACATCAATTTGATTTTGAAGTCGAAATTCTGTAATAAATGTCATTGTTGGTGGTGGTCAAGCTTCCAGAATATAATTTCAACGCCTAGTGGGGCATCATGGCATTATTTATCATTATAAAAATCCAGCAGCCTGACGAAAAAGAGGCGACTCGGTTTTCTGGTCAAGCCACCGCGGCCCAAACCATCTCCCCTGTCTGCCACCTTTCGCCCTTTTCCTTCCTCCTCCCCAGAACAAAGATTAGACCTTTCCTTTCCAATTTTCTCTGTTGGAGAGAGAGAGAGAGAGAGAGACGCCAAAAAAGGAGTACAATAGGCAGATTCCCCATCCAAAGGGCAGCCAAAACAGAAACCAGAACGAATAAGCAGAAAAAAACCAGAGGGAGAGTGGAGATGGTAAATCAATAATTCCGCCCGCCGCTTCGTTAACCTTGTTCGCCCGCACAACTCATCGCTCTCTGTTTTCTTGCTTCCTTCCTTTCTACTGACCCACAAACCCGAAGTTTCCACTTTGGAATTTCCTCCTCTCGCTCCTTCCTTTCCTTTCCTTTCCTTCCTTCTTGCGTAATCAATTATTAAACGAGAGTAATTTAATATAAAGGAGGGGGATAAGGGCGAGGTTAAGGCATCGCCCAACAAAAAAAAAATCGCCTTTTCCTCAATTGTATGAAAATGTCGCCTGTGCCGCTCCTCTTGTTTTTCTCGGCGTTCACGAGGAGTGTGTCTATCTGACCCAGACGACTTTTCCCCCCAAATTTTCTGGCTCTTCAGCTCACCTGCTCTTCTTGTTTTCCCCTGATCAAGGTTTTATTATGGGTGTCGTTGTCGTTTCCGGCGGGTCTACTGGCGGGCCTGCTGCCGCCGCCGGCGGCGGCGGTGGAGGGAATGGTGGGTCGGCGGCAGGGAGCTGTTGTGATGTGAGTTTGAAGTGTTGGTGTAAATGGAGGTGGGGGGACCACCAGCAGCACCTGTTGCCTCACAGGGTTTTTTCAGTTTTCTCTTCTGGGTTCCTCTTCTTGCTCGGCTGCTTGATCGTCTACGGCTTGATTGGGGTAATCTATGGCTGGCTCCTCTTCAATAAGCCTTACGTCCCTAATGGTGTGGTGGGTTTGAACTCTTTTGGTTGCCTGGAAGATGGTGAAGGTTCTTGGTCAGTTGGAGTTTTCTATGGCGACTCCCCTTTCTCCCTCAAGCCAATTGAAGCTGTGAGTTCCCTTTCTTTTCCCCTTTGTTGTTCTCTCTTCTCATCTTCATATTTCAAACCTTTCTTGCTTGGGGGTGGACATACATGCATTATAACTTGGAGCTTTCTAGAATTCTCTTAAACTTGCTTTTGATATTGATCTTTTGAGTTTGATTTTGCTCTTTGAGAAGTGGGTATTGCTTATCAACAGTTCTTCCTGTTCTTGAGTTTTCAGTCAAGGCGGCTGCTTTTTCTTTGTTTCTTGCCACTCTCCCTGTTCCCCGTTTTCCATTTGATGTGTTTTCTAGATATTCGTACATATTTTGTACAGTTCTTCATTTTTACTGGCCCCCTCTCTCCCTCTCTTTATCCCCTTGGGTTTTGAGTTTATTAATGAGTATGTGCATCATACAAGTTGCTATCGCTGATGTTCAGTTGACTTTATACTTGTATCTGTATTAGGCTGACTACCTCAATTTGATGTATATGTACTAACTTTGTCTACTGTATTTTAATTTGCGAGCAGGCCAACTTGTGGAAAAATGAGAGCAAGGCATGGCCAGTAGCTAACCCAGTTGTCACCTGTGCCTCAGTCTCAGATGCTGGCTTCCCCAGTAACTTTGTTGCTGATCCATTTCTCTATGTGCAGGTAATTTGTGACGTTTTTTGTTGGTTTCTCTTATCCATTTCCTATTTTCCCTACTCTTAATTTCAAAACCCTATTCTAGAAATCATGCTGTTGGTTTCTTCATGTATAAGGGTTCATACATGTGACGTCTTTGACCGCTATTCACATGTGTATATTGACGAGCTATGTTGTTAATACAGACCTGGGATTTTATTTATTTATTTATTATTATCCGTCTCTTGGTTGGTTTCTTGAACTTGACTGGAATCTCAAGCCCCTCCATACCTGCAATTGTTTAATCTTGTGCGTGCCAGGATTTGGCTCTGACTTTTCCTTTATTCTGCCTGTGAGTTTTTAGTGTCATAAAATATTCCTACACCTAATAAGATAATTTCCAGATCCACTTTTTCTATCATGTTTTCCCCATTCCTCAACATTTTAAAGTGTTTCTGTGTAATCCTCGTGCTGCAAGATTCTCTTGTTTTTTTGAATCGATTTGAATGTGATTTTGGAGCACATGTAGCTGCTGTAAAGTGTTTGACAACCAAAAGATTTCTGGTATGTTATGGCAACAATCAAAAGCAGCATTTGAGGTAGCCCGGGGTAGCAGTACAAGTTTTGGGTTGCTATCAAGTCAGTGTTACCACTGCCTATAGTTCGTAAGTTAATTGAATCAAGATCCTTCAAATCATAACCTTTTTAGTCGACGATTTGGGCGAGACTGCAGAAAGTCTGGCCTTCCCGTCCAATTGAAAGATAGTCGCCCTGTTGATTTATTCATTCGAAGTGTCTTCCTGAGTAGCTTGAGTTTCATATATCAGTACTTAAATAGAGGAAAATTTGGGTCATGCTATCCCTGTCTTCCTACTTCCATCTGTTAACTTTTGGTGCTAGTAATTTTTGCCAGACGAAGTGGTGGCTCCTCTGTGTTAACGTTGGAACATTTAATTCTGAATGAAAGTGATTCTCAATGATGTCTTACATACATCTATCGCGCTTGTAGGCAGCTTGATGTATTTTTAATGAGAGAGGCTTATGTCCTGCCTTTGTGATCATGAGAGAGGCTTATATTTATGATGTTCATGCGTGTTTACTTGCTGCTGCCATCAGTTTGACACCTTAGATGAGGTTCGCATAAAACCTTAGTGATCATGATACTATTTTCTACTATTGCCGTTTTTCTGTGGGTTCAGGTCTCTGTAGAAGTAAATTGCACTGCAGAAGGTGCACACTTCATAAGGGCTAGTAATTGCAGAATATAGCCTTGTTTTTTTTTTTAATGTGTGCTTGTTACTATTGTGGTTGCTCGTCCTTTTGAAGAATTTGCTGACTTGCTTACTTATACTAAGGGTCACCACTGGAGCTTTTGAGCATCATTTGCTTTGTGGTCAAATGATGCTTTGAATTGGTGTGTTGGTGTTTCTAATGATTTAAGCTACAAGATTTATATTTATGAACTGTAGAGGATTTTTCATTGCGTAGGATTATTTTTGGTTTGCCTTGACGGCAATTTGTTGTGGAAATCTGTAATTTGTTAATTTTAATGCATTCCATAAAGAAAGCATCATAAGTTTCTTACATTTTCTTTGGGGAAGCAACAGATTGGATATCTTTCTCGATTGTACATTCAATAATCTTTTAACGATAACCAAGTATTTGTTTGTTTCTTGCTTGAGGTTCAATTCAGTTTATCGCCTACACTGTCATGATTGTGTTGATATTAACATGCAACTCTTTTGTTATCAATGTCTTTTTGTCATAGATAATATTTCAATTAATTGTTTGGTTTAAAGTTACGACATAGGCTCTGTTAAACTAATTTACTTGTCATTGAATCAGGGTGACACACTCTTTCTTTTCTATGAAACAAAGAACCCACTTACCATGCAAGGAGATATTGGTGTTGCAAAGAGTACAGATAAGGGGGCGACATGGCAACAGTTGGGAATTGCTTTGGACGAGGATTGGCACCTCTCATTTCCTTATGTGTTTGATTATCACGGGCAAGTAAGTTATATGCTGTTTTCTACTTAAGTTGTTTATCTCATGGGATTGCAATGCCTTTCAAATGATTATACAAGGAGACACATAGTATTTCCCTGTTCCTCATGTTAATTGCTCAACATGGCCTTATTTCTTGATATTCTTCCAGGTATATATGATACCAGAGAGCAGCATGAAGGGAGAACTTCGTCTCTATCGAGCACTTGAATTTCCACTGCAGTGGACATTGGAGAAGATCCTCATAAAAAAGCCTTTAGTCGATTCTACCATCATTAATTATGAAGGACGCTATTGGCTTTTTGGTTCTGATCACAGTGGTTTTGGGACAAAGAAGAATGGACAACTGGAAATCTGGCACAGTAGCTCGCCTCTTGGTCCTTGGAAACCACACAAGAAGAATCCCATCTATAACATTGACAAGAGTATGGGGGCAAGAAATGGTGGCAGACCATTTGTGTACAATGGAAACCTCTATCGCTTTGGTCAAGACTGTGGTGAAACCTATGGGCGACGAGTACGGGCCTTCAAGGTGGAAATTCTTAGCAAAGATGCTTATAAAGAAGTTGAGGTGCCCTTGGGCTTTGAGGAGCCCACAAAGGGGCGAAATGCTTGGAATGGTGCTCGACACCATCACCTTGATGTTCAGCAGCTCAGTTCTGGGGAATGGATTGGGGTAATGGATGGAGATAGGGTACCATCTGGAGACCCAAGTCATCGTTTTATGGTTGGCTGTGCATCCCTTGGAGCTGCTGCTGCAGTGATCATTGTGTTAGGCTTGCTACTTGGAGCAGTTAAATGTCTCATTCCACTTAACTGGTGTGCTCACTATTCAGGGAAGAGAAGCGATGCACTTTTGGTCTGGGAAAGGTCGAATTTGTTCTCCTCAAGGGTGAGGCGGTTTTGCAGTCGTGTCAACAGAGTACCTTTCTCTATTCGAGGTAAGGTAAAGTACAACACTTGGGCTGGAAGATTGGTTCTGGCTGTGTTATTTCTAGTTGGTGCTGCATTAATGTGCACAGGTGTTAAGAATGTCTATGGTGGCAATGGAGCTGAAGAAGCTTACCCGTTAAATGGTTACTATTCTCAGTTCACTTTATTAACCATGACATATGATGCTCGGTTATGGAACTTGAAGATGTACGTGAAGCATTACTCGAGGTGTTCTTCTGTGAAAGAGATTGTTGTGGTTTGGAACAAAGGGATCCCTCCAAAGGCAAGTGACCTGGACTCCGCAGTGCCCGTTAGGATCAGGGTAGAGAAGGAGAACTCTCTAAATAACCGTTTCAAGAAGGATGAAATGATAAAAACACGAGGTGTGCTTGAGCTTGATGACGATATTATGATGACATGTGATGATGTTGAACGTGGGTTCAATGTCTGGCGCCAACATCCAGATCGGATTGTCGGTTTCTATCCTCGTCTCATCAGTGGGAATCCTCTGAAGTACAGGGCTGAAAAATATGCTAGGAGTCGCAAAGGTTACAACATGATACTTACTGGGGCAGCCTTCGTAGATGGCACGATAGCTTTCGGAAGGTACTGGGGTGAGCAGGCCAAGGCAGGGAGGGAGCTGGTGGACAGGTACTTCAACTGTGAGGATGTGTTGTTGAATTACCTGTATGCCAATGCTAGCTCAACAAAGACTGTGGAATACGTGAGACCGGCATGGGCGATAGATACATCCAAGTTCTCTGGTGCTGCTATCAGCAAGAACACACAAGTTCACTATGGGATTAGGAGTAGATGCCTCATGAGGTTTACCCAGATGTATGGGAGTTTATCAGATCGCAAGTGGGAATTCGATGGGAGGAAAGACGGTTGGGATTTATAGCAAGCCTTCGGTAAATTCTTGGTAATTACAGTTTCTGCAGCTGTTCAGCCCTGCCTGGTGAAGATTTCTCGTCTGGGCGGGGGTGGATGTTAGCGTCGACATACATGGGTAGGTTTCGCAACATGTATATTGGCTTTTTCACCATAGTTTTCTTGAGAGTTGATGTAGTATAGCGTCTTCTTCTTGGTTTTGACCCTTTTTCAGAAAGCTGATTGTGTACAATAGAGATAAAGAGTGAATTTGTTGTTTGCAGTCATTGTTTCAGAAAGTTGTATGGTTGGTTGTTGTTGGAAGGATTCTCCCTCTCCAAGCTTCATGTACATTTGCTCTTCCAGGATAGTGTAGGTAGGAAATGTGGTTCCCTGATGCTCTATTTCCTCTTTATTTTTGGACAATGACCAAACTTCCACATCTAGTAGTTTCATGAAATTCCAAAATTTACAACTGAAAAATGAATCCTTTTTGCATTCTGTACACACCTATTTTTTCATCTTCAAGTTAATTGCTAATAAACTTATGATTTCTTTATACTAAAGCCTTACTAATTCTGAGTTAAACAACAATCAATTAAAAAGAAAGGAAGAAACATCCGGTTCCCACGTGGCAAACCAAACTTCCCAATCATAGATTAGAAAGCAACTGCCAAGATAGAGAGAAAATGAAATAAAGCAGATAGCCAGATAAAGCAAAGAGGGGCTGGAAAAAAGGTGGGAAAAGAAAATGGTAGGAAAGAGGAAGAAGGGGAAATGGTGAATGAACCATCAATTTCATGTCTCTCTTCCCCTGCCTTCCATCCATTTCTCAACTGCGGCTTTTCCTTTAAAATCTTCGCTCCTAACTCTTCAATCGCTAAATCCAGTTCCCATTTGCAGGGGGCGTCCGCGAATCCAATCCTTCCTCCAATATTTAGGGTTTTGAATTCCTCCATTCTCCTTTTGTTTTCCTTTTCGCATTCATTCAGCTCGGCTCTCCTTGGAGAAAAAGCTGAGCTGCTGTTGACGGTATAGTTAGGCCAGGGGAATCTTTGTTCTCTTTTTTGCCATCCCCTTGGCCTTTGTTTCTGTTTCTGTACAGAGAATATATAAAAGGAAGCGTTGGGTTTTCCCTCTATCTGATTCTGATCCAATTGGAGGGCTTGGTTCGTCTCTTCTTTTGACTTGAATTCTCTGCTCCCGAGGTGTTCATTTATTTCTCCCTCACTCTCTCTTTTAACAGAAGGGGAAAACAAGGAAAGTTGGCTGCTTTACTTTGTTTTCTGCATTTTCATTTTCGTTTCTTTTATTTATGGGGTTTAGAGAGAGAAGAAAAGGGGACGTGGGAATGCTGATGATAATGATGTGGTGTAGATAGAGATAGAGAGGTAGAGAAAGACAAAGAGAGAGATAACGGAAAGAGATGTTGGCAATGGAGAAGGATTTTGATTCAAAGCTAAGGGTTCAGGGCGGCCGTTCTGTTACTACCACCACCACCTCTTCCTCTTCTGCTGGTATTAACAATAATGCTAATAATGGGTATCCGCCGAGATCTAAGAGTTTTGCGTTTAGGGCGCCCCAGGAGAATTTCTCAATTCAGGATTTTGAGCTGGGCAAGATCTATGGTGTTGGTTCTTATTCAAAGGTGGCTTCTTTTCTCCAAAATTTGTGGCTGTCTGGACTGTTTAAGTTTCTGTCTTTCATTTCTGAGTATTTATTGTTTCTGGTTATTTGGTGAGGGGTAGATCAATTTTTCGGTTTCGATTGGTAAATGCTATAAATTCAAAATCTTGTCATTTCCAATCACCCGGCCTTCTGGTGGCTCTAGAGTTCTTGTTAATTCTCCCCTCAGGCTCTTGTTAATTCTAAGCGGCTGTGATTTTGTTCATTCTGTTGGTTTGTTAAGGTGTTCCGAAGTTCAGCCTAGTTGGCAGTATGAAGTTTGCATGTGATTATTCTTGTTGTGTGATAATCATTATTGGGAAGTATGATAAGATGCATATAGCAAAATCAACCACTGGAGAGAGTGTCTAGTCTAAGCTTTCAGACACCCCTTTTTCAGATTGCTGAAATGGAAAATTTTCATAATTTTTGGGGATAGGACATATATGCATTTGTCAGGCTATTTGCAACTTTTAATGAATTATTTGTGGCAATTTTACATCAATGTCATACCTTTGTATATCACCTCTATCAGGTGGTGAGGGCCAAAAAGAAGGATTCTGGAATTGTTTATGCCTTGAAGATCATGGACAAAAAGTTCATCACAAAAGAAAATAAAACAGCTTATGTGAAGTTGGAAAGAATAGTGCTTGATCAATTGGATCATCCAGGAGTCGTTCGCCTGTATTTTACTTTTCAAGATACATTTTCCTTGTGTATGTATCCATGATTTGTCATCCTATGCGCTTCTTTAGATTTCTGTAGATTCTGTACCATGGTCTTTGCCTCTAATGTTATTCTTGCATGTCTTGTTTGTAGATATGGCACTTGAATCTTGTGAAGGTGGAGAGCTTTTTGACCAAATCACTAGGGTAAGTTCATATAAGTACCTCAACTCATTCTTTACTTATCTTCCAGTTGTGTCTGAAGCGATGATTTTGCGAAGTACTTGTTGACTTGAGCAGTCTAAATATCCAAGTATTTCTAGTGGATAACTTTTGACTCTCTGTTCACTTATAGTTAGACTGTTCAGAATTCTGTTTCTATATTTTTCCACTCGATTTTGTTATACACAGCTACACAATTGGTTGGCTTGGTTTACATGGCAGAATGTCGCCAAAAAGTTTATTTCTCTAACTTTTGAATAATTAAGGGACTAGTTTCCATTTGCAGAAACGTCGTTTATCAGAGGAAGAAGCTCAGTTTTATGCGGCGGAAGTTGTAGATGCTCTTGAATACATACATAATATGGGGTTAATTCACCGAGACATAAAGGTAATATCTGAAGTCAGGCAATGCATGCATGATTCGTGGTATCTAAAATTCACTAAATGTTTCTTTCATGGCAGCCGGAGAACTTGCTTCTGACAGCGGATGGACATATAAAAATTGCTGATTTTGGAAGTGTGAAGCCAATGCAAGAAAGCCGCATTACTGTGCTGCCAAATGCATCTTCCGGTATCTATGACGAGATCCTGATTTTTCAAGTAGTTATGCTGCCTGGAACCGAGGTCTGAATTTCTTGTGTTTGCCTCCTTTTCAGATGATAAAGCTTGCACATTTGTGGGCACAGCCGCATATGTGCCTCCAGAAGTTCTCAATTCTTCCCCTGCAACTTTTGGGTATGTGATCCTATATTGCCTAGAATCAGATAAGTTTGACGGACTAATAATCTAAGCATGAATCGCGTTCTGTACTATTGTTTACATATTTTTTGCTTGTTGTACTTCAAAGGCAAAAAATTAGGTGAATGAGTGCTACATTTTACTTTATGGTTCTTCCATATGAAATCCCTTTTGGTTGATGCTGACATGGGTAACCCATTTTCTTTTCTGACAAAATGAAAACAGAAATGACCTATGGGCACTTGGATGCACATTGTACCAAATGCTTTCTGGAACTTCTCCCTTCAAAGATGCAAGTGAATGGCTTATATTTCAAAGAATTATAGCCAGGGATGTTAGATTTCCTGATCATTTTTCGAAAGAAGCTAGAGACCTCATAGACAGATTGTTGGTAAGTTGTGAATTATTTTATAAAATACTAAATGTCAGTAGAATATGCTTTTATATCCTTATTGTTTATGATTATTCTGCAGGCTGAATGTGTTTCTTTTCTCTTTAGATATGAATAGATGAACTCAGACTTCAAATATAACAATCTCCCCCATTGAAATCCTGGATTTGTAACGGAGGAATGTTTAGTCGGGCTTGTATATGGCTTGCAGTTTCTTCACCCTAGCTCTAGGTGGATGTCTGATCAGTAGTTGTCGGAGCATACTATTATTGTGCATGAACTTTTTTTTCACCAGAACTTGGTAGTCACTTTGGTTTGTTGCAATTGTTTAGGATTGATGAATTCACTCATAGAGATCTATTCTATTTAACGATTGCCTTGGGATTACCATGTTATGTAACACCTGATTCCTACTCGAAATCTAACCCCAACCGCATGTTGTAAATTAATTGCATAGGACACTGAACCTGTAAGAAGACCAGGTGCTGGCCCTGATGGTTATGCAGCTCTCAAGATGCATCCTTTCTTCAAAGGGGTTGACTGGGATAATTTAAGATCACAAACCCCTCCGGAACTCGCTGCTGACCCAACAGTAAGGATTCTGTTTTGTCGTCTGGATTTCTTATATGTCAAAAATCATTTCCATCTGGAAGCATTTATATATGTCGCAACACGTAACTATTTGTAATATATTTTTTTTCTTTGACATTTGGCATTAATGTATTCAGGCACAGTCAAGTGAAGGGGTTGAGCCTGATTCATGGAATCCTGCACATGTTGGTGACTGCTCGGCCCCAAATGATGGGAATGTTCCTACTGCTTCATCCTCAGCTGATGTATCTGGTCATGTAACACGTCTTGCCTCAATTGACTCGTTCGATTCTAAATGGTATTAATTTAGCTTGTTCTGATGTTGGTTTTCTGTCTGATACCTCATTGTAAAACCTGATTTTCCTTTTTTTCAAGATAGCACGTTTAGTTAATTCTTAGATGTCGTTGTTATCATCAGGCAACAGTTTTTGGATCCTGGGGAGTCTGTAATTATGATCTCTATGGTGAAGAAGTTACAGAAGTTGACAAGCAAGAAGGTGCAACTTATCCTCACAAACAAGCCAAAACTGATCTATGTGGACCCTTCAAAGCTAGTGGTGAAGGGAAATATAATCTGGTCTGACAATTCTGATGACCTCAACATCCAAGTCATCAGTCCTTCAAATTTCAAGATCTTTACGGTAATGGTGGCTTTTCCTTCCTGCACTAATTTATGTAATGAACTAACCAATACAATCTTGCCTGCTTCACACCTCACTCGCATTGCAATGCTTCTACCATTTTGGATGTCTGATTCTTCGATCATTTTCTCATTTCAGCCAAAGAAAGTACTGTCATTTGAAGACGCGAAACAAAGAGCATCGCAGTGGAAAAAGGCGATTGAGAGTCTTCAAAACCGGTGAGAAAGTCTTATCCCATCTGTCGCAGAAGCCATTTGTAAGTTTTGAAGTTGGTACAGAGTACAGCATTAACATTAGATGACAGAATGGTAAGGTGGGAGAATATATATTCCCGATTCAAATTGAAGCATCCCACAAAAGCTAAAGCTTCACTATTATTATTTCCCCCCGAAAATGAAAGAGATCACTACTGTTTCAAGTGCTGAAAGTTGTCTCCCTGAAGTTACTCCTATCCTCTCCTCTACCCTCAACTAGGGAAGCTTTCTGCTGCCACAGTTGTTTTTGGTTTGTCTAAAATGCAGGGGGATTTTGTTTTGGCAGGAAGGTGGCCCAATGGGATATGAGTTTCCTGTTTTTCCTTTTGTTCTTCTTTTTAACTCAACTTGTTACACTATTGTATTTATGTAACATTACAACAAGGCCTCAATGGTAATATAATTTCAGATCAGGAGGATTATTTATTCTTTGTAGCTTTTTCTGGTGTCAGGATTCTTCCTAAATCCCTATAATGAATCTCAACTCTGCAAGACTGCAACCAACCAACTCTCCTGATAATGTTTGTTGCAGACATGTCTGTCAAACGGGTACCCTGTTATCGTGATTAAACGTTTATAGTAATTTGCCTAATCACATGAATCATATTGATTGATTGAAGATTGTTGATATACGATTGAAATTATCATTATATCGACAACTAACATCTCGATTATATCAAAATGATACAATCACAAATAGTTGTGATAAAAACTATTTGACAACTCATTATATAAAAGTGATTTCATAGGGTGCTTGGGGAGTACATAAAGTCACGTTCATGGAAGTCCGTAAAGGGTGCGGATTCCTTCGATGTCATCCCTATACAACTTCCTCTTAGTCAGTCCATAACTGAAGTAAGGGTACATAACCGCTCTCTCATCGGAGCTATGATCCAGCCCCAAAGCATGACCAAGCTCGTGGAGCGCCACGGACTCCAGATCGAGCCTCTCCGGCCCCGGCTGGTCACTGCACGTCCAGGGTTCATCCGCATCGAAATGTGTGATCCCCACCGGCGGCGAGAAAGTATGCCCCAAAACTTTCCCGGGACCATCAAAAGGTATTCCGTCGCCGTGCCCGCCGGAAAAGAACCCAATCTTCAGCTCGGCCGCCGATGCAGAGCCTTGCTTCTTGAATCTGAAATCCGTCGCGCGTCCCCACGTCCTAAGGGCTCGATAAACCGCGCCTCTGTAGTTCACTTTAGGAAATCGGCTGCTGGATAGGAATTTGTACCTCAGCTTGGTTTTGTGCCATCTCATTCTTCCGGGCATTAACTTGTAATCCGTGTGGTACCCATTAGCCGTGAAGTTGTTATGGGCAGCATTGTCCGGTACGCCACACCTTGGCTTCGACATTTGATTCGTCGTGCGAATGTCGGGCTCTCCGGTGACCGGGAGGCCGTAATTGAGCTGGAATTTCTTGATTGCTGACACTAAAACGTCGTCGAACACATCCTCATCGTGGTTGTGGTCGTGGTCATCGACATTAGTGGTGTTGTTGTGACGACTGTTGGTGTGACTGAGGTACCCGAATCTTTCGAGGTAGTGCTTGATGTGACGGAGGCCTTCGATGGACCGACCGGCCAGGTTGTTGCCGGAAGAGGGCATTGATAGAACCATGGCTATCGGATCCATAACAGTAACAAGCAGAATCAGAGACAGAGTGGTCATAATTGGGACATCCATTAGACTTTTTTGGTGAATCAATACATGGATTGGATATGGGAGTGATGAATATGATGACTATATATATATATATTGGCTTCTATGTTACCCCGGGTGAAATCCGGGGTACCGCATACCTCGAGTATGGAAACTCTATCTAGACCTCGAATTACCAGGATTTTTGTGTCTGATATTATACCCTAACCCTTAATGAGTGAACCCTAGGTCATAATTATCTAAATCATAATCTATAAACTCTAAGATGGTGCATTCCTTTTTGTGCCTATATTTGGATGAATCATAACCGTCGATTATTGTTTCTAATTAAATTGATCTTCGAGTATAAGATTGGGAGAGTTAACACCTAGATTTTGATATTTAAGTGTTAGAGTATAGTATCATGTCCGAAAGATCGGTCAATTCAAGGTCTACATAGTGTTTTCATACTCAAGGTATGAGGTACCCCGGATTTCACCCAGGATACCGTAGAACTCGCCATATATATATATATATATATAGCTAGAGAGAACTGAAAGAGTGCAACAATGGCGGGCCAAACAAGGTTCATGAGGAGACAATTTTGAGTATATAGTAGACACAGAGTTCTAATAATAGCAGTAGTATTGACATTATTATATACGGGAAAGGTGAAAGGTAAGAAGGCGCTGTGTCGTCTTGTTAGCAGGGGAAAGAGTATTATGTATCTCTTATCAAGCCAATTACTATATATTGGCATTACTAGCTTTGTCCCCGGCGTCTTGGCCGGGATTTGATTTTTATCCATGGTCCAAACATCAAATGATAAGCAATGTTTTAGAAACCGTATCTTACCGTCTGGTCGGATTGTAATTATCAGGTGCCAAACATCAAATGACAAGTAATTTTATTGATATGAGACGGTTGAATCACGATTAACTACAATTTTAATGCAACATACCCTACTACTAACTTTTTCAGTACAACCATCGATACGGTTTCACAATTATTGATCTAAATATACTTGTTTGGTCACTCAAATTACATAAATATTCCATGTTTGCCACCCGAATTACTTTTCTGTCTTATTGGTCACTAACTTTACGAATCATTTCACCGTAAGTCACTGGTCACCACTTTTGTAAAAAAAAAAAAACAAAACGGTCACCAGTCTCTGTTAGACTCCGTCGGCAGTGGCGTAGCCAGAATTTCACATAAGGGGTGCCATTTTCTTAAATAAAATAAATATATCTTATACGAGAAATTATTATTCCTATGTAGTGACTCACAGAGTTTTTCAAATATATATAAATTTTAAAATATATGTTCTTCATATAAACTATAAAAGATATTATTGTCAATATATCCTACCAAATTATTCATGATTTTCCTTATCATTTCATCCATGGAGAGTTACGTTAAAGTCACTCTAGTGATTATGGATAGCCGAGAAACATCGATTGGGATGAGATGCTAGAGGTGAACGACTTAGTATAGTAACCACATTTGAGTGGATAGTTAGATATTGGAGCGTATAGGGTGTTTGGAAGGTTAAGAGTCATCACAATTTAAAAGTTAACAATTATCTAAAACATTAGAGATTTAAAAGATTGAGTTAATCGTATATGATTTTATTTTATTCGTGTACAAACTATGGTATTGTTTCTATAATTGAAAATAATTTAAATGTATCTTCTTAATTTAGTTTGATAGTAGAAATAATTAAGTACAAGAAATAACCTTCTATATTCAAGTTTCATTGCAAGCAACCTACTATATATACCATTTTTTAACACTTTCTCCAATCTAAGGGTGTGTAGGCAGGGGCGGACGCACGGAGGACACCCCTAAATTTTGGGGAAACGATTATTCAATCCACGGTAGTAATTTACGTATCGGTAAAAAATTTATAATTGGTAGTGAGGGACACCCCTGAAATTTGAAAAAATATTATTCTAATGTCATTTTTTTAAATTGGTGTATGGGAATATAAGTGATAGGTTGGGTAATTCAAACCTAGAGCACTATTATTATTAACAAACTTAATTTCCATTAAACTACAACTCATTTGTTGTTTGATTTTGAACACTGTATCATAGTAAAATGTCATTCCCTATTTCTAATTATTTTCAAAGCATAGCAATTAAACTCATTTCAATCTACCCTTAATTTGTATTGATTTTATGATTGTACGACAAGTGTTGAAAGATTCTTTTAGTTTTGGGTTACATCGAGAACAAGTTTACAAATCGAATATGCGATAAGTTCGTGAATGATTGTCTAGTAGAGTATATATAGACAACAATTTTTTAACAATGTAGACACCAAGTGTATTCTACAATTATTTCAGAATATGAGAACACATAATGGACTTTATTTAACCTGTACGAGTAAAGTATTTTCTAATTTAAAATTTTATTTTTATTAATTATTTTTTTATTTTTACTAAATTTATTTTTTAAAAGAGGACATCCCTATGAAAAATTCCTGGGTCCGCCACTGTGTGTAGGGGCACCCCTCACTACACAATCCCTCCGCGCTTGTTCGTCGATTTTTTTATGACATGGCAAATGGGACTGCTCACTAGTTCATTAACTTAATGACGGATAATAGAGCTTTTTATGTGATGTGAGTTTCTAATAATTACAACTTACATGTAAGACTTATTTTATTTCAGTCATTAAATTTTATATTACTACTTTATTTGTATATATATTTGGAAAATGTATAAATAAATCAAACAAATTGTACTCAATCTAACCATTAAATCTCAAACCACTTGATTGACCGGCTCAACTAGTTAAACCAATTTCACATTATTGAAAAGATTGTGAATCCAATTTTCTAACTCTGTGGTCTCGGGGGTCAAAGAACGACGAAACTACTAAAAAAAAGAACGACGACGAAACGACAGCAGGATTTGCCGAGTTCAGCTCTCATTAATCTTTTCTTTCTGCTTCTGGCACCCCAACTTCCGCTCAATTCCCTCATCTGAGCTTTCTCCGAATTCTTTCTTCCTTCCCGTCAGGAGATTCCAGGGCAACTGAAGGGGAAAAGCCAGAAAAAGAAGGCAAAAACTTCAATAGCAGCCAGGGAGCCGAAGCCTCTCAGGCATGGCGCTTTCACGGCTCAGACATCCGGTGATCTCACGGGCATCCTCTCTCGTTAGAGCTCGCTTTCTCTCCCACTACGCTGACTCCTCCACCAGATCCTTGTCCCGGTAAACTAAGTTTTCCTTTCTCTATCTGGTGTTTTGTGTTCGTTATTGTTCCGATCGGCGTCATTGCGATTCCTTATTTGTGAACCTTTGGAATCTGTTTTTGTAAGTTTGAGGTCATTGGACTGGTGGGTGTTGGTCAATTTTCCGACTTTCTCCAGAATTCGGATTAGAACATTTTGCACACACGTGATCAATGTGATAACCCCAGTGTGTTTTGAAGCTTTAGCTGCTTTAGTTTCATGGGGTTACTTGACTGCATGAATGTGTAAGAGAGGATGGAGGAGCAGCGCATCTGTTAGGAATTCTGGGTAGTCCTGGGAAATTTTACTTTTAAAGAGAGGTGGAACGCTGGAACTTCCACTCCTGTATGGAAAAATGAACAACTCCTGAAGTGCCCAAACGTTTCCAATTTTTGTTTTTGGGCATCAGAGCTTACCTGGGATAATATTTAGCAAACGCTGGTTTTGGATATGGACAAGTGAACATATTCCAATACTGGTTTCCGGCCTACCTTGCGAGAGTTTTTGGTGCATTTGGGTTTGGGAGTGTGCATGCATGGTTTGTTAAGAAATTGGAGGAAAGGAGAAGTATTGCTAGGCAAGCAGCAGTGAGCCACAGATGGGTTTAAGCTTTTCCTGGGCTATGAACTTGTTGTAATATCTTTGTCAGTTTGGAGTCGCTTGATTGTATAAAAATTTCAAGTGTGCCGTGTGCTTTGCTTTCCGATGTCTTGTATTTTCAGTCAAGGCTCTATTCACTGGTTTCACTGCTAATTAACACTTTGTGCTTCTTGCTGGACTTTTTTGTGCAGCTCGTCATGCTGTCAGAATTCTCTTGGTGATGGAAACAGCCCGCTGTTAAGGTTGGTGGCTGTTGCTTCTTTCATGTGTTACACTACAATCCTACTTCTATGTTTTTCATGTCTTAGCACTGTCGCCATATGTAGAGTTCCGTTAAACTCTAAATATATTTGATCAGAACTCCTGTACGTCGTTAATGGAATGCTGTTATATACTATTTATCTAAGCGCACTTGAATCTTGATTACAGTTGGGTAGTTGTCCTCACAATGATAAATGATATTTTTGGCTATGTGCAATGGAGTATCTATCAAGCTAATATTCATAAACATGCAACTATGTCCCTTTGTGTGTCTAGTATTCGTTCTCTTCTGTTCCCTACATATTCTTATATGTTCTTTATTTACTTGTTCTTATTTATGACCTATGATTATGCTTATTAGGCCATCTTCATTATCTGTTATCAAGGAATCACATGATAGTTTCTTGAAAGTGAAGGTAAGCGCTGTTGTGAGTACTTTGCCTGTATCAGTTTGACATGTCCATTTCCTGATCCAATCGTCATTCTGCAGTTACACAGTGGTATCCGGCATTTCTCTTCAGGTATTGTCTTCAAATCATTCTCAACATTTTCCCATGTTGACGAGCTTTCATTAGCACATGTTTTGTTGATAGGAGATAGACTAATTTGTTGGACCTATTGACGTGGTGATACCAAATACTTGAAACCGGTATTATGTAACTTTCAGGGCTAAAAATGCCACTTCCATTACTAGTACAGTTTTGTAGTTTTTAACGTACATCTCAAGCAACAACTTACGTTAGAAACAAAATAGAAGTTTGGGTTGACATACCAGAGGGTTTACCTTAATTTTCTTATATAATTTTATATATATGTTATTAAGCATTCAGAAACTTATCTGTAGTTTTCCTTAGATTTTCACTTTACTCCTCCGATGATCTGCTACAACTCATGCCTCTAATGTTCAAAATACAAAGAGAAATAATCACTATTGCAGCAGTATTAGCATTGAATTGGATTGAATCATCAATGGTAGTTCTTGTAGTGGTATCATCGCTAATAGTTTGCACAAAAACTGGACTTGACCTTGTCCATTCTTTTTTTGTTTTTTTTTTAATGAATGCACTTGCCCATGCTTTCAAGAGTTTACATATGGTTTCCCAATTTCCAGTCAAGTTGATCCAGATATTCACGGGCTGTTATATAGACAATTTCAGAGTACATTCTTTGAGGGTTGGTGTCTACAACATATAAATCTCTAGGGAAGAAACTGGGCACTATTTCAAGTTTCCATGTGCCTCTTCTTATCACATTTCTTAGCATAATTTTGAACATATGATGTGGAACTGTTGCAACTCTGTGGAGCCTTGTGTAACATGCATGGAAAAAAGTTGGGTCTTCCAACTAAGCTAGAGTGAGTGATATTTAGTATATAGGCTAATAATATCCTAGCATCTTTTGCTAGGGTCACTGTTCACATGAGTTTCCATTTCCCTTAGAAACCTCTCTTGATTTTGATCCTGTTCCCCATGTTTGGAGAGGGGGCTGCTCATAGTCATATATTTCCAATGATCTGTTTTCCTTATTTTCATGGTCTCTATTGCTCTAGAGGTTCCAGCACACATGGTTGTCGGGATGCCAGCTTTGTCCCCTACAATGGTAAGATACTTAAGAAATTATATTAGTGGTACGATTCTTATGGTACATGAAGATCTTATGGATGTTGATTTATGCAGACTCAAGGTAACATTGCAAAATGGCATAAAAAAGAAGGGGATAAGGTGATTTATATTTTGAAGATTATATGATATAATGCTTGTGTGGTTTGTTGTATTATGCCTGTTTTTCTCATTTATGGACTTTTGAACTCATCCAACAGATAGAAGTTGGTGATATACTATGTGAGATAGAGACAGATAAAGCCACTCTTGAATTTGAAAGCCTTGAAGAGGGGTAATGAGTCTTTTCTTTCAACCCTTTGTGTCTTTGTCTGATTCTTATATGCTTTCCAGCCTTTGCATCATGCGGAGACACTGGTAAATTTATTGCTCCGTGAAAACATTCGAAGGCTTTTTGTTTCTTGTACGACTCTATTTCTTGTGTATCTTCTCCAAATGTATTTCCCGAAAATCTGGTTGGTGAATTAATAGAGTTGTGCAGTGTAAACCCTATCACAGTCTGTCTTTCTCATTGATGGGTATTTGTCACCCTAGGTATTTGGCTAAAATATTGGTACCTGAAGGTTCAAAAGACGTACCTGTCGGGCAGGCCATTGCTATAACAGTAAGTTGCGCAACTCTATCTCTCTCTCCCTTCCTCGTGATTGGGGGTCTTTAGGGAGCCCTTTTTTTTTTTTTTTTATATCTCTGAAGCTTCCTTGTCAATATGGAGTTTTGTGCTTGTAAAATGTAAGGAAGAAGATTATGAACTTTGGATGTTTAGCTTCATATCAATTTTTTCTATTGAAATTCTCTTACAATGTAATAGAGTTATTCATAGCAAGTTTAATAACCTGCTTTTGATGGTTTCGCTAGGTTGAGGATGCAGATGAAATCCAAAATGCCCCTGGAAGTGTTGCGAGTGGCTCAACGGTTAATGAGGACAAAGCATCTGACTCAGATGTTAAAACTGAAGATATGACACATGACAAGAGTCCTGTTCAGTTGAACGCATCAGACCTTCCCCCCCATATTGTGCTTGGAATGCCAGCACTATCTCCCACAATGGTTAGTGCGATTGAACTCTTGACCAAATGTTCTAGCTGTTGGCATGAACATCTTTGTCTCCTACAATGCTAAGTATTGGTTATCTGGTGCAGAACCAAGGTAATATTGCCAAGTGGTGGAAAAAGGAAGGTGATAAGGTTAGAAATACTGGGTGCTTCTTTCCTCTCTCTCGTGCTTAATGGATATATTGCTCCAATGGGACAGTTAAACTTATTCATATCTTGACAGATAGAAGTGGGCGACATAATATGCGAGATAGAGACAGACAAAGCTACTCTTGAGTTTGAAAGTCTCGAAGAAGGGTAATACTCTTTTTTGTTTGAACGTATACGTGTCCACTTATTTTGAGAGGTAGTCCTTATATGGTCTGGGCAACAGAATCACTCCTAGATGGGGTCCTATAACTTAGCATTCTGACAAGCAATTAGCCACCAAAGACAGGATACAACCCTTTTAGATGATACAATTCCATGTAGCAAGTTCACTTCACTTTGCTTGAGTAGGTAGAACAAGTACGACGTACATATTGCCTTCCATGTCATGGTTGAGGGAACTTATACCCAGAAATGGTGCATAGGTGACTCTCGATGGAGTAAGTTTAGAGTTGTTTCTCTAAAGTTGATTACATCTAACCTGTTAAAGCTGATGAGCAGTTGAGCACCATCATTCTGATTTTCATTCTGTTTCCACAGGAGTTGTGTATCTTATGATTTAGCAGACGTCCTGTTTCACATTCCTCTTTTGAAAAGCTGATTTTCAGGTATTTAGCTAAGATAGTGGCCCCAGAAGGTTCAAAAGATGTTGCCGTGGGAGAACCTATTGCAATAACAGTAAGTTTCCCTTTTTGCTCATACTCCCTGAAGAAAGAAGCCTGGTGTTTTCTTTCACTCTGGTTTGTGCTCATTTTGGCTTTAGTTGCTTGCTTTCAACTGTCTGAATTCTTTTTGTTAAGGTTGAAGATCCCAGTGACATTGATATTGTAAAGAGCTCTGCTGCGATGGGGTCGGGGGTCAAAGAAGGAAAATCAGCACCTCCTGCTACTAAACATGAAACTCAGAGACCTCAAGCCAGTGTGAGAAGGATCAGTCCATCTGCTAAGTTACTGATCTCAGAGCATGGGTTGGATGCATCTTCATTGAATCCATCAGGGTTTCATGGTACACTGCTTAAGACAGACGTTTTAGAGGCTATAAGATCAGGAAAAGGATCTAAAATCAAATCACAAACTAAGGAGAAAGTTGCACCAGTGCCTCAGAAAAGCCAACAACCTTCTTCCACACCCCCAACACAGCATTCAGATACTTTCGAAGACATACCCAATTCTCAAATACGCAAGGTACGTTCACTTTTTCGTTTGGTGACCATAGTGTTACATTGGAAGGTTACAGTAAGATAAGTCTGCTGTGGGCCTTAGGGATTCCGGATGAAATGCAGTGTCCTTAGGCACATTTGCAACTGCCTTATATGATAGTGATATCGCTTTCTTAACTTCATATAAAGATACAATGATATTTGTTGATGACCAAAAGGTTTATTGAACCATGGCATTAAGATGTGAGTCTGTTAGGAATAGGGAGCTGACATCAGTGTGCTTTTTACTAGTACCAGCTGCGGAAACTAGAATAAAGGTCTGGGGAGTATTACTTGTCAGTTTGTGCACCATTAAAGAATTATCCAAAGTGAACAATGGAAGCATACAAGTATTTGTATTCATTAAACATGTACATATACCTATAATAGGCAGTCGTACGTACACATACTCGCTCTAGTGCATGTGTTTATATGAATCATGAGAGTTATATATGAATATGGCTCTCTATTCCCTCCAATCTTTCTCAGCTGCTTCTGTTATGAATTCATCATATATATACATACATACAATATGCTGTTCTAAGTGAGCTCTGAAGTATCAGATATTGGAATAGGAGACATGACCTCTTTCTTTCATGGAAATCTTGGAATTGCTCAATTGCATACATGGGCCTCATTTTCGTGAAAGTGCAGTACACTTGAGATTGGAGGATAAATCAATTGGAGACTGTCTTGTATACTTCCACATAGTTTCCTTGCTGCCAAAATTGGTCCTATCAATACTTGTCTTATAGCTTGTTTTGATATTTGAAGCATGTGCATTTTGTTGGATGAAATGTTTCTTATGTGATGTAATTTTTCGTGGTTGCTTTTCAGATCATAGCAAAGAGGCTGTTGGAATCAAAGCAGACTACCCCACATTTATACTTGTCCACAGGTTGTGTCAACTCCATGCTATGACTTGTATCTGTTGTTTCTGCATAGTCTGTGGTCTAATTCTGCACTTTTATCTATCAGATGTCATTCTAGATCCTCTTCTCTCTTTCAGAAAGGAGCTTAAAGGTATGCATCTCTTTTTCTCATTGTTGTCCTTATTTTTCATATTCTCTTTATTCATTGGAAGTAATGCACTGTTTCCTTGACTGCAGAGAAGCATGATATCAAAGTTTCGGTGAATGACATAGTCATCAAAGCTGTTGCTGTTGCTCTAAAGAATGTGCAAGAAGCTAATGGTAATGTTACCCGAGTATCTTTAGATACTGGTCAAGAATAAAATATGCAGATCTTAAGTCACTGGAGGTTGTCCTTGAATAGGGAATACTCATCCCTAATTTGACCAGCTACCATTGTAAACCTTCAAGATGGCCAACCAAACTCATTTTGATCTCTTAAGATGGTTTAAATGGAATAACCATATTTAATAGTATGATGTCAGCTTAAAATTTGTAAACTTCTATTAACAAATTACCCTTATTTGTCTTTAATTCTTACATGGTCTTCCATCAATGATTGATAGCTTCTTATAGTTTACGGGTTCTCTGGGTTGATGCTTGAATGATGAAAGTTCAAGAAAGCATACAGCTAATGTTTTGTATTTGAGGCAAGGACAGGCTGAACTGGAGTATCTTAGCTTTATAAGTTGTAGTGACTGCTGATGTATCACTTGGACTATTTTTAATTTGCTTCTTTGACTGTCCTGTGCTCCTGTCTGGCTTACTTATCAAGATAATTCTAGGTCCTCTGTCCTCTTACCTCTCTCTAGAATCTGGCGTTGCCGTACACTATACCTTGTTTCATCTGTTTTCCTTCAAATATGATATCAAACAAAGAGAATTGACAGTAGTGATGTTGGCTTTTGCGTGTGGATTTATCTTAGGGATTTCCAGATCATGACTGATATTTTATATCCAATGCTTGCATTTGCCATTTTATAATTGAGAAAATTTTGAGATCTGGTTACTGGATACTAAGTTGTTGCGTCGATATGGTACAGCTTACTGGGATGATGAGAAAGGGGAGATCATTCCCTGTGATTCTGTTGATATCTCAATTGCAGTTGCCACCGACAAGGTATTCTTCAGAAATGACCTGTGTTTGAAGTGTGGCTATACTCTTTCCTAATTTTGATTTTATATAAATTTGCAGGGTTTGATGACTCCTATTATTAAAAATGCAGACCAGAAATCCATTTCTGCTATCTCCTTGGAGGTATTCCTAAGACAAAGTTGATACATATATTCTCGTCTACATGTTCAATCCATTTAATGTGTACCAAGTTGTTTGTTGGTCTTTGTTGACTTTTTTCGTCATGTTCTTACAGTACTACTACAACAATTGAAATGTGAAAAGATGGGGTGGACTGAAAAAGTAGCCTCAACAACAATAGATTCAGCTCTAACTTAACTTTTTTCATACTCGACCAAATGATTTCAGGTTAAGCAACTGGCTGAGAAAGCTCGGGCAGGGAAGCTTGCTCCACATGAGTTTCAAGGAGGAACATTCAGGTACTTGATGCCGTTGGATAAGTAGTAGATCTCTTCATCTTTTTCCCACATCGCCATTTAGCCTCAAGGATAGGCAGAAAAGAAGAAAATTCCATTAGTTCTGAAAACTTGTTGATTATCACTGTGCAGCATTTCAAACTTGGGTATGTATCCTGTCGACCAGTTTGCTGCAATAATCAACCCACCACAGGTTCTCCCTCCAACACCTCTCTGGTTCCAGTAATCCCTGTTGCACATTGGGTTGACCCTTGCTTCCGTAGATATGATGTATTGATTTATTCGCGTTGAAAATTTGCAGGCGGGCATACTAGCAATTGGCAGAGGGAACAAAGTAGTCGAGCCAGTCGTTGGAAGTGATGGTGAGTGTTTGCTTCCCAATCCAAACACTTCGTTTGCAGCCATTTAGAATCAGACTCTAAACAAAACATCTCGACTTTGTTTGTGCCAGGAACTTTGATTGCCGCGGTTGTGAACAAAATGATCTTGACTTTATCTGCTGATCACCGTGTTTTTGATGGCCAAGTCGGAGGTTTGTGGCACTTTGCAATGTCATAGTAGTATGTTGGTTTGTTGTACTTGGAAGTAGGAAGTTCTCACTGTGATGGATTCTTTTTGTTTCTTATTCGCAGGTGCATTTCTCTCTGCTCTTCGATCAAACTTCAGTGATATTAAAAGACTACTTCTATGAGAGACGAACTTCCCTAGCCAAGCCGAATAATTTTGCAAGAGGTTGGCCAGAGCAGAGGTGTTCATTCTGGTGGTAGCCGTTAGGGAACCTCTTTTTTCCTTGTAATTCTTTTGACTCCATCTATAGCATTTTTTGGCGGTTGAAGAGGTTTCATGTGAATTTCTTTGTCCTACGCACGAAATCATTTTCGTGTGGTTCACGCTTTGATCAGGAAGAAGAAGCTTTGCTTACTTGGTAGATAGCGATCAGAATAATGATCCAAAAGAAACAAAATTGTAAGTTTTGCAGAATTGGTCGACTCAATAAATTGTTAATTCCATTATTAAGATTTTCCAGATCAAACATGACTTGAGTTGTGAAACCCTGTTAGTCTCTTTCAGGGAGTTCCTCTGCTATCAACTATAGCTCAGTGTGACCATAAGGACTACAATTACGGATCCTGTGATAGCCCCGACGATTTAATAAGAGCAAGAGTTGAAGAAAAATTGATCTCCACCACACCACCAGATGGCAAGATCTCTTCTTTCACAGGCTACCAATGTTACAAACATATTCAGGGATTGCTGGCATGCCAAGGGCCAGAGGCAGCAACACCTATCACCTAAGCAACATACAATCTGGACAACTAATCTAATCTAATTTCAGACATAGCAAAACAGTCGATCGGGAGGTTGTAGGCAGAGCGTGGTTATTCTATTATGCACCGAAGAAGTCCTCAGGCACATGAAACTTCAATCCCACAGCCTGCAATAAAAAAGAACGAGGTTATCATCAATGGCTATGCTCCATATACCCCACAGGTCAATCAGAAGTGATACACCCTACTGTTCATAAGAAAGTATTTTCCGAAGAATGCACACAACAGCTTCGATCACCATGTATGCCGCAAAAACATAGGAATCATTATTCCCAATCAACACAAATAGGGTTCCGGGTGCTATGATCAGTTTTCCTTATCACTCCATATGACAGAAGATAATAATGTTAAATGCAAAGAGCTTGATGACATTTGGAAAAAAATTATACGAAATGGAGATGTATAACAGTAAGACACCACCTCAAAATTGGCTTTACATGATGTACTGGACATGAATCGCAAAAGATTTAGGTCTACCTGAGCAAATTTTAAGTCAGCATCACTATGGTCATCATCTCTCCCTGCTGCATCCCCAACATAGAAGGATCTACATGTATTAGACAACTAGTTAAGCAGCGGCAGATAGATTGAGATGAGGAACAAAACAGAAGCATAATTATATACACATCTCAAAAACACCCTTAATAGTAAAACAAGATAAGGGAAGGGTAACAACTGTTGCATATCAATTGTAATTCCAGAATTGAGATGTTTCTCCATAAGATGCCACATTCCAGGGTTGGGTTTGCGGTACGGATCCTCTACTCCACCAACAGTGAAGCCACATGCTATGAAAACCTGTACACATAATACTCCTGTGAGTGGAACTCCTGGAACTGCTGAGCTGACAATTCAATGGTCGGAATTTGAGGTCGACAGGCACAGGAAGTGCGCATTTTGAATGTGAGATAACAATTGTCTCAATCTAGATACGAGAGCAAACAGAGCAATATACAAATGGCGTTCACCATTAAAATAGCATAACAAGAGACGTCTGCAGACTAAATAACCTGAATTGGGACCTTCACATGCTGAATAAAGTTGTTCAGGCGTCCAATTTTGGAGTCCACTGCTACCTGTCTTTTGTTCTTCCAGCGATCTATGTTAGACTCATTTGTAAAGATAACCTAGTCATCAAACAGAAAAAAAATCCGTGACATATACACCCACTAAAACAACACTAAGATAATGAACAAGTTCCACATCTTGACATAATTAACGCCTAAACATGATGTCCAAAGCTGTTGTATTTAGAAGAAACTAACCAGTTTGTAACCATCATTATATAAGCTACTGAGCTTGTCGGGGATAGAAGGATACATTAAGGACCAAGCATCTGCACCAACTCTGATATCAAAGAAGCCAAATAAGGTTATCCGTTGCTTTGAAAGAACCAGTGGCAGTGAATGATAACCAAAATTTAAACCCAAAGCATGTTGTTCATAAAATGCCAGCATTGCAGATTAGTACGCCAAAGCCAGGCCCCGCGAATGGAAAGTACATTAAACTGTCATGAATTGAAAGTACAGGTACCTCTTAACAGACGTTTTTGCTAGACATCCATCAAAATCAAATGCAGCAACTTTATCAGAATCACGAAGTCCATCATCCTGGATAAACCAGCATACCTTCAGTGATTTTCTAAGACAAATAAAAAGGATCATTTTGACCGAGCTGGTTGCCCAAACAAACGTTAGCAAGATAGAACAAAACATGCTGGGAGCCAGCAGAAATTGCAAGGGCCAAAATTAGCAACTCATCCTCATAGGATATAAGCTCCAGGAGAAGGAAGCACAATGTCATTGAGAAAGGTGACTCTTGGTCCACCATGTCAGGTCAGATATAGTACTAGTAATGGCGAGCTTGATGAAATAATGTTAGAGGAAGTGCTAGAAAGACATCCAAGCTAACTAGCGTAACATGGATTGGATGACCCAGAAACGTAATAACTTATAATTGAAGGATTACACCTTCAGTTGAATCGAAAAGAGGGCAGGCTGGTTCACTTAAGTAGTGCTTCAAATGGGAGGCGAAGAGTTGACTATACAAAACAGAGAGCCCAATGATCATAACATGAAGTGACTTGAGAAGCCAACAATGATGACGGAATTGTCACTCGGATTAGGCTGCCCAAGAAGGGGCAAGTAGCTTACCGTCTCAAGAAATAAGACTGTCTGAAAGGCCTTCCACTTTGGAAGTAGCGTAGCACCCTGAGACAAATGAAGAATTCAATATGAGGACTGCGATAAAGTTTTCTAACACCAGCAAACAGCATTAGCCACAGACATACATCAATGTACTTTAGCAACAAGTCATACCTTATATGTCTGCAGCACATCCGAAATCGAGAACACTATATCAGCCCTGGTTTCTTCCTTGGCCGTCGGCTGCAAGAGGTTAAGTCACAGTTTAATCTAACAGCCCAAGGCATCATGCAAGAAGCAGAGCACATCAATTCAGAAAATTTCTATTGAGGCGTTCAATTATATAGGCAGAAACTGAGGGGGGAAACAAGGAAGTCAGGAGAAAAAGAAGGACCAACATTCATTTACCTTAATTTTCTTTGAAACCTTATTATCCCCTTGGTTTTCAAGTCCATCTTCATCAGCTTCCGCATTCTGGTTGGGCACAAAATGCAAGTAGTAAAAAAGATAGACCACGGAAAGCAAATACACCATGCAAACCTCAGCATACGTTTCTCTCATACCTTTCTTCCTTTCCTGCTTCCTTTCTGAACCTCTGTAGCTCCACTCGAAACCTTGCCAAAAGAATTAACATACAATTCTCATCCTAACAAACACATTGAGCGAAAGAAACAGCAGGTCGGTCAACCTGCAAAATCATGCTTCCTAAACAGTTTTCACACCTTATCAATGGAACTCTTGCATTCATCCACCAGTTTCTTCAAAGCATCCTGATCACCACTCTGTAACACAGAAAAGGGAAGGGAACTGGAAAGAGTGAATCAAAGAAAGACCGTGAAGAAAGGAGGGAAAGCGCGACGGAGAGAGAAGAACGGGGACGGACCTCAAGAGAATCGAAACCGGCAATCAGCTCGACGGAGTCGAGGGTTTCGGAGAAGCAATGCATGTGGTACCACTTAGTCAGGTCAAACCCTCGGGCGTCTCGGGAGACGAGACCCAATCGGAGGGATTTAGCAGGAATGGACTGGGAGCACTTCTTGCATGAGGACCGGCCTGATTTGGCGTACTCCGCCACGATTTTAGCTTTCGATGAAGGAGCCATCGGGCCGGGAGAAGTGAGGTTGAGGCGTGATCTCCCGGCGGCGGCGGCGGCGGTGAAAGAGCTTGAAAAGCACGAGAGCGATGACGGAGGGATTTTGAATGGGGAATGGAAGACACGAAACGAGGCGAAGGGAATTGTGGCGAGTTTTGGGATGGAAAGGGAAACTTGGAAGAGCGGAACGCTGAGGACTCGGAAGTGCGTTGAGATAGTGGCGCCGGCGAGCATGAAAATGGCGCGGGCTTTTCCGAGGCAAAATGGTTTCCACTAAAGCCGAGGGCCAATTACGGGTACGATTTTGGTCGAGTTCTCAGCGGAAGGCCACATTGCGAGTCGATTTGCAATTTCGCGTATAGGACTAGAGGTCCGTTTGTAAAAAAAAATATATATATATATATATATATATATATATATATATATATATATTTATGTGACATTGTATTGTACTATACAATAACAATCTCGGATGGTTCGGATTATTTGTGGTTCGACACGTAACAAGGTACATTAAACGGAAGTCACAATGTATCTTGGGTTGCGAATTGCGCATATTTTTCACTTTTTTTCTTAGACAAAACCTATCTTTGGATTTCCAGGTTGAACATTTGATATTGAAGTTATATGAGTTTATTTGAATTTTCACGACATGTTGGATCCAAGTACGAACTGTTATATAGGTCCTAATGTTATATGTCATCACTCGTATGCTAGATGAGATTTATAATAATTTATAAATGTATGAACAATATGATAAAATGACTTTATCACATATATTGTTAAAGCGATCTAAAGCAATATGAGCATTAACTCTCAACTAGCTTGCTTGACAGGACTAGCGGGCTAAACCGAATTGACAACATATTTGAGTCGTTAATGGTTTAAAGATTGATCGCAACTAAAAAGTCATAGTGTCATACCAAGAATTGTCTATTAACCTAGCTAAGTCACCAAAACACCTCTCTATCTTTGATAACCTTTTCGGTAAGAAGCAAAACCAATAATTCTATTGTTTTCGCCATTCCCATTAAGGGGTGACAATGTTGCTGAAACCTTTCCTCATTCCATTTAGATACTTGATTTTTAAGTCCTCGAGAGATGAATATGTCTCTTTCCCCTGCTTAGAAAGGAGATGCTCGAGATGACTGTCTATTTCCTCTACTTAGAAAGGAGATGTTAAGACATGGGGAATACTCTTGCTCATTTCAAGGTGCAATGGGAATCGAAATAGTCTCTGCTCCTGCGCGGTGGCCTTGGCTTCCCAAGAGGGTCGCTAATAAGTTTCCTTATTTGAAAGATTGAAAACAGGATTCTTTTAAAAGAAGATAAACAACTATGAAAGTACTTATATCTATGGTCCATGAAACCGTACCGGAGACCGTACTGAAAAAGTAAGCGGTAGGGTATTTTATGGCAAAATCGTGGTTTAACCGTAGTTTAACTGTTAGTACAGTTAAATACCGCCTATCGGTTTAGCCTACAGTACTGGTATTTTATGGTTGAACCGCCGGTACGGTTTAATGGAACATGCTTATATCAAGTGGCAAACAAGTAGGGTAAGCAGCCCATGCACTAAAATTAAAATATTCAAATTGGCATTCCAAACAAAATGCAATAGACATAGGTACAAAGGATTAAAAAGCTGCAGAACACGACTTTGGGGAGACTTTGAGACAGTCTATCATTTCGAAATCCTTCACTTTAGGAATCCTGGATTGAGGGCATCTGCATCTTCAAAATCCGGCGAGCTACAAAGTCTTAGGCGGACACCGAAAAAAGGGGGGAATTTCCCATCTGTGGGGCTATTGGGATTCTGTGGCAACATCTTTGATGGCAAGTGGTTCATACCATTGAGGGCCAAAGCCAGCAGCTTTCCTTGCTTCAGCATTAAACGGTGGCTTGAGAGGCCCCCTGAAGTGACTTCTGACAACAGAATGGAACTTCTGAATCACCATCTCTTCATCCTCCCCCCTGGCGGGCTCAGGCTGTCTCCCTCCCGCTTGTTGAGAAACAAGTAAAGCTGGAGTTGCAGACCTTAAGCACAGGAACCTAAACCATTTTACTCCAGCAGCGCAATGAGTGATCTCTTCTGGGTAAATGACCGTCTCCAGTAGATTTGCAGTGTCATTGTCACCTCCACTCCGGAATCGAGAGATGGTTGTTGGCAGAACATCCAGTCCCCTGGCCTAACTTGAACAAATTTCCCACATGTCAATATGGCAACTGCCAACAAGCAAAGATTCATCAATATGAAAAAGCATCAGGCATTGAACACGAGCCTATCTATTCATACTATTCTACATGATAATCGATTGAGTCAAGACACATATCAGTGCGCACGCACCTCATGCACACAATGCTCTACTGCTAACCGTGTCAGCAGACTCTTGGATGTAGCCATAGCAGAGTCCCAAAGCCCATCATGTGCAGGTAATGCACCATAAGAAGAACCCAATTCCTCTAGACGTTTGGCTAGGAGGGTGAAGTGCCTTCCCTCATCCTGAGCTACCTTCACAAAATCTGTGAAGAATTCTCTTGGCATTGCCTCTTGCTTACCGAAACGCGCAATTATATCCTACAATTCGAGTGCCAAATGAGACCACAAACACCATACATAGAGATTCATGAAATGACACAAGACAAATTGACAGAGTACCCAAGAGAGATCGATAGCCCAGCTCTCGATGTGAGCAAGGCTATGGACAATAGCCTGTCTACTCTGCAAGCTACCAGCTTTACCAAGCTTCGGCATCAAACCGGGTGCCACCAACTTAACCTGCAGAGCGAAAAGAACAATTTCTCCTCATTCAGACATTTCGTAATACAGGTGGTAGGCAAACAAAAACCACCGTGTGTATACATACGTCGGGGAGCCGGGCTGGGCGTTCTGGCACTGAGAAGTGGAGATCAGGGTCGTAAGCAAGAGAGATGGAGCCCTGGAGCCATTGAGAAGCAGCCCAATCGCCTAATCGCGCCTTTTCAAACGGGTCTGGTGTGTTAAGGATTCTGAGGGCTGCTTCCACCAGAGTCTCGGTTTCGAGTGATGAGCTCATCTTATCTCTGGCTGTCGGCAATGGCCGGAATTGAGGCTCAGTGGTGTTCGATTCAACTGGCATGTCCTCGTTTCCAAAAGGCCAAGAGCGAGTTGGAGCCTTGGAGGGAGGGTATGATAGGGTTTAACCCTGAAATCTTGGAGCAGCGGCTGAGGGTTTCGAATTTCGATCGGTGGAAGGGCTGTTAAAAATAAAACAATGGGTAAATTGCAAGATTGGACTGAAACTAATAAAAAGTTTCACATTTCTTATTAGTTTCTTATTAGTTTATTCCATTTATGGTCATTAAAATTAGTTCAACAGTTTAAGTTTGGTCAATTTTCATTAATCTTCTTTATCTTTTGCTAATGTGACAATCAACTTTGATAGTTGACTGTTAAATGTGTGACGTGACAAATAAAAATTAATTATAAATAAAATTAATCTTTTTAATTTCCACTGTTTAACAATAGTTTAAAATTAATAATATTCACCAAAATAATAATGCAATCCTTTGATATTATTAATCTTTTTTCAGGTCATTATATTACTGTCATATCACGATATCATCACTAACAGTGTTATGATATCATACTAATCATAGTATTATTGTTTTGATATGATAGTGATATGATGTTGGTATGGTGTCTTAAGTTTGACCATATGATATAGTGATAATATCATGATATGATAGTGACATGATGTTGGTGAGGTCTTATATTTGTCAAAATATAACAAAATGGATATCACAGTATAGATCTTCATGTTGATATGATGTTCATATCATTGTCATATCATTATATTACCGCTATATTGATATAATATTCATGATTTTACCATAAATGTTACAATTTTACTATGGCAATATGATAGTAGCAAACACATGTTTTGAAGATTCGATATTTTCCCCAAAATATAGCAAAATATATATTATCATGTAAATCATAATTAATGCATTTTTATGTATATTTTTAAGAATTATGAGATCAAATGTATATATATGACTTGATTAAGGAAAATAAAATACTAGTAATAGTTTTTGACTAGTCAACAAACGATTAGCTGGTAGTTATGCGCCTTTCTGTTCTTTCCCCCTCCGTGTTATACATAGATTCTCTCGGAGATTATACGCACATTTTCCCCTCAATTTTCTTCAATGTCCATTTGTATTTCTCTGATTGTAACTTTTCTACAATCATATTTTTTACCGAATGAAACTTGGAATAAGTGCAAGACTTCATCTTACACCTAATTAGACTCACTCAATTACCCTTTCTACTATTCTTATTTTATGTATATAAAATAAATTTTCTTTGTTTTATTATAAAATAAATTTTCTTTATTTTATTTTACTTACTAATATGTGAGAATGTTTCGATGTGTCACAATCCATACCACTATAACAATATGGGCAGTACTCAACATGTCTCGCCTTCAGAGCAGGACGTTTATGATTATTGCGCGCCCCACTCATTGCCATCACTGTCACCCATCAGCCATTCTGCCGTCCGGCTGTCTTATAAACTCGGCTCATAATTTCATACATATATGTGCATCCAAATGATTCATCGCAAGCAATTATAGAAACATATCCACCTACTTTAGGAACCCCACACATTTAAAACACATGGCCACCTACTTTAGGAAACCCCAATATGGTTATCGAAATTTGTTTACCCGTGGATTAGGTCGCTCACTTTAATACGCTCGCGATATTATTTCATACTATGCATATCAGCTCGATCGCCTTCATGCTCAAAAATTACTTTCCATGACGCTCGATACGTTAAAAAATTGGAGCTCGTTGAAGAATATTTCTCGTATTTTTTCTCTATGAGGGTCTAAGAGTGTTGCTACTTAGAGCATCCACATCAATCTAATTGCAAAAGCAATTGTATTTGTACTATTTATTGCCAACTCAATTTTTGCAATCCAGCTCACATTACTTTCATTCACCTACATCAATGCAATTGCATATGTAATTTAATATTATCTTTAAATTAAATAATATAAAGTAAAAGAGAAAAAAAAATATAAAGTAAAATTTTCCCATTTTTGAGCCATTTGTTGCAAGCTTGTAAATATGCAATTGGTAACCACATCAACGCAATTGGTTTTGCGGTTGCAAACACACATGTCATATCATCTTGCAATTGAGAATGCAATACCAATGTGGATGCTCTAATTCTCTTAATTAATCGCATACGACATACTAATATGATAAGAGATATATATTTCATTATTAATTATCGTTTATTATTTTTCGTTTATGTTTGAGAAACAAATATTAGACAATTAATTCAAAACTTCTTCAAAATATTATATTCTCAAGCCGGCCAACCTAACTACATACTCACTCGACCGACCGATCGATGTCACACACTCACACTCCTTCTTTCGCAACACTGGGTAATTAACTCCAATGATTACATCCTTTAGTGGGGAAAAACAATCTAAATACACATTTGCCAAAAATCTCCCACCAATATAATATTTCATTTAAAATTCATATGGCTTTCAAATCTATTTCGACAACACCTACTATCATTATTATCATCATCCTCGTCGTTATATGTAATACATAAGCATAAGCATATATATGTATACGGCGGCGGATCTAGAACACAAAAGTGCATTGGGCCGCATTTTATTAGAAAATTAATTAATAAAAAATATTATGATTATACTTTTTTTACAATGTAAATTGTACACGACGGTATTTTAATTTAGCTCCATTTTCTGGTACCATGACCAAAATGAACTCCCGCTCCGAGCATCTCTTCTAAATTAATGTTCCAATATCTTCTTATCATCCCCCCAAAATGCATTAATAAAGGAGTCCACATCCATACCAATAGTATACACTGTTTCAAATAAAATACTTGAGCAATCGACTAGAAATTCATCGCTCATTTTGTTGCGCAAATCAATTTTCACATGTTTCATTGTTGAAAAGGTTTTCTCGTATTACCTGTTGAAACGAGAAACATTAGCATTAGACAAATCAATCTACTAATCAATTTACATTGTGTTTCCATCCCTATATCCACCAGCTGCTCTAGTAAATTTTCAAGGTAACAAACCTCATATATGTTTTAGTCTTTTACGTTTTATTCTTTTTGAATTTTTAGGTTTCATTATTTTTTTAGACGAATAACCTTTGAGGTTAGAATTTATAAGCTAAATTTAGAGTAGTGATTTTGAATATGTTCCTCTGAATCATTTTTCTAATTAAACCCAATCTTATTTTAAAATAACAATGACCCGAATATATAAAATCAAAAAATTCATAAGGCCTATACTTACTATGGATCCAGAGAATGGCTGGGCCAGGACCCGGGGTGGCCACCCCAGATACGCCTAGGGGTGTCAGTTCGGGTCGGGTTCGGTTACCCGAACCGGAACCCGAAAAAACCAAAAATCGAAAATCACTGAAACTGAACCCGAACCCGAAAATTCCTTATCGGGTTCGGGTAAAACAAAACCGAAACCCGAAAACCCGAACACCTAAGAATACGGACTAAGTTCTATTTATTGGAGGTTTTTAGCCGGAACCCAAAAAATCGATAAGCAAAACCGAACCCAAAACCGAAAACACGAAACGAACCCGATCCCAAAAAACCGATAATGTGTATAATCGGGTCGGTTTCGGGTAAACCCGAAAAACCGAACCCGAATGGACACCCTTAGATATGCCACTGCCTATATATATATATAGTCACCCTCTCATCTCACCTCACCTCACCTCAGCTCACAAGGAAGCAGCTTCTCGTCCCCGAAGAGGTGCTTCTTCCCCATTTCAGTACTCTAAACAAGTACTTGTCCATCCATGTAAGTACAACAAAACCCTTAATTAATTACACAACTTCCTCTATTTCTTAATTACATGCAGTTTCCCATTAATATGTATCTTCTTTAATTTGGTGAAGTCCTTAACTAATTAATTAATTAATTAATTAAGCTGGCTTTGTTCCCTCCTAAAACAGCATGGCCGCCGCCGCCGCAGCGTCACTACTCCTAGCAGTAGTGCTGCTCTCTTTGGCGACGGCTAAAGCGTGGGAAGCGCTCCCTCTCCAAAAGCGCGCCTTCTACTCCCCGTCCTTCTCCATGGCCCCCGGATCCGTCGCCTTCGACTACTTCTACGACGTGGAGTTCCCCAGGGGCCACCTCGCCCTCAAGAGCTTCCGCGCCGACGTCGTCGACGCCGACGGCAACGTCATCCCTTACCACGAGGTCTACCTCCACCACTCCTACATCGTCCGCTACTACCAGGCCCGCAACTACTCCATCCCGCCGGTCCTCGACATCGAGACCTTACCCTACGGCGACGGCTTCATCTACCGCCGTAACCACGGCATCTGCCAGGGCGACCTCCTCGGCCAGTACTTCGGCCTCGGCACCGAGATGCAGAGCACCCCCACCGCCGTCCCCGACCCCTACGGGATCGAGATCGGGAACCCCGCCCCCATCCCCGACGGGTTCGACGAGAAGTGGCTCCTCGTCGTCCACGCCATCGACACCCGCGGCGCCGTGGACAGGTGATGCTGTCTTAAGGAAGAAAAAAAAGAGCGATTTAGTCTGTGACTCAGTCAAATTGTAATAACCCTAATTTTTGTTGTTGTTCAGGTTCGGATGCGCTGAGTGTCGGAGGGATTTGTACAACGTGACGGTGGACCAGTTCGGAGAGCCGTTGAAGGACGATTATTACGGAGGGTTGTCGTGCTGTTACGCTCACACGCAGTGTAAGGTTAGGGAGGACTACGAGGGGACCACCAGGAGCCTAAGGATGAGGTACACGCTGACGTGGACCGAGTGGGTCCCGTCGATCATCCCCGTCAGGGTCTACATCTTCGACGTCACCGATGATATGAAGTTGGTGGTCAATCCTTCTTCCGGTGCCGTCTCAGCGAAGCACGACTGCTTGGTAATTAAGTTTTTTTTTTTTTTTTCACAAGTCAAATTTTCTCGGTTCAGTTGTCTGCGTTGCTATTTGGTATTGTCAAACGAGTCAATTTAACGCAATTGTTTGCAGATTGAATATATGGTGGAGAGCTGCCACGTGGATGGGAATGGAGAGAAAGGGTGTGCGGACTTCAAGAAATCGATTGTGGCGATGCCCAAGGGTGGAAACGTGATCTTTGGTCTCACTCACTTGCACTCCGGAGCAATAAATTCCACGTTGTATGGGCAGGTACGAATGTAGATAATTTGGTTAGCTTATAAATTGTAATTATGAATTATGATTTGGATTCCGCTACAAAATCTCGCTTGCAAAATTTAATCGTGTCATCTCGTATCACTACACGATTATAAGATACGTCGTATCAGGACATATCATGATATGATGACACGAACGGATTTTGCAGCGTTTTGTAGGTCGGGATTTTGTACTCTATTTGTTCCTATGACTAATTAATGATAATTGGTGATGATTAGGACGGGCGGGTATTGTGCACAACGAAGCCGATTTACGGAGAAGGGATGGAGGAAGGGTACATCGTGGGAATGTCGACGTGCTACCCGGAGCCCGGCTCCGTTTGGATCGACGACGGGGAATTAATGGTACACGAATCCGTCTACACCGCGGAACGGCGTCGGACAGGCGTCATGGCACTGTTCTACCTCCTCGTCGCCGACAGGGTGGCGGATACCCCGGCGGCGCCGGCTGGTTTTAATGACAACAACTTCATGGGCATTCGTTCTATGGTGAGCATTTAATTTGTTTGTTAATTATGACAGGAAAGAATGGATTTTTTTTTTTAATAATCAATCAAACCGAAAAAGATAAGAGATAGAGTATCGATGGTGATGGAGAAAGCTAAGGTAGCCTTCAATGGCTACATTATTGAGGGAAGTTTGGAAAGTAATGATTGGTTGCATACTGTGGAGGATATCCGATCCTATCATCGTGGATGATTGGTGCACGTCGAGCCCGCCGCAACGAATTATACATGTGAAAATGTGTCGAGTTGTTTGAAGGTGTCACTCAAACTAAAGCAAATTCATAGATTTTTACAGACTCGTATAAATGCATAATTCATCACGTACTTTAAAGAAGGTTAATATTGAGGGTTACGAGTACAAATGAGTTCTGATATTATGTTTTAGACCAACTGGTTTTAATAATTCGAATTATTTGATGATATCAACCATTTCCATACATTATAAACTATTTTCTTTAAATCTTCCGGCTACTTTTCCCTTGCTATAATTACTAACTAATTGCAAAACTGGTGTGTAATGGTAAAAAAAAAAAAGAAAAGCTGGCGGAGAAGTTCGCCGGCGGTGGCGGGGGAGCGGTGAGGTCTGGAGAAGGTGGGGCGAGCGGAGCCTTTGTGGGAGTTGGACTGGTTCTGCTGGGAGCTGTCGCTACTGTTCTTCTTCTGAGGATCAAGAGGAGCTAAGGTCAAGATGAAGATCATTTCATTCCAATACCGATGGTGATGGAGATAAGATATAAACGCCGGTTGTTATTATCATATATATGTACGGTGGTGCAAGTTAAACGGCGGCCGGTTTGGTTCGTCAATTTGTTTCTTGCTTCAGTTGTTGTCTTTATTTATTATGAAATGCGTGGTTGGACCATTTAGTGGTGGGTCTGGGTCTGTCGGTCTGATTACTAGATATGGTATGGGCTCAGGCTCATCGGTCATCACTCATATGATGCATATGTTTTGAGAAATGGAATAGAATAAAAAGATGTGTGTCTTTGGTTGGTACGCTGCTGCTGTGTGAACCGCAAACTTTCCACATTTATTGTATTCTTATTGTATGGTGGTGGGTCATTGGGTTGTTTATCAGTTTGTTATATGGTTTGGTTACTGTCCATCTGCTTTCATTGGACTAAATTCCGTTAACATCGTCAATTTTTTTTTTATGATATGGCTAACATAAGTGTTAAATCACTCGAATTTAACCCAAGAAGAAAACAAGATGGACCCATATAAACAAACAAACAAAAAACCCCTGTCATTTTAGCTCTCGAATAAAATCCATCAACCGACCCGACCTAGCAAACCAAATCCCATTTTATTTAAGTTGATTAGAATTAAAATACAAAAATTCCAACACACAAGTTAATACAAAAAAATATCAGGTCATCATATTATGTCAGTCCAATCAACACTGTTGATAGTGTGGTTAAGTAACAAGTTTCATGTCTAGAATGCGCTAACAAGACTGCGCTACACCTCGTCTCACCCCCGAAGCATATAGATCCACCCGATCGATGAAGACTCGAACCGAACTCGCCCATTCTTTTGGGCACAAGGTGATTGTATCAAACATGCCCCTCTACTATTTTTTATATCAAACATGCCCCTGTAATTTGGAAAAACTATCAAACATGCCCTTCAGTTAAAATTTTCATTGAAAAAATCGTCAATCATGGTTGAACCGAGATTTAGACGACCTGACATCGATAAATGGGAGGTGAAATGTCAGTTTTGACCCTTGCTTTATTTCTCTAGGTCTCATCAAAGTGAAATTATTAGAATTATTTGGCTGTACAAAAGAAAAAAAAAACTCTAAAGTGAAATTATTAGAGAGATTTTAGATATTTGGGTCGCCCAAACCAAAGTTAGGTCTTGGTTAATGATTTTTGGATGGAAATTTTAACAAAAGGGCATGTTTGATAAGTTTTCCAAAGTACAAAGGCATGTTTGATGTAAAAAATAATAGAAGGGCATGTTTGATAAAACGTCATAGTAGAGGGGCATATTATACCTATAACCCTTTTAGTTATTAAGAAAGAACAAAAAAGAGAGACTATATTCATCACAAAAATTGAAGTTTTGGTTATCCAATATATTTTGTCTAATCATAAGTATAATTTCATATTTAATATTCAAATTGGTATTACTTGGTTTCAAATTTCATATTAATCTCCTTATATAATAGATAAATTAATTAAAATATAAAATCAAACACAAAAAAAAAAAAAAAAAAGTTTCTCATTGGCTATGCAGATAACCAACAACCATATCTTATCTCCTCTTGATCCTCAACAGAAGAGACAGTGGCAACATGGCTCCCGAAGAAAGCAGTATAGTAGCCCTCACATTCTTGAGACCTCACTCCCCCACCGGTCAACATCACACCGGCCAGTTTTTGCAATCAAAAGCAAGCCAGATAGATACAAGATTCAAGAGTGGGCCGACGATTCACAACAAGCCAAGAACGACAGATAAAAGTAGTTCATTGAATATATGAAAACTTGAAAAGATCTAGTGGCCATGAATCATTCGCACTATCTATATCTATCTACCATTACTTTTCAAATGGTCCAACATCTTCGATCCTCCGGTGGTATGTAGCAATGGGCCATGTAAGAGTTTCCCCAGAGCCAGGGACATCAGCCCAGCCCAACACGAGCGGGCTAGACAACGATTGTGTGATTAGCTGTATGGAGAGATTATGTGTACTTTGCTACTTGCGTAGCCTCCGGTTAGTTGATATGTAAAGAGAAATTTAGGGTTTATTTCTCTACAAATGTTAGAATGCACAATAAGAACAATATATGCTCTGACACGGAAATACAAGTCGCTTATAATCTTGGGAAGTATCTAGGAATTCCTGTTTTCCATCCTCACTTGTCCATGTAAAAAGTATAAGTATATTCTGGCCAATAAACTTTTTCCCCTTGCTCTCCTAGACGTCGTCTCACTCTCATCTATGCTATGCGAATCGCAAGCATCCTTTCTGCCAACATCTGTGCAGTGGCGGAGGCAAGGCCTTTTGGACTTGTTCCGGGACAGGGATAAATTTCGGTGGAACAAAAATACGTCATATATATTTATATTGGTGATGGAACACAATACGTATAGGTAGTATTAGAGTACTTTGTCACTACAACACAACTCATTACTTGTCCAAAATTGACATAAAATTAATTTTTTATACAATAAACGAAATTCCAATTGCAATAAAGAACTAATCGGGTCTCTTTTCACCTTATGCTTATTCGATCTTTCCCCAACAACCTTGAAATTGTCTAGCGACAACGGCAATCCCACTAGTTTTGATCTACCAATTACAACTGCAAGTGTAAACAGAGCATTTTCAGCTTTTAGTTATATTAAAAACAAGTTTCCAATTCGATTTGGCAACCAGTTTGCTAATACTTGTTTAGTAAGATACATTAAAAGAGACTTATATAATAGTGTAGACAACAAATATTTTTGTGCTTCTTTCACTATATGAAATTCCTTCATAGTTGTTTCTGAAAAGTATGATAGTATAATCAGTTATTTTTAATTTATGAATGAATTATTTGGATATAATTATTTTTTATTAAATAATTCTTTTATTAGATACTTATATATTTATGTTATGAAAAGAGGGCATGGGTGGTTTGAAATGCTGCCTCCGCCACTGCCTCTGTGTGATGAGAAAATAAGTTGGTTTGTGTGAGGCTCTTAGGAAGGAAAACACAAACTCATCTTATGAACGGAGATACTATTTGTAAACCCACAGATGAAGACGAACTTGGGTTGAGATAAACCCGAAGTCTTAACATGACATATATAATCAAATTGGCTTGGCAGATGTTAAATCGTAGATCTATTATTCTATTTTGTGGGTGCGGGTCATTCAAAACAAATACAAAGTTTAAACACACAAAAAAAGGATGATTATTGTCATGCAGAAGAGCAACCATTGGAAGGTTTGGAAGGCTATTGTGACGGAGATGCCCCTAATGAAAAGTGTCACAATTTGGAGTACACGAGATGTGGAAACTATGGAGTTCAGATTCGAACCGTGATTGGACAACACGTAACTAATTTGGTGCCAAAGACATGTGAGTAAAACTGGAATGAACCAAATTGATTCAAATGCACCGCTGATCAATCTTTAATTCTAAGGGGTCGTTTGGAAGTTGCGATTGTTAAATAGATGTATTGTTGAGAATGCATGTATAATATTATACATGTATTGTCGAATTTGATGCATTGTAGAATACAACGTTTGGTATGTGTGATTGTGTATGTCGCATCAGCTAAAAGTTGGGACAAAACAATCTCAACTCAACTATCTCAACAATCACAACTAAAAGTTGAGATATAACAATCACTCAAAATGAGTGATAGTTTCTGTCACATCATAGAAACAATCCATGTATTGTTTCTGCTAAAAAAACAAAAAAACGATGCATTGTAAACAATACATGCATAATGACAATCTCAACAAAACAATCACAACTTCCAAACGACCCCTAAGTTATCTTTCATGGATGGATTGTGGTTTTCCTGAGTTTAATCCGCTTCGGTTCAGACAGATTATTCCATTCACTTGTTTAACTCTATTAGTCTATCCTGTTTTGCTCTTAACGCGGGAATATTTGGACGGCAATGGAATATCCGGGCATCAACGGTGACTCCAAGAGTTGACAATTGGGCGATTACCCCATCATTGTTTCTTCCCAATACCCGGAAGAGATGCCAGATATTGGAATTCTTGAGTTTCCAAACCATAATACAATTCATAATCATAGACCTCATTTTTTAAATAACCTTAAAAGTATTCATCTTTGTTGATTAATTTGGTTTTGGTTAACCCTTTTCTTCACGGATACAGAAATCAGATTACCACTAATAAAACTAGCTCTGCAAAAGATCAGCTTTCAACGCTCTGCTTTTCAACCTAGTCAAAAGCCCAACAAAAACATCGCCATCGCTTCGCCGCTGCTCTCTCCTTGTTCAATAGCTTTTGATCGAGTGATTGTCAGTTTTTCCGCAGACGGAATCCCGATATCCCCAGCGGAAACCCGCCGTTGACGGTGCAATTGGTTTTCGGGAACCGTTTGGGGTTTTTTACTTTTATCGATTTCGTTCGAGTTGGGAATACGATGGAGTCGGGGCAGGGTACCGTTGTATTCGGGTCGTGGATCCGGAGACCGGAGAACGTGAATTTGGTCGTTTTGGGGAAGTCGAGAACTAGTGGCGGCCACTATTCTTCTTCCCCATCTTTGCTCGAGATCTTCTCCTTCGATCACAACACCGCCTCTATTTCTTCCTCTCCCTTGGTTCGTGTTTCATTTCCCCCCATGTACAGTCTGTGTGTGCGACTTTTTCCACCAAGTTTGAACTAAACCCAGTTTCAGTTTCTGATTATTGCTTGTACGTGTTCAGGCTACGTACGAGCTGGAAGAAGCAGATGGCGATTTAGTTTCGATTGCGGTGCACCCCGCAGGAGATGATTTCGTGTGTTCCACTACCAATGGTGGCTGCAAGTGAGTTCCTTTCTGCCGATTTTTTTCTGAGAATTAGTGGAAAGATAGTTGCTTTCTGTTTTAGCGGGGTTTCCCCAGAGGCCCAGAGTTTTAAAGGGTTTTTCTTTCTGATGCATTTTGTGCAATGTTAGTTAGTTGATGATTGGTTTTGAGCTGTGAAAACAGCATCCTCACTTGTGAATGAGGGGTTGGTTGATTTTGTCCCACTAAAGTTTGAGGCATGACCTGTGGAAGTGAACTATCTGTTCATATTTCATAGTAAAATTAGGAAAGCAACTCACAGTTGAGAGAATGCTTTACCTTCCACTTAAAAAGACCTTTCCTTATACTTACCAAGTTGTTTTGTAATTGATTATCAGATCATTTGAGTTACATGGCGAAGAAACAAACTTCAGGCTACTGGCCAAGGACTTGCCGGCTCTTCAAAGTGTTGGTCCTCAAAAATGCCTGGCCTTTAGCGTGGATGGTTCTAAATTTGCCTCCGGTGGTGTGGTAAGCAATTCCGTTGAGTGTTCTTTGTGTGCTCTATGATGGTCCTTTACAATTGCCAGTAGTAACATGCAGTTGTTTGTTCACTCAACTACAGGATGGACATCTCAGGATTTTGACTTGGCCAAGTTTTGGCAGCATTCTTGATGAACCAAGAGCACACAAATCTTTCCATGATATGGATTTCAGGTGCGCTTCTTCCGTTTTTACTTAGTGTGGTTGTGTACCTGATTATGTATAGTCATAGATCTGTGCTAGTAAACCACCATAGGATGGCGTTTATACAAATATTATAGTATGTTGTAGGTTGAACTTGACCATGGAATGATAGACTCCAATTGCAAAATTTTATCTAATCATACATGGGAATTCAGATAAAAGCTTTTTATTTTAAGGGGCTAACTATTCTATTCTCTGTTCCTTCCCTCTTTTATTTCCCAAATTTGTAAGAGCTGAAAATTTAGAGGAACAGATTTCTCTAGTAGGTTCCGGGTTCTGATTGTTGTTTGTTTGTTTCATATATTGTAGCCTAGATTCGGAATACTTAGCTTCAACATCTATTGATGGTTCTGGAAGAATATGGAAGACAGAGGATGGTTCGGCTGTGGCTTCTTTGGCTCGAAGTGCTGTATGATTAAACTTAAGCTAAACCCTTTTAGTGTTTGCTCAGTTGTTTTCTTCCCCACCTTGATGCAGACCGTTTTGATCTTTTTGATTAACAGGATGAAAAGATCGAGTTATGCCGATTCTCCAAGGATGGGACAAAACCCTTTCTGTTTTGTGCTGTTCAAAAAGGTAAACCTGTCTGGCTTAGGCTTAATAATGCACTTTTGTATCAATGTTACGTTTGATTGACCCCATCAAGTTTGGTCTAAGCTCAATTTTTGATCCTTAAACAGGTGATAAGGCTGTCACTTCAGTTTATGATATAAGCACATGGAAGAAAATCGGCTTCAAGAGACTTCTTAAAAAGCCTGCTTCTATTATGTCTGTGAGCCTGGATGGGAAATATCTTGCCCTGTAAGTAGTTGGTTGCATGTTAGCTTTTGACTGTTTTATCCTTTCCATAAAGATGACTCATCATATGAACCAATTGTGTTTCGATTGTGATGAAGAACACAGGGGACTGGGGTGCATTCTTATCACTTGAGTCAGGAAACTTTAGAAGTGAAATGATTAAACTCAGAAGTCTTAGTTCTTTTTTACGTACTTCAAAAATCAGACCAATTACATACATGTGTAGGTCTGCAAAAACATGTGTGGAGATGTAGACATGATGCTGTGCAGGTGGTGATTGTATTCTCTTGTATGTCGTTTTCAATTTCCATGATCGTCTCTTACCATTTTTGAAACAATATTCCATGATTGCAGGGGAAGCAAGGATGGTGACGTATGTGTAGCTGAAGTAAAGACGATGGAAGTTAGCCATTGGAGCAGGAGGCTGCACCTTGGTACAAACATTACATCTCTGGAGTTCTGTCCCAGCCAGAGGTAACTTCTCCCTATTTCTACTAGCTTACACCAATATCATCCATGTTCTACCCCTTCTTCTGGCATTGGTAGTATCTTACCTTCTCCCAGTTAGCATTGAAAGTCGGCTCTGAGAATCCAGTTAGTATATAACTATATATACATTCCTCGTTCCTGGTTCGAGGCCAAGTTGTCTACCATTGTCCATCTACTATTTGGTTCTCACTTCCTTGTTCGGTAACATAGATGTTGTCTGATCAGCGGATTTTCTTATTTTGTGGTACAGGGTTGTGCTTACAACCTCGAATCAGTGGGGTGCCGTTGTGACAAAGCTAACTGTTCCAGCAGATTGGAAAGGTCTCCCCTCTTCCTCTTTGATTTCCATATACACATGCCTGTCCCTTTCATCATGAACAAAAGAGAGAGCGAAGACTGATATCACACTACCCTTGTTTAACTTGCAGAGTGGCAAATCTACGTGCTGTTACTGGGACTGTTCTTAGCATCTGCCGTTGCATTCTACATTTTCTTCGAGAATTCGGATTCCTTTTGGAACTTCCCTCTTGGGCGGGATCAACCTGGCAGATCGAGGATTCAACCCATCTTTGTGGACACACAGTCCTCCCCTGAAGACCCATTCGGGCCTGTAGATTTGTGATTCGCGGGTTCGCCCACCCTACATGGTGCTTTTTAGCCTGTAGAGAACTCAGCAGCAGCTAAATGGTGGAAATAAATAAGGGGGCTTTGGTAGTTTTTGTAACACGTTTTGACATTGCCTCATGATTAGTTGAAGAATTCTAACACGGCGGCGTGGTAGCTTTAGCTACATCTGGTGTTTCGTTTTGGCATTAAATTAATCCTTGACAGGGAGCAAGAATTTCAGGAAAATCCAGGAATACTTTCAAAGCTGTAATTATTGTTATATGTGTTTCTATCCATTGAGCTCAGATTATTATCACTAATTATATATATTTTTTTTTAAATTTGTATCCGTCAGAGATAGTCGTTGAGATTATTTCATTTGCATGATCGGATAAATTCAAGAATAGAAGAGGATAGTTGAGTTATTACTATTAGCCATAAAACTACAAAAGATTTGTGGATTGACCTCGAAACCAAGGTTTTTAAACCCATATTAGAGGTCATATTGTAAAAGTTAATAATACCCTTAATAATAGGGTATTATGTCAGTCGTCTCCTGCTGGTTGGAGTGGAAGAGGAAAGTAAATAATAATAATTCCAATGAGTAACGAAAATATATATTGGAATACAGATAATCTACTTGGTTGGGTACGTACAACCTTGTTTTCTTTTGGAAAATATATATTTGCAATGATCGTTCTGCTGGTCGTTAATTGCCAACACAATCAGGAATGACACTTGGAATCCATCGTTGGTGCAACATTAATTATTAGAAAGAAGTGAAAAAAATATCCAGGAGTAAAACCCGTGGTTCTGGGATTGGATCGAAGGAAATTGGTTTGATAAATGGTGTGAGAGGGCCTGTTCTCAAACTTCTTTCTAGTGATTATGTCCCCTCATATTTATAACCCAAACAGCAATAATCCTTCACATGGTTCAGGCATGTGAAACTTTAGACCTTGCTTATTAGGCCTTAATGTCTTCAACTTGATATTCTTCCCAAAATGTATATCACAACAACACATAAATTCTGTAGTAAGCCTCTAACTTAGGATTTAGCTTTTATCAAGAAACCACAAACTTCTACTATAGTCATCAACCACAGTTAGAAATTTTGTAATATTCTCAATTTAAATATAAATAAAAAAATAATAGCTCAAATCCATCTATCAAGACAAAACAGTAAGGCTTGTTATAACCCTCTCCGTAATTGAAGTAATCAAACAAAACAAGTAATGTTACGTTTCACTATAATCATCATCGGATGCTCAATTTAAATATCAAAGAAATAACAGTTCAAACCCATCGATAAAGTCGAAACACTAAGTCCTAAAATAGACAATTCACAAACTAATAAAAAAAACCTCTCCTGAAATAACCAAACAAAACATATAATATTTTACTACTAACCTAAAAAAAATCCTCAAGCATTGGCTTGATTGTTGCTATAACTAGCGAGAATCAACGACCACGACATGATCAGCTGGTAGCTTGAATTAGATCCTGATAATACTGCATGATCCACCCACTTATGATCTCAATCTCTTTAAGCCTCATCTCCACCAACCACTCTGGATCATCTTCTCTCCATCTCACTATGTCCATGCAGTGCGAACCCTTCTCCGTCTTCAGCGCCACCAAGCTCTCTGATATGTCTTCCAGCACACTTTACCACAAAGAGTTCAATCCATTACCATCTACCATCACAGCTAATTAATATATTCATAAGTCGCTACATATCAAGAAGAAGCAATTCTAGATTCGTCGTACGTACCCAGCGCTGCTGTAAGGATCGACGAGGCCGTTGGAGAAGATAATGTTGCTACCGAACCTCTTCAGCACCTCTTTTATATCCTGCATTGCAACGAACGTATTTGATTTATATCAAGAGAGAGAGAAAGAGATATCTCCGTATCGTTCCAATTTTATCGGATGTTTGTTTCTAAACTTACGTGACCACCGTAGTAAGAGGTGATCCAGTGCGGCCGGGGAAGAACACCGTATTTGGATTTGCAGTCCTCGGCGAATTCCTTCATGTCAAATGGCTCCTTGGGAAACATGGTGTCGTTTACTCCCGTTACCCCGATCGGCATCACCAGCTCGCTGCATGTCTGTGTTTATACATATATAATAAACATAGCTAATTAATTAGCTTCTGCATGCATGGATTAGTAATCATACGTACGTACGCTATGTATTGGACCGTTAATCTAGCTAATTATATGTATAACTTGCCTGCCAGTCCCAGCCTGAGAGTGTTTCGGCAGAAAATGACCCGTCATCGCCGGTATAATTGTAGCAGCCGGTGTCGATGCCGGAGTAAGCAGCTATCCCGGCGAATATTCTGTCCAGTAAATGAGTAGTACTGTTGCCGCCGGACGTGGGTTTGTTATGGTCGATGGCGTCGCAGATTTTCTGGAGCCCGAAACTCGGTGGCGCTCTGTTGTACTGGGCCGCTACGCAGTATATACTGTCCAACTGCGATTTCAGTGCCTCCACGCCTTCCACACTCAGCTTCCTAATTCACACAGGCCGCCGGCGACAGACGGTACAAAACACATCAAATCAACTAACTAAGACCTAGCTAATTTGAGATCAACGGCTAATTAATTAGGTATTCCTCTTCGACGAAATGGTCAGATTATAATTACTTACTTGCAGCTACGGAATTTCTTGGAAAGGATTGCGAGGCCCTCGTTATGGGCAGCCAGCCTGTCGATTACGGCCCACGACTCTTTTATCGTGTGATAGCAAGTCTCACTTGTTTCCTGCAAGTATCAATAATGAATTTGCATGGCGTAAAATTATTATTATTATTATTATTATTATTATTATTATTATTATTATTATACCTTAAAGTCTTTAGTGATGACACTGTAGTAGCCATTCGAGGGAGTGATATCATCGAAATACAGAATCGGCGCCGACGACGCCAATGCTCCCAGTGCAATATGAGGGTATTTCAGCCGGAACCACGTCGCCAGCACTACAATAATAATATGAGGGTATTATCTGAATCAAATATAGTAGACCTCAAATAAAAAATTGGTGATTAATAGATAGATATTCTTGTTACGTACTTCCACCGTAGCTTCCTCCGAAAACAATGATGGGAGAGTTTTCAGCTTTCAGGCTTTTCTTGACATGCAGAAGCACCTCCGCGTAGTCGGCCAAAGCTTGCTCCGAGTTGAAGTATCCCCTCACCGTCGCATTCTTCAATGCTTCTTCTTGCGATCCAAACGGGACCGAGTTCCCATAGAAACGATGCTAATAAAAACAACAATTTCTTAATTAATTTCATACGTAAATAAATGTTATACGAGTTTTATATGTGTTAGTACGAAAAGCCATGAACAGAGAAAAATGAAACGGTAATGGATTATATGTACCTCAATGTACACCTGCAGAGCGCCGAACTTGGGGGCGTTCTCGGGAAGGAACCCGACGGCTCCGACGTCGTTTCCAAGGGAAGCTTCGGCGCCGAGCTCCGCGAATATCGGAGCCCCGCTGCCGCCGCCGCGCCAGTGGTCGAAGTTGATGACGTAACGCTGCGGGAAAGTTGCGTAGCTTCCCGGGGTGAAGCTGAAGTGATCCAGCGTCTGGTTGTAGTAGTACGTCTGCAACCCTATCGGCGAGTGCGGCGTCGTTTCGGCCACGGCAGCATCGACATTAACATTCTTGTTGTGAGTGATGCCGAGTACTTCTCTCGGAGCCGTGACGCCGAGCCGCGGGATTGATCGACTCCTGGCGGCGGAAACGAGTGGTGACGTGGCGGATAGGACGAGGAGGAGGAAGAAGAGGAAGAATCCCGGCGGTCGGCGTGGGGTCATGAGGAGAAGAGTTGTGGCGGCGCCGGTGGACTTCATGGGTGATGGGTAGAGAGCTATGCCGAGTAGTAATGCTCCGCACGTACGTACTGAGTTATTATAACGAGTTGGTATTCTTCGGTAGTTTAGTATGTATCAAAATCAACTACCTATTATCGCTTCAATTATCTAGGGTTGTTTTTTTTATATATATAATAATTTTTACCTGAAGGTTTATAGAATTATTATAGTTATCTTGAGATCGAATATTTAATTTTCATATGAATATGATGATTATCTCAATTCTGTAAGAATTAAATACAATTTCTCGTCAACTGATTTTGAGTGGTGCGCCGCAAGCCGCTGTAAAAAATACGGTACGGGTATTATACTTGGTCTCTAAGCTAAAGTTACGTTTAATAGTACGTTAATAGTCATAAATATATAAAATTAATCATTTTAAAAATAAATATATAAATAATACTAAAGTTAACAATTTAATTCGTAAAATACGGATAATAAACGTGTTATACGGGTTTTATACGTGTTTAGTACGGACGTCATCAAATGAACTGGGAAAAATGAAACGGCTTGACAATAATATGGATACGGAAGTTTTAAACGGATAAAATACGTACGGGTACATATACGTGTATTAAACGGAGTATTTACTAACTATGTTGTAAATATCTGTAACTGGCTTATTTCTCTTCATCAGAAATGTTAAAATTTTAGGGTAAATACAATATATTAGCCATAACTATTAAGTAGCGGATAATTATAGCCACAACTATTGAAATACAAATTATTAGTCATAACTATTGTTGTGAGTCAAGATTTGGCTAACAGTCCGGTACTCTTTTCAAATTTTTACGTAGAAGGCCATGTCAGCATCGTAAAAAATATGATATGATGACTGCCACGTGGGAGCCAGCTCAGCATCGTAAAAGCTTAGTCATCATTACTAACAGAAGTGTTAACAAAAACTTAACGATTGGCTAATAATTTGTATTTCGATAATTGGAGCTATAATTCCCCGCTGCTTAATAGTTATGGCTAATATATTTTCTTTGCCCTATATAATATAATATGGTCGTCAAAGTATATTGGTTGTATTCTTTCGCTAGCTCTTGCTGGCCTAGGTTAAATGCCGGGCATTACAATTAATGCGTTAACATCACTCAGGCATCAGAGTCTTCAAAACAATCCCATCTTCAGAAATCAATCACAACGGCCGATTCCACCAATGACCAGAATTGTTCTTCCGGCCGCAAAACGGATCATCATGCCACACAACACAAACGGGAATATTCTCTTCTACCACCAAACGCATAATGAAAAATGTAGCCCTCTCTATAAATTGGGCTGCTGTTTCGCGCAGGACGTCAAACCACAGACAGAAATTAAGACAAAGCAAGACTAGTACTTGAGATCATGCAGCGACGAGCAATAACATCGCCGGCACTAATGATGCTACAGGTTGTGACCGTCATCATCTTCATGTTCCTGATGACGAGGGCCGACGTCGCCGTCATGGACGACGGTTTATGCACAGGTGTCAAAATCAGCGACGACGGGACTCACGCGGCGTACGTGGCACACGTGCTGTCGGAGCTGGCGACGGTTACCCCCACCACACCTAGGCTTGAGGACATCACAACATTCCCCGGTAACGGCGTTAGTGGCTCCGTCATGGGCGTGGCCACGTGTTCCGATCCTAACGATCCCGACCTTTGCGCGAGCTGCCTCTCGGGGCTTCAGCAGTTGATTTTCGGTTCCTGCAGTAACCGGGCCGGCGGCTACGTTGACTCCGACGATTGCTCCATGGGTTTCGCTACGCCAATGGGTTAGAGATGGACAACGTACGATGCCAACCCACTGGCCGGGTTAGAAGAGATGGAATAAAAAGGATTAATGATCATAAAGATTTCAAAAATTGTTGATCCCCTCCACCTATTTTGTAATCCTGCGTTTTTCGAAATTTGGCAAGGTACAAATCAATCAATTTTTAGTTTCCTTTCTCAAAAGAAGGGATTAGGTGAAATCTAGGATAATAAGAGATTTGTGTGAAATCCCTCGTAAAAACCCCTCATCCAAATCCCTAACGAAATTATAAAATTTTGTTTATTTTCAATTGTAAATATTTTCTTGAAATTATATATAAAAAATATTGTTTTCTTGGAGCAACCTTTCCAAAATTACACTCTAAATATCAATTAAATCTTCATAATCCTCAATCGGTATTATAAAAATGAGATTTAGAAGTACACTATTATTTCATCCATTTCTACTCTTAAATTTGTCCTTCTTTCCCTGACGCGGAGCTCGAGCTATGAGATCTTGTATTTATATTATAAAAAAAAAAAAATCAGAAGTTCCTTAACTCTGCAATCAATCAACATTAGCATATCGTCTTCCAAATTCTTTAAATATGCAATCCCAACATTGGCAATTTCCAACTTGGTCTGAGAACTAACTTACATATCATATGTTTCGAATGAATATTACTCGTATGTAGTAGCGTGGGGGCGAAATAGAAGTACTATATGCGTCCTTTCATTCCCTATTATCAACTTGCTCTATTTCGATTTGTCCAGTAGGTGCATGTATTTCTCTCCTCTTTTGACCTCTATTGAATCGTATTTTCATGTCAATTGAACTTTGAAATAAATGCAAAAATCTATTGTTTTAACTAATTAGAGTTAATTATTAATCATTTGTTTTCTAATGCAACAAGTGTTCCCCTTCGTTTTCTCCTAAAAGAATTTTTTTTTCCTTTTCTTCAAACAACATGTTAGAATGGATCGACCCAAGTCATAAAGTATTTTTTAACTAATTAAATTATTTTGTAATACAATAAGTGTTACCTGACATGACTTATACTTATTGTGGGATAAATATGAATTATTTTAAAAAATTCAGTCATGAATACATACCAAATAAAGATATTCCAATCACCAAGTAATAATGAAGAAACTAATAAATGTAGATGATTAACAAAGTAAAATAAATCAAATTTGATACCCGAGCATTCAAAATGCTATTAATTCTTCTTCTCCTTCTGGTAAATCGAGGGATGAGATATGGTGACAACCTCATTAAGGGTTGTGAGATTAACAGCCCATTTTATAACCATAGGATTCATTCCCTCTCTTGTCTCTTTTTTTTTCCTTTTCAAATCAATGGTACAGATTAGATTAAGGGTATTTTTGGACGAAAAAATTGACCACACTAGATTATTACCCCTATTAATACCTAAAACCCTACATTCTCTCTTTCCTCTCTTTCTCACGCCATCTTTCTTCAACCTATTATTCTTCTTCTTCCTCCCATCACTTCCATCTCTCTATCGACTGTCCCCACCGTCGTCGCAGCCGTCCTGCCGACCCGCCACGCCCTCCGCCTCTCATCACTGCTGCAGCCCTCCCGTCGTCGCGCCCTCCGCCTCCCAGCACTGTCACGTCCCTCGCCCCGCAGCCATCGCGGCCTCCTCCTCCCACCACCACCATCGTCGCAACCCTCCCGCCGCCCTCTGTCTACCACCACCATCGTCGCCACGAGGTCACCGCCTCTCCCCTGCCTCCCCCTTTCGTCATCCCTGATTTTTTTTTTTCAAATATGTGATTTTTCATATTTCAGATCTGATTTTTTTTGTGCTAGTCTCTAGTGGTACGCTACCAGTGGCAATGGTACCGCTACCAGTGGTACTGGTACTGCTAATAGTACCGCTACCAGTGGTACTGGTACTGCTAATTGTACCGCTACAAGTGGTAATGGCATCGTACCACTAGCACTGGTAGCGTACCATTATTACTGGTAGCGTACCACTAGCACTGGTACATTTTTTAACGCACTAGTAGCGTACCACTAGCACTGATATATTAATTACCAGCAGACTAATGGATTGCTACACTTTTTAACGCACTGGTACATTTTTTCAGGTTGCCGGAGGGAGTTGTCACGGACATAGACTTCCGAAGTCCGTGCGGCGAAGTCTATGTCCGTGACAGAGGCTGCCGGAGAGAATTCGCCGGAGAAAAAGTCTGTCCATCGAAGCGGAGTGGCCGCAGGAGAAAGGAAGAGAGAGATAGATAGAGATATTCATGTATAGGATTTAAATTTCAAAAATAAATTATATTTAATATGAGTTTTTAATTTCCAATCTGATTAATACAAAAAAAAGTAATTAATATATTCCTTTTTGTCATACTCAAAATACCCTTGGTTGTCAATCTGACAAGTCCTTAAGAGTTGTCACCGTATCCCGTCCCGGTAAATCGAAAGACAATATTCTCCCACAATATTCCGCTAGGGAAGAGATTCCTGCTCGCCTCCCAAATCACCTTTCACTAAATCCCAGACCACAAGGAGACATTTATTAGAGTTGTATTCTTCCGCTCTCGCTGGCCTAGATTAAACGGCGGGCATTACAATGCTTCAAATATCACTTAGGCATCAGTATTTTTAAACAATCCATCTCAGAGTCGTCATACATGGTCGATTCTACCAATGGCAGAATTGTTCTACTGGCCGCGAAATGGATCATATCATGCCACAAACGGGAATATTCTCTTCTGGGTACGACACAGCCTAAATGTCAAAATTATATACAGCAACACTCTATAAATTGAGCTGTACGTTTAATTCGCACAGGAGGACGTCAAAACAACATACATGCAGCGAGACAAAGCGAGAGAGAGAGAACAGTTGTGATGGAGCGACGGGCAACATCATGGGCGAGGGTCGTCGTCATTTTCATGTTCCTGACAACGAGGGTCGTCGTCATGGGCGATGTCCATTCATGCACAGGTGGCGAAATCAGCGACGACGGGACCCACTCGTCGTACGTTGCACACGTGCTGTCGGAGCTGACGGCGGTTACGCCCACCAACCCTACGCTTGATGACGGCACGGTGTTCCCCGGCAACGGCGTCAGTGGCTCCGTCGTGGGCATGGCGTCGTGCTCCGATCCTAATGACCGTGACCTCTGCGCACGCTGCCTTTTGGGTCTTCAGCAGTTGGTTTTCGGGTCCTGCAGCACCCGGGCCGGCGGCTACGCTAATTCGGACGCTTGCGCCACGGGTTTCGCGACGCCTTAACTACATCTACATGCAGTCGTAGCTAGCTATGACTTCACAAATCACAAACCATGCATACATGGAATGGAATGAATGGTTTATATATAGTTTGAGTTGCTGGAAGAGGAAAGCAAATAATAATTCCAATGAGTACTGTAAAATATATTGGAATACAAGAATATTTGTATTGGGTAATCTACATGTCCATTTTATGAAGTTGATTAAAGGGTACTGTTCACTTTGTACTTGGTTGGGGTACAATAATACCACCTTTTTTTTCTCCCTTGTACAGAGGGTACAAACCTGGTTGACGACTCGATAACTTTCTATTTTATCGGGGTGCAGAATTGAATATATACAACTAAACCGATTGCAATGATCGTTCTGCTGTTGGCATGAAACTTTCGGTAGAGTTTTAATAGATTTTTGCTGATGTTGCCTGTTGTGGTTGCAATATTTTTGTGACATATCACAACACGATCGATGAGACAAATTATTGTTTTAATGACGAGGTCTTTATTTCAACGATGACCAACAACCATTAGTGAACTGAATGACTAAATCTCGCCCTAACTTTATTATTATCGCCCTAATTTAAAATATAAAATTATTAAATTAACCTTTAACAAACAACCCTAAAATTCATTTTTTAAACCCCCTTCATCTTCTTCCCAACGAGAGCTGCCCTCCAAACCAGCTCCGCCGTTGAGAACCCGCAATTCACTCAAAACCACCTCTGTCATTGAAAAATCTGAACTCCATCAATCCTTCTGTAGCCTACTGAGAGGGCTCCAATCGACCCTCCTCTGTCCTGCCGCTTGAGTGGTAGAATTCCTCTATCCTGAACGGCGCAGCCGACTTCTATCTGTTTGTGATTGCTATATATATAATCGATGTCCTGAAAATACAGAGAGGGTTGACAATCAACCGATCTATAGTTAGCGCTATCCTTCCATTTGCCACAATTAACACCAAAAAGAGAAGCTAAATGATTAGTCAATTCACATGTTCCCATTTTCTGTAATCTTTCGTATTCCCTCAAAACCCTCACAAATTCCGCAAGTGGAACCAGGAAGACTAGCGAGAGTTATCATACCCACTCCACCACAAGAAATTGTACCCAAAAATCTCCACAAATTCTGTTATGAATTTGGGCAGAAGCTTTGTTTTGATATTCAGCGTACTAGGTTAATTTGCAATGATCAATTTGATGATGGGTTTGCATGATTTCTATTTTGGATTATAAGTAGGTAGGTTGCGGGATGTACCGAGAGAAACGTCCTCTGTTCGCATTCGATTGACATGGTGGCGGGCGGCGGGTCAGGGTAGGCGGTGGTGGAAATCAAAACCGTAGTAATTAATGTCGAATTTGTTTGGACGGAGTTTTGTTTATTAGAATAAAACATTTTTAACAATAAAAAATGAGAAGGATAAAAGGGTAATAATAATTGTAAGTTAGGGCGATTAAGTCAAATTAGGGCGACAATTAGCAACTCCCGTAATGAAAACGATATAGACTCAAATGCGTTTGGAAAAAACGTGAGTTAATTTCAAGATCGAATATAAATATGATCTCAATTATGGGACAAAGTTGGAAGTTAACTTATTATAATGGAGGTGGCTTGTATATGTTTAATAATTTATGGATTTAGGGTTTATAGCTACTTAGCTTGAAGGAAAAAAATCGACGATTTATTTGAAGAAATTAGATTATTTTTTTGTATATTTTCACTTGTAAATTATTTTCTTGTGATTATCAAAATATTTTCTTGGAAGAACCTTTCCAAAATTAAAATCTAATTATCAATTAAAATTTAATCGTCCTTGCAATATAATGATCTGATTTAGAATTACCATTACTTCATCCATTTCTACTCTTTAATTTATCCTTATAATCGTCATCATTTATTTTCAAAAATACTAAACATACAAACAAACCATATAACCTTTTAAGTTTCTATACATGTGATACACTAAAAAAACAAGGATGGGCTCTCCAAAACACACCCCATATCATACTATCTTTTCAAATTACGAGAAACGCATTATTAATCTGGCCAGAGAAAGTAAAAAAGTGTCCCTAGCTATATTTTCCCCCAATGTTATTTAGTTTTTTTTACATCGTATTAATTATTTGTTAATGTGAAAGATCCCTTATAGTCGTCATCTTGAGAATGTATTTTTCCTTATAGTCCGTCCGCTTCGCCTGCCACATTCCGTATCACTAAATCCCAGACCGCAAGCAAACAGTTCACTGGAGTTGTATTCATTGGCTCTTGCTGGCCTAGGTTAAACGGCGGGCATTGCAAAATGGCCGATTCCACCGATGACAGCATTCTTCTACTTCTACCGGCCGCAAAATGGACCATCATGCGACCTTACAGGTAGTCCAAAGGTCTAATGAAACGAAACCCTCCTCTCTAGCTATCTATAAATTCTGCTGCTGTTTCCCACAGGACGTCGATCCAAACATATATAGAGATACAGATAGTACAACGCGAGATTCAAAACACATATATAGAGAGAGAGAGACTAGTTGTGATGGATCGACGGGCAGCATCGCCGGCGTTAGTACTACTAGTGACCGCCGTCATCTTCATTTTCCTGACGAGGGACGTCGTCGTCGGCGGCGGCGGCCACGACGGTTCATGCACAGGTGGCCAAATCAGCGACGATGGGACTCACGCGGCGTACGTGGCACACGTGCTGTCGGAGCTGGCGACGGTTACGCCGACCACACCTAAGCTTTCGGACATCACAGTTTTCCCCGGAAACGGCGTCAGTGGTTCCGTCCTGGGCGCGGCGGCGTGTTTCGCTCCCAGTGACGCTGGCGTTTGCGCAAGCTGCCTCTCGGAGCTTCAACCGCTGCTTTTCGGCTCCTGCGGTACTTGGTCCGTCGGCTACATTGAAAAAGTGTCCGTTTGCGCCATGGGTTTCAGATCGGGTTAACAGTACGCATGCAGCTATACGAGTTACTGAAAACATATTTGGAGCGTAAGAATAAGATTTGTACCGGACTATTTCAGTATTTTGGGTGATCTGTGTGTGTCCATTTTATGAAGGTGAAATGGTACTTATACTGTCCACTTTTGTAATCGGTTGGGGTATAACCTTGTGTTTTTTTCTTCTTCTTTTTTTACAGTCTGGGAACAACCTTGTTGATAGCGGTTTCGATCCGTTTTATCGGGTGGATGAATAATACAATCAATACCTATTGCAGTGGTAGAGGGCATTTAAAATTATCACCGTCGAAGCGTCGACCCAAAATTTCTCTCATTTGACAGGTGGTGTCGCGTTAAGAGATAGTTTAATGATTATGCTGCGAGCAGCTCGGCTCATTTGCGGCTCTAATTGTAAGTTGTAACAGGTTGTTTCTTGTTATTACAAAAATTAATAATTTCTATAAGAATCCAAGAAATCACGCGGAAATGAAATTGAGCATCTCCAATTGGCGCGTCGTCGTTTCACCAGAAAGAAATAAACAAACGTGAAAAGTAACATTAGACAAATCAAAATCAAATCACAGAAAGAGGAAACTCTTCTTCGCTCTTTCTCTGTCTACCACCACTCCCACAAATACACACACGGCTCCGAAAATGCTAACTATCACACCACCACTCCCCCGCTAACACGCAAATTTGTCCGTCCCTACATTTTCCCCGGCGACAAAATCCCCCGGTTTCCATCTCCCGTCCCCCATGTTCCGATACTCTCAGCCTCCTGAAGTCGACGAAGCTGCCATCCCCACCACCGCATCCACAGGCGCCGACGACGCCGTCACCGCCACCACCGGCGGCAGCGATCAAACTTCTCACTCGATCCGGGACCGCCTCCGCTTCAAGCGCAATCCTAACCAGGCCACCTCCCCGACCGCCAGCACTTCCGGCCGGGGCACCAAATCTAGAGAAGATCGCGCTCCTTCGTCGCGGAGCAGATGGCATCACCACCACGGGACGGGAGGGCGCCGGAAGAGCTGGTTCGCCTTCCGCGGGGTTTATTTATTCTACCTCGTCATAGTTTTCTCGGTCTTAGCGTTCGCCATCGCGTCAGTGCTGTTGCAGAGCTCCGTGACCTCGGTGATGTTTAGCACTGGCTGGAGCGAGCATAGGAGATCGGTGGGGGAAGGGCTGAGGTTGGGGACGACGTTGAAATTCGTGCCCGGGATAAGATCGCGGCCGCTGGTGGAGGGGCAGGGGCTCGATCAAATCAGAATGCAGCAGGTTGCTCGACTGGGCCTCCGGGCCCCTAGGCTTGCTATTGTAAGCCTCCCTCCCTCCCTCTTCCATGCCTGACTTTTTCAATTTTCGGTTATGGAACACCTTGACTTATAGCCGTGCAATGGAGCTTTTCTCACTGCATCAAGAACATGAGTATGTGAGACTTCTTATGCTTGTGATTGGGGCAATTACAATTGCATTTGTGTGTAATGACTAGTGAGGTTAGTTTAGGGTGAACCAGCGAGCGAGATAATGCTGTTGCGTTGGTGTGCTTGCTTTGTCAGTAAGAGCTTACAGTTCACCCTGGAGAATCTGCTATGATTTTGGATAAGATAGTCCTATTCATAGGGGAACACTGCTTGAACTGCCATACATGCTAAATTCTTGTTAGTAATGACTAATGAATCATTGTGGTGGATCGAGCGAGCTGCACATTATTATATTTGAGTGTTAGAGGAAGTGGTTTATAAGAAAAAAATAGCTGCAGCAATTTGTTGTGGAAAGACTTTACTGGTTCTTGCGGGACAAGACCACTTCTCTTCAAGTCTAACTTCTTTTGGATTCAAGTTTTATATGTTGAGTGGTTAATATGCTGATACACGTTACCTCGAAGAATACTACCTGACCAGTTGATAACTTTCAACCAATTTCCATTAGATTACTTTTGCACTGTTATAACTTAAAATGGAATGAGGTATCTAACCGGTACCTTAATTTCCTTATTACAAATTATTCAATAAACACCATGCTCAAATTATTTTCTGTTAAATAATGCATTCACCATCTGTCGAGATCCATTTTAGGTTCTAGGCAGTTGAGAGTCGTGTGGACACTATATCTGAGACAAGCAACAGCATGTGATCATATTTGAAGCCCTGACCAATTTTTCCCTGTTGCACTATCAACTATCAGCTTGGGATTCTGCCATACATATCATTAGGATGTCCTAAATAATGTTCCAGAATTGTTTAACATGAGAGAAAGAATTTAAAACAGTTCTTATTTGCTTGTCTTGGATTTTCTTCAATTAATTGCTGCTTGTTCTGATTAATGTCAGATTTTAGGAAATGTGAAGAAAAATCCACAGTTGTTGATGTTGATTACAATAATGAAGCATCTAAGAATTCTTGGCTATTCGCTTCAGGTGAATCCCCCTTCCCCTTTCCTTTTATGTTATCCTATTGATTTAGTTGTTATATACTCTGTTTCATTTGAGTTAAGTCATGCCATCATCTCTTCAAACTTGGATAATAATAAAAAATTATGCTTGACATAGTTGCATGAATTTATGTAATCAATTTGGTGGAGGGCTAATAGTCTGTGTTGGCATGTTGAACTTTTACTTCACAACAGCTAATGCATGCCACGATTGCCTATTTGACAGATTTATGCACCAAAGAATAGCAGAGCACAATCAGTTTTGGAGCGAACAGGCGGTCAGATATCAATACTACCAACTGACAACTATAGCCATATCGACTGGTCCATGTATATTTCCTTCATGATATTTCTCATGACCTATCATTATAGCCTTTTCTTGCTTTCTTTCCTTCACAACATGAATTTTATGCGGTTGTGGAGCTAGTAAACATTTCTTATGCATATTCTAATTGAGAACAATTTCTACTTTAATGGTCTTTTGGTAGGTTTGATGGTATAATTGTTGACTCCCTTCAAGGAAGAGAATCTATGTCAAGGTCAGCTTATTTTGTTCTCCGTTGGTTGCTTTGATCTTCATGAATCCATGTTCCATTGATTGCTTGGTTTAAGATTTGGATGCTTATGGCTCTTGTCTCTACTTTAAAGAGATATTCCTGATTCCTATTTGTTTGTAGTGTTGAAAGTCTCGTGTGTGCTTCTGCAGTGTCTTTAATCAAATGGCCCTGGATTCTTGTGTTGTGTTTTGTTATTCTGTACATGGAGTGTTGCATACTCCAATGAGTGGTACCAATTCAATATGGAGCTATGCTGTTTCTAAGTTTGGTTGTTAACTCAAGGAATTGTTACCAAGTAATAACAGACACTGTCAGTGTTCTTGTATCATGCAAGTATATAGTGAAGGTTTGTACAAACATGGGGATTATGTGTATATGAGGGGCACAATTTGTTGAAGTAATTTCAATGAACTCTAAGTAGATGGAATGGAATGTATATGCTTAAGGTCATAATCTATTTCCATAGGAGTTTTCTTTGTCGACGCGTATGTGTGAAGATGATTATTGACTGTTTGCTTTGGTTTGATGTGCTCTGGATAGTGAGTTTTATATTTGTGCAGCCTTATGCAGGAGCCTTTCTGTTCAATACCGGTTATCTGGATAATACAGGAAGATGCACTTGCTAATCGCCTTCCAGTGTATGAGGAAATGGGATGGACTCATCTCATGACTTACTGGAGGAGTGCGTTTAGCAGAGCCAGCGTGGTCGTTTTTCCAGATTTCACGCTGCCGGTAAATATGCCGCCATATTATATTTTTCTGTCTTATCTGGAATCAGCCGTATAATAAATAAATACTCTTCTTGTATCAGATGTTGTATAGTGTGGTTGACCCTGGAAACTTCTTTGTGATTCCTGGATCACCGGTAGATGTCTGGGCTGCGGATATTTATAGAAAGACTCATGACAAGCATCAGCTAAGGATGAACAATGGATTTGATAAAGAAGATATTGTAGTTTTAGTTGTTGGCAGTTCCTTCTTCTACAATGAACTGTCATGGGACTATGCTGTTGCAATGCATACCCTGGGTCCCTTGCTTGCCAAATATGCCAGAAGAAACGATGCTGAAGGATCATTCAAATTTGTCTTTCTATGCGGTAATTCAACTGATGGTGATGCTATACAGGTAATCACTCATTGGTTTAAAATGATGTTGCATTTTCAGTTGAAGCACTATCTATTAATGTTTTTGGCCAGACCTTATTCTACCAGGGTGTATCTCTGTCCGTATGTGATGCATATTTTACAGTTAGCACATGTATAATTCGATAAGCTGCAAACTGAATGCTTGTTTTTTGGGATGACACACTAGGTTTAACTTGGCAGTGGATGAGAAAGTAGCGATGAACCTGATTTATCCTAACATTTGGTTGTGCATAAATCTTCTCCATCTGTATTATTTGTGATATCATTTGAGTAGTTTTCTGTAAAGATACCATTGAGCCAATCATCTAGGAACGAAAGATTTAAGCAGTTGAGGCATTTATTTCCTTTGGTTTATTACTAAGTTCCTGGAAGTTGAAGTTTTCTCATTTCTTATCAACTCTCTGTGGATAAGGACGCATGAGATCTTGGAGTCTAGAAATTTTAACAAAATCATGGGAAAAGTTGCCATTGTGTATTTTGTTTGCGGAGGAGGTTTCTATCATTGCTCTCTTTCTCGTGATCGTAAGCTTATTTGATCCCAATTTATTATTTCCCTGTAGGAAGTTGCTTCTCGTTTGGGACTTATTCATGGTTCTGTAAGGCATTATGGTTTGAATGGTGATGTCAGCAGTGTGTTGTTAATGGCAGACATAGTTCTTTATGGTTCTTCTCAGGATGAGCAGGGTTTTCCTTCTTTGATCATCCGAGCCATGACCTTTGGAATCCCTGTCCTGACACCCGAGATTCCCATAATGAAAAAATATGTGAGTCACTGGCAGGTCCAATCTTAATGTCCTTATAATCTGCTTTTCATATTTATTTTCATTTTAGTTCTTTCTTCTTTCTCATACATGATGTGTTTCAACAACTGCAGGTTTTTGATGAATCCCATGTGCTATTTTTCCCCAAGTATGACCCTGAAGCTTTGATGAGGACTTTCTCTCTTTTGATATCTGATGGAAGTCTTTCCAAACTTGCTAGAACTCTTTCTCTCTCTGGAAGACTATATGCTAAGGATATGCTTGCCTCTGAATGTGTATCTGGTTATGCAAAGCTTTTAGAGAACATTCTTTCCTACCCCTCAGACACTTTGCTACCAGCTTCCGTGGATCGGCTTCAACAGATCACATGGGAATGGTCGTTGTTTGGTGAGGAGATAGATGGGGAAGCTGCTGACTCTAATATCAGAGTTTTGAGTGTTGTTCAGAATCTTGAAACAGAGGTTCAGGATCTTGTCACATCTACAAATACCTCTGGGATCTCAACAGAGATATCGGAGCCTGATGGTTTGACCAAGTTAGATTGGGACGTATTAGACGAAATAGAAAGTTCTGAAGAATTTGAGAACGTGGAGCTGGAACAGGTATGTTGCGATCTTCTTGGCAAATAAAATTTGAATCATCACCCTTCACACGTAAAGTTGAACTACAACCTTAAAGCCCTCTTTGGTTAAAGTTACACAATGACCATGACACCTGAGTGCAGGGTTGGTCCTTGTCAGTCCAACACAAATGTTATTTCTTTCCTCTTTTTTTTTTTTTTTTTTGTTTTTTTGTGCTGTTTACAATTTTGACCTAGGTATTTATCTGTAGTTTGAAGAGAGGATGGACAAACACCCAGGCATTTGGGATGAGATATACCGCAATGCACGAAAAGCTGAAAAACTAAAGTTTGAAGCAAATGAAAGGGATGAGGGAGAGCTAGAACGGACAGGACAGCCAGTTTGTATTTATGAGATATACTCTGGAGCTGGTGCTTGGCCGTTTTTGCACCATGGTTCCTTGTACCGCGGATTAAGCCTTGTAAGTTCATAGCCATGGCTCTTTTCCCCTGGTTTCGATTTGCTTGTTTCATTATGTACTCCTTTGTACTATCTGTTTCTCTTTTCTTGTTTCAGAGGTCAAGTTGTTATTTATTTGATTAAGTTTATGGTTTGCGAGTTCTCATTGTACCTCTTTCGGTAATTATTGCTAACTTGCTTCTTTCAGTCAACAAAAGCTCGAAGATCAAGATCAGATGACGTGGATGCAGTGGCCCGCCTCCCTCTATTGAATGATACATATTATCGAGATATATTGTGCGAGTTGGGTGGAATGTTTTCAATTGCCAATAAGGTGGACGACATTCACAAGAGACCTTGGATTGGGTTCCAGTCTTGGCGTGCCACGGGTAGGAAGGTATCTTCAGTTATGCTGTGGACATTCTATTTGTTTCCCTTGGCACTTGTTGCCATAGCCAAATTGTGTGATGTGGTATCGATTGCTCTCAGAATCTAGTTAGCTGGAGATTTGATATCTTGTCTGTGTCCTAATCACTCAGCCTTGTTTATTGGAACAGGTTTCATTATCTCCGAAAGCTGAGAAAGTTCTGGAAGAGAAAATACAGAGAGAGACTGTAGGGGATGTAGTATACTTTTGGACGCGGTTGGACAAGGATTATGAAGCTACAGCAAGCAGTGCCAAACTAGGGTTCTGGTCCATCTGCGACTTATTAAATGCAGGGCACTGCAGGTATCTCATTGGAAATTCCTTGCATGTGTGTTCTTCTCGTATTGAGCGAAAAAAGAAGTTCATGTTCTTTTGGGGGCAGTAACAAGGGAAAATGGGAAACACGACTTGCATTCTTGAATATAACTGCCGGTGTCCACGTGCAGAACGACTTTTGAAAATGCATTTCGTCAGATGTATTCCCTGCCATCACATCTAGAAGGTCTTCCACCAATGCCAGAAGATGGAGGTCACTGGTCCGCCTTGCATAGCTGGGTGATGCCAACCCCTTCATTTTTGGAGTTCACTATGTTTTCAAGGTAAGCATAAGAAAGGGAACCCCCCATCTAACCAAAATGCAGCGCTAATTGACATTTACAAATAACTGCACCTGCAGAATGTTCGTTGATTCCCTCGACTCGTTGCAAGCCAATTCTGGTGTAGCATGCATGTTTAGTTCATCAGAAGTTGAGGTGGGAGATGCTTCCTTACCTCTTGATTTGATCTAAAGCGAGTACACTTCAGAATTAATTTTGAGTTAACTATCTATGTGGGGTCTCGCATGTTATACATCAACAGGAAAAGCACTGCTATTGTCGAATAATGGAGCTTCTGGTGAATGTCTGGGCTTACCACAGCGGAAGAAAAATGGTCTACATAGACCCTGAAACCGGCAGTTTCGAAGAGCAGCACTCAATTGAAGAACGCAAGGGAGGAGTTATTTGGGCGAAGTATATGAATCTAACATTGCTCAAGAGCATGGATGAAGACCTCGCTGAGGCGGCTGATGACGGCGACCTGCTTAGGGAAAGATGGCTATGGCCATTGACAGGGGAAGTGCATTGGCAAGGGATTTACGAGAGGGAGAGGGTGGAAAGGTACCGCCAGAAAATGGACAAGAAGAGGAAGAATAGGGAGAAACTGGTTGAGAGAAATAGGATAGGATACAAGCAGAAACCTCTCGGACGACGCCGTCAGCTGCTTTGACGGGGAAGATTGATCGTGTACAATGTCGACAAAGACGGATCAATAGTTGATTTTTGGCCTTCCTCAACGTCCTGGTGGTGGCAGCGGCGGCTTCAGGAACACAAGTCTGACTCCTAACATGGATAACCAGCCTCCAACTCTTTCATCTGAATCAATACATCAGAGCTCAGGTAAGGAAAGTGCATCTATTCAAACACCATTCTACTATTTCCCGCGGATTTACGTTACACAAGAGGATTGTGAAGAAGGTAGAAACAGGAAGAAGAAGAAGAGAAGAAGCGCTTTCCTGCAGTTGCAGTCATGGAATGAGAGCATCGGTTGGTTGGTGCCATCTTTAGTGCGAGGTTAGTAGCACCATGGATCGATATTCGTTTTGTTCTTTATTTTGTTGTTCTGTTGTCATAAGACATTTTTACGACCCATTTAGTTGGAGATTGGTGTAATTCTTTATTTGTATATACTTGGCCACCACAGCATAGAGGAAAGTTTTGTTCGCAATAGGGAACTCCTACATTTGTTCTGTTCCATACATACACGCTGCTGCTCTGCAACACAACTTTGTGTTAAAACTTAAAAACTATGCTTTGGTTATTAGCTTTTCCCTTGGATACCTTAGAAAATACAGAGCAACCATGCACATATTGGTTGTTGTAAAACAGGATAGTCTTCGTCCGACGAACCAACTCTTTCTAAGAAAAGCTCCTTTATGTTCAATATACCCGGTATCACGCTGGTGAAGAATCCTTGCAACGGCGGGACAACCGGTCTGTATTATGCCGTCCCTTTGCCAACATTTGTCAGGGTTCCATGGAACTGCCCTACGTGGATTGGCTGAGTTACTCGAATAATTTGCGTCGAAAAATATGATGAACGAAGATCATTTCGTTTAAAAGTCGAAAATTGATCATCCCGCACATACCTGTTGTATTTGCACTGGTTTTATAATCGAAACCGATTGAATCGGGTTCAACCGGTAGGCATTACCGGCGCGACGACATTAATAAAGAGAGCGAAATTTCTCGTGCCGTTTAGCCGCGTAGGGTTTTAGAGGGAAACAAAACAACCCCAAAACCACTCACCGTCGCCACCACCCAGACTCTGAAAATCAAAATCTCACCGCTGTCTCGTAGCGATCCTCTTTCCCTTCCCACAAGTCAGTCACCACTTTCTCCACCGTCAGGTTCCTTCCCTCGCTCTCATCTCCATCCATTACTACCGGCTCCCAGTCTGCTCGACATTTTTCTGCTTCTTTCACTCCGATCGTCTCCTTTACTTCCATGGCGTCCTGAAAAATGACTATCAATGTCGTTTGGGGAGCGGTGTCTGTGAGATCGGCTTTTTGCATGGAAATGCCCACTGAGAGTCTGAGATGTGGTAACTTTACAGGTGGTCTCTATGCGCCAACACAACTGTAGACCAATGCGCTATATGAATGGTGGCGGTGAGTTTAGCCGGACGCTTGCCCGAGCCTGGTCCAGTCAATCTGCGCGGAGGAGGGTACCAGGCATTCGACTTCCAAGGGAGAAGAGGAAGGCCATGGTTGAATCGTTTGTGAAGCAGTAATCCGCCCTATCCCGCTTGATTTCATTTGTGAATGATCTAGTTGTGTGTATTTGTACATGATTTCGAATTTTGAACTAGAATTGATTTGACTTCCTGGCGGCTGGTTCCTAGTTGCTTATGGCTTATGGGGGTTTCCACATTTGTGAGAAGGGTAGAACGAACCTATAGGAGTGACCAGTGATACTTTCTCGAATTTATGTTTCCTTGTTGCAGGTACCAGCAGTCAAACAATGGGAAGTTTCCTTCTTCCCTCTCGCTAACACGGCAAGAAGTAGGTGGTTCACCCCTGGTTCTGCGCCACATTCTTCAAGAAGTCAAAGTTGTTTGGAGCAGAGATCAAGCACAGAAACCGGGTCTTGCCCAACGATCCCCTCAAGGTACAATATCCACAGAATCTCAATCAACTTCTGTGACTTTTTCACTGAATGGGACTGTATCAATGGCTGATGAGCAGCACTCCAAATTGGACAGGGCACATCATCCGGTTTCTGATGTGCTTGGTGCAGAATCTAAAAGGGTCCATATTGAAAACCTGCGGAAAGTTGATGGCGATCCGGTAACTGACGAGAAATTGAATTCTGATGGGGCAGAAGTTGCTGGGGTTCAAGCAAGTGGAAGCGAGGTTAAGCAACCGGCAGGCATTGTATTAGAGGCATACCATTTGCAAGGAGATGTGGGTTCCGACAGAATGAATGCTGCTGGGTTCACACAAGTGGATCACTAGAGCACAATGAACAAGCCAAAGGAGTGCTGGATGTGGTTGTAAATACTACTGCATTGGAAATGAATGAATCTGCAAAACAAAGTCTTGTAAAAGGTCAAGCGAGTGAAGGATCAATGAGAGTAGGGAAAACTGTTGAAGTGATGAGATCTGAGGTCAAAGTAACTGAGGAAGAGAACGTAGCTCTAGAGGTATCTCATTCACAGCCGGTGCAAACTGGTGAAAGGGAGGAATTAGACACAAGAAATCAAGGTTCCAGCTCAGATAACGATCGCACGTTAGAGCAATCCTATAGCAGGAATGAGAAGGTAACTGTACAAAATGATCTAATTGTTCTGTATTACTTATTGGTTTTCTTCTCTTGTGTCCGAAGTTGAATGTATTCGAGGAGCAATGGAATCTCTAAGCATAAACTTCAGTCTCAGAATTTCTGTTTCTTGTCAATCATGGCCCTTCCCCATTAGTTACTCTGTGCCCTCCGTTCTTTGACATTTAAACCCGGTGAAGTTTTCTTTTTAATTGTTGTCTTTGATGTTAGCAATGCTTTATTCTTAGGATTATGCAATGCTGACGATACCTGCATTGCCCTGCCATTCTATAATTAGTTTTGTTTAAACTTGTCATTCAGAAGGAAGTTTGGACTATCAAATCTCACTGGCCATCACAAAATGTTGCTTTTACAGGTGGAGATCATTACCGATGACACTGCAGTAAGTGTTGGTGGTGTCCATCAGGCAAACCTCCGAGCAGACAATGTTGATTACAGTAGAGATAGGTGGTAAAGACAAACCACCAACTTCAGCACTGCAAGTAACTAAAAGCACAGAGCAGTGTATTTTGATTTAAAGGTCCTCTCTGACTTCCATTGTATGGGTGGCAGGTCGGACGATGAAAGAGCACTGCAAGTACCTCTGGAGCGGGAAACCAAGACGATTGGAGCTGCTTTGAAATCGTTCGTAGTAACTGCCTTTAGGAAAGTTTGGCTAGGATAATCAATCTCATGCGTTGTGTAGAGAGAGTGCATTCAACGTTTTGATGTTCCGAGTGCAGAGTGAATGGGTTTTTGTCTTGTTGGTAACTGCTGATTATGAAGGTATCAGGTTATTGCTTACAATGCTGTAGTGAGGATGGAAGGGTGACAGAGATGTAGCTAATGATTTTTTGATGGTCGATAACTACATTAGATTCAGCATTTTCTCGGTGTTATGGTCCACGGAGATGGATTGAACCTTTGGACAAAATGAGAATAAGTAGCCTGCAACTTGTTTCTGACTTGAACGTCAGAGGATCTAGATTAATATTACCATTGATGGTACTTTTTATCGGTATCCTTGTGAAAGCAAGGTGATACTTGCAGAGAAAGAGTGTTTGAGTCAACTTCAACGAAAATTATTTTCGAAAATAAGCTATTTTATTTTATATCGCCATCATCATAATTCATAAGTCATAATTTCTGAAGACAACAATCAATAACATACCCAACAAATTAGTAAAAAAATACTAAAATTCACCTCATTATAAAAATAATATAATATCTAACTTTGTACCTATAATCTTTTCTTAAAAGTATACACATCATAACTTTCAAAAAGTAATGTATACACATGATAACTATTTTGCAAAGCCACATATTTCTTCATTAAAAAATGAACTATCCCCATATTATTCTTTCTTTGTAAGAATTAAACACAGGTGCCTGCCCGGCAGGCCGGGCCCAAATGAAAGGTAAGTGGTAAATTCCGTAGGATTGATCCCAAGACCCGACCCAGTTTGACCCGAGAGTCACCATGGAAGATACTGTTGTAAGTTTAGAACTACCACTACTCCGCCACTTCACAGTGAAAGTCAGTCACTCCTGCAAGAATTTAAGGAGACTCTCTTGCCCTGGGTATGCTCACTGTAGGGTTTTAGAGCAGACGGAGAGTGAGGGAAGGAAGGAGAGTGATGAAAAATGACTGCAAAACCCCAAACCTAATCTACTGCTCTGCATCTCTGCGCCAATCGAGGCCGGGCACCAGGTAAACCCACTCAAACCCCTTTTCTCCATTTCATCTCTGATCTACCCGTCTGTTATCATTCCCTTCTCCTCTTCTTGTGCTTCTCCTCCTCCTGCTTTCATGGCGTGGGTTGTGTTTTCTTGTTTGCTATAGGTTCCGCTGCGGAATTTTGCTGTTTCTTGTTTGCGAGCCCTATAACTCATTCCTGCTGCAGGTTTGAAGTCCGAAAGCCTGGATGTTAATTCGCTTTCAAGTCGATTGTTCTTCCAGTTCCATCTTTAGGCCTTCAAATACATTTCGTATGGGGTTATGTTGGGTTCTACTTCAGTTGATTAGGAGGAGGCAACTGAAGTTGGCGGGCACCGTGGGAAGTTTGTCCATTGGATTGGAGTTAAGGAACCCCTGAAAGGGTGTTTTAGACAAATTTTAGCCCTCAATCGTCATAGTTATGTAATTATGATTACTTGAATTGAAGGAAGAAGACTGGGCTCCGCAATAGGCATTGCTATTCAGTTGACGACGATCGAAAAATCATTTGCATTAGCATACGAAAAGAATCCATGTGCATCCGGGGGAATGGTCTTTCTGTTTGGAAATGGTGAACTAGGGTGGAGAGTGGAAAAATATGGAGTTTCTGGCATCTGGTCACCTTTATGGAAGTCATCATCTTTTATCTTTTGCAAAGTTAGTTTCTCTAGTCTAGTGTTGTCTCTCAGGGAGTTTCTGTAATCTGTTTTTCTAACTCTTTGTTTCAATTTTTATCCGAAGAAGCTATTGCTGTCTCGCACTTTGATATGCCAATAAATTTCTGAATTTTGTACATCTTTCTGTCTTCTTTGTATTGCTAGTTTGCCATAATATTGCTCTGACTTAATATAGTGCTTTGTAGGTGTATGTACTGAAGACCTTGAACTGTCACTAGAGTATCATGCATGCTATAAAGGGTGGTTGGGTTGGCCAGACGTTTGCCCTATCCAAGTCCAATGAGTCTGGAGGGAGGAAGTCTCGCATCCGCCGTTCAAAGGAGGAAAGGAAGGGCATGGTTGAATTGTTTATAAAGAAGTAATTCCTTGTTCCTTATCAACAAGTTTACTTGGTTTTCTTCTATTGATGTCTTACATTGAAGACCTTGTGGTAGATTGTGGAAAAAAAATATTCATCTTGTGACAGGGATCTGGAAGTCTTTCTCCTCCATTTTTCACATGTTTACGGTCATTCCAGTCCAACTTTTGCACTCTGAATTGCAGATGTGGTACTTGACTGTGTTGTTAACATGATGGTTCTCCTTGTAGGTATCAGAGTTTAAACAATGGCAACTTTCCTTCTCTTAACCTCACCCACAAGGAAGTTGGTGGGTCATTCTACACTGTTCGTGAGATTGTTCGAGAAATAATCCAGGAAAATCGTGTATTGGGCCCTGCTAAGTTTTTGCCTGAGGAGCAAGACTTTCATGAGTGGTCAGAGCAGTATCCCCTGGGCACAATATCCACAGAACCTCAGCCTTCTTCTGCTTGGTTGCCTAACGGAACTACAGTACCGACTGATCAACGCCCTAGTTCACTTGAAGAATTTTCTTTCAGTTGTCGTGGGCGTGCTGAAATTAATGACGACACTGCTGAAACTGGGCAAATAATTAATGCAAATTTTGAAGTTGTCGGGAGTGCAGAATCTGATCAACAGATGGTCAACGAGTTGCACATAACCGACAATGAAGTGGCTTCAATTGAAAGCATATTGGTACCTACTGATGCTTCAATAGACAATCACGGTGTTAAAACAGTTTCTGTTGAGGTCCAAGCAGGTGGGTTATTGGAAAACAAGTCAAGTTCCAACGTAGTAGGGTATGCACTCCAGGACAATCTACAGTTGGAAGTTGGAGAATCACATGAACAAATGAACGCTGCAGTAGAAATTCAAGCAATAGGAACAGAGAAAAATGCCAGTGTGGCGGATGCAGTGACAGATGCCCCTGCTTTAGAAGTTGAAGAATCTGACCAAGGGGTGCCAAGAGAAGTTCAAGCATTGGAAACAGAGAAAAGTGCTGAAGAAGTGCCTGATACAGTTTTACTCGGCCCCTCCTTGGAAGTGGAAGAATTTAAGGAACAAATCCATGCTAAACTCCAGGTGAAGGTACCAGGGAAAAGTGCCAAAGAAGAAGTGGAACCATCTAGGGCAAAAGTCTTTGAAATAGAAGATGTCGTGGTGGAAACATTTCCTTTACCCACTGTTTCAAGAATTGATGGTAATGCGAACTCCGTAAATGGTTCCATTAGAACATCGAAAGAAAATGATGTTGGAGATGATAAAGATGACTATCAAAACAGTTCTTTGTTGGAAAGGAAATCCACTGGAGCAAACGAACAAGAGAGCAAAATTCCAGTTGGTGCGTCGTCAGTGGTTGGATCCGAACTAAATACCATCAAGGAAGGCATCGTGCATGATAGGAAACTTGGTGTTGATGTGAAACCAAAGTTATCAAATGACCAGGTAAAGTTCTCAAGCTTTGTATTCCCTTGTAGGAGCTCTTTGCTCTCTCCATACTTTTCCACCTTGGTCTTCTATTCTAGTTCATCTTCCCAATGTGAGCTTTCACAATTTATGTATCTCAAGCAAAACAACCATAGAAAGATAATTGAACCTCAAGGCTGCTTTCTTTCTTCCCACAGTGCTCTTTGAGTTAGGTGATTGTCAATTCATTTTCACATAAATCTTGATTTCTTGTTCTCACTGCTCAATTAAATACTACAATTGGGCTATGTTTTCTCAAAGCTTAGTTCTTAAGGAGATCGAGCATTTACTCGGAATAGGAGGAGGAAAGGTCTAATACTCTAATTACAATCTATCTAAACATTTTTGTTGAATGAGGTGGGTTATATAGGCTGCTACAATTTAGAACGAGCCAGAACGTGATCCAAATGCTCTAGTGTATGCAGTGCTTTTCTATTGCAAGTCCCAAGTGTGGGGTATCAGTTAATAACAAACGTGGTTTTTCAGGCATCAACTGTCATGAACCGAGGCAAAAACGCAGCTCCAAATGCAACTTCCGCCAGTGCTGCTGGCCACCAGGGGTCAGATATCCAGGCCAGCGTTTCAGGCAATAAAGCAAATGTTGGGAGAAGCAAAAACTCCCAAAAGAGAGGAGATCCAGCACTAGATAGAATCAACATGTAAGTAAAGAATTTGAGATTCAGAAACTCGGGTGGACTATTGAATATTGTTGTTAAGGGTACTCACTAACTGATCACCTTCGTCTTCTGGCTGGGTTGTGTGCTTGTGGACAGCAGGTCATGGCAACGGTCGTCTAGGGTTCCTCCACAGTCGGAAACCAACCCGCTTTGGGCTGCTTTTCAAGCGTTCGTCACCGCCTTTGTTAAATTCTGGTCAGAATAACAATGGCGTCCTCCTGTGGCTGTGCTTTAGATGCTAGAGTTGGGTTTTGCCCCTTATAGAGTCTCCTACTTTTTTTGGGTAGAAGGGTGTTTGGTTTCTCTTTGAGGATAGAATTGTGGTTTCTGGTTCTGCTCCTGATGTGAAAGAATGTGATTGTCTGCTCTGCATGCCTCTCTAGTGATCTGGTCCGCTATCCTGATGACGATGATGATGATGAACACTGCCTATTTTTCGTTTCGATCTTAGCCACTGGTTTTGGTAGTTTTATGAGTATTATGGTCCATGAGAAACTTACATTATCCGAAACGGATTTGCGGACTGGAAATGAGAAAAGAAAACAGGCCCAAGCATTACTGTTTGTAAAGCAACATGGTTTAACGTCTGGCCCTTTGGACGAAAGCAAAGTTGTCTTAAAACTATGCATGCATAGAACTTTGCTGGTACCATGAGCTTGCCTGGTAGAGAAGCTAATGCGAGCTTATGGGAGTTTGAAGAACACTTATAACGCCATCGAATGGCCATGGTTTTGGTAGCTGGAGCTTTACGACATCAACATCAGCCAACATCTTCTACAAGTCGGGGCAGCAGGAAAACACATGAATCTTGAAAGCAAGCATGACCACCAACGTTTGACGAGAGGTTACTTCAATCCAAATCCAACATACAATGATTGAATGTTCAAAGAAATGTTTTATGATACCATCGAGATTATTCAGTAGCGTTATGACTCGGGTTGTTGATATGTCCTGCTTCACATTAAAAAGATCCATTTTTTAGAAAAACGTCCCTCTTAGCACACCAAATGTTTGTGATTTCCATCGTATGCTTGTAAATGAACGCTCGACTGATTTGCTTAACGACTATTATCCGATGGGAAAGAGACCACAACCTTGGAATGCTTGACAATATATTTGAGGAAAAAATTTCCACATCCTACTTGATAAGACTTCTACTCGCAAATTGGTATGCATGGGGAATGGAGGAATATTTGTCCAACCTCTTCAGTTGACCTGCGAATTGACATTATTTCAGTGGCAAGCTAAATTGGGTTGTAATGTAAGCATGTGCTCCCAAATTGGGATGAATGTGGGAGGGGAAAACTTCATGTGGCAAAGTATAATGTAACATGACCCAGTGTTTTTGCACTGAAACAAAGAACTTTATAAAGAAGAAGGAAATGGGTGGCAACTGGCAAGCAAAGCAATAATAATAGACTAAAATAGATATACAGTAACTGAAAAGGGTAAGGTGGGAAAGTAAATAAATCGGTTTAGAAATGCGTGATGAGAACTTGGTACCTGAGTCCCCTGAATCCTGACTGACTTTGGGATTGATTAGATCTCAACTCTGATGTCTTGTTTTGGCCTCCAGGGACCCTTTCCTTTATTATTATTATTAATAGTTATTAATATTATTATCATCATCATCATTATCATTTTTTTTTATCGAATCAACATCATTATCATTTAACTATCATATTAAGCAGCTTCCGGAAAAGGGAGAAAAAAAAGCAGCTCGTGAAAATGGAATATATTAATAATAATATAGCTCTGGCCTATGGGTACCCACCCATGGGCACCCAACCACGCTCATATAATTAAATTTTTCGGTATATTTAATATTTAATCAATATATCTTCCTTAAACAACTAATTTTTTTTTATGTTTGTGGAGACATGTCTAATTTGTTGTGTAGAATGAAGTTGATGATTATGGAATGGAGAGTGAAGAAGCTTAGTTGACAAGGAGGAAGAAGCTTTCAATTAATCATTTTGTTTTATAGATGTTTATCTTTTAATTTTGAACAATTTGTATTGATAATTTGTGGTTTACTTATATGCTCTAGATTAGTGTTTTTTTGTATGGATAATTAGTACGAGAAAATTTATGTTAGACTTTTATTTTGAAAGAAACTTGTTATTGTAAATTTTTCACACAAAGATCCACTGGTACCCATCAACCCGCGGATACCCAACAAATTGATTTGGGTTGCGTGTGAGTTTTTCAAACCCAACAGATTTTACCCCGATTTTTTTTTTTTTTTTTTTTGCGGATAAACTCATTGGTTTGAATATGGATTTAGCAAAACCCGACCCAACCCAACCCAACCCAACCTATTGCCATCCCTATTTGTTGGGTTCTCTTTATTAATAAATCATCACCACCATTATAGAAAATAATAATAATAAGATAGCACCCACCGCCACTGTTACCGGGCCATAGCTGAGCTTAAAAGCTGAAACCCCCAGCTCAGCAACAGAGCAGTGTACCCCTCACCGCCATGCTCCCATTTGTATGTGTTAATTGCGTTTACCTTTTAATTGATGTGATTTACACCGTTTAACTCCATTATTAACTAAAAAATATTAACTAACCAAAAGTGATTTTATTATGTATGTACAAAAGAAATAATAAAATTCCAACAACCCTTCCCTCCTTTTTGGTTTTTCTTCCCTCTCACACCTCACTTGATTACCTTCCCATACACGCCTTCATACCATAATACACAACACCACCGTTTCTCTTCCTTCCTTTTCTCACCTAAATAAATACCCAATTCTCCATTATTTCTCCCAGCCTGACTCTTCACATTTCTCCCGCCTCCGCCGTTTACTTTTTCTCTCCAACTAAAAACTACGCCATGTCCGCCGATCTCGACTCGCGGCCCAGCCTCCCCAAAATTCGGATCGGAATAATCAATCTCAACGACTCTCCCCAGCCTTGCAGCAGCAGCGGCGGCGAAAACCATAATTCAGATCGGGTAGTGGAGAAGGAGATCACAATCAATTCCAGCAGCGAGGAGTGCCGTACACCGAAATCGGCGGAATCCAAGATCCCGGCGATCCTGAGCTGCCCGCCGGCGCCGAGGAAACCGAAGAGCAGGCCGATCTCCTGTAAGAGGAAGCTGGGGTTGGAATTCGAATTCTTCGACGTGCTCCACCGGGAGGAACTCGAATCCTTCTTCCGAACCGGTTTCCAGCTGGCCAAGCGGATCCGCTGCCCCGATCTCATCATTCCCTAGCTTGTAAATCCAAATCCAATCAACAAAACTCAGCAATATATATATATATATATATATATATATATATATATATATATGTATATATATATATATAGATCGCCGGCAGATGAGAACGGTGTCGTATCATGGGAGCTCGCTCGCTCGCTTGATTCTACCTCTCACTCAATCTCTTACACGAATCTCTTCTTCTCCTTCTTTCTTTCCTTTTCATCTTCAGAATTACGCCGTTACTATCTACACCTTTTTTCTTCCCCATCTTTTGTCCAAATTATTTAATTCTTATTGTTGCCTGTATATTTTATATTATTATTACACTCCTGAAGCATAATTGAATCAATGCAACAGTGTAGTTCCGGCGACCGAATTCCGGCCGGCGGGTGTTATACTGTTTCAATTATGCAGTTGTTATGATAATTACTGCTACTACGTTTAATTCCTTTTGTCTTTCATTTATTGTGTTTATTTTAATTATTAATTTTCTGAGTCGTAAAATTTAGGTGCCACGACTTTGTTAGCAATAGCAATTACGTGCAAGCAAGCTCTGCTTAGACTAAGAGCCAAGAGATTACAGGGTGTACTGTCTACATTACAAGCTAAGATAGATGCCCTTTCGGATTAATTAACCTTTTTTCTTTGTTTTGGTATTACGTTGAAATTAGGGATGGGCATGTGGGTGGTTAATCCGCGGATTAATATCGATCCATCTGCAAATAACTCGACCCGCATACAGTGGGTGATTGATGTGGGTGGATTGCGGATTGTTAAATCTCCCACCCGCACTTATGTGGGTGGATGGTGAGTGGATTGCGGGTCACCCGTATAACCCGCGTCCTATTTTTATATGGAAAAATGTTGTTTCTTATAGTATCGAATATTCATCATATTTTCGAACTCCACTACAGTCTGACCATATACTTCAAAACGTGGAGAGTAAGGAATAGTTTTGACTACTATTATTGGTTATTGTGTTGTGCAATATCCATTGAATATTGGTATGCAAATTTTTGGTAATATTCATTATATAGTGGGATACAAACTATAAATTATTAATTGTATCAAAATCACAAATTATTGATACAATCTTACTAATTTGCTATGAATTTATTTTAAATGTTAGTCAATTTTCTTAATGGCTAGTTGGAGAATTGCTTTTGAAGATTAATCCGCGACCCAACCGCACTCATCCGTCACCCACCCAACCCAACCCACATAAATATGTGGGTGGATTGTAGGTCACATGCATTTCAATCCGCTAGTAAGCGGGTGAGTCAATTTCAGACCACAATCCACCCAATCCGTCCATTGCCCACGCCTACGCGAAATTGTGTCTGATTGGCCCATGAAAAAAATCATTATTATTACAGTTGTATATTACCTACCCATGTTAATTAAGCAGGAGGCACTGAAAGGGAGGTGACGAGAGCAATCAATATGGGCAACCATTCCAACTATAGCCTATAAATTTGACAATTTGGATATCAATCGATTAATAGATCATATTGATGTACGATCTCATTATGTAGAAAATAATTTGAATATTTTTGAAACTTTTATTTGCGAAAAATAATAAAAGCAATCGAATTAAAAACCGGGGAGTGCTAAATTTTCTTTCTTTCTTCTAATACTTTAATATTTGTTTTGCCTGTAGAGTTAGTTGTTGTTAATTAGTTGCTTAATGGAGTCAGATCTGGGTTTGATCTTATTCCCTTTGTTTTTGTGTGTTTCTAAGTTTGTCAGAATGAGATGTTTGAGTGATCGACAAGACTTTGGGATTGATAAACTTTCATTTCCCTTTTCCACTTCATTTTTTGTTTTATGTTTTTATTTTATCACGTATTTCATATATTTTCCAGAATATTATAAAGAGATAGAGAGGAGAGGAATTTGTACATATCAATGAGCCCAAAAATTAGGCAATGTGCATGGTATTGGTACATGTTCTGCTACAATTCAATGTGATGTTTCTTTTGTCTTTTCCCCCTCCAATAAATTTCACATAATTCTACTTGATGTTTATATTCCTTTTATCTTTCTTTTTTTTTCCTCCTAAAATAAATGTAGTATTTCCACTAAAATATTACTCATAAGTGAGCAAAGCTCATTTAGCAATAAATGTAACGAAAACGACTACTCAATTTCACACCGTTATCGTTGGGAGCGGTTACAGTGCTAATTGTACAATAGTTAGCACCGTCCTAATCAAGGGAAAAACTACTACTAGTTTGAATTAGTAGTGATTTAGCTTAGATGTTGTATTGATTTCGTTATTTTTAGTAGCGTTTTTTGCTAGTTATCGCAGTGCTAACCCCTATAAAGATTAGCACCTAATCCCATCCTTATCGTTGTGAACATTTCAAGGAGTTGTACACTAATACTATATTTGACAACAAAGGGGTACAAATTTGAGGGAGGGTGTAAGTTGGATTGTCATTGTTGATTTAATTTGCTTGCTCCCCTATTGTAATGTTCTGGTGCTACCTCTGTTTCGGATGGGAATAAAAGATGCTCCTTCACTGTCCAAAAAAAAAACGACAAACACCAACCTTTGAGGAACTGTTTTCATGCTAACAATAGCTTACGAGACATGGTAGACTATAGAATGAACTTTCTATTGTCAAGAAGTCCGGAAAGCTATCTTGAATACGAAGAACCCTTAATAACATCTTGGTAAATGGTGATCCTTAGTCTGATTTTCTTTCGGAGATGTTGAGCAATTTAGATATATCAACCTATGCAACGTGGTTTATATTTAGGGAATTACATACCAAGTGCACCTTGCTGCTAGTCTGAAGTTGTTAGTGTCATCGATCTTTGGTCCATGAAATACAAACTAAGTTTGTTTATCAGGTCGCCACATCACAAATAACACGTGTTAGAAGTTCTCCATTCTATGAGGGCAAAGAAGGGTATGAAGGATTGGATGGTTATGAAAGTCGATCTAGTTATAGCTTAATTATGACCGAATTGGATGGATTTTGTGTGACATACCATCCACGACAATACAAGATCTCCAAAAAAAAAAAAAATTCATTGAACTCATGACAGAGGCTATCGCATGACTCGCATCATCAACCAACATCATGTACAAAGTAGTGGTCTAGCACTATTTGACATTTGTACAAAGTACATCCGTCAGAGCAAGGTAGGTAATGAGCTAAGAGCAACTGAATATATAGACTTGTTCCAACCATATCGTGCAAAAAGTTGAAAACTCGTAATATTAAAAAAAAAATATCATCGCACAAAAGACTCCTATCAACGAAACAATTTTCCATGGAGGAACCAATTTTGTACCCAAAATTAGTTAGGAAGGGCAAGATAGAAACAGCATAGTTGATAGTACCCAAAAGTAAATGAAGGAGTACAATAAATCTCATGGGCCACGCAACATTTATAAAGAGATAAGCCCATGTGCCAATTATTATTATTATTGTTATATATCTATGGCTCCACAAATATAATTTACATATTTTTTTTATGGGCAATATCAAAAATTTTATTAAGCTCTATGTGCCCCCTTAAAAGAGGGGATGCACATCTGGATCTTTACACACAGCAGCAAGCTAAAAGAAACTACTGCTACTATACTCTATATATACACATCATACATAAATACCAAAATCTACCCTAATCACTAAATTTACTGACTAAAGATCGCGCGACAATCAGTGTCCAGAGCGGCATTGCCATGTCTAGCCAGCTCAATTGTCCTGCGTACTGTCCTGATCAACTCCCCAAACTGCATAGCAGAACTTCCATACAATCTACCACAGCGTTCCCGCCAAATCAGACTCACAGCTAAGTTCCAAACTAATCGACCAACCATGGCTAATGCTTTCTTCCCCTTGAAAGTTCTAACCGCCCATTGCAAGTAATCATCATAACCATTTAACTGAGGGCAACTTAGATTAAGCATTAGTAAACAGCCCTTCAGCACCTGGGAAGTGTATTGACAATGAAAGAATAGATGGTCCCTGTCCTCTGTATGAGCCAAGCAAAACATACAATTTGCACTCGCTACCTTCCCCCAGCTCTGCAATTGATCAAGTGTTGTTATTCTATTACGTGTTATAACCCAGCATAAAAAGCTATGTTTTGGAATCAAATATCTTCCCCAAACCAGTTGATACCAAGCCACTTGGGGCCTAACCGGCTGCAAATCTTGCCAAACCTGCTTCACAGAGTAACACAGCATCCTTTTATCATTCCAATACACTTGTGTTCCCCAACAACGGAAGAACCCTTCCACCTTATCCCTTACCTTTAACAATCTCTTCCATACCCAAGAGGCAGTGCTGCTTTTTCCCAATTCCCAGAAGGTAAGATTCTTAATTCGATACCGGTAGTTCCATGCAACCCACCAGGATCCTTCTTTTGCAAGCAAAGCCCATATATGCCTTGTAGTACAAGCCACATTCCATGTCTTTAGACACCGAATGCCTAACCCCCTTTCTTTCTTTGGTATTGCCAATAACCCCCAAGCCATAACAACTTTCTTCCTCATCGTCGCCCTCTGTCTAAGACACGACAATCACTTGTAGTTAATTTCCCTGCTATTAGAGGAACTCCCAGGTAGCGAACAGGTAATACAGCTTTTTGGAATCCAGCCAACTGAGCCAGTCTATCATGGTCTGCCTCTTCAATCCCTGCACAGAATAATTTACATATATTTCATTATTAGTGTGGATGCAGCAGCAGCATCGACATCGATCATCAATTCATTTCGCCTTCAACTCAACCAAATTATCGAAACTACTATATATACATTTTATTATTTGATTAATTCACAACCTATATTTCTATGTGTGTAACGAGACCAGTTAGCTAGGCAGTTACGATACTGGAGTAGTAAACACGAAAAGGAAATTAATCTGGGAAAAGTAGTACTTAAAGAAAAGAGAGAGCTGGCCTACTAGTAATCGGGTACTTAATTGGGGAATTAAATGAGGTTTAGGAAGAGATTAATTAGAAGCATCAAGGAAGAAGAGAAGGGACGACGATGGAACAGAGTGCCGACGAATTGAAGAAGATAATATGAAGGAGATTGGAGGAGGTAATTGTTAGTCAGGGTCTCACGGTCAGACTCTTCACGGTTGGGTTGGGTTCTGAATCTCTTCTTTGTATCTTACGGTTGCAGCAACCGTAAGATCCTAACCTTGAGAACTGACAGCCACGTAAAATAGTCGAACCTCTCAACACTCGAGGTTGGTATGGTCCGTAAACGAAAATTTAAACGTGTGGCCGGGCTTTGAATTCTATAGCGGACAAAAACGTTAAGAGGATCGCGCATTACTAATTCTGCTAGCCCATTAAGTATCAAAACCGCCCGATGGATGGAAGCTTAACGAGCCGGATAAGTAAATTGCAACTAGTGTTCATTGGGCTGGGCCATGCGAAACGAGGAAAGAAGCGCTGGAGGAGGAGAGGGGCAAGAGTAAGCCCATTCATAGACGGGGTCATATATTGGACGTGGCAGGCTTAACAAACAAGCCCTCCACCCAACCCATCCAGTTTTGGGCTTCTACATTTGTGCGTGGCCTTTGTCTGTCTGTTCACTTTGCTTTTTTCCATAGCCCTTTCTCTGTTCACTTTCCCTCCCCTTTTCGGCTGTTATTAATTCTTTCTTTTTAAATATTCTTTGACTGTTTTGTTACATAGTTGGAGGGTTTTGTTTTTGAAAGAAAAATTAAGGAAATTCTAATTATCATCCTAGATTTAAAATTAAACTATCTATCTATACTTATTTTTTTATTGTCTAAACATATTTTATTTAATAACAAACAGAACATTACCATTCAATTAACAAACGCCAAATTATTGTTTTAAGTTTACACAACACTCAGAATTTTGTTCCATAAGACCATAACTGGGGGAAAAAGCAACATATATACTATGATAATTCAAACTTTACCACCACTGCGTCTTTAGCTCCATCCCCGGGTTTGATACTCGACTTCAACAGCAGCTGCTGGGCCGCGACATTGTTTAACACTCATGACATAATTCGATCCTACTCCTGCTAAACCCGTACTACTTATTTACTCCGATCGATTCATAAATTACTTCTTTATTTCTATAATGCGGACTGCTGCATGCAATCTAGTCATAGCTAACTGATCTTGACCACAACCTTGATGCAATCCGGTTCCTTCATCATCTCGAACGCTTTGTTTATGTCGCACAGTGGCACTTCGTGAGTCAACAGTGCATCAATCTCGAATTCCTGCGCACATATATAGTAACAACGTTGAATGCAGCATGGAGTTGTATATTAATAAATATACAAAAAAAAAGAGGACAAAAATAAATAAAAATAAGTAGTATAACATGAGGAAAATATAATTAAGAAACCTTATTTTTGCATTTGTGCAGGAGATGGGGGAGGTCGGACTTGATCTTAACTCCGCCGAAAATGGAGCCCGTTATGCTTCCGCCGAACAGAAGGTCAACGAAGTCAAGCTGGATACTGTCGTATTTTCCTGCTCCTAGTACCACTGCCTTCCCTTTTCCCTAGATAATAATTATGGATTGTACATAATTTATTAATGATACGAATTAAGTCGTCATCCATTATATAATATTCCGCCATCTATGCATCGACCCAATGTTAAGGACTGACACGTTGTCTGCTTTATATCATTATCATGCATGTGAACGCCATTATTTTCCACCCTTTCCTTTTTTGTTTACGATAAAAAAATGGACGTACGAATTAAAGTAGATAATGACTTTTACAGGAGCAACTTTTCTGCAGCAGCATTATTGTACCTGTACCACAGCTTTCATGGCTTGGTTCATGAAAGGCGCGTAGCCGGAGCACTCGAAGCAAGCATCCACTCCTTTCCCGTCGGTCAGCTCCTTCACCACCTCCGACACCGGCTTCTCCAGACCTTCCGAGTTGATGAAATGAGTCACTCCCAACTCGCTCGCTATCTTCCTCCTCCTCTCGTTCTTGTCCACCCCGATTATCTTCGTCGCTCCATGCATCCGAGCTCCTTGCACCGCCTGCTCATTCCATTATATTTATAACGGATTAAGAAATCGACAATGTACGTAAGCAAATGAAAAGAATACTAATACGATGTGTGTTAGCTAGCTAAACAATAGAGACAAAGTTAAGTGGGATGCAATGATCGAAGAGCGAGGGAGCGAGCTTACGTACCGAGAGGCCGACGGGGCCGAGGCCGAAAACGGCGACGGACGAGCCAACGGTAACCGGCGCGGCCTTCCACGTGGCGCCGTAACCGCTGGTGAAGGCGCAGGAGATGATGGAGGCCTGCGGCGGAGGGATGGAGCCGGCGTCGATTTTCACGGCGTAGTTGGCGTCGACCACCATGTACTCGCACCACGTGGCGCAGGAGAGGAACTGGTACGCCGGAGTCCTCTTGTTACCCTCCCGGACGGTGAACCGGGAGGTCCCGTCCGGCATCAGACCCGTGGCTCCGATCGGGTACTTCTGGCAGAAGTTGGTCCGACCCGACTCGCAGCTCCCGCATTCCCCGCATTCTCCTAGCGTCGTAGGGATCACCGTGTCTCCGACTTGCAGATCTTTCACTTCTTCTCCCAGGCTCTCTACCACACTGTTTTTTTTTTACTCTCTCGACAAACAGTACAAAAAAATTAGTACATTATGACGCTGGAGCTTAATTACGTAAACTTAGGTTAAACATAGTCTTAACGCGGTTCAATCCATGTACGTACGCGGTGAACAATTTTTAGTTTGTCCTTGACGACAATTGTCATCACTTGGAAATATATGTGGAATGGATGGAGACCACAAGAGATCGACAAGACATGTCCGGACTATCTGTTTGCCTTGGTCCCTTTTAGGGTTTTTTTTTTTTTTTTTTAATGAATGGCACCATTTTTGAACTGGTGTTAGATAAGTGTGGTCAAGACTCAACAAAGTTGCTATCGATCTGCCAGCACCCACGTGCCAGTACACTCTTCTTTGCTGTCGTTTTGCTTGTTGTTTGAGGGAACAGTTTCATTGTCACCTCTGGAGAAGAAACACCTAATGGACCCCAAAAGTTTTTTCTTCCCTCAAAAGGTTTGTATGGGCTATCATTGATGGAGTTAAATTTGGATTTTCAATTTTCTTATAATGAGTTGCATTTGGACAAATTTAAATTCTAAGCATTGTGTCTCAAAACACTATAACGGGTAACTAAATACAACTATTGCGTGAATAATGATTATCATTTGCTTGAATAACTACTACCTACGGTTCCATGAATAAGCATCAAATTTGGATAATATCACTTCTGAGCATTACTCATACCAAACTTTCAAGTTTGGGTCTAAATAGACCCATTGCATTGAGGACCGAAGAGGAAAATGGATACCCATGACTCTCATGCTATTGTTTGCCTTTCTCTTTGTTTTAAAACAAACATAAATGTGGGAACACCAACATTTGAAATTGTAAATTGGTTGAATGCGAATAGTGAGATCGATGCTCGACATTGCTTTCTCGTGTGTATAATTATTCAGACCCATCCAGATCCGACCCAAACTGGACTTATAGATAACATGCATGCAGAAGTGATCAGGTGAGTTTGATTGGCTTACCCAACACCTTCATGGCCCAGCACTCTAGGGTAAAGTCCCTGCGTACGTACGGATCATCACAACACCAGAGGGAGCAACAAAAAAAAAACTAGCCAATTAGGAATCAGCAACAAGAATTAAGGCAGACAGCAGACAGATAGAGAAGTTGGGAAAACGATCGACGTACAGTTGGGAAGCCGTTGATGCACAAGATGTCGGTGCGGCAAATGCTGGCGCAGAGCATCTTCACTCGGATTTCTGACGGTCTCGGCGGCTCCACCTCCACCTCTTCTATCTTCACCGGCCCTCCCACGCCCCAACACACCGCCGCTGTAACACATGAGATCATCAAATTACGTACTGAAACATTAATGACGGCAGGTGAGTTATTGCAGCCGCTCTATACATTTGATTCGATCGGGGTTTTGTTTACCTTTGCAAGTGATGACTTGAGGTGCTTTCGCCATGTTAGATAGATGTGCTTGCAGCTCTGTAATTGGGCCTTCTGTCTGTGTAAAGAAATGTTGATTTTGATCCAAGTCCCGATGTATCTATATAAAGGAAAGTCGTCAGGGCGAGCGAGAGGCAGTGAGAAAGAGATTCGTTTTCCTTCTTTTGTACGTAAGTGGTCAGTGGTCACTGCACAAAAAAAAAAAAAAAAAAAAGTTAAGCACTGCGTTTATCTAATGACTATAATAACCCCGCAAGTTTTGGAGTTTTACTGGAAGAGAGAGGGATAGAATTGGAAAATGTCGATATAGTAATAAAGTCGAGTGGGTTGCACGTCGCCTTCAAATCAGATGGGTTGGTTTGTTTGGTAGTTACACTGAAAGATTTGCGGTTTAGGTTTAGCTTCCTACTTACGAGAGAATTGAACGTAAAACATGAGATTTTTGAAAAAAAAAGACAGAGGCTGGTGCGTGGTGAGAGTTGTTTTTATTCACAAGTTAATTATATTCTTAGTTACCCAACACATTAATTATAAACCTCCAAGGTCTTAACTAATCCCTAATATAAAAGGTATCTCCTTTCTGCTACATTTTGTCCCGTAGCTGTATATATATAATAAAGTGTTGCATGCCAAAAGAATTTATTCAGGCAAAATACAGTTGTGTATCTACAATTATCAGGTTTGTGACAAATATATCCACAACTATCAAAATACACGAAATATCCATTTTCGTCCACTCCGTCAGTTAACTTGATGACTGGACAGACGGTGGATGCTTAGTTGGCATGTTTATGACCCCACTAAATGACGTGGATTAAAAGAGAAAAAAATAGGCAAAATACAGTTGTATATCCACAACTACCAGGTTTGTGACAAATATATACACAACTATCGATATACACGAAATATCCAAAAATCATAAGGTTGTGTGACAAATCTATTCATTTTCGTCTGAAACTATAACGACGAGTCAGACGGCGTTAAATTGATTAACGGAATGCTGAATTGATGCCATCTCACCTGCCACATAAGCCAAAAAGCAACCAAACTTTACACCGTTATCTGTTAGACCTCGCTGTTGCAGTCTTCTCTGTTGGCGATTTGGTTAGATTCAAATTTTTTTTTTGTTTGAGATTCAAGCTTGGTATCACCATGGCGCCGACTGTATAGAAGCTGTCGTAGTAAAAGGGAGGCAATGGTTGGGGATTATGGTTGGAATCGAAATCTGAGCTTGGGGTATGGTTATTTGGGGGTGGAGTCGTCAATTGGAGGAGGATAAGTGGTTATCAGACATGTTTCTGGGTTGGATTTTTAGTCTCGCCGTCTGTGATTTTTAGTGTTTTTAAATTGGTTTCCCTCTTATAATCCACATCATTCAGTGGGGCCAGAAACACGCCAACTAAGCATCCACCGTCTGTCCAGTCATCAAGTTAACTGACGGAGTTAACGAAGTGGACGGAAATGGATATTTCCTGTATTTCGATAGTTGTGGATATATTTGTCACAAACCTGATACTGGTGGATATATTTGTCACAAACCTGATAGTTGTTGATATACAACTGTATTTTGCCTTTATTCAACTAGCCTATTTGGCATCTACGTGTAAAGTTTTGTTGCTTTTTGGCTTATGTGGCAGGTGAGATGGCATCGATTCAGCATTCCGTTAGTCAATTTAACGCCGTCCAACACGCCGTTATAGTTTCAGACGGAAGTGGATAGATTTGTCACACAACCTTTCGATTTTTGGATATTTCATATATTTCGATAGTTGTGAATATATTTGTCACAAACCTGATAGTTGTAGATATACAACTGTATTTTGCCTTTATTCAAAACCAAGAAAAAGATAGCATTCCCTCCTCCTTCTTCGCCGACATTCCACCGCCACCGCGTCTGCTTGCTGGGCTCCCACGTTTGTGATCTCAAGTTGTCATTTCTCAACCACCAATAATGTGGTTGAGCACGTTTTTTAAATGGTTGGTAGAAGAAAGATATTCTTGACGAAAGCTATCTGTCTCAAATCTCAGCCGTCTACTCAAATGCATGCAGGCTTTTTGTGGTTCATACTAAGCCATGAAATTTTATCATACAAATTTCATATGAATTCTTGGATCATTTTATCATATAAATTTCTATTCTTTCGGTTGGGATTTACATGGAAAAGATAGTAAAATCATACCCCCCGAGTGTTATTCTAGTTCGAAAACGGATAAAAATAATGAAAATTAACCTTGTGTATAGTAAAGTATTAAGTAATTATGAACGCGTTCACTAAAGGTTAAAACTAATCTTATCATCACAAATGACAAAACTCGAGCTTAATTTGAGGCTTCCATCAAGATATCCCAACGCGGACAATTATTAGTTTGTCCTTGACGACAATTGTCATCACTTGGACTTATAGAAGACAAGAGGTCGATCAGACCTGCCTGTCTGCCTTTGGACCTGTAAGGACTAAGGGTTTTGGTCTTTTTTTTTTTTTTTTTTTTGGGTGTGTGTGGCTATTTGAAGTGCTGTTAGACAAGTGTGGCAGTACTCAATTCAGTTGCATTTGGTTAATTGTAGCTTGATTAATTTGACTATTTGGTTGGATTGCACAAAAATTCTTCATAAATTTGGTGTAAGTAGAGTGCTCCACCACGGCACTCTCTCCTCTATTTTCAATCTATCCATTTTAAAGAGGATTGATAATTCTCGTCCTAAGCTTTACTATAATTACTCTAACGATAATTGATAACTTTTTTCTTTTAGAAAAAAAAGTACAATTACTTCATTGCCTTTCTTTAATTAATTAATTGTTTGTTATAACTTATTTTATTTTATTTTAACAAACGCAACCCCACCATTCAACACGTTACAAAGTGTCGTTTTTGAAAAAGACAAGTCGTGATAATTAAAGTTGTGGCTTCAATATTGTAAGAACTCAGTCATGGGTCAGCCACTTGTAGTTGTGCAGCACAACATTAAAAGATCATGATCACATATAATAGCTAGAAGAAAACGACAAATTTGGGGGAGGCTGTATCTATTCTGGCATAAATGCAGCTGGGTCCCTCCCTGGCTATAAGATTGATCATTCACCACCATACTCTTCTCCTTCCTTCATCATTATCATCTTGAGCGATCGATCGAGTCACAAACAAAACAATTAAGGCAGATCATCATAGAGAGATTCGACAGAGACAGATATATATATAGTAAAAATGGCCGCTGGGTTCACAGATAGGCAAGAAGCTTTGGTAAAGGAGTCATGGAAAGTACTGCAAAAGGACATCCCACGCTACAGCCTTCTCTTCTTCACCACGTATATACGATCCATATATCAATCTCTATAGTTTTACTCTTAGCTAGTAACTTCAATAATCAAAGGGTTATTAATGATTCATCATGGGTGCATGCAGGATTCTGGAGATAGCTCCAGCGGCTAAACAGATGTTTTCGTTCTTGAGAGAATCTGATGAGATCCCACAAAACAATCCCAAGCTCAAAGCCCATGCCGTCAAGGTCTTTAAGATGGTAAGTAACTTAATTAATTAATTAGCTTCCTCATAATTAAGCATAAGTGCTGATCTGATGCAATTAATTGTCACTTGATTTTGGGCAAGACTTGCGAGTCGGCGGTTCAACTTCGGGAGAAAGGAGAGGTGGTGGTGAAGGAGACGACTCTTAAATATTTGGGGTCCGTCCACCTCAAGAATGGAGTCGTTGACCCGCACTTCCAGGTAGTCAAAGAAGCGCTGGTGAGAACTCTGAAAGAGGCGATCGGAGATGAGAAATGGAGCCACGAGCTGGAGGGTGCATGGAGCCACGCTTATGATCAACTCGCTGCTGCCATTCAACTTGAGATGAAACAAGAAGCTGCCGCCGCCGTCGCAGCTGCTTGATATAATTTTGTATCAATAACATGTTCCATAATTTTCTTCGGCCAAATTGTTACACGCCTCTAAATTGACAAGAACAGAGTAACAAATGCGAGGGGAAAATGGGGCAAAAGATCCCAGATTTGGGCTGAGGCCGGCTTAGGCTCCATTTGAGGCCAACGAAAACTCGGCCCATCTAAATACCAGATAGATTGTCTTATCTTCATTAGCCTAATGTGTACAAATAAGAAAATGGGCACTGCCCATTCCATGCCCAAGAAGGGAGGTGAAATGGGCCGGGAAGCATGGAGGCGATTCGGCAACTCTTGATCCAGCCCACGTCCAAGCTTCTTGAACTTCTTGTTTGTCTCTCGACCTTGCAGTACAGCGGTAGAATTTGATACGAGATTCTTTTAGTATACTCACGAGTCATAAAGAGATTATGCAGAAGTTCTTGTTTCTCGACATTGCAGTTGAATTGGGTATCTTTTATAATGCTCACGAGTCTCCATTCATAAAGAGATATTGTTTATGTAGCTTAATGTGACATACATTAATTTGATCTACCGCGATACTAGATTAGGTTACAAAAATATGTAATAAAAAAAAACTAATCTATGAAGAAGGTAAATCTCAATTACCATGTATCGAGTTTCAACTTTTAGGTTTTGGATAAGCTTTTCCTTTTAGTATCCGGTATTTTGTGTCTGATTCATTCAGATCGAAACAAAAATGTTGAAATGAGTTTTTACTCTAAAACAAACATCGACAAAAACTTATTTAATTCAAGATGAACTGTGGATTTGGGCAACAACAAATCTTTGTTTCTCTTTGCCATTCCTGTCCGAGATGAGCTTGCATGTATGTGTCTTATTGAGGAAAGCTTAACCTTAGCTCATATTTCATATTGTTCCCCTTTGTTAAATTTTGGAATAATAGAAGGAGATCGATTTGGTGAGTATTTCTGTACTGTTGCTTGTTGGCTGTTAGCATCCAAATGTAGCAGTTGGGAAGAGGAAAAAAGAGAAAAAGAAAGAAGGTCAGCTCTGGTCACATCTTCAACTGCAATGCGCCAACTGGTACTTGCTTTATCTTCCAGCAACATAATACTACTTCCTTCCAACAAAACCAACCAAAATACTACTACCCTCCAATCATTTCCTTATCGCCAATATAGGTTTCGATAGAATGGTTACTTACACCGCCACAATTTCAATGCATAAACTCCTAGTTTCAAGACTCGTAATGTACAGTCTTTTTGTTCTTCTTCCACCCATTGAGGCATCCATAAGAAGAAGAGAAAAATAAGTTGTTCTTCATCAAAAAGAAGTTCGCTTAGCTCATCGAGGAATTGTGTTTTCCTATATCTTTAATGCAAAACCCAAGATGACCAATCTAATCCGCGTAAGTGTTTCACAAGCAAGGAGAGAGAGTTCTTTGAGTTGTTCGACAATGAAACTAATTAAACGTGTCTTGTTTGCAGTACCGTGGAGTCTGGGTATGGATTCAATACGTTCCGAAAAGGCAAGGACCTATGGGAAATGAAGAAAAAGAAAAGGTAGTAAAATGTGAAAAAAGTGCTACCAAATAAAACCGCTACTAGGAATAAATTAGAGCAAAAACAAATGCAAGTTTCGGGTGGGAAAGGACAAAGTAAGTAACAGCTAACGCTCGCTGAGCTAGCTATCCCTCTCGTGACTCTGTCCTCTTTGTTACTTCATACTCAATCTTGTTTTCTTCTCCTTCTCCTCCCGTCTTCGTCTTCTTCGATCATTTCACTCTCAATACCCGCTCTTCTCTCCCAATTCGCTTTGTTGCAGCTTCTCCATCTCTGTCTGTCTTCTTACGGAGGATGACCGGCGGAAGAGTTGTGCTTGTGCGTGACTCCGTCGCATTGGCAGCAGCCATTGTTCTCCTGTATTCGTGCCGGTGGTGAAGAGCACGAGCACCGACGGAGACGAGACTCTCATCTGCCGGCGAACGATCTAATTCCTGAAGAAAAGGAAGGGGAAAATGTTCAGATTGCAGAAGAAACGATTTGACTTCAGGTTCTCCAACCTCCAAGCTCTTCAGGTCCGTCAGTCGATTTTGGTTCATTCCTTCTCTCTGCTTCTTCTCCTTCTCATTTCTTGCCGAATTTGGTGTGATGGTGTTCGTCTTCTTCAGTACGCTGCTCCATTGACGAGAATTGACTTCGATCGCCTGTTATCTTTTCCTTTTTTTTTTAGCGGTTTCAAGGTTTTCTCTCTGCTTTCGTTTCCTTTTGTTCTCGAGGTTCTTTCCGTGGATCGATCAGAATCTCTCGTATGAAATTCAGCTTCTTCTTTGATAATGTGAAGTAAATTAAAGTCTCATGTAGCGACATTGTTGAGAAATTTTAATTTTAGTGAGAGTTTTGAAAGACTTTGGACATGGTCTTCACTCTTCAATGCTTAGGTGAAGTTAGATAAGAAATGTTGAGAATGGGTAAAATTAGTTTGGAGAATGGTCAAGGATTCATTATGTAAAATTCTCTTGTGTAGCTCCTTCATTGACTGGAGTCACTGCCCTAATCTGGGTTTTTTAATTATTGGCTTCTACTTGCAGGTACCCAAGGGATGGGACAAGCTCTTACTGTCTATGGTTTCAGTAGAAACAGGCAAAACTGTTGCGAAGTCGAGCCGAGCTATGGTGAGGAATGGAGGTTGTAGATGGACAGAGACGTTCTCGGAGTCGGTCACGATTTCCCAGTCTGATGCTTCTAAAGACAATCAGGAATGCATCTTTAAGTTCGTCGTTGCCATGGTATGTGTGACATAGTTTGTTGGGAACTAAATTATCCTTGCTGACAAGAAAAATTATTGAGCAACTTCAACTTAATATACATTTCCAGGGAGCTAGAAATGGCATTCTTGGAGAGGCTACAGTTAATCTGGCTAATTACAAGGGTTCCAAGACTGCTGTTTCTGTATCATTTCCACTGAGAAAGTGCACTCACGGAACAATCTTACAGGTGAGTTAGCTTGCACTTTATTGCTCCTTAGTCAAGACCCCGTGTAGTATGCTCATCAAGGAATCCTTAACCTCTCTTTCGGAATTATTGCCTCTTTTGATTTTGCTGTCTACTGATGGTCCATTAAATCTTGTCGTCTCTGCATAATGCCTTTGTAATGAACATTTTATATGAAAACTTAAATGGATTTGAATGTGTTCTTGCTCAGCTACTCGTAATCTTCATTTCAGCTATCTGCAAAGATGCAAATTCAGAGAAACATGATCCACCAGTGTTAGTGGCAATCTTGTCCTCTAAAACTGTGGAATGTTATATCAAGTATCCATATCCCATTTGAAACCACTGCTCAAATTTCATTTCCATAGACTCAGCATTAGCCATCATACAGGGTTCTGAGAGTTCAATTCTGTTTTTATTATTTGCTTGGCAAGTGCATAGTTAGCTTTTCAGGCAAGAAATCATGGCTATTATCCTAAACCTGTGCTAAATACATGCTGGCTTTTCAGGTCAAACTTCAGTGCTCAGCAACACAAGAAAGACTCAGGTTTTTGTCTCAATAACTCTTACCAGTCATAGAGTGTTTCTTTGTAACTTCATGTTTTCTGATAGTTGAGTAATCTCTTGAAGGGAGGAGCAGCTGGAAGATACAGGTTCAGATGCAGACCATATTAACCTCGACTACACTGATGTAGAAAACAAATCAGATGCTGCTTCTGTTAATCATCCCGATAGTGCATCTGACGCGGGAGAGTCACCAAACAGGGTATTTAACTCGGCCTCACCCACACACCTTCCCTCACTGTTGCATACAGTTCAGTGAATCCTTGTGGAGCTTGGGTGATTAGTCATTTGACATCCTTTTTTGAAATTTAACTAGTCCATTTGTCTTGATGTTGTGTGATAATATCTATCATACTTGAGCATGTGCTATGACGATTGTGGGAACATCTACTTTTGTACATTTTACATTGAACTTTTTGTCCCAAAGATGTGAAGTGGTTATGTCCCTAGTGTTTCTGTTTCCAATGTCTTTGGGCTTACTCATAGAAAGGAAACTGGTTTCTTAAGCGAAAGGCAATACAGCCATAATCATTTTGCCAAATTTCGGGCCGCCACATGGAAAGATTATCTGGGAACTTTTAGTCTTCAATTGTTTTCCCTTTCCCGCTACCTTTGCCACACAACATTCTCTCAGACTGCTATTTTTTTAATTGGCTTGCTTCTTGTGACAGGATTTGAAATTCTCAGCCTCAGGTTCACATTATAGCTTTGACTCACCTAGATCAATGGACAGTAGCTTGAGCAGAGAAAATTCCTTGAATGAAAATTTCTTGAACAGGAGTTCAAGCAATCCGATTGTAAGAGAAGATTTGACCAGCTCTTTGCATGATCCATCTGGACTAAATCACTTCTCCTTCAGCTCAAAGTTCTCAACCGCCCCAAGACAACTACAGAGTAAGAGAGATGACTACAGTCGCATTCCCCGTAGTGTGCCATCATCGCCATCGTGGAATGGTAGTAGTTCATCCAAAGAACTTCTGGAAACTGGAGAAGATTCAACTGAGGTGCTTCGTGCACAAGCTAAGATGTGGGAACAAAATGCTAGAAAGTTGATGGCCGATGTAGAGAAGTTGCAGTCGGATATATTGGATCACTCAACACAGCAGGCTGGCCTTGAAATGGACCTCTCGGAATCCAGAAAGGAATGTGATGGACTGAAGAAGGAACTTGAGCAACTGAAGATCTTGTTGGAGGAATCACCATTGAGCCAATTGGCTAGTGACAAGGTGGATTTTCAATCATCCGAATTGGAAGATGAAATCAAGTTTCACAAAGAATCAAATGCTGACTTGGCATTACAACTGAAGAAAACTCAGGAATCAAACATTGAGCTGGTTTCTCTCCTTCAGGAACTTGAAGATATTGTTGAGAAACAGAAAATGGAAATTGCTAGCTTTTCGCAGCTCCAACCTGTACACACAAATTGCAGATCATTTCTGTACGAGGAGGAAGATGAAAGCAAGCACGTGTTCGGGAAGGATTCGAGAAATGTCATCTGTAATAATTGGGATATGGAAGGTCTTTCTGTTGATGAACCAGGAGATGCACCACCTTTCTTTTCCGAACCAGAGGACAACAACCCAATGCTAGAGCTGGAAGGCTCACTGTCGCATGAATCACGAAAGCACTTGGAAAATACCATCCGTTTGTTGGAAAGATCTCTGGAAGAGAAAGTTGAAGAGCTTCAATTTGAACGAACTTTCCATATTCAATCCATGGAAAACGAAGAATCAGAGTGGAAAGCTAGACTAGCCCTGAAGGAGGAAGAAATCATCAAGTTAGAAGCAAAGTTGTCTGAAGCTCTGGATCCTCCTGATTTTGGACATGGTGGTGATTGCAATCATGTTAATGAGATCAAAGTTCTCAAACTGAAGATGGAAGAACTTGAGAAAGACTGCAATGAGCTCACTAATGAAAATCTGGAACTACTTCTGAAACTCAAAGAATCCTCACAGAGTGATCCTCCAACATTTGGTGACTCTCCACACTCAGTCTCTAATGAGTCTTTCGAGAAGAGTTCTTATTATGCCGCTGAATCTGAAGTTAGCCAACTAAAATCACAAATACACACCCTAGAAGAGGAGCTGAACAAGAAGGACATCCTCATCACACAACTTTCCAGAAATAATCTGATGAAGGATCATGAGGTCGAAGCTCTGAATCTTGAGAAGAGGAAGATGGATTCTCGGATTTCTAACCTTCTGACAGAGAAACAGCAATTGGAGGAAAAGGTGGATTCAATGTTCATCGAGGACTCAGCTACGTCCAGATGCTTTGATGATTCCGGAGATGAAATGATGATGTTCGGCAGCAGCATGAGCTCCCAAGCTTCAGCGAGGCAGTCACCAGGGATGGAAAGGTGTAGAAGTGACCTGGAAGGTCACTTGAACGAAATGGAGAAAGAGAACGTGCAGCTGTATGAAAGGATATGTGGATTGGAAGCACAGTTAAGATACTTGACAGATGAAAGTCAGTTGAACCGCTTAGAAGTAGAAATTTCTCAATCTGAAGCTGCCTCTCTCAGGGAAGAGATTGGCAGACTGAAAGGCGAACTGGAAGTGCAAAAAGCCGGTTTGAGGCAGAAGACTCAGGGCGTGCATAAGCAGTGGTTGGAAATGCAAGAAGAGTGTGAGTTCCTCAAGATGGAAAACCTGAAACTACAAAGCTCTTCTGAAAGTCTTATGGAAGAATGCAGTGTGCTTCAGAAGTCAAATGCGGAGCTAAAGAAGCAAAAGATGTTGCTACATGAACAGTGTTCTGTTTTGGAGGCCGAACTTAAGGATTCAGAAAAGGTTGTTGTGAGTATGTTCAAGGAAGTTGAAGTACTTGAAGGAAAGTATGAATGTATGCTGCAAGAAATTTCCTCAAAAGAGAGAGCCTTTATCCTGGAACTTGATACACTTGTCCACGACAATGACACACAGAAAGAGAAACTAGCTTCGGAAGTGAGCCAGCTGAATCATCTTTACCAAGAGAGAACAGTTCTAGCAGAGAATTTGCAATCAGAGGTAGCTCTTCTTACTGCAAAGATATCTGCAACTCATGATGAACAAGAGATTAGAGGTTCTGAATCTATACTTGAGGTGTCTCGTTTGCGGGCAGATAAAGCTCTGCTGGAGGCCAGTCTACAAGACGTCCGAGAGAAATTAAGATTGTCAGAGATTAACTTCAGTACTCTTAAGAAGGAAACTGAACTAAACCTACAAGGACTTAGAGAGGAACTGGAAGCTTCGGAGCAAAATCAGGAAGTTCTGGCTGCTGACAACGAGAAGTTACTAGAATTGGTGGAAGAAGCAAACTCCAGCAAAGAGAAGCAGAGAGGCAGCATAAGGTGGCTTGAGTTGAAGCTTAAAGCTGCTGAATATGACAAGCTTCAAGTAGCAGAGGAAATGTCCAGCCTGGAATCCCAAGTGCACAAAACAGCACTACTTCAAGAAGAAGTTCTGGCTCTTAAGAAGTCGCTAAATGAAGTGAAATTCGAGAACCAAAGGCTACAAGCATCACTGGAGATCTTATCTGAAGATTATGAAGGGGTGAAGACCGAGAACGTTACAGCAGTCGAGAAGATCTCTGACATGGAGAAGGCATTGGCTGAATTAGAGGATTGCAAGCGTAGCAAAGCTTCGCTTGAGGAAAAAGTTTTCCGCCTTGAACTGGATATAACTGCTAAAGAAGCACAAGGCGGCCAGGATGCTGAACTGAAGAACGAGCTAGCACGGGTTAAGATAACGAACAGTGGACTTCATAGGAAGATGAAACACCTTGAGGAGGAGAAGCAAGAGTACCTGAAGAGGGCTCAAGCACTCGAGAAAGACTTAAGACGGATGAAAGAAGCAAAACTTGACGATCCTCACCATTCCAGTGATGTGTGCAATGATGGACATGAAGACACAGAGGTTAGAACATGGGATTCTTCGAGCCCCATTTTTATTATTAAAAACTAGGAGCAATCCTGACTAGCATCTAAGCGTCCCCTTGCTTGTTTCTATGTCTCAGGTTCCAACAAAACCAACTTCTAATAAAGGGAACGTGGCTATAGTGACGGATCCGTGGTCAAAGATCCAGCAACTTGAGAACGAACTAGCTGAAGCATCGGAGGCAAATGACATGTACAAATCCCAGCTTAAGAGGTGCGTCCAAGTCTACCGATTGAATATTTCGCGATTTATCGTCCTAATTAATCCGAACAGGAAACCATATTTACCTGACTCGGCAACTTTTTTCTGCCTCTTGCTTGAGTTGCAGGTTATTGTCTGGACAAAGAAAGGATCATCCAAAATCCATGAGGCAGCGATTAGAGGAGGAGGAGGAAGAAGGGATAGGAGCAGTAGGAAGTGGCGGCGTCGATGACGTGGAAGCGGAATTGAAAGACCTACAAGAACGCTTCTCCCATATGAGCCTGAAATATGCAGAGGTTGAAGCTGAACGAGCACAGCTCGTGCTGAAGCTCAGGGCTGAAAGTAGTGGGAAAAGGTGGTCATCCTAAACAGTGTTTGGTGTTTTGAAGAGGGTAATATGGTAATCCTATTCTATGGTAAAATGAATATGGCAATCCTATTCCTAATATCTACAAATTACTACTAAAATTCTTTATTATAGTCATTTTAGTATATAGTAATTTTAAAGATATCTATGTAACACTATTCTCTTGTAGTTCTGGAAAATTCACAACACAGAACATAAAGGGTAGATTCTGCCAACAGCAAACACAGTATAAGCCATGTATTAATGTAATTCTAGAACAGCTATATTGGAAATTGTCCACTTTCTATCCAAAAAAAACAACTGTCCATTTCTTTTCATTTTTCCTTCCATAATATTTGTTCGTTCCAGCTCTGGCATCTTAACGCAGCTTAATTACTTCAAAATTAAATTGAATTTGAAGAATAATTTGGTGTACAATCACACCAACGATCATACCTGCTCCAGATCTCTCGTTTGATGTTTCGTGATGCACATTACAAACCTAATAGAATATTTCTGCGGACGTCTAGTCGTTTTCATGAAGGCACAACAAACACACCCAATATCTCCAACTTCAGAGTCAAATCATTGAATCAAAATTCAATGCTCCAGTGATAAACCCAGACAGAGACTGATGAAAAGACAGGACAAGACAAGACTATAAATCATCGTAACAAGAACAGTTCTTTTATTTACGCACGAATGAAGAAATGAGGTCCAATTAGTGTTCAGCATATTAAACTCCCAGAATTATACAACGGAAAAGGAAGAGCCATCCCCACATATAAACAGCAGCTGAATGATCAACTGCATGGCCAAAAAGGAGGAAACAACTCTTTCCCAACAAAAAGAGACACAGGGAGGGAGCCACAGTGTGGATGAGAAGCCTTTCCTATTCTTCAAAGGAAGTCTGACTGACACCAGTGGCTCCATAAACATCTATACATCTCAGTCTCACCTGTGCCAAGAATTCTAACTTCATCCGTTTGCTTACTTTCAATGTTTCCTTTTATACATAATAATTATAGTATGGAGTATGCTCTGATGACTTCCACGATCGGTGCTCGACACAGTGGGCACTTACCACCGCCCCGAACCAGTTCGTTGGCACACTTCGAGCACGTGCACATGTGCCCACATCTGCAAAATATGGCCATCAAGTTAGAAGGGTTTAGAAATCTATGGACTCCTTATTCAAGAGATGATCAACAGTTGTATCCTGTTCAGATCTCAAAGCAGAAATTACCTGTACAACAAAGAATCTATGTGGCTATCACAACACACGCAGCATGTCCCCTTCTTCACATGACCCCATTTAGACCCGTCCTCGGATGTCTCTGCAGCCATTCCTGTAGACACAGGTACAGTATTGCACCGAAACAAATCTAAGAGCCAAAGAAAAGCAAACCCTACACCGAGAAAATTACCAGCGAACTTTTATCGATAGTAAAATGGTAGTTCTTTTACAGAAAATATTAAAGCAAAACCTTTTTCCCCAGATGATCGATTCAGAGCGGCAGAAACTTCCTGTCTAACAGAGCGCTGCAACTCTAGCTGCATATCCATGCAAGCTTCCACCATTCTCTGCATGTTACTCATTCCTTGCTGAAGCCTCGCCATATCTGCTCTCAAATCATTCATCATTTCCCATTCCTGTCGTAAAATCAACAACTATGCAATCAGACATGGAACCATGCTTCACTGACAGAATCAACCTAAACTAGTCAATCCAATAGTGCAGCTAGATTACTCACAAGTTCAGATCGATGCATGCTATGACGGGACCAGCCAGTGTGATGTAAATCCTGGTGCCAAAGAGGCTGGGGTGGAGGCACTGGTGGGGACGGAAGTACCAGTGAAGGTCTGTTTATTGCCTCACGCTGATCCTCACGATGTTCATCCCTCTGCTGCTCTTCATCCTGCCCGGGTGAAGCAGAAGTTTGTATTGGCAAGTTTCTGTGAACATCCCAGTCAATGGGAGCACGACCTTGTCTTTCCACGTATGAATGTATCAATTGATCCAGACTTTCGCGGAACCCACTCCGAAGCAGATTAGATACACTTCGCCTGAAAAACAAAAAGAGATCTTAGTTTCTCCACAAGTCAATGCACCTAGGGTTGAGCATGGTTCAGTCCAATCTATAAACACTGGTCTCAGTCCACAAGAATAGCATTCAGGAAATGAACACTTACCTGCTCAATAACTCCCTAAGCTCCATACTATAAACATTTTCATCATCTGGAGGGTGAAATCTATTCAACCTTCTCAATGGAACAGAACGACGAGCTCTTGGTGGATCAGAAGGACCCTCAATCCACGTTTCAACAGCCTCCCGAGAGCCATCTTCGTGCCAAGCTCCCTGGGCTTCCTGTGGACGACCTGGTTCATTATGTACATTACCAGGTGTTTCCTGGGGCCAAGATTCAACGTTATTCTGCTGCCAATTCTGATCCACAGGTTCAGCATTGTCATCTCTCCATTCATTGAAAGGACCATAATCTGTCTGTTGCCAGTTTCCTCCCCCACTATCTGTAATTTCCTCCTGCCAACCCCTAGCTTGATTAACATTTTCCTGCCAATTCATGTTATCAGTGCCTGCATTACTTTCTGAGGCATCGGTCTGATCAGGTAATGGACGGGCATCATCTTCTTGAGTCCTAGGTTCGGATTGAACATTATCCTCATGCTGAACATCCAGTGAAGTATCTGTTTCAGTCCGATCATTGTTAATATCACTAGGATTATCAGATTGGCTGCTTACTTGACCCAGGACAATATTTTCCAATCTTGAACGAAATCCTTCCCTAAACAAGAGCAAATTATTTTAGGATGGTCAATTAATAACAAAGAATATTCTGCGATGGAATTATGGAAAGACGAAAACGAACATTGCAATCCATAATGTTGAATTTTAGTCTGTCACGTGGACTTCAAAGACATACAAGATGAGAGTCAATAGATGGATGTGCTAATATTGAAGATGCATACATATTAATTCTAACTCTTTGGTCGTGTATCAATCGTCCTCTTTGGGATTCCCTTTAGATGAACTTTAGGAGTATCACTTATCTAACATACCCATTTGTTAACTACATACGAACTATCTGTTAATAACCGTCAGATAACTTTCTAACTTACCGTTTGGTATAAATGAATTCCATAAGTTTTGAAGAATTCATTTAGATAAATGAAACATTTTCGTGTTTGGTATTTAAAAGAATTCATTTTCAATTCTAAATTTTGAATTCTGTGGAATTGGATGTAGTTATAGTAATTCCGAGGAATTGAGATGGAATTTACAAATGAATTCCACAAGTATTTACTAATTATAATAGAATGACATAATTATAATAGAATGACATAACAAACACAAGAATTCATTTGACAATAAATTATACACGACAATTCATTCTATTTCTAAAGATTTGAATATGATATACCAAACACAAGATTTCATTTGACAATGAATTCTACACGGTAATTCATTTTACAATGAAATGAATTCTCGATTGATTTGGTACCAAACGTTATGTAAAGGTCATTTACTATTCTATAGGGGTCGCCTAATGCCACACCCACAGTATTCAGAAAAAAAATATATATATATCAGTGCCTATAACCAAAGACACAAAGTTCTGACAGACCATTACCAATTCTGCCACTATCTGTAAGCTCCAAATCTTTGATATTCAGTCTTGCGTAAACGAAAACTAAATGGGTAAGGAACAAGTCCAACAGAAGTGTTTGGCCATAATGATCTGAGTGCATTGATGTTTATATCCTCCTATAAAGCATTGACACTACTTTAAACCCTTATAGGATGAAATCAGTAAGGGGGCCAACTCTCCAAAGGATAAAAAGTTCGCCCATAACATTATTTTTCCTCCACTAATAATATGGTATCATCACCAAGTCTCAACCTAGGAGTTGCCACCAATGGTGGTATCACAAAAAATAGGCCATGATATGAACAAACCGAGACAAGTTCTCTAAATGCTAATACCATGAATCTAGAAATGAATACCTTATGCCGGAAACGGTGTGCCGCTGTCTTAGTTGAACTAATTCACTTGAAGCCACTGAAGGTGGTCTTTCGTCTTCAACAGTTGTTTCATTTCGGAGGAATCTACCCCTCAATAATGACTGAAATCACAGTAACATGAGATAAAATGTAATCATTCATGCTTCCAAAGAAACTGTAAGCAAGATAGAAAGTAACTTAAGCTGAAAATTTTAAAGTATTTAGAACAATCAAAACTTAATAATGCCCTTTTTCAGCAAATTCATAAGGAAATTAATAATGGGGGGGGGGGGGGGGGGGGGGGGGGGGGGGGGGGGGGGGACTAATACTAATCACTGTAAAGGAAAAAGAACAGTTTCCGCCCAAGAAAGGGGAGAAAGAACAGTATCTCGGTAAACCTAGAATCAGAAACAACAAATTCCCAACAGAGCAAACTTGACTGAAGGGATCAACCACAACCATGGACTGACAACAGCCTCATCAGACAAGATAAACTTGAATGGGCATGAGATAGAAGGCCAGAGAAAGAAAGACAGGAAACCAAGGGAAGCTTGACTGACCGAGAGAATTTTACTGACAAGATGATAAATGAAACACCTAGATAAAGACATGCAAGTTCACCCAGATGCTTAGCTGGATTTCCTTTGATTTTTATGGCTATAGCGATTCCCTGGGGAGCTGATATTGTGATCTTTGTTGAGGTCATCTGGATCTCACTTTCCTTTTCTTTCTTGTAATCCTTATATTTATATGTCAATTTAATAAAATGATATCACCATTATAAAAAAAATAAAAATAAAAAAGACATGCAAGTTCACAGTTGGAAAGAAAAGACCAAATACAGTGATCACAAAACTGAAGCCACTGCAATGAGCTCTGCACCCAGAGAATTACAAGAATTGCTAATCTTGTAAAGAGCTTCAGTGCCAGATACAATTAAAGCTGATGTCTTCTAATAATATAATACAAGGCACTGGAGAGGGGAAAAGACGAGTGAAAACTAACCTGAATGCGATTGCGGTGAGCAAATTCAGAAACAGCTCTATGTTCCAACAATCCCTGAAGCTCCCGCTGCCTTTCCCTCTCAATCCTCATAAGCAAATCAATAACAGCTTGTCTGCCACGCAGCCTAAGTACGTCCCGACGAATATGTTCTGGTTGCCCTTCATCAACTGACCTTTCCCGGTTTCTAGTAGTAACTTGAGCACCACCACGTCCACTAGCTTGATCATCCCTTCGTGCCCCTCGAGATCCTCGTTGCTGCTGGCTAGTCATCTGCACCCACTCCCTCACAATTCTCACCCTTTCACGTTCCGTTTCACCAAGCCATTCTCCTCTAGTACCGCCGCCATTACGTTGGGATAGATTCGATGTACGATCACTCATACCGCTGTCCATCCATCCACGAACAATCTGCCTCACCCGCTCCCTCTCAACTTCTCCAAGATCAGGAGAATGCTCCCGACTCGAGCCAACATTATTATCTTCGCCACGCTCAGTCCGGGAAACCACTTGCTCAGGCGACCAAGGTCCAAACTCAGTGTCACTCTCACCCACACTTCCCTGATTCTCACTTTCTCCTCGAGCCTCAGACATGTTTGTAGTTGAAGCATCATTTGTGGTAGTAGAATCCACACTCCTTTGCTGCCTCAACCTTTCACGGGCCCTGTTCAAAACATGCTCGTCCTCCAACTCCCGCCACATTTGCAAAATTGCTGACGCCCGAGTGCTCGGTCGTTCAGCTGTCCCGCCCTGCCTTCTCGAAGTGGGCGGTGAGGGTGATTGTGGCTCCCTTAAAAACGAGGAATCAAGCATTGAGACTGTATGGAGACCTGCAAGTGCCATCAACTCCGACTCACGATTCCTCCTCTCAATAGTGGTGATCATCATCTCCTGTGCCTGCCGGGCAGCCCACCTGCTGAGAATGCGGGAATGGCGTCTCCTGGCAGCTGAAGACTCGGCCAAATCATCCCCTTCAAGGTCAGACCTCCGTCTCCTGCGAACAAGCTGATCCCCCTCGTCATCCTCATCGTCCGGAGTACGAGGAGAGCTACAGGATGCAAATGACATACAATCATCTAAGGGCCCTCGCATCAAGTCCTCCCATCCCCTTTCAAATTCTGCACGAGTATCATTTGTGGTGGTGGACTCAGGCTTTTGCTGTACAGGTTGAAAGTCTGTCATCCTCACAACTCCCACAGAAACAACAAAGGCTTCCTTCCTTGCCCTTCCTTTCAAATCAACGACCCTTGTTCAATCAACACCCCCTCCCCAATTCCCATTCATTGCAATCGCATAACCAGACATCTCTTCAACGAAGGCTTTTGAAACCAAAGTAAGAAACGAAAATAGAATGGAAATAGCTGAAATGGGAAGGGGGGAAATCAACCTTCCATCGTCCACTGTTCAGGTTGCAGCTCGTGTCTCAAAAAGAAAAGGAGGAACACCAAAAAAGAAAATCTAATCCCTAATCGGATTCTGATGCAAAGAGCTCCAATTCACCTCGACCTGAACAACATTCCACACAAGTAGGAATTTTTATTCAAATCAATAAAATCTTCTAATAAGATAATGGGAAAAGAGGTAGTGGACATTTTTAAGAAATACCCATAATTCAGATACAGAACCAGATCAACTATTGGAAACACTGGAAGAAATTGGAGATGATGGATTTGATTAAAAGAACGTACCTTGGAAGCTGGGGAGAATTCTTTCGACAGGGGTAAAAATGAATGCCGATTCCTAGTTATTGTCAAAGTGATGGGACGAGGAGAGGAGCGATAGGAAACCCTAACTTTCAGTATGGAGAAAGGAAAACTCTAATGAAAATGTTGCAGAGGCGAAATTTGTTGAGGAAGAAGAAGAAAGAAAGGAAAGAGAGACAGAATTGGGTAATGAAATCAGGAATTTATAATCACTATTTTACAACAAAGAGAGAATTTATGAGCGGAAAGAAAGAATGAGCCTCTCTCTCTCTCCCTCTCTCACTCAGGAATTAGAGAGAGAATGAAACAAAAGTACGGAAGGAAGGAGAGAGAGACAGGTGCTGACTCATTTTTCTCCACTAATCTTTCTATTATGCGCAAATCAGCTCCCTGAATTGATTTATATTGCCATTTTAAAAAAAAAAATTCTTAATAGTTTAGTGTTTATAATGCATCAAATAATGTGGAGCTTTAGACCAGGAAAAAACATTCTACCAAGTCAAGTAATTTTATTGATTTTCACTAATTCCAAGCTTTTTTCCCCTAAATAATTAGCAAATTTATATCATGAAAAATGGACTGCACAAAAAACTATGAGGATCAATATTCAATATGTTTAACAATAGTTTCTCTCTAAAAACATATTGAATTTGGATTCCCTAGAAGATAAAAGAAGAGCCATATGTCTACTATTTGAACAAATGCATCAATGACCCTCATTCCAAATGACTTGAGGAAAATCGTTGATCTTCATTGTAGGAAACTTTGCAAATGAGTGAATAGCTCAATCGAGCTTAATCTTCGATCGTGGAACTACGGCGATACTAATGAACTAAAACAATACGATTATGTGTCTTCAATTCTTGCTTACAAAGCATTAAGCACACACCATCAAACTAAGTTCTCTTGTATTGTAGTTCGATTCAGAGTTGTTTGCTTGTGGGTATGGTTCATGAATTAAGGATCCAAATCTCACCCATTAAGTAATTATTCAAATTCATCGTTTATTTATTCAAAAATAAGAGGTATCAAATTCATCAAGCTCACTTGAAACCTTTTTTTAATTATTTCAAATTCATGAATTCAACGAATTTGTAAATCCAATGCTAATAGATTGAATGAAGGGATCCAAACCCTTGATGCAAAATTGACCTTCCTATATGCTTTGCAAGTTCATCATGCTCTCATACAATGCCAAGGGACTGTAGGGCGGCAACGGCAAACCAAACGAGTACAAAGTCCAAGCTTTGATAATTGAGAATTTTGCCCAAGGAGGCCATCCCAAAGAACTTCATCGTTCCTATCACCCATGTGTATCGACAATGAACAGCCATCGCCATAATTTACAGTGTCAGATAAATCTACTACTTCTGCTCAGACAAAATGACAGATAAAAAACCTGAAAGTTCTGCAGTAAATAATGTTTCTACTCTGCATAATAATAACAGTGGTATGGCACCAACCACAAGACTCTGGAAACTATTGAGTGATAGAAACTGTTGGAAGATCTCATATCTCACCGGTTCCAAGTGCCTGTCTCGAGGTATCACCAGAGGCCCAAGCTTGATAGTCCTTCACAAGCTGCATCACACCATCATAGATCATACAGAGCAATCAGACAATCCACCTTTTACTACTAACAACTGCAGTCGGATTTACAGCTGGAGAAATGCAGGGCGAAAACTCAACCAACCTGCTGCATGAAGCGGGGAAGCATGATGCCCAATATCTGCTGCAGGACGCCTGTCCCGGCTGATTCAATTGCTGCGACAGGAAGTAGTCTAAATGCGAAAGGGACTTCGATGGACACCTACGATTATACATGGAACAAGTTTTAAGAGGAATATGAATACTGTGATTTCCTCCATAACAGAAGAAAAGGATGGATGAAAAAGGAGTACCTCTATGACAGCATCAGAAGAAAGTTGTTGTACCAATGAGTTGCTTTGGTTGGTATCACATGAGATCCGGTTCACCATAGAAGCTGCATTCCCATTACCAAATCAGTGTCAAAGCAGAGTCCTGAAAGAAATCATATGTACAAACTTAATGGCATTATGATTCATGGTTCTACAGCATGAAGCCAGCATCTCTAATGTGTCAGATGAAACTGCCCAGGTTACTCTTTACTCATTCACATGCCTGATTACTAAGGATCAAATGCATATTAAGTATCACCGAAGTAATGAATACACATAGAGTACAACTGGGAAAGAAAAAGTCAAGAGAGATGAACTAACCATCAAATTTGTCATTCTGTGCAACTACAATGGGTGAACCCTCAAGCTGTCGTCAAAGGTCACAAGCAAGCAGGCAAGTATTAGAAGCAGCATTCAAAAGTGCAACTATCAATCAGGTAGGGGGATGAAATCAGGATTCCCCATTTCAATCGACAACTAAGAGGTGGCTTAAGTGAAGAATCAAGAAGAAGAAACGAAACAGAAGCAGAGAAAATACCTTACAGGACAAGAGCTTGATGCAGCAGCCATAAGGCTGCTCCTCAACCTTAACCAGCAAAACAGGGCAAACTTCAAAATTGAAGAACTTGAACCTGTAGACATAACACCTGAAAGTGTTGTCATCGACCCTCTCTATCCTCTCCGCATCAAGCACCGAGTACTGACTCGCCGGCAAACTCATGTACTCCACTACAAGTTACCAACCAAGCAAGAAAACCCCTCAATCAGAAGAAAGCAAACCCAGATCCCTGACACGAATTGCAAATAAGAGACGCTTAGCCCAACATTACTTAGAGGGCGCCCAAGTTGGCGAACGGAGATAGATTCCTTCCGCCGCGCCACGAACCGGGCTTTGGGAGCCGAATCCGCGGAAGCTCGCAACGAAGAAGCGCAAGTGGTGGAAGAGTAGTCATTACTGCTGTGGCTGAAAGAAGCGAAGCTGAGAGTGAAGAGGCTGTGGTCCTTCCCGGCCCCGGATCGGAGAGATATGAAGGAGGGTATGCCGCCGGCTCCGGCAGGAGTGGCAGTGGAACTGTAGTAGATAGCCATTTGAAGAAGATAAGAAGAAGAGTCAACAGAGCTGGTTGAAGATAGTATGAAGATTGAGCGTCGAGACTTCCTTTCTCTTTTTTTGCTTATTTTTTTTCCAAATATTCTTTGTAAATTTGTTCACCTGTAGCATTACTCGGCCGCGGAGGCGCATTGTGGACCCAGCCTGTATTTACTAATCTAACATGCACCGAAAGTGACGAGGGCGGGAATTCTCACCACCAATCCAAACCAGCCTTTTTTTCTTTACCTTCAAAGATCTCTGAAACTGTAACAATCTGTGCCGTAAATTTAATGTCAAAACAATCCAACAGCACTGGAAGCAAGAGTTCCAGTCTGGAGCACTTGCTTGGCTGCAAGCATAGCAGTGCACCAAGTGAGCCTGAAAGGTCAAAAGTTATGAATCGGAGTATATTCATACCATACCACTGCGACCACACATCCACTTTAGCATCTTCATTTTCTCACGGGAATCATATCATCATCATATGTATGCTTTCTCACACCATCAATATACATTGCAAAATGAAAACTAAGAGGATTACCCAGAGAATTTTGTGCATTCCTCGAATCTATCACTGAGTACAACACCAGCTGAGGATTTCCGTTACTGAGCTATTCTCAAGATAAACTTCAAATTCCTTTTTTCGTTCATTTTAGTAGTTCACATTCTGGGTCATGAACAAAATCGCCAAAAACGTCCTAAACAGGGTTTTATACAGCATAAAAAAAACTCTTATGCACACACCATACTCTATAACTAGAGCAGCCCACAAATACCTCAGGAGTACTATGTAATTCAAAACTATGCAAATGCTCTGCAAGACTAAAGAAAAGGCCTACCAAGATCTGCTGCTATCCCTTCCCGTGTCATGGAAGTAGCAGGTTATGCCGAACTATTTTGAACAATGCATCTACACTCCGATCTGCCTGCCACGGTTTCGCTTACATCGTTCTTGCCAGAGATATCCAACTAGTAAAACTTAAAATTTCTGAAGAGCAAAGGATTATCACCACATCTAAGTTAACTCTTACCTTTGTAAGCACATATAGATTTGCTGCACTTATCGTCCTTTGTAACACTCAAAAGGCATAAATAAACTACTTGGTTTTGTTAACAGTTGTCCTCCTGAGCATCATATCCTGCCACCTCAAAGTTTCACTTACACCAGTTGATGTTCTGGACTCTTCAGCAGGACAGAAAGAATACATCTCGCTGGAAAGCCAACTAGCAATCATTTAATCAACTACATTCTTAACCCCAGGAGTTCAACTACTCAGTTAAGCAAACTCAGTAACTCAACTACTCAAGTCTCGATAAGAAGTAACATAACACGGGAAAATCTCAATGCATATATACCGATTCTGCTACTCAAAGTGTAATAGAAGAAACTGTACATGATAATGGGTCCAAACATCAGGATGGGTTGACACTTGATAGGCCATTCGAATTTCGAAACATGAGAAACCAAAGCAAATACAACACTACATTCATAAAGAACAATAGCTCATAGAGGATTAGCATAGCATTGGCAAAAATGCAGAGTCTCTGCCACAGTTAACAGATCGAAATGCAGAGTTCTAGACTTCAACTTCAATAAAACCCAAAACTCTTGACAACCATAATATCAATAATCAGGATACTAGAATTTGGTATCGAAAAAGGGCAGGAATGAGAAGACGAAATTGCATTGTTGCCACTAACCAAAGGGCAAAGGTACCCAGCAGAGCTAGGTCAAAACCTATTAAAGATTCAAGATTTCAACTTGCGGATGCGCGAACCAAAAAGGGAAGGAAAGGACAATCAACAAGATCCAGCAAAGAAATCCAACTATCAATATGCGCTTGCCAAGCAAATCCGATACACTACTAGGAAACCAGATTCAATTATCACCACATTGCAACGAAAATTTACAATCCTTCAAATCCCTAATCTGAACAAACCACAAAATCCCTAATTCGACTCACCGTAAAACCTAACGAACCACAAGAACAGATCTGGGGAAGAACCCTAACCCTAAGAGCTGGTAAACTTGGTGACAGCCTTGGTGCCTTCGGAGACCGCGTGCTTGGCAAGCTCGCCGGGGAGAACAAGCCTGACGGCGGTCTGGATCTCCCTGGAAGTGATGGTCGGCTTCTTGTTGTACCTAGCGAGCCTGGAGGACTCCTGAGCGAGCTTCTCGAAGATATCGTTTATGAAGCTGTTCATGATCCCCATCGCCTTGCTCGAGATCCCAATATCGGGGTGGACCTGCTTCAGCACCTTGAAGATGTAAATCTTGTACGTCTCCACGCTCTTCTTGGCCTTCTTCTTCTTCTTGTCGACGGAGGAACCATCCTTGGGGAGCTTCTTCTCGGCGCGGGGCTTCTTCTCCGCTGGGGCCTTCTCTGCCGGCTTCTTCTCCGCTGGCTTCTTCTCTGCTGGCTTAGGAGCCATTGCCAATCGCGAGCTAAATTCTAGAGAGAAAGGAGAAGGATTGTATTCTACTTTCAGTACCTTTGATCAAGAGTTCTGAGTAATGCGGCTGAGACGGTGGGATGAGGTTTTCTTTATATAGGACTACTGGGGTGAACGTGATTGGCCAGTTCGTTAGGCACGCGGATAGATGTTGTGGACGGCTGGATTCGGAGTTCAACAGAAGGTAATGGACGGTGCAGATTTATGGTGCTTCGGTTCGTTCGATGCCTCATTTTCTGCTGGGAAATTAAAAAAATATATATATACAAAAAAAATCCAGCTTTATATGGGCTGACCCGCATGGGCCTTCTGCAATGGCTGAGACACAGCCCGCCCAATCCATCGAAGAACAGCCCAATTCTCTCACCCGCTAAACCAGACCAAAATAATTCATCATCCTGGGTATCCATTCGAATCCGAATTAACTTTGTCAGAGTAAACCCGGCCAATATGATTTTGGGGTGGGTTTTCACTTTTCTCCAAATTTGACAAGAAGTGTAATGAGTTTGACGAAGTTTTTGTATTTTAAATATATGCACTGAACCCACCGACCATGTGTTATAATTATGACTCTCTTAAACATTTTCTTCCCATCCATAACTCTCAAACATTTAATCATTTCATATACCTCAAATCCTTCTCATTTTGTCTCACTTTTACAAATAATGACAAGAAAAATTAGATTGCATCAACTTTATATATGATTCTCACAAAAAAAAAAAAAACTTCATATAGGATTGTTGGGAGTGCAGGTTGACTTTGGTATGTCATATTACATCTATGCATAGTTTTAGTGGTGGAGTCATAAATTCAAAAAAGGGAGGGTGACTCGAATTGTTGTAATTGAGGGAAGAGGGACTAAAACCTTACAAACTATTTTAATTTCTAAATTATTCAAAATTTACATGTAATTTTACTTATATTTCATAAATCTCTTCAGCCTACCTTCACCGCTGATAATTTTTATTTATGACCTGGTTACGATTTTAAAACGAGATGGTATTTAGCAAAATCGGTTGAAGCTCTCCAAAAGCCCACACGCATCCACTAGCTAGATACGTAGCATGCTGCTAGCTAGGTTGTTGAAGAGATCAATATCGTTTCCGCATCTGCAATGTCCTTACACAAATACCTCCCTCTTCATACTGCCCAAAACCTAGAGGTCTCCACTTCTTCTTCTTCTTCCTATAAAAACCATCTAATCACACTCCCCTTTGCCCAATCATCCTTCGCCAACTCACACAAAACCACAAAGAAGCCAGAAAAAGGGGATCAAAATGGAGAGCAAGAGAAGCTGCAGGTGGCAAGCAGCAGCTAGTCGGATGATGATGATGGGAGCAGTGGTGCTCTCACTGGTGGCCGCCGCTACGGCGGAGGCTGGTCCATCAACAAGTGAAGGCGGAACTGGGTGGGCATGGGCAGGTCATGGAGTAGCATTAACAAGGCCGAGTGCGGCATGCACGGGATGTTACCGAGGATGTTTCAGCGAGTGCATGGCGGACAAAGGTGACCAGCTCAATACTATCGACCCTTTCGTCTGTTCGGCGGAGTGCTTTGTCCACTGCATCTTCTCCTTCTACATGCCTCCTCTCAGCGCGCACACACTTTGCACCGCCGGCTGCTCCGTCTCCAGATGCTCCAAGTTCAGCTACATCGGTCACCCCAGTAAGAAAAGGCCATTCTATCATTAATTATATTGCACCGTCGATCGATCTTCGGTTTCTCTAAACGTACTGATGATTGATTAGTTCTCTGATCTTCCGCTTGTTTACTACGTTGGATGTGCAGATACGGGTGAAGTTGGGAGCTGCATGGATGCTTGCTCCATCGGCTGCACTGAGAAACATGATAAGTTTCCCTAATTTGTTCGCCAGCGAATACAAGATGGAAAGCGGATCGATGCCGCCGTCGGAGGGTGCATGCTTAATTTATTTATTTGTAGCAAGAATAAAAGTTTGTTTGGGGTAGTTGATATTTATAATATGATCACAAAGAAATCATGTTTATAATAAGGAATAATTGGAGCATTAAATATTGTATATATATTCGGAAGTATTTTATGGATTTTAGGTATTCATATGTATACATAAAAATTTGAAATACTAACATAACGAGAATACCAATATCTATATATTTCTCTGTGATTAATGTTTACTTTTTCACCTTTAAGTGTTGCATACTTGTATCGTGGAGTAAAAGAAGATCGGACAATGATCTGTACAACGTCTTAAACCGGGATATAAAATCAAACCCTATTAAACAAGGGAACAAAGATATGGTCTTTTCTCGACCAATAAGGTAGATCAAATAACTGAAAATATCATCGAAGATCATTGATGTGTCTGCAAAAATGACCACACCACGGGCATCCAAAAGAAACGTCTAGTGAACTTTATCGATAACATATTTTGCATCACAACTCGTAACACCATGTATCACCCACCATCGAATCGCCTCCATAAGCGCCAGAAAGGCAGTGGCGGATCCAGGGGGTAGCCACCCCGGGCCAGCCCTCTCTGGATCCATAGTTAGTATAGGCCTTATGAATTTTTCGATTTTAGATATTCGGGTCGTTGTTATTTTAAAATAAGATTGGGTATAATTAGAAAAATAATTCAGATGAACATATTCAAAATCACTACTCTAAATTTAGCTTATAAATTATAATCCCAAAGGTTATTCGTCTAAAAAAACAATGAATCATAAATATTCAAAAAGTTTAAAACGTAAAAGACTAAAACATATATGAGGTTTGTTACCTTGGAAAATTTACTAGAGCAGCTGGTGGATATAGGGATGGAAACACAATGCAAATTGATTAGTAGATTGATTTGTCTAGTGTTGATGCTCCTCGTTTCAACAGCTAATACGAATAGAACCTTTTCAACAACGAAACATGTGAAAATTGATTTGCGCAACAAAATGAGCGATGGATTTCTAGTCGATTGCTCAAGTATTTTATTTGAAACAGTGTATACTATTGGTATGGATGTGGACTCCATTATTAATGCATTCGCTAAATTAAAATACTGTCGTGTACAATTTACATTGTAAAAAAATTATAATCATTATATTTATTTTACTATTTTAATTTTCTAATAAAATGAGGCCCAGTGCACTTCTTTGTTCTGGATCCGCCGCTGCAGAAAGGGACTCACTACCCCGTCAAAACAAGTGTCCCTCCACAGCCACAATATATCTCGTAAAACTCGGACCAGCCCAGTGCGAACCATTCAGAACCAGAAGGGCTCCATCAACCAAAACCTGCATGTGAATTGTTCGAACGACTACCACTCACTCACCAGCAAAGAAAATTGCATAATATAGGAAATGAGAACCGTTTAGGGTGATTTTCCAATTACTCCTCACCTCAATATTTTGCATCATTTTGATATTGAAATTTAAAGTAATGGTTATTGTACTCAAATACAACAAAAGTTTCGACATAAAACAAAACAATACATTTGTACTATTGCATGTAGTTTTAAAATTTCACCTCTTAATCACACTCAACTAAACGACTTCTCTTTGACACATTTGAAAATTGCATACAATTGTAAACAAACTTCATCCAAAGCGTTAACGAGAAAACCAAAAACTCAGTTAATTGCACGCCATTATTACGAACTTCCCTATCAATTACACCCAGCTGCTTGGAGAGGCGGAGATGCATTTCTCTACTCAGTACTCACAACCAACTGCATTCCCCTTCCCCATCCCCATGGCTTTCGAGCACATACAAACAACATGTTCTCGAGGTAGAGGAACAAACAGCCACGAAACACCAGTCCTTACTGATCTCAAATCACACGACACCACCAAACCAAGCCTGCCTATATATATATAGTGACCACAATCATGCCTGCCCAACACATAAACCTGCTCAATCTGTAGAAAAACTGAAACAACATTTTAAAGGCAAGAGGGAACACTACCAATACCAAATATGGAGACCAAAAGGCTGATCATTGTACTGGCAATGATGCTGCTGCTCACCGCCGGCCACTGCCACTCGTCTCCCTCCGACGGCTACTACAAACGGCACAAGAAGTCCAAGTGCAGCCCACTCTGCTTCGGGGCGTGCGCCATCGGCGGCAAGGGTTTCAAGTGCTACGGCCGCTGCATACTGAAGTGCCTCTTCCCGCCCGGGGGCGAGCCAGACCACAACAATCCCCAGGCCATGTGCTTGGCCAACTGTGTTGTTCCCGCTTGCGCCGAGCTCGTCACCGCAGATGACCCATGTATGTATACACATTCAGCAAACTCTGCCATTGTCATTCTGCTGCTACTTATGACTAGTTTCTCGTACACTTTGCACGATCCAACTGATCAATCTGCTTTGCTGTTGTGTTGTGTTTTGCTTAACTAGTCTCCGATGAAGTGGAGAATTGCCTGGATTCTTGCAAAGACAACTGTGCAGAAAAGAGGTTTGATGAGTCGCACCACCACCAGCTCAATCATTCGCCATGAAGAAGATCATGGTTTGGTTGGGCGACGAAGAAGCAACTATGCATGTGGACATGTCTCTTTCAAGTATTTGAATCATATAATAATGTAAGAATAAGGTTCAGGCTCCCATCAGCTTTCACTGTAGTAAGATAAAAGATGAAATAAAATGGTTCATGCAACCACTGACAGAATAATATAAGTAAATGCATATTCCAAGAGAGTGATCAACACCTAAGAAGTTCATGTCTGCAGTCTGCTTGTCTCACATTTCGGTACCATTGATAAAAGGGGAGCAGCTGCATTAAATATTCAAGCATTCCATGTTCTAATCTCGATCCATGACTACTGCTGTTCCAGAACCAAGTAGAGTGAAGACATAAAATGACATGAAAGGATGTTGTCCCTATGACTCTGACTACATTGAAATCGAACCACGAAAATGGGGGGACTCTCTCCACTGTATAGGGTTTATGCGATTCGGGCGAACACAAAACCATAACACAGCTAATACAAACAGACCACTGCATGATCGGGCAGGCAGGAACCATATAAAAACATAATGAGGGGGGAGGGGGATCATTTCCACTCGCCTAGGGTGAGTTCTCTGGTGTCTTCAGAACTGCCGCGGGGTCGTTGTGATCTTTGTGTTGTGTGACAGCTGCACGAAAATCTTCAACAATTGAGCCGTCCTTGAACTTCAGGGCAAAGGTTGAAAGCGCCTCCTTACCTTCCCCAATGCTATTGATGCAAGCAAAAGTGATGCCTCGCTTTTCCATGTTCGCGAGCTTCATATCAGAGAAAAGATTAGCATTCAAGATCAGCCGCAAGTTACCCTTAGACCTCATCAGAAGCCTAGCTTTCTCTGTTCCACTGGTAGGGACATTCACCTTCACTTCTCCTTTCCCCCGCTCCTTCCAAGAACCATCAAGGAACTCAAACAACACAGAATCGGAAGAGAAAACTGCCCTTTCGTTCTCTTCTCCAGTCTCGACTGGAACCTCCGGCATAGATGGGAAGCTGCTTCCTTCACTCTTGGTGGCAACAGAAGAAGAGCCTGAAGAGTTAAAGAGTGATGAATTTCCATTTGTAGGGAGGCCAAACCCAAAAGAAGGCTGGTCACTTTTCTGCCCAAATAAGGAACCAGCACCACTAGCAAATGGAGACCCGTCTTTTGGGATTGAGACAAAGGAGAACGACGACGAGCTGGAAAATCCTGTTCCAGCTAGGCCAGTGAAAGCGTTTGTGCTACTTGAAAGCTGCTGAAATGAACTCAGTGCGATACCTTCACCACTAGGGTCTGCACTTTCACTACTCTTGTCATTCTTTTCATCATTCTCAGCTTTACTATCCCTTGATGTTTCCTTCCCTTCAACATCTTCAGCTTTATCAGTCTCACTGACATCCTTGCCTTTGTCTTGAGCTCCGCCACCCCATTCAGCCTTTTCTTCCGCAGACTTAATGGCTTCGCCCATCTTATCACTCTCAGTTTTATCTTCTAATGGTTTCTCAGCCACTTCACCAACAGTCTCAGTTGTAATATTATTGTCAGTGCTCTCCTTGTCACCTGCAGACTCAACCACCGACACACTTGCACTGCTTTCTACTTGCTTCCCATTAGAAGCATCTTTCTCTTCCTTGGTTACATCACAAGCACCACCTTTAATGTCATTCTCAACTTTCTCATTGGAAGTTACTTCCACAGTTGCTACCGAATGAGGGGCTGGAGTTGGATCACTTGGTGGAACCAAACGAATTCCAGCAAATGGATTAGATGCGGGGAGTTTTGGGGCTACCGTCAATTGACTGCGGCGAACTTTCACGATTCTTCTGGTGGCCAGCACCTCATCACTTGCCTTCTTGAAAGTTCCAGCCTCCATTTCAGACAAATCTTCATCATCATCAAGGCCAGGGTCTTCCTTCGATATCTCTCTACCTGCAGCTCTCTTCTTTGAAGGTGGAAGGACATTCTCGGAATCCCCCATTCTTAAACCAAAACAACTAAGCTTGATGCTTTTGCCTCTGAAATAGTCAAGAATCTGCAGGCAGAAAAAAGAACCCGCTCATTACCACACTTTAGCAAAAGAGACGAAGACCGCCAATTTTCTCATCAGGAGCAGAATGACTGCTTAATGAAGCACAGATTATCATCCAACAAGGGAACCCAGACTTATAAACTACAAAGTTGAATAGCAAACTTCTACATGTTATCAAACCACTTCATAGGACAACCGACATTGTATACCATTAATGCTAAGTTAGTTCACCAAACACATAGCATAGTCCGTCAGAGAGAATTGAAGGATTCATCAATTTGAACCTTCATTGCAAAGATAGATCACTTAGAATCGATTCAAGTTCAAAAGAAAAGGAAACAGGTGACCAGGTGACGAATTAAACAAGCAGATAGCACTTGCTTGGTTCGAGTGAAAAACAAGTAGATTCCTAAATGAATGAGTTGCAGTTTGTTCACAAAAGGCCACTGAAGAAACTCAGCTACTAAAACACTGAAAGAGGATACATGGAATACGAACACTATATCATATAACTAAGCCTCTAGTTCATTGGAAAGGCTATCACTTTACCTTTGAGGCTTTGAACAAACAAAACCCAAAGATTCAACCAAGTAGAAATCTGACAACAAAACAGAACAATCTCTGGAAAACAAAACAAAATCCATCATAACCCAAAACCAAAGAGAAATATTGGTTGCATTCTAGTTAATAAACTTCTGATTAGATTTAATAGTGACGCAATCAAGGAAATTATGTACCTCGTAACAGAGACAGTGAAAGGAACCCTATCAACCGATTAGGGTTTCGATGGGTATCTGATTTCCAACGGATTGAAGCAATAAAGCAGCAGCTGGCCTCAGCCTGACAGAGGAACGAAAGCAAACATTTCTACACGTTCTGCGCCTTCCGATACTGTCGCCGATGAAGTAGGGAGAAACGGGGCAGGGATCGTTATAGCACCGTAGAGCAAATGTCGAAACGACTTAAAATATATATCAGAAGAAATGGAGAAAAGGGTTTCTTTAGCTATCTATCCTTCAATGGCGATAGTGATGCCAAGGAAGTGAGAGGAGGAAGGACGATTATGAGCGGCAGGCCGGAGTGGAGCCGCCGCTTTCGTTTGTATTGGAACAGGAAGCAGCGGGGGGGAAAGTAGACCGTCCAGAAGGTGCGCTTTTCATTAGCGTAGGGTTTTTTGCTTGCGGGCAGATCAGATGGCTAAACGCCTAAACCTAGGCGTGCAAATTGTTCGGTCCAGTTACGAACTCGACCGTACCAAGATAGGAATTAGAAAGTACGGTCCAAATGTCAGTTCGTAAAATTTTGCGAAATCGATAATAGTTTTGGGTTAATATTTTCGTATGATCTGAACTTTGACCAAAATAAACATCCTGATCAAATTTTACGATTTATAACATCTTGGCCCGAACTATACACCAAAATAAACAATTTGGTCAAACCTGATGTTTGACCGTTAACTTGGACAGTCAACGCGTCACGTCACTGCCAAGTCAGAAGATCTGATAAATATTTAATTTTCTCATTTTTCATTTTTGGTTTAACTAAGGTATTAGATGATTTTTTAATTTATAATAATTTAAAATTACGAAATGTGTTGAAATTGTGAATTATTTTAAATATTTTATGCTAACTTGGCAGTGACATAGCGCGTTGACTAACAGTCAACGCGTTTGACCGTCCAAGTTAACGGGCAAAAGTCGGATCTGGCCAAATTGTTTATTTTGGTGTATAGTTCGGGCCAGGATGTTATAGATCGAAAAGATTGGTCAGGATATTTATTTTGGTCAAAGTTCAAGTCATACGAAAATATTAACCCTAGTTTTGGTGAGGTGAAATACTAATTGGGATCTAATTTAGTTTCATACCTTATAAAATCCGTACGGGTATTTTATTTTATCTCTAAGTTAATATTACGTTTAATAGTACGCTAATAGTCATAAATATATAAAATTAATTATTTTAAAAAACAAATAAATGTATAAAAATAGTAAAGTTAATAATTTAATTCATTAAATGTGGATATTAAACGTGTTATATAGGTTTTATACGTGTTTGGTACCGTCAAATGAACATAAACAAATGAAACGACTTGACAATAATACGGATACGGAAGTTTTAAACGGATAAAGTACGTACGGGTACATATACATGTATTAAACGGAGTTTTTACTAACTATGCTTAAAGATGCCAAAATATAAATTTGTTGCGTTGAAATGATTTGTGTAGATCCAGGTAATTTGTGGTTCAATTTGAATCATACTAATGAGTCTGTACATCCGTTCGTATTGTCATGAATTGTTTGGCTCTAATAATTTGAGTTGTTGGGAGAAAGTTTATTTGGATCTTACATCACTTTCTTACATGCTCCATTGAATGAAAGTTAACTTATCGGCTTGAAGTTTACACATACTCATCGTACTACTTGCTTAAACCAATTTTTAATATTGAGGGTTGCGGATATGTCAGTACATTACCACATAGCCAAACCAACTATGTTATAATGTCATAAACTCTTGGATCTCAATAGTTCAAGTAGTTAAACTAAAGTTTGTCAATCTCATACCATTCTCTTACATGCATTTCATGATCGATGCCAAATTTGACCAGCTTCAACAATTATTTTGCTACACCTGTGTGGCCTTTCAGCTATCAAGTCCAAACTTCATGAATTGTGATCATTCATTTCTTTTTTTGTTACAAAATTTGTGACCATTTTGATCTCTTATGGATTCGAGTCTCGTCAACGGCTTGTTAGTGGGTTGGGCAACATGACATTTTCATTGGATTATTTATTTATTTATTTATTAAGTCAACATGTTGGATATGTAGTTTTGGGTGGAAAAATCGATTCATGATAATTGAAACGACCATTTACCACAACATTAAATGTCGAAATATACAGGGGATGATTTTCATAAGAAATTAATGTCTAAAATGGGAACGACATATGTAAACGAATGAATGAGGAGGTTATAGATTTGAAAATTTGAAACAAGTTTACGACAAATCATCCCACTAGACAATCTATTATTGTGTGTGCTTTACATTTGTCTCTCCTCCCTACAGGTATTGGGCGTAGGATGAGTTTAGACCAACCCGTCTCACTACATGACCTTATTTTGTGTTGCCCTACATCTCTCTCTGCTATTTCTCATGTTTTTCTCATCCGAGAAAATAAAATTAACAATATATTCTTCTATATGATTTTCATTTTCGAACACTGTTTGCAGGATGTGTCAACTTTTATCTATCGGATCTAGTGATGATGGCTGGTTTGTATTTCATCACTCTAGTGTCCTCTCCCTCTATGGATCCGACAACGACGGTGAATCTCATCCATATATGTTACTTATGTTGACTTGAAATGCTGTTTTTTATAATTTCTACATAGGAGACATATTTAATGCATAATCGAACGAGCTCAATTTAAGTAAGAAGCATAAGAACATGAAAGTGCAAGCACATGGATACGAATGTTTTAGGGAAAAAGATGAACACAACTTCAACCAAGAGTCATGGAAAAAGAGGCTTTAGAACCAAAATTTGAAGCGGGTACACAACTTATTTTGCACCTTTCTTTGTCATCAAAACTCCTATCGGATCCGTCCTTCTTAATGGAAATCGAACTTCTCCATTTTTTGCTAAGCCAAATCAATAGTCTTCTCATTCGTAAAACGAGAGAACGATAAGACAATTGGTGTATCACCATAAATGAGAAGGCAATTTTCGTCTTTTATCATTTTCTTACATAGTGTTCGGTTTGAACCGAACCGTTTAATAAATATCCATTAATAAACTAATAAGGATGTCTAAACTGTCGATCCCGATTAAATTAAAAATGACAACAACTCAAAACCAAATTCAATTGTTACCAACCTACCATCGAATATCAAGACTACGATTTGGTCCAGTGACTAGGGATCGCCAATACGCGTGACAGGGCTTATAGCTTACCGCTCTCCAATCTCCACCCGGCCACGGCCCACGAGGCTTCGCGGCAACGGGACTGGTCGTGCCATAACGTGTTCGAGATTAGTAAGGGGAAAACCGAAACGGGAATTCAAAAAAAATAAAAGTCAGTGTCCAACTGTCCATTAAAAAAAGTAAAGAATAGTCAGTCAAATAAATAACACTTTTAGCGAAGTGAAAAAGTGCAAGTTGGAAAATTATTGAAAGGGATAAAAATGGTATATTAAAAAAAAGTGGGCAGAGAAAGAGGCGGTCTTTACGCTAAAACAAACAGGCCCTAGCAGCTCCTCAAAACAAATCCAAAACCCAACCCAAACGAGCCTTGGAGTGGAAGAAGAAGAAGGATTTATGAGAGAGAGGAGAGGCAGATAGATACGCAGCAAAGCAAGTTGCCAATTCGCCAATTCCGCAAGCAACGCCAAAGCAAAGCTCTCACCGTCTCCACCACCACCACCACCACACCGCTTCCGCAACCGTCACCGCCGCCTCCTCCTCACCGCTTCACCGTTCGCGCCACCTCCGCTGCTGAAATTCGGCCAAACCAGACCGCAACAGTGAGTGTAATTACTAATTTACAGTGGCGAGTAGTACGCGACTTCACGAGCATGGTTCCGCCAATGCATTTTGCTGAGTTTGCTCGATTTCCTTTTGTGTTTCGTTTTTTTTTTGACATCGTGCTGTTTCTGTGTGCGAAGGTGGAGAGCGTGGGAAAGGAGAAGAAGGAAATGGAATCTAACGAGTCCTCTTATGTGTCCTCGCCGGAGGCTCCAGGGAAGAAATCTCCTCCGCCGCCCAAATCTCCCACTTCAGGTTCCTGATCTGATCTGATTTCTCTCTCCATCTCTCTCTTGAGTTTTCTGTTTGCCGTTTGTGTTATCATCAACGGAGGATACGTACTGCTGCCTCATTTCTATGTTGAATTTCGCCCGTTTTGACTCCATCCTTAACCCTAAGGTTACAGTTACCACTTAGTCGACGAGATAAATTCATTTGGGGTCGCATTTGGTTCTGTTCGCTTTTTTTAAGAGAAATGAAGGTGAAATATGGAGTATAATGAGACTATTTTGTCCTTGGAAGTGGAAGATTTACTCAATGCACCAGTTTAAGCTACTTTATCTGACAGTAATGCCTACTGCATGATGTGCTTCCCACTGCACATACACTTCTGCGAACTTGAGCCAGTTACTTCTAGCTTTTTAGGTACAGTTTCTAATGGTGCTGTTTGAGTGTTTTCCATGAATGTATTGAGAGTTTTCGCTCGTTTTGTTTTGTGATTCCTGATTGAGCGTTGAAGATTTATGCGCGAGAAAGCATTTTAGTGGCTTGTGTTGGCTCTAAACAACTATCTGCTGGACCTAGGGCGTTTCTTGAGCTTAATTTGCTGATTTTTGTTTCTGCATCATGCAATAATTCAGTCCCTGTTGCTCTGGCTGATGATTTGAATGGGATTTTAAGTATGAATTGTTTTTTTTTTGTTCCCGATGTTGTCACTAATCTGCATGTCCTGTGATGGATTGTACTAAATTGCTTGGTAGACATGCAGACACTTATGCACTGGGTGTTTCAATTTGGCCTCGATATTCAGTTGTGTAAATTCTTGGCATCTGTAGTGAATTGATGCCTGCCTGGATGGAAAATATGACTCTAGATTGGGGTTTCCTCCATTAATATGTGCTTCTCAGTGTTTGGTAGAGGCTGCTTTAGTTTGTTTTAGCAATTGGTTTCTTGTGTCCTTGTTTAAATTGGAATCCTTAATGATTCAAGTTAGGCGTATTATCTGTACTTTCCTTGTATAAATAGGAGTCTCTATTAGTTGTATTGGGACTTATTACCAATACGGGATTAGTTTTCTTGCTTTCTAAGCATATATTTGAATAAAGTGGACTATAGAGTTTTTTTAACTTGTTTCTTTGAGTGTATTCTCAAACCCTTCTTCCTGAATTTCCAGCTACAGCGTGGAAAAAATCCCTTAAATCTTCCCAACGCTCTCTAGTAAAACCTGGGCACATCAGCAATGCTACTTTGTTGCATAAATGCTTGGCTTTGTTTTCAACTTTTCATTTCAGATGTTGAATATCTGTATTGAATTGCTGAAGTAAGATATAGCAGGATTTGCTTTTTCTGGGCTAATTTGTTTTCGTGGCAGATACTACGGAGAAGGCAGCATATATTAGATTTCTTGTGTCAAATGCTGCAGCTGGTTCAGTGATTGGGAAGGGTGGTGCGACAATTACCGACTTCCAGTCTGAATCGGGAGCAAGGATTCAGTTATCACGCAACTATGAATTTTTCCCAGGGACATCTGATAGAATAATTATGATTTCTGGAAACATTGATGAGATTTTAAGGGCTGTGGAGCTTGTTCTTAATAAATTGCTAAGTGAGGTACTGCTTCCTCCCCTCTAACAAGAATGTTCATAAGGTTCCCATGTGTTTTCTGCTTTCTAATATAACTTTTGTGTTTCTCTTTCTATGGTCAGCTTCATACTGAAGATGGTGGTGATGCTGAACCACGAATGAAACTGAGACTAATTGTCCCAAATGGCTCTTGTGGTAGCATTATTGGGAAAGGAGGAGCTATCATCAAGTATGAACTGCTTTTTCTTTTGTGATCAATATATTTTGTTGATTGAAGCATATACTTATGTACTAGATGATCCATCTTTGAGCTATTTTCTGACATTTAGTACTTGTGGTGAGGATTAACATGCTTGTGGTTATAGAGGTTTGTTCTTCTCTGTCCTTCATCACTATTCATCTTTGGTAGTTTGATTAGCAAAGCTTGCATTTCATGATGTGTTTGAATTTATAGTGGAATGCTTCTTGAGATCTTTTTCTCTCTGTCAGCATTTCACTCTTTTCTGTTCATGTTTGTAATAGATTTCGCTCTTTTATTCATGTTCGCTTTTGACATATCTCCAGAACAGAGTCGCTGTTTTCTATATACTATGTCACAGCACGATGTCTTAGTTTTTGAAACTTTCTCAGCCATGTTTCTATGATGCTAGTTACAAGCTGAATGATCGGTCTGTAACCGAAGAAATAGAGAATGGAAAATCTGATGATTGATCACTTCTTTTAGGTCATTCATTGAAGACTCCCAAGCTGGCATCAAGATTTCCCCACTGGACCATAACTTTTATGGATTGAATGATAGGCTGGTGACGTTAACTGGTACTTTGAATGAGCAGATGCGTGCAGTTGACCTCATTTTGTCAAAGCTAGTTGAAGATCCTCACTACTCACAGAGCATGCATACCCCATTGTCGTACGCAGGTATAAAATCATCTTTGTTTTATCCCCGATTCTCTCTTCGAGTCTTCCCTACTTTTATTGCTTGATTGAGGAAAGATTGTCCTGTCCTGTTACTCTTGGTTGGATTTTTATGCCAAGCGCATGCTCTTGCTTTGTTTTTGGACGTTCTTTCTGTCCTTATCTTAGCTTGATTCACGTCTTATGTGCTAACTTACTGTGGTTTTTATTGTTTTCTATTTGCATACGTGTCTCCTTATGAAGCAACTGCAGCGTACAATGTGGTGAACTATGCTGGGCAAAATGGTGGCGGAGGAAAGTTCCAGAATAACAAGGTTCCTTTTCACCCAATAATCTTTGTTCTAGATAAAACATGCTTACCACTGTAAATAATGATGGATAGAATAGGTGTATCTGATACAATGTCAACTGATAATGTTTTCCCAGGAGGAGCGAACCAACTCGGTAACAATTGGTGTCGCTGATGAGCACATCGGCTTGGTTGTTGGTCGCGGTGGTAGGAACATATTGGAAATCAGCCAGGTAAGCGGAGTCTTGATATTTCCTCTCCTGTCTTAATGAATTAAGTCAATTGTTCTCAAGGCACTAAAGTTCCATGTTGTTTAACAGGTCAGCGGGGCAAAGATAAAAATATCAGACAGAGGCGATTTTATGACCGGGACAAATGACAGGTACGAATTCCGACCAAATCTTTGTCTTGGCTCTCCTTCTCCTACTGCGCTAATCGGTGCAACTCTGAAACTTACTTTCTGTCATGGTGTTACTGTGTTTGGCAGGAAAGTAACAATCACAGGGACACAAAGGGCCATCCGTGCAGCTGAGGGCATGATAACTCAGAAGGTGTCTTATGCTTCGGAGAGAGTTGCCGATCATCTCTGAGTTTCGGGTGCTTCGAGCTCCAGTGTAGTTGGTGATAGCGGATTTTGTTCTGTTAATCTCGTTAGTTCCTTAATTTCGTTGGGACAGAAAGCTTTGCAATTTCGTCTGTTGTTATAATTGGGTGACTTTGGAGTTTGGTTCACATGCCTTACTTAGAGATGAGTGGTGAATGGATTCGGGTCGGCAGATCTCAGGCGCATATTTTATTTGTTTTAGGGGAGGGAGAGGGGTCACGAAAGTTTTCCGGTAGGCGCGGTTGATAGATTGAGTTCGTTGGAGCTAAGGAAGAGTTTGGAGTTGCTTGGGCCGGAGGGGGACTTGGATTGTCTTTAGGTTGGAACTTGGGAGTAGCTTCAAACTGTATGTTAAGCAGGAGCTTATTGATATAGTTGCTAGATTACTGTTGTCTACCTCCATATCTCTCTGCCAGTCTGCTGTTGGGGCGAAGCCCACCTGCATCTCTCTCTCTCTCTCTCTCTCTCTGCAATTCTGCTGTTTGGGCCAAGCCCAAATCAAAGCCTGAAGATGTCTTTCTAATCTATTCGCCACTGGACTACCAGTAAACGGTAAACCTTAATAAATATGACGATAGTTTATTATTTTCGCGAAAGATAATACATATAAAAATTAATACAACATACCATGTAACGTTACATCATTACTACAACATAAGAAATTATGGGTAGCCCATCTCAAGTTCACTTTCTACCTATGGAAAGTGAAGCAGCACATAGGCTTGCAACTTTATTTTCTTCCGATTAATAACCCCACAATTGTGTCTAATAAAATTCATGAATCTATCGAAATCCTCACCTTAACCCAACGATCAAGCGAGGATTTACCATTAATCCGTACATTGGTAATTAATTAATTCATTCATGGGGAGTTGTCATCATCTCCTCCTCCTCCTCCATAGCCAGACCCATAACCTTCCCCCGACCCACTACCATACCCGGAACCACCATTTCTCCCCCCTCCTCCGCCGCCACCTCCACCGCCGCCGCCACCTCCTCCACCACCACCGCCACCTTTCCCGCCCCCACTACCATACCCGGACCCACTCCCACTCCCGTACCCCGACCCCGACCCGCCATTGCCACCGCCGCCACCACCTCCTCCACCACTACCACCACCGCCACCTCCCCCGCCTCCTTTCCCACCCCCAGACCCATACCCCGACCCGCTCCCGGATCCGGACCCATAACCCGACCCGCTTCCCGACATGGAGCCACCACCTCCTCCTCCACCCCCACTGCCGCCTCCACCACCACCACCTCCCCCTGCATTCCCAGACCCCGAACCGTACCCGGACCCACTACCCGACCCGTACCCCGAACCCGACCCAACTCCAGCCATCCTGCCCCCACCACCACCTCCTCCACCACGTCCCTCGCCTCCGCCGCCGCCGCCTCCTTTAGTACCTAGAGTCCTGGCAGCGAAAGCAACATCGACAATGAGCAGGACAAGGAGTGCAACCCCCATCACCTGCTGATTCCTCATCGACGCACTCGCCATTTTGACTCGCATGCAGCTACAGTAATAAAAAAAATTATCAATGGACGATCGATCAACTTTACAGAGTGAATTATGAGGAGAGAAACAGAAAGAAAGAAAGAAAGAGAGATGATGTTGTGGGAGAATAGAAAGCAAGGGCTGGCCTGCTGGGTATTTATAGGCATTGCTACATATGTTATCGTGGTAGTGGGAGGCTGAAATGAGTGACTGTTGTTGTTGGTTCTCTAGTACATTCTATTCTATAGGAGGACTTGAGGAGGGTTAATTAGGAGGCCTAGATTAGTGGGTTTTGGTGGTGGAGGAGGGTATGGCCCTATAGTGGTGGGGCTTTTTTTTGTGTGTGTGGACCATCTGGCCTTTTTCTCTAAGGCTGATTCGTTCGTTTGCAGAAGCATGCTTGTTGGTTTTGTACCTCTTCTTCTTCTTCTTCTCTCAGTTTCGATCAATGGTGGGAATGAGATGGAATGTTCCCCCTCACTCATGCCTTTGTTTTTTTTTTTTTTTTGGCTTTTTCCACCCATGCTAGAACTTGACGTGTCAGAACAAGAATGAGAGAGAGAGGAGAAGTGACCAAATTGCTTTTCCCTATTGGTAGTACGAGGGCTAATAGTAATAGGTCATTATACATTAGTTCACAAACTCCATTATCTTAAGCACCAAATTGTTTTTTAATTCAGTGGTAGTGGGTTTGCTATACGTGGTGGGATGCGATTACACTTGTTTTTATGATAGTTTGAAGTGAAATGCCACCTAACAATTTTAGTTCCATCACATGCATTTAAATACTGTTCTATATATATATTAGTGTTCAAATTAACAATTATAGGTCCGAGCTAGGTGCATGTTTGGGTAATGTCAATGAGATGTCATCCTATGTACTAAGTTGTTTTCTTTCCTCATTAATTTGAGATGATGTTTTCTTTGAATAAGGTTGATGCTATTGAGTTACTACACTAAGTTCACTTTAATGGTATGTGTGTGTCTAAAATCAATAATAAAGATGAAAATAGACAAATTATTTATATGTTTTGTTTGACGCCATTTTGCCTATAATATTTGAAATATGTTCCGGGGACGGGGATATCGGGGGAAGGAGTTCGAACTACGAAGCGATGGATGTTTCGTGTGTAGTGGATAGCTTTTGGCACTATGTGATGCTACGAGATATTTGGTGATCCTCGGTGGTTTTCGTTACGTTGATGATGTCAATAGCGTGATGTATAATAAGGTGAACATATGCGACATTATGGATGCTAAGGACGAGGTTATCTTTTGAAAGATGGCTGATGTTCGTTTGCAAATTGCAATTAGTCCATATACGTTTATGAGTTTTAATTATTGTGAATCGAGTTCACGAGAGTGGCGTGTAATTAGTAGGTTAATTTGATTGTGTTTCTTTCATTACGTTGAGTTGGACATGGTCATTGCATGTGTATCTTTTTCTTAGTTAAACGATGGCTCTACCCAATCAATCGTGTTAATTAGATGCAAAATGTATACGATCTGCTGCTCATTGGAGGATTACATTATGGATAGCCTAACTAGCTAGCTCGCTGAAACTGTGGGCCGGATGCCATTCTTTCATATTTTTCTTCTTCTTCTTTTTCTTCTTCTTCTTATTTTTGGTGAATGGCGGCAGGTGAGAGTATTTTGGTTGCCAATTCATGTATGCAGATCCACCGCCCGCGTGACTGCGTGAGTATAAAGATAAGCCCACTTTTGACTTTGGCGTCACCGGCTTCTTCTTACAGTGACTAGTCACTTTACTGTTCAAAGTCTGTTATGGTTGCAATTTTGGAGCTGTTGTTGGTGCATGTGAACGTGTATGGCTAAGGCTGAGAAAGAGGTTCCTTGCTACACATTGAAGATTTAAGGATGATGGATATATAAGTACGTGTGATCAGATTATTTGCAAGCTGCCCAACCCTACAAATATGGCGACCAGCTCACCAAACCCAAATTCCTTTCCCACCTAGGATACGATAGTGGAAGCTAGAGTGCATGTCTTGTTTGTCTTCTACCTTCTTCCAGTATCCAGACTTGATGTACACGCCAGCTTAGACTAGCCTGCTGCCTCACTTTTCCTCTTCACTTTCGGGCGTGGAGATTGGACATAACATAGTTGCACTCCACCTTGGCCTTTCCCCATTCGCTTTGGGGATGTGGTCTCGACATTACACCATGTGAACAACAAAATAGAAGACGATCAATAAGATTCGAACATGAGACATTTTGATCACACACGATTTTAATATCATGTCAAGAATTACTTGATCCCAATACTTCGAATTGTTGGAAGAGGTTCAATTATGAATTATATATCATTTACTAACAACGTCCTACTTAATATCAATTTTTTTTACTTTCGTTTTCATTGCAAACACACAAAACTATATTTTCTTCTATTGTTCTAGTCACACGAGTTGGCTACACGAGTTAATTTAGCCGAAAGTAGTAAAACAATTTCAAATAGCTTCTGTATTGTTTTAAAAAGTCGTTTCTTGTGGAAACTTATTAAGTTGTTGTAATAATTTCATTCACAAATCGATAGAGTTTACATCAAATTTCAACAAACTCATTTTTGTACATATTTTTTCATCTCTATTTTTCGCATAACTCAAAACCCAAAACCTATTACCAATATTATTTTTATATCTTTCTCTCTCTCAATTTTCTCATAACTTGTCATATTCCTCCCATTTACTTTCCTATCTTTGTCTTAGCCTCAATATTAATACTCAACATAGCCTAACGAAGTAAGTAACATAGAAAATTGTTATAGCTTCCATTATTTCTCAGAATTACCAACTAAATGTATTTCTGTTTTCTATTTTCATGGTGTGAAGAATTTGATGAAGCGGAAATGCGAAATAACACGGAACACAAGATTTTACGTGGTATCCTCGATCGATTGATTGATCGAGACTAATCCACGGTGAGCTCGGAACGAGCTCACGACTGATGTTTTATTATACGACTACATCTTGACGGCTTGCTTACGACATGTTCGTAGCTAAGCTTATATAGAGATAGACGTAGGGTTAAAACCCTAAGGACAACCAAGTTTCCTTCTTTTACTTGAACAAGGAAAACTAGGGACTTGTAGGACAAGGAATTAATTACTTTTTGACTAAGTAATTAATATCCTCAACACTCCCCCTCAAGCGAAGACATGAATGACAAGAATGTCGAGCTTGAAACTGAACAACACTCAAACAACCTCTTGCTGGCAATGACAATCCAACTGGCTGTGACTTTGTTCGCTTGCGGGAGGGGTAGACAAATGATGAAACTACTCCATGCTTGACCCAGTTCCTTTGACAGTGAACTCAGCATGGTGAAACTCCTAGACGTCGTGGATGAGACTGATCCTACTCCATACTTGACCCAGTTCTTTGACAATGAACTCAGCATGGCGGAATTCCTTGACGTCTTGGATGAGATTGAAGACTGATGACTGCGTTGCTAACTTTGGAGACTTCTACCTGCACTGCTGACTGTGCTTCCCCGAGCAACATGATTGATAGATACAAACGGTCGACTTGATTACTGAACTAGTCGACCTACATGTGTTGATTCCCTATTCTCCCCCTCAAACAGGAGCATGAACGTAGTGAATGCCCAGTTTGAAAGTTAGAATGATGAAGACTGAAAATTACCTGATCATGAACAGCGAGGGGACGATCGTTTTTGCGATCGTGACTGTCTCGCTTTATCACTTGATCATGACTGACTATTGAAGGGACGACCATTAGTGTCTTCACTGCCATGACATTGATTGATATTCCGACTAATGACGACAACTGGAACAAGGCACACAATTTCAAACACAAAGACAAGGCAAAACAATTCCATTGTTGACCATGTAATTGCTTTGATCTGACCAACTCCTATATCTCTCGTTCTCTCTGCAAAACATTGGAATTGTACGTAGCCGGAACTTTGAGCTTCACAAAGAAACGAAAGTCAACAACAGGTTGTGAGCAAAGGGTCAGCTGGTGACGAGCCTTCGATGAAGTTGCAGCAGTGACAGGTACTGGCTTGCAACGACGGAAGACGCCGCGGTCGCTGACATGGGCGGCGGCTGTGAGGATACCGCAGGCACTGATGGGCGACGACGGTAGATGATGACGAAAGCCGGTGATGAGGAGGCCACTGTTGACTGTGCGACGAGGTCCGACTTCACAACACTCCCCCTGAGTGGTAGCGCCACCAGCCGGGTGGAAGCAACGGTGATTAATGGACAGACCAGTGATCTTCCGGCGATGCGAGGCTAGGCGATGAGCTTTGGTTCGCCGGCAATTCAGGAGATGCCGACGATGCTTGAATATACCATGATTTGGGAAAGGACTATGATTTGACGAAGACACCATATATTCGCCGGGACGTTTGACGGACTCGGCGGCGGATATGGAATTCGCGAGCATCGCTGGAGAATGAGGTGACGATCAGGCTGGTGGAGACCGCGACTGGATGGGGAGCTGAAACAGAGTGCTAGCTATTGGCTAAGCATGGACTTCTTCTTGCCCTTGACGAACCGGGCGTCGGAAGCGGACATCTCCGATGAGATGAGGACTTGGCACTTCCTGCGGCGGAGAACGCCGTCTTTGACGGGCGATGAACTCGCCGGAGACAGAAGCTACAAGCTGCGATGAGCCTGGACGGGGGACGAAGACGAGTTCAGCCCGGAACAGGAACGCCACACGGACAACCCTTGATTGTTGATGTGAGGACGCAAACAGACGGAAGCGCAAAACCCTAATCAAGGATCGAGTTTCGCTCTGATACCATGAAGAATTTGATGAAGCGGAAATACAAAATAACACGGAACACAAGATTTTACGTGGTATCCTCGATCGATTGATTGATCGAGACTAATCCACGGTGAGCTCGGAACGAGCTCACGACTGATGTTTTATTATACGACTACATCTTGACGGCTTGCTTACGACATGTTCGTAGCTAAGCTTATATAGAGATAGACGTAGGGTTAAAACCCTAAGGACAACCAAGTTTCCTTCTTTTACTTGAACAAGGAAAACTAGGGACTTGTAGAACAAGGAATTAATTACTTTTTGACTAAGTAATTAATATCCTCAACATGTTATGGTTTATACCTCTGTTGTCACAATAGTACTGCAATGACGACGACAACAAAACTTTACTGTAAGCAAGCATAAGTTGTGTAAACTCAGCCATGGTTATGGAATGTCATTCGCGCGGTGGCCTTGAAACTCACCGTTTCAACCTACACCAACAAGGATTGTAGCTCGTGTACGTGACTAAGGCATTGAACAGTTGAACTTATCGAAGGGGAGTATCATGTCCAAATCCACCAAAATCTTCCCTACGTAATTGATTTAGTATACCAGTTTAGTTTGGCTCTGGTGTAGTTTTTGCAGAAGCAGCTTCTAGTTTGAGCTTTTAGATAAGTACTTAAAAAAAAGCAGTTGAGTGTTTGGCTGTAAAACTATTAGAAGTATTTTTTAATATAAGAGGTTGTGTAAAATGACTTTAAAGGACTTATAATATAAAATATGAATAAAAATTCTAAACAATAAAAAGTAGTCAAAATGGATATTGTTAGATTTCTTTTATATTAAACTAGCTTTGTGCCCGGCGCGTTGGCCGGGTAAATTTCGTATGGTATCTAATTAATCAAATATTTTTTTTATTATGGTTAGACTATTATAAAATTTTAAGTAATTTATGTTTTAACAATTCATTTTCACAAATATATTTGTGGTCTCTTAATATATGTATGATATCTAACTAAGTAATTTTTTATTTCTCAACTGAACAACCAACATTCAATAAAAAATTGTGTAGTATTAGATTTAAACAATACACATTTCTCAGTTAGACATTTGATTTATTTTTTTGATCAATATTGACTTGTGGTTAATTTTATTCATATGATTTTGAGGATAGAGAATAATGTCCAATATTATTTGTGTGGTATTAAGGATTGCTAATTTCCTTATGCTAGTAGTTTTCTCTCTCTCAACCTAAAGAGTAAACATTTACCCTCCATTCTAATACATGTCACATTGAATTTGAAAACTCTACTAACATTTATCATGCACACATAATGGTTCAACCTCTCTAATCTATATTGATGTCATCTAAGGAGGTTTAAAAAGTTCCATTGTATGAATTTATGTTCTAAATTTTCAATTAAAGCACTCAAACTTATCATATTATATCTAATCTAAAAAAATTGATTTGTAAAGTCAGTTAACTCTTATTTAATAAAGTCTCACTTTTGTACTACTTGATTTTCTGTTTATCTTTTAATTTTATATATTGATTTATTCCCTATTAGACCTTTTTTGGATTTTTTTGTTATACACATTTTTTGCGTAAGTTTGTAACTAAAGCTTATGATTATATCTTTTTTTTTTGTGAGAAAGCGGAGCGCTAAAGGGCGCACCAACCTTTAATTAGAAGACGGAGCTTATGATTATATCTGATAATGTTCCAAAAAAATTCAACGGTTGAAAAAATTATTAAATAATTAATTCGTTATTGGGAAGGAATAAAATCCCATTATGCATAATTAAGTTGTTTGTTGTTTAATGAAATATTCTTATTTTAATTAAGCATTACTCAGGGTTAAATAATTTTGAGTAACCCACTTAAACTATACGTCCCAACTCCCAAGAGTCAAAAGAAGAAAAAAAAACATATAAAATAGAAAGTTAAAGGTGATATTAAGTATTCACTCATAAAACGGATAAGTCATTATCGTTAGTTTTTTTTTTCAATCGGCCACACATGATAAATAATATTAAAAAAATGTGTGCGGTTACAGCACAGAGGAGATTTTGGAAACGAATTGCCATTGATTAATGCTCGCTGACGTGGAAGCGCAGATGAACGGGAAATTTGAATCCCTGAACGTCATTTTGGGAAAACGCTTATATGTTTTTTTAGATAATATGTTATACAAAAGCGCTTTTTGGCTTTTCAAAAGCCGAGCTTTTACAGGTGTTTGGCTCTGCTTCAGTTTTTAAACCCGAAAAACACTTCTAAAAGTCGGGCCAAACATATAGACCATTTAGCTTTTGGACAAATAATTTTCTTTGCTAACGTAAAATATTTATGGCACTAGCAAACACAAATGTCAAATAAAATTAAGACAGTGAGAGAGATTTCAACTTCCCACAATCCCATTAATGACACTCCCAAGTAAAGCCCAATAAACAGGCCTTGGGCGAGTCTCAACCCTCGGCCCAAAGTTGAGCCTACTGTACTATGCTAGCCCTTGGGCCTCACCACGCCGGCGCTTTGAGCTTGAGGAGAGCCAGGTAAGGTTATACCTCCAAAGTTTTCTCAAAACGGGAAGAGCGTGGTCGTCCTGCTGCTAACGCCTGCCAGTGCCAGACAATAATAATATAATATTTTGTTTCTATAAAATAAAATAAAGGCAAAGAAGAGGAATATTCAGATCCTTTACGTGCTGACCTGGCAACTGCCACCGGCTGCCATCCTCACTGGTCTCCTTCCGATCCCAATAATCTCAACAACGCCTTCCCTCTCCTTCCCTCCCTCCCGCGGCTGCTCTTCCGCCGTTACCATCGCCCCAACACCACCGCCGCCCTTCTAATTGTAGCCGTCAAACTCCGCTCCGCAGTCGCCCGCGCCACTGTCATTTTGTTTCCCGCTAACTATCCCCGCCTTCCGCTACTTTCCCTCCCTCTCAGATCCCGATTCCCCTCTACCCCGGCTCCGATTCAGGTACATTCATTCCCTGCCGCCAATTTGCAGTGTATTGGGAATTGGTTTAGAATTTTGCGGTTATGTTCTGATCAGCGGGAGTTGTTCGAATGAAAAGGACGGTGGATTTGGGGAATTTTGGTGGATCTGCTTACGAATTGTCTGCCTAGCAAGGATTTTTTCTGTCCGAAATGGCTCATCCAAGTCCCTGAGCTGTGTTTTGCATTGTTCAATAGTCTCCAATTTGGTCTTGATGGTTACTGGCCCTAGTGTTCCAAATTGATTCTGTTGTCTCATATATGGTTTCCAAGCATCGGTTTGGATACCGTTGCTTGATAGTTGAATGAATTTCTTGATCCTGGTGGTTTACTAATCTGAATTAACTTTTGCTTCCTCAAGGTTTTGGTTTGTAGGGTCATAAATCATGATGATTTTTCACTTGGGTCTTCTTGGGTTGTGATTGCATTTGTATCTTGAGAAACAATAGCAGCAAAAAATGGTTAATTTGTTTGAGATTCTGATCTGAATTTTACACAAATTTTATGCGTGCTTGTAGTTACTCATAGTTTTAAACATTGATTGGTTTTAGGTTGCCCAGAAACTCTGCTATGGGAACTGAGGAGATTAAGGGAGAAGTGGGCGATTGGTTTTCACAATTGGCATATGAACAATGGGTGCCAATTCCTGTTTCTAGCACAAGACCATCAGCTCGCTACAAGGCATGCCTTTCTTCTAGTGGTTTTATGTTATGTCCATTGGCTTTGAAACCTCTCACCTCTTTATGAATGCTGTGCTGTTTGCAACTAATTAATAGTAGTCTTTACTTTTTTGCTTTTTCCTTTCGTCTCCGACTTGGTAGAGTGTCAGGTTTCACCATTTTATTCTCTAGCAGTTCTGACGGATTTTCATTTTTCACCCCATTGCAGCATGCCGCTGCCATAGGTGATGATAAGTTATATATATTTGGCGGGAGTCGTAATGGTCGGTACCTATCTGATATACAGGTGCGGAATTTGATCATTTAAGCACGTAAAACTTTCATTCCTAATCATTTATTTATCAGAATCGTCACATTTTTTTCATTCTTCGTAGGTTTTTGATTTCGGAAGTTTCGTTTGGTCTAGCATTAAACCAAAAATTGAAGTGAATGGTCATAGAGTTGAGGAAGCGGGATCACAGGATGCTCTTCCTGCCACGTCAGACCACAGCATGGTAGGAACTTTGCTATTAGAATTTAGAAATGAATGTTGAGGAGATCCTTTAGAACCAAGTGTGACCTATGAAAAATGAACACACTTGTTGGCTTTTATTTTGATTTAACTGATAATGTTTCTCAACTTTCGCAGGTCAAGTGGGAAAACAAGCTGCTGCTACTCAGTGGGCACTCCAAAAATTCTTCTGATAGCATGATAGGTTAGTTTTTGTTAACAGAAATGAACTACCCAAAAACAACTACTGGCTCATGAGTAGCTTTTTAGACTCATGTCATACAAATCATCTGGTGCAGTGCATTTCATTGATCTACAAACACAACAATGTGGTATCCTCGAGACCTCAGGAAATTCTCCTGTAAGTGCCAACCACTTTTGATTTCCGGTCTGTTCCTTTTATGTTCTCCACTCACAATTTAGTTTCAATTGACTTTTCTTCTCTGGAAAAGCAATGCTAAAATGGTTGTATACATAAAAACTTTGTATTAAACATGCTGTACTGTGTTTCAGTCCGCTCGAGGGGGATACTCTGCTACAATTGTTGGTTCTAGACTTGTGATATTTGGCGGAGAAGATCGGAGTAGGAAGCTGCTGAATGACATACACACCCTTAATCTTGAAACCCTGATTTGGGAATCGGTGGAATCTATGTAAGCAATTTTTCTTTCTTTCTTTTGTATAAACTATTTTCATGTCAGGGAAACCTTCTGCAACACTTTCTCATGTTTCATAGGCAGACACCTCCAGCTCCGCGATTTGACCACACTGCAGCAGTAAATGCAGGGCGCTACCTTTTGGTATTTGGTGGTTGTTCTCATTCTATCTTCTTCAACGATCTTCATGTGCTTGACCTACAAACAGTAAGTGTATCAGCTTATTTACTTGATGCTCTTCTTTTTTAGTTCTTGACGAGAAGCTAAAGAGTGTGAACAATGATGCTGGGAGACAGTTATCTATAGTGCAGGAAGTTTTAGTTGCTTAAATTCTTTTGGAAAACATATTGGTGTTGATGAGTGCCATGAACTTTTATAGTGGAGTCGGATGTATGATATATCTTTTTCTTCTCTCCTAACATCCTGAAATTACAATCCTACTACCAAAGGATGAGATTCATATTTATTGGGCTTGGTTCTGGGATATGATTTTATTTCTGGTGAATTGCAAAGTTAGGATTTCACTTTTCCCCAGCAACAAGAGAAGTGAACTTTGTTTGGTGTTTTAGTATTTATGTGTTCCACAGATAATGTTAGACAAGTATGTGCTGAACTTTGCCTATTGATTCGATGTGGTTTCTGGTATTTCAGATGGAGTGGACCCAACCAGAGATTCAAGGTGATTTGGTGACTCCTAGGGCTGGTCACGCTGGTGTAACCATTGATGAGAACTGGTACATCGTTGGTGGGGGAGATAATAAAAATGGTATTAACATTTTGGCCTTCGTCCTCGTTCATATGATTGCATAGGCTACTGTGCACGACTTTCTGAAACCCCCTATGTTGTTTATTTGATTTTTCTCCCTGAATTAAGATGGTTAAACTTACATAATTCTAGTTCTTAAACACGAAGAAAGGAAATGCTAGTAGGTTCCAGTTACATCACTCCTTACAATTGGTTGCAGTTCCTCTTTCTCCAATGTTCATTACTTATTTACTTTTGGTTTGGCCTTTCAGATAGTTGGTCCAGGCCTACTAATATAAATGTTGCCAGTAGAATCCTGACCATACACAATTTAAAAGAAGGAATATAAAGGGTCTTCTGATTCTGAATTTAGTTGTTCTACCTGATTAATGTTGATCATAAATAATGATTTAATTGCGAATCTTACAGGTTGTTTAGAGACCCTTGCATTGAACATGCCCAAGCTTTCCTGGTCAATATTGACCAGCGTAAAGGAAAGGCATCCACTTGCCAGTGAGGTCTGTACTTTTCCCTTTGGAGGTATTCTTTTCTGTTTACGGGCTGTCCCTTTGGACCTTGATATCGCTTGAATGTCACTCTGCCTCATACTTGATGTAATTGATGAATAACACCACCGGCTTGCTTGTAAATTGGTACAGAACTTCTAGTTGTACTCTGATATGCTGGATTGTGTTAAACTGGTTCCCCGTCTTTTTCCTTGCCACGAGAAGCAGTTTTGTCTAGATATTTCTTGTTTAGTTTTTTACATTGGAAGTTTGTATCTAATGTTTTGTTCCCTCGGTGAAAAACAGGGGCTAAGTGTTTGCTCAGCATTGATCAATGGGGAGAAATACTTGGCTGCTTTTGGTGGTTATAATGGGAAATATACTAATGAGGTATAATCCATTACAAGAGTTGTCGTTGTCCTCATATCTCTTCCTTTGCGTATTCTGTCTGATCTCAGTTAGTTTTGTAGGTCTTTGTTATGCGACTGAAACCAAGAGACACTTTACGGCCCAAAATTTATCAGTCACCAGCAGCTGCAGCAGCAGCCGCTTCTGTTACAGCTGCATACGCATGGTCCAAATCTGAGAAGTTGGATGCTTCCCGCCTAGAAGCAAACTGGAGAGAACAAGGTAAAAAGAAACCTTCTGAAGAAGACCTCGCTATTGAAATTGATACAATAAAGGAAGACAAAAAGATACTGGAAGTATCCCTAGCAGATGTCAGAGCTGAGAATTCTAGGCTCAGGGAAAAGATCGATGAAGTTAACAGTACTCATGCTGATTTATCCAAGGTTTGCTTCTCATTCAATTGTTTATTTATGCATGGTTGTTAAAATGCTTTTGGATTTTATCTTCATTCCAATATTCCTCCTGCAGGAACTCCATTCTGTGCAGGGTCAATTGGTGACTGAGAGATCGAGATGCTTTAAACTCGAGGTTCTTCGGTTTCCTCTCGTCTTCACCTTCCTGTCTTTTTCTTTTTTGTCAACATCAGTCAGAATGTTATGGTGTTTGATTTTGGGGGGAAACCATGATTTACAGGCACAAATTGCAGAGCTGCAGAAGGCACTTGAATCATTGGAGTCAATAGAGAATGAAGTCCAACTACTCCGGAGACAGAAATCTGTTCTGGAACAGGAGATTGAGATGAATGATGCCGCTCAAAAGCAGGGTTCTGGCGTCTGGCGTTGGATAGCTGGGTGAAAACCCTACTACTGCAGGCAAGGCATCGAGCTTTTGGTTCCTACCATTTTTGTGAAGATACCGTTAGCTGACATCGCTAGAACTGGATTCCAGAGGATCTGAAGCTGCAAAACATTTGATACATCTACTTTTCTCTCGGAGATGCTCTGGTATCAGGAACTACAGATACAATCGAAGATCACCTCTTGTATGAATTCCGAAGATCCATATCATTACCTGCCATGACGAACTGATGTTGTTGCTGTTATAATCTTAAGTTATTGGTTTGTTTGCTCTTCTCCTTGCCCAAAATGAGGAATAGTATCACTTTTGCTAGTGAGATTCATCTTCTCTTACAAACTTATACACACAGAGCGCTACTTTCTTTTCTTTGTTTACGTTGTTAATTCAATGGGAAGTCCCAAGATAATAGCAGCACGCTACAGATAAGTTTATGTAGCGAATTACTGAATCTGTAAACGAAACTATTTGCAGTTTCGTCCATTTCTAGTGAAAGCTTTCGTGATGGATAAGCTTCTAAGTTCCATTCATATTGGTTGAAATAGAAGACATTTTCGCACACTAAAAAGTAGCAGACATAATTACAATACCTTTCCGAAATCGACCTGAAAGTAAGTAGAGGCAGACAAACTACACTCCCCTCGGCTACCTATTGCACCTGTAACTGGACAATCACATATCAGTATCACTGATACCAAGTGAACATATACCGGACTTCTTTACGCTCTACAAGGGAAAAGAACACGTCTTCTGAAATCTCCATCATCCCGGCACTAGTCCCATAAACACCATTCATTATCTTCACATCTTTCAATTGATGCCGCCAACAGGTACCATTGCCACAACAGTTGCTGGGATCGACGTTCATAAGCTTACCGCAGATGTACTGTTTTGATAGGAGTAAGAGAGTCACTAATAATGAACTCATAACATGGAAGAAACAAGCAATTATGAACTGACTACTCTGAAGGAACGGTGTTCTCGTACCTCTGAAAATAAGAAGCTGTACTTTAGTTGTTTCGGAAGGCGTTGAGTTATACCCACGAACTGAGGACGGCATGCCCAGAACAGACCATCAAGAAGGTTAGCACACGCCTTCAAAGTATCCTGGTACGAGGAATTCTCCCCAAATTGTAAATGTTGAACAACCGGAGGAGGGGAAGTGCAATCAGCTTGGCTCAAGTCGAATGACACCTTTCAATTGGCACATACACAGACAAACAAGAATGGTTTAGTCAATTAAAAGTTAAAACACATTTCTGTACATGCATATTGTAAACATTCATCGAGAGAGTCAGAAAGGTCCATATACCTGCTTAAAGAATCCTGCTCCATCCAACTTCAATGCCGTGTGGAGTTTACTTAACCCTGTAAGGAATTGCCTCAATCCAAGAAACCATTCGTACGTTATGGGTAGACGAAAATCAATGTCACACACTTCAACTACACATTGGCAATTCGATGCCACACTAAGGACATTGGTTTTGCCAAGCAACCCAGAGCCACGTCTGGAGTAGTAGAGATTAACCAGATTGGGAGCATCAATCTCAAGCTCCTTCAATGCCTCCATTGGGCGGAAATCGTCGATCCTGAAATGCTGAAGCTTATCACTCGAAATCCTTATTCTACTGTTGCTGCTGGACTCCTTGATCACAAAATGAAGAGACTCCAAAGATGGCAACTTGGAAATCAAATCATGAAGATCAGACTCTGTAAACCCCTTAGAGTCACTAAATTCTAGCACTCTGAGACTGGGGGCTGAAGATGAAGATACCACTTTCAGCTTACATTGCCCTGTGTGTTTAATGTCCAGAGTCTCCAGCATCGGAGCTGCAGCTAGCTGAAGTTCAATCAGGGAATGCGGTTGCTCAATTTTTAGGGTTTTCAAGTTTGGAAGATTACCATCGACGGAGATCTCCAGCCTCTCCAATTCAACGAGCGATTCCAAACGTAGTGACTCCAGACGTGGGGCATTATCAATGAAGCTGCGGACGACGCTTCCCTCGACCCTGACATTTTGGAGATGAAGAACCCTAAGACTGTCGAAGGAAACTGAGCGGTTTCGGAATCCATCGTCCCCAAATCTGCAACCTCTCAGCTTCAGAACCTCGGTGCGACTGCAATTGGAGAGCATCCCCTCGGGGAAATCATGGAACCCGCCGGTTTCGACTACTATCTCAGTCGGCGATAATGTATGACTGACCGCCAACGCCGCTGCCGCTGCCAGCAACGCGGTGAGTTCCTCACCAGCGAAATCGCGATTGGGCGGCGACGAGATCCTGAAAACGTCCAACGGCACACCGTAATTGTCATGAATCGAGAGTCTCCTTGACCAGGAGGCGGCGAAGCTGCGGAACTTTTGGCCCAAATCACACCGACGATCGGCGAAGTCCTCGTGGCGAAATTCCAGCACCGGGTACGAGCGCCAATATTGGAGCCAACTTCTGGACAAGGCGCTGGTTCTCGCTACCTGAACTGGAGAGTTCAGGCGGTCCAGAATATTGTGAATGATTTTGATGGGAAGCGCTGAAATTCGATCGGTGCCGCCGGCTGCGTCGATCATCGGCTGCTTTTTCATAGCTCTGTCTCGGGGTTTCTACTACTCTTTCCGGTCCTCCTACTAATATATGTTTGGACAAGAGTATGTTTTTTTTTATAGGATGCCCTGTGATATTATTGCTTAAAATCAAACAGTTTGGGCTTTCTCAGCCTCAAGGAGACTCCTGATGGAGTTTGGAGGACAATCAGTCCAAATACAAATTTGATTCCAATGACCATCCAAGTGGGCTAAACAATGGGCCACAACATTTGATTTTCTAGGCACAAAGGCCCACTCGAGCTTCTTACCCGACATGTCCGAATTGGTGGTTGCCAGCTCTCTTATCTCTTTGCACCACACCTCCAACTCGGTACGATCCTCATCTCCCTTCTCCAGTAGTTGAACCAGTCTCAGACAATCAGTTTCTACAATCAATGGACTCCAACCCCTTCGATTTGCTTCTCGTAAACCAGCTAGGATAGCTCTTGCATCAGCTTCCACTGGTCTGCACATGCCTGTCTCCTTCCCAGCTACAGCTCCGAGAAATTCCCCATTCCAGTTTCTGAACACACACCCAATCCCAATCCCAGCCGGTTTCAGAACCCCTGCATCGCTGTTCATCTTGAAAATTCTGGCCGGTGGTGGTCTCCATCCCTGGGTGCTAGCTGGTTGTATCGTGTTCGTAGCCAAGGTTCCCTGAGCATGAAGGTAATCCAAAATCCAATCAAGAGCTTTAGGGATAATCTCTTCCACCTCAAGTTTCTTATTGTTGAACATATGATTGCATCTTTCTTTCCAGATGAACTAAAGGATAGCACAGAACCTTTGGAGGCTCTCATTAGACTGAGATTCGAAGGTTTGAGAAACCAATCTCTGCTAGACAAGCCTTCCCCCTGTTTGAAGGTCTCATTTTCGCTGCATGGTTGCCAAAGATGACGGGTCCAGTCACAATCTCTCAAGCAATGGAGTTGGGTTTCAGAGAGTCCACAGAACGGGCAATCAGAGGGGGCCTCTTCAATTCTGCTTTCAACATTGGTCCCAACAGGTAAGATGTCCCTGCTAATCCTCCATAGGAAAACTTTAACCTTAGGTTGAATGGGGAGATGCCAGATTCTCTTCCAATAGCTTTTGATTCTTTGAGTTTCCAAATTACCTTCGTCCATTCTAGGGTATTCCTTCCACCATAGCTTCCTGTAAGCCGATTTCACATTATAGATCCCATTATCCGCTTCAGACCATAGAACAATATCTCCTGTAGGTGGATTTCTCAAGGGGATCTTCATAATTTCAGTCTGGTCAGTAGCAGAGAAGAGGGTTCTAAGCTTAGGTAGATCCCACCATCCAATGCTCCGTCAATGAGGGAGCTAACCTTGAGGTTTTCCCTGTGTTCACTGTCTTGTTGAAATGGTAAAAGCTTTCTGGTATTTGGAACCCACCAGTCCTCCCAAACATTGATACTATTGCCATCCCCCAGTCTCTATCGAAAGCCATCCATAATTTCATCCTTTGCTTTGACTAGGCTCCTCCATATAAAGCTGGGATTGCTCCCTATCTTAGCATTCAGAATGTCATTTCTAGGAAAGTAACGAGCTTTGAGAACCCTGGCCATCAGAGAATTAGGCCAATTTAAAATATTCCAAATTTGCTTCCCAAGCATAGCAGTATTAACAGTTCTCAGGTCTTTAAAACCAAGACCACCAGAATCCTTTGGTTGACACAACTTTTCCCACCTGATCCAATGAATCTTCTTTTCATCATATTTTTGTCCCCACCAGAATCTTGCTATCAGACTTTGAATCTCCTGCAGAATTCCTTCCAGAATTTTGAACACTATTATAGGATAGATAAGTTGTGCTTGAGCAACTACTTTAATCAAAATTTCTTTTCCTGCAGCAGACAAAGTTAAGCTCTTCCAGTCTTTAAGCTTCTTTCTCACTCGTCCTTTCAAATCATCAAATACCTCCCTTTTTGATCTTCCAATGAAAGTAGGTAGTCCTAGATATTTTAGATGTTTCTCAACAACTTTATTCCCCAGTGTACCACTGACTTCCAGTCTTCTGCTCCATTGCACATTCCTGCTAAAAGACACTTCAGATTTAGAAAAATTGACACATTGTCCTGACTCCTGCTCATAGATTTTAAGGATTCTCTTCAATTCTTCACTTTCCTCAATAGTGGCTCTGCCAAACACTAGGCTCTCGTATGCAAAAAGCAGATGTGAGATGGTGGGGCCTCTGTGGCAGATTTTTATTTCATGGATTTTCCCCTCCCTCTCAGCTTTCTTCAACATGGCTGAGAAACCCTCAGCACAGATGAGGTATGTAGGGCGATAGCGGGTCACCTTGCCTGAGCCCTCTTGATGGCTTGATATCTTGGGAACGATGACCATTAACTAGAACTGAATAAGAAACACTCCTAACACACATCATCATCAAATTAATCCAGTACTTATTGAAACCCAACTTACGTAGCACCTTTTCCAGAAAATCCCATTCAACCCTGTCGTAGGCTTTAGTCATGTCCAGCTTGGCAGCAAAGAACCCCGTTTTCCTTTTGTTTTCCTTTTCAAGTACTGAAAACATTCAAAAGAAGTAATAATGTCGTTAGTAATAAACCGACCCTTGATAAAAGCACATTGCTCTTCAGAAATAAGGTTATCTAGAATCCCTTTGAGTTTGTTGGCCAGAATTTTTGAAGCAATCTTATAAATAACCCTACAAAGGCTAATAGGGCGAAAGTCCTTAGCCATTGTGGGTGTTTTCACCTTGGGGATGAGTACAATCAAAGTGTGGTTTACTTCTGGAGGGAGGAAGCATTCATTTAAGAATTTTAGAATAGCATATGTGACATGGCCTCCAATAGATTCCCAGTTTTGTTGGTAGAAACCAGCAGGAAAGCCATCCGAGCCAGGAGCTTTCGTAGGTCCCATCTCCTTAAGAGCTTTGATAACTTCTTCTTCTCTGAAAGGGGCAGAAATTTCTTCATTCATGCTATCTATCACTTTTTTTCGATGGCATTGACTACAAAATCAGAGTTAGGGTTAGGCCTCCCAGTAAACAGAGTGCTATAGTAATCAACCAAGTGATTAGTAACCTCTTTTTGACCTTTGTGTTTCCTCCCAGATTCATCTGTGATTTTTTTAATTGTGTTGCGTTTCCTTCGCAAAGTAGCTTTTGAGTGGAAAAAGTTGGTGTTTTTGTCCCCACCTTTAAGCCAATCCGCTCTGGATCTCTACCTCCACATCAATTCAACTTTGTGATCCGTTCTCATTGTTTCCAGCTCCCTTCTTCTCTGGATTTGTTGTTCAGTTTTGGGTAGTATTTAATTCTTGTAAGCTCCCGTTCAATCTTCTCAATCCTCTTTTGTAAATTACTAAACTTCTCCTTGCTCCATCTCTGCAGCTTTTTTTTGCACCTCCCCAAAATGTTCAGAATATTACCTTCTTCAGTAGAGTTGCAGTCATTAGAAATTACTTCTCTGCTCTCAGGACCCTGAAGCCAGTAGTATTCCACTCTAAACTGCCATCCCCACTTGATATCCTCTTCTTCTTTATCCTTTGTATTCATTAAGATAGGGCAGTGATCTGAACCACATCTGTCAAGGTGTTTAACTTTATGGTTTGTAAACATCAGCTGCCATTACCAATTTGCTATGCATCTATCCAGTCTTTCCTTAATAAAACTGGTTCCCCCTCGACCATTGTCCCAAGTAAAAGGGTATCCCTCGAATCCACAGTCCATAAGTCTACAGAATTCCAACACATCACAGAACCCTGAGACCATATTTTCATTTATATTTCGACCTCCTTCCTTCTCATCTCCCGCCATAACTTGGTTAATATCCCATGCATAGCCAGGGGAGGTCACAGGTGCCTTTCAGGCTTCGTAATTGGTTCCAAGATTGCTGTCTTTCACTTCTATTAGGATTCCCATAGAAACCAGTAAAACGCCACTTTGGACCTTCCTCCTCAAATTCCACAATCACATCATAGTAATTAGTAGAGCTTGCCAGATATGAGATAGTGATACCCTCCCTCCAGAATAAGCAGATTCCGCCAGCCTTAATACCATTATCTTCCCTAGCAGGGATGCCTCATCCTTTTTTGAACCCTAGTTTCCACTTTACATTCTTCCAGTCCTTACTAGACAATCGAGTTTCCATCAAGAAAAGAACATCTGGTTTTTGCTAACCCACGAGCCTTTTTAACTCATCAACTGCCGAGGTTTGGCCCAGATCTCGACAGTTGTAGCTTATGAGCTTCATTGGGCTCGGCGGCCTTGCTCCTCGGCAAGGACCGCCACTTCGCCATCCACGATAAGGTTTGTGTCTTGCTTGAACTTTTTTCCTCCACAGGGACTAGGATCAATTTCCATATCTTTCACTCCATCCTCAAACACACTTATACTGCCTGCTGTCTCCCCAACACCTTCAATCTTTTCACCTTTTTTCCTTTCCCGTCGGATCCACTTCCTGCTACCAGCTGAATGTGTACCTGATATAGTCTCCGAGGGGTTTCCCTTCTGTTCAGCCTGTCTAACTTCAACCTTTTCCACCTGAGGGACAGTATCTGATTTTGCATTCTTGCTCAAACCGAAATGTCATTCTGTTCCATTAATGGCAGTGTCTTCGTTATTCCCATGTTGGGAATCTCTCACTTCATCATCTTTTTTTGGATCTGATTCTTTGAAACTAATAACGTGTAGTTCATTCACCAGTTCCTTAGTATTGATTTCTCTCGACTCATCCTCTTGATTAGTCTCTATCCCCTGATTGGCAACCAAGTTCCTTCCTTTTTGTTCTTCTTTCTCATTGTGATTCTCTACCTGCTCCCCTCTTCTGACTCGAGGTCCCTTTGTGATTTTCCCCTCTTTCAGCTCACACCACAGATTGTCCAGCCTTTTCTTTTCTTCTTTATTGTTCAAGTCTATTCTTTTTAGAGGGGACTCTGCTCGAAGCCATGTTCCATATTCTTCTCTCATATCAGCTTTTGAATCTTCCAGCTTTTTCGGGCATCCATTCTTCAAGTGTCCCAAGATTCCATAGATGTAACAGTAGATTGGTAGCTTCTCGTAAGCTACCTTGTATGATACAGGTCTCAGAGGACTATCCAACTTCACGAATCTACGTAGTGGTTTTTTGGTATTGATAGAGACTCGAATCCTCAGATACTCACTATCTCGGCCAGAATGGAACTCGTCCCACTTTATGTACGAGCCAAACATTCCCCCAATTTTTTATGCCATGTTCTTGTTCCTGAGTTTCAGCGGGATTTTCCGGATCCTGACCCAAATCTCTGTTAATGAGAAGTCGATACCTTCTGTTTGTAGATCTGGTGGTATCTCGTTGAAGACTATAAATTGTTTCTCATAGTGCCAAGGGCCTCCATGGAGTACCCTATCCCTTTCTTCGTAGCAGTAGAACTGCATCAACATGATACCTTCCTGATTTATTCTGACATCGAAGTCTTTCCTCAGCCGCCACACCTCTTTTAGAATGTTTTTCATGACTCTGGCCGAACCAAGTCTTCCTGCAACTATTTTCCCTGCTATTCCAAGTTCAGTAATCACCTCTTCGATGCCCTTCTCTTCATCAGACTCTTCTATCTTGATGCACGCTTCTTCCTCTTCTGTTAAGCTTACATTTGCTATTTTGTCTATGATATCAGATTTAGTCGCCATAGGAGGCACATGAACCGTCACTAAAATGGGGGGCAAGAGGGGAGAGGACAAACAACCATTGCACACTGGAGAATGATAGCAATGGTGCACAGGGGAATAAAAAGGTCATGGAACAGTACTGATGGTCTCCCAGAAAGCGGGCGAGAGACAGAGATGAAAATCCGCAGAAGGCGGGAGATGAACAGTCACCCTGAAGGACAGAGGAGAGAAAGCTCTCACAGAGGAGAGAAATTCAAACAAGATCTTACATGCTAACAAATCGGACAAGAGTATGTATGAATCGATTAATAGTTTAATTTTACAACTTAGGAGTATGTACTGCTTTCAAAAATAACTTAAGTGTTGATTGGTTAGTTGATAAATTAATGGGATGGGATTAGGTGCTAATCCTTATAGGGGTTAGCACCGTGATAACTAGCAAAAATCACTACGGATTATTATAAAATCAATACAACATCTAAGCTAAATCACTACTAATTCAAACTAGTAGTAGTTTTTCCTTTGGTTAGGACGGTGCTAACTATTGTACAATTAGCACCGTAACCCCTCCCTAAATTAATCTATACTAGATCAAAACTAACTTAACTATTGAGTAGTTAGTAAATACTTCATTTAATACACGTATATGTACTCGTACGTATTTTATTCGTTTAAATACTTCATAACTCCAACCAATATGTTAACATTCTCGCATATGATCACATTAGGTAAGAGAAAAAATACAACAATAATTCACTAGAATGAATAAAATTAATTAAAACAATACAATTTCATGAAAATATTATATTTATATGCTAAATATTAAATATGTTAGAGAAAAATAATGATTATTTTTAGACAAAATATATATGAATGTGTATAATCGGGCGGGTTCGGGTTGGATAGTGAGAAACCCATGCCCACCCATTACCCGCAATATTTGGGTTCGGGTTTTACCTGTACCCACTAAAAATTCTTCGGGTTCGAGTTTTACCCTACCCAATTATGTCGGATTCGGGCGAATATCCACGATTACGGATATTTTTGTCAATCCCTAGTAAAATTCTACATAACCAACATTATGCAGTGGAGTCACTGCCTTATTTCTATTAACACTGACCAAACCCAATTCCCTCACAGGTCACACGTCACACCACTAGAACTAAGACAATTTGGAACAAACTCTTGTAGCAATTTGCGACCATTGTTATGGTGGCGAAATAGTTTTTTTTTAGTGAAGCAAATCAAATCTTTGCTATAAGTTGTTGCTGGTTGTGCAGAATGAGCTCCTTCCTCAAAATCTTCCCCGCCGCCGACTTAGGAATCGCGCCGATGAAGGCAACCCTCCTCACTTTCTTGTACGGAGCAACCTGTACGATCAACGACGCCATTAAAGACCACGTTAAACCCCAAACCAAAACAATACACGAAAACTAATAAAAACAGAGGTAGTTCATCCATGGTTGGCTGACCTGGTCAGCTACAAACGTAATAACTTGGTCTTCAGTGAGCACAGAACCGGAAGCTCTCACCACATACGCCATCGGTATTTCCCCCGACGCCGCATCTTTGACTCTGCAATCACATGACCACGTCTTAGTTCTCGACCATTTTCATTCCGATGAAAAAACTCTCGGGTTTGTTTGGATGATGAATTGTAATCGATCAATTTGATGCAATGTCTTGTTTTGAGTCAATTGTACCAAATTGACTCATTTGTCAGCAAAAAATTGGATGAAACAATTTGCTTGAGTTATTTTGAATTGATCCGTTTTGAACCAATTTCAATTGTCTAGAGTGGGGGCAAGTAATTCGAATGGTCGGAACTCACGGTATTACAGCTGCGTCCATCACTTGAGGATGAGTCAAAAGTATGGCTTCCAGTTCCGCCGGTGCTACCTGAAAATAAAAGATCAATTGTTCACCACTTAGAGGGGAAAAGAGTCGTTCGGATTGGATATTCAAATGAATAAACTGTGTCATTTTAAAATAATTGGTTCAAATTGATTCATTTGGTACTATAAATTTTGGATGAAACAATTTGGTTTGAAAATTTTCAAATTGATCTTTTTTAGGCAATTATAATTGTTTAATATTTAAATAACTCATTTTGTAAATGTGATAATTTTCATGGAGGAAAGAAAACCTGATAGCCGTTATGCTTGATGAGCTCCTTAATTCTGTCAACAACGAAGAGAACCCCATCACCATCAAAGTAACAAAGATCCCCTGTTCTGAGCCACCCGTCGGAATCAATCGTCGCCGATGTAGCCTCCTCGTTCTTCAGGTACCCTTTCATCACCGCTGGACTCTTAACCCACAGCTCCCCTCTTCCATACGGAGGCAGAGCATCCCCTGTTTCCGCATCCACGATTTTCGCACAAAATCTCGGCAAAAGCCCCCCGCACCCTTCCGGCCGCCGCTTGGCTTCCTCGTCGCTCGCGAACATCGTCGTGGCACCGCAGCTCTCCGTCAATCCGTACCCCGGCCGCAATTCCACCCACGGAAACCTCCGCCGGAACTCCACCCCCAATTCCCCGCTCAACGGCGCCGCCCCCGTCCCCACCCGCCGCAACGAGCTCAAATCGAACCCCGACGCCGTTGCGAACTTCACCATCGCGAGAATCACCGGAGGGACCGCGGGGATGTTGTTGACCCGGTGGGTTTCGATCGATTGGAGCATCAGGTTGAAGTCGAATTTGGGGATTAAGACGGTCTTGATCCCCAATGTGAACAACCCTAGGGCGAAAAAGGCCAGGCCGTAGATGTGGAACATGGGGATGAAGCAGAGAAACGTATCGTCCTCCGCCGACATCGCACGGACAGACCACTTCATCATCGTCATCACGGCGATGAAGTTCGAGTGCGTGAGGATCACGCCCTTGCTCGCTCCCGTCGTCCCCGAGGAGTACAGAATCGCTGCGGTGTCTGATTGCGAAATTGAAACCTGCGGCTCTGTGGAACCATCGCCGCCGCCGCAGCAGTCGATTAGTTCCTCGCAGGACACGTAATCGAGAGCTCTCGTCGTGGTGAGGACGGGGATTCCGATTGATTCGAGCTTCTGGAGCTGTTCGGGAGCCGCGACGACGAGTTTGGCACCGGAATCGTTGGCCTGTTTGGCGATTTCGGAGCTGGTGTTGACGGGATTGGCAGGGGTGAGAATCGCGCCGACGGACATGATGGCGAGGCAGATGGTTGGGTAGAGGATCGAGTTCGGGGAGAGGAGAAGCACGACGTCGCCCTTTTGGACGCCGATGGCCGACCGGAGGCCGGCGGCGAGGGATGTGATTGAGCGGCGGAGTTGGGCGTAGGTCAGCTGCCGGCCGGTTGAGGAGTCGATTAGGGCGATCTTGGATTCCGAAATGTCGGGGTGAGGGAATTGTGAGATGACGTATTTTGCGGTGTCTAAATTGTGGGTGGTGGGGATTTGGCCGTCTTCCGGTAAGTGGACGAGGGAACGGTAGATGCCGGTGTGGGGATCGTAGCCGGAGTTGTTCGCCGGCGGCGGGTGTGTGTTAGTGTTGCGTTGCTCTCCGGTTGGAACGGCGGCGGTCCATGGTTCTGGATCGAGGGACATTTTTTGGCGTTCTCGTTTTAGAAGGATGAGTGAGTTCAGAGGAAGAAGATGGTGCTTTGTAAGTTTCGTGGGTTGGTTTAGGACTCCTGAATTAGGAGTATATAAGTAGCTTTCAGTTTGAGAATATAGTTAATGACGGCAGGAGGGTGATTAGCGGCCGGCCGGGGAGAATTAGGATGTTAAAGTAGGGATTAAATCGTCGAATATGCTGAGAAGGGATATGCCTCATGGAGAGGAGATGGATGGAGAAACCAAAGGAAGAAGAGGGAATGTTGATTGTATGTTAGTGGTGCTCTGCCTGTGCTGCCGTCCGAGGCAAGGGCAAAGGAACTATAAGGTTGGTTTGGAAGTTGTGATTGTTAAATAGATGTATTGTTGAGAATGCATGTAGTGATGGCAACCAAACCCGAATCCACGGGTATCCACCCGACCCAACCCGGTCAATGCGGGTAAAATCCGTGTTGACGGGTTTTGGGTCGGGTTTGGGTTTAAACCCATTCACTATTCACCGGGTTGGGTTGAGTTTTGGTAAACTCGACCCGTGGGTACCCGCCCACACATATAATTAATTTTCTCGGTATATTTAATATTTTAAACAACTAATCTTATTTATGTTTGTGGAGACATGTCTAATTTTTTCTTTCTAATTGTGTAGAATGAAAAGGGAAGACCCAGTTCATCCTCATTCGACCATTCTGACGGCCATTAGACGTTTGATTTCCCAGAATTGGGTGGTGCAGTTAGTTCACACGTATAGAGAGGGGAATAGAGTCGCGGACTGGCTCTCGAAGCACAGTCTCCTCTATCCCTTCGGTACGTGCGAGTTAACGAATCCCCCACGAGAGCTGGAACATATTTTGCGAGAGGACATTATTGGGGTTAGCTTTCCCCGAAGGGTTATACAGAATACTGAGTAGCTGGTTTTCTTGGTTGTAGTTTGCAGCCGGGTAGATGGCTCGGGATCTTTCGGTTTGTTTATTAGATTGTCCCTTTTTGTGGGTTCCCTTCCCCCAGTCTACTGATGTCTATCATGGACTTTTTTGTTGGGGATTGACTTTGTAATTGGTCTCTGGCTTCTGCCTCCCTCTCTTCAAAAAAAAAAAAAAAAAAAAATTGTGTAGAATGAAGTTTGTGTTATCGAGTGGAGAGTGAAGAAACTTAATTGAAAGGAAGAAGCCTTCAATTAATCATGTTATTTATGGATAATTTATAATTTACTTCAATTTTCTTGAGTTTTCTAGATTGGTGTTGAACAATTTGTATAGTTAATTTGTGATTTGCTTGAATTTTCTAGAATGATGTTTTAAATATGGATAATTTGTATTGAGAGATTGATATTTGACTTTAATTTTGATAGGAACTTGTTATTGTAAATTGTTTACAAAAAAACCCGTGGGTACTCATGAACCCGCGGATACCCAGCGGGTTGGGTTGGGTTTGAGTTTTTCAAACCCAGTGGGTTTTACCCCGGGTTTTTTTTTCACGGATAAACCCATGGGTTTGGGTTTGGCAAAACCCGACCCAACCCGACCCATTGCCATCCCTAAATGCATGTATAATATTATACATGTATTGTTGAATTTGATGCATTGTAGAAATACGTTTGGTATGTGTGATTGTGTATGTCGCATCAGCTAAAAGCTGAGACAAAACAATCTCAACTCAACTATCTCAACAATCACAACTAAAAGTTGAGATATAAGTAACAATCACACAAAATGAGTGATAGTTTCTGTCACATCATAGAAACAATCTACGTATTGTTTCTGCTAAAAAAACAAAAAACAAAAAAACGATGCATTGTAAACAATACATACATAATGACAATCTCAACAAAACAATCGCAACTTCCAAACGACCCATATAACATTCGTAACCAAAGTTATTGAGATTAATTGTTTTTCGATACTGTATTGAACTTTTCGATACTTGGGAAGTATTGTACGATTCTCTTTTATGAAGCATATAATACTTCGACATGTACAAACTTCGAATTCATGTGAGTTAGTTTTGATGCGAGAATGCGTGTTAATATATTGCGTCTCTTGATCCCCATACACCATTAGGTGTTTATGAGAAATCATTTGCGTACAAACGGTTGGAATGAAGGCGATGGCCAAGCTTTTGGACATTAGTTGTTGGACTAATGACAACCTTTCAACTTCTCATTTTGTTCCTTTGGACGAAAATGATGGGAAGTTGGGACAAAGACGAAATTTGGATCCTAGTGCAATGTTGATTTGGCCAGCAGAAATGACATTCTACCATTCTGGTGATTATTATAGATGGGTGTATTTTAGTATGATTTTTTCCCTCCAAAGTCTGTGTTGAAAAGGTAGTAAGGAAGAAAGAAAAGAACAGGAGTCGATCAATAGTCGAATTCCCAATTAGAGGGTTTTTTGTGACATACGATGGGCAGTTGTATTGAGTTGGCGAGAAATAAAACAGTAAGAAACTTTGCTAAACGAGGAAGCTAAACTTCGAGCGTCTTTCAATATAGCTTCTCCCCGATCATGATGCATATCACCTCCAACCATCCCGTCGGATCAAGAGTTAAGAGTCCCCATAAAATTTAACAGCAAGAAAGGAATGGGTTAGACACCACTATAAGGCTTCACGTAAAGCTAAACATTCCATGATAAACGGGTCCTGGATCCACCATAATATTTTCCAAAAGCAAATAGAACATTACCTATCACTTGGAAGCCTACGAAGCCAATACTTCCTCCTTGACCACACTTGACCGCACCATCAAACCATACATTGATTATGCCCGAGGGAGAAATTTTCAGTTTATATTTTCCCAAGTGAAAAAACTATATAAAAATATGTTTGATTTTGTTACGGTAACACAATAGAATTAGCAAGAATTAGATATTAGTGAAGTCTTTTTAAGTACTTTTGTTTTCAAACATTGTTTTCGGTGGGGTAGTAGGAGCAGTTGTGATGGATAATTTCCTCTAAATTTTTACACAAGGCATTCCCAAAATCTCATATTAATATAATTTTAAAGTTTTGTACTTTGTCAATTTTCTGCGACACTATTTTCTCCAATGCTTTTTCATACTTGTATCTCGTCAACATTGATTTGTATTGACTGAAAATTGTTGAGATTTCTATTAGTCACATAAATATATATTATAAAAAAAATAATGTTGATTAGAAAAGGCTAAAATTGGTAATCCATCACTAAATAAGTAGCTAACGGACTTTATATTATTGATTTTTAATTTTCCTGGATTTTATAGCATTGTAAACAAAATAATTTTAATTATTTATTTCAGAGTTAGTGTGGTTTATGTTCTATCTCTATTCTATTTTCACAAGCCCAATAAAAACGAAAACAGCATGACAACAATATAAAACGGCGCTAAGCTCGTTGGATTAAGGCCTACCGTAAGTCGGATAGGGCCGGCTGGCCGAGAGGAAACCATTCTTGGGCTTGGGCTTGGGCTTGCTGGCTGATAGACTACTGTCGCGAAAACTGGGTATGAAAATCCATTTTATCTGGTTTTGGGTAGATTTTCAGGATCACATGTAAACGCCACGTGTCGAATGGGTGGCCTTACACTGAATTTTCCCTCCCGCTTTTCCTATCATCCAAAACGAACTCAATACTCTGTTCCACTTCCTCCTTTCCCTTTCCCTCTCATTGAACCCAGGTTGCAGCAGGCTGCTATAAACCCCACTCAGTTTCTCATCGTCTTCTCCTTTGCCAATCTCCCTCCTAGACCCTACCACCTTGACTTTTGTCCTTCTATCTATCTTCCTTCCACCGTTGAGCTTTCTATCTTCTGGCCATGGCGGTGGCAGAGCTTACCTCCCGTGCTGCTGCTGCTTCATTTGCCCGCAACAACGCCAACAGTCTCCACGCTTCACAAATTTACGTCCCTTCTTCCTCGTCTCTTTCCTCCGACCATTTCCGAGCCAGATATCGATCCACAGTCCTCCCCAAAATCACCTGCTCTGTAAAGTGCGTTTCTTTCTTCTCTAACCGTTCCTCTCTTCTCGTTTTGTTTGATTGTTACAACTTACAAGCTTCTAACTTCTATTTTTTGGTTTTTGTTCCTTTCCTTCTGGGTTTCAGTCAAGTTCAAAATTCGGCTCCGATTCAGGTAGAAATACCAAAGGACAAAGCTGACTGTTATGGTGTTTTCTGCCTAACCTACGATCTCAAGGCTGTAAGTTGCTCTGTTTCCTCTGCTTGTTCCTACTCCAAAACGTGACCGTTATTTCCTCCCCTAAAAAGAAGCTTTGTCGTCCGTGATCCAGCATTTTAGTTCATCAAGTTAGTCTTTCATCTTGGTTTTACTGGGTGCATACCAGGTGTTTGTTGATAGTTTTGTGATAGAAATGTAAAATGTAGTGTGATTAACCAATAACTAATAACTATAAGTGGGATACTCTGTTTATGCGTTCCCGTTTATTTTAAAGCCTTTCTCCTGGGGTTCGCCGACTGACATGGACTACGTCTCCATGGCTGCTGAAACTTATTTTGGGGGTTTTTATTCTTGTGCAGGAAGAAGAGACTAAATCATGGAAAAAGATGATCAATATAGCTGTATCTGGTGCGGCAGGGATGATATCCAATCATCTTCTATTTAAAGTAAGTAGTAACAGGCTAACAGCCTTCTACATGTTCATGAACTTCTAGCTTCTTTAGTCTTATATTAATGTGGCTCCCAAAAAAGATATTACTTTTGGCCTGGTAAAACTTGCACCTGGGATGGTCTGTTATTTGAATTGACAGTTTTGTTTGTAATGATCGGCATCTCATAGTACATGATGTTTTCCTGTTCCTAATGAGAGTTTGTTCTAATTGCTTTGATTTGTGACTCGCTATGACACAACACCTAACAATGGCCAAGCGTAACCAATGGAAGGGACTGCAGTATAGTGGCTCAAGTGATAAATATCGAATCCACGGGTCTCTAGAGTTACTATTACTCAGCTTCAGTTTATTATTTAGCAAACCAGATCAAGATGAAAGAACTAAAACTACTCTAGCAAACTACAGTTAAAGTTAATCTAATTACAGGTTGGGAACTCACTTAGGTATGATTCCCCCTAGCCACTAGCCAGACTAACGATTGATGATTTCTAACTTGTTTCACTTTCATTCACAATGCGGAGAATCCTTGACTAGACCTTGAGTCTCGACTAAAGGAACTAGGCCCTCTTGAGTCAATTGCCTAGAGGGACGTATCCTTCTCTAGAACAACTGATCAAGGCGTTCTGAACTAGACTCCCTCTATCGAAAGAGGTTCTCAATCGATACAAAGCAGTGAATCAACCCTCGACTAAAACAATTGATCCACTACTATCAATCTATGGTGCTCTATTGACTTAATCAGGTATTCCCTCTCATAGGATCAAAGCAGAATCAATAATCTCGACTAAAGCAGAATTGAATAATGAAAACATGCATAGATTGAATATAAACTCAAGATAATCAAGTCAGAGTACTCATACAATCATCCAATCAAACAAACATAGCTAGGGTTCCTCAAAACCTAAGTGAAGGGAAGTTACTCCATAGAGAAGAGAGAGACTGCAGTAAGAATCTTCAGATGATCAGTCTTCAAGTCCGGGCTTCTTCCTCGAGCTTCCAAGGCAAAGAAATCCTCCAATTCCACTCCAAGAATGCTCTCAAATCGCCCTCTCTCTCTTTGGTTCGTCCCTTGGGTGTTTGGGATCCAAAACCCAGCTCTCCCCTTTCCTTTTGGCTGAAAATCTGCTTAAAAAGGGCATCAGTGGCCAAAGCACGGTCGAGGGCACGGCCGTGTAATGCCTCAGCCCGCCCGTGCTTTGGCTGGGGTTAATTACACGGCCAGTGCATTGGGAGAAACACGGCCGTGCTTTGGAGAGAACACGGCCGTGCTTTGGGAGAACACGGCCGTGCTTTCAGCCCGTGTAATCAGCTCATGTTTGCCAAACTCGAATTAGCTCTCGGCAGTAAAAGCACGGCCACAGAACACGGTCGTGTTGTGGAGAGAACACGGCCGTGCTTTGGGAGAACACGACCGTGTAATGAATTAGGTGTGCCCGTGTTTTGGCTCCAGCTCGACGAAATGACTTCCGAATGCCCCGAAACTCGTGCTTAGCCTTTCCTTTGACGCCTGGGACCTGAAATATGACAAAATAGCAAAACCCGGCGTAAAATAGGCCAAAAGTACACGACTATGCCCCTCAAACGGATAAGAACTAGGGGTGCAAATATGTGCAATTACATCGTTATCAATTTGCTACTTCTCCGGTTGTGTTCAACTTGGTCACTGTGCTTAGAAGAAAGTAGAATCTTTGGTTTTGCCTTGATTTGTTATTTCTCCAGTTGTGTTCAACTTGGTCACTGTGCTGTCCTATTGCAGCTTGCATCTGGTGAGGTATTTGGACCCGATCAGCCAATCGCACTGCGACTCTTGGGCTCTGAAAGGTCAACCCAAGCTCTTGAAGGTATTAGTTCTTTGCATTCATGAAGGGAAATAATTTGACCTTATCATAAGAGAGCTATGTACTTGAAACATGTGTCTGTCCCGCATAACATAATAGGGAATGGGATTGTGCTGATTCCTTGATCTATTATTGTTCTCTTCACTCCAAAATTTCACTTGTGTGGTGGGGCAGGAGTTGCAATGGAGCTTGAGGACTCTTTGTTTCCTTTGTTGAGGGAGGTCAATATCGGAATAGATCCATACGAGGTGTTCCAAGATGCTGAGTGGGCTCTGTTGATTGGAGCAAAGCCCCGAGGACCCGGAATGGAACGAGCTGACTTGCTAGATATCAATGGCCAGATATTTGCTGAGCAGGTGCCAATTGTTGCAATATTTTCATTTCTCATTTATCCTTTTTATGCACTCATCGAAGCTTAAAGTCTTCACTTAAACTTGATAGGGAAAGGCTCTAAATGCCGTTGCCTCTCCGAACGTGAAGGTGATAGTAGTTGGAAACCCTTGTAATACCAAGTAAGTCTATCAATCAGGTTACTTGACATGTTTTCCCTTGGTTAGTTAAGGTCTGCAGTACATTTTAACGCTTCAATTGTTTGTGTATTATCCCCTTTGGTTGCAGTGCTCTGATTTGTATGAAAAATGCTCCAAAAATACCAGCGAAAAATTTCCATGCTTTGACTAGGTTGGATGAGAACAGGGCGAAATGCCAGGTATCCTTGAGTTCTTCAAACTTGTTGTATTAAAAACGATGGTGAAGAAAACATTAACATGTTGAGGTATCTTGCAGCTTGCCCTAAAAGCAGGTGTCTTCTATGACAAAGTGTCAAATGTGACGATATGGGGAAACCATTCCACAACTCAGGTATTCCATGTTCTTCTGTTGACAGAATGTGCATATATTCGGTGCTGCTTTGGAACTTACACTGCAAGAAACATTTATCTGGTCTGCATATACAGGTTCCAGACTTTTTAAACGCTAAAATAAACGGGTTGCCTGTCAAGGAAGTTATCAAAGATCACAAATGGCTAGAACAGGAATTCACTGAGAAGGTGCAGAAGGTGAGAGATGTTTTAGATAGACCTGAATCCTGATATTGTAGTAATTTTACAGGTCCTTTGGGTTTCATATTCCTTCACTTTAGATTCTCCAAACTGAAAAGCTGTTACATCTGAGCAAAAGTTGAGCAGCGGGCCAAAATCGACGTACTAAATGGCCCTTATGTCTTGGAACTTTGCAGCGAGGTGGAGCACTGATTCAGAAATGGGGGCGGTCTTCAGCTGCATCAACGGCTGTTTCAATTGTCGACGCCATAAAATCTCTCGTGACTCCTACTCCTGAGGGTGATTGGTTTTCTTCTGGCGTAAGTCTCGTCTGCTTGATTGCTGCCAATCGAAACAACTGTCACTCTTTCCTCAATTGGCTTGGCTTGGTGTGGTAAAATGGTTGGCTCACCATTTCAGATGTACATTGCAGGTTTACACAACTGGAAATCCTTATGGTATAGCAGAAGATATAGTTTTCAGCATGCCATGCAGATCAAATGTCAGCTCTCTTTCTCCTCCCCTAATTTCACATTCAAAATGTTAACAAAATGCCCTCTCTGAAGAAAACCCTACTTTCTGCCAGGGAGATGGTGATTATGAACTTGTCAAGGAAATACAATTCGATGACTACCTCCGCAGTCGAATAGCTAAGGTATATATATATACTCTCTCCACATTCACTTGTGCTACCTCAGAAGTCGCAAAAGAAAAAAGGTCCCAACTTTTGAACTTCTGTATTTAACTTTGCGAATTTGCAGACGGAGGCTGAACTGCTAGCTGAGAAGAGGTGTGTTGCACACCTGACAGGAGAGGTATGTGGTTCATTCACCATTGAATCGAAAAGGAAAAAAAAAAAATCCTTCTTCCATAACAGCTCCAATTTTGCGAGCTTATCTGAAGTAGAATAAGAATCATCCATGGGTTGGTTTCTTTTTCAGGGAATTGCTTACTGTGACCTGCCAGAGGACACGATGCTTCCTGGAGAGATGTAAAATGGCACCACAGAGCTGCTTACCAGTAGAATTTCTTATGATGCCACAATGAGACTGCTGCTGCATTGTCGTGGTAGATAGTGTAATTAGTTTACACGGTAGAAAAAAAAATATTATCAGTTGTGTGGAGGATGAACTTGGCTGAGTAGGCAGCAAAGGGGTCCTTCAAATTTCCAGAAGTTCGATAAATAGCTCAGAGATTGGGAGTCTCTTGTTTGGCTAATTGCCTTATTGGATTACACATTAAACGTTCCAATGATGAGATTTCATGAGAATAAACTAATAAGAGTGTTGACTGTCACTGGTTAGGATTCTTGCTTAATTGGAACTTATTACGCACAAACAACTTGGAGGAAGGAGGAGATCGGCCAACCTTGCTCAAATGGGCCTAGTAAGATTGGGCCGCAATCATCCACTAATTCACACAGCTAACAGGCCCAAATATGAACTGAAGCAAACTTGGGCTTAGCTCGATTAACAAAAGATAAAGCCCAAGCCCATAGACAACCAAATTTTTTATACGTTGGGAAAAAGGATCTAGATTCGTCTTTTGAGGTTTACTTCATACGGACGCACTCCTTTGATCCTTTTTTCTTAGGGGTCGTTTGCTTGAGGGTTTTGGTCATGGAAATATATCCATCATGGACTTGAACCGAAATTCATCGTTTGTCTTAGGGAATTAGGGAGATGGAATTTGTGGGGCCCACCACTTTTAGGGTTCCAAATCCGTGGACCCCACGGACTTGGAAGTTCCACTTCTTGAGGTGGGATTTGGGTGATGGATTACAATCCATGATGGTAAATTACCTTTCTACCCTTAATTATTTCTTTAATTACAAATTTGTCCTACTTTAATTCAATGGTCATGCAACTGTAAACTTTTATAATTTCGTATTTTATAAATATGAGAAGTTATCATTTCATTTTGTTATATCGTATTTTATTTAAATATGAATGTATATGTGATTTGTTAGATTCACCTAGAAACACTTTATGCTCATCTTGTACATTATTATTTGATTGATTGTCAGATTCCACATCGGTGAGTTAGCAAGAAGATGATGAGTTGTAGCAATAAAGCGAGCAATTGACTGCAATTGATACATAATATTGCGTACATTATTAGATGAATTGTTTTTTATGAAGGATTATTAGATGAATTTTTAATTAGTGCCAAGATGAATTGTTAATTAGTGCCAAATTGTAATACATTTCTATATTTGTAGTTGAATTATTAATCCACATAGTGGTAAAGAGTTTAAAATTTCTTTCTATGTTTTGGATTAGTTTTAAATGAAAGATTTGGATTATGATATAAAAATATAATTAAATAAGGGTAACTAGGTAATTTGTATTTAATATCCACAAATCTAATCAAACAAAGTCCATAATCAAATCCATCAAGCAAACAATAGACTTGTTCAAATCCATAATGCCACCAAATCCATCATATATCCATAGTTTTCCAAAACCCAGATTTTACTAAAACGCTCATTTTTCAAATTCATGAAGCAAGAATTTTCTTCCTAATTTTAAAAGCAGAAGAAAACAAACAAAGAAATTGACTAGTGGAGACAAAATGGTAATTTCAGTTCTCCCCCACCTGTCTTTTCCTTACAGATGTACTTGCCTCACCTAGTCACATTAAAAATACGCCCTCCTACCAGCACCATGCAGCCAAGACTTACTAGTAAAGCACCCTCGTGGGCCAGGTCCTGAGGTCCAGGTCCAGCAACCAAGCCCACAGCTGGTGACCGAAGGACAAGTATGACCCTACGGTGACGGTGATCTAACGATGCTGTTTCGCCCCGTGACGTTAGCTTTCCGCTGTTCCTTCCCCTTCCCAACAGAAATCGGTTATTGTAACAACACCCATTGTGTTGTTATTGTAACAACACTAGTCCCCAACTAATAGGAAGCTAGGATTGTGATGACTTTTTATTAGATGAGTTGACCTAGTGTAAAATCAAAGCAGGGGTATAATTGTCATTATGAAAAATCTATTTAAATAAAAAATAAAAATAAAAATAAATATTTTTTTATTTTCTGCCCAAAAATTTGGCCGTCGGAATTCTGCCACCGGTCGCCGGAAATTGGTCGTCGGTCACCGAAATATGCTTTTTTCGACGGAATATGCTATTTTGTCGCCGGAATATGCTTATCGGAGTCGGAATATGCTTACCGGCGTCGGAATCTAGTCACCCGGCCGGAATATGCCTATCGGCGTCGGAATCTACTCACTGACGGTCACCAGAGTTCGGTCAACGGTCAACGACCACCGGATGTTATGGTCTGCATTGTGAGATTTATGGTTTGGTTTCTCATATTTTTTTATGCCTTTTATGGTTTGCTTTATTGTGTTTGTGGTTTGCATTGAGAAGTTTCTGGTTTGTTTTCAAAAACTTTGTGGTTTGCATTGTGAGGTTTCTGGTTTGTTTTAATATATTTGTGGTTTGCATTAGGACGTTTATGGTTTGCTTTTTTGTGGTTTGATTTACTGTGTTTGTGGTTTGCATTAGGAGGTTTTTGGTGTGTTTTCGCAAATGTTGTTGTTTGCTTTGTGAGGTTTGTGGTTTGTTTTAGGAGATTTGTGGTATGCATTAGGAGGTTTTTGGTTTGCTTTATTGTGTTTCTGGTGTGTTTTCGAATTTTTCGTGGTTTGCTTTGCGAGGTTTCTGGTGTGCTTTCGAAAATTTTGTGGTTTGCTTTGTGAGGTTGGTTTGTTTAAATAGATTTTTGGTGTGCATTAGGACGTTTCTGGTTTGTTTTTGTGGTTTGCTTTAGCGTGTTTGTGGTTTGCATTATGAGGTTTCTGGTGTGTTTTTGAAAATTCCGTGGTTTGCTTTGTGAGGATTATGGTTTGTTTTAGAGCATCTGCGGTCTGGTTTACGAGGTTTTTGTCGTAAGCTTTGCTCCCTTGAACAGGAACAATTCCAGAGCCAGAACGCAGGCTTCTCTCCCTGGAACCATCGGAGAGTTTTTGTCGTAAGCTTTGCTCCCTTGAAGATAGAACCTCCCAATGCAATCCAACACAAGCCTGGCCGGTTGCGGAGCTGATTTAAGAGCCGACGGAACCTGTTCGCGAAGCTCCTGGACGTTGTCCAGGCGAGTGATGATATACTTTCGGAGACTTTTGCCGCACATCGTCTCGCAGAGATGCAGTAACTCAGAACTCACCGGAACGGCCGCTGCTTCGCCGTCACCATGTGGCTGCTCGCGACTCTCAATAGCAGTTTGGATCAATTCGAGGTGCTTCTCCAATTCGTCGAACCTGCTCTTGAATTCTCGAATGGCGGAAGACAGATTGCACAATCCTTGTACTGATTCCAAAACCCGGGACCTGGTGCGCTGCTCGGGTTGCTGCGGCGGCGATGTAACAATCGGGAGGCCATTCAATTCGACCTGCTCGGATTTGACATGAGGGTTTGTAGGTTGCAATTGGCACTGCGACGGTGATTCTGAAACGGATTCGAGCTTCACCGGAGCGACGGTTGATTTTCCAGGTGAGTGGCCGGAGCGTTGGCATTAGAGACGGAAGGTTTCGCCATCGAAGGCGACGGAGGGAAGAGATGAAAAGGAAGAGGACGGCGAGCTTTTCCGGTTAATTCTAGTTTTTTTAATTTTCTTTGTAAGTTTACCCTTATACCCTTGTTGTTAGGGTAACAACATAATGGGTGTTGTTATACTATCTTCTCCCAAACATCGGGAATTCAGCCTTTAAAAAATTCTCACTTCCTTCATACTGATGGCTTTTTCCCATCAGTTAAAAAAGCTTCACAATGGCTGCTTCTCTCTCATCCTCGTTCACGCTTCCGCCACCGACAGCCACCGCCGCAGACGTTTGATATAACCGCTTTCCGGTCGATTCCCCTTGCCCTAATTTGGTCCGCGGGTCAATTTCTGTTTCTTTTCTCGACGACCGCCGTGATCGATTCAGTTTTCTTCTCAAGACGCACGCTTTTCGTCGCGATTTCGCTCCTGGTCAGCTCCAATTGCTTCGACTCGGTAGATGGCTCGTGGCGACTCGGCAAGTTTTCTCGGTCCTGGTTTCCGGTTCCACCCCACCGATGAGGAACTGCTCCGGTACTACCTGAAGCGAAAGGTCACTAACAAGCCCGTCCGATTTGACCCGATTTCCGTCGTTGACGTCTACCGGACGGAGCCCTGGGATCTCCCTGGTCTGTTTTCTTTCAACTTCCCCTCGTCTTTGTTTTTTCTTGATTGGGGTTGCTCGTTGAGTTGGAGTAGGTCTCTGCGAATTAGTATCTGCCAGGATGTGCTTTAATTTAGCTGCATATTTTGATTGATATGAGGAGAGAACAGCCTAGAAAGTGAGCCATATCTTCCACGTTGTATACTCGATTGGTTCGTTTTCGTAGTGCTGAGATCTTAACTAGGAAGTGAAATGTTTCCCGCACTATATTATGTTGCTCGTCAGTGACGGTGGTTCTGAGTTCACTTGAAATTGAAATTCTTTGATTAGATAGATTCTGAAATTGAAATTCTTTCTAACTTTGGTGTACATTTGTGAATTTCCGCTGGGACTAGATCGATCAAAGTTGAAGAGCAGGGATTTGGAGTGGTACTTCTTTAGTTTATTGGATAGAAAGTATAGTAATGGGTCAAAGACAAACCGGGCTACTGAGAAAGGCTACTGGAAAACAACTGGGAAAGATAGGCCTATACTCTCCAACTCTGTAACCGTGGGGATGAAGAAAACTCTTGTTTTCCACATTGGGCGGGCTCCACATGGCGAGCGTACCAATTGGGTGATGCATGAGTACCGCCTTTCTGACGAGGAATTGGGGAAATTCGGAATTGGTCAAGTGAGTTGGAACTCTATATATCTAAACTGTTGATTCATATATGGTCTTCTACTTTCTTTGATGCTGTTGCTGATGGTATCTTTCACTTTGTGCTCGGTTCGTGGCAAAAGGATACTTATGTCCTTTGTAGGATTTTCAGAAAGAGTGGAACTGGTCCGAAAAATGGGGAACAGTATGGAGCGCCTTTTGTTGAGGAGGAATGGGAAGATGATGATGTCCCTGTTCTAACTGGCGAAGAGTTCGTTTCTGCTGATGGTGTGGTTGAGATTGACAATGAATATGTGGATGCGGAAGACTTTGATCAGGTAGGTCTCTTTCATTGTTTGCTTCTTTGATTCGAACAGTTTATCATCCAAAGTTTACTTGGTATAGTGCATTGTTTGATAGGGTTGAGTTTAGTAGATGCACACCTAATGTTCTACCATTTTATTCAGTCGCTTATCAAATTATTGCCACAAGAGTTGTGACATAGATGCAGGATAACATTAGCCTTTTTACTATACTGTATTTACGATGTATATTTACCTCCGTTCAAGTGCATATTACTTAACCAGAGTTGATTCAGAAAATGTATTCTTCTATTGGCTGGCTATTTATTTCTTACTGTCTTCTGCCTTTTTCGTTGAAACATCTGTAGAAAGTTGATGTTGGTATTGAACCCGAGAATGTTAATGTTCCGCCGACCTTCTACTATGAAGAGACGAGCAACAAAATAGAGAATGTCGGAGGCTCTGGTGAAGATGGGCCTAAACCCCTTACGGCCGAGCCACTAAACACCTTGGCAGTGCCAGTTCAAGCACAGTTACCTTATATATCTGGGCAAAATGAGATGGGTGACAACTGTGTAGATGCACAGTATATTGCAAGTTCAAGCAAGGACTCGAATCCTCATGATAACAAGGATGCTGCTAACAGTGAATATGCCGAGGGGCTTTTCTTGGAAGCATCTGAATTGTCAAATCCTCTGGAGCCAGGTTCAGACCCTGCCGATTTTAACTTGGAGGATTTCCTTGATTTTGATCAGCTGGACTTTGATCTTTCTGAAGCATTGAGAGGTGATGGTTTCACTTCTGATCAGTCACTTGAATCTAACAAGGTACTAAAGCTGTCTTGAAATGTTTATTGCTACTCCAGTTTGGTATGTTTTTTAAGAATGGACTGGGAAACTGAACTTTCGTTGTGTTACAGGTTTCAAGTGGGGTAGTTGATGATCTTCACTCTAGGAGTGAAAACATGCTAAGCATGCAGGGTGGTGCATCTTCCTCAGAGCAGATGCCTGATTCTACCATGTTGAAACCATATAGCATGAAATCTGAATCCGGTAATTTCAAATTTTATTGCTGTAGTTTTGTTGCATGCCGAGCAGATTTCATTCTGTGATACAATCGCACTGTTTTCAAGGCAGGACAGTCTTCTTTTTCCTTTCCCCCTCCTGTTCCTGCTGATGATGGAAACTCAATTTCTGTGTTATGTTCTGATTACGCAGATGTCAACTATCCATTCATTAGCAAAGCGAGCCGGATGCTGGGCAATATACATGCACCTCCTGCGCTGGCTGCAGAGTTCCCAGTCAAGGGAGCAGCAGCTCTGCGGTTTGCTTCATCTCAACCTTCCAGCTCATCCATTCACGTCACTGCCGGTATGATAACAATAGAGAACATGGCACCGAGAGGCAACGGGATGGATGGGAATACTTTGGGGAAGAACATGGGGGTCAATGTGGTCATGTCTATTACCTGGCCGCAAGGACTTGGTGGTACGAGTGTGAAATCAGGATCCATGTTTACTAGGGTCTGGGTGTGCCTAATGTTCTTCTGGGTCCTGATTCTTTCCGTGAGCTACAAGATTGGAACTCGTATCTGCTCTAAATAAGAGGGTCTAAGGTGGAAGCTGGACGCCCATTTGGGTGACGGGAAGCAGTTGAAGCCTTGTTTTAGTTTGTTGCTCCGAGGAGATCTCCATTAATATACGATCATAGGAGTCTATATGGGGATAGCGTTCTGCTATTGGACACAGGTTTATTATTGGTAGGAGTGAGTGAGGGACTAACCATCAGACCGACTAATTTCTTTCACTTTTCTCTGTGACTCTGTTCTGTTTTTATGAGATCTGTGGAACACTCATCTCTATTATATACTAGACACTGGCATACTCTTTTGAACACGAAGTTGCATTACCATGCCAGAGGGCTGCTCTGATCAGACTCATAGCTGCTGTTAAACACGCTGTGTTCAAAGTCCGGTATGGTGATCCTTTCGACGGAGCTACGGAGCTACGCCTCTTTGTATGCAGAATAGGTGTTTGGTTGCATGTATTTGGAGAATGGGTTAAGAACTTAATATCATGCGTGGGAGAGAAGTACTTAAACAACATTTTATAAAATTAGAACTCACATTACCTAGTCCTCCTCTTCATACACCGAACCAAACAATACTTATTCCGACACATATTGCAAGATACCATGTAAACTAAACATCAAGCTATAGTCCGATCACTGAGCACAATATAACACCAGTCAAAGCAAACAAGTTCCAAATCAGAAACAAAACATCATCAGCCTCCTCTTGCAAATTACGCGAACTAATGAATTAGACCGTAAAAAAAAAAAAAAAAACGTTGTTCCTGACACAGCAAGAGCTTATGACTATAACCGAGTAAAAAAAAAACGTCTAATCCCTCTCCACCTAGCTCTAGTTGGTCTTCCTGGGCGTGGCCCACTCGAGACGAAGAATAAGATTGTCATACCCATACCCATTGAGCTTCCTAATCGCCTTCTCACCATCTTCTCTGCTCACGAAATTCACAAACCCAAATCCCCTGCTCACCCCTGTCTTCTGGTCCATCGCCACGTAGACCCGGCTCACCGGTCCGAACGGGTTGAACAGCTCGCGCAGGTCCTCCTCCCGCGTGTCCTCCGACAGGTTGGTGACCCGGACCGAGTTCTCCTCGTTCCTCCGCCGCATGTCCGACCCCACCACGCTGCTCCTGTCCGCGTTCGCCCTCATGCTCGGCGGCACGTAGGCGGCGGCGCCGGCCTTGGCAGCCGCTTCTTTCCCGGCGGCCTCGGATGCTGCAGGCTTCATGCCGTCAGGAAACGATGATTCAGCCTGTGCGGCGAGGTCCTTGTACGGGCAGCGTGACGTCCAGTGGTCCCCTTTCTTCCCGCAGGTTCTGCACAGCATCAGGAACGTGTTCTTGTTCAGCTGGGACAAGGTGTCGCCGGCCGTCTTGCTCTCTTCCTCTTTGCTGCCTGTACGGTGAAAACGAAAAACCACATTATAGAATGCCACGGTCTAGCACAAACAACAAGAAACACAGGAAGTGGCAGAACTGCAGAAAGTATTGTCACCGATCGGAAAATCGGCAGAAAGTAAAGAGCACATGGATCTGTGTATTTTGTTACTCAATATACAAACGGAAGATATCAATTTCGCTATATTTGAAGAAATACAGATTAAAGAGGTTAATTAAAAGGGTTTATATAGTACAATCACATCAATCTCATCAAACAATCATGTCATCTGACTTGGCTATCATGAATCATGAATTTGAGATTGGCAGGGGAAACAAACCTGGAGCCTTGGGACGTTCGAGGCGGATCTCCTCCGTAGAGACCATGGTCAGGCGGGCGCCGACGTCTTCGTGAACGCCGTCGCCGAACTTGGCCCAGCTCCTCCGCTCCACCGCCTTTCGGCTCAAGCGGGCATTGGCGAGCTTCCTGACGCGACTCGTGGTCGTGATCTTGACCTTGTTGCCGTCCTCGTTGAATTTATACTCAATTACCCGTTTGACCCCGCTCTCGTCGGGTCCAATTACCTGCTTCGGCGGCAGGAGGAAGTCCAGGTCCTCGCCGTCCTCCTCTTCCAGCTCCCCCCACCGGAGCTTGCTCGGGGCTGATTTCTCCACCATCGTCATTGTTTCCAATAACGCTAAAATTGGAGGCGGCAGCGGGTACGTAGAGAGACTGGATGTTTAGGGTTTGAGCGATTTGATTGAATTAATTGTTGCAGTTTGTGAAGAACCGGCTTTGTATGTTTTATATAGGGTTTACTAAGCCGGAATAGAATTTTCTTTTTCTCAAAAGGAGAAGGAAAAGTTCGCACAATTATTTTTTTATTTTTAATTCTGAAAATATATTTAAGGATTAGCGCCTATGCCACGTACGCTTTGGAGATCAACCCGTATTTTTCGGCACTTTTAAATTTTTTATTATTTTTAATGGGTTGTCGTAGCGGTGGTGGTCGATTTTTCCGCCAATAAAATCCTCTACCCTATTTTTTTGGACGCGTTTTTTTATTACTTTTTTCTGGGATGTAGTTTCTTGCTCCAAGTGTTTTTTTCCACGACATTCCATTTAGCCAAATGGCCAAATCCGTTTCCTTGGATTAGGATCTACTAATATAAAAAGATTAGAATATACATAATCTATTCCAAATGTATAAAAAAAACCATAACATTATAATATATTTTCATTTAGATTAAATTCCTTCAAACTATAGACTCATTGTTCCCAGTGACATGATGTGTATATGCATCAGAAACTCACAATTCTTATGATATAAGATAATCAATCTATACATTTTGATTAGTATTAATCCAAAGAAAGAGTTGTTGGTTACCATACATTGTCGATATTTGACCCGACTTTTGAAAATTCTTTTCTCCTTTAAAAGATTAAGTCATGTCAAACACTTCTATAAGTACGACATTTTATAAAAAAAGTAGTTTTTTATAACATAAAAAAAAGTTTTGATTAGGAGTTTATGCGGCAAGATTAAATAAAATACAAGATTTTCCTTACTATTTCTATATAGTTTACAAAAAAAATTCTTCCATCCATATAATTTTAAAATTAAATTGATTATAAAAATAAAATTTGATATAAAATTTAAGAAGATCCATTTTACTTGATTCTATTATAGTTTGATTTATATTTTGTAATAAAAAAATTTAGTCGGTTTTCATTTTCTTTAATATTAAAATGTACTTCTAATAGTTTATTAATCAACACTCAGTTGTCTTTTGATAAAAAAAATCTCTAAAAGGTTAGCTAAAAGTCACTTTTACAAAAACTACTACAGGGTCAAACTATCATATTGTGTATGTGCCAATTTAATCAATATTTGATATGCATCGATTACGAGTTTACTATTTACACTTATGAAAATGTACCGATTATGTTCAGCACAAAAAGTTATCCAGTAAGTATTGAGTGGTTGGTTGAAATGCCAATTTAATCAATATTTGATATGCATCGATTACGAGTTTACTATTTAAACTTATGAAAATGTACCGATTATAAACCGAACAAAAAGTTATCCACTAAATATTGAGTGGTTGGTTTAAATGTTATCCAATAGATCAAACTTTTATGGCCCTTCATTTCAAGCACAGAAACCACAAATTATTTTTTGAAAATATTTTACAAAAAGTATATATTTAATTATACCAAATAATGTAAATATAGGAGTTAAATCAATTGATATCATAACCAAATGAAACACATCCCGGCCAATAGGCCGGGCACAAATCTAGTAAGATTTATTCTGTTCGGTTTTGGTTTTCGGGCCGGGGACGGACAAAGACGGAAGGCGGTGGCCGGCAATCAAATCGACGGTGGTTGAGGAGTGGCAACGGCCAACGAGCCGAGTTAATATAAGGGTTAATAGTTTAGTTTGGCCCTGCGGTAGCTTTTGCATAAACAACTTCTGGCCAGAGCTTTTAGATAAATACTTTTCAAAAAAGCAATTTAGTGTTTGGTTGTAAGACTATTAGAAGTGCTTTTTAATATGAAAGATTGTGTAAAATGACTATAAAGGACTTATAATATAAAATATGAATAAAAATTCTAAACAATAAAAAGTAAACAAAATGGATCTTGTTAGATTTCTTTTATATTAAATAATATGATTGTATAATTTATTTTATTTTTAAATGATATAAATGAAGGAAAATTATATTTTCTGAAATAAAATTAAAATATGGTAAGGATAATTTTGTATTTTCAAAATAGTTTTTCGCAGAAGTTCCAAATCGGAGCTTATGCTTTTATGTTATACAAAAGCGTTTTTCGACTTTTCAAAAGTCGAGCTTTTACAGGTGTTTTGGCCTTGTTTAAGCTTTTGAAGTCTAAAAGCACTTCTAAAAACCGGGCCAAACATAGAGATTTGACCGAAATTATCCTTTATATTATGTTCCATAAAGATTTTGATATATTGTTAATAGCCGTATAAGTTATAGTTGCGGAAACTCAAAAAAATCTCTATAGGAGGTCAATTAAAATAAATTGGATGTCACAGATGCCAAATTCTTTGGTTCAACTTCAGATATTGTGCAAAGAGTTGTAGACTATATATACAACAACTTGTAATCTTTTATCTTTGTCTATGAAGTCAATGACTTTGGTAATTTGTATTCTATCGAACATTTTAACTGATACAACCACTACATGCAATTTGATTATGAAAAGTAACTAATTAACATAGTTGTTTAGGACAATCAACATAGCTGAGATATTTTCAAGGTTGAAACACTGAAACAAGAAAAACAATTTTATCAACTAGTTGATACAATGAGATAGCTAGGGTTGAAATTCAGTTACGAACTCATACAACTGGGAAATAGAGCCTCGTTATTTTTCTTATTCATAGTATTTTTACACCATGAGATAGCCAAGGTTGAAATTCATTAACAAATAAACGGAAAAAACAACATACCATCCTGCAAGAATCATAGTGATTAAACCTCACTTACGGAGGGTGGGAACAAGAACAAGAGGCATTTTCCTGCGGATGACCATATCATAGTTATCAGTCATATCCATATCCTGGCCTCGAGCTCCCCCTGGCAGTCCCCAATCGAACAAGTAGAGCAGATTAGCGACCACGTACTCGACCTCCCTCAGCGCATAAGAAATTCCAGGACAGATCCTCCTTCCAGTACCGAACGGAAGGTATTCCTTGTGTTGTCCTCTGAAATCCAGCTCGCTCCCCACAAATCTCTCTGGATCGAACTCCTCGGGCCTCTCCCACTGCTTCGGATCCCTCTGGATCGCCCATGTGTTGATCAACACCCTCGTGTTTGCCGGAATATCGTACCCGTCGATCTTTACATCGCTCGTGGTCTGTCGTGGGATGATCCCCGACACATGAAGCCTCAACGTCTCCTTGATCACACATCTCAGGTAGCTCATTTGGTCCAGGTCGCTCTCTTCCACTTTAGGTTTCTTCCCCACCACCTTTCTTACCTCTTCCTGAGCTTTCTTTAAGATGGTCGGGTTCTTTATCATTTCCGCCATTGCCCAGTCCATGGAAGACGCGGTTGTGTCAGTTCCACCTATGAACATATCCTGAACGAGAAAAAAAAAGGCAGTGTCAGGTCATGAAATGCTATCGAATTATTGAAACAAACTGGTTCTTTGACAGATGAGGGGCTAGTTACCATGACAACGGCTTTCATGTTCTCCCGAGTGAGATTGATCCCAAGCTTCCCTTCCCTTTCCAATTGGAGAAGAATGTCGATGATGTCCTTCCGATCAGCCGACCCGACGCTACTCTTGTTCCCCTGCAGGTTCGCCTTCTCGTGCTCTTCAATCACTCTGTCGAGGAAATCATGAAGCGCCTTGGAAGCTTTCCTCACTCTTGCATTGAACCCTCTCAACGTATCCAGAAACCCTAGAAAGGGGAAGAAATCCTTGAAACAGAATCCTCCCACCAGCGCCAGAGAAGTCCTCACCAAATCCCCTGAACTCAATTCCCCATCCTCGCTCTTCGTATAAGTCCTCCCGAGCGCCGATCTCGACACGATGTTGTTCGAGATCGACACCAGGGACTCGCTGAGGTCCACCGCCTCCCCTTTCCGGCTGGCGGCGGAGATCTCGGCGATCAATTTGTCGGTCTCTTCCTCCCTGACGAAGTCGAACCCCTGAACCCGCTTCTGGCTGAGGAGCTCGAGCACGCAGATCTTCTTGACCTGGCGCCAGTACTCGCCGTAGGGGCAGAAGGCCAGGTCGCTCCAGCCGAAGAAGAAGACGTTGGCGACGGTGAGCCGGGGGCGGTCGGCGAAAACGACGTCGTGGTCGCGGGTGATCTCTTCTGCCGCCTGGGCAGAGGAGACGACGAGGGTCGGGACGGCGCCGAAGCGGAGGAGCATGAGGGAGCCGTACTTGTCGGCGAGATGTTTCAGGTTGCGGTACGGGACGGCGCCGACCTGGTGGAGGTTTCCGATCAACGGGAGAGCCGGCGGGGCTGGTGGGAGGTTGAGCTTCTTGTTGGGTTGCCTTCGAATTTTGAGAAGGAAAAACAGGGGAATTGTGATTAAGAGGACGGAAAGGATGATGGGATTGTGTAGCAATTGATTCAGCTCCATGGTTTCCGATCTATTGGGTTTCTTTACAGTTGAATTCTGCTTTTGAATCGAGTTGAGAAACTGGGAATGATCAATCTTGCAGAGAATACTGCGTTATTTATACTGAAACAGGGCAGAGTGTGCAGTTCTCGTCAGTTTGTAGGCCTGGTTGTCTGTTTTTAAATTTTATTTTTATTTTTTTGGGTATCGTTCTGAAAATGAAATTACTGATGGTATTGGTTTGGTGGCCGCCATGTTTGATTTAAGCTTAGGTTTTGCTAGCTACTGGCGAGAGGCGGCGTTGGGTCTATATGATTCGAAATGGAACAACAGAGTCAGTTGGCTGCTTGATATGTCAAATATGCTTTGGAGAGACGAAGAAAGAAGTGCTTGGGACAAAACGACAAGCAAAGATCGTCTTTTTCTAAGGAGACGCTGAAAAATTAATATTAAGATGAAGGAAAAATAGGTGCGGATATGGTGGTCGTTCAAACATTTTGATTTCTGAAAAATCTCAGCTCGGCTGCTCTGCTTTCCTTTTTTTAACCCTTTTGGTTCAAGAAAGCCAACCACGGCGGCCGGGCACCGGCTGCGAAATGCTGTCGGCCCCATGCAAATAGGATGGCAACAAAACCCGAACCCACGAGTACCATCCGATCTAATTCGGTCAACGCGGGTAAAATTCGTGTTGACGGGTTTTGGGCCGGGTTTTGTTTTAAATCCGTTCATCATTCATCGGGTTGGGTTTGGGTAAACCCGACCAATGGGTACCCGCCCACACCCACATAATTAATTTTCTCGGTATATTTAATACTCTAAACAACTAATTTTATTTATGTTTGTGGAGACATGTCTAATTTTTTCTTTCTAATTGTGTAGAATGAAATTGATGTTATCTAGTGGAGAGTGAAGAAACTTAATTGAAAGGAAGAAGCTTTTAATTAATCATGTTATTTATGGATAATTTGTGATTTGCTTCAATTTTCTTGAGTTTTTTAGATTGGCGTTGAACAATTTGTATAGTTAATTTGTGATTTGTTTGAATTTTCTAGAATGGTGTTTTAAATATGGATAATTTGTATTGAGAGATTGATATTTGACTTTAATTTTGATAGGAACTTGTTATTGTAAATTTTTTACGACAAAAATCCGTGGGTATCCATGAACCCGCGGATACCCAATGGGTTGGGTTGGGTTTGAGTTTTTTAAACCCAATAAATTTTACCCCGAATTTTTTTTCACGGATAAACCCATGAATTTGGGTTTGGCAAAACCCGACCCATTGTCATCTTACATGCAAATCAATATTTATCTTTGGATTAATATAAGACGACTGATCCGACGGTTCAGATCTTCTGGATAAGTAAGATTGTGAGGGTAAAAAGGGGGTAATTGGGAATTTTCCCTAGCCTCGTTCTGCCACATGGCCACTTGCTTGGTCCTCCCTTGCTTTGTTTTTCGTCTCACTGTATTATATGGTTATCATTGTTTAATTAGGAATTTTGAATCGTTGTCAACCGACAATCTTTGTAGATTCACTCACTAAAAACTATTCAAATAAATATTTTTTGAAAAGAAAATATCATTTTGGAATCCTGTGGTCTTTTTGGCTATGGAGTACAGTTTGATTTCATTACTAAGTATAGAGTTTTAATTAAAGGTTACAAATGGATTGAATTCATGGATTAGTAGATTCATTGATAAATGGATTTGTGGATCCATGGATTGAATCAAGTGGATCGGTGGATAATCCATTAATCCAAATGACATCCTCAACCATTGACCAATATGTAAAATGTGAAAAGTTTAGGTACTAAAATGTCATAATAAAAAGTTGTAGGTACCAAAACGTATTTTTTTAATGTACATTTTCCTATAAAAATAAATTTAGGTACAAAAATGTAAATAAATAAAAATTATAGGTACTAAACTTTAATTGGCCAACGATCTATGAATCTAATCCATGAATCCACCAATCCAATTGGATTGGATTAAATTAGTTGGATATTTTTAGTGGATTGGATTGAGAATTGCCTCCTCTAGTTTTAATGGTATTTTGGTTCATAAATTTCATTCAAATCTTATATATGACTAAACAAACTCTTTTCTCGACTTTTTTTATATTTTGACTTTTCTCGACTAAAATGTAGCCTAAACGATCTCGACAAGTTTTAGATTACAATGTTTCTTTATCAATTTATGCTCTTTTAACTATTTTGGTAACCTTTGTTCATGAGTTTCGAATCCTTATTGATTGACAATGTTTCTAAGTTTTATGATCATTTTATTCAAAAAAAAAAAAATATTTACATGGGGAATACTGTTTTAGAATCTGAAACCTCAACAACCATTGAGTCCAATTTATCTTATAGCTCATAAGTTTTAATATGAGTTTGCCTCGTACGTCTTGGTCTGTAAGGGTAACCAACACACTCTTTTTTACCGGTTAACCGTTTACGTTGTTTCCTTAATCCTCAGCAATTGATGCTCTTTGGTTTATCTTGCTGGCCTTTCTCAAGAGTTTCAATCGACAATACACAATAGGACTAGGAGTGGGAAATTGGGGAGGGAAATGGAACTTTTTCTCCTCCAATCCAAGAGACTGAGAAAGAGCCACAATAGAGATAAATGTGGTTTTGGACAAAACTTAATTTATTATGAATTTTGCCACACTGTATACATAATTCGATTAGTATTCTATATAGCTAGTAATGTTTAGTTAAGACGGGTATTTCAATTTAATATTTCTAATTTTGATACAACTAGTAGTTTTTAATGATTATATTAATCCTCCATTAATATATGGTAGAGTTTTGTGTACTTTTCTCCATTTCAAATTTCCTGCAACGATAGTGAAAGTAGGAAGGTCATTTTTGTCTTTACACATTTATTATTTATTTCATATAAAAATAGCAATATCAAGGTTTGAACCCGGGTCTCTTCAAACAAAGATAACAATCACAACCAGTTACACTAAACAAATTTATTGCATTCTTTTTGATAAAAAAAATAGACAAAGTTAATCTCTGAAAATCAGAGGACTTTTTAAACATAATTAGCAAGCTCACTAAGTCTACCGTATTTATTTTTATCGAGCTTGATACTTCTATTTTCATAGTAAAGTTTCATGTAATTTTCTCAATTTTAAATTCCCGCTCTCTCCTTAATTTTTGCTAAAGGTAAATGGGTAATTGGCCAACATGGAAGAAACTAATTATGTAACTACTGTTGTATCCTTGCATTTTTCAATTTAAATTTAAATTTTGTGTTTTTTATTATCTTTGTTCTTTTCTCTTTATAACTTCCTCCGAAATTTCATCCATCGTGCAATAGTTTGCGCCTTTCACTTCCCAGTACAAGACTGTCATTGAAAATCAATCTTCAGGTATCTCTTGGCACTACGGTTTTATTGTTGGGGATTTTAAGCTGGGCGAGTAGAAGATTTCAACTCCGATATCAATTCATGACGAATAGAATGGAGTTCATCAATAACTGAAGTTGTAGAAGGAAGATTAGAAATTGAATTTTTGGTTGAATATATGCCTCTTGAGATAGAAATTTGGTTGTACAACGGAGAGTGGTGGCTATTGGATCTTTAGGTTTATGGTTTTTGCAACTGTCATAACCTATTTCTATCTTAAAACGAGGAATCATTGATCGATTGTTTGAAATATGTCGCTTCTTTATTCAACCTACTGGAACTAATAGATAATGAGTGTCTAATTTTGCGCCTTATTACTTTGATCGAGTCTATTCGTATATTGGAGATAACCCTGATTTTTTCGTTTGCTCTCAAGTTGTGATGGTCCCCTCTTAGCTGAGTTTTTACTATATAGATGACTTGAATCAACAACTCTCCATTTCTTTTTGATTAGTGACATATTGTTTCTAAAAGGAGAGCATTGAACCTTTTATATAGGATTGTGAGGTTTAAGATTTAGTTTCAAACTATCTATGGGTTGTGTGAGGATTTCAGTGAGCTTTTATACTCTATATTTCTTGACTGTCAAAGAAAACTAACCAATAGCATTTTAACAGGGAATTAATTAGCATTATGAAAATGGGGTCAATGATACATTTTTATATTCTTAAATGATTATGATATTTCTCCGAATTTTCGACCTATAGATTATTTCTTTATGTATCATCTCGATCGAATGATTATCAATAAGATTAAACGGGTTAATAGACTTAAAAGTAACATAAAAATACAAATAATTAAATATGAGCATTCCGGCCAAAGGGCCGGGTTATAAGCTAGTGTTTTAATATGGACCATCTGTCTACTCGTTGAGTTCTTCATTTGTCGATTATGATTTATGAGACGTTAACTTGGATTTCAATACATAAGATGGCCAGTAAGTCATGGTAAAGTATAGCCAGCCACACAAGCAATGCAATCATGTGAAGGCAGGGCACACTGCAAATAAAGATGAAGAACGAAGAGATCATATTCAATTGGGGAAGCCCGAAGCCTTCTCTGATTTATTTTTGTTGGTATCTTTCAACCCTACTGGGTTCGGTGAAGTAAAGATACAGACCCATTTATGGACACCTAGTTTCAGTGAGCAGGAGTGAGAAGAACAAAAATGGTGACATGTCGATTATCCAATCTTTCCTGTCCTCCCCTGAGGATTCCGCTTATTATAGCAAACCAGAAACCCTTGGAAGGAAAAGGAAAACTGACCTCCACTTACTAGTTACTATCATCCTTATTTGGTTAATAAGCATGCAAAGTTCCTCCAAAAATCTTAGCCCCCTGAAAACAGCAACAATTCCGAATTCCAAAGGGAAGAGAGTGGATAGGGGCTAAACTTTTGCTGCATTCTTCCGTTGGACTCTCAGTGAAGAATCAATCTATTCCAAACATTGCTCTTCTCTTGTTTATCAAACCCCTTCTTACAATTCCACCCTCCCCTGCTCTATCTATCTCCATTTTCCATCCACTTATCCCCTGTTTTAGCCTTGCTCCATGTAAAACAAAGAGGTTGAAGTTCCCAGAAGATCCACTCCCACCATTTCTCACATGATCATTTATAGCCTCGCAGGGCCTTCTATTCCTCTGTATTAAACAACCATTCAGTTCTGTTCCTTTCTAGCCGGCTGCTCCAAATCCCCTGTTTCTATCCCAGCCTCCCCTGTTTAGCCTCCTCTGTTTTCTTTACTCCCCTGTTTTTTCTTCCTTTCCCTGCTCCTTTAAACAATGCAACTTTCCGCCTCTTCTCGGCTAGCCTTTCTTGTCATGGTCGTGGTGATGCTCTCGGCTGTCGACATAGCAGCCTCAACTGTTATCCAATTAGAGAGAATAGTTCCTCTCAATTCCTCGTTGGTTTCTGTGGAGCATCACAGAGCTCGGGACCGGGCCCGGCATGCCCGGCTCTTCAGCGGCCTCCTCAACTTCTCCGTTTACGGATCCGCTGATTCTTTCTACTACGGGTATGTTTCCTTAGCGTTTTGCATGATTCAATGTTTTTTTTTTTAAGCTTGAAGACTGTAACGGGAGTTTGCTCTGGAGTTCTCGAGGGAATAATGTGATATGGTTACATGAGAAATTTGGCGGCAAAAAGAGAGAAAACAACATATACGAATTTCTCGGCGACAAGGTTGAAAATGGCAACGACGTCGTTATTATATCTAATATATAATTATTTAACTAATTAAATTAGTTATTGTGACTAATATATAAATGAGTTTAGGGCACACAGTCAAAGTTTAATTACAGTCAAAGCAGTACCAAAACGACTATGGCAATAAAAAATCAACCAAAAGTCCAAAACCAATTGAAGCTTCTTGTTAGGATTATCTCGTCACAGTCACGGGAAGGCCCATAGGCCATATCCCTTAAATAAGGCCCATTTAGCAGAAGCCCACTTGGTGGCTGTGGGTTGATTTGAGTAATGTGTTTTTTTCCCTCTTCTTTCCCGTTGTGCTCATTCATTCATAATCATTCATCTGTTCGACATCCTTTTTTCTTAAACCGAAATGACGAACCCTAATCAGTAAAGTGTAAATCCTTCATTCTCTGCAACATTGCATCGAGAAAGAAAATCAGGGTTCCTGTCCTGTGTGTTTAACATTTCCATTGTTGGTATCTCTGTCATGGACCAACCCTTGGAATTGATCCTTGTGTGTTTTATGGGACAGGATTTATTTCACAAAAGTGAAATTGGGCACTCCCCCAAGAGAGTTCAATCTCCAGATTGATACTGGCAGTGATCTTACTTGGGTCAACTCTAAGTCCTGCCCCTCGTGTCCGCGCTCGAGCCGATTCGGGGTAACTTTTTTAAACTCATTATGATTGAATTTCTGTTTTCTAGAGCTGTTGTTCATTCATCATGCTTTATACCTTATTACGGGGTGCTTTATACCTTCCCTACGATGTGGCTGCGTCTTCCACCTCCAAGATTGTTCCCTGTTCGGACAAGTACAACATCTGTGAAACTATGTGTTCGGGGAACGACAAGTACTGTGGCTACACAGTCAAGTATATGAATGGGGCCAGAACATCAGGATTTTACGTGGGGGATGTTTTTCACTTCGAATCGATTCCCACGACCTCGACGAGTCCTAACGCCTCAGCGGGTATCCTGTTTGGGTAAACCCTTCTTCTCCCTATTCTATAACAACTGAGAACAATTGAGGATAACTAAAGGATTGATGTTAGTATACAACTGCTAACTAGGATTAACCGTTCATTTTAATGTGTGCTACTGGTATCTATGATAGCTAATGGGTTAATATTGACGAAGAACCTTCACCTAGCTAGATTACATTTTCTGTTGTTTCCGAGTAATTAGTTAGTGATGAACAACATATGTACTGATCAAGTCCAGTAGGACCACCAATTCAATGCCAAAAAACCTTGTTCTTATAGTGGTCACAGTGTGTGTAGTTTATCTTGTTCTATATCAGAAGTAGATTCAACCTGTAACATTATGTCACCAGATAAATCCCTGATGAATCTTATTTGGATACAGCGTCAGCACCTACCGGTCTGGTTTCTTGGCTGACGTGGACCTAGCTGTTGATGGGATATTTGGATTTGGGAAAGGCGATCTGTCTATTCTCTCCCAGTTGTACTACAGGGGAGTCACACCTCAAGTGTTCTCCCATTGTTTGAAGGGAACTGGAGGTGGTGTGTTTGTTCTGGGAGAGGTATCGGTACCAGGGATGGTGTACACCTCGCTTGTCCCATCACGGTGTGTATAATCTGTAATGCAACTCGAGTCATTATCGTTCGATTAGGCTGTGAAATATGAAATCTTGACATAATGCCTCCTCTCCAAACTTGCAGGCCCCATTACGGTGTACACCTTGAGAGTATTGCAGTTAATGGAAAGTTGTTGTCAGTGGATCCTCAAGCATTTATGCCATCAATTGATCGTGGGACATTCCTATATACGGGAACAACATTGTCATACCTTGTCATAGAAGCATACGATATGCTTGTTCGTACTGTAAGTAACAGTTCATCCCATAGCCTTAGAACTTTGTAGTGCGAGAATATTTTTGAATTTTTTGGAGTATCGTTCCAATGTGCTTATAACTCACGAATTATTGAAAAACTAGGTGACTGATTCAGTCTCAAAATTCGGGGCTCCGAGTACAATCAATGGGCTGCAATGTTACGCGATTAGTACCAGGTTTGACATCTACCGTGAAACAACTGGTTTTCACGCATTGGTTGGTTATGGTACTTCTTAATGTGTATTGGACCATCATAAGCAGGCTATTTCCTCTGATGAGTTTGAATTTAGCTGGCGGTGCTTCTTTGGCATTGAAGCCTGAGGACTACCTGATTCTTTCTAATGTAAGTAGATACAATTGAAACCTTGACTAGTTGATTATTTTCCCCTGTTTATGGATTTCCCCTCTGCATATATCTCATAAGGGCTAAGGCCACTGGCCACATATATTGCCGTGCATTAGGATGGTAGCAAGTGGTGCATAGGCTTTATGAAGCTTCAAGGACAGACCATTTTAGGAGGTTAGCAACCCTCAATCTTTGATTCTATGTATCTTTGAAAATGCCAAGTAAACAATGAAACATGGAGTTAAGGATGCCCTGTTTAGTGATTCTGATTTTGACTGTCATTTGTTGCCGTGTGCAGATCTTGTTCTCAAGGATAAGGTCTTTGTTTACGATTTGATTCGACAACGGATTGGATGGGCGAACTATGATTGTAAGCAGATCAACTTATATTAACTTCCAATAAAAGAATCTTCCTTCCTTTTCCCAAATCATTTTTTCGTTCAAACTGCTATGTATCGCTGACTGCCACTGGCCTCCTTGTTTGTGCTCTTTCAGGCTCGTCGTCGGTCAATGTCTCGGTATCTAAAGACGACTTCTTTTACCCAAAGAAGTCGAGCTCGGGCAGCTCCTCCAGAGACTTGCTTGCCCTGTTGCTTCTTGTATCCATTGTCTCCGCATTCTTTTCAACTTAGCTGTCACTTAGATTAGCTTATGTGATTCATGTACATATGTGTTCTTCAGATGATTAATGAATCACTCAATGACTACTTCAAGAATGCTTCTGTTACCTTTCCATTTTGTTAAGTAAAAGCTATTTATCTCCTGCTTTATCCTTTGCCCTTGCTCTCCCTTCTGCAAGTTTGTTCCTAATGTTAAGGAGATGGTGCGGCATTGCTATATACCAACAAAAGTATCACTATATCTTTGGAAATGAGACAAATATCTGTTTTTTCTATTGCTTACCGCAATTTTGAAGAGATTCTTGATTATATTCATTCATATCTATGGGATCCTTCAAGGATCTTTGCATTGATGGTGATAGATACATGATGGACATCATCAATGGTTTCTCTCATAAATTTTGGATTTATTTCTCACAACATGGAAATAAAGCTTTCTTTGCATCTAAAAATTGGAAAATGTTGGTTGAAATTACAATTAAGGAACGCCTAAATTCACTCTATATTGAGGAAATTTTAAATATTGAAATACTCCATATAACTCTATCAAGATATATCGAGAGAAAAACACATTGATTATATTTAGATTTTGCATTAGTAACTTATAAAGCACAAAAGATACATAAAATTAATAGCATGAATTTCACCTTGATATGTAGTCACTTATGGAATTGGTAGATTTGCCAACAACAATCTAAGCACAATAAAGAAAAAAAAAAATTTTGACGAGCAAAAGTTTTTTTTTTTTTTTTTTAAGTTTAGAATGCTGGATATTTAGAGCATATATTTAGATGACGCATCTTCATATATAAATGGGGAGATATTGTTGCTTATTAATTTTTGGAAAGATCATTACTCTTTGAATGGGGGAAAACAATTTTGAGGAAATACAATCTTAAATCATGTACATCTTTCCATAAAAAATCCCAAAAAATCAGCCCGTAATATTGCAGACTACCTATCCTCGTTCTCTTCCTATATAAATCAACAACTTCATGCGTTCCATATCTCACTCATTGCAAATTTCAGACATATAAAAGAGAAGACAGAAGACCAAACACCTCACTGATCAAGTGACAAAAACGTATCTCAGCATGATGGATAAGACTCTGTTGAAGTTGTTGTTTTGTCTTATCCTTTTGGTTTGCACGGTTTCTGGTACGTATATTATCTATGATTATGCACGGGTAGCACACTTTTCCTAAAAAAACATAAAAATTATTGATTTACTACATTGTTTAAATTATTAACACAAATAAAATTTCATGCCGCAGATGCAAAGAAGATTAGTATTGATGCTGAAGGCGGATGTCCGAGCGTACATTGCAAACGTGATGCGGATTGCAATCCCCCACATTATATTTGTGCTGTGGTGATAGGTCTCTGCGTCTGTGCAGAGAAAGCCGTAGATACAGGTTTCCCCATTCAAAATTTTAGGAGAATTCAAAAAGGGAACTAAAACTATGAATATCCATGGAAAAGAAGAAAAAATAAGATAAAGAGCAAAGTGTGAGCCCTTTATGTACAATTTTCTTAAACACAAAATCGACTATATCCAAAGTTCGTAGCTGTCTATTTTTAGTGGTATATTTACTCCGATTTTTCGGTCATAATTTTTCTCCAAATTTGATGGGCGTAAGAAAAGTATAAATCAATGGGGATTGGGCCCAGTCAGAAGAAGGCCCAATCTGAACACTTTCCAACGCGTTTCACTTTCCGGGGTTTCAATTCTTGCCCTAACCGCCTCCTTGACGAACAGTAGAACACAGAAACAAAATTTTCCGTGAGAGTCGACTCAGTCGAGTCACCTATCGAACAAATTACTCCGTCTGAAATTTGGAAACAAAGAGCAGAAACCCTAATCCAAGGTACCTCTCCTTCTGTTCAACTTGTTGCGTTCTTGATTCTTTCAGCTTGCAGCGTCACGCAACCAATTACGTCCTAAATCCCAGTTCCGGAATCACTCTGTGTTCTATCTTCCCGCGCCTTCTCTGTATTCTACTATGTAGTTCTTCTTTGTATGTAGTTTCTTTCAAGTTTCTTCCGCCGTTTCTGATTGATAGTTATGGAAATGTGTGTTTTCTTCTTTCTTCTGAAGCTTGAGATATATCGACGTGCTTGCAGTTGCAGGTTCTGAATCTCCGGCTGCTGTTTGTTATTCGTCATGGCAACCAGTAAGTTTCCTAATCAATGATCGTTGTGATGGTTCGGTACAAACTGCAAGAAATTTTAATTTATGTATGGCTTAAGGAGTTGAGATTTCTTTTCTCAGGGCTTCAATTCGAGAACAATTGTGAAGTTGGTGTTTTCTCCAAGCTGACAAATGCATATTGCTTGGTTGCGATTGGAGGTTCTGAAAGCTTCTACAGGTACCCTTTCTTCCGGCTGCCAAGAGAGTTTGGAACTTTGCTGCAACAGTTATAGGATTGAATATTTTTATTTTGGTAATGACTGCACTGCTTGCGTATGTTGCAGTATCTTTGAGACAGAGTTGGCAGATGTCATTCCAGTGGTTAAGACCTCGATTGGGGGAACTAGAATAATTGGGAGGCAATGTGCTGGTAAGAACAGTGTTTATCTGTTGTTTTGTGTTGTCATTGATTGCAATGTTTTGTGCTCACTGCTCTAGCCTTGCTTTGGTAGGAAATAAGAATGGACTTCTTGTGCCACACACCACCACTGATCAGGGTTAGTTTGATGAGCCATTCAACATTTCTGCTTCTGAGCAATCAGTGCCTTTATTGATGGACCGACTCTAATCATCTATGCTCTCCCTCCCTTAGAACTTCAGCACTTGAGGAACAGTCTACCTGATTCAGTTGTTGTCCAGAGGATAGAGGAGAGATTGTCTGCTCTTGGAAATTGCATTGCTTGTAATGACCATGTTGCTCTTGCACATACTGATCTGGACAGGGTAAGTGTTTGTAAATGTTGCTCATACTGGGTTTAAGCAAATTGCTTGAGTTGCAAAACTGTGGTCCGAACATATTTGCTACCATTGCTCTGCTCGGATGTCTTTGGTGGCTTCGCCATCCATATTATCAAAGTAGGCCAAAGCACCTTATGCTCTCAAGTTATTTGACCTGTCATATCAAAGTCCGTTGCTGGAAGTATCTCGGTTTGTAGCAGTGGTTGAGCGTTAATTTACTATGATCAGGAAACTGAAGAACTGATAGCTGATGTTCTTGGAGTTGAAGTATTCAGGCAGACGATTGCTGGTAATATTCTTGTAGGAAGCTACTGCGCTCTCACAAACAGAGGCGGCTTGGTAAGGGCACAGCGACCCACTTCTTCTCTCTGTCTTGTTCAGTGTTCACACAATTATTGATATGATCTCATTTCCGCAAAAAAAAAAAAAAAAACTACAGGTGCACCCCCACACTTCCATTGAAGACCTGGACGAGCTTTCCACCCTTCTCCAGGTCCCCTTGGTTGCCGGAACAGTTAACCGTGGCAGTGAAGTCATTGCTGCAGGAATGACAGTTAACGATTGGACAGCATTCTGTGGGTCAGACACCACAGCAACCGAATTGTCTGTTATCGAGGGCGTTTTCAAGCTGAGGGAAGCGCAACCTAGTGCCATTGTCGACGAGATGAGGAAGTCCTTAATCGACAGTTACGTCTGAGAATTGTTGTAATATCAGTTGGGAGTGTGGCGCATCTTTGTATTCGTACACTCATGTTTTCCCCCCCTTCCATCTCAATTGTAAGGTAAAATTTTGAAACTTGATACAGTTAGTATATCTTCTATATAACTATATTGGTGGTGTTATCTACTTGTCAATGCAGAGTAGATATTTAAAAAAAACACATATTGGAGGTATGGTTTTCTCTGTCTCTCTCTCTGCAACGCGTCCACAACAGGTACAAACAAAACCCAGCAGTTGACCCGATCAAAAATGGTGCTTGGCTGTTTGTATTTTGTATTCTAAGAGCTGAGCTGTCAATACATTAACGTTGCGTCTTGTCAGTATTTGTATGATGTGTTGTTTAATCTTTTCTTCCGAGGTCTGTAAACAATATAACTGCAATTTCGCAATCATGGATTTTTCATTTCTTAGCGGAGAACCCGAAACCCTATCGTTTCTGTTGCGGTCATATATAATATACGTTTCATTCATCTTCCTGTCGGCATTCCTCCTCCGCCATTGTTCCATCCGATGCCTTCCCAGTCAACGCCGCCGCAGACCCGCCGGAAGTCGACCGCTTGGCCGTCCTCCTTCTTCATCTACTTCCTATCCCCTGTTTTAGTAGCCACTCTGCTCGTCTACCATCTGGACTCGTTCGACCCAGTCCACCTCCCTCTCCACGAGTTGACCCAGCCTCCCCTCAAAGCTCCCTTCACCAACCACGCCATCCTCAAAAGCTCCGAGCTTGTCGGTCAGGGTCAGCTCAACGCACCCGAGGACATCCTCTACGACGCCGTCTCCGGCGTCTTCTACACCGGCTGCGCTGACGGGTGGATCAAGCGAGTCACGGTCAACGACTCGGTTGCTGATATGGCGGTGTCAAACTTGGTCAACACCGGCGGCCGGCCGCTTGGACTCGCTCTCGACCGAACCAGCAATGCTTTGATTGTAGCTGACGCTTACAAGGTTAGGTTTTGGTTGGTCCACCCTTTCTTCTTCTTGCACTTAATGAACATCGATCTGGTACTAGGTGTTTACCCAAAATAAAAATCCTGCTACTATGAAAAACAGAGCACATTTAAATTCCTGAAACAGAGCATGTTCATAAAATTTATGGAGTACTCGTAAAAAAGAGGAATTGGGTGTGAACAGGGGTTGCTTAGAGTGAGCGGGGATGGAGAAATCGAAGTTCTGACGGTGGAGGCAGAAGGGGTGAAATTCAAGCTGACGGACGAGGTCACCGTAGCAGAAGATGGGACAATCTATTTCACGGATGCTTCTTTTGACTACAGTGTGGCGGAATCCAGCTTTGACATTTTGGAAGGGAAGCCCCGTGGTCGGTTGCTGAGATACGATCCTGCTACTAAACAGACCGAAGTTCTGCTCCATAACCTCTACTTTGCTAATGGAGTTGAGGTTTCACCTGATCAACAGTCCCTCGTCTTCTGCGAAACACCCATGTAATTAAACTCCCTTTGCAGTCTTGTTGGATTCCCAAGTTTCTCACTTGCTTGCCAACCAAAAGCTTCTGCAACTCTAAAACTCTGTTTTGGTTCTCTATGTGTTGTATGAAATGGCAGGAGAAGGTGCAGAAAATACTACATAGATGGGGAGAAGAAGGGGAAGGTGGAGAAATTTGCTGATAATCTGCCTGGATTCCCAGATAACATCCACTATGATGGTGAAGGCCACTATTGGATTGCGATTCCAGGGGTAAATTGCTAACTGGTTTTGATGGTTGAAAAGGGTTTGAATACTGGATTTGTCGATTTGATGCTGTTTCTTCTTTCTTTTTTTTTTTGGTTTTGGTGACAAACTGCAACTGTTTGATGATGACAGGGAGCTAATGCCCTGCTGGACTATACATTCAGACAACCCATTCTCCGGAAGACTATGGCAATCCTCACAAAGCACCTGGGGCCACTACACTCGGAGAAGAACAGTGGGGTTTTCGTAGTGGATTTGGAGGGGAAACCTGTGGCACATTACAGCGATCCACAACTCGCCATGCTCACCAGTGGAGTCAAGATTGGAACTCACTTGTATTGCGGCTCCATCGTACACAACCACATCCTTCGCCTTGATCTGGCTAAGCATCCAGCACAGCCCACCACATGAACATAATAGCAAACAAGGAAATGATCGAGAAACATAAACCTCAAACGTAGTTGCTGCTCCTGCTGCGGCACTTGTAATGATAGAATAAGAACATTGCTGTATTGTAACTTCTAAACAAGATCCCCATGGCTCGGATTTATGACAGGGCAACCACACAGCCAGCTTGACAGACAAGGCATACAACTCATAATATAACAAGCATCCAGACCTAGAATTATTGCTCCAAGTTACAGAACGACCAGCCACAAGGGCAGAACGCAGAAACAAAGTTCTCAGCTTTTCCCGAGCCTACGATTGTCCCAATCCAGCACTTCAGACGTCTCTTCTACCGGCAAAATTATTGAACCGAATCAGGAAAAGCCCCTAGCTATGACACACTAAATGTTATAAGCTAACATGTCCGCCTACTTCCCCCCACCGAGCCTACCGTCGTTCAGGAAGGGGAGTAGGCGACTCATGCGAAGACACTACTAATTAAAACACAATGGGACTCACTGCCGCTCATTGAGGCAAGGCAGCTCACAGGCGACAAGTGCAAAGAGAGACAGCTACTTTAAATTAGAAAGTACTCCACTCACTTTCCCTTATGAAGGCTCCTCTTCAGATCCTCATTCTCTTTGCTGAGAAAGTCAATCCTCGACTGGAGAATGTTAATCATGGCTTGAGTGCTCATCAAATCCAGCTTCAGCGTCTCCCTCTCAACTGAGACTTTGTGGACCTCACGCTGCAGGTCGTTGATAAACTTCATGCACCCAGAAGGGACCATCGACTCGAGGCTAGCAGCAGTCAATGTGGGTTCCTTTGGGGGAGAAGGCGGGGGAGGTGTGCGTTCCTTGGGCTCCATAAGGGAGAATTCTAGCAGTGCAGATATAGCTGTAGTAGTTGCAGCAGTTGTCGTCATTGTCGTATCAGTAGTAGCAGTCGTAGCACCTGTTGTTGTGGTAGATGAGGAAAGGTCCTGTGTTGTTCTGGTCGACTTTTCTGAACCATGAGAATCATAGTCGTTGTGCTTCCTTCTTTTGTACTGGATCAGCGGGAAAGGAGCTTCTGTGTTGAGGACACACATGGGATTTTCCTCCTCCATCTCCACATTTTCATTCTTGCACAAGGACAGAAGGTCTCGAGTCTGCTTTGGGACTTCATTGAAATCGAAGGATTCTTTGCTCAGGCGGTACTTATCCTGTAACCAAATAAAGGGAAGTCAAATTCTCTAAATAAGTCAGATATTCACGACAAAACAAACAGAACTGTAGCCTTGAGAAAATTTCACAACTGTGACTGAGACAAATAGAAGAAGATTCTCATCTCAAAGCAACACAAATCTGTTTGTACCAAATTCTGCCTAAATATTTTAAAGCAATCCTTGAGAGTCAGTACCAACTGGCTAAACTAGGAGCAGAACCTTTCGCCAGATTTAGGTGTCTCATCTGCTACAGAAGAGACTGAACTTATTCAAATGGGGCCACTAAATTTGTCATCCATGGATGCATACACTGAGACTTTTGATGACTATGTAAATTCCCAACAATAAAATAGAAACGATCATCCCAAAACTTCACTGAGCAGCATACACAAACTTGGAGGTTAATTTGCATGGACATAGAACAAATAACCAACAGCAGTAAAGCTGAAATTGTCATCGCAGAACCCAATTCAGGGGTGCATGCACAAACTTGGGATGATAAATCCTTCGAACCTTCTGATCAGCGGACAAATATGTAAATATCATCAGTCTGAAACAGTGAATAAAAACAGATGGACATAAGCAAACTCCAACAAGACATTTTATATGCTACACTTACTGCCTCCATCTACCAGTCATCAACTCCTCAAAGACCAACTTGTGTCGATTAGTTACTACCTAAATTCTTTAGTTTTAAGGAATCAAGTCCTTCCAGTTACTCTGACGTTTGGACTCTAGTGCACGACTCTTTATCGTCCCGGCACACTCTTCAATCAGTCAAACAATAGTTCACACAAATGATGAAAATGGAACTTATGGATGACTTAAAATCAAGGTTGCTAGCACTGCAGACACATCTGCTTAAATTATACAAGTGAGATGCACATTTTACAAGGAATCTGAGACTCCTGGAGAAACATTGGAAAACAGAAGTTAAGGAGTTATCACTCATCTATGGTCAATTTGATACTTTGGAGGTTCTCTCTAGTTGGCTGCTTATTTCAGTCAATGGAAACCTTGGGGTGAACAGGAAGCACTACCATCTACGGAATAATATGTAATGGTCTAAGACAATGCTCCCTGACAACAACCATGTCTTCTTCCACACTTTTGTCTTGCTACCAAACTTCCACCCCTCTATTGTTATTTTCCAGGACGTCGTAACAAATAATCATCTTGCTAATGCCTAGAGACACCTTCCTTTCACCATAAATGCATTGTTTGCAATGATAGCTCTAACCCAACAGAAGATCATTACCTCTCACCCAAGAGTCATTCTACCTTGTTGTAGTATTACTGTTACTACACAGGATCGCTCAACTACCCAAAAGTAATCTCAAATGTCCTTTCATCACAGACAGGAAAGGTGAATAGACATGCTTATGTAGTATACACAGATAATATGAGGGCAGTACCACAAGAGGACATTTAGGTTGCCCTCATAACAAAAAGGTACAAGTTAGTTTCAATTAACACGTGAGAGCGAAAGAATGCTTCAGCAGAGGTTCCCTTGTCATAAAAAGATACGAGATAGCATAAATGGTTCAGTGAATTAATTTCAAAGAGTCAAAGTCCACAGCTTATGGTTGACCTTGTTAAAGTTTATTGCCGCCAAAGACTTCTTTTCAACCCAGAAATAATTTAGATCCAACTCATGGTCTGTCAATGAAACTTACTAGTTACTCTCTGAAACATATGCCTGCTATGATAGGAAGAATATTTTCTATATCAAAATTCATATAAAAATTTAAAGCATAAAAGATAGATACTATAAATATGTCATAAAGCTGAAGTTTAATGCACCTGCTCGACATGATTCGTCTGAGCATAAGCTCCATTGCATGCAACAACTTCATCTGCTGTATCTTCTCCCGGGACAAGAGCAGTTTGACCATCATCCCACTCTTCCTCCATGAAAGGAGCATAGCGGTTTCCGCTTGGTGGTCCTATATTATTCTTGTGAAACACTCTACAGAGAACATATGAATCGCCCTTCATCCAAACAAAACAAAAGAGAAAGGTATTAACAAGCATCATTTGTGCAATTATAGAGATTGAAAATCCGGCCAGGCAAATCAGATAAACCACAATTAAACTTCTAAATCCCACAGAAGGAATGGACTTGCAAGTATAAGGTCCTCCATGCAGTGTCACCCTTGTTAACTTGACTACCACTTCAATATGGTGGCTAGTTATCCCCATAACATCATTCAATACAGAATCTCAAGACTCTCCATATTCTCAAACCAGAATGGCTGAAATCTCTGTTCGTATCTCCAATCATGTCAAACGCTTGTTCCCAACAGAACTTGCATTCTCCAGGGTGAAAGCAGTTCTCACCTGCAAATTGCCAATTCTCTCCAACTCCTCCTCAACTAAACGGTACTCATGCATAACCCAATTGGTACGCTGGCCACCAGGGGCTCGTCCACTATGGAACACAAGAGTCTTCTTCATCGCTATGAGTTGGTCGTCTCGACGAATTTCCCGGTCTTTCCCGGTTGCTTTCCAGTAACCGCTGCCGGTAGCTCTGTTCATTCTTGCACCATTGCCATATTTCTTGTCCAGTGCACTAAAAAAGTACCACTCTTGGTCTCTGCTTTTCAACCTTGACTTGTCTGAAACTCCAGGGAAGATAAAACCCAGTGAGAAAAGACAACAAAAACCAAGTTAGACCAACATGCGAAATGGGCAAATCACCACACATCGAACAGTTCAATGCCGGGAGGAAAACACAACTCTATCGCACTCATAAGGGTAAGAAATGAAAATAATTTATCAAAGAGAGATACATATAGCTGTGAAACGTACTAGATTCTAGCAATGTACAAGACATTAGAACTTAAGCGTCGGGTAAACAGTAGTACACGCCTTGAACTGAAGCAACTACAGACCTAATCCAAAACACGGAAAATCTAAGAAACCCCCAAAAAACCCAAAACAGTTTGGAAAAAGAGAAAAAAACCCAGAAAGATTTCATTAAGAGAAAGCCCGAGAACGGAAAAACGTACCGGCAAGTTCCCATGGCTCATTTTTGTAGATATCGACTTCAGAGATGGCGTTGAAGCGAACGGGCTTGTTCCCAACCTTCCTCCTCAAGTAATAGCTGACGAGCTCCTCATCCGTAGGGTGGAATCGAAAACCAGGGGCCAAGGCAGTGGTGCTGGGCGCACCACCACCCGGCACAACAGCAGCCGCCGCCGGTTTTGGCGTAGGCGGTGTGGCCGGAACCAGCGCCAGAGCGGTACACGTATCTCGAGGCATGATGATAGGGAGAGAGAAGCGAGGGGGGGAGGAGGGATTAGGGTTTGGTGGAGGCGTGGGCGAGGGGAAATGGAGAGAAGGCGGAGAATTGATTGAAGGGAAAGGAAAGGTACCTTCAATTGCAAGCAATTTTGGTTGGTTCGTTCTTTTTTGAAAGGCCCGAAGCCTGCAAACAAAAAAATCCAATGGGAAAGGAAAGGCAACTATTGTGAGCGTTACAGTCATTAACGATAGAGACGATAATATTTTAATTCCCAGTTTTCTCCTTTTTCTTTTGACCTTATTCCCAATCCCTCCCCGATTTTTTATTTTTATCATTGTTTATTAATTTGCGACCTTGTCGTTCTCTTTTCTATTCACGGGGGTTTTTGTTTCCCTCTATATTTTTTTTTTCCATATTGCCAAATTTTAGAAGTTTGAGGGTTTTATTCACCACAAGAAAAGGTTCCCGTACTATCAAAAACAAACCAAAAATATTTGGAGCCTAATTGATAAATTTGAAAAATTATTTCATCGCACGTGCGAAATATTTTAAAGTTCATCGACCTAAAAGATAATTATCGAGATCACATTATTAGTACTTTTTGGTAACCCGTTCAATCATTATCTCATATTAGCAGTTCAAATTTAAGTTTGATATTCATAGACGATAATAAGCTGCACTTTACAAAATTTAATCTGATCACCTTTGCACCTAAATCATTTGTATGTCTCTTTCTTTACACAGAAGCCAATGAATAATGTCGAGTTCGGATTCAAAAACTAGATGGAAGCCAATTTGTCTTCTCTGTCGATGCGAAATGATTTGTATTGCTCAATCTCATTAAAAACATCGTGAAACTGTAAGATGAGATGGACATGCTAACGACTAGACTCGTAGTTGATGAAATAAATCCGCCAGTATAAAATCAAACCGTAGTTCTACCTTATGATATTTGAGGCAGCTTTCGTATTTAGAGATACACTTCAAAGGCTTGGTATTTTGGTAAGTAAAATACTTAAAGGCTTGTTCATATGGTTTCCCGAAGATGCACGGAAAGTTCACTGGACTCCCAACTTCTATCCCCCTAGCTAGGAAGTACGATGAAAAGACAATTCCTTGGCTTCTGCAGCAAGAAAACGGGAAGAAAGAGGCAACATCAGCAACCTTTCGCTGCACGTCAGACCTAAAAGGCAAGTGTTAATATGACAATTACAAAAGATTACAAAAGTCTTTATATGGTTTGAACTGTTCCTGCCATTGTATCAACTTTCTCTTCAACAAATTGTATGCCTTAGCTTCCTCCTGGCTGAAGTTGCCAAGATCTTTGTCGAACTTCAAGTCGATGGGACATAGATCTTCAAAGATGTGTCTGTGAGGATCTTGAATGTCACCATCACCGGCTTCTTTGCTTTGCAGTTTTGTAATCAAGGTACTAAAGCTGTGATCTCTAGAATAACCGCTGTTGCAGTTACTAGTTCCCTGAACTGCTGCTGCTGGACGATATAGCATGAAAGATTTTGGCTGCTGAGAATTAGCCCAGATTTCATCAGTGTCACTGGCAAGGGATACAGCATTCTCATCACCAAAAATAGCGGTGGAATCTGTTCCAGCAACTTCCTTCGCCATCCGCATTACTTCATCGCATTGGTTATTGAGTTCAGCCTCTGCGGAAAATTCAACAGTTTCCTCCTGGGTGCTCGCTGGACAGCCACCATTTTTCAGTTCGTGGACTGTAATCAAAACTGGCAGAGGAAGAATTGGGCCCACAAGAGTACTGTCGTCACGCGACTCTTTTTGCGACCATTTGTTGCTACGATGTGAGGGCTTCCTCAAGAAAAATGGAGGCAACTGGGGAAGATCGGGGACTGGTAAGAACTCCAGGGAAACCTTCTTCTGGTCTAATAGCACATCAAGAAGTTCCGAGTAGCTAGAAAAGCTGAGCTGTAGGAGTTCCATCGGCAGGCCAGCCCACGTCTTCCTCAAAGCAACTTCACGTATGCTTGTTGGCAAGTTCACATCATTAAGAACAAGGCTGACAATTGGAGATGCTCTAAATCTATTCAGCCCACTTATCTTCAACTTCTCACACAATGCTTCATGACAGTCCAGGCTAAGAGACTCTTTGTTCGAAGGATCCACCTCGGAAGCATTCCTCATCTTTAAATCCAAGATCTTAGAGAGATCACCATTCAAGTACGCTGAGAGATAATCAAGTTCTAAATATTTATATCTTCTAGGAAATTTGTACCTCTCATCCTCCAAAGATAAGTATAAGTTATTTGCATGACTAAGTAATGGGTCAGTGTGATGGTTTGATGTTCTCACCAAATCCCATGAAGCAGAGTATCGCTGTAGCTCAAGCTTTCCAGATGACATCAACCTAATCAAACTAAATCCACCAAATTCATCAGGCTCGTGTAGCAAAGAGCACAGGTCTTCACTAAGAATGCCAAACCCTAGGACAATATCTCTCTTCTGCTTCCAGTCGAGCCATTCATGAAGAGCATCTTTTGAAAACTCTTCTTTCAGAAGACAGCTCCCACAGATGCAATCAGCATTCGGCAGATTGAGACTAGAAGGGAGCTCCCATGCATAAAAGGATTTGGAAACTTCAGAGATCTTCGATGCAATCGACTTATAAGGAGCAGGCAGAGGGGGTCCATAAGGAAAGAGACTAAACTCAGAACTGAAGAACGATCCAAGTAGAATGCCGAAACCAGATTCAGTTGCCCATTTATGTGCATTACTGTCCCTCAGATTTGACCTTAAGTCGGATATTCTAAAGGTATCAACATAGCATGGCTTGTCAAGACCATGCGCCCATTGCAACACCGGTGAAAATGGTCTACGAACGTCACAGAGAACTAACAAGCTACCAGATACCAGAATGAAGTGGAAATGACTGGAAATGGCCTTGGAGAAAGCTCTGAATCGAGTCATTCCAGAAGGAGCATAAGGGCCAAACATATGAACTTTAGCTAAACAAGTCACCTTATACTGATCAAACCTCAAATCAACCAAGAAAGCAGCATCAGAACGTGCAACAATCAAAACTCTAGGATGCCAACTTAGCTCACACCCCAGCCACTTGCAGTTCCCAGAATCAGGAGATTCATCATCCCATGACACTTTCAACCGTGTCCCTCTAAAACACGAGCTAGAACTATCTGACTCCAAATCAAACAAAAACAAGGAACCATTCTCCAGCAGAACCACACTCTCTTCAGGCAAATGCGGACTCCAACAAGCACTCACAACGGCAGAGCTTTTGAACGTTCTGGAACCCATATATACCACCGCAGGCTTTTTACTACCTCCACCAATTCTAACGCAGAACCAATGCACTGAATAAATACAATAAGCCAACAAATACCCAATAACAGCATCAGAAGAAGCAGCAGACCCACCTCCAAGCCAACCTGAACCTGCAACTGGGTTAACCAAAACCCCTCTAATCCGCTGACTCAATTGCTTATTGGCGCTGTAAACTCCGCCAGTGGCATTCCCAAAAGCATTCAAGCTGCCCTCTTTCACTTCCAACACCAAAAACCCAATTTGGTCAAAATTGGAGCCGGAGGGGAAGAAGACGATAACGGAGTTCCCCTGAGGAGACCTAAGGAGTTGAATTCGATTGCGAGCAAGCCAGGAAGCTGCGTTGTCGCTGTCATCACCGGAAGATTGAGGGCGGAAGGAGGAGTTGATGCAGGAGACGGTGGAGAGAGGAACGTAAGAATCGTGGTGGGCGGAAGCTGAGGTGGCGAGGAAACGAGAGAACGAGAGGTGGGAAGGAGGATTGATAACAGGAGGAGAAAGAGCCGGGGAATCGAAGAGCAGGGTTGAGGAATCGGGGTCTGGGTTGAAACAGAGAGGACCCAGAACGTCCCTGGTTGCGCGGCTCGAGAGGAGGAGAGGCGCTCCGAAGACGCTGCCGATTGGGAAGAAGGACTTCCATTCCTCCGAGAAATCCATTGATGAGGGTCCCGAAGGTCGGTTGAGTTTCAACGCGGGAAGAGCACCACAGGTTTCGAGCAGTGAAACGGGATCTTCTTCCGCCAACTTGCCGCCATGGACATTGGACAACACTCAGCATCCGAGTTTTCGCCTGCAGCTAGACCCCGAGCAAGTTTCGAGAGTTGCTGTGTATTTTCTCGCCGTCTCTGAGTTTCGGGGTTTTCAATTTTCTTTTCAGTAGGACTTCACAGCATATTCGGTAAAATATGGTAAGAGAATGTTATGTATAAATTTATACGGGTATTTTATTTTGTTTTTAACCTAATTTTAGGTTTAATAGTATGTTAATAATTTCTTCCTGTGTACTGTAGAAGTCATATGACCGTTATAATCGACTTACGCATTCTAAGTAAAATGACTTCATTTTAATGAATAATAAAATTAATTTATTATTCATTTTATGAATGTAATAGTTAATAGTTGATAATATTTGTTGGATTGTAACTAAATTGTCCACAAATATGTTTTATATATATGATTAAATACATTGGATATGAATTGTTTTCACATTTTTTAAACCGACATGAACCAGCACAAACTAGTTATACCACCGGTCGTACCATTCCACTTGCCAAACCGGCACAACGGTATAAACCGGTTTGACAACCTTGCTTCATAGCATAGTTAGTAAAACAAGGTATGAAAATGTTACATATAAATTATATACGGGTATTTTACTTTGTTCCTAATCTAATGTTACGTTTAAAAGTACATTAATAGTTATAAATATATAAAAATTATTATTTTAAAAATAATATAAATATAAGGTGGCTTCTACAGTACCCGGGGTGAAATCCGGGATACTGCATACCTTGAGTATGAAAACGCGATCTAAACCTCGAATTAGTTAAATTTTTTGGTCTGACACTATACCCTAACTCTTAATGAATGAACCCTGGGTCCTAATTATCTAAATCATAAACTATAAACCCTAAGATGGTGCATTTATTTGTTTTGTTTGCCTATATATGGACGAATCATATCCGTCGATTATTGTTTCTAACTAAATTAATATTGGGGTATAATATTTAGAGAATTAAGACCTAGATTTTGACTTTAAGGGTTACAGTATAGTATCATGTTTGAAAGATCAGTCAATTCAAGCTGTGGATACTCAAGGTATGTGGTACCCCGGATTTCACCTTGGGTACTGTAGAACTCACCATAAATATACAAATGTTAGTAAAGTTAACAATTTAATTCATTAAATACGGATATTAAAAGTGTTATACGAATTTTATTCGTGTTTAGTACGGGAGACATCAAATGAACGGAAAAAATTGAAACGACTTGAGAATAATATAGATACAGAAGTTTTAAACGAATAAAATACGTATGGGTACATATACGTGTATTAAACTGATTATTTACTAGCGTTTCTATAATTGGGCTTTGACTAGCCTGTGAGGTGGGCGGTCCTCATAAGGCTAATCTGCTTGCCACCAAAACTGGGCTGAGCCCAAGCCTATTGTTACCCAATCGGTTATAGAGTTGTACAAGATCTAACGTAACATTATCCAAAAAATTTAAGTTTTTGGAATAAACTGGTTTATGACACAATATAAGAGTTAGTTTTGACAAGTGATCGTGTATAAATAAATCAGATCAAAATTGCTATCGAGCTTTAATGCATAAAACACAATACATTTCCTTAAAAAAACCGCACACACAATACTATAGTGAATTAGTGACAATATCATTTGACGACGCTGGAGGAATCAGGAAGTTCATCCTCGGACCAATACATAAACATCAAGAGAGCCAGAGTGGACGTTCCTGCTGTAAACACGAACAACATCCAAAAACTATCTGCCCCGAGGCTAGGGTTGGAGCTCCCATAACCAGCTTCAGATGAAGAATCGCCTAGCAGCTCATCATTCCCAACACATTTCTGAGAAGCAATCATGTCTATCTCCAAATCCCTCAGCTGCCCGCTTTCAGTCACCTTCACCAGAGCCTCTGTCACGTAGGGAAGCCATGGAGATCCCTTGGAAAATGCCTGGAGTTCATCAAACAAAAATTGCTCGGTAAAGCACTGCTTGTTTGTCAGAAACACATTCATTACCAAAATTGGGTTTAAGTGCAGGAAAGAGGAAATTTGAAGACTTACAAACCCGAAGCCTCCAACTTTGAAGGACTGTTTAGCAATGGTGAAGCCGGTACAGTATCTAGCTAGCAGAATCTTGGCCCAAGGTCTCTCCATGAATACTGCTGCAATCACTCCTTCATGTAAGTCTCTCATGGAATCCTCAGGGGAGGTGTACTCCTTCACCTTTTTAGGGCTGAAATGCAACACTTCTTCCAGGTACTTGGCCACATACGTCACTTTAAGGTACCCAATGTTAGCACGGCTCATCTGAATTGATTCAACATTGTCGATTGCTGGTTCGAGTTTTGGCACTGTGAGGATGCTTGATAGGTTCGCCGTGTAAGTTTGTGTGATTGCTAGTGCCATGAACAACCAAACCACCAACGCCATTCTTGACAAGTTGCTATGGAGCTTCAATCCTTTCAGGTAATTAGTTATGCATTCATGTTAGCAATGTAGTTAACCCACATTGATATAATAGGAATGCTTCAATTGAAATCATGAATGTAGTTAGTTGGTTTGTTAGTTACCTTGGAACGTGAAGAGTGTGGTGAAGGATAAGGAGAGCATAACTCCAACCTGGTTGCCCACCGAGCCTCTGAGTTTCAAGCAATGGTCTCTTTCAATCATCCATACGACGAATCCGTTGTAGATGTTGATGATAAAGATCAGAAGCCACAGTGAACCAGTGAAAGGCTTGGTGAAAAGCCAAGCTCTATTGACTTTCTTTGATTGGAGTGGTACTATCATAACAAGTTCTGATTCCGTGTATGGATGAGTGAAATCTGCATAAGGAAGTCTATTGGTGACTATTGCTATATCCCCTACTGCTGCATCGAAGTTCTGCTCCAAGTCCAAATGGTATCCACTCTCAAGTAGTTAGAATGCAGCTGACTTTGATGCTAAGAAAGCAAGGAAGATATAAGTACAACAGTATGCAACAAGTTTGAGTTTTGTTGTTTACCTTCAGGTAAATTTGTTGTACCAAGGCATTGTACGTTCCATTGAAGGCATGAAATTGGTAAGGCAAATAGAATGGCAGTTGTTCCACAGCCTTTTCAAAGAGATCAATGGCATACCCTTTTGCAGAGATGGTGTTTTGGACGGGATCGAGTTCAATGTCAACAAATTGCTTAAATATGGACTCAGTTGGGATACCGATAATTATTGGCTCAGAAATAGGTGATGGAGTCCATCCCTTAGGACTGTACCTAGGCCTTCCTGGCCAAATCACATGCCCCATGATGTCTCTCATGGATGAGAAATACGTAGCAGTTTCTTCTTCGCTAACTGTGTTCTCCGAGAAGCCATGTCCATCCGTCCACAATCCCAAACCATTATATCTCTTTCCTATCACATTGATGACCTCAAATGTGTTCAAAGAGCCTGCTTTCTGCAAGGTGAACTGCACATTCCCAACCAAGCCATTGAAGTTGCAGAGAAGCAACTTGTTCAGTAAGTCCTCTTGGCCTCCTGTTACGTTGCTTGGTCTCAAGAGTGAGAGAGCCAATGCCCATACTGCATCGTAAGCCTCGACTGCAAAGATCGAAGGCTCATGATTGCTCTCATCTGGATGTGCAGAGCTGAACCTTCTTCGAAACCTCCTGCTGAATGATTGATACCTTGGTTTGGTCTCTGTGAAATGCCCCTTCACTCCTATAACCCCTTGCATTGCTGAAATGGTGGAAGGGTGGAAGGTGTGAAGAAGGCTTGTGAAGGCATGGGTGGTTATCCAAACATAGTCCCTTTCTAGCATTTTCATGTCCTTGGCCGTTCTGAATAATTGCTCAGCTAATGCAGTACTAGAGGAGAGATGAACCACAAAGACTCTACAAGGGCGGACCTTGAGGCTTTCGAGTTGGCGAGACAGCAACGAAGGATTAGAGGAAGGAGGGAGAGTGATGACATCAACAAGCTGCACATTTACTTGTCTGAGAGCTGTAGAGAGCTGAAGCACTGCCTTTGTTGAAGACTCTACATCTTCAGTGATCACAGAGACTTGATGCCAGTTCCATGATTGTATGATAGCGGCTATGGCTTTCATTTGAGCTGACTTGCTTGACGACGCTTGAATCAGAAAGGGCCATCTCTCCCTTGCCCACCTTGGAGTTGAATCGGCGAAAGACAGAAGTGGGATTTGATTTTTGGTGGCGATTTGAGCAACTAGAGATGTCTCCTCCCATGAACATGGTCCAACTATGGCTTTTACTTGTGATGAGTTCACAAGCTCCTGAGCTGCATTTTCACATTTGTACACTTACGAAGTCTCTAGTCATGAAAGCTCGCATAAGTTGAGGAATTGCATACTTTACCTGAAAGAGCAGCTCGAAGTGGCTCCCCTTTAGAATCTGTTATGTACAAATTAAGAACCAAGCTTTGATTGGCAGAATCATGGAAGTCTTTTGCTGCCATCTGCATAGCGAGAATCTGCTCTTTCCCGATTCGAGAGGTTTCATCCACAATGGCACCAATCCTGAAGGTAGAAGGATTTGTAATGGCAGCTTCTGTAGAGGTGATCATTGTCACCAGTAAAACTACCAAAGCCAGTAGCAAATTAGTCATTTTAATTTAATAATCTAAAAAGTTTAAACTTTTCACCAAAAAGATAAGATTAGATGACTTGATCAATGTTTAAGAGACTATTTTATCGGCCGGATTGGAAATATCGGACCGAAAATAGTAGATAATTTTAGCAGTAGGAAACGATTGAACCACGATTAACTCGTATAAAAAATCATAACTGACAAAAAAAAAATTATAATCGAAAAATTCAATAATCTGAACTCGAGTAACCCGGAATTTTTTTGGGTTTGATAGGGTGAATCAGCTCGTCTATCTTCCCCAAATTCTATTCACCTCCAAAATGGCAAAAGTATTCATAAAATACTACTATGTTTATAAAAGATTGAAAGAATTTGAAAAACAACTTTTGGATTGTAGGGATAGATAAATATCATGTGCTTCCTGTAGTATTATTACTTTCATGATGTTTCTTTGGTACTTTGTGTAATTTGTATTTACTTTCATTTATGACGATATGAAAATATGTCCATTCACATGTGTTAGGTAAATTGTTATCATACATATATGATAACTTGTTTTCAAGAATGTTCGTAACTCGAACGGACTTAGCCCATAATTTTTTTTAAATAGGGACAATATTTGATCCAAAACAAACCAACCCAACATGATTTGATCCGCTACGATCCGTAACTCGAGATCGTCCGGCTCGAAATTACCCAACCCGACCTAATTGCCATGTTTACAAAAGATTGATAAGCTAGCTAACAAATGAAATATGTGATATGTAACTCAATGAAGATAAAGACAACATTGGCTAAAATTTGAATTCAGATTTTGAGTTCAATAATCATATAACAATTACAATATCTTATATATATATGATAATGAGGAAAATTTAGAGGTCAATATTTTTGTTTGGTCTGAACTTTGTATAAAAATAACTTCGACCGGAACTTTTTAAATAAAAGAAAAACATAAAAAGTATGGTTATTTGCATGAATTATCTCCTGACGAAATTAATTATTTTTAGTCTGAAAAATATAAAAAAATAATAATAAATCAAATAACAGTCTTTCTATTGGTTGACTTGACCCCACTGTGATAACTGATAACATACATAAATAAGATTTTGATACATCAGTTGTGTAATTTGAACACTTATTCAGTAGAAGAGATATGACCCAAGGAAGGAAGCTTGTACTAGCAGATAGCTCTGACAGAAAGAAATTCGTACCGGCGGCGAGCAAGTGGAACAATAATCCTGGCCGCCGACGAATTTGGAATAAGAAGCTGGTGGCTAGTCGGGAGTAGTTATGGTTTATGTAGGGATTACCACTCCTCTTCCTTGATGGAGGATTTTTGTTACTGAAGATGAAGAAGAAGAAGAAGAAGAAGAAGAAGAGGAGAGATTCCTCCTCCATATATGGTGGCTACTGGCTAACCTGAATATGTATTACTGGGCAGTGGGCAGTATTAGCTAATAGCTAGATAGCTGGGGACAAAAAAAGAAGAAGGTTTTTTTTTTTTTTACAACAAAGAGAAGGTTTGGAAACTGAAAATCTAACTAACTGGGATTCTGTATAGCAATATATATACAACCTAGCTGTCCCATTTTATTAAATATATATGTATTAGTCAGTAGTTAGAACTTAGAAGCTATATATGGGAATGGGGTTGACTTTCCTTGAAGCCCCTAAGTCAAGCAGAGAGAGCCCTTTATCTTCCTAGAAATTTCCATATTTGTGCGTGATTTTGAGCTTTCAAATAGGATGGTAATTTGTCTTACCGAGTATTATTCGAACCACATTAATATGAGGCGGAACATGGTTACTACTTCCGATCTGAACAGCAGAAGAAAAAAAACATTCCTGAACATTTTGTCACTTTTTTAATTGGACACTGTATTTTGTTTTTTTTTTTTTTTTTTTTTTTTGTGAAAATATTTTGTTTCTTGCGTAGCAGTGCTCTGTTAATCTGTTTCTTTTGAGCTGCTAGTAATCTTCTCTGGCGTGGTTTCACACCTCCAATTAAAAATATAAAAAAAAAAGCGAGAACATTTTTGTCATTATTGAAGTTTGACCCAAAGTTATCCATTAATCTAAAGGTAACCTAATGATCTCTTGGCATTAATAAGAAGGCAAATCTAAATGGTCATTATTAATTCACGTGAGTTGGGCTTATTGCTCCAATTGAATAACGGGCCTGAGTAACCTATGCATTGCCCTTCACAGTCCACACTCATGCTACCATTTACCAACCCATGGTACCGACTACCGAGAATTGTTGAAACGGCCGCTCAACTATGCTCCCATTAGGGTTGTTAATGAAGCAAGCCGCTCATGAATGGCTCGGCGTCCGACTAGAAAAAAACTCCTTCAAGACTCGATTCGTCTTTAATCAAGCCGGCTCGCGAACAAGGTCGTTAACTAAACAAGCCGAACTCGAGCCATACCATGTTCAGCTCGAAAGCTCGCGAACAAGCTCATTTAACATTTTGGCATAAGAAAGGATTAGAATTCATGGATTTTATTTATTGAAATTGGGATAAATATTATGTTTTATTTTGATAGACTTTACTACAGGTTTGAATGTAATTTTGTGCCCAGTTCTAAGTCAATCTTGAGTTATTATGAACATTTTATGAGCTTAACTCGATTTTGGGCTCGGGAACCTAATTTAACGAGACAAGCTCGAATCGAGCTCGAGCTTTCCTTCTCATAAACAAGCCGAGCTCGAGCTTGCATATTAAAGCTCGTGACGAACACGAGTCGAGCTCGAGCTTGGAAATATATTAACGAGCCGAGCACGAACTATGGCCAGTGGCGGATCCAGGGGGTGGCCACCTCGGGCCCCGACCCAACCCTTCTCTAGATCCATAATTAGTATAGGCCTTATGAATTTTTCGATTTTAGATATATGGGTCATTGTTATTTTAAAATAAGATTGGGTATAATTAGAAAAATAATTCAGATGAACATATTCAAAACCACTACTTTAAATTTAGCTTATAAATTCTAACCCCAAAGGTTATTCGTCTAAAAAAACAATGAAACCTAAAAATTCAAAAAGTTTAAAATGTAAAAGACTAAAACATATATGAGGTTGGCTACCTTGGAAAATTTACTAGAGCAGCTGGTGGATATAGGGATGGAAACACAATGCAAATTGATTAGTAGATTGATTTGTCTAGTGTTGATGCTGCTCGTTTCAACAGCTAATACGAATAGAACCTTTTCAACAACGAAACACGTGAAAATTGATTTGCGCAACAAAATGAGCGATGGATTTCTAGTCGATTGCTCAAGTATTTTATTTGAAACAGTGTATACTATTGGTATGGATGTGGACTCCATTATTAATGCATTCGCTAAATTAAAATACCGTCGTGTACAATTTACTTTGTAAAAAAATTATAATCATTAAATTTTTTTACTATTATAATTTTCTAATAAAATGCGGCCCAGTACACTTCCGTATTCTGGATCCGCCGCTGACTATGGCAAAGCTCGACTCGGCTGGCTCATTGACAACCCTAGCTCCCGTGAATTACGAAAACCAATCTTTTATTATAAATTTATAATCACCCTTTGCAATTTTCCACATGCTAAGTCTTTTATTTTCTTGTTATTTTCCTCGAAAAATATACATGGTTAGTGAATTCGATGGATTCACAATAACCGTACGCTATTCACATTCCTATACTCACATTCCTGGAATTCCTAACTCTATATGCCAAATCAATATCGAAGAGAAAGAGAGTGGGGATGGAGTTTGGAAGGAGATGAATGAACACGTGGCTTTTTCGGAGTCAAGGCGAACTGGTGAAGAGAGGTAATAAATTGCGAAGTGAGGAAATCATTGGAAATGAGAAGGAACAATTATTAATGAGAGCAAATGTGGAATAAATAAAATTTACCTATCAAAGTCAATTTTTTGTTACCAAAAGATACATCGTAACGAGATAATCAAGATACACTAAAGTTATTTAGCCGATCAAAGACATGAACGAAAATCGAACCCTATCAAACTAGGGAACAATGAAAGGGCTTTTCTGGCCACCATATGAGTCACCCTATTACGAGCACGTCCAACAAAACGTACACTAGATTGGAGAAAACATTGCCTCAACACCTTGATCTCACTCAAAATTGCCCCACCACGAGCATCCAAAAACAAGTCCTCCTTCACCTTGTCAAGCACAACCTTGGCATCACCAGCAAAGACGACGTCCTGCACACCCATCTCAAGTGCCCACTGAATCCCGTCCCTCAAGGCTAGAAGCTCCACTAAGAAAGGATCTTGCACATCCGGGTACACAGATGCATCTACCCCAAGCAGCGTCCCCGAGGCATCCTCCAGAACCCAGCCACCTTCACCATGAGAACCTGAATAAACAGCCCCATCTGTGAACACCCACAACGCCCCCTCCCTATCATGCACCCCTCCCTGAACCCCCCTAAGCCCATCCCCAAAGGGAGGGAAAGACGTTAACCCACTATCCAAAGGCATCGCCTCCCATTCTGCCACATGTCTACTGAACTGAGAGAGCAACACAACATACGTGAACAACATAGAGTCAAAAACCATCCAATTTCGAGCTATACATCAAAGATTTGGTTTAGTTCTTCCAAATCTCACTAATTTATGACGTCCAAATCCACCCACTTTCCCCCTAGCAAAATCAAATGCCGAATTTGGTAAAATTCTCATTAATATTAGATTTGGGATCCATACCCATAACTCACATTGTTAATCCAAAATGACTCTTTACATACAACCTGAATTATTTCTGGAAAAAAATGATACAACATGCAATTAACTTCCTCATCCACAAATAAAGGGAACCGTGCAAGCATATAGCACATGCGAATAACAAAAGTTCCATAAACCGGTGACACAACCTTTACAATCTAAATAGACAAACACAAACATGACTAGACCATAAGATGGAACAGCAACAACAAACTGAACGTAAACAAAGAACGACGTCGACCTAGTCTAGCTAGAGACAGGACATTGAACAGCCAATGCTAAACCATCTTTCAAATCATCCTAAGGAAACCAAACGGCATCTAACCACATGATCCGGCTACCTTGTTCCCGATAAACAAACAATTGCATTTGCAGGAGACTCTGTCCTCCTAGTCTAGCCAGTTACTGCATCATCGCAATCACCGAGCTGTACAAGAACTATGATCAAGTAAGCAGACGGATCATCAGCCGAATGGTTCTGTGCATGATCAAATATAACGCGGAAAAAACAGAGTTCTCGTAGGCAAGAAAGAAAGCCAAGTCCAAGACCGTTCAAGAATCAGAACCCCAAAAACCGTCCAACCAAAACTCCCGACATTTGTCTCACCTGTCAAATGAAATGGGTTTTTTTTTTTAAACATTTCATATGTTGTTTTTTTCGAAACACCTGTCAGCAGCTGCAGAAGGGGAAGAACACTACCCGCCAAGGCGCCAACGCCACTTCCTTCCTTCCGTCCCTGCCCTGGAAATACTCTCCCCTTAATCCAATTTCGCCCAACAACAAATAATTTCCCCCGATTCGCTCGGCCCCTTCCTTCTCTTCCAATCCCTTCAAATTCCGCCAAAGTTTCCTGCTTTGTACCGTGCCCATCGTTCACAAGGAAGGGAGGAAGGAACACACAAAAGGGTTCTTCTTTTTTGCGGAGGGAGAAGAGAGAAAGATGGCAGCAGCTGCCGCCTCTTCTTTCAATTTTTCTTCTGCTTCTCCTCCTTCCACTCCTTCCTCCTCCCGAGGCTCCCCTGCCCACGATTACTCCTTCAAGATTCTCATGATCGGGGATTCCGCCGTCGGCAAGAGCAGTATCCTCCTCAAATTCATCTCCGACTCCGATCACGAGCCCTCTCCCACTATTGGTACCCCTTCTTCCCTTCCTTAGATTTTTTCTGTCGTCACGAGGGTTTTATCTCTGTTTTCTCCATTCTCCACCCAATTTTTCGCGTCGTTGGGGAATCCGGGGTGTAAAATTGGCAGCTTTCTGTTCTTGTCAGCATGAACTAATGATCTCCTCGGCGATGATTTCATGGAGAAGTGAAAATGGTCTTGAATGGAACCTATGATTGATTTCTGGGTGACGCACAATTCGTGCTCCCCTGATGCCATCTGTCTTCTTCTTTCTGCTATCAAATTATGCCTGCAATTTGTTTCATAAATTTCTTCTGTGAATTTTTCTGTCAGCAGTAGATGGTAGATATGACTTATGAGGGAGCTCTTATGATCCTTGAGTTTAGCGGCATCATGGTAGCGAAGTCAACATCTCTTCCTGCTTGCATTGCATGTGTCGGTTTCCATTGTGGGTTTCCCCTGATTTGCACCGAAGGCGACATGGTGCAAGTTATGGAATTCCTGAAAGTTTCCAATTTGGGTTTACACGAGACAAAACTGGATTGGGGTTTATTGTGCTTGGTGATTTTCTAGTCTGTTTCTTTGGAACTTCCATCTGGGGAAGTTCCCTATTAGATAATAGATTGGAATTTCAGAGCTAAAATTGGTGCTTATTTGCTTGTGTGTAACTATTGTGCGGGCTTTACTTTACTGGTATACCTGTACATCATATTCTGCTTGGAATAATGCAGGTGTGGACTTCAAAATGAAGACCGTCGTGGCAAATGATAAACGATTGAAGCTTACGATATGGGATACAGGTAATTTGGTTTTCTACTAGTTATGTAACTTTACTCACAACTTCAAGTGTAATTAAGTGAAGGAATTATCCTGGGCATTCTGCTGCCCTCTTTGGGTGTTCTTGGCCTTTCTGTCTTTATTTGGAAAGGTTATCTGTTATTTTCTAGTTGATGGAGTACTGATTGTTCTGAGCTTGATGCTGTGGTTAATGCTGTCATGAGAATGTTATCTTTTTGTTGTGGGAATTAATGGGACCATAGAGGTGCCCCCCTTTACTTTAAGCTTCTCTCAGTAGTGAAATGGCTTGGTTCAGCTGCTTAGTTTACATTTTGGATTTTATTCTCTTGATCTGGTAAGGTTATAATATTCGGAAGCCACAAGTATGAAGTATCACTGACCTTCTCTGGAGAGAGAAAATTACAGCAATTTAATGACAATTTGCTTCAGCTCAATCAGAAAATTGGTTGCATCTTCTCTGGACCCTTTTGAACTCGGTGTTTTACTGTTGTTGTAGCTGGACAGGAGAGATTTGGAACTTTGACAACATCTTATTACAGAGGAGCACATGGGATCGTTCTTGGTAAGCTTTTGCAATAGCATGACCTGTTTAGGTGTCTGTCTTTCTTAGTTATCTACCAAATAGATGTTCTTTGACAAATTAACAGTAACTAGATGCTTTTGTTTGTTTCTATGAATGAAATAACTTCAATTTGTTTTATTTTGTAACCTATCACGTGATTTGCATCGATACTTCAATTATTCTATCATTCATAGTGACTTAATTGTATCATGGAGACATACTAAGCCACTTACTAATTGAAAGATGATCCATGTTTTATTTTATTTGATGAGAAAACTGTAAGCTCAGTGTCTTATCAGTTTGCTCTTTGATTTCCTCATAGTTTATGACGTCACAAAAAGAGATACATTCACAAACCTGTCGGAGATATGGGCTAGAGACGTGGAACATTATTCTACCAATCATGAGTGTGTCAAGCTTCTAGTTGGGAACAAAGTTGACAAGGTAAGTTCAGCAGTTAAATTTAGATCTGCTGTATCCACCATGTATGCCCACAAGCCACTATGTGCACAAAGACCCATTGCACTATACCATTTTCACTCAAATGTTCTGTGATCAAGCTTTGAGATATTGGAGGCTTGGTGATAGTATGAACATTTGTAGATATGGTTTATTGTGAGAGAAGTTGCTGTTAAATTAACTGTATAATTATCTTCAGGACAGTGATCGCGCTGTAAGCAGAGAAGAAGGGATGGCTCTAGCACAAGGGCTTAAGTGTTCGTTTGTCGAATGCACTGCTAAATCTAGAGAAAGCGTGGAGCAACTATTCAGAGAGCTTATATTAAAGGTACACAGCAGGAGATGAAATGATTTCATAGCAGTTGCTTTCACTTTCCTGTTGTCTTTGTTTGTGTCCTGGTGGCATTTCCATTATCCAAGATGCTGTTTCTCTTAAACCAATATGATATCATCAATCTCGTATCAGCAAAAATAACCCAGCTCTCAGTGCCTTTTTCAGATATTTGAAGTACCTGCCCTGTTGGAAAAGGGATCTGGAGTACCGAAGACGACCACGATTCGAGCAGACAGACAAGCGTCCCAACAAGGTCGAAGAAATGGCTGCTGTTCTTGATCGGAGTGTCCTACAAGCATCGGCATTGCAGAGATTGGAACATATATTCAAATATGATTGAATTTTAGTTGCCAACTAAAAGGTGCTTAACTGGAAGGTTCAAAAGTCTACTACTGTACATTGTTCATGCAACCAACAGTGCTCTTGATGGTGTCTCCTCCGGATCCAACCAAATCAAATATACCTCAAAAGTCTTCCTAGGAGTTGGGGGTCTTAACTAAAGCTCCCTATACAATGAGTAGGGAGTCTTCGAAAAATTGGGCCATCAACCGCTTGCTCGAGGGGCTAGTCGCTGAGGAAGAGTTTAGTGGGTGCCCTAGAGCTTAATGTAAAATCTGTATACCGTTGTTGTTCGCTCAGTGTCAAAAAGAGTTTTATCAGTTTTATCATCTGTGTTCATACAATGGTAGAAGAGAGTGTGTATTGTTGTTGCTTGTAATTGAGAGATGAAAGAAAAGTCACAAACATACAGCAGGTTCTTTGTCCTTGTACCAGTAGAAGCCACAGCACTTTCAGCAGATTCATTATCACTTAATTTTTTTTTATTTTGATTGCTGGTTTACTCCCGAATCAAAACACATCCTTTACTACTCAGTACTCACTCTAAGGAATCCATGTCAGAAAGCACTAACCTGACTAACTGAAACATTTCAGAAGCCAGAGGAAGTACCAATTCCTGATGAACATGCCAAAAATTCAAACTGCCAAAATGGTTCCTTTTCTGATTGCTTAAGCCCTGAGGAAACTAGTACCATTCTGAAGACAGAGATGAAACATCTGTATTTCTGTATCAATCGCATGTTTACACAATGGCCTGATTGTTTCACTCAAACAAAAGTCAGCAGTACAGAGTTTTACAGGAAATCTGTACGAGATGCTAAAAGCTAAGTTGTCAAGATGGGTTCTTCTTTGCCTTCCCGTCCTCCTCTTCCGCCGCCGCGTAAGGGCCACCGGCTCGCCGATGGTTACTCTTCATCCGCGGCGAGATATGAACAGTTTCTTCCGCCGCCGGGGCAGGGGTTTCCGGTAGGAAGTGGTGGGCGAGGAAGTCAAGGGGCGGGAACAGAGTGGGGAAATCACAGGAGGTGGAATTTTCATCATGGTCCAGCAGATCTTCAGCGGGCGAGGGCGGGGAAGGGAGGGACACGGTGCCGCGGAAGTTCTGGTAGAAGCCGACGAAGTAGAAGCCGGAACAGAGGACCGCCGTCAGGATGAGGCGGAAGAGATTGGGAACTGGGGTCGCCACCGCCATGGGAATCGGAGATCGGAGAAACAGAGAAAGGGGGGAAATGGGTAGATGATTGCAGGGGCGCAGGCATGCATGGATTGGGTTTGAGTTCTCGTCAACTTATTAACTAGGGGAAATTGGGGAAAACCCAATTTTCCCGATCCGTGAAATTCGATGATTAGGGATTGGCAAGAATCGGGAGGGACGAGTTTCAATTCTGCATTATCCGCATCTCGATTTCTCAGGACAGGGCTGGGAATTTTGCGAGAATTTGTGACAAGGGAAAATCATAAATATGCTGTGTCTACACTTGTACAGGGTGTTTCTGTCTTGTTGTATGAAGAACAAAAAGTCAGAATAGCAGTTTGGGTTGGGATTTTGCCATTTTTGGCTGGCTCTGGCTGGATTAGTGATTATCAGAGTAAAAATGGCAGCAGCATCCAGCCTCTGCTTGGAAGAATCCAACAAACATGGATACAAGGACAAGAAAGAAAGCTTAAACAAATGGGTTGAAATGAAATTAAGAGTAATAGTTAATTGTAGGGGTCAACATTCAATCAGTCGTGTCAAAAATCAAATTGAATCAATAAACGCACATCATAGCTCCAATTGATTATGCGGCAGTGTGGGACCTGTTTGACAGTTATGCAGCGGCCATGTCAACACAATTTGTTGAGTCATTGACGACGGAAAATAGCTTAACAGGTAATATTAACAATCAACTTGAAAAATTGGGTCATATATTGAAATTTACATGTTCGTATTATTTGAAAGTTTGAGGTGAAAGTTGTATTTCGATGCAGAGTTCGAGGCAAATCATGGTAACAGCCCTTTGTTACACAATAAAAGGATCAGAACCTGTCTGCTAAATAACAACTTTATGATATCAGAGTCGATCAAACTATGTAGTTTTTTTTTTCCTTTGTAATTTGGATAGGAGCATTGGGTGAGGACAATTTACTATTTGGTGAAGCCTAACACGATAGGATTGTGAGGTATTCCATTTGTTCTGAGTGAAAACTGAGATCATGGGAGATTGAAAGTCGCCTACTTTGCACAAGTAGTGCACCAATGTTTGACGAAGTATGAACATTGGATTGGAGTATGCTAATGGAAAATCTCCTTAAATTCATTGGACTCTGGTATATGAAGGTGCTCAATGGATAATGCAAACCTCTGAGGAAATACATAACTTTTCGAGATTTTTGAAACTCTTGCTTCCACTGCTGTCGGATATTCAAATGGACTAATCGGAGACAAAAACAAACAAACCGATGTAATTTCTCATAATATTTGGGATCATCGACGTGCCTGGTCGGACGAAGCCCTGATAGACTACAAAGGACAAACAAATGAACGCCGGCAGCAAGAACAACAAGGGTTGGATGTCCGTTTCAGTTTCCAACTGTGAACTGTCCAAAATATCCTTCTAGGTTTTAACTTATAAGCCAAATAAACGTGGATCTTCATCTTATAACCTTATTGATTTTGTTGTGTACCAGAACTTTCTGAGTTTTACTGTTACTATTAGCAAGGCAAGGGAAAGGGGGTTGGTGGCCTGGGAGACGGACGCTAGAAAGAAAGAAAGGAAGGAAGGAAGTGAGGGGTAGAGAAAGATGAGCAAGATCGGAAGAAGATTCGAGGGAAAGGTAGCTATCGTCACCGCTTCCACTCAGGGTATTGGGTTCGCCATCGCTCAACGTCTTGGCTTAGAAGGCGCCTCCATTGTTATCTCCTCTCGCAAGCAGGTTCCTTTTTCTCCTTCCCCTCGATTCCGCCTTGAGAAATCGTGAAGTTTTCGACTGCCTGCATAATTCCTCTCCTGGGATTCTGTCCATCTAGCTTCTTTTTCTTCTTCTTGGGTTGTCTGTTTTCGTTCTGCTCTGCTCTGCTCTCGTATAAGAATGGTGTTACTCTGTTAAAGTCCTTCCATGGATGGAAGTTGGTGTGTTGATCATCTGCAGGCGCTTTGCTTTCCCATCCAAAAAGTTGGGGCCTTTATTGTTGGTTTATTTGCTTATTCTCTATGCCAATCACTTGGTTATGCTTGATTTTAGTGAATTGAATTATTTCGTTTCCCCTAAAAGAAACCCAGAAAATTGAAAGAGAATGAATTGATTGATCCCTTGGCAGCAAAACGTAGATGAGGCAGTTGAGAAGCTCCGAGCACAGGGCATCCAAAACGTGATCGGTGTAGTTTGCCATGTCTCAAATGCACAACAGAGGAAGAATCTCATTGAGAAAACTGTCGAGGTTAGTTAGATAAGAGACGAGTAAGCAAAGCCATTTCATTTCAATCCATGCCACTTCTAGAACTAGTATAGCATAACCATAGCGTGATTCTTGCTTAGCTCATCTTTCTATCTGGTGTGCAATTGCCTTGTTTCAGAAATATGGGAAAGTAGATGTGGTTGTATCCAATGCTGCTGTCAACCCCTCCACTGAACCCATTATAAATACAAAGGATTCCGTCCTCGATAAGCTCTGGGAGATTAATGTCAAAGCTTCTATCCTTCTCTTGAGGGTACACACAGCACAATCAACCCATCCAAAAATTTCCGCTTGCTTGCTGTTGGTCCTTGATCAAGCAGTTGCTAAATATATAGGCTCTTGCTCTTTGTTCTGCAGGATGCAGCTCCGCACATGCCAAAGGGTTCCTCAGTTGTTCTGGTGTCCTCTATTACTGGCTACCACCCACCATCATCAATGGCTATGTATGGAGTCACTAAGACCGCCCTTCTCGGCCTTACCAAGGTATGGGCATGGTGAATATTCCATGTTGTTCTGTGGTGCCCTTCCTTGATAGTGAAAAGATTTGAAATTTTTGTTGGGATCCATCCAAGTTTGTTTCCAAGCATGATATGATTGCTTCTCTCTTTCTAAGTTGTTCACTTGGTTTACTGTTTCAAACGTTATATCAAGTAGGCGCTTGCAGCTGAGATGGCACCTGATATTCGAGTGAACTGCATAGCTCCTGGTTTCGTGCCAACACACTTTGCTTCTTTCATAACGGAGAATGATGAAATGGTAAGAAAGCGCTGCTACATTTACATGATCGAGCAGAAAGTCTAGATTGATGCTTAACGAAGGAATATGCTTCTGCATGATGGAATTTGCTGAGTTTTTTCATTTTCCCTTATTGGTGTGTTGATGTAGAGAAAAGAACTTGAGGCGCAGACGTTATTGAATAGGCTGGGCACGACAGAAGACATGGGCGCTGCAGTAGCGTTTTTGGCATCAGATGATGCTTCATACATAACTGGTGAAACTCTAGTGGTGGCTGGGGGAATGCCATCTCGGCTTTAAGATGGAGTTAGTGTGTTGTTTATCTTGTAATCAATCCCCGAGTCAAGGTGCCCTTTTATCCATCTCTTGAGCAACCAATAATAGAGAAAAACGATTTCTTCATATGCGTGTGTACTGTGTTGTGTAATGCATCTCTGTGGCTGAGACCAATCTAGTCTGCTATTTGGATGGACGATTCTTGTGTAGTAAACTGCATCCGAAAGAAAAATTGCAACTCTATATGGCCTTTTTCACCCTCCTAGCTATATGCAATACCAGCTCATATGACTAGGATTATTGGAGAGTCAAACTCTTGCTCTATTTCATCTCATGTGCCCAAATCCATGCCAAAGCCAAACTAGACCTCAAGATCCTCTTGCCAAAGCCAAACTTGAACCAAATCTCGGTGTTCGTGTTCGGAGATCACGACCCAAGACTCCAGAGAACCAGATCAGGAACATGCCTCGCTCGAATGAGCAGATGTTCTCTCCCTAAACTCATGCCAACATCTGCTCTGAACAACAGGACAGACAGGCCACGAGAATTTGACTGGTTAAGAATATCTCCAAGAGCCAAATGCAGAAAATTCAGGATGAGAAATCATGATCATGGTAGCCGCTCTGCGTAAATGGAAGACATGCAGGAAGATGAAGCGAGTAGCTAGCTGACAGACATTAATTGGACATAATTCAGTAGCCGGCTCTCTCCATCTGTTGTGCCATTGACAAAGCTCCGTTCTCTCAAACAATTTGGCAACTTCCCCAAGGATAAACTCAATATGTCGTTTCTTAGAGAGATATATCCAAGAATACATTATATACTGTTTAACAAAAGTGATTGGTCTATACAATGTTGAAGACTTAGTTTATACAGAGTATCACCCCCAGCTGTACGAATAATGTTGGAATACTCAATATGTCGTTTGATTATCACGTTGGAATACTCTTTAGATAATAAGCATAACAGTTTCTTGAGATTTTCTTTATTTGTTTGCTGGCTGAAGCCTGCATTTTGCTACTGATTTGTCCTGTTACAGAACCGGAAATACATGTGTGGTGCTGCAAGGAGTTTATGCAGACCCTGACTAGGTCCAACGATTAATCCAAGGAAATGTTACCTAGTGTTAAGCAGTCATTGTTCTAGCACATCACTTTCTTAAGCACCTTCACATCAGCTGAGAAAACTACTTATATAAACAAGGCTTGCTTGAATAGTTCATTCAGTCCTCAGTCGGGATTCTTAAAGTTCTCAGTTTCTGACAATTAATGGCTTCCCTGAGCAGCCTCCAGAAGAGCATAATACTCGTTCTGACAATTCTCGTCGCAGGAGCCAATGCTGCAGATATCTTCCTGACATGGAATGTTTCACTTGATACTACCCTCAACCCGATCACTGTCCAGCAACCTGTAAGATATACACACAAATATTTACAGACAAAACATACATAGCAAACTCTCTCTCCTTTACCTGAGTGGTGTCAACTTTCTGATTGAGCAGGTTATTACCATCAATGGGAGGTTCCCAGGACCGACAATCAATGCGACTACCAATGACTTCGTCCATGTCAATGTCTTCAACGACTTGGACGAGTCATTGCTGTTTACATGGTAATTTAGACGGATTTTCCCTGATTCTCCCTTTCTTTCTTCAGGTTGCTTAGTTCATTGCATATCAGGATTGTAAGGAGAAAAATCCTGACGATTATGTGTGTGGTTGCAGGAATGGGATACAGCAGAGGCTAAACTCATGGCAAGATGGAGTTTCAGGAACAAACTGTCCCATTCAGCCTGGTCAAAACTGGAGATACAAGTTCCAGACAAAGGATCAGATTGGCAGCTTCTTCTACTTCCCATCAATCAACTTCCAGAAGGCTGGTGGTGGGTTCGGTGCGATTCGGGTCAATAACCGTGAAGTCATTGCTGTTCCATTCCCAAAGCCAGAGGACGAGTTTGACCTTCTCATTGGTGACTGGTACTATGACAGCTACCAGGTAAGAAAAAAGGAAGATGTTACCCCTTGACCTTTGTGCTAGAAAGGAAAAGTTTTGAGTACTGATTAGAACTTTGTTTCCTTCACTTCAGATGATAAGATCAGTAATGGACACAGAGGTTGTAGCCTATCAGACCATTCCTGACATTATGCTAATGAACGGGAAAGTCCCATTCGGTCACGAGCTAACCAAAAACCATGAATCCTTTACTGTGACATCAGGTCAGTAAAACCTAACCTGACAACTTCCTTCCTGTTAAATTCATTACCCTCCTAGCTAGGAAACATCTGAATTATCTTCCTGAATTTGTCACACTTTCCAGGAAAAACTTACAGGTTCAGGATATCAAACGTTGGAACTGTACTCAGCTTCAATTTCAGGATTCAGAACCACAAATTGGTGCTGGTGGAGACAGAAGGTTCATATACCAACCAAATCACCCTGGATTCGCTGGACGTCCACGTAGGCCAGTCTTATTCCGTCCTGGTGACGATGAACCAGGTCGAATCGGACTATTACATCGTGGCAAGTCCCAAGCTGATCAACGCCAGCGCAAACAGCAGCAGCCTTGTAGGTGTTGGAGTGCTACATTACTCCAATTCAATGACAAAGTTATCCGGCCCCTTACCGTCAGGGCCAGATCCATTCGACTTAGACTTCTCAATCGATCAAGCCAAATCCATTAGGTATAGTTATAGCAACACCACAACATCCTGAAACTCCTCAATGAAACAATGTCAAGTTTAAGTCAAACTTTTTTGAGAAATGATGATGATCTTATGTCTGAATTCGACCAGGTGGAACCTGACGACAGGTGCTGCCAGGCCTAACCCACAGGGGACATTCAATGTGAACAATGTCACAATATCTCAAACCTTCATCCTCGAATCCTCGACTTCCCAAATCAGAGGCGATCCTCGCTACTCGATCAACAATGTCTCCTACAGAGTTCCTGACACGCCCCTGAAGCTAGCTGATCATTTCGACAATGGGTCAGGAGTGTACCAACTGGACTGGTTCCCGACCAATTCTGCGAACGACGAAGCTGCATACGGAGTGTCTGTTGTTACAGGAGAGCACAAAGGGTGGATCGAGCTCGTGTTCGACAACACGTTGGGTGGATTCATGGACACCTGGCACTTAGATGGTTTCGGTTTCCACGTCGTCGGGTAAGGTCCTGTTGATACTGCATACCTACTCCAGCGAGTATACAGAGCAGAATACTGATCACTAGGGAAGTTTGTGTTGAAATTACAGGATTGGGAAAGGGAAATGGGGCGCTGAAGCGAGGAGCAGCTACAACCTGATTGATCCAGTGGTGCGATCGACGGTGCAGGTTTATCCTGGAGGATGGACGGCGGTTTATGCTTTCCTGGACAATCCTGGGATGTGGAATCTGAGGTCGCAGAACCTGAAGAACTGGTATTTGGGTCAGGAAATGTACATTCGAGTTCACAATGATGATCCTAATCCTGCCAAGGAGCGTCCACCGCCTCCCAATTTACTCCTCTGTGGTCAGTCTTTCATTTCCTTTTCTTTTTTCTGTTAGACAGTCAAGATGGAAGCTGAAAACTGATTCAAATGGGTTTTGGTCACTGTTCACAGGTAAATATGGAAATGGTGGCGATGGGTCTCAGGATCCGGTTGGGGCTCCAGCTCGTGCTCCATCTCCGTGGTGGACATAGACGAAGAAGAACAAGAGGGTTTTCTTCTCAATGCATACAGAAGTTACCCTTCAAAGTTCAATTTTTATGATTATTTAGATTGTTACCCTTTGGTATTAGAAAATTCAATTTATCAAGTTACTAAATGATGCCTGATGGCTAAAACAAAATCCTAAACAGAGTTTGAGTTCATTGACTAGAACGGAGGGTGCGATGCTGAATTGGCTTTTATATCGTTAAATAAGTTGATGAGAACCATTGTTTATTTCCAATTTGATTTGACGGCTGAGAGTGGGACGTGGATGCCAAGTTAAAATTTGAATGGTTGACCTTAGACAATGGTTATCAAAACTGTTTTTCTTTTAAGCGGATGTGAAGGTCTCTTAATAGTGCTCAGTGATTCCATCTCGAATGCGAGTTCAAAATAATTTTTTTGGTTGGTTAAAGGAATAAGGGATAGTGGTATCGAAAGGGTTTTGCTTGACTCATGAAGATCTGTCAATAATTGATTGACTCACTTGATTGTTGTTTGGGAAGTCATGATTTGTTGTAAGCGCGACTCAAATCAGTGGTGGGTTAGAGTTTAGTGATTTATCGAATAACTTACTCCATCAGAATCAACGAATTGTCAATCTCACCAGCATAATAGATAGCTTTACAAGTTACAACCACTAACTTCGCTGTTGAAAAGAGGATGACGGCCGAAGACAAATTTAAAGAATAAGAGCATAGACAACACAAATTGCAATCTACGATAAAATGTCAAACATGCTCTTAGTGGGATTTAAAAGCAAAGAGGAACTTTCCATCCAAGAATCAACGAATGTCATCGTTAACTTTGAATCTCCCTTATGGGGTTGTGTACTTGTGTACTACCTGAAACACAACATTAGCAATGATAAGTTAATGAGCACTTCTACTATGCTATATAGCATTAGTGCTTTAATGTACAACTCAAAGTTGTACCATAACATTAAATGTATAAGTTTAGGTTGTACCATAAAGCAATTTGTATCATTATGTTATGGTACAACTTTACAACTAGAAGTTGTACCTTCACATAAAGGTACAAGTTCAAGTTGTACCATAAAAGAATTTGTACAAAAAGTATAGGTACAATCTGAAGTTGTACCATAACGTAAATGTACAATTTTAAATTGTACCTTAAAGGCAAAAACCTATAGCACCAATACTATATAGCATTGTAAAATTTCTCCAAGTTAATAACCTATTGTTGGGCCTATCTGGACCAAGTCCAGCCATCAAGATTGATCACAAGGAAAAACCCAAAAGTCGGGCCCAATCCCGTAAACAGAAGTCCAGCTCCTTCGATGGCTTGTCACTGGAAGCTCATAGTGACAAGCACACTAGCGTCTAGAAGAGTATTGGGCCCCCAACAAAATATTATGTCATGCGCCCGAAAAGATCTATCGCCGCAGGACGTAGTTGAGGCACATGACCGTAGGAAGGTACAAAGCATTAAATGTGGTGTTGACATAGGGCATATGAAGGAGATCATTATCAGAATGAACCTTTGTATAAATAGGAAGAAGGTAACAACATTTATGGGGGGTGAACCCTCTCAGTAAAACGTCGACACATTAACCTTTTCTTTATAAACTCTACTAACTTTATCGTTAGACAAATAATGGATGAAGGTGTTTCACTGTGCAGGTCTAGGCGTTGCGAGAATTCGAAGTGCAATCCTGGTGTTCCTCTTCACAAACGATGAAAGTATAATTAGTCCATGTACTGTACCAATCAAAGCATTTTGATGTTTTTTTTTATTATCATTATCATACTTTAATCAACATAAAGTCATTTTTGTGTGACGGGTACATAGATGAATGAAAATTCGATTAGATTGTGACTAGAGGCTGAAAGGCTTGCAATAACATCATCAGTTTCGCAACGTTGTTTCTTCCAGTATCATCCACCATTCCACCGTTGTCAATTCCTAATTAAATAAGAATTAACGAATGTGACCGGAAGACACAAGGACAAACGAATCATAGCTTGGCATGAACGATAATCTGTCAGCTTTGGACGATTAACTGCTTACCCGTCTCAATTGGTCCCAGAACAACAACCTGCTGAGAAACCAATGCCATACAAAAACTTAAAACATTGTTCAGAGTTCTGTCAACTTTGATGCTTTTCAATTTGGAAATTTCCCTCGTTATCAACTATGTGGAGTAGACACAAAGTATCATTCTTTCCCTATATATTTCGGTTTTCATCTTCTTCGACTCCCCTGTCTTCGCTCACTCATTGCAACACTTAAAAAGCCCTCCATCCGCTGCAGGATGAGCAGAAACAGGGCAATGAAGTTCTGTGTACCTCAATCCAGCCTGCTCGCCGCAGCTCTTCTTTTGCTCATAGCGACGACAATCGTTGATGGCGATCGAATCTTCCTTGAATGGCACGTTGCTCTCGACACAAGCATCAAACCGGCCTCTGTCGATCAACCTGTAAGTGAAACCAAAACCAATCTCTACAGGTAGAAATTCCCCTGAAGTAGTATCAGTAGGAGTGACACAAAAAATCCTCCTTTTACACAGGTGATTACAATCAACGGCAAGTTCCCAGGACCGTTGATCAATGCGACGACGAACGACAACATCAAGGTCAATGTGTTCAACGACATTGATGAGCCCCTTCTCTTCACCTGGTAATTGCATATCCATCTCCTTCACTTGCAACTAACTAGCTATGCCATTTTTCTTACTGAAGAAGTTTGAATTATTGGAACTCTATCAGGAATGGGATACAACAGAGGCTGAATTCCTGGCAGGATGGAGTTTCGGGAACAAACTGTCCCATTCAGCCTGGCAGGAACTGGACATTCGAGTTCGTGGTGAAGGATCAAATCGGATCCTTCTTCTACTTCCCATCACTGCACTTCCAGAAAGCTGGCGGAGGATTCGGTCCAATCCGCGTCAACAATCGTGTCGTGATCCCCGTTCCTTTCCCGCAACCCGAGGATGATTTCGACCTGCTCATTGGTGACTGGTACAACTTCAATTACAAGGTACCCCAAATTCAATCGGATGCCGTAAGGCACAAGATTCTATAAACCTGAACATACCTGAAACTGATCTTTATAGAGCCCTCTGTTTCCAACTAGGACGTCAGGCGGATGCTGACCAACGGCCCAGCCCAGCCCAACCTCCCATCTTTGACGATGCTCATGAATGGGAAAGGCCCATACGTGAACTCGTCGACCCAAGTATACGAATCATTCACTGTCTTCCAAGGTAACCGAACCTCAAGCCCAATGGACTCTGCCGAAACCCCCAGGCCCAGCCCACTCTAACCTCCTTTTGTTCTGTTCCCTCTCCCAGGGAAGACGTACAGGTTCAGGGTGTCGAACGTGGGAGTGCGGAGTAGCTTCAACTTCAGGATCCAAAACCATCGGCTGCTAGTCGTCGAAACGGAAGGATCGTACACGAATCAGATGGTGGTGGACTCTCTCGACGTCCACGTAGGACAGTCCTACTCTGTTCTCGTCACAGCGGATCAGGACCTCGCGGACTATTACATCGTCGCTTCCCCCAAACTGTCCAATGTCAGTAACGACCCGAACAGCGGCCTTCTGGGTGTTGGGCTTCTCCGTTACAACGGCTCCTCGACGAACGTTAGTGGGCCGATACCGAGCGGGCCCAGCCCATTCGATATGCGATTCTCCATCGAGCAGGCCCGGTCCATTAGGTGGAATCTAACAGCAGGGGCGGCAAGGCCCAACCCACAAGGGAGCTTCAATGTCTCCAACGTGATAGTGTCACAGACGTTTGTGCTCAGTGGATCAAATGCACAAAATGGTAACGGTGGTGTGGGATACTCCACCGTCAATAACGTGTCGTATATGACGCCGGACACACCATTGAAGCTGGCGGATTTCTACAGCAATGGCTCCGGCGTTTACACCCTCGACCAGTTCTCGACGAACTCCTCGAACGGCGAGCTCCGGCAAGGGGTTTTCGTGGCCGCCGGGAGGCACAAAGGGTGGTTGGAACTTGTCCTCACCAACGACCTTGGAAGTATAGACTCGTGGCATTTGGATGGGTATGGGTTCTTCGTGGTCGGGTATGGATTTGGAGACTGGACGGCTTCGTCTCGCTTCTCGTACAATCTGTTCGATCCGGTTGTTCGTTCAACTGTTCAGGTATTTCCATTTCTAGCCATGTAATCAAAATTATGTTAGCATTGTGTTACGTACGAACATTTTAGTCAATATTTTCGGATGCTGCTGTTGCAGGTGTATCCAAAAGGATGGACTGCGGTTTATGCATTCTTGGACAACCCAGGAATGTGGAACCTGAGATCCCAGAAGCTGAGGAATTGGTATATGGGACAGGAGCTGTATCTGAGAGTGTATGATTCTGACCCCAACCCTGCCAAGGAGTTTTCCCCTCCAGCCAACCTTCTCCTCTGTGGTATATTACATAACAAGCACCAAATTCACTGCCAGTACTGTAGCTTTTTCTTTCTAATGATCAACAACAATGTAAATTTTTGTGGGTGTATAATTACTGGTTGCAGGGATTTACAGCAACTCAACTCCACCACCTCCTAATTCTCCCAACTCAACCCCTCCGCCGCCGTCTCCTTCTCAGGCATCTTTTCACCACTTCCCATGGTAATTAATTCTTGCACTCATTGACGACTGTATACATCCAAATAGTTAGGTATTTCTCTGGATAAGTTAGTTAGTTAGTTAATAACTAACAATGACATTGTTTTTCTTGCTCTTGTTGTTGTTCTCTCTAAAAGGTTCCAAAGCTTGGTGGTGACCGTGGTGGCAACCCTATATATCTGCATGAAGCAATAAATAGTAGCGTACCTGAGACTCAAAATTAAATTCCTACAATTTTTTTACTCATTTATTGGTGGTGGTCTAGATGTAACATTAATGCCACAAAAAACACTGTTGGTCAAGATAATAAAACTGATGAAAAATGGTTGAGTGGGGAACAAACAGATAGTCTTCACTTCAGTTTTTTTTTTCTTTTTTTTTTTTCCTAATAGGCTTGGTAACATCTCAAATCTTTTCCCGAGCAAGATATTGTCCGCTTTGGGTCTCGACTCTCATGATTTTTTACTTGGAGTGCAATTCGATCAAGGTGACTTCCCATAAGGTCACCTATCCTTGTTGTGCTCCAAACTGAGCACGTTTAACTTCGGAGTTCTCACAAGAACTCCTTCATTTCACTCCAAAACGCATCTTGTCAATTAGGCCGGTTTCCTACTTATAAATCATGGATCTCTCCCGTACTTTGTCGATGAGTCAATTGGATATCATTTTGGTGAAGGATTGAAATTTGAGACCTGTTAATTTCCCCGATCTCAAATCCCCACGTGCACTTTTGGGCAATCTTTCTATCTATATGCGCATGTTACACGTTTCCTCTTCTCTGCTAAAATTAGGAAGTACTTGCTCGTTGCTACAAGCTACAACCAAGAAATGGAAAAGAGAAACAGAAAGTAGAAAATAATTTAACAAAGGGTTTTGATGATTGCAAGCGTCTTTGCCAATCACGAATTTCTCATGAACTTTATTATTATTAATCACAAAAAAAAAAAAAGAGTAAAGAACAAAATTGAATATCACTTTTACACATATGGTAGTGATTATCAGAAAATTGGTATTATAAATGTCATCAAAGCCCACATCATGAATTACAATTGCATGGGTGAATAAGATGAATCGGTATAATTACAATAACAACAAAAATCATTACTAGCAAATTACTCATGTGAATTTCGTCCAAATAAAAATTGAGACTCGACAAAAACGTGAAAATTACAAACAAAATAAACTAAAAGGAACAATTTTTTTTATGATGAGTGTCGATTTCATCTACGTATTTTGATGAGTAATCAAATCAAAGAATTGTACGTGCATGAACACGAAAAATCCATTCCTCCTCTAGATCGGTATCAAAAAATGTATACCTGATGATGAAAAAGACGACGACGTGGTTAGTAATGGCAATCCACCAAAGCAGGGCTGGGAAACACCAGAGTGGGTTTCTTCTGCGGCGGCTGCTGCTGCTGGGAAGCAAATGGCATCAATTGCAGCTGCGGCTGCTTTTCCTCCGGCGCCGGCAGATTGAGATCCAAGTCCAACGACATACTCAAACTGCTCCCATCCCTCCCTCTCTTCCCCGTCACCGTTGTTTCCCCCACGTTCTTCTTGCTGCCGCTATTGTAATTGTAATTGTAATTGTTGTTCCCCAACGACAAACTCGTCGCCGCACTTGCCGCGGCGGCTGCAGGGGAAGAAGCGCCGACAACAGGGGCCCGGTGCCTCCTCATGTGTCCACCCAGCGCCTGGCCGGAATTGAACTCCGCCCCGCAAATACCGCACTCGTGCACCTTGCTGCTGTTCCCCTTGTGATTATTTCCGAACATCGACGATGAGCTGGCGGCGGTGTTGCTGTTGATGTTGTAATAGCTGCCTCCCCTGTTTCCGCCGCTGTTCAATTGAAGGTTGAGAGTAGAATTCATGTCCCTGAGGTTGTCTTCCTCGTCGGAGGACATGTTCATCCTCGTCAGCATCATGTTGTTGACGTTGTTCTTGGGTTTCTTGTGGCTGGCCCGGTGCCCGCCGAGCGCCTGGAAAGACGGGAATGTCCTGCTGCACGTCCGGCACTCGTACACGTAGTACCCTGCCCTCCCGCCGCCGCCTCCGCCAGCAGGGGACGTCTCCATGAACCTCCTGCTGGTGAATTTCCCTCCTACTCCGCCGCCGTGGTTGTTATTGGCGGTGGTGGGGGAGGAAGAAATGACGGTGATGTTGCTGTTGGAAATGACGGAATGGCCCTGCGCCAGGAGGATCAGGCAGTTCGCCATGTCCTCCTCCTCCTTGGTGTTCCCGGCAGCCGGCGTCGGTGGTGGCACGAATGACGACGCTCTTGAATTCTCGACCACCATAATCTCCTCGTCGTCGTCGTCGTCATCTTCCACGTCTTCATCGTCGAAATTGTAATCCTCGTCGTCGTCGGCGGCGGCGTCCTCGAAATCGTCCTCCCCGATGGAGGAATTGGCACTGGCGGCAGGGGCGGTGGCGACGGCGAAGCTGTTGGCCACCGGAGATTGAATTCGCTGCCGCTTGGTCCTCTTTCCCTTGGCGATTTGGGAAATGGGGACGGCTGCAAATGGGGCTTCCTTGTTGCTGCTGTCGCCGTTACCGGTTTTGTCAGGCGGCGGCGGTGCCTCCTCCTTGGAGGTGGTCTCTGCCTCCGCCTCTGCCTCTGGCTCTGGCGACGGCTTCATCACCTCCGCATGTTCAACGGCAGCCACCGGAAGCTCCTCCGTTGCTACGAAAACTGCGGCCGTCGGCAGAACATCGTTGGTAGTACCTGTGATCTCCATCGCTCTCCGAACCGAATTTACGAAAGGAGAAACAGAGAGACAATGGAAGGTGTACGTAGGAGGAAGAGTGGAGGGTTACGAATTGAAATCTTCAGTATTTTCTCAGATACAATCAAATCACATTTACAGAACAATCTTGGTTGTGTATAGATTTCCCTTTTTCTTTATTCCTTTTCTCTCTACAATGCAATGGAGAAAGAGTTAACTGTTTGATGATAATATAGTGGTATTGGCGATGTGGTATTTTAGACGAGTATGATCGATCTGGTCCGCTCCCTTCTTCGTCTTCTCCTATATCCTCTGAGGCTCTGATAAATATTTGTGTGAATCTAACACTACACACTAAAAACAGACAAACGGATCTAGGCGTAACTGAAAACAAAAAATGGGTGGAGGGAAAATAAGTCGAATGGAAATTATGAGAGGAGGGGAGTTAGATGTTGCGTAGTTTATACTTGGTTAATGGCACTGTGATTAGCGTTGAGAATTTTTTTCTACTTCACACGAGATGACAAGAGCGAGAAGCAGAACGATTAAGTCCATGTTAATTGTTTTCCACCATTGCTTTACTGGGCTGCCAAATTAATCGCTTCTCCGCTCGTGTCTCCAGCTGCCTCGTCGCGTTGCATGCATGGAAGTCATGCATGCATTATTATCTCTTTTAATTTCCCATTTACTCTTCTAATCCTAGTATATAGGGAGAAGTTAAATTGAATTTCTATTCCTGGTATATAGCAATGCCAATGGATTCATTTCGATTTCCCACATTCCTCCTAGTATATAGCGAGGAAAAAGCATGTTAATTAGCTTTTTTCATCGAAGACTAAACTTGAATTTTTAGTGTCTACTTATATACTTTATCGAGTCTATGGTCTTAATTCACTGTCTATCCATACAGTGATTAGGGATGGCAATTTTGCCCATACCCATGAGTATTTTACTATCCAACCCAATTGGGTTGGGTATGGATTCCAAATAAATGGTAGATGGGTAGAGTTAGATGTATTTGTACCCATACCCATTTACTTGGGTTGGGTTTTTAACACATGGATTTGGGTTTGTACCCATGCCCAAAGGCAAATTATAGTTTTGTACCTAAACGTAATAGATATGCATATTTAGTACCTAAATTTATTTATTTTTTGCATATAAGTCCTCAAATTATTGATGGAAAATTACATTTTAGTACCTAAAATTTTTTGGTCTTACATTTTGGTACCTAAACTTTTCGAGTTTTACAAATAGGTCCAATTTTTGTGTGTGTAGTTAAAACACTCTCAAGTAAATGGATATTCATATCCAACCCATACCCATTTACATAATGAAAGCAATATCCATACCTAAACCAAACCCATTTACAAACCCCTAAACCCATATACACTTCATCCAAACCGTACCCATACTAAATGGATCTATTTGGATTTGGGTAAAATTGCCCATGGGTGGGTAATTGCCATCCCTAAGAGTGATCAATCAATTTGGTTCTGGTATAATCGAACAGGTTACCCAGTTAACCGGTACGAGTAAGCACTGGAATCGACAACCAAAATCGATTGCCTTACAATTACCTATAACTGACAACCGATAACATTCATTCGGTTAGACCGGATAACCTGCAACCTGATTATGGCCAGAATTTCCTAGTTTTTTCTTCTAAATTTGAACCAAAACCAGTAACTGGTGGAGTTATGGTCCTGGTATCTCAGAGGATGGCCATCAGCTCAACCTACATACACCAACTACACATTGTACCCAAACCAAAACACAAAATTCTTATTCATTACTCCACTCAATTGAGTATGACAGATCATTGTTACATAACAAATCCGGCTTCGTGACAACTTTCATTATGAAATAATACTAATACATGTCATGCTGCAACGAAGTACATTTGTGACCTTCAAGCATAGAGTTTGTCTGAAACCTCTGGCTTCCATTCATCAGTATGCAACTGGACAATCATCCTCCTAGATTCGGTAGCATTATTGATAAACTTCCACAGGAATACCAACCAAATGGACATTGTCAAAAGGAAAAATCAGAGAAAGTAAAAAGAGGCTCCTACATTGGTAGCATTACATTCTAAACTGATGATTGTCTCCCAATTTACTAGCTCATCAACACTGTTGGGTTCATGGCTTTCTTTTACCGACATTCGGCAAACACAGCTGTTGTCCTTGGAGGTATAGTGAAGCATCCAGAGGATGCATCGTATGATGATCTCTTCACAACGTCATCAGTTGTCTTGACCTGCATAAGGATTTTAAAAGGGAGAAAGAAGGATACATTGAGAAAACATTCAAAAAACCCCAATTTTCCAGTTCGATCAAGGCCAAAAGAGAAGTCGACTTGTGGATAATATACTCAAGCAAGTTCACAGTTCAAGATGGCAGAGTATGTTGAGTGTTCTCAAGCTACCTGAACAGGATGCAGCTGAAAGGACTTGCTGGACAGCACTGGATCGGTAATTGATACCTCTGACGGTTGAGCATTGAAGATTACTACAATGTGGGAGTAGCTGCATATCCAAGGGATATAATCAGGGAAATAATGAACCGTTGTCGGGACATCATAAAGAAACCTAACTATGTACACACATCCACTTACGTTTGATCAAGCTGAGGTAACTCAGGGTTGTCATGATGACCGTCTTCAATGCTCATCATTATAACAGCAGGGACTGAAGAAGGACCAGTATTGTGGAATCGCACACGATCCTGGGTTCATGTAAGCAGCAGAGAAAAGTTCAAGCTCTTATTGAACAATATAAAATATGGTCATCATTTCTCTAATTGCCATCGCTGATAATGTTTGAAGTTTAAAGTAGAAGAGTGGGCTGAGAATGATGGAAGCCAGAAGTTAGAAACCATTCAGAATCTTGATGAACAGCCATTTGAATTCATGGGAAGGAATTTGCAATTCAAGGAATTAGCATACTTGCCTGGATGGCTTTGGCTGTTGGTAAACGAAAAAGTGGTGAAGAATACCGAATCTGTAGTACATCAACAAAATTCTGAACCGCAGCAAGGATGTGGTCTCTGTCAGGCTTAAATGATGGATCTGCCAATCTAGGTTTTATCCTATGGACGAGGAAAAAAGTGGCTGGGATCAATGGCCCATACTGCAGTAGAGCCATATCAAGATAACAGGGAGATGAATACTTACAAAGGCCAGCTCTTTTCATTTTTCTCCTTAGGAGGAAGGCCAACACCCCAATTGTTCGAATTATAAGTGAAGTCCAGCCTGAAAGGAATTGCACAACCAAATAGCAATTCTAAGTACATTAGGAGCCAGATGCAGACTACAAAGCAGCTTGAAGAACTAACACAGCTTCTAGACCTACAAATGACTTATGTTCCACCCAGTTACCACTACAGGAGTTAATTTCAAAAGTTGCCCAATAATTCACATTGAGTTATGCAAAAAAAAAAAAAAAAAAACACTTGATTAGTAGATAAACCTGTTAAACCAATCGCCGGAATTGTATGAATCACGGTCAAGCGATTTAGAACGCAGCATCTCATCGCCAGCATGGAAAAATGGAATTCCCTGCAACATAACATTGATATCGTCATGTGAAAACTTAAGAAGAAAAACAACTAACTGGTAAGATATAAAACTCGGAGATGGGATACTTGAAATACCTGTGACAACGCTATCATACTTGTAGCCAAATGATTTAATCGGCATCGGTCATCTACAGAAATCTCCATCCTAGTCTACAAGCAATGCGGCTGTTAGATGGAAGATAACTGATGGATGCATAATGTAGAACTCAGGGTGAAAGTGTCAAACAGCGTACTTTCAAGCTCACAATGTCGAACAATGTTTCATTGTCATGAGCAGAAACATAATTAATCTGGAGGAAAGAAAACACAAAAGAGAGAAGTCAATAGACAGGGTTTTCATATGCCTTACTGGATGAAAAATATAAAAGCCAAACCCTTCGCTGATCTGGCAGAATTTTGCATGAATTTTTCTCAAGAGTATGACTTAGTTGTACATTAGTGGCTTTCAAACGCAATTCAAAGGTAAGGCCACTGACCACAGAATAACAAGATTTTTTTCAGTAGGTCTTGAAAATAATTTTACCACGAAATACTTATATCAACACATCTCATGATCGGATATAATTTTCAAGGTTTTCTCCACAAGACATGAAAATAGCTAAATGAACGACGGTAGGTCAGCACATAATATAAGCATAAAAGAAAGTTCTCACCGTTTCAACAGGGGACAGAGCATATGCAACCGGTGTGCCCCCATAAGTTAAAACTTCAGATCCTGTTACCTGAACACGCCAAATGCGATGTCAATACATATGCTTAAGCACTTATACATCTTTCGACAGTCTCATATAACATATAACAGGTTGGTTTCAACAGTAAAAACAAATAGTATCAGAAATCAATCCTCATAACATATGCTATACATTAACACACCCATTAAAAAGAACTGTGTATGGATTCTTTATCGAGGCAATCACAAAGTTGCACTGGCTTCATGGATGTAATATCAGAAAACACTCAAGAAACAGACAAACAGTGTCGAGCTACATATCGATGTATTATCTACCTTCTTCCCCGTGCGATCAGCTATTTCAAAATCCCTCAAGTTCGCAGCCATGCCAACCTGAACCATGAGAAAAACACAGATTAGGTGAGAGTCAGGGAATCATTATCGGTTAGGACTTTGTCTGTATCCAAATTGAAACTTCAGAAAGAATTCAATGATCTCTGCACAAAGTGCCATACTCAATCTGATACACTAAGGATCTCAAGAAGATAATGGTTCATGATAAAATCTAGCTTTTTAGGAACTGACACTAATTCTGTAGAGAAGGTATAAAAATTATAACACGGATCATATTACTATGTCATGCCAATGTAGAAACTCTGTTCCCTATATCAAGCGGCAAATTAACTGACCTGAATGTGATCCTTTGCTGTAGCAAGCATGACCTCTTCATTATCTCTGCCACCATTGTCATGACCATTAGACTGCAGAAAATGGTTCTAGACAATATGAGCACAACCGCGACCACACAAATACTGCTCTGACCATGGGTATCCAGGAAGGTAGGGCATAAAAGGAACAAGTTGCTCCATGTAAAACCGCACTTGAAAGATCAACACCGAAACAATTTTACATTCAGAAAAAGGAATTCTCAATAACAAATTCCCAATATGTGATGTCAGCCATCACTTACTTCAACAGTGTCAGGAGACAGATGTTACAATAAGCAAGAAAACAAAGCAGATTCTGAAATAATTATGGCCACATTCTCAGTTTGACGAAAAGTTCCACAGGAAGTTAAAAACTTAAAGAGATACTAAAAAGTCGAAGAACAATGCAGAGATCAGAGATGGCCCAGTAGTTAAGTTCTTTCAAACACATTTACCTGAAGCATAAGGCCAGTCAAAAATCCCTGCTGAAGAGGATGGCCAAAAGGAGATCCACCAAGTACAGCATCCCGTATCCGGTCATTGAAACTGAAACCTATTCGTTAGCAATTCATAGAACAATATCTCGGGCACATAATAGAGGAATAAATGAAGTAGAATAAAGATTTTATTTTCTTAATCGAACATATTACAAGCTTTTGCGCGGACCAGTCCAGTGAATAATTCAACGTTTTAGACAACCAGGTCAAATCAGTTACTTACAGCATTGGAACCATTCACGGCATTTAAGAAAATAATCAAATATAGTTGGCACGAATGGATGGCAATACGAGGCACTTTGAAAGACGGTAATAGGAGAAAGCACGAGACAATGAAACACGGTAAACATAGTGGTACCTTCCAATTCCTGACCCAGAAATATTGAATTGTGATGCATTTATTCCACGTCCATTTTGAGACACTTCACCAAAATCCCAGCCTTCACCATATCTATTGAGGGAAAGGAAAGTCAGTTTATTTAATGTCAAGCTGGATTCATTGGAGCATACAGGTCAGTTCAAGGCAGCAAACATACAGATAGATACTCGATCCGTTGATACCATCCTTTTCCATAGTTAGGCTGCACAGAGCATCTTTTGCCTTGTCCTGTGTGCATAAATATTGAGCTTTCAGCTTTGCTATCGGCGAAATGCATAGACAACCAAAGTCCTTTGATATTTTTTCCTTCTCGGGAAAAACATGGGAGACGAAGGAACCCCTTATTCGTTTATAAAAACCAGGATGAGATGCCCCAATTGAGTTTTGCTAAAGCAAACATTAATTGTTTTAGATTAACTCTTAGCCATGCCCTTGAAAAGCAGACTCAAGCAACGAGAATACTATACAAAAGTGAAGAGACGAAACTATGAAGGAGATACAGAGAGTGGGAGAGCTTAAATACCATGGTACGTTTCATTATATGACCCATAAGGTCAAAGCGGAAGCCGTCAACCTGGAGACAGAAAATATTAATAATGAACACTATCGGAAAGTGTCTTTTAAGATTCCCAAAAAAACAGACAGAAGTTGCTGGTAAGAATAAAAACCCAATTTAGGATAGTTATCTTAAATTCTTAATTCAGCAATCCATAGACAGATATCTGAAACAATAATATATGGGGCGAACAATGTTCAGACTGTAGGAGATGACCCTCTGGTGCACTAAATTAACAACCTTATAGTTGACTACCCAGTTCACAAGGTCATCAACGATCAAGCGGTCGACCATATAATGCTCACTGGCTGTGTTATTCATACATGTACTGTGCTCAACATGTCCAGAAGCATTCCTTCGCAGATAATAACCTGGCACGATCTACAGAGAAACCTTTGTGTCAAAAAAGAGAGGATGAACCTGAAAAATAAAGCCAAGCAAGGAATATCTATACTAGAAAAATGACCTTATCAAGAACAGAATCCTTGTCAAATGGGCCACTCCCCTGCAAATGGTTGTAGACAACATCCAAGATGACACGAAGGCCAATATGATTAAGTGCCTGCAGAGTATGACAAAAGGTCACAAGAAAAAGTTACTCGCAATTGGAAAGAACACTAGCTCAAATGAATTGGGGGGAAAGAAGAAAGGAAAATGGCTAATTCATAATGTCAGTTAGAATAAACAAGATTTAATGATCATTAGATCACTACAAAAAGATCAAAGTATGCAATTACTTATGAGATCAGGGGGGGAAATAACATACCTGAACCATCTTTCTGAACTCTGTTACACGGGTTGGACCATTGGGATTAGTTGCATAACTTCCCTTTGGCACGCCCCAGAGTACAGGATTGTATCTAACAAAGGAATAAGAAAAGAAATTAGTTACTGACATATAACGTACTTGAAATAGCATTTATGATTGTCAAGATGACTTACCCCCAATTGTACCCATCATCGTTTTGGATGGCAGTGATATGAGCTTGTTGCTCATCTGAATCTGGAGGCAAAGTTTCCAGCATTTTGTTATCTGCACAAACCTTGATGTCAATGTAGGCTACACGACAGTGGAGTCAATATCAAAAGCAACACTAGTACACTCCCAATGAGCAGCTTCTGAACAAAAAGCATAATTACCAATGCCCTTCCAGTTCCCTTTTACATCATCAACACCAGCAAAATGGAAGGTTGGCAAGAGATGCACATGAGTCAGTCCAGCACGTGATAATTTCTTTAGATGATGTACACCTGCAGAGTCCTTCAATCAAAATCGATTAAAAACACTTCCCTAGTATATGAGCATCCCAAATAATTTATGCATTAAGAATTGTGTTATACCAATTCGATCATTTTTAAAGGTGCTAAAACTGTGGTTTTCTGTTCAGATACTCCACTTTCATTGACACGGTCGGACACTTATCTAGACATCATGTAGCAGAAAGAGAAAGCTTTTACTATATGAATATCAATCTGCCTACAAGGTGATAACTATTTCAGACTGCCTCTCAGGTTGCACAAAAGGAAAAGTTAGGCCAGTGTATAAAAATAGCGCAACTGTACCAAACTATTGCTTGAACCAAGAAATACAACCAAGAGCTTAAAAGAAACTTGAGACTAATAAAAGCCACAGGATTCAGGAACTCCATATATAAGTGACACTTGGCATAAACTGCAAACAAAAAAATCAATCTGTGCAATGACAACTGTAGGCTCTAGAAACAAGGATCAGAAGAGCAGAGATACCTCCATAGTGAAAGCTAGATAGCCACCTCGGATGTCAGGATCCACAGTTTGATCATAAGCACTGTACAGCAGAAAGGATAGTACTGTAGATGAGCAGAAATATGGAACTACACCGTTAACAGAACTAACCAAAAAGGGCTTCTTACCTAAAATCCCTTATGTGCAACTCATATATACTTATGTCCGAGAAGGAGAGGACACTAGGCTTTTCATCGGTTAATCTATCCCATCCTTCAGGCTTCACATCATTTGAGGCAAGATCTACCAAGAATGTCCTCTGGCCATCCGATGAAAGCCTGTTCTGGAACAACCAGTCCAAATATAAGAGGACTTCTAGCTTGCCAATATGAGGGGCGGATCATTTAAAAATGTTATCAAGTTCATTTTATCAAAACAACTTAAACTATCTTCAGAAACTTGTTTGCAAACTGAAACAAATGGCATACCCTCTTGCATATGGATCATTAGCATAGCACTTTTCAATGCTCAGGGTAGTAGGATGATATACACAAACTTCATAAGTGTAATAACACCCTTCCCAACTTTTAGACCCTACAATGCTCCAAACACCATTCAACTCTCTCAGCTCAACAATTTCCTGAGGTTCTGCACTGGCAGCGTCATGGTATATGCAAGCACGCACTGTCTACTTTGATGCAGGAACAGAAAGTCGATACGACCACACACAGAAACAGAAGAAGATAGTTAACTTAGTTGAGAAGGATATGTTAAGAATAGCAAGAATGGACCATGAATCTGGTATCCGTACTTGAGCGGTTGGAGCCCATAGGTAGAGTGTGACAGCATCTGCTGAGTAGCATGCACCAAGAGGACCATCATACGAAAACAGCTCATCTAAGATGCCAGGTAACTGCAAACCCGTGGCATCCCTGCATCTCCCATCAGCTGCATAAGAAGGGAACAAATTGATAGTGAATTGAAAGCAGTTTCTCTTTAACTTGATGTCTATTATCAGGACGAAGGTACATAATATCAACTGATAAACAGGTACAATAAAAGGATAGTGGAAACTTGACCCAAAAGGAATTGCTTACAGCTAAAAGCCGCAACAGCCAACTGGCATTTGAGCATAGATTTGACAGCAACACCAATAGGAACTTTGAATGCCTTGTAATCTCGAATATGAGGGAACTTTTCAACCACCTACCACCATTTTTGTTAAGTTGAGATCAACCAAAATCCAGTTCAACTCTTTACAATGATCGGTAGATAATGTAAAAACTAAAGCTTACATTGGCGGGAAGGCCTTCGCTATCTTCCTTTATCTCAATTCTCACATCATGGCCTAATGAAAGAACAAAAAGAATCATCATTAAACCATCGAACCGAGCAGAGAATGACAGAGCCAAATAAAATTCCAAAACCTTGAATTCCGCCGTCCGTAACAGACAGAGAAGCGGTCTGGCTAGCATACAAACAGCAACACCCATCTCCAACGTCCACATTCCAGGCAATCACCGATTCGCTCACCCAAAACGCCCTCGAGTACGACAAGCAATTCTCCCACTGTCCCAAACACCAAACCAAACAATTCATGGAAAAAAAATTGGAAAATTTAAAGAAGCAAGAGCAATCACATTTCTAATTCAGCATTTTTCACCTGAGCTTGGGACTCGGCGATGGAGACGTGTGCGGGCATGGAAGACGAACAACGGAGCGGCGGAGGATATCGGAAGGAAGTCAAAAGGCGGCGAGTCGGAGGAGGAGAAGAGACAATGAGACCACGGCGAGGAAGCGACGTCGAAGAAGGATTTAATGAGAGAAGAAGAGGAAACGGAGTAGGAATCGTTGTTCTAGATGAGGAGAGTCCCGGAAGGAATGGCGGGGAGGATCGGGCGACTGGCATTTGGATTATTGTTGCGTATATTCTGAGAATGAGGGAAATTGCCAGAAGAAGGAGCAGAGAGCTCTAGCAGTAGTGTGGCAGTGAGAGCTGCGTGCTGAGATGGCTTCTTTTCCAAGAAGATCTTCTTTATTTCTTTTATTCATTTATTTTTTGGTAGATCTTTTTCTCGGTGCTCCGAGTTTACGCAGGAAAAGCGCCTAGCCTTTTTCTGTTCTGTTGTACCGAGCCACGAGTGGAGTTGACAAGTTCAAAAGGGTTTTGGATCGGACTTTAGAGTAGAGCGTAGACCAACAACGGACAGCACCGCGATTGGGCTCAAGCCCGATCCAACTTTTGCAAGTCAATGTCGTTACTTGATTTGGCCATTAACAAGGATTTGTTATCAAAGCCCAAATTGACCGAACTATCTTACTTTGGTCTTTGGTCCCTTAACTATGACAAGCAAATAGACATCCCTCAGCGCTCGGCCCAATTGGAATAGCACATAGGCGGCAGGCCACTTTTTGTTAAGTTCATCCCCATGATGTAATTGCACAACTAATTTCAGATGTGATGTTTATAAAATTACTATCGTAATCTCAACTATTTCGGCAATTATACTAAAGTTAATTTTATCATACTTACACCCATACAATTTTTTCCAATTTTTTTATCACCCAACTGAAATTTATAAGATCATTCTTATCGATGCAATCAATTTTGCAATTGCATATTTGGTCTATGCGGCCACTTTAATAAATTCAGTAATTCTATTTTTTTAGCTACACCAATGCAATTCACTTGTGATCGCATATTGAATGTCATGTAAGATTTGCAATCTGCCAAACAACACTGACGTGGATGGTATAAGTACATATGATAGTAATAGTTTTTCATTTCTTATTTTCTGACTTTAATCGTTTAAATTTACAAGTTCAAAATACATTTACTTATTAAGACTAGAGTTTCTTGTGTATATAATTCCAAACATACACAGGAATTCACTAAAAAAAATTAAACTGTACATACTAATTCAATTTCAAATCAATTTTTGATCCCAAACGATACTCCTTTAAACGACCACTTTAAAACATGCATGGACCAATGAAAACCCTCTCTTCATGGGCTTTTGGGTGGACGATTTATGCATGGTGATTGGGTGCTTCAATCAAACTTGTGCACGAAGGGAGAAGGAGAGATCACTCACCTAACTCAAAAAAGGAGTCAGAATCTAGCTTAAGATCAACCTGGTCTAGTATTTCCCAGACATTATCACGTAATTAACCACTTCAAAATAAATATGTAAATCCGCCCATTAGCTGTCAATAACTACCAATAAAGAAAGAAGAAAAAGAGGAGACAGACGCAGAGCATTGGAGAAGAAAAAGCCAAGTTGGAATCTGATGGGAGGGAAGGGGGGTTGGCTAATGGGCTGATTATCCACTAACAACATGAGATGCATGAGATGAGATGATGGACCAAACCGCGTGGGCCCGCCCAAGAGAATCGGCGGGATCTTATTTTTCCAGATCTCAATCACTACCATGTGCTATGCATAATTGTGTGGTTAGTTGATAATTATACTCTCTTTATTCATTCTTTGAGAGTGAAAACTACCCTCACTAATCAAACCTGTCTTATTTTTTCCAATCCCATTATTATTTGCGAATAAGACACCACGTCACCACCTCAGATCACTCTCAAATTTTTAGAAAGATGAATTCACATGTCTGGTTTTTCAATTTTTATAAGCGGTATTACTAGTGATGAGAACTGTTAATTCGTCAAGATGCTGCTCCACGTCAATGTCAAAAGGTGGAGACGTTGTCATCAGAGCTGAACTAATGGAGACCTCACACATTATCAAACTGGTTTGAGAGTTGGAAATTCGGGAAGATTGTTTTTTTACAGACAGATTTCATAACTTTATCTCCACTTCATTGAACCAGCAGCAAACCCACGTGCCCCATCCCCCCCAAACTTATGTACGCACAACCATCACTTGCCAGATAGAACAAACTTTACGTCAGATTACGTACCTCAAATGTGAATGACAAGACTCGTTGATCGTTTGGTTGTCATATTACTGATATATATATATATATATATATATGTGTGTGTGTGTGAAGTTCTTGTCTACACTTATACGGCGTTGATGAAAGCTTGATTCGATTAGCATATCAGATTACAGGGGCGGATTGACAACCCTTGGATGCAAATTTGGGACAAAAAACCTTTATAAAATTTTGTTTTAGCGGTGATAGTATTCAGACACTACATTATTTGACAACCCTTAAGGATTTTGGTCTTTCGTTGAATACCCTTAATAAAGTTTCTGAGTTCGCCACTGTGAGATTAAGATCTATTTTGCACTCTGCTTTAAAAAATTATAAACAACAAAGAGTGAACACACTACATTGCGCCCAATTAAATTAGTTTAGTCCTAATGGTATCCTAATCTCCAAAATGGGTGAAGATTTCTCATTGACTTGTGTAGTTCCACTTTAGTGACCCAAAAGGCAAGCCGCTGAAAATGACCCGCCCAGTCCATCTCTCCGGTCTCCATGTGAAACAGAACCGTCGTTTTTTGAGGAATTCCTTCATTCATTATCCTCCTCAGTCCTCTCCCTCCCTCACCTCCACTTTACGACCCAACCAAACCGAAAAGAAGAAGCAGAGCAAAAAAGCTCCAAGGCGGGATCGCTTTTATGGTTGCAATCTGAAGAAGATCCACATCTTTTGGATAGTTTGGCCCAAGTTGTGGCTCCAAGTCCTTGTAGCTGATGAGAACAAAAGAGATGCAGTTTTAATGGCAGACAAACACCATAGATGGTAGGTGTGCTCCATGGATGACCCAACTAAAGGGCAAGAAGCAAAAGGAAAAGACTTGTTCAAGTAATAAAAATCTATAAACTTGGCCAGTTTTCTTCCATGATTGTTCTCCATGGTCATACTTACCATCATTTCATATAACAACAACAACAACAACATCTTTTGCTTTAACATTTAGCAAGAAAAAAATGAAAGCAGCTAGCACACTTAGCTTTTGGCTACACCATCCAACCTCCCTCCCACCTACTCCTAACTACTTGTCTGGAAAATTCAAGAACCCAAAAATTACACTCGAACGATTGAAAACACGCTCTCAGTTCTCCGCGAATTGAGAGAGTGTAGAACGAGTTAATGATTCTCGCTCGTGATATATATATAACTTAAGTAAAATCAGAGAGTGGACTAGACTTAGTGTTACAAATAATGTGTTCTAATGTTACACTTGGGACTATCAATTGATTGGATTTGGGTCAATGGAGAAGATCGAGCTTGTGGTGCTTCTTGTTAGGAGAAGCAGGGGAATCACAGAGTTCAAGGCTCCTCTTGCTGCCGAAACAAGCATTAGAAGGAGGACTACTCGAGCTGCTGAAAGATTCCTGGTGGATCAACCTGCCTGCCGCCGCCGCCGCCGCCGCCGGAGAAGATAAAGAAGAAGAAGGAATGGTAACGGGCGGGATCTCAACAGTGTCGAGTTGAGGCGGGGGATGTTGCCACTGAGGCAGAGGACCAGCCAGCAGAAGCGTCTGCAGCAACGGCCCTGCATCCTTCACCGCCTGCAGCAGCTTCCCTTTCTCCGGCAATGTCCTGTCCGCCGCCAATTTCTCCACCACGTCATCAACCTCGGCGCCACAGCGTTGTTGGGTTTCCGCCGGGGAGCCCTCAATCGCCGCAGGCGCTGCCAATTGCTCATCCGGAGTAATAGACGCGCCAGAGGAAACAGAGACGGGGGCGGTGGCGGTGGCTTCCTCCTCTGCCTCTTTGTGTTTGAGCTTGAGGTGGTGGAGGAGGAGGAGCTGCTGCTGGAGCATTGACTTGTCAAGAATTAGCTTCTGACATTGCACCCGGGCTTCGTTCCTCTCCTTTGTAGTGTTGCTCAGGAGCTCCTTGAGGTGGAGGATTTCGAGGTCTCTGTTGGCGATGTCTTCTCTTGCTGACACAATTGTGGTCTCCAGCTCTGATGTATAGAGAACATACTGTTTGAACTCCTCTATGACCTGCTAATCAAGCAATTCAGTCAATTAAACCGCATTAACAGAATCCAAAAGAGTGGTAAGTTGATTAAGTGAATTACCTCGTCCTGGTAGAAGGATCCCCAGCCTATGGCAGAATGAGGGCTGCAATTGTCCTCCATTTGGGTGGGTTTAAACTTTAAAGGGTTGAATGAGGAAAAGATGGAAACTTTTGATGGTGAGAAGGGGAGGGAGATAGAGATGGGAGGAGGGGGAACTTTGCATTGGGCTTTCTGGGCTTCTTATAGAGAAGAAGAAGAATGAATGATCGGTTGGCTTTGAGGGTAGGGTACTATTCATCTAGCAGCTTCTTTTTTCTGCTTGCTTTTGTGATCGGTTGTTCCTATTTTCCTACTATGAATGGAAGAAAAAGAATGGCATGCAGTGTGCGACGGAGTTGGACAAAGTGCACAAAAGGCCAAAACTATCATGGGCGGAGAGCCACGGCCTAAGGCAGGGGGAAAAGTAGGGGAGGGAAATAGGAAAAAGGCAGCAGAATCTTTGGGCTTTGGCAGCCGATAGATTTTTTGGTGGGTATAAGGACAGGCCGACGGGAGGGAGAGAGGGCCCTTATTTCCTCCACTCCCGTATTATTATCACTTGCCAAGTGAAAAACTCATGTCGAGTGAAAGACATTTTACAAATGTCAATTCAGTTTTTTTCCCCAATATTATATAATTATATTTGGATTAAAGACCAAATCTATATTAAGTGAATAAACTAAATTGCAAGTTTGGTCACTCGAATTGCTACAAAATTTCACGTTTGGTCACTCGAATTCGTTTATTCCATTCGTAGTCACTTAAATTAATTGAACAGTCCAAGTTCGGTCACTCTCCGTTAACCTCCGTCAGACTCCGTTAGTGCCATCAGTTAACTGCTGACGTGGCTAACAGAGATGCCTAGTCACCCAATTTTAATCCAATAAAAAACAAAAATTGACCCGCCACGTCAGAAAAACATGCCACCTCATACAAACACAACCCAACCCACCCAACCTAAAAAAAACCATTAACCCGCCTAGAAATCAAGGGGAAATCCCCCGGCGGCGGGGCTGCAGTAGGGAGATCGAGGGGAAATCCCCCCGGCGGCGGCGGAAGCAGGGTATAGAGGAAGAAGAAGAAGGGTGGATGGGTCACGGGTTCGATTTCTGGGTGGGTTAATGGTTTTTTTAGGTTGGGTGGGGTTGGGTTGGGTTTATATGAGATGGCATGTTTTTCTGACGTGGCGAGTCAATTTTTGTTTTTTATTGGATTAAAATTGGGTGACTAGGCATCTCTGTTAGCCACGTCAGCAGTTAACTAACGACACTAACGGAGTCCGATGGAGGTAACGGAGAGTGACTGAACTTGGACTGTTCAACTGATTTAAGTGACTACGAATGGAATAAACGAATTCGAGTGACCAAACGTGAAATTTTGTAGCAATTCGAGTGACCAAACTTGCAATTTAGCCTAAGTGAATAAGTGTGTTATGATCTGGTGCTTCCGATTCATACCTAACCGTTGCACACCTCTACTAACAGTGTTCACTTTAAACTAATGTTGTAATAGTTGAAACGAAATATGTTTTTAGACGTTTTCTAATTTTGTTGGCTCGGTCAACATTTTTATGATGATAAGGCATATCTTCGTTTTACGGCGTTGCATTACCGTGTCCATCTATACATTTTTATTGTATTAGTCGAAAGCATTATAACAAAAGCTTATATGGTTTGTCATATCATATGGATGACAATCAACCCATGATCGCGGGTACCCAACCGCTTCCAACCCAATGTGCATAGGAAATTTCCGTATTGATTGGGTATGGATACCAAAAAAATTTGATGGGATAAGGGAGGTATGGTTTTAAGCTCTACCTTCAGTCCAAATCATAAATCTCGGACTCTAATCCTCTCAAAGATGGGTAATAATCTATCCAATTCGAGTACTTGAAGCCATTTTACCTAGCTCTTCCAATCGCGGAAGCAGGCTTTTCCCTTCATTTCGAATTGCTGTCCAGGGACCAATTACAGGCCCAGCCCACTTACGAAGAAGACACTTGGGTTCGGAAAATCGAAAACGACTCTCTGGGCCATCATACGCCCATCCTACTGGGTTGGGCTTCTACTTAGTGTGGGTTTGGACTCTAACATGACTCGTGGTGTTACGTACACTGTTCCAAATAACAACGAACTGGGAATACTTCTTGCTCCAACCAGACCCAAAAACTGACGAACATTAATGTGAGTCGAAATAACAAAAGCCACTGGCTACTAGCTAGCCCCTATATGTTAAAAAGCTATAAATGCAAATGCAGTAAAAATAAATAGCATTTCGGTAATTTAGAAGGATAAAAAATGGAGTTTTAAAATTTTAAGCATAAATCTACAATGTAAGTGAAAAGATCGATTCGACGTATAAGCATTTTAGTGACTTACAAATGTAAAATCGTAAGTTTTTAAGTTTTAAAACGCGATTTCGACTACTTCGCGGCTAGCTAAGGGGTCTAAGGTTGGAGCACGTCAAACATCTCAATCCATTAAGGTTGTCATAACTTTGTTGTACATTGCTAGCACGGATCCCAAATAGTGATCATCAACTAACGAACTTAGTTCTTACACTATGATTCATTCTCAAAGATTGATCTTTAGGTTATGCACTCAGTTCTTACGCTCATAAATCTTTTTATAGATAGACAAAGAATTGAGGTTACTTATAGGTGAATTTTATTTCCTTGATTGATTTGACAAATAAAGTCATCTTCTTACCTCAAACACTAACATTTGTTTAGAATGTATGATCATATTAGAGTGATAGTATCCCTGAAGTATCAAGTTGAAAATACTATTGATTTGCACCTATTAGTTCATTTATCATGAGATTGTTTCCTAGACAGACTCAATATCATAAAATATCCTACCGCTGACTTTTCCAGTATAATCTCCGTTATGGTATTTCAATCCTTGCAATTAGTACACTCCATTCCCTATATGACCACCGGTAATTCAACTTGGAATTCATTTCTTTGCCAAATTACGCTACTTTGATCGTGCCAATAATTATGTCCATGACAGGCAATATTTGAAATTTTACGGTTAGTTAAGAAGCAATCATTTCCACAAGGGACTATCAGTGCACCCGACCATATTCTATCATATCCTTAAGGGAAACAAATCAGGAGATCAAATTTTATTCCAAAATTGAATGACTATTTGAGTATTAAGCAAAAGGCTAAACTAAATAATGTGTTTTCCTAGGGTTTGCTCATGGATTGAAGGATTACATCTCGTTGGATTTATATGATTTTGTATGTGACTGTGTATCGAGATGTGGAAGTTTCATGTCACTTTTACATAGTATAATTGCCGCTAGTGTTGGAAATTACGTTAGTTAGGTTTCTTCTTGGATTATCCGTGACTGGGTGCAAGTAGGGTTTCAATTTATGTAATTTTATCTTTGAATCTCGATAAATGTAGTACAGTTTTTTCCGAACTCATTTCTCAATACGAGAAAGGTATATAACGTAGTTTTATCAAGTCATCGGATGTTACTTATCCATAACTTCGGCACATTTCAACGACGTCATTCCTACTCGACGTGTATTAACAAAGGGGAGCAATGGATCTTTCACTGACGAGGATCTGATCCATCTATGCTAAGTTAAACTTGTTCAATGTTTGAAAAAAATACGATTATTAACTCGATTTCGTATACCGATTTGTATGGTATGATAAATCAGTATCTCGATACCTATACGGCAAGGTATGAACTCCTACAACTGTATCATACGTTGCTGCAACTCAGTCCGCAAAGAATCTCCCAATTCTTGAACCGTTCAGCAGTGTTTGGCATTTGGATAAGCCCCGGCCCGCCTCCCTTTATATTATGCGTCTCGATTTCTTTTCCGAGAAAAAGATCTCACTTTGCTGGGTGAAAACTGAAAAGTCTCAACGAAATTTAGATATTATTAAGCTTTCTACTTTCCAATTAGTATTTTCTTCATCGGCCGGAATAATTGAGCTTGAAGGTAAGAATGTGGGTCGTGAGAGAGTTGCTGCCGTAGCTACTAGCCCTCTCCCGACGGCAGAGAACAGAATTAAACTCGGAGGGAAGATGAGAGAGATCCGTTTTCTCTCACTCTGTCTCTCTGTTTTCTTTGCCTCCTTCCATGGCTAAACGGCTTGTCCGTTTCGCCGCCGCACTTCCTCTTCTTCTTCCTTTCTTCCGGTTGAAATAAACCCAAAGAAGACAAAACAAAAACCTAGGAAAAACCCTGCTCAGAAAGTTAACTCCATTCCTATAGAAACTAGTTTCCTCCCATACCTTTACCTTTTTGTCATCGTAAACCGTCATCCAATCCTTTTTCATTATTCTAATGGCGCGCTTTTGTTTTATTATATAAACCCACCATCACATTTCCCCAAATTTTGCAGCTTTTCTTTCCCCCAGATTTGTTGTCATCTGGGCAACCTTAAGTGCATTACTACAGACATCCTCCTTCCTTCCCTCCTTTCATTTTTCGATTTCTATTCAGAAGCAGAGCAGCATACAGCCAGGAAGGGAAAAGGGGGAGAACGCAACAAAACCCTCTTCTCCTCCCCTTTCTTACCACTTCCATGGCGGCTGCAAGTATGATGCTTCCTGTTAGCTTTTGCATTCTCTTGTTCTGCTTCTTCTCTTCCTGTTGTCTCCTTGTCAATGCCGCCGGTTCCCAGTTCTTCAATCTCACTCTGAAGCACCAGCACCCCTACCCTGATTCCATCGCTCAAGATGTGCAAAGGTAACCCTGGATTTAATCTCTTACGGATTTGCATTATTGGTAATGGGTTTTGGAGTATCTCTTACGGATTAGTTTGCAGCTGAGGTTGAGAAGCTCAGTTGTTTTGTTTTGAGAGGTGGAGGTTTTGGAGCTCAAAATCGATTGTTGTTAGAAATGTGTTTAGCAAAGTATCTTCTTTTGGATGATTTCACCATTAGTAGTCCTCTCATTTGGATTGGAACCATTTTGATTCTAGGGATTGAGATATCAGATCGCATTTTCTCACTCACTGTCCGCCATTGCTAAAACAGCAGTCAAAATCCATATCTGGGTCCCTGCTCTGCTCTGCTAACCTGTCCCTTCCTCCCCTCCTCACATGGGTTCCTCTTCCTCTTTCTCAGCAGACATGTTAATTGATACCAAATGAAAAACACAGCTTTAACTACCGTTTTCTCGGCAACCAAACAGCTCTCCCTTTTCCCCTGTTCTCCTCTCGTCCCTTTCCTTTCCCTACCCTTAGGAAAGACTTGCCCCCTTTTTTGTTTTAATCCCAAATGCAGCTGTTCCCCACTACATTGTCCATCCTCAGATTGCAACTTGCAAGTTGCAATACTTACTCTGCAGATTCTTACTTTCCTTGTTTGCATCCCAAATTCCTTTTCCCCTCCGCTCCATCTCCATTTCCTTTTCCAATAATTATTTTATTGCTATAATAATTGGTAACTTTGCAGGCAGGTCAATGAGTCGCTATCCAGAAGGAGGCTACTTCTGTCCACACAAGAAAAGGACCTTTGTCAAACGGGCAACCCGATCGACGACTGCTGGCGGTGCGACCCGAACTGGGGCCAAAACCGGGAGCGCCTGGCCGACTGCGGAATCGGGTTCGGCCGCGGAGCCCTCGGCGGCCGCGGCGGCCAGATCTACGTCGTCACCGACTCCTCCGACCACGACCCGGCCAACCCGACCCCGGGAACGCTCCGGTACGGCGTGATCCAGGACGTCCCCCTGTGGATCGTCTTCGCCTCCAGCATGGTCATCAAGCTGAAGCACGAGCTCATTTTCAACAGCTACAAGACCGTCGACGGCAGGGGAGCCAGCGTCCACATCACCGGCAACGGCTGCCTGACGCTCCAGTACGTCAACCACGTCATCATACACAACATTCGGATCTACAACTGCAAGCCGTCGGGGAACACCAACGTGGCGTCGTCGCCCACCCACGTCGGATTCAGGGGGCGGTCGGACGGCGACGGGATTTCTCTGTTCGGAGCGCAGAACATCTGGATCGACCACTGCACGCTCTCGTCGTGCACCGACGGCCTGATCGACGCCATCATGGGGTCCACGGGGATCACGATTTCAAACAATTACTTCTCCCACCACAACGAGGTGATGCTGATGGGGCACGACGACAGGTACGCCGAAATTTGAATACCCCGAAACCCTAATTTGAATTGTGATGATTGGGGGAAAAGGGTTAAGGTCTAAATTGACTGCTCTATTTCCTAAAATTTTCCGTATATCTCAGGTACGTGCTGGATACCGGGATGCAGGTCACCATTGCGTTCAACCGGTTCGGCGAGGCGCTGGTGCAGCGTATGCCCCGGTGCAGGCGCGGGTACATACACGTGGTCAACAATGATTTCACTTACTGGCAGATGTATGCAATCGGCGGCAGCGCCAGCCCGACGATCAACAGTCAGGGGAACCGTTATAATGCTCCCGCCGATGCCGACGCCAAGGAGGTAGGGGCTTTCTCGGTATTTTGGCTAATTAACAATTTAAGTTTTTTCTTTTTGTTTTTTTAATTTTGGTTTCTAGATTAGGGGCGGGATTATGATTGATTAATGATGTTTGGGGTGGCGGTTTGTTTCTGTGCGACTTTTTGGTTGGGGGGAAAGGAGATTTTGTGGCGGTGGCGCGTGTGGGGAAAGTGGGGGTGTTGTCAGAGTGGGGCCGTAGTGGGGTTAAAATGGGGAATTAGTGCAGTAACGCTTTTTCCGTTAAGATATTTGTTTTCTGTTTGGGATTTGCACCAGGTGACGAAGCGCGTGGATACAGACGAGAAGGATTGGACACAGTGGAACTGGAGGACGGACGGGGACATAATGGTAAATGGCGCGTTCTTCGTGCCGTCGGGAGCAGGGATGAGCGTCCAGTATGAAAAGGCTTCCAGCTTGGATCCAAAGTCCGCTGGGCTTGTTGACCAGCTCACCTTGAACGCCGGCGTGCTAAGTGGGCCCAGGTAAAAAAATCCACTCTACATCCCTTAACTTTTGCAGTTTGGTTAGTCTGGTTCCTATGCTTTTCTGTTTTAACTCAATTTAGTCAGTAGTTGTTTATTCGGCCATGGTTGGAATAAGCTTCTCGCTTTCGATTGGGTGAATGAAGGTTCGAATTGACACGGTTAGAGCACACGATTAAGTGATTGAAGAAAAGTTTAGGAATATAATAGTAGTCAGTAGATGAATTGGTCTAATTGGCATGGCCTTGTACATGAATTGATTGATTTGTTTGTTGCTAAAAGTACAAATCTTTGAAATGTTTAGTAAAATGTTGAGCACAGTTTACTTAAAACAAAAGGGAAGAAGGGGAAAGGTGATGAGCTCAGCTAAGCTGTATGTTCTGTAGGATAAGATCAGAGCTTTTTGGGTACCAATAAAATTGAGGTGGGAAATGGAGGTGTAGTATATAGTTTTAGTAGTGAAACGATAAAGAGAAATGGAGGGAGTGGTGGGCTCTTCACGTGAGGTGATCAAGCTCATATGTAGCTGTTAGTGGGAATCTTAACTGTTAAAGCCTCCAAACAACTTGTTTTGTTTCCCACTAACCACAGACACCAGTACACATAAGCTCAATTGACTCTTACTATTCCCGTTAGCATAAACAATTAAACATGTATATACCACTTGGGGTTGTAGTGGGGTGGGCTGATTAGGAAGGGTAATCCCTTCCATTTTGGGACCTACTGCCCTCCCTTCCCCAGTAACAGTCACAGGCAACCAGCTCTGGATCAGTGGACTGGTTTGGTTTGCCTTTGACAATTCTGGTGTCATGTTGGTTTCACCCAGCCTGTTGTCCTTCCCTGTAGATTGATTCCCTAGCTACCTGCTCTCTGACCAGGCACCACCACCCCTTCCTTCAATAAACAACAATATTAAAAGGCAAAAATAAGAAGAGGGTATCATTTTGGTTGTTCTTCTGATTCTGGACGACCACCAATCCATATACCTTTGGAAACCTTCCTTTCTGTTGGTACATTATTGTTATTGTTGTTGTTACGATGGAAAGGTGGTTATGTCCTGGTAAATCAGAACTTTTTAGCGCTAATCCCCATATAAGCAGCTAGATTACTCCTTTTCATTGATATCATCAAGATGTTTGCTTTTGCTTCAATGCACATGTTGCCACCCTCCCACTACTGATTCCTTTCCATGCTCATCTATGGAATGGTTGGCCAAGTAGTTTTCCTGGCAAGTATCTTCCTTTTGGTCCTGTATTTGCATGTGGATTTGGGTCACCTTGTCTTAGTTAAGGACCAACAGATAGGAAAGTTTAAGATGGATTCCAAATCAGGGGAAAAGAAAGAAATGGAGCTACCTCCAAAAGGGTTTGCCTTTTTCTCTTTATAGGGTTCTTTAGATGTGTATCTAGTTTTAGGAGAAGTAAAGGTAGAGGAGAGTAGGAGACCCACAATCTATCTAGGTCTTGTACCAGTGGCATGTTGGTATATGGGAAGATGACTCAGTTTATATTCCCATCCCTTTTCTGCTTTCCAGCCATTAACTAGCAAGTTGGTTGGAGGTCCCCAATTCCATGTTGTCCATCCAATTGTGGGGAAGGTGCGACCTTGTTTTCTGATCTGAAGTTAACTAGACACTAGACAGTAATACCAAATAGCGCCAATGCTGCAATATCAACATTTCAATAACTGAAAACACTAGCTCATTCTTTCTTTCCTCGTTCTGTATTTGTGTTTTTGGTTAATTCTTTGGCTGGATACAATAAATGCGTAGGCTAGTTCATTAGTGGAGAGTAGAAAAAGCAAAAAAAGGCCATCTTTTTCCACTCTGGTAGCTAGCTATGTTCTTTTCCTGTTTGTTAGCACTTTTTAAACTTTGATGCCTAAAGATCTGATTCCTTATCCTTCCCAGTGTAAAGATCTGAACGCCTTTTGCTGTATGTAGCTCTGTTTAACTCTTTTACCCTGAATGGTAGCTCTGCCTCTTTTATTATCAAACCACCAGGTCTAATTCTGACTAGTATGTCTATAAGCATGCTGTTTATACAATGCAGTAAAAAACAAACATAACTTATGTGTTGCATCATGCATGTAGATCAGAAATGATCGTCTTTGTGGTGTCCAACTGGAACTTTCCATCATTTACAGTAGTTATTCCATCTCCACATGGTCCAGTGTCCTTTGTGTTCCCAACCTCTCCCCCACTGTCAAACCGGAGGGTATTTGCAGGCATATCGATACACTAACTAATCTAGAAAACGACTCTTGGAACTGTGTTAGTGTTACCCCACATTGCCATGTGATACCCACTGAAACGACTTTGTTTCCATGAAACCAAGAGTTACAGTTTATGATATAGGCATATAGCAAGACTGAAAGTTTTGACCTTTTTAACAAAAAGTTCTGGTCTTGTGATACTACAGCACCATTAATAACATGCAGAGCCCTGTTCCTATCAGGTAGGAACTTTTCTGTAAAATGGTGGTGTGTGAATCTTACAGCATCGACCCTTTAATCACGGTGGAAAGTTAACTCGAGATTTCAGGGGATCTTGTATATTTTTTTCTTCTTCTTTCGTTGATGATAATTCTCAGCAGCAGCAGCATCATCATGAATTTCAGCATGTGAAGTCATTATCGATTGTGTTTGTCGAATTAGGAGAATGTGGCTATTATTAGGGTTGTTGATTTGGGGAATATGACCAATAGAGATGATGGATGATTTATTGGCAGGAACACAGGGGAGATGACGGTGAACCCAGGATTCAACGGTGGCGGGCCCGGGACGACAACCTACACCGGGTCCCCCAGCGCCGGACGCACCAGCAGCAGCGGCGGGGACGGTGATGGCGATGTGTTTGGGATGATATTTGGGAGCGGGGCGGCGCCACCCACTACTGCTGCTGTTTCCGCCTCTTCATTGTTTTTGTCCCTTTCGATTATTTTAATTCTGTACACTGCTACTACGACCAACTATTGGGGGCCTTCATTCTCCTCCCTCCCGTTATTATCTTCATTGTTGTAGAGACTGCATAATTTGGACTCTACAAATGGGGGAAAAGGAAGAAGAAAAAAGTATACGGAAAAAAAAATACAAGGAACAAGAGAAAGTTCATCTTCTTGAATATGTACATAAAACAAGATGACACAAAAAAAGAAAATGATTTAAGATTACAAAGATTAATTGTTTCGGGTCGTTTTGAGAATGTGATTTGGATCGTTGATTCGTAGAATTTATAGCCATAAAGAAAGTAATGTTCTTTTTATAAAACCAAAAGTAGAGATTTTGAGCACCAAATCAGAGGCCAGCTGATATGGTAGATGTGACCCAAACAACACTTGAAATGGAGCATTTTGATGTGATCTGTTGAGTCGTTGTATTTGTAGTCTGATAATTGTTAGTCCGGAACGAGCAAACACCCGATTAAGATATGTGGTTTAATGACCTTTTCTTCTTGTACAGTGTTGAATGTTTGACTTTAGGTACGATTCTCCATGATATATGACGAAAGCTGTTAAATTGGTTGGGATTAGGAAGCTATCGTTGTCCAATCTACACATAATATAATACACCGAAGGGAAAAACGGGAGCCCCATTTCAAATTTCCTGCAACGAGAGTGAAAGTAGGAAGGACATTTTGGTCTTCACACTTACTTTTTTTAATTCATTAAAAAGACACGTAGTGAGATTTGAACCATGACCATTTTAAGGAAAAGTAAGGATCATAACCAATCACACTAAGTACATTTGTTGCATCTTTTTAAATTAAAAAGATATAATAGCAAAGAGGAAAAAATCCTTCCCCCATTTCAAATTTCCTGCTCCAGGAGCGTTTGTAGGAATGATAGAATAGGGAGTGTCAATTTTTTCCTCTTTCCTCTGTGGAACGGGCCAACTTACCGTACAAATGCGGATTTAAACGGGTTCAAGAGTGTCAATTTTTTCATTAAGCCCTTTTATTTCTCCGTGGTGATAAAATATATATGAAGAGGCAAAAACAATACTTCTTTTTATTGCTAAAAATAAAAAATTTAACAATAAACTAATGCATGGTATCTAATGGGCTAACCGCTAACCATAAAATAAAAGAGTTGAATTGGTTTGACCTACACGGGATTTGGCCATCAAGTAAAACAAATGAACATCATTGGTTTGACATTCTAAAACAAGCTATTTTCTCTGGCATAATATATTATGCTATTATTTTATATCTTAGTGGCTAAAATATAATGTATTTTAAAGTTATTCAATAGTTCAACCTCGACCAACCCAATTAGTCCAATTTTTATCATTTCAAATATATATTATATAATTATTTGATATCATAATGATCAAATCATAGTGTATTTTATAGGGAATCGTTTGGTATTTGTTAGTAAAAAACTAAACAGAAAGATCTATTTGGTTATTTTAAACATTAAAACGATCCTAACATTTTCAGTTCCTTTTGAATTTCTATAGTTTTATTCCCGAATAAGTGATGTGCAAATGACAGTCATCTCTTTTCTTTCACTATTTTTTATTTTCAAATAAAAAGTTTAAAAATAAAGAATAATTAGAATTTGGCATGGGTCGGTCAAACAGGCTGCATTTCAAGTTTTGGCCCCTTTTGATCAAGTCTAATTTATAATCACATGGTTCCCTGATACCCGATAAAAATCTCAATCCAAACCAGTTTGGCAGGTGAGTCCGTGTTTACCACCATTTTCTAGGGATACGACAACGACGGTTCCTATCCCAAATCGTGTTGTTCGTTCTTTATTTCCTTAGATTTTATCATAGCCTGAAAAAAACCAGAAAGCACAATGACGACAAGATGAAAGTTTTATAAACCAAATTAATCGGCCAACGGGCCGAGTAAAAGCTAGCAACGATTGTGAGATGCTCATTTACCGAAAACCGACGGGATAGGGTATTTTTTATTCGATTTTCTGGAATTCAGTTTCTATAAAACTTACTCCACCTCACCATATTACCAGAAACAATATTGTTTCACAAGGTAACAGGTACTTGATTTTGGTTCATAAGGCCGATTTTTGATTTGTTGCATCATTAATGTCTCTTTTCTGCTAAAATTCACTATTTTTATCACGTGTTTCCCAAAAAAACTATACAACAATAAGTTATACACCCCATTACATTATCAAATTTCATACCTCACCTTCCTCTAGGGATGAAAACAAAATCCGAACCCACGGGTACCCACCCTACCCAACTCGGTCAACGCGGGTAAAATCCGTGTTGACGGGTTTTGGGCCGGGTTTGGGTTTAAACCCGTTCAATATTCATCGTGTTGGGTTGGGTTTGGGTTTAGGTAAACCTGACCCATGGGTACCCGCCCACACCCATATAATTAATTTTCTCGATATATTTAATATTCTAAACAACTTATCTTATTTATGTTTGTGGAGACATGTCTAATTTTTTCTTTCTAATTGTGTAGAATGAAGTTGATGTTATCGAGTGGAGAGTGAAGAAACTTAATTGAAAGGATGAAGCTTTCAATTAATCATGTTATTTATGGATAATTTGTTATTTGCTTGAATTTTCTAGAATGGTATTTTATATATGGATAATTTGTATTGAGAGATTGATATTTGACTTTAATTTTGATAGCAACTTGTTATTGTAAATTTTTTAAGACAAAAACCTGTGGGTAACCATGAACCCGCGGATACCCAGGGGGTTGAGTTGGGTTTGAGTTTTTCAAACCCAGTGGATTTTACCCCGAATTTTTTTCACGGATAAACCCATGAATTTGGATTTGAATTTGGCAAAACCCGACCCATTGCCATCCTACCTTCCTCCGGCCAACTGGCCGGGGCCCACTAGTTCTAATAAGATTCTTGCTGGAAGCATACAATTATACAAATACTGTAATGCGCTTCTCCATGGGTGTGTGGTAACTGAAAGGGTAATAATCCGCAATTAATTGTCCAACTCTATTCACCATCTTCCTACTGTTCTTTATATATATACTAGCTTGTAACCCGACCCGTTGGTCGGAGGAGCTGAGCGGAATATTGAATTATTAGGATAACCCGTAGATTCAACCATTAAGCTAAATTGGTCTAATGGTGAGTACCGCCTAGCATATCCCTAATAATCATACCAAAGTGAATATATTGGAACATAAACAGTACATCAAAAGTTGGTACAACCATGAAGTTAGACCATTAAAAACATACCAATGAAATTGAATAGCATCGAAAAACTTCAACTTCATTATATAATTACATGAGATCAGAAAGAGAACACCATTAATTTGATTTATAAAACTTTCATCTTGTCGTCATTGTGCTTTCTGGTTTTTGTCAGGCCATGATAAAATCTAAGGAAATCAAGAACGAACAACACGATTTGGGATAGGAACCGCCGTTGTCGTATTCCTAGAGAATGGTGGTAAACACGAACTCACCTGCCAAACTGGTTTGGATTGAGATTTTTATCGGGTATCGGGGAACCATGTGATTATAAATTAGACTTGATCAAAACGGGCCAAAACTTAAAATTCAGCCTGTTTGACCGACCCATGCAAAATTCTAATTATTCGTTACTTTTAAACTTTCTATTTGAAAATAAAAAATAGTGAAAGAAAATAGATGACTGCAATTCGCCATTTGCACATCACTTATTCGGGAATTAAACCATAGAAATTCAAAAGAAACTGAAAATGTTTAGGATCGTTTTAATGTTTAAAATAACCAAATAGATCTTTCTGTTTAGTTTTTTACTAACAAATACCAAACGATTCCCTATAAAATCACTATAATTTTATCATTATGATATCAAATAATTATATAATATATATTTGAAATGATAAAAATTGGACTAATTGGGTTGGCCGAGATTGAACCATTGAATAACTTTAAACTACATTATATTTTAGCCACTAAAATATAAAATAATATAATAATATATATTATGCTAGAGAAAATAGCTTGTTTTAGAATGTCAAACCAATGATGTTCATTTGTTTTACTTGATCGCCAAATCCGGTGTAGGTCAGGCCCATTCAACTCTTTTATTTTATGGTTAGCGGTTAGCCCTTTAGATACCATGCATTAGTTTATTTTTAATTTTTTATTTTATTTTTAGCATAAAAAGAAGTATTGTTTTTGCCTTTTCATATATATTTTATCACCACGGAGAAATACAAGGGCTTAAAGAAAAAAATTGACACTCCTGAACCCGTTTAAATCCGCATGTGTACGGTAAGTTGGCCCGTTCCACAGAGGAAAGAGAAAAAAATTAACACTACCTATTCTACCCTTCCTACAAACGCTCATGGAGCAGGGAATTTGAAATGGGGGGAAGGGGTTTTTCCTCCCTGCTATTATATGTTTTTGATTTAAAAGGATACAACAAATGTACTTAGTGTGATTGGTTATGTTCCTTGCTTTTCTTTAAAATGGACATGGTTCGAATCCCAGTATGTGTCTTTTTAATGAATAAAAAAAAGTAATTGTGAAGACCAAAATGTCCTTCCTACTTTCACTCTCGTTGCAGAAAATTTGAAATGGGGCTCCCGTTTTTCCCTTCGGTGTATTATATTATGTGTAGATATATAGGATCTTCCTATAAAAAATTGGATCTGGGCCGGAGACTTCACAAAGAGGCCTCTCGAAATTGAACTAATCAATCAACTGAACCGTACAAACAGACTCGGGCTTAGCTATGAGTCAATTCTTATCCAACAAGGTTGAAACCAAACTGGACTAGAGCCCATATCAAACTCAGCCCAACCAAATTTAGCTCATTCCAGCTAGATGGCCAAGATCCTTCCAACTTCCAAGGTTGTCAAACCGGTTTAATGCATTGAGTCGGTCAAGCAAGATGTTTGAGGTCTAATGGTTTGATTGGGGTCCGGCCAGTTTGATCCGTTTTAGATGTTTTCTAAATATATATAACTGAGGTAGTAAAGAAAGATTTAATAACTGAAATGAAATTTATCATACATGTATCTATTAAAAACTTATTTTTCACAAAATAAATTTACCTAACTATCATGACCCGTCCACCATCTCTCTTACTTCGTTCATCTTCCAGTCTTCCTCTCCTCCCCATCTTTTCTTCTCTCTCTTTAGAAGTGAGATCGAGAGCTTTCTGTAAGTCGTTTTGAAGTTTGAATTAGGTTGGACCGGGCCTTAGATCTGGATATAGCAATCTGATGGTTAAAAACTGGGAAGGGCTATTTAATTAAGGCAAAATACACCCGTATAGCCAAAACTTTGACGATTTTGTCAAACATAGCCAATTTTGACGAAATACCAAAAATAGCCATTTCCGTCCAATTTTTTGACGGTGTGAGTTAACGTGCTGACTGGACTAACAGAAAATCTGACATGTCAAACTTTTAGTTTATAAAAATACTAGTGTGGGCCCCGGCCATTTGGCCGGAGGAAGGTAGGATGGCAATGGGTCGGGTTGGGTCGGGTTTTGCCAAATTCAAATCCAAATTCATGGGTTTATCCGTGAAAAAAATTCGGGGTAAAATCCACTGGGTTTGAAAAACTCAAACCCAACTCAAACCCCTGGGTATCCGCGGGTTCATGGGTACCCACAGGTTTTTGTCTTAAAAAATTTACAATAACAAGTTGCTACCAAAATTAAAGTCAAATATCAATCTCTCAATACAAATTATCCATATATAAAATACCATTCTAGAAAATTCAAGCAAATAACAAATTATCCATAAATAACATGATTAATTGAAAGCTTCTTCCTTTCAATTAAGTTTCTTCACTCTCCACTCGATAACATCAACTTCATTCTACACAATTAGAAAGAAAAAATTAGACATGTCTCCACAAACATAAATAAGATAAGTTGTTTAGAATATTAAATATATCGAGAAAATTAATTATATGGGTGTGGGCGGGTACCCATGGGTCGGGTTTACCTAAACCCAAACCCAACCCAATCCGATGAATATTGAACGGGTTTAAACCCAAACCCGGCCCAAAACCCGTCAACACGGATTTTACCTTCGTTGACCGAGTTGGGTAGGGTGGGTACCCGTGGGTTCGGATTTTGTTTTCATCCCTAGAGGAAGGTGAGGTATGAAATTTGATAATGTAATGGGGTGTATAACTTATTGTTGTATAGTTTTTTTTGGGAAACACGTGATAAAAATAGTGAATTTTAGCAGGAAAGAGACATTAATGATGCAACAAATCAAAAATCGGCCTTATGAACCAAAATCAAGTACCTGTTACCTTGTGAAACAATATTGTTTCTGGTAATATGATGAGGTGGAGTAAGATTTATACAAACTGAATTCCAGAAAATCGAATAAAAAATCGCCTATCCCGTCGGTTTTCGGGAAATGAGCATCTCACAATCGTTGCTAGCTTTTACTCGGCCTGTTGGCCGATTAATTTGGTTTATAAAACTTTCATCTTGTCGTCATTGTGCTTTCTGGTTTTTTTCAGGCTATGATAAAATCTAAGGAAATAAAGAACGAACAACACGATTTGGGATAGGAACCGTCGTTGTCGTATCCCTAGAAAATTGTGGTAAACACGGACTCACCTGCCAAACTGGTTTGGATTGAGATTTTTATCGGGTATCAGGGAACCATGTGATTATAAATTAGACTTGATCAAAAGGGGCCAAAACTTGAAATGCAGCCTGTTTGATTGACCCATGCCAAATTCTAATTATTCTTTACTTTTAAACTTTTTATTTGAAAATAAAAAATAGTGAAAGAAAAGAGATGACTGCAATTCGCCATTTGCACATCACTTATTCGGGAATAAAACCATAGAAATTCAAAAGGAACTGAAAATGTTAGGATCGTTTTAATGTTTAAAATAACCAAATAGATCTTTCTGTTTAGTTTTTTACTAACAAATACCAAACGATTCCCTATAAAATACACTATGATTTGATCATTATGATATCAAATAATTATATAATATATATTTGAAATGATAAAAATTGGACTAATTGGGTTGGTCGAGGTTGAACCATTGAATAACTTTAAAATACATTATATTTTAGCCACTAAGATATAAAATAATAGCATAATATATTATGCCAGAGAAAATAGCTTGTTTTAGAATGTCAAACCAATGATGTTCATTTGTTTTACTTGATGGCCAAATCCCGTGTAGGTCAAACCAATTCAACTCTTTTATTTTATGGTTAGCGGTTAGCCCATTAGATACCATGCATTAGTTTATTGTTAAATTTTTTATTTTTAGCAATAAAAAGAAGTATTGTTTTTGCCTCTTCATATATATTTTATCACCACGGAGAAATAAAAGGGCTTAATGAAAAAATTGACACTCTTGAACCCGTTTAAATCCGCATTTGTACGGTAAGTTGGCCCGTTTCACAGAGGAAAGAGGAAAAAATTGACACTCCCTATTCTATCATTCCTACAAACGCTCCTGGAGCAGGAAATTTGAAATGGGGGAAGGATTTTTTCCTCTTTGCTATTATATCTTTTTAATTTAAAAAGATGCAACAAATGTACTTAGTGTGATTGGTTATGATCCTTACTTTTCCTTAAAATGGTCATGGTTCAAATCTCACTACGTGTCTTTTTAATGAATTAAAAAAAGTAAGTGTGAAGACCAAAATGTCCTTCCTACTTTCACTCTCGTTGCAGGAAATTTGAAATGGGGCTCCCGTTTTTCCCTTCGGTGTATTATATTATGTGTAGATTGGACAACGATAGCTTCCTAATCCCAACCAATTTAACAGCTTTCGTCATATATCATGGAGAATCGTACCTAAAGTCAAACATTCAACACTGTACAAGAAGAAAAGGTCATTAAACCACATATCTTAATCGGGTGTTTGCTCGTTCCGGACTAACAATTATCAGACTACAAATACAACGACTCAACAGATCACATCAAAATGCTCCATTTCAAGTGTTGTTTGGGTCACATCTACCATATCAGCTGGCCTCTGATTTGGTGCTCAAAATCTCTACTTTTGGTTTTATAAAAAGAACATTACTTTCTTTATGGCTATAAATTCTACGAATCAACGATCCAAATCACATTCTCAAAACGACCCGAAACAATTAATCTTTGTAATCTTAAATCATTTTCTTTTTTTGTGTCATCTTGTTTTATGTACATATTCAAGAAGATGAACTTTCTCTTGTTCCTTGTATTTTTTTTTCCGTATACTTTTTTCTTCTTCCTTTTCCCCCATTTGTAGAGTCCAAATTATGCAGTCTCTACAACAATGAAGATAATAACGGGAGGGAGGAGAATGAAGGCCCCCAATAGTTGGTCGTAGTAGCAGTGTACAGAATTAAAATAATCGAAAGGGACAAAAACAATGAAGAGGCGGAAACAGCAGCAGTAGTGGGTGGCGCCGCCCCGCTCCCAAATATCATCCCAAACACATCGCCATCACCGTCCCCGCCGCTGCTGCTGGTGCGTCCGGCGCTGGGGGACCCGGTGTAGGTTGTCGTCCCGGGCCCGCCACCGTTGAATCCTGGGTTCACCGTCATCTCCCCTGTGTTCCTGCCAATAAATCATCCATCATCTCTATTGGTCATATTCCCCAAATCAACAACCCTAATAATAGCCACATTCTCCTAATTCGACAAACACAATCGATAATGACTTCACATGCTGAAATTCATGATGATGCTGCTGCTGCTGAGAATTATCATCAACGAAAGAAGAAGAAAAAAATATACAAGATCCCCTGAAATCTCGAGTTAACTTTCCACCGTGATTAAAGGGTCGATGCTGTAAGATTCACACACCACCATTTTACAGAAAAGTTCCTACCTGATAGGAACAGGGCTCTGCATGTTATTAATGGTGCTGTAGTATCACAAGACCAGAACTTTTTGTTAAAAAGGTCAAAACTTTCAGTCTTGCTATATGCCTATATCATAAACTGTAACTCTTGGTTTCATGGAAACAAAGTCGTTTCAGTGGGTATCACATGGCAATGTGGGGTAACACTAACACAGTTCCAAGAGTCGTTTTCTAGATTAGTTAGTGTATCGATATGCCTGCAAATACCCTCCGGTTTGACAGTGGGGGAGAGGTTGGGAACACAAAGGACACTGGACCATGTGGAGATGGAATAACTACTGTAAATGATGGAAAGTTCCAGTTGGACACCACAAAGACGATCATTTCTGATCTACATGCATGATGCAACACATAAGTTATGTTTGTTTTTTACTGCATTGTATAAACAGCATGCTTATAGACATACTAGTCAGAATTAGACCTGGTGGTTTGATAATAAAAGAGGCAGAGCTACCATTCAGGGTAAAAGAGTTAAACAGAGCTACATACAGCAAAAGGCGTTCAGATCTTTACACTGGGAAGGATAAGGAATCAGATCTTTAGGCATCAAAGTTTAAAAAGTGCTAACAAACAGGAAAAGAACATAGCTAGCTACCAGAGTGGAAAAAGATGGCCTTTTTTTGCTTTTTCTACTCTCCACTAATGAACTAGCCTACGCATTTATTGTATCCAGCCAAAGAATTAACCAAAAACACAAATACAGAACGAGGAAAGAAAGAATGAGCTAGTGTTTTCAGTTATTGAAATGTTGATATTGCAGTTACCACATTGTCCTTCACTAAATTGAATTAGTTGGAGTCCTTGGATTTTAATGAGGTTGAGTGGCTTAGATTCACTTAGCCATGTGACTAAGGGACCCCCCTAGTCACCTGATCTTGGCCCATAGGGAGAGATGGAAAGGGTTGCCGGAGCTTTTTGTTGTGTTGCAATCCCTTGGCAACGAAGAGACAGAGTTTGTGAGATGAGAGTGTAGACAAAATTCCTCAGTAGAGATAATAATAACCTAGGGCAAAATTGGATTACACAAAATGAGTGGGAGTAACACGGTCATTAAACATCATGGATTATATCTATCTTCCAAAATCCCATCTATAGAGGTAGGATTTTATAATCCATGGGGCCCACGGATTTTAGCTCCAAATAATCCAATATTAGTGGACCCCACAGATTGAAACAAAATCCATTATATGCCAACAAACATGGATTCATTATAAAGTCCAACATATGTTGGATTTTGAGCCAAAATCCAGCACCTAAATACCAAAAGCAAACGACCTCTTAATCCGCACATGACTAAGAGGTCGTTTGGAAGTTGTGAATGTTAAATCGTTGCATTGTAATAAATTATCATAATATAAATGCATGTATTAATACAATAGATGCATGTTAACAATACATTGTTTGGTTGTTGAGATTCTACTTTATACATTGATTTACATAAAATTGCTTTTAAGGGAAAATGTCATCTTTACCCTCAACTTTTAGTATAAGACAAAAACTATTAGGGATATAAATGGAAAGAAAAATTTGACACAAATCTAAAAGCAACAATCACAACAATCTCAATTTTTAGTTGAGATTGTATAATGTATCATTTTTTGTGATTGTTCGTGGGACCTACCTAAAACAATGTATACAGTATTTTACATTTGGACACTTCCAAGTTCCAAACATTTTATTGTGCACAATACATGTATTTAATAAACACAACTCTAACAATCACAACTTCCAAACGACACTAAGGTTTCACACCGAATGCATAAAACCATACCGAGATTTATTGTGCTAAGCCTAAAACGGTAAAACCCTTATTTAATGGTAGTTTAACATTTTCAACGCAAAAAAAAAAACTTATACGGACTTAAACATCAATAGAACGTAATTTTAACCACATTACGGGATTTAGCAAAGATGCAATTACGGTTAATTAGAGACTTTGCTAAACGATTTGAAGATAAAATAGTTAGGACCGGCCATTTGCAGCCGCTGCGCAACGAAGGTTTTGTACTTGGCTTGGCCATGGCTGTTGGAGCAAGTTATGTAGAGGCGAAAGTGAGCTTCATCGGGCATGAACGGGTAGTTATAACCCTTGTCCACGCTCACGAGCTTCAACCACTCGGATTCCGGACGACCCTTGTTATGTTCTCTGACTGCAAATTCCGCCATTTCTCTGTAAAAAGGACTCGTTATGTCCGTTAATGGCTCGGAGTGGGGTATTCTTGGAATCGGCGTTGATGCTGCTAATCCAGAAGACAAGAGGAAGAAGGCTGCTACCACGGCTGCGACCATCAGTGAAGATGATGACGCTCTCGCCATTTCTAATTGTGTACAGTGATTCTGTCCAAAAATGAGATGTATTTCTTTCTTTTTTATAGGAGTTTTGAGAAAGATAACAGTAGTTTGCACTAATTTCCCTAGGTAAACGGTTACATTTTCACGCTGAGATAAAACCACAGTTAGAAGACTAGTAAAGATAACAGCAGTTTGCAGTAAAGATCCCTACAGACACTAATGCTCTGATGTGTCGTCGTCCTTGCTGACACCACCACCGCATCCTAGATCAGCAGCGAACCGAGGAATCATCAAGTTGGAAAGTAGGCGATGAGTATGATCGGTGAGGTGCTCACTGTCCCAATACATATATTCCGCAGGGAAATTGCAGTATGGCGCACCAGAATCTCCACAGTGAACATGAGCATTCCCACAGCAAGGGATGTAATAGGGATGGCGGTACCCTGTAATGGCAGAAAGCAGCAGCAAAATCAATGATCAACTGCTGCTGCATCATCACTTGGCAATCAACTTAACACTAGTTGGGTTTTGTAAGCGAGACAGTACTACGCACCAATCGACCAGAAATGGTCCATGATCCATTGAAAGGCATCCCACATGTCTCCATAGACGATTCGAGTGCCGGGAAACTCGTCTCTTAGCCTTCGAAGCTCTTCCTTGAGGAGTTGGTTGTGAAGTGTGGCCAAGGAATTGAAGCTGCTGTTATTGCAATGAAACTTGGTGCCCCCATGGAAATCAAATTTCACCCCGCACCCAATTTGAAAAGCTCCCACCACCACCACCTTGGTGCCACCATGGTTAATTATGAGCTGCAGATCAGAAATGACGACACTTTTAAGCTTGGCTCCTTTGCCAAGTAATCCAGCACCACTAAACACAACCACTAATAAGATAGATAGATTCATATAAACCTTAATGTAAGTCTTAACTGCTGCAATTACATCAGGCACCATGTCTTTCATCCGCTGGAGGTTGGAGTTCACATTTATGCTCAAGTAGTCGTTGGCCGATGCACCGGTGAATACGAACAACGACGACTCCACGTGCTTCCGACGAGCTGGGCAGGAAAAAGAAAAAAGAAAAAAAAAGACAAGAGTTGAGTGAGTTAATGTTATACGCTAGTTGACCACCTATCATTTCCATCCCAAAACCACTGGAATAATTAACCAAGGAAAGCCTTGACCTTTGTCATCTTTGAAAGCTTGCTGTAGGTGCTGTTCCAACCATTTGACTTGGATATCAGCACTGCTCTGAAAAGAATGATCTGCATGGTTTGCTCTGATGATGATTGCATATGTTCTGGTTGTGGGTGATTGGAGAGAGTTGGTTGAAGAAGAGAATGTCCTTTAGCTTGGCTATATAACATGTCAAGAAACTTAAGAGATCTTAATGAATGCAGGGAAGCTTGGTGGGTTGAAAAGAAGTGAAAGCAAATTCAATGTTGAGTGAGTTATTTGTGTGTCTTGTGTATTTTGGTGTATTTTGGTGAAAGAAAAGAAGATAGAAAGGGAAAAAGTTGGTGTGTTGGAAAAGAAAGAAGAGAAACAGGGAGAGAGAACTAGCATAGGTAAGAGATTAAATAGGGCCATGTGACGCAAGTAAATTGGGAAGGAAGAAATGGAAAAGCCTGGCAACCCAAACAACCAAAACAACCTCCAATTGGTAATCCAAAAAATTAGGCAAAACACGTTTTTCATATAGCTTACTAAAAGGGTTAAAAATCAGTAACAGAACATTCCAAGACATAATCAACCTGGAAAGACGAAGGACATCTTAAAATAATAGCTAACAGACCTGTGAAAAGTTTTACTTTTACTGCACAGGTGGGTCGGCTCATCATCATCATAACACGAATTGAGTTCTATTTTGAGCTCAAAATCAGTCAGTCAAAAGAGTGCAGTGCTGCTATTCAGACATTAGAGATAGATAAAACCTGCTACTGCTAGAGAATTTATTTACAAAATAGCAGTGGAAGAGAGCATTAGAACCAAACTGCACCCCTCCTTTGCTTACCACCCTCCTCCTTTACTTCCCGCTTCCTTGTTTCCCCATGAGCTGCCAGTTGATGGCTTTTTCCCCCATGCGCCATCGCCACCTTCAGTTGCTGCTGCTTCTTTGTTAGCGCCCCAACCTGACGACGAATTCTCGCCAGATGCTTGTCCACCCCACCCACTGGATTGGCCATTTCCACCTCCTCCTGATTTCCAGCCACCACCACCATTATCAGCTTCAGCCTTTCCTGGCTGGCCCCACGCAGAACCAGAACCAGAACCCCCTCCTCCTTGTCCACTCCCACCACCAGTTGTTTCGTTTCCAGAACCCCAACTGCTCTTCCATTCCTTCTTATCCTCACCCCCACTATTGTTCCAACCTCCGCCGCCGCTGCCACCACCTCCTTCATTGTTACTTTTCCATCCTCCACCGCCAGAACTATTGCCATCATTCCAGCTGCCTCTACCACCATACCCTCCACCTCTGCCCCGGAAACCTCCTCTTTCCGAGTCACCATTACCACCTCGACTCTCAAAATCTCCTTCATTCTTACTTTTCCATCCTCCACCACCGCCACCAGAATTGTTGCCATCATTCCAGCTGCTGTTACTGCCTCCCTGATCACCCCAACTTCCCCTTCCTCTACCACGATACCCTCCACCTCTCCCACGGAAACCTCCTCTCTCCGAGTCACCATTACCACCTCCACTCTCAAACTCGCCGTCATTCTTACTTTTCCATCCTCCACCACCACCACCAGAATTGTTGACATCGTTCCAGCTGCTGTTACTGCCTCCCTGATCCCCCCACCTTCCCCTCCCTCTACCACCGTACCCTCCACCTCTGGCACCTCTGCCCCCAAAGCCTCCTCTCTCTGAGTCACCATTGCCACCTCCACTCTCAAACTCTCCTTCATTCTTACTTTTCCATCCTCCTCCACCACCACCAGAATTGTTGCCATCATTCCAGCTGCTGCCACTGCCTCCTTGATCCCCCCATCTTCCCCTCCCTCTACCACCATACCCTCCACCTCTCTCTGAGTCACCATTACCACCTCCACTCACAAACTCTCCTCTCCCAGATCTGCCTCCTCTACCTCCAAACCCACCGCCATCTCTTTCCCCTCCTCTACCACCCCTGAAACCTCCTCTGTCCCCTCTACCTCCAAACCCACCGCCATCTCTTTCCCCTCTACCACCCCTGAAACCTCCTCTGTCCCCTCTACCCCTGAAACCTCCTCTCTCCCCTCTACCTCTAAAGCCGCCACCTCGATCTGAATCACCTCTACCTCCAAAACCACCCCTCCAGTTCCCACAGTTATCATTGCCATCTTCCTGGTTTGTCTCTCCCCCAGCAGCTCCCAAGTTCCAGCTTCCCCCCTTTCTGCCACCCCATCCAGAAGAATACTGGTTGTTGGCATCATCATTTGAACCAGAATTCCAGTCACTCTTTTTATTTCCCCAAGTAGAGTCTGCACCTCCGGCTGCATCACCAGCACTAGAGTTCCAGTTGCTCTTCTGTCCCCAACTGGAACCCCCTTGGCTGGCATTGTCATTAGAACCAGATCCCCAGTTAGCCTTTTTAACCCATGAAGAAGACCCTGCATTTCCACCACCTGCCTCAGTGGACCCAGAGTTCCAATCAGTCTTTTTATCCAATGGTGAGACTCCACTGCCAGGTGCAGCATCTACAGGCTTCGTTCCCCAACTGGCATGCCCCTGGTCGTTGGCATCATTAGAATTAGAATTAGAATTCCAGTTAGCTTTCTTACCCCAGTCTGAGTCTTCTGCACTGCCACCAGCACCAGCAGACCCAGAATTCAAGTTTTTCTTTCCCCAGCTGGAACCCCCTTGATTGTTAACATCATTAGAACCAGAATTCCAGTCACCTTTCTTACTCCCACTAGCATCAGCAGAGACCGAGTTCAAATTGCTCATCTTTCCCCAACTGGAACCTTGGTTGGCATCATTAGAACCAGAGCCAGAGTTCCACTCGGCTTTCTTACCCCATTTAGAGTCTTCTGCATTCCCAGCAGCAGCAGACCAAGAATTCAAATCACCCTTCTTTCCCCAGCTCGAGGAGCCATCGCCAGATTTGGAGTTCCAATTGCTTTTCTGATTAAAATCAGAATTGTTCAAATCATTTCTTTGCTCCACCACATCTTTCTTCTCCTCGGGATAAGAGGATTTCTGGTTCCAACCAGCACTATCTTGAGCAGATTGAGGATTGCCCTGCCCATTTTTGCTGCCCCAACCAGAGGGCTGGGAGTCACTTAAGGTGACTGCTTTGTTGTCCCAGCTTGCCGATACACCCCCACTTTTCCAAGCTTCTCCGTGCTCCCTAATGTCCTTCTCTTTACTAACTTCGGACGTTTTCTGGTTCCAATTAGACTTCCCTTGTGAAGACTGAGCATTACCCCAACTGCTTTGGTTGCCCCAACCAGAGGGCTGGCTGTCATCTGCAGCAACTTTAATGTTCCAGCCACCCTCACCTCCATCCGAGCTCTTATTCTTCTCAAATGATCCTCCATCACCAGTGTCCGCTTTTGCCTTACCCCAGGAATTCCCACCACCCCAACTGCTGGTCGGGTTCCCTTTGTCCCAGGTGGAAGCGGCATCAATTGGATCTTGACTGGATTTAAGAGCTTTACCCCAGTCATCTGATGCTCCACTGCTAGGACCAATTTCAGCAGTAGAGATTTTTAAGCCATCTCCACTGCTTCCCCAACCAGAAGTTTGGTCGGTCTTGTCAATGATTTTGTCATCAAGTGCCGCTGCTCCCCATGAATTCTGATCCGCAGTCACTTTCTTTTCAGGTGATTTACCCCAGCTGTCAGACGCTCCACTGCTACCGGCATCAGTTGAGGCTTTGACCCAAGCATCACCACTGGTTCCCCAGCCACTCGCTTGATCTGCGTTTGGAATGGCTTTGTCATCAGGAGTTGCTGCACCCCAGGAGGAAGTCTGATTACCCGTCGGTTTCTTCTCCCATGCAGCATCTTCTGTACCTAGACAATTGTATAGAAGCTCATTATACTAGTTCCAAAAGTCTACTGCAAAATGAAAGCCAAAGGAAATACCTTGCTCTTTAGAATTTGATGGACCAGCAAGATCAGACTCTGTTGGAGGCTGCAACAACGAACTTTTAAATTACCCCACTTCGCTCACAGTTACAGAAAGACGAGAAAAGGAAGCAAAGAGAGGGGAGTGGTAAAGAGGAAAATGGGAAAAGAAGCCAGGATTGGAGGAGGTCCAGAGGGCTAACCTTCGGCGAAGAGAAGCTGGGCCAAGCACTCCTGAAAAAACGGACAAATGTAAGATAGGAGCATCTTCATCATTGCATAAAAAAACTTTTCTGAAGAGAAATTAAAGAGGGGAGAAGGCAGAAGAGCGCAATGCTGATGCAGTAAAGGTCCCCATACAAAGGAATGCATAATGAAGCTGCCTTCTGTGTGATGATGTTATTAAGGGAATGTAAGATGAATATGAGAATTGATATGACTTATGAGGGCCATTTTCAATTTTCCGAGTTAAGTAACGAAGTAAACGTACAGAGTTCTATCATCTAGTTCGAGCAAGACAGGTTAAAGTTCCAAGAAAGATCCACACAGCCATAGAGACTAGAGAGTACAGAACATAATATATGCAGATCCTTGCCCCACCCAAACTCAAAGGTGACTAGGAGAGTGCGAGCTTGGTGGACAACAAACAAGAAAAAGGCCAGGCAGAGGAAGACCATATGTGTTAATAAAGTGCTAAGACATCGAGCTTGGTTCTTCAAACAGACACATAGTTCCAAAGAAGCTACTAATCATTGATGAAGCCCTTTCATAAATAAATAGCATAATGGATTGAAGTATCTTACTAGGAATAATTTTATTTAATGATAACTAGATTTTGTGACCAATCTTCTAAACAGGCTTCCCAACAAAAAAATCCGATAAGTCCTTTCAGTCCGCATCAGTAATCCGCATACTCAAGAAATTTCCACCCAGTCAGCAAGACACAACACAAAGCCAAAGCATTCCTTACCCAAATATCATGAACATATATTTACCTCTCTGCAGATAGACCCCCAAGACTCCACCCATCAGCATCGCCCGATGTTCCAGCCCCACTTGTCCAACCTGCGAGAATAACTAAATTATTCAGTAATAGTCATCTCAGATCTCTATAACAAGAGATCTATGGTCAACAATTCTATCTAATTAAGCAAAGTAAAACGGGACCAGAAACAAAACAAGAAAGCATGAATTAAGTGCAACATGTTCAGAGCAATGTAGTAAGATAGGTAATGCAACTTATAGGACATGTGTTTGGGGCATAAAATGTCTTTTTTACTTTTCACTAATTCATCAAACTGTGCATGGGGTCATTCAAACTGGCAAGAGTACAAATGAGAACCTTATGTTGCTTAACAGGGTCATGCTATCTTGGTTCATTTACACAGCAAGCAGATAAAAAGCAAACACAGACAGGCTAATTTCAAAGTCCTTAAAACACATTCTCACTGCAGGGACATCCTCACCTCCAGAACCACCATCAGCCCCAATTGGATCAAAAGGTTTCAAAGAATCAGCACCTGCATCCTCACTATTGCAAAAGAATTGACAACCACAGACGATTATGAAAATGAAACCAAAATATAAATTATGTGAAACAAACCAGTTGGGAGGCTAAAGAAGAGCAGTACCTGCCAGAAACAGCATAACTCCTCCCACGGACCTCCGCAAGATTTTCAGATTTAACTGAGGAAATAAATGATAATCAACGTTTACAGAAAATTTTCTGCTTTATTAACAAATCAGTACAAGGTTTCAATGTTACCTGAAAGAACTTTCTGCTTTGAATCTAGTTTCACTGTAACATCAAAGCGACGTACAGCCAATACACGGCAAATGTAGCCCTTCAGAGGTCCTACCTTGATCCTCAAGATCTGACCAATGGAGAATGTACCTTCCCTCTCTCCTCGGTTGACTACAAAAGAATGCAAAAGTTAGACATCACAGAAATAGTTGAAAACAAAGCATAGACTTACTAGAACTTCGAGACTTGCAGACATACAATTGATTTCCCTTGCTTGAAATGATGATTTAGGTGACGATGGAGATTTTGGAGATGATGGGGCATCATCAAAACCTCCAAAGACTCCAAAGTTGGATTCACCACCCTAAATGACCAACAAGACCAGTTAGAGAAACAGAATCATAACATTAAACAAAGGATAAGGACATCAGACTTACAGACTTGTCCTCGAATTTGTCTGACTGAATCTTGACTTTTTCACATATTTGAGCTCTTGAGCAAATATAACCGCCATTTTCAGTCTCATTCTGATCATATATAAAGACAATTCCTCGATAGATTTGTCTAACAATTCCTTCCCTGTCCTGCAAAATTTAAAAAATCATTTATGATACCATATTTGCTATATGAAATATAACGACTAAAGGAAAAGGAAATATTAGTCACTCAACCTTCAATGGACCCTCCAAGACTCTGACAGTATCATTGTTTGAGATGACCTTCTTGTGCTGATCAAAAGCTGTAAATTTCATTTCTGAGGGGCCAATCTTTGCTTCCTTCTGTTCAACAATCACCACACTTGGTCCTTCTGTTCCCTCTTTTAGAATCTAGACGAAACAGAGACAAGAAGCGAATAAGAAAACCACCAACCAGCTGCATATTCTACATATAGTGGGAAATTAGATTGCAAACTTTCAATAGGTAAATGAAAACAGAAAACAAACCTTGCAATTACCATCCTTCTCCATTCCAACAACAATGCCAAAGTCTTTGCGCCTGCAATACAAAATTGTAATTAAGGAGAGAATTTGCATGCCGACTGTCAAACTTAGGGTAAAGAACTTACCTAAAGCACACAAAATCATATAGCTCAAAGTTTGCTTGACTTCCAGTCCCAGACGAACTTTCTCCCTTTTCCCCACCTTTATCATTCCTAATTACCTGTTTTTTCTTTTTAGCTCCGTAAATCTGCGTAAGCCATTCTAAGTTACCAGAATCATTTTTCTCGGAGGATTCAAACTTCAATAACTCCTCTTTCGTTGGCATCACACTCCAACAGTTTAAGGAATCCACAGGTACTTTCTTGTATAAGAATCCATCCTTGAGCATCAACCCATCAAGAACCTCAAACATAATGCCGGTGTCACGGTCACGTCTGTACTGGATAAGAGGCCGGAACTCCCTATCACAGATAAAAACAAATAGATTAGGCCACAGTCGTGAAATCAGCGCAACATTGACACTTATGAGTACAAGGAGAAGTATGTTACTCCAGTTCGTTAGAGTTTATCAGCCTTGGAGCTGGTACATCAGTTCGCTTGGCCACCTTTCCACCACCCTATATAATTAAATAGCACCACTTGAGGATCACATGACGGAGAGTTTCTCCATAATTGGAAAGTGGGAGAAAGACCTCAACTCAGCCAGCAAAATGGATACTGCAGCATACGCTCATATTATATACAATAGAGATGACAGATCACTTCTGTTAATGCAACAGAACTGACTAGCAACCAGCCTTTCCCACTTTACAGTGCAAGTACCAAATATCTCTTCACTAGATTATTTCTTACAAACCAGAGTCCCCCATCAATATCATATATTGAAAAAGGACAAGTCTTTCATGCTCATTTTAGCATCGCAGAACTTTGAAGAATAATTCGGGTAAGGCTAAAAATATAACAAGTTTATCAAGTTAAATTGTAGAGTTAAAAGTAAAGCAGAAGTGAAAAAGAAACAAACCAAGTCATGCACATTAGCAATTGAAAGGATGGTCTCGAAAAGGTGAAGGTGAACCTTTACTTGGCCACCCAGCAAATCAATGACAATCCAAATAAATAAAACTTACATATTTTTCAGCCAGAGCATGCACATCAATCCTAGGTATAATCTTCACCACGGCCCTTTTGCGTTCATCATTCACCCCAACAATCTTCAAGAAGACATGCGGCCAAATGAAAAATAGTAGAAAGGCATTCCAGAAAGGAGTTCAAGCAAATAATAAATAAAAACCTGCGCCAGGTCTCCTTTGTAATTTCCAGACTCGACTCGGGCCCACATGCCCTTGGTTACTTGACTCTTTTTGCACCGAACAGATATCAAATGTGAAACTTCATTCGCTGGAACTGTCGTCACCCTGGAAGTGTATATTCCTGAAAGCCCGCTGCATGCCTGTGTTATGAACAGGTGGAAACATGCATGATTAAAGGGGAAGTGAAGGAGAAAGGAACCAAGGACAAATTTTATGAAAAGATAGCACATGAACTACCTCAACAAGATCGCACTGCCGTTCAGCTTCGATGTAAATATAACCCTTCACATGGTCAACAGAAAATGCAGATATTATCTCTAGTTTGTTACCCAGAGACTTCAAGTCCACGAACTTTTGCATGAGACAGAAAGCAGATTGTCTTTCACGCCCAATCTACAATAACATTCAAGGTGAACATTAGCAGAGATAAGAACAATGGAATGAGCTTCACATACAGCCAAAATGCAAGAGCTATTACAGATGTTGTGTACCATGCATTTCACTTTCCAGATGGTTGCATCTGTAGCTAAGGCCAAAAGAGAATCTCTTTCCACCAATTTAGCCTCAAAAGGATCATCAGCATATCTGACAAAGCCGGCACCATCCTTATACCGTTCCTCCATCATCTTATCAAATTCATCCTCATCCATCTGCTCCTCTTTTGGAAAGAAAGGGATGCTCTGTGCTTTTCCTGGCTCCTTCTTTACTTTCAACTCTACATCGAATTCTTCAAAACCAAAACCAGAAGGATTTTGGTGTCATGAAATGTTCCATGGACTGAATGCAGGGTAATGAACCTAACCTACAGTATTTAATACCACATGATGGAAACAAACCAGTAACAGCACCATTGAGAGACAGACACGGCAACATAATATAAATTAAGTTGTACCATACAACTTGAGGCAAGCATTATCAAGTGGTGTATGCAGTCACCCTGACAAACACAAGCAACTTGAAGCAGATCCTAACGCAAACAAAATGCTTAGATAGGTTACATGTCAACAATAGCCACCATTAGTATCACAAGTAAGCAACCCCTAACATTGAGCATTTCTTACATGAGATGTAAAATCCGAAACCGCAGTAGTCTAGAGTCCATTCGAGCATAATACTAGCACCTTATGAGGCCAACAGAGATCATCAGGATAGAGCCAAGGAGGCATCCAGGACGCTGCTCGGCATTATCTAATAAACAAAAAGAATTGCAAACCCCTAGAAAAGCCCAAATAAAAGAACAACTCTCCTAGCCTAGGTCAGTTCCCCTGAATCTGATTCTTCCAGCACCCAAAGGCCGCATTGCATAGAACAGAGCTCCAAAATGCGTTCACAACACACAGCAAGCTCAATCAGGAGGCGGAAACCCATCCTACCCTACGTATTTCCATTTCCGCTAAGACGGTAACGCTGAGAACCCTAAAATATAAGTACAGAGGAAAAGAAAAGGAAGCGCAGACCACTGGCCAACAAACCCTAGATAGTGAAGAACTGCATTTCCGGAAGAACGAAAAAACCCACAGCGTAACACACATTTAATCAAATCAAAGAGAAAAACAGAAGTTAGTTCACCTTCCTCGTCAAAATCGCTCAACTCATTCAAATCGCTCAAGTCGGAATCGTCGTCGTCGTCAACATCGGCTGCGTCCTCGAAGAACTGAAGGACCTGGCGGTTCCTCTTCTTCCTGATCCCACTGCCGGTCTTGTCATCGTCGTCGCCTCCTTTCTTCCGCTTGCCGGAGGAGGCGATTCCCTTTCCCTTGTCCATTTCCACGGACAGTCAGGCCAGGTAGAGACAAAGAGAGAGAGAGAGAAAGGTTTAGCGGGACGTTTTCAACAGAAGAGCGGATTCATGCAAATGGAGTGAGAGAATCAGGGCGCAGTGGAGGGACGCTCTGAGACTGTGCGGGCTGGCACACTGTGACGAGTTATTTTTATCCTGGCCAACGTTGAATTGTTGAAAGTTGAAACCGTTGCTGAAGCAGACGGGGAAGGTAAAAGTTTACAAAGTTACCCTCATGCCCTCTTTTTTTTATCTGATGGCTTTCTTGCAGTGTGAAGGGTAAAATCGTCTTTTTCGGCCTGTGTAAAGAATCTTACTGTCCTGCCCTGTACGGATCGTTTGCCTTATTAAATCCTATCAATTTTCATCTTCTTTTGATCAAGCCTTTTGAACTGGCCCAGTGATGGTGGGTCGGCCCAAATAAGAGTAGAGCCCAACCGGTTCTCATATGAGCCAATCAGGTGATACAAGCCCATTGGACAACCCAGATCCACCACTTCGACCCGGGTTCAGGGTTTCGTTAACCTATGCAGAAAGTAGTAAAGATTATGCACAAAATCTCTGATGTTAGAGAGCATCAATGGCCAAGGCCAACAAAACAATCTGCAACATGATGAACAAAAGATAATCATTGAATGCAAAAGAACAAATTGATAACCTCATTCATAACCTTACATCCCTGCTTGATAGAAATTACTAACAGTTATAACGAGAACCAACGGCAAAAGAGAATGAAAATGACAACAATTCTAGAGAACAAATGTTCCAAATTAGCGGAAACAAGAAATCAAAGAACCAAGTATCATGGCTGGGAAAAACTCATGGAAGTACAATGAACCCCCCAACAGATCTCTGCAAAAGTCCACAGATATACATACAAGGAGAACCAGAACCCAGAACCGATGGTTGTCGTTGGAGTCAACTCGCTACTCATTTCCACCCCCTCTGCAAACTTCTACCTAATAGTAACAAACTTGTTGGTACCATGCTTCGCCCAATGAAGCTTCAAATCAATTGCGTTGCTGAAGTTATAACCTTCAGCAGCGAGTTTCTCCAACACCTTCTTAAAGGCGCCCTGGCTCATCTTCCTCCCAGCAATCCTTGCACCTCGTCTCTTGGTGCTCATTGGCAAAGGATACACTGATACATTAGTAGTACAACAAGCAGACTGCCATCCGCCGCACCCCCATCTATAGCACTGCTGAGGACTCCCTGTGCATGAACAAACCGGAATAGGAATCCCAGATATGTCCATATCGATCCCATTTATCACCATATCCATACTCTTCTTGACAGGCTTTGCGCGCTGAGCAGGGTTACTGTTGGGGTCCTTTGGCTTCCTTGGTTTCTTTGCCTTGGGGGGTTTTGGGGCACCACTCCCCTGCCTCTTCTTTGTCGGTTGCTCTGGTTCTTTAAGCATAACCGGCTCTTCCATTCTACACAGCTTGTCATCTCTCGGTGGGGGTAATGCTTGCAGAGAATGAGCAGCTGAAGTCTCCGGAAGAACAGGGTAACTATTATTAGGGTTGTGAGGCATCAAACTTGGGAACTTATTATCCCTCTGGTTCATCCAAGTGTCCCTCATGTAGTTCATGGGGATATGGGAATCGGAAACCATAAACTCGCGATGATGGTAGCCTCCTCCACCAGCATTCACATTGAGCATGATGTTGTTTGGATCTCGGCTGGGCAGGAAATGCTTGGTGTCTCGCTCTGCTGCCATGCTCGTAGTTAGCTGCAGACTGAGATGCCCTCTGAATGAGGGTTCATAGTAACCACCCCAATTCCGCATGTTGAGTGCATCGTCATCCATCATTCACAGCTGCACACATACAATAGCAACAAAATCAGCATCCAACACAAATGAACTTGCAGATCAATAAATCAACTGCAATACGAGAAACAAACTAATGCAGCCCCAAACACATAATAACACATTCAACCCGCAAGAAACCAGATTTCCCGATATTATTCACGACCCATCCCAGATCCCGTCGATTCTAGGCAACCCATAGCCACATCGAAGCCGTCAGCAAAAATGCCTAATCCCAAACCCCCCATATCGTACTACATTTAGCTCAGATCCGAACGGATAACTTCAGAGCAGTAGCCATTGAGAGATTCGCAGAGAAAACACCCATTGCCCGTAATCAAAAACAAAAAACCTAATCACTAGATTCAATTCCATCTTTTGAGATCCAGACAGCAACCAAACAAAAGAAAAACTTCGTAACCCGTCAAATGGAAAACCTATCACCAGATCTACATCACATTCACATTCCCGCAGAGCATATCTAAGAGCCGCCTCCTCGCAATCTAGGGTTTCGAAATCAGGTACAGATCCAGGCGGAAAACGAAACGAAAAGGCCAAAAATGAAACTCCATTTTTTTCCTGAATCAGATGTTAGTATGTTACACAAAGCGCTGAATATAAAAGGCAGGTTGTTCAATAGTACGCAGGACCCATGTATTCAAAAAACAATTTAAGAAAGAGAAAGAGAGACGGAAAGAGAAAGAAGAGAGACGATAGGTAAGGTGAGAGAAACTTACTGCTGGATGGGTGCAAACGGCTCTTTAGGGTTTTTTTGCCCTTTCTGCTGGAGAGAGAAAGAAGAGAGAGGAGAGAGAATGGAACTCCGCAGAGAAAAAAATATGAGAGAGATAGAGATTGGGATAGAGACGATAGGGAGAAAGAGAAAGAGAAAGAATATGAGAGAGACCTAAAATTGTGTATGGAAAGGATATATATATTATAATTTCCTTTTTCTTTATTTTCACTCCGAAATATCAATTTGAACTTTCCGGTTTTTAAATAATTTAAAACCCAAATCTTAAGGTAAAAAAGCTGACGGGGGAGAGTCCTAGTTTGTTTGTGTAGGTCAGGTCCAGAGTCCAGACCGAACTAAACTCACCTGAATCGCGGTTTATTAGTGAAATACATCTTAAAATCAAGGATTGGATATTATTGTATACGGTTTGGTTCGGTCTGATCCAAGGTTGTCAATCTGCAGGTTGATCCGCGGGTCGACCAAGGGCCGCACGTACCTACCGGGTCGACCGCTACAAGGTACCGGGTTAGAGGTCAAATTGTGTCATTTTTTTCTTTGTTTTGCGAAATGCGCCTATTTTCCGATTTTTCTTTTCGCCTAACTTAATCTTTGGAATCCTAAGTTGAACATTTGAATATTAATGTTATATAAGTGTGTGTGAATTTTCACTATATGTTGAATCTAAGTACGACATGTTATTTTGGTGTAATATTATATGTTATAACTCATATGTTAGATGAGATTTGATATAATTTATCAGGATAAGTACAATATAGTGACACTTTCCATATTTCCGGGCTAAACCGGGCTAAAACGGGTGACCCATTAACCCTTAACCCACTAGCTCAACCGGGTCCCGGTCAACCCACGGGTTGACAACCTTGGTCTGATCTAAATCTAGTTTGGTTCATCATTTCTTTAGTAATGGTAAAATTCATGGGGACCAACTACGGCGGTTCGATTCTGATCAGGCCATTGCACACCCCTAACTACGATGGTTAGTCATACATGAATTACTGGATATAAAACCCAAATCTATATGCAATTTTATTGGTAGAAAACCATCGAGCCATGGTTATTGTACAAAATACAAACTATCTTATTACTACTTTTTCAATATAACTTTTGATACAATTTTACAATCATTAGTATGTGTATGCGTAGAAAATTACTTCCTCCTTTTTTCTCCTTCATTTTCATTCATATAAATAATAAATTCATAAAAAATCCAAAAAATACAACACAAGTTTTCCCACTCTAGTATCACTCTTATTATTGAGAAAACAATTAACTACAAGAAATTCACGTGACCGAAAACAACCAAGAAACAAAATCAAAGTCGACCAAATAAGACGACAAAGAAATAGTTTTCATATCACAAAATGGACAACCCTAATACAATTACTATCAATAAAGACGAGTTTAGAACGCTCAAAATGACGACTCATAGCCACCCCTCACGAGCATCAACAGTTTTTCCCTCCATAATCTTATCAAACATCATGTTTACATCACTCGCAAAGATCACGAACCTTATATAACCTAGCCACACATCACCAAAGTACATCAAGAAGAGCAAGAAACTCGATTAGGAAAGAGTACGAGATGTCCACATACAAAGCCACAGAATCTACCACCACCTTGCTCGAAGAATCCTGCAAAACCCAGCCTATGGGATCCACTATATGTAGGATCCATGAACATTACTAATTCCCTTGAGAGGAAAGATGTAGCACTGTTATCCCCCGAATCCTGAACATGTTGGGGCGACTCAATCGACATAGAATCCCACTTCGCAACCTACAAAAGCAACACATGTATTGTGAACTAAGTGAGGTCAAAGACCCCAGTTCTGAACATACCATATTTGTCAAAATATCGATAATCCCATATACATTATCCAAATCCCCCATATCAAGCAACCTATGCCAAAAATCCCCATATGATTAAGGGGTGAATCATCATTGAAATCCAACAAATTAATCAGCCCTCTTAGCTAATAAGCTAGATGACAACGAATAAGAGGTGCTCCAATGATTTTACCTCCTTGCAAACGAAGCACCAATGCATCCCCAACTCTGCTAGAAACAGAGCCTCGTCGGTTAATAAGAACAAAAACTTTCACTCATAAGAAGTTCAACTAGTTAGGGAGGATCAGGACACCCCCAAAGCTTTCATAACTCATTACTCATAAGAGCCCCTTATTTCACCCCCAATTCCCTATGCTTTCGCAACACCACCTTCTACATGGTACTATGACAACCTAATTCACCCTTGAGGTATCTCCAATTCAAAGCAAATGATAAGGGATAAAGCTCAATTGACAAAGGAATAGTCATGATTTCACACACCGTTTCCTCATAAAAAAAATGTTGCAAACCATCCACACGTCAAACCCCCAGTCGCGATGAATCAAAGAGCCACAACCCTTGCACCCCGACAATCCTTTGACATGGGTACAGAGGATGAGGATGAATGACATGCACCCAATTATAAGTTAACACTTCCACAATCGTACTCAATACAATTTATCAATAGCCCATTGTACAACAAATCACGACCATACAAGATCCAATACGATCACCACTATGAAAAAGAGTTCCTCCTCGCCTCTAAAAGGAAGGATTTGGAAGATAACTCCCCATGTATAAACAAACTAACAAAGACTCCGCCTCCCAAGTTTCACTAGACCAACTTAGCCAGAAGAGTCTATGTTGTGCTTTGTTACCTCTCCTTAGTCCCTACATAAACAACATGTTGTATTTTGGGCTTTGATGCCTCTCTAAACCTATCTCGACCAATATATTAGAAAATTTTATCCAATTAAAACTTGTCGACAAAAACATCTTCGAACTAATATGTCTAGTGTTGAAGTTGCATAAAATTTACTAACGAGTTCATAAATATCAATGAATGGAGTCTCATATTCTTTAACAGGGTCACGAATATCAATGAATATCTGACATATAAGCATGTTAAGAATACATATTTGGATTGCAAGAACAATGCATGTATGAATATGGTAAGGCTAGTTCAACAATGACAAACAACTTCGCTTGGATTGGGCATTAATGCTTGGATTTGTGTAGCTCAATATGGCCTAACTGCTCAATTGTGGTAGTGCTTTGTCATTTGAGCTACGCCAAAGACGATGAACTAATGTAACCTTAATTCAAGAGGTGTATAATCTGGACTAGTGTGGCGTGAATAAAGGTCAAGCACAAACCTTAGCTTACAGAGCACTATATTCACATAATGTTCTTATAATAAGGACATGCCTAACTTATACAAAGCCAAAATGTGATAAAGTATACTTTAATTAGACCAATTATATGAGTGTGATATCAAGTTGGATTAGGGATGGCAGGCTAAGGCCCGTTTTCGGGTATCCGCCCGAAGCCCGCCCACCATGGGCCTATTTCGCCCGGCCTTTGAGGCCCGTTAACAGATGGCGGGTAACCCGCAGCCCGTCAAATGCGGGTCGCGGTTGGGGCCGGATCCAAACATATCCGCCCCGAGCCCCACCCAACGGATTATCCGTGCACAAAACGACGCCGTTTTGGCATGCATATATAAACGAAGTCTCACACAGCGGCCGCCGCTTGACGACTCATTCTCCCTCTTTCACCCAATTTCTGAAACCCTAATCCTCTCTCGTTCTCTCTTTAACGATGGCGATCATCAGGCATGCTATTCGCTCGATCAACGCGCGATTCCGCCAATTTTTCGCCATTTTCCAATCAAAGCCTCACATAGAATATCGAATCGACAATCTCTCGTCTTCAATTCCTCCAATCATATGGCAGAAAGAGCAATCATTCATCGGCGATTTCGTCGATCAAAACACTCAAAGGAGGCGTTTGGAGTTCTATCGTCTATCGATCACAGATAAGGAACATCGTGCTTTCCTTTTCCTTTTCCTTATCCTTGCTTTCATTTCTTTTCCTTTTCTTTCTAAAGTAGAAGTCGAACTGACTCTGCATTCTTCCCGTTTTCTACTTCTGTATATAGGAAACTTCTCCGCGAGTCTTTCTATCTCATCGTCTGGCCATCTCCTCTCGTTCTGGGTAGCGAGTTCTGAATCTTGAATTTTCCAGCGACAGAGAGGCAGAGACCAGGCTTCAGATTCCAGGGTAGGGGTTTCAACTCTACTTATTCGGTGTTATGTTATGGATTAGCGGTTTAATACATACATGCATGGCAGATTTTTAACTGTTATTTTATTTTTTGTTCATGTGCCTATGCAGATGGTAGGTGAACAGAATGTTGAACCTGTTGCTGAAAATGTTGGTGGAATTGTCCAACCTGAACAAGCTGATGCTGATGCAAATAATCGTGCTAATGGTAATGAGGAAGAACTGGCAGAGCAACCTAGGTTAACGTCTGATGTGTGGCCGCACTTCACTAGGGTGAGGATTAATGGGGTAATGAAGGCAAGGTGTAAGTACTGCCAGAAAGCACTTGGTGGGGAAACAAGCAATGGAACTTCGCATTTGAGGAACCATCTCAAATCATGTATCCAGAAAAGGATACATGATGGTTCTCAGAAAATTCTTGGCCCCAACTATCGATCTACTGGTAATGCCCAACTCTCTGCTTCTCAGTACAATTCTGATGTGTGTAGGAAGGAACTCTGTTCCATGATTTTGGTGCATGAATACCCACTTAGTATGGTTGATCACTTAGGGTTCAAACGGTTCTGTTGTTCGTTGCAACCTCAGTTCACAGTTCCTTGTAGAAACACTGTGAAAAAGGACATTGTGTCTTTGTTTGGGGTTCAAAGGGGCAAATATCAAAGCATTCTTGATGGTAACTTGGGTAGGATTTCTGTGACAACTGATTTGTGGACTGCCACAAATCAGAAAAGGGGGTATATGGCAGTAACAGGCCATTTTATTGATAACTCTTGGAAGCTTCGTAACATGATGATGAGGTTTATGTATGCTCCAACCCCTCACACAAGTGTGAGACTTGCTGATAGATTGTTTGATTCTCTCTTTGATTGGAATATTGATGGTAAGTTGTCCTCAATCACATTGGACAACTACTCCACCAATGATTCAATGATATTTCATCTGAAAAATAAGCTTGTGAACAGTGATATGTTATTGGATGGTAAATTGGTTCATATGAGGTGTTCAGCTCATATTCTGAACTTGATTGTGAGGGATGGTTTGGATGCAATTAAGGAATCTATACATTTGATTAGGGAGAGTGTGGTTTACTGGAATTCTACACCTAAGAGGGTTCAAACCTTCTTCGAAACTGCTAAGCAACTGAAACTGTCTTTTGAGAAGAAGCTAGTACTTGATTGCCCAACTAGATGGAATTCCACCTTCCATATGCTCGTTGTTGCTATTCCATATAAAGATGTTTTTTTCGTTTGAGCATGAGGGACAGTCAATACACATCAGTTCCCTCTAATGATCATTGGGAATTTGCATCTACTGTGATTGAGAAGCTGGCCATTTTCGATGAGATTACTGTGTTGTTCTCTGGTTCCAAGTATCCTACTGCCAATCTTTTTTTCCCAAAGATTTGTGATCTTAGACTGAAACTGATTGAGTGGGGTAATGATCCCAATCATGTGATTTTTGGGATGGCCAGTAACATGTCCATGAAGTTTGCTAAGTACTGGGATGATATCCACCTTGTTCTTGCTGTCTCAGTTGTTTTGGATCCAAGGTATAAGCTACATGTTATTGAGTACTATGCTGCAAAGTTTGGCAGTAATGATACTGATTTGGTGGGTGAGAATATCAAGCAAATTATTTGTGGTTTGATACTTGATTATCAAACCAAAGCTGAGAAAAAATCTAGTTCTGGAACTGGAACCTCTGTTGGTTCTGCATCTGTCTCGGCCACCGAGCTTGACTTTGAGCTGTTTGTAAGTTAAAGAAAAAAGAGTAAGAGTACTTTGATTACCACTGAGTTGGACCACTATCTTGTTGAGGATATTATTCCACGGACAGCAGAGTTTGATCTTCTGTTGTGGTGGAAATTGAATGGGCTGAAGTATCCCACCTTGCAAGCAATTGCAAGGGACTTTTTGGCAATCCCAGTCACCTCTGTGGCTTCTGAGAGTGCTTTTAGTTCTGGTGGGAGGTTGATAGACCCTCACCGGAGCAGACTGCATTATTCAACTGTGGAAGCAATGATGTGCACACGAAGCTGGATAATGGAAGACATGGAACGAGTTAAACTGCAACTATACCTCTCGATTTGATTACAACTGTATTTACTTAAATGTTAACCTTATCCTCTTGTTTGTACAGATTCTGAGGCTGCTGTGGAGGCATTGGAGGGAGTATTCTCTACGATGTCCATTGAAGATAGCTCTGTTGAAGAGGCAGAACCTGGGGGTAAGACACTAAGACTTTCTATTAATCTTTCATGGTTCTGACTTTGTTCATTCGAGCATAATGACTAATGTATTTTGCTTTCATTTTTCAGGTCCAGGAATGGTGTTCATGAGATCACCATTTGGCCATGAAGACTGATTACTAGAGATTTCTTTGTTGTGGAGCCAAGGTATAAACTTTGATAAGTTATCTTTTAACATTAATACATTATGAGCTTTTGGAGACTTGCTGGCTATAAACTCATGTTTATACTTCAACTCAAGTTCTTAGTTCTTAGCTATGAACTCATTTTGCTTGTTGACTTGTTTCTGCAGACTTGCTGGCTGCTGCTTGTTGATCTGGACGACTGACTTTTTGAAGGATGAAAGCTCACTGTTGGCTGCTATTGGAAATTTGGAATGTTGCTGCTGGTGGACTCAGTAGTTGATAGGGGTTGTTGTTGCTTTTGGTTTGCATTTTGGACAACATTCTAGTTTCATTTTCCTTGATTTTTTATTCTAGGTGCTGTATTTCGACACTCATTTTGCTGCTTGGAATGGATTATGTTTGGTTGATTTTGTTTAGTTGTTGTGCTTGCTATAGCTGAGTTGCTGGCAGCAACAATGCAGTCTGATTTTGTTCATTTGAAACTATGAAACATGAATGAAGTTTGAAGTTTGTTTTCAATTTTGTAGTTTTATCAGAAATTCTGTTTTTTAGCATTGTGTATCGGGTATTAACAATCCGCGGGCATCCGGAAAACCACCCAATGACGGGGACGGTATCCAACTCTGACTCGTTACACTGGCGGGGACGGGCACGGGTAAACCCGCCTATTTTAGCGGGCGGGCATCGGATAGTGGCTACCCGCCCCCGATCCGCTTCGATGCCATCCAACTGTTGGATCAAAGTCTGGTTATAGATCCTTTTTTTTTTGTCTAGTTATCACTTGATTTGCTGAAATCAATATTTTAGTAGACTATGAAACTCAAGAACAATATCGATTTTCAGGTTTCCCTTACTGGTAAAATGACAAAATGGTCCTTTAAAAATTCTCCAATCCAAATAAGTACTGATTATGGATCCCATTTAATAGGTGGGGGGAGTGAGAAATATTGTGGTGTCAAACTCAAATATATTTGTAGGCCACTTTTCATTGTTGGGACAGGGGCAGGTGAAAAAAGAAAAGGAGCCCAGCAGTGCATAATGAATTGAAAACTCCTACTTACATTCCAGTCTTGTTCTTCAGGCTTGCTTTTATAGTTTAGCGGATTGCTCATAATATTGTCGCTTGGCTTCTCTTCCCTATTCTATTTTGAGGAACCCCACCTCCAACCCTTTTCACTTTCATTGTGTATTCTTTTTAGTCCAAATTTCCTATAAAAAAAGTGTTGATTGTTAGTTTGGCCTGTCTCACTGTCTACCTATTCCTTTTTTCCACCATTTATTTATTTATTTATTTATTTTGCTTTCTGTTTCCCGGTAGATAACAAGAGGGGAATAAAAATCTAGGCTTGACATCCAATCTATTTATTTATTTATATAGTTAAACTTATGGTTGGACCCGTTGGCAACCACAAATTGACTCCTAATTTGGTGCCCTCTTCCTCACTTTTTTTTTGTTTCATCCAACCGTCTTGGCTGACCAAAATGGACAAATTTGGCCAGAGTCATTATTGCTGACTGAGATTACGATCCCAGCATCAACAGCTAAATTGTTCGGGGGCTGCTTCCACACATTGTCATGTTCAATGACTGCTTCAGAGTAAAACCAGATGAAATCACCGAATACAGAACCATAGACGGCCATGCAGTTACAAGGTCGCGAAACTCGCCAAAGAGCCAACACCGCACAAGCGTAGAAGCGTGTGCTGCTTTGCATCTTACTCTTACCAAACCATGCCTGCTTGTAGCATGCATTCAACAAGCAGCAGAACCACTGCACCAGATGGCTTCCGGCTTTGGCAGGCAAACAAGAAGAATAAAAATCGTTAACAAACATACTCCTTTCATCTTTAACATATGAGATCAACCCACTGGAGTGGTGCCTCTCTCAAGCATTCATTGTTTACAATCCATATAGTCATAATATAACCTAAAATAATCCGAAAAAAGACAGTTCTCAAACCCATAACAGATGCAGTCCTCAAGTATATACTACTCGCACCACAAGTACTCGAAAAAATATATATCTTAATAATAGATTGAAGCAAAAACAATACTGATAATCTAACACCAACCTTATAGAGCAGTGGCCAGTGAGAGAGCAGCAATGGACATTCCGGCGCAACCCCCACATTGGCTCACAACAATGAATTCAGGGCACCTCTCCAGCTTGCTGTCACGACACTCCCTCTCCGCGCTCTCACTGATCACTAGATTGTCTATCATAATCTGCACCAGATGAGCTTGTATGCGAAAAGGGATCACTAACCATCCATCCATCGATCGACAACCATTCCTCCTCCTCGTATCTACGCTGTGCAATATGCAGCGATAGCCGTGCATTGGTACACACAACAGTAGCAGCTGCTGCAGACTACACTTTGATAAGGAATGCTGCACCGATCGATCCATCCCGCCCAATCTGACATTAGTTTAGTCAGATAGGCCAGCCTTCCTTCGGAGGTGCTCCTTGAAGCCCATGATGTCACCCTCCCACCGTGTAACAGCCTGATTCTCGCACACCCATATCTCCTGGGCCACCTGGTTTATGAGCCTGAAATCGTGGCTAACAAGAACCAAACCACCGTCCCACTCGCTCAATGCCTCGGCCAGAGAGTCTATGGTTTCGATATCCAAGTGATTCGTCGGCTCGTCCAGAAGCAGCATGTGCGGCTGCCTGTAAGCCAGCCAAGCAAAAATCACCCTTGCCTTTTGTCCATCAGACAGGTGATTCATCGGCATGACTTGGGCCTTTCCGGTCAGCCCGAATTTCCCAATTGCGGCCCTCATTTTCTCCTCCTCGTTCCCTGGATACTCTCTCATCATGTACTGGAGTGCGGACATGTCCAGGTTGAGTTTCTCAGCCAAGTGCTGATGGAACTGAGCTATCCTCAGGTGGTTGTGCCTACGAACCATGCCATCAGTAGGGTGCAAGTCTCCGGTCATGAGCTTCAACAATGTACTCTTGCCAGCGCCATTGGGACCCACCAATGCGACTCTAGAGTCCAGGTCGACACCAAAGTCTATATTCTTGTAAATGAGATTTTCAGGCGTGTAGCCAAATGACACCTCGACAAACTGGAGTACGGGCGGCGGGAGCTTGCCCACATCGACAAAGCGAAATATGAGGACTTTGTCTCTGACCACTTTTTCAGTGAGCCCGCCCCGCTCCATCTTAGCAAGGGTCTTTTCTTTGCTCTGTGCCTGCCGAGCCAACTTGGCCGATCCATGACCGAATCGAGCAATGTACTCCTTCATATTAGCAATCTGCTCTTGCTCCCATTTGTACTGCTTCATCTGATTCTCTTCCAGCTCAGAACGAGTTTGGACATACTGATCGTAGTTGCCAGAGTAAATCTTCAAACTCTTGTTCTGCATGTGTATTATGTTTGTGCAGACACCATTCAAGAAATCCTGAGAGTGGGAAATCACCACTAAGATTCTAGTGAATTTCTTCAACATTTCCTCCAACCAAACACAAGCTTCTAAATCTGTAACCAAACAGAACCAACGTGCATATCAGTTTGTCTGGCTAGAGTTTAAAGCTAGACAATTGAGGGCTCCTTCAAGGTACAGGGGAATCAGATTTTCATAAACAAGAGGAATTAGTTAAGTTGGCAAAAGGGTCATTATTATTATATTATCAAGCATTCAAGGCTGACTGTGTAGCATAAATTATGTTCCGGCCACTTACCAAGATGATTAGTAGGCTCATCTAGTAAGAGAATAGTGGGGTTCATGAACAGAGCTCTAGCCAGCGCAATCCTCATTCTCCAGCCACCAGAGAAATCTCTGGTCTTCTTTGCCTGCATTTGCTTATCAAAACCAAGACCAAACAATATTTCAGCAGCACGCTTCTCAGCTGTAGCTGCATCCAGAGCATCCAAACGCTCATAAATTCGCTCAAGTGTTTCGCCACCACCATCATCCTAAGCCACAGCAAAAGATAAAAGGACGAAAACACGAAACGATAAGTATAGGCTTCAAGGATCAATATCAGTGACAATTCATTTACATTATCAATTACTCTAAATACCTGACTTGCCAACACCTCAGCTTCTTTCTCCAGTTTGATCCTCTCTTCATCACAACTGATAATAGCCTGAAGTGAAGACATGTCAGATGCTTCAATCTCTCTAGTAAGGTGATATATATCCATGTGTTCAGGAATTGGAAGCTCTCGGCGGCCTAATGCAGTAAGCAGCGTCGATTTCCCGCATCCATTTAATCCGAGCAAACCATAACGCCTGAAACAGAAAAATAAAGTCACAATGTATCCAATCACTGTCTCAGCATACATGCTCATTGGGGGTACCAACCTGCCGTAATTGAGCTCCAGCATGGAATCTACAATGAGATCATGTCCATGAAACGTCACTGACAAAGACTCGATCTGCCATAAAGAAGTCAAGTTAATATACAGTAATTTTAGTTATCCATGCATTCAGAATTGCTATTTCTATATCAGGAAAGATATCCATAAAGCATCCTCTTCCTTGACAAAGGCGGAATGTACACAGAAATGAGGAATCTTATGGCAGAACAAACAGAACCAGTTTCCCAACAATTTGGAACCAAGACGCCTTACACAAGCCCCCTAAACACAACACAAAAGCTCCCTATTTCAGACGAAACAAATCACCTCGAATCATCATGAACACCGTTTCATCAACAAAACATCTCCGAAACATCAATAGCCCTCAACAACCAAATATCAAGTGGCAAGAACATCACATCCAGGGCATAGATTATAGAGCGAGTGCAACAAAATTACTCCACCGTCTCAACCCTACACACCATTTTCACGCTTAGAGAGAACAGATAATAAAACCACTCACCCGAATATCCCTGGATAGAGGATGGGAACAGAGGACGCCGGTACAATTACGATCGGAAATCTCCATCGTTCCAATTCCGTTAGACAACTTGTCGACGGCGTTCCCGTTCTGCGAGGAAACAGCGGCCTTCGAGGATGCGGCGGCGGCAGCTACCTTTCCGCCTCTCTTGGCCGCGGCCGCGGCCTTCTTCTGCGCCGCCTTCTTCTTGCTCGCGTCTGACACCATCTTTACGAACTCTGCAGTAAGAAAACATTGCATCAGAATCAGAATCCAGCAATAAAGTACGTGAAAGGAAAATCGGAAATTTCGGAGGGATCGGAGAGAGTAAATTACCTGAAAGACAACAGAGAGATCTGGAGAGAGTGTTAGTGGAAGCTGGATCTAGGGTTTGCACAGTACGGCGAACAGGGGACAGAGCGGCGGTATAACGATACGGCGGTAGAAGCGGCGGTGGTGGTGGTGGACTGGTGGCGACGATGGAGAACGGTAGGAGTTGGGGGGAATTTTGGTATTTATAGACGGTTGAGGGACGAGGAAGCGACACGTGTACGGGGACAGGTCCCAGACGATTTTTTGTTATTTATTTAATTTCTTAAAATTTGGACAAAGGTTAGTGCGAGTTTGGGTTGCGTAGGTTAGTGAAATTGTGAGTCGAGTTGTGGTTGTTTTCTGGGTTTGGTAGTGGTCTGGTTTCAGAGTTCGGTTTTCGCTTCCTGCCTTTTTCCACGGGATTAGATGCTAACCCTTATATGGGTTAGCACCGTGATAACTAGCAAAAATCATTACAGATTATTATAAAATCAATACAACATCTAAGCTAAATCACTACTAATTCAAACTAGTAGTAGTTTTTCTCTTGGTTAAGATGGTGCTAACTATTGTACAATTAGCACCGTAGCCGTTCCCCTTTTTCCACACTTGCTCGCACGTGTTTGTTTATGAATGTGCCTTTACTTGTGATGTGATTAATTAATAATAACTTAAATTATAGATCATTTTGGGCCATTAGGTCTGATAATAAATTGGATGCAATGGTTGACTAAATTATCATATTAGCTTCTATGATAATTTGGGATCCTATACCTAGCCCCGGTATAATATTTGGAATTTTACAATACTATATAGTATTGGTGCTATAGGTTTTTGCCTTTATGGTACAACTTGAAAATTATACATTTATGTAATGGTACAACTTTGGATTATGCCTATAATGTTTGTACAAATTCTTTTATGGTACAACTTGAACTTGTACCATCACATAATGATACAAATTCTTTTATGGTACAATCTAAACTTATACATTTCATGTTATGGTACAACTTTAAGTTGTACATTAAAGCACCAATACTATATAGCATAGTAGAATTGCTCGTATAATATAGGTAAATGCTTTTATTCAAAGTGATTCTTCGACAAGTAAATAAAATATTTTCATCTGGTGAAATTATTTACCACTTATTTTATTTTTCTAGCATTGCTAAAGACTTTGAAATATCATTTATGAACTATGTTTTGATGGAGAATAAGTTTACTTGATAAAAATGTATTATCCTCTTATGTCGTCAAGAAAATGAGTGATCTGATGTGCTCGTTTTGGATAACCAAAATGGATGCTTATTGCCTTATTTTTGTGTAATTACACTTCCCAAGAAACGCGATATAGTTTAGTTACCCGTTATCCAAATTATTGTTTTTTTTTTCCCGAGCAATGCCAAGAGAATAGTTACAAATAACACTACCCACAATCCCTTCCTATCCCACTAGCTAGCCACCCAACAAAATCAAAAGAAGCTAATTCTAACCGGGACAACAACAGGGCTTTGCGTGCCACTCTATGAGCAGCCCAGTTGGCTGTCCGCGGAACAACTCTACAGTCTATACAATGAGGAATAGACTGAAGAAGAAAATGACAATCTCTAAGCAGCGGACCACCAAACGAATCCTCCACCACACGGAGCTTGAGCTGACGGATGACCACTTCTGCATCTCCTTCAAAGATGACACGAGATGTAAAAGTTACAGGGCTCAATTTAGCGGGTTAACCCAATAAAAACTCAACGCTAAAACGGTGTAAAATAAATCCTGTATTCATCCCAAACTGGAACCCTTCTGGGCTAGGCGTTGAACGACCATGGGCCCTAAACCCATGTAACATCCACTTCTCCAGTTTCAGGTTGTATCAAAGGATCCGTTCCGACCAAAAATGAAACGTGGTTGGATATTGGGGCCCAACTCGCTCAAGTTGCTTTCTTCTCTGCTGCACTGGGCCACAGCTATGGCTGAAAATTGGCCCGACCCGCCTCTGACCCTGTCTGATCCGCACCTAAAAGGTCAAGATGTATAACTGACCCGCCCCGATCCTGTTTTTTTTATGATCCTGTCTGACCCTTTAGGGTCGGGGCGGGTCAGGAAGGGTCGGGTCAGTGGGTCGACCCTAATAAATAGACTATTTTTCTAAAAATTACAATTTGGCACCCGAATTTATTTTGTCTTACATTTTAGTACCTAAATTTTATTTTTTTTTACAAATAAGTCCCTAAAATTTGATGGTAAAATTACGTTTGGTACCCAAATTTTTTAATTTTTACAATTTAGTACCTAAACTTTTAAAATTTTACAAATAGGTCCAACAAGTTTGTATGATGCTAAGGGTCATAGGGTCAAAAAGTGACCCGACCCTAAGCTGACCCGACCGTAAATTGACCCTATAGACAAACTGACCCAGCCCGACCCTCCGGTCGGGGCGGGTCAATGGGTTTTAAGGGTCAAACTTACACCCCTAGCCACAGCAGCGCATCCGGTCGTGCATGCGGGTCCATCTTTTTTACATAACTTAGGGGTTGGTTTGGTTTTAGTGATTGTTTGGTGGGAATAGTTACAATGCATGTATTGTTCACAATGCATTGTTTGTTTGATTTGACATAAACTATCACTCAAAATGAGCGATAGTTAATTCTCAAGTTTTTTAGATATTGTTGAGATTGTTTGGTGAAGATTGTTGGGGTTATTTTTTCTTCCAACTATGTCCCTACCTTTTCACGTGTGTTACTTTTTTATATTAAGAGCAAATGGTAAAAGTGACATTCATCCAAAAAGTAATACAACTTGTTTAAATACTACAATAACTATCACAAAAACCAAACGATGTAAACTACAATATACCAATTTTCTTATATACATGCATATTAGAATACATACATTGATGAAAATCCATCAATTTAACTATCAACAAAATCAAACGATATTCTGAAAGAAAGTTAACCAGAAAAATATCTACGTAAAATTGAAATTTCCCGTAAGAGAAGAAAAAAACAAAATAACCTTAGCAAAATCGGGGAATTTTATGCTTCGCTGGACATAAATGTTGGTGGTTAATCACATTTTACTATTGTTATTTCATTTTTATAAATGTTCAAAAGTCATAAACTGAAAGAGAGTAATAATATATTTTATTACCATAGCTACAAATCCATAAACTAAGTAATCAAAATCATAAAGCCTTAATTCAGTAACCAAATGCGGTAGTTGATAAGTAATGAAAAATATTGATGTGAGAGTATATTTACTACCACTACATAGATAGTCTTGTTAAATCAACGAGGCATAAAAGAATACAAGAACGTATCAAAAGAGGGAACAACATCCTCCAACAGAGCTCCTCTGCTAACATCACCGGCCACCTCCTTCGAATTACTCATCGAATCACCAATTGCGCATCCCCACATAAATTACAAACAAAAGGATCATATGTTAGGACACCAAATCGTCCATTGGACCATTGTTGTAGCATAAGCAACATAGAAAGAAAATAAGCAACAACATGAAAATCATATAAATTATTTCGCCAATAAATTCTCACATACTGCTATCATCCTTATAGCGAGGGTCACGACTAGTCGACTACCCACCCACACTACTCACTACTACTAGAGACCCGCCAACTCTTGGCGGCAGATTGACAGTTCTGATTGGAAGATATTTATCGTATAAAGTTAATTTTACTGTTGATTACTTTGTTTTGTCCAGACACTCCTTATGTTTTAAAAAAATATAGATTACATTGTCTTGATCAGACACTCGTTATATTTTTCAAAAAATATTTTTACCCCTATAGCCAACTCGAATACTATTTTGATTTTAATCAAATTTGAGACGGAGACTTCCAAATTCAATAATAAATAGAGATTTGTGTGTTGTGCCATTTAAACTTCACAATTTCTATAATAATAATAATAACAAGCGACTCATTTGGATCATATTTTCCGGGAATCCAAACAAATATTTCTGTCGGTATATATGTTAGTGATGCCAATGCCCCTTCGTTCTCACATGAATTTGATATGTTAAGGTCAAAGATCAATATCCTCAGGACAATTTCTGGGGAACAGTGGCTGAGGAGAGTGACCACCACCAAACAAAGTCTTAAATGATTCAATTGTCATCAATCACAGTTTGCGGTCGCAATTGACTACAATAGTTTTAAATAAATGTGCATATCCCACTTGCGTGTACACATAGTAATACGTCCAAACTCCAAACTGTACGCCAAAACATTGACAGCTTCACCCCGAGGGACGAGACAAATACAATCCAATAAGATTAAACTCTAAAAATTAGTTAAATTTCAGTAATACTGGGATATCTCTCATTTAATTTGATTTCTGTAAACACCCACTAATCAATCATTTTAATTGATCACTCTCAAATACCGATAACGAATAACTCGTACGTGGATTAATCCGATACACACAATATGTCATAACTCGTAGCCCGTGAGTCAAATCAACGATTTATCACCATAAAACCGCCATCCGATGGACACATACTTAATTCTGGCTAATCTCAAATCGCTAAAATCACCCAGCGAGTATTCCCAGACTTCTATCTCATTATACACACGATTCAATTTTATTTTTCCGTACGTCAAAATTCAAAGTATGACTTATAACGAGAAAGAAATACAGTTCATTAAATTAAATTAGGTTAAACTGGTTGTCGAAGAGATCCACTCCCCATTATTATTATACAACTAAACAACATCCTAACCGTCACACCAACTTCAAGTTGGAAATTTCTCCATACATTTGGGGGGAAAATAAAATAAGGAGTGGTTGCAACTACAATACACGTTTTAGGGAAGATCGTCATCGTCACCATGGATATACACATGAAAATCAATCACCATAGAGAAAACGAGACAATCTCTATGGAGTTTGACAACTTCCCACAATTCTTCTCCTTTTTCTTCGATCACTCCGACGTCAATCTGTATCTAATTAAAAAAAAAAAAAAACTGCATCAAGCATCATGTATCCGTTTCTTTAACAATTAGTCGTTCTGTTTATCTTTCACTTTCCCGTCCACTTCCTCCGTCGTCGTACACGTCTCCGTCGTACACTTCCCATTTCCTCCCGCCACCGGCATTTCCCGCTCCTCCACCGCAGCCGCCTCCTCCCGGAACCGCTTGTAAATATCGCCCCGGTAAAACTCCCTCGTCCGGATCACCAAAATCAACGACACAAACGTCCCGAACAGAGTCGCCGCCGTGATTATAACAAACGCCAGCTTAAAACACCGGGTCCCGACGCAGTTCAGGTCCTGACCCGGTTGCCTGACCCGACCCATCGCCGCCAGCTGCTTCCTCGCCTCCTCGTCGTACAAATGCCCCGTGACCCGGACGTTGAGCAGGTACGACCCGATCGGGCTGGCGACCGACCCGAAGTTGTAGAGCGTGGAGTAGTACTTGAGCCCGAAGATCTCCGATATGATCGCGAAAAGGAGCGGCCATTGGGCTCCGAAGCAGAACCCGATCACGATCGACGCCGCGTACAGCCCGCCGGGGACGTTGAACGCGATCAGGAGGTGGCCGACGCAGGAGAAGAGCAGAATCATCGTGAACATCAAGGGCCGGGGGAACTTGTACCGGGTGAGGACAATCTCCGAGAGGAAACCCGACCCGACCCGACCCAGGTAGTTCCATATGCTCACCAGCGAGACGAACGTGCTGATGGATTTCTTCGGGTACCCGAGCGACGTCCCGATCTGGCCCAGATTGTCGATCGCCGTCAGCGTCCCGCCGACGCCGCAGATCGTCGCGATGAACAGGATCAGCATGTCGAGGCTGAACAGCGCCTGGAGGATCGTGAAGTCGTCGCCCCTGTTCGGCGGCCGGAACACCGTCCTCCAGCACGACGGCGATTTTTCCTCTCCTCCGTCGTCGGAAACAGAGGAGGAAACGGTTTTGACCGGGTCGGGTGCGGGTTTCGGGTCGGGCGAGGGGGAATTGGATCTGGGAATGACGGTTTTGTCCTTCCAGATCTTGTACTCCTCGGCGACGGAGACGGCGAGCGGGAGGAAGAGGAGGACGAGGACCATGGCGGCGCTGCCGCCGTACTCGGTCCGATTGAAGCGGTACTGCTTCTCGAGGACGATGATCGCCATGAGGAATCCGGCGAGGCCGAGGGAGATGTAGAGGAAGTTGTAGAAGACCTTCATCTCGTTCGGGTGCCGGACCACCTTCATGATCCGGATCGTGCGGAGGAAGGCGAAGGAGATGGCGGCGGGGAGCCAGGCGATGAGGAGGATTAGGGATTTGGAGTCGTCGCCGTAGACGCCGTGGTAGAGCTGGGTGATGATCGCGCCGCTGAGGCCCACGTAGCCTTTTAAAATCCCCAAAACGACGCCGCGGCTCTCCGGGAAGTTCTTGACGCACGTGACCAGCGCCCCGGTGTTGGCGAACGACTGGGAGTTCGCGCCGATGCAGATGTAGAGGCACATTTGCCACACCTAATTACAAAAAACAAAATAAAAATTGAGATTAATAATTAATATCGATGTTTGTAAATCATATCGTATTAGTGTTTCAATTTTTTGGGAGAAAATTGGAGCCTAAATATTTAAATATTTTTAATTGATTTGAAATGAAATACGTAATTGAACATAAAATACTCTATCGTTAACTTTTCCGACTACTGACCTTGACGTTGGTGAGCTTGCCGGTGACGGCGAGCCAGATCATGAAGTAGCCGAAGAAGTTGAGGACGGCGCCCATGGAGAGGACGACCCAGGGAGGGGTGACCTCGTTGATGAGGCCGGAGAGGACGCCGACGTTGCCGCCGAGGTCCTTGAAGAAGCTGAGGAGGTTGAGGGTGGTCTGGTCGTAGCCGAGGGAGGATTTGATGTCGGCGGAGTAGAGGCCGAACATGTAGGTGGCACCGGCGGCGGACATGATGAGGAAGCAGGCGAAGACCATGAACCACCGTCCGGTGACGATGTGGACGGTGAGGCTCTTCATGTCGCCGGCGGCCACCATGGTTTTTCCCCGTTTGTGTGTGTTTGGATTGCTGGTTGAAGGCTAGGGAGTTGAGAGAGTGTGGCCTTGGGGGGATTTTATAGGGACAAGAAGACAGATGTGTGCGGGTTTAAAAAATGGATATTAGCTGGAGGAGGAGGGAAGATATTAATCTTAGCTGATGGGCCCCATGACTCCACACTCCACAGACACTCGGACGCTTGGTATTGAGGACGATGTGTAGGTTTAATAGTACGTCAATAGTGTTTAAACGATATTGGACATGTTTAATAGTATGTAAATAGTATTTAAATTATTAATTGAATTAGCTAAATACGAATATTAAACGTGTTATATGTGTTTAGCCATTAAATGGACGACATAAAATGAAACACTTTGACAATAATACAAAAATAAAAATTTTAAACTCATAAAATATGTATGTTTATATATATATATATATATATATATATATGCATATTAAACGAAATATTTATCAACTATTGGCACAATAACGAATTGAAAATAACAAGTTTGTAACAAATTTTTACTATCCAGATTTAATTTGGAAGGAAGAACATCCTATAATTTTTTATTTTTTATTTATATACACACTATAATTTTAAATCAAAGATTGAGTTGAGATCACTATGGTTTGGTTTGGCCACTGTGCATGAACATCAGCATGTGATTCGTTCGTTCCAAAGAAAAAAGGGTCGAAGAATTTTTCTGTTATTTTCGGTTAAACCTTTTTTCATTTTGGATGGCCTAACTCTTTTATAACATGTGTTTAACATTATAATAAGTTGTTTTTATCCCCTGTTATTTTTTATTGTAGACCTCAAGGTGTGAAACCATAATATTTTGTTAATTTGAACTGAAAGGAACTTGATTTTAACTCTCACCATAAAGTACGTACAGAAATTACTCGTTTTCAGGTGTATCGTAATATATATGATCCTTTTCTCAAATATTGGACACAGTATTTAATTTTATACAAATATAACGTCAACGAAGATTTTTGTAAACTAGTTCACGTTTTGTATCGAGCATTTGTTTTTCTGGTGAAAGTTGAGTTGAAATAAGTAAGGGCCAAACCACATGTGTGGGGCTGGTCTATTTGTCGTCGGTAGCTAGGGACCGGCGACGGCGACGGCGACGGGTAAGGGTATGGTGGGGAAGGCTGCACCAGAATACCATACTACTGCAGAATCGCCAACGGGCAATTGCTACACAATCCTAAATACAATAATGTATCAATTGTCGTCATCATCGTAGAACCCAAGTTCCTGTCCAATCTTGACCCACAGTCCACTTGCTTGCCTTGTTAATCCCTCACGCCTGCATGAAAAAACGGGCAACGAGAACTGAGAAGAGAGAGAAAGAAACCAACCCGTCGTGATCACCAGTTCCGAACATCATGTGCTCAACAGAAATAGACGGGGTGATCGATAGGGATTCAAACAGGACACACCTCACGTGACTACAGAAGTCTCTGATGATGCCATGTCATGAACCAGTTGATGATCCCAATAACTCGAGTTGTTGGGAGATGTTCAATTGTGAGTCATATACCGTTTACTAGCTAGCAGATCTCTAACTAAATTAGTTTTACAAAAGTCTTTCATTGACGTTATTAGTTTAGTTATATGCCGCGCGGCCTTAATGTATAATTAAAAACAACAAGAACCCTAATTAAATTGCAAAGTGTGGTCCATATATGCAGTATCTTCTGGAAACCAATCGACTGATATTTTGCTCTCTCGAATCTCGATGGATAGGATCTGTTATAGTAGTTGAGAGTTGACTACTGAAGTAACGTAATGTTGGTGCCAAAACTATATAATAAGAGAAGTCGGACCAGTCAAAACCTAATACGCGGCAATGGCGGTGGGCTATACTATTTTCTTACCAAAAGTTTAGAAATACATAATACTATTATTGTTATCGGCTATTTGGCTTATCTTATCTCAATGAGCTGGTAATTAATCGATCGAAGCATATACTTTAAGTAGCGACCGAGGAATTGTTATTCACTAATGCCTGCCTGCCCTTTATTGATATCGATGGAGTTCAATTATTAGGGGACTCTTGTTTTGGGATTTTGGCCGACCTAGAACCACAGATCCATTTTTGTAGTTTTTTTTTTTCTCGTTGTTGTTTTTATTCATTAGATTACTTGATAGTTAGAAAAAGACAAGTATTTATAATAATAAAAGGAAAAATTAATTCACATTTTCAAATGAAAAAAGAAAATTGTGAATTAATTTTTTCCTTTTTTGGGTTCAAAATGAAAAAGAAAAACGAGTCAATTTCATAACTTTGATGTATAGTTTGGGCCATGATGTTATAGATTGAAAAAATTGATCGGGATGTTTATTATGTGGAATGTTGAGACCAATGCAAATATATTAACCGTATATTATAATGTATTCATGAAGGTGATATAAATTCTTAATTTCAGTGTGACGTGCTGCTTACTTAAGAGAATTGAATCTGAATCTCTGGGTTGAAGATTAGAGGTAGAACCACTAAAGAAAGCTTGGTCGTTAATATAATATAGGTACAATATGAAGTTGTTTCATAACGTTGAAGGTACAATTTCAAGTTGTGCCATAAAAGGCAAAAATCTATATCACCAATGCTATATAGCATTGTAAAATTCCTCATACTTAAGGTGTCAAAATGAGATTTGCTTAACTGGTTACACAATATACTTGGCATTGTAAGTGGAGGGAAAACAAGAGAAGAAATGATGACTGTATGTTGCAAAATATTGTGCATCCCATAACATCAAATGTCTATTTATGGGTCGGGTCGTGCATTGTCAATCTTCTGAACTAGAATGATCTTCTAGTAAGTGAAAGTTCTGTGTGTGAATCGAAACCTTAATTCTTATCTACTTAGCATCACTTCTTCTGCCGCCTTAGGTATAATAGTCCGATCGAATACTTTATATCATAAAATAACTTCTCCACCACTGAGCTGGAGCAAGTTTGAATCGAATACTTTATATCATATATAAGTTTCTGATTATCAGCATCACTCTATTAATTATCCTATAATTCCTTTACATAATAGATAAGTCCGAAGAGAATATATATATATAATAATACGGCACATGCATGCAAGCAGTAGCAATACTGTACCAGTCAACGCCGGAAGCTCCATGGCATCAAATAAATTTCTACATTTGCAGCTGCAGAAAGTAAAAGCAAATTAAACAACGGAAAAACGAGACAATAACAAGGCCGATACGCTATGGCAAGCATTTCTTGAGCAATGATTTGTGCTCTGACTTTTCAGACGACGACTCATTCGTATGCGTAGGAGTTAGGACCCATATATAACTTGAAAAGGAAATCTCACCTAAGCAGTTTCACACAACAAAGAAAAGTCATTGCAAGAAGATAGGAACGCAGATGATTAGTGTCTCTTATCCTTATTATCCTATAGTCTGATGTAGTTTTGCAAGGAAGAACAAACAAACACTTCACTGAAAGAGACGCAATGTGTTTTAGTATCTTCTACTAGTCAACTGTTTCTTACTAGGAAAGATTTGATTATTCGAGTTGCACAATCATCAAATTTTCTACCTTTCCGGTATTACCGATTCTTCGTCTAATATACGTATTAACAGCTCGTTCGTCGTTGCATCCATCAAACATCAAAACAAGCAGGTTGCCACTGCTAAGAAGAGAAAACAAATGGACAATAACTGGACTGAATCGCAATAAATCGGACCTCTTCCATGTAAACTGCAGACAGCAGCCAATAACTAAGACATCTAACAAAGTTGAACCCAAGAGCACAATACAACACGACAGTCATCTCGGTAACTTCCACATGACTCAAAGGGATGACAACTCGAACCTCTTCCATGGAAACCTTTCGTCCAATCTCATCACGTACAACAGTTCAAAGGGATAATTAGCCTACAATATTCTGACCCGATTAACACCTACTACGCCAAAAGGAAAGCATCCCTCATAGCATTGTCTCAGTAGCGATCAAAGGATCGCCCTCCCCGGCTATTTGGACGGTCGAAGGGTCCTGGTCTATCCCTGTAGCTCCTCTCGCTGCGTGCTGGTCCTCCACTTGCATACCTATCACCGCCTCCTCGTGGCCCTGCATCCCTCTCGTACGCACTGTCTTTGCCATACCCATTCTGACCAAAACGATCTGAACCACCAGCGTACCTGTCGCCTAGAAAGCGGTCACCAGCAGGAGGATACCTGCATAGCATACAAGTCAAAAGATCTCAGTTTTTTTTTTTTACTGAATCAGTTAGCACCAGTTCATCTGCGCATCCAGTTGATCATATAATCAAAACTTCCAGATCAAATAGACTTACGCATCATGGAAATTACACACCATTAACTACAGTCAACCCCAAAAGTTAACAATGTTTAGATGTTGAAATGAGTACATGCTACTTCCAGACTATGGGAAGTGCACTGAACCAAAAAACACAGCAGATTTATTATTTATCTAATGCATATTTGATAGAGAGATGCAGGTACCTGTCACTGGCGAAGCGGTCACGGGTACCATATTTGTCTCTGCTCTCAAAGCGGTCCCTATCAGCATAACGCCCACCATCATAGCGGTCATCCATGTACCGGTCACGTTCTCCTCCAAAGCGATCCTCACGATCGGCAGGAGGGCCACCAAACCTAGAGCGTGAAGGGAATGCACCGCCACCACCTCCTCGGCCACCTGATGATGGACAGTCCCGAGCCCAATGCCCGGCCCGGCCACATTTAAAGCACTCATCTTGTCCAACATGCCTATCTCCTCCCCCATAGCGTCCCCCCCTTCCACCACCAGATGGGTAGCCTCCTCCCTTATAGCGATTGTCAGAGTAGCCTCCTCCCCTGTAACCCGGTTCAACATCTTCTCCCATCTTAGGTTGAGCCTTGTTCACAGAAATGGGCCGATCCCCAAGTTCCCGCCCATGCATCTCACGGATGGCATCTTCCATTCCCCGACGATCAGCAAAGGTTATAAATCCAAACCCCCGGGGACGTCCTGTGTCTCTTTCCACCATGATCTACACACATGACACAAAGTTAGTTGGAGAAAACTTCACACAAGTGCATGAAAGCAGTAATAACTCAACTGAGACATTATTAGATGGTGATGTACAAACAACAAACTTCAAAAAGAACATTCTATTTCACATGTACGAAAGGGTTCCATGCATATAGACTATGTACATGACACAACAAGAATCTTGGCCATCTACATTAGAGACAGGAGGAGGTGGGGGGACTCGCTGGCCATGCATATAGAAACTGGCACTTGCACATGCATATATGGGACTGTCTGCTACTTGCTTGCATCCGAGCGAATCTCGTTCACAGGAAAATTGCTACTAATAGCAATAGCAAAACACCAGAAAACCTATAACCACATCACCAAGCTTTCCAAAATGTGTAAGCACTTATACTTTCTACTTGTAGGCTCCATAACACACAGGCATATCAAATATTTTAGACTCTACTCCCAATGTTTCAGAAGAACTTTATCATAAAGAAAATAAAGTACCTGCTTCAAATGCAATCACAATAGAAGAAACCAGAAGTAGCAATCAGATGGGTTACCCTGACTGCATTATTATAGATTTGAGAATGCATCTTAAACAGAAAACTTAAGATCCTGCAAACCATGTCTGTTATCTAAGTTCGGCAGCCACTGGCATCTGTTTCCCACAGAAATCCGTGTGCAAGTTCCATAACAATGTTGCAGTCAAAAGAAACATCCCAGCTAACCAGTGAAATGCCCAAGTAACTATTGTGCTCTTTAATGTCATCATATATCACAGGTACCATAAACAATAACATTATCTCTCCTTTAGATATCTTAAATCAACCCCATCCACATGTAATATATGCAACCTCAAACTCTTAACCACTCAGAATTGTTCACAGCAAGGCACTTGTACCGCTTTCTTCAACATGCAACTCTGCAGATATGTATTCATTTTTCCTCCCTTGCACCTTATGATTATTAAGATCACATCCTAATCAAGCAACTCGTAAAGGAACTGGATTGAGAACAGAGTTGCTCCCTGTGCGCTTTTGAAGTTCCAGCAGGCAAACGAAGAGCCTCTTGATCGGGCAAACATGTAAACCAAACAGAAAACTAACAAAACACAAACACTTCAACTCAAAACTGAACATCTAACAAGTAAAAGATCCCACAACTGTCTGCAGTTCCGACAAGTGAGAGTTTGATAACATCTGAAAACCCAATTACTCCAAAACAACTAACAGATACTTCAGTGCCAAATAATAACCAAGAATCTCCAGAGGTTTCTATCCACCGGTTAGGGGCACCTGCAGTCCATATCCTTATACCGTCTCCCAGAGGCTACAACGACATCAAGGCCCCTAAACTATTCAGTAAAATTTGAATCCCAGTGTGTCTATAACTCTATATGAGTTTTGACTAGGTGTGCAACATGAGTACATTATGACGAGACAGCTCCACGGATTCCATTATCAGCAGGCCACATTTGTTTAGGTGGTAGAAATCAAAGGTTCATGCAGGATGAGTTTCAGATGCGGACAACAACAACCACCCCACGATTCTAGAGCTTGAGACTGACAAATCGCCACCTACTACTTGATATCAGTTTTTGGGCCAACTGCCCAACTTGCACTAGTCTATCAACCATACAATTCTCTTATGCTGACACATCCCTGAATCAGTTGACTATAATGCAGGAGCAGCTCCAGAGGGCAGCAACAAACCAGAGCGAAATAAAGGAGAACAATCAGAAGAACCAAAAGCACTAGTGTCTGAAGCTGGCCCCAGTGTATCTCCCTGCACTAGAGCATCTGACTTCAAGTCTTCAACAAATGGCAGGCACGTGTGGCTCCCTTGCATCAGAATCAGTGCAAACTCATTTAATTGGCACGCAAAATCCAACCAAACTTCGTGAAAAGGCGGGAATTACTTCATGGTGTATGAAATAGCTGAACAGAATGCATGAGAGGTGATGGTTCGGAAATGGCTGTTGCAGAAAGAGGCTAAAACCAATGAATTGACAGTATGAAGCAGTCCTAAAGAGGGGAGGGATAGGGAACACTACACTGTAACTGAATGGAAACAGTCAAGGATTTTTTTTGACCAAATCGGCAATTAGCTTGACGCAACTCTCGAGCTTGAGAAAGTCCAGCACAACCTACGTGAGAACTCAAAACAATTTGGTCCAACTAACAAGAAACAGAGAACAAAACCATTTCCGTAAGATGAAGATGTGCAGTCACAAACACTGAACTTTCCGTTATCAAAGGACAACCAAATCAAATTTCTCGCTGCCTTGTAAGTCATTCAAGGGTGGCACAAACCATATGACACCAGCAAACCTCATCTGGAGTACTCAGAATCAGGCTGTTCCGGCGTCAACCCACATTTCTTCTTCTAACAGAAACAGCACACGTGATGCTCAAACACGTTAAACGACGCTATACAATTGCAACTGGCTTCTCTGACTCGTAGTATCTCGAAACACTATATAACACCCTTCACTTAACCTCATACAAAGTACTTCAGCAGCTTGATTCTGCCAACTTTCCCCCCAAATAACTTCTCTTATTATACATCCGCCTCAATTCTCAAAACATCATCACGAGGAAGTCCAGATGAAACAACAAAAACAACAAGATGATGAGAAAAGAAAGGGAAAAAAGTTCAAACAACCATACACGCTGAGTTGCAAAAAGAAATGGGCTAGTCAGCAGCATCATTCAAAGAAACTCAACGGAAGTATCATGTGCGTTTCAAACAATCAGAAACTAAATGGAATTGCCAATAAATGGATGCTTTTTTTATAAGGGTGATGTAGGTTTAGTTTTTTTTTTTTTTTAATCAGGTGCCAATACATGAATGTTTTCAGAAACACCCTTAGCACAACAACACTCCAGTCACTACCCAATATGGCCATCAAAGCCATTCCCCAGAAATGTCAAGGATCTATATAATTCCACAGTAATCGACAAATGCAGTAGCGTTAGGACAACTGGGGAGAAAAAGTAAAGATATGAACGATTGGCGATAGCTATTTCTCGGTATAAGTAACCAACACATCTCCTAACATGCCTAATTCGGTTAACCACCATGCGATGAGAGTACAGAAACTGTAAACTTTTCCGCTTTTGTTTATCCTCACTTCCCCAATAACCAACACACAAACGTAGGAATTAGGCAAGGCAAGAGCAACGAGATCAACAAAAAAGGGGGGGAAACGGCACCTGAGAGTCGATAATTTTGCCGAAGCGGCTAAAGGCGGTCTCGAGCTGACGTTCAGACATGTCCCAGCCCAGACCCCCGACGAAAATTCGATAGTCTTCCTTGGCCGCCATCTCGCTTGCTCTGTCGCATAAACTGGTAAACAACCCGTCGCGATCAGAGGAGGCCAACGACGGTGGAAGCAGAAACCCTAGAAAAAGAAAGAGGAAACGAACGAGGGAGAGATGGCCATTTACCTAGATAGTATTCCGCCACAACAGTTGAGTTCCGTACGTCGGTGACTCGGTTCGGTGGTGCCTGCTTTTCTTCCACTTCCAGGAAGCTTTGTACCTTCCTCTCACAAGTCACAACCCTGTTAATTGATTGGGCTCATCCCATCGGCCCATCTACTCCCAAGTTGAAAGCCCAAATAAGCAATCTTTCCTTCCTGAGACACTCGGTTATCTACGGACTACGATCAGTACAAAATTAAGATTATACAGTTCAATGCCTCTAGTTCTTGTAACATAGGGCATGTTTGGAAGTTGAGATTCTCCAAATAGATGCATTTAATCAATTCATGTATTATTATTTGATGTATTGATTCAATGCATGTATTAGGAAAATACCTTGTTTGGAAAGATAATGATTGAGCAAAAAGTAGGGTAGACAATCCCTTGTTAACAATCTCTACTTTTTGTAGAGATTGACAATCATTCATTTTGAGTGATTGTGGGTGGGCCAGGAAAAAGGTAATACATGCATTCTAACTCAAATTGAACCAAAAAAACGACTTAATCTTATCATTACATGTATTGGCTAAATACCTCACTTGAAATCTCAACTTCCAAACGACCCCTTAGTACCTCATCATTAATTTTCCTACAAAATATTCCTGAGACAAGATGACTGTTTCCGAGAGCTGCTTTCTGCTTTTCTAGATCATATCTCTATATTGAACTACTGGTCCTCGCAATACTCTGCGGTAGCATACTGCATGTATCCGTAGTTAGAATGATATAAAGACTCGATATTTGAGTATTATTAAAATCTAATTTACGTTTATTTATATTGGTACTTTAACTGAATGAACTGGAACTTCAAGTAATCAAATGAATGAAAAGAGTCGTATCAATGGAAAAGGCCAGGGCTGCAGCAAGAATCCCAATCACTATCGTGCTCTTTGTTGGAATTTGGGTGTGTCTGTTCATCTATATATGAAAAGAATGACAGTGGCAATCCAAAAAACTGGTACGGCATGTCCGTGTTGAAAAGAATGACAAATGTAAGTTGAAGATAGGGATTATGGACACCACTAAAGAGAATGACGGCGTTAAGTAATTCGATTTCTAACATGGGACTGATATCTCCAATACCAATATTGTAGTCTCCCTTCTATCCAAAATCCAAATGACTCTCTCTGGTTGTGGAGTTAAACTATACAAGTTTAGTCTTCCTCAGACTCTTCTATTACCTATGCTCAATCAATCATGCATGTCAGTTAACCTGATCTTTTGTTGCTACTTACTACTACCAATACTACTAATCCAACCTAAATGCATGGTTTGGAATTAGTAAACTTGTTCCGAACAATTAAATAGTCTCTTCCGAGATGCGCAATGGGCAGCAAATCGAGAAAGCTTTGGGCCATAATTGTTTTTGCCTAGCTCTAGGCTAGCTGGCTTGGGTCTCTCTGGTTGTAGTGTGATAAGAGCAAACCAGCGACCCAGCAGGCTGCTTCATTTAAGTGACTTAGAACTCTGTGCTGCTGGCTGGGATAAGGATAATGCAAGTGGACTTAGTGGAGTGTTTTTGTTGGGACTTTAGAACAAAATATTATCTCATTTCCTACCCTATAATTTCCATTCCAAACATTGAAACTAAAAATGAAATTGCATGTCCTAATTCCCTCAGTCCAACCCTGAACCATGTTTACGCCACGGTAAAGTATAGGTACATCCTGAAGTTATACTAATTCATGATCATTATGATGTTAATCCTCCTATAATTAACGAGCTAACCGATTCCCGTGATCATTGATCGATAGATACTGATTGGTAACCGAGCCCATTCTGGTGCATTGTGGGCAATTTCTGCTAACTCCATTGAATTCCAACCATATCCTTTCCTGACACCTTGCATTCCAAATTTCCAACACAGATTCACAGATTTTCCATATGCGGAAGCTCTGCCCACTGCCCACATGCATTGCTGTGAAATCATTGCTCTTTTGTGCGTCTGTGTCATACTCTGCATCTATGCTTCTCAGATATCAATATATAGCTGAATTCAAACTCAAAATCAAACAAATCCTCTCAATTACATTTGAAGTTGGATTTGTGGTTTACTCAAAATCACACCGTTCTATTATAATAATAAAAATTTCACACCGTTCTATCCGGTTAACCCCATCAAATTATGTGAATTCATACATTTTTTTAGTATGCCGATAGACCGTATATTGTATTGAATCACGTATTATTAGGTTAACTACAATCATATCTTAACGTTGGTGGCTTTTGGTGAAATCACTGTGGTTGTGGCTACGAAAATTGTGTGTTTTAGTCATTAATCAATTCAATAGGTAAGAGATTATGCTTTGTGTTTTGCTATTTTAAATGTACGTTGGATTTTAGAAATTGTGCTTGTTTTGTTTGTTGGGTTTTAAAATGTTTTTTTTGTAGATTGTTATAAGAACCAAACTAGATTAGCGGCGGGATCAGTAGAACCACCAAATCAGTTAAAATAGCGGGTTGGTAGTTTTGGTGTGCACGTTTGCGATGGACCGATCGATTTTTTACATTTAGACATGAAACCAGATGAAACATTCCAGATTTATTAGTCACTGGTTCACTATTTTACTACAAAAACATTAAGAGGAAAAAACTTTAACTTTAACTAAGAACATTCATCCAGAATTGCCAATTTTATTTCTGATTCATTATCTTCGTTTTCCAGCCTCCTTGTCGATTTTGTGTGGTCCACTGTGGCTTGCTAGTCCCATTACTAACTTGAATTTAATAGAAAAAAAGTATAATTTGTTTTGTGATCTGGTTTAAATGATTTGTTAGAACATTCAGTGATAGATTATACAAATTTGAAATGATTCATGGTTAGAGTGATAAACTTAGTTCTAAATTAGTATATTATATATGTATTTTATGTTATAGTGGATAAATAGCTCTATCAACTGTTATTTAACATCAATCGCTGAAAATATGAATCAGTATCCATTTCGGTTCTGAAAATAGAGATTATTATCCAACAATTGATATTTGATAATTTTTGCATAGAGAAACGAAATACTTGTAAGTCTATATAAGTAGTCGAAGAAGGTCATTACTAATTCACTATCACTCATCAGCCACTTCATACTGTTGCGCTCGCTCAGACAGAAGAAAGAAGCTAAGCCTGCTGATCCAGAGATAACAATGGAGGTAAGAATGATTTCCAGGGAGCTAGTGAGGCCATCATCCCCTGAAATCATAAGAACCAAGCCTCCCCAGAAGCTCTGCCTCTTCGACCAGCTCACTCCCCTCACCTTCTCTCCCCTCATCATCTTCTACCACAATCCTCACTGCCACAACCCCAACATCGCCGCCGCCGCCACCACTTCCTTCATCCACCGCCTCAAAAGCTCCCTCGCTGAGACTCTCAACATCTACTACCCTTTCTCCGGCCGGACAAACCCAGGCAACCTGGTCGTCGACAGGTTCGAAGAAGGCGTCCCTTTCCTCCACGCCCAATCCGACTGCCGCCTCTCCGATTTCCTCAAAAGCCGGCAGCCGGACCTCCTCAACCGCCTCCTCCCTCGACCGCCGTACCACAAGGAACCCGCCGACGTGGACGCCCCTCTTCTTGAGATTCAGGTAATTACAGATTTAACATTTTGATAATCATTTTTGGTCTCTGCATAGGTCTCTGTTTTCAGGTAATTACTGATATGATCCAATTTCCGGCGACTCTGCATAGGTCTCTGTTTTCACCTGCGGCGGAATTGCCTTAGGTTGGGCAGCTTCTCACAAATTGATCGACGGATTCACAATGCGATCATTAATCCACGTCTACTCATCCATCTCCCTCGGCGGCCGCGCCAGAGACAAGATCCTCGCCGCTCCCCGGCCGAATTTCGGCCGCGCGGCGGAACTATTCCCGGCGAGGGAAGACATCCCGGAGAGCTACAGAACCGTAATGGAGAAGATCTGGTTCACTGAGGGAAACTACGTCACGAGACGATTCGTGTTCGATTCCAAATCGATCTCCAAACTGAGAGCCCTGGCCTCGTCGGGCGGCGGAAAAACAGAGCAAAAACAGGGGAGAAAACCAATCAAGCTGTCGAGGGTGGAGGCGGTGTCCTGCTTCATATGGAAATCGAACATGTCCGCGGCCAAATTCGTCTCCGGCGGGACGCCGAGGACCTCGGTCCTCGTCGAGGCGGTGAACCTGCGGGGGATGACGGATCCGCCGCTGTACGGCGACTCGATCGGGAACGTGGTCTGGTGGGCGACGGCGTGGGCGGATGAATCGAGCGCAGGGGAGCTGCCGGAGCTGGCGGAGCTGCTGAGCGGAGCAATTGAGCTGTACAAGAGCGATTACGTGAGATCGCTCCAAGGGGAAGAAGGGTTTGAGGCGATGTCGAACTATTTTGACCAGCTCGAGGGTTTGCTGCTGGAAGGGGAGGTGAGGCCGGACATTCTGGCGTTCACGAGCTGGAACTCGTTCGGGGAGACGAACCAGGATTTCGGGTGGGGCGGACCGGTTTGGGTGGCGGCTATGGGGAGGCCGAGCCCCGGGTTCAGGAATTTTACGGTTCTGGTTGATTCGGTTGAAGGAGGTGGGAAGATGGAGGCTTGGATTACGCTGGAGGAGAAGAGGATGGCGGTTTTCGAGAGGGATCCTGAGTTCTTGGCCTTTGCTAGCCCTAATCCTATCATCTCGAGCCTGTAATTTGATAGAATCGGTTGTTGTTGGGTTACCGACCCGAGTTGGTTCGTTCGGTTATGTGTCGTTTTTTTTTTGTTTTTTCTTTAACGAAGGAGATTGTTGGGCCTGGGCCTTTGCTGTCTTGTCTTCCTCGCTCCGAAGTCCAAATCCAAACCTAGCCCCGCTTCTCAACGCCCACAAGACAAAATCTCTAATCATGAATATTTTTATAATATTTTAAAAATCATATGCTCTAATAACAATTATTCATTTTTTTGGAAAAAAGTTAGATCATACAATTGGAAAAAAGGTTCATAAGAATTGACTCTGACGTTTTCGAACCATGTATTTGATTCCAAATGTCTCTTTTTTCAATGGCAGCATCCAAAGAAACCTTGGTGTTGTATGAATTGGAAATCACTTGGGAGTTGGGAGCGCATGTATTGCTTAATTATTTTAGTTTGTCTCATTCTGATTCATGGTTAATCAAATTTTTTTTAAGGCAAATCCAATGACATTGATATAACAACTTGATTATAAGATTAACTCGGATCAGACTCTCATGAACATCCAACATCTAACTACTTGAGCTGAAAGCTCTCAACAAATAAACAACACAGACTCAGGATACAAATGCAACAACTTAAAATATAAGAACTCAAAGCATATCATGACAAACGATGAAGTATTAATTTAAATAGGCCGATTCTTGTTTTCCCGCAACTTCGTCTACATTCGAGCAACCAGAGTTCGATTCCTAACATTGATTCCAACCGTTTGAATCACAAGTGAGAATGAAGTTGTGGCCATGTAGTATTGAACAGCCCTTTGAATCTCTCCATCGCGACGGCCTCTAAGTTAATGGAGAGCGACGAAACATCGTTTTCATCATTGGGTTTCGACAATATGAAACGCGATCCTTCATAACTTGGTGAACGAGTAAAAATCGGGTCGCCCCACCCGAAGTTCAGCACGAAGTGACACGTCGGAGCCGGTGGAGATCTTGATCGGAGAATTGTCCGGTCGAGGAAAGGCAGGAGGTTCGCCGTCACAGGTAGACGACCACGAGCTAGGCTAGCCCATTTGGTGAATAAATTATAGCACTCTGTGCCGTCAGAGAGGCCATGGTGATACCCAATCCCCAGGCAAACTCCACCGCATCGGAATCTTGTCAGCTGAGCATCACGATGAAAAAAATCTATTTAATTTTTACGAAGTTTAATAATGAATATTAAACCACATATATACGTACTAACACAACTCTTCAAGTCAAAACTACTCATATGGGGTTTTGAAATTTGCACAGGTCCGAATTTCATGTGTTTAAAACTAAAAGTGTCGTCAGAATTTTGAACAAAAAACCTCTAAGCCGCAGAAGGCTCTGAAATATCATGTCAAAAGTCAGTTGCTTTCAATAACTTAAATTATTGGAAAAGATTTCATAATGGATCTTACAGTATTTACCAACACCTAACACCTCCTCGAGGTGAAATGTAACCCTAATTAAACCTAGAACGGAAGAAAATGTCACACAAACCTGCATACCCGAAACAAAAAAAATTTCGTGACTTCCTATTGACGACAAATAATTTGTTTTCTGTGTCATATGTTAGTTAAGTTTTGATGGTAAAAATTTAAGTCACCTGTACGAGAAGCAAGGGAAAGGAGGAAATGCCTTTGGAGAAGTCAACTTGTGGGACTAACTGCAGTAACTGAGGACCAGGCTGGAAATCGCCCATGTCTGAAATGGTGGCATCAGTTTCAGCTTCCACGAAAAGGACGCCTTGGCCACCGCAGTCGATTTCAAATTCGCCGGATTCATCCCGGGCCAATCTCCCCGCCGCCGGGAAGAAGGTGACGAGGGCCTGACTCAGGGACTCCTTCATCACCCTGCCGTCGAAGAAATTGCGAGAGCGGCCGTCAGGCCTGTAAGGTTGCAGCATCGTCGTCATCATGTGATCATTTTTTTTAACGACCAACTGGTCCAAGTTGGAGAGCCACAGGCGCTGCCGCGGGGTTTCCTTGGCCGGTCTGACCATGCAACTTTCCTTCACTGCAACTCTCATCTTTTCAGTTAGCCAGTTTCAGTAGTCAGTCTGGCTAGCTAAGTGTTTTGGGTTAACTTTCACCAAAGAGACAAAGAGGTTAGCGAGGTCGAGATGGCTAGATATGTGTAAGAGTTGCCGTTTTTATAGGCGCAACGTTACACCGCCGGGGAAAAAAATTGATGAGCCCATGATGGTTTTCTTTCATATTTGACTGGACCTTAGTTTTTCAACAAAGACAGGTTTCCTTTTATTCCATCCGATCGAGTCAAGGAAAAGACCAATAGTCCATTGGAAATGTGGAACAATGATATAGAACTAGAGTGAAACCGTTCGGTTGTAATGATATCAGGTAACGACAACATCCGTCCCCTGATAAGCCACCCAAATTGACTAGACATATGTTGGATGGTTGTTTGCTTTATTTTTATTATTATTATTACTATTTTAAGAGGTTTGTACCACTATACCATGGAGATTGAAAAATTACTTATTTTTAGTAGTTATTAATTAATTGTTAAATTGATAATTTATTAAGTTAATTTTTTATAATATATATGGTTAACAATTAACATAAACAATTTTATTGTCTTAAAATCATATTCATACATTTGATTTATTATAAAACAATTTCTTAGATTTTTTATAAAATTAACTTAATCGTCCAAATTCATACATAATTACTTTGAATATCCCATAAATATTCATCTTATCTTTCAAATACTTCAATTTCATTCGATAACTTATCGGATTCTACGTATTCATTGTACTAAAACTTAATAGATGAAAATGATGAATGTATCGATCGAGGCGGAAAGTTCAGAAGAGGTTGTGACCAATGTCATTGGTGGCACGATTGGAGATGAAAGAGATGATAATTCAACACCATTGGAATCGACAACGAGAAAGGAAGCACTTAAAGCCGCATCGATTCTTCAAAACTACTTGTTGCAATTAGAGAAGACAACACCAGAGATTTTGAGTATATCAAGACGAACTTCTACTAGTCTTTTAATTTCACACACAACTTCATATTCATGTTTTTCTAGATTATCCTAATTATTTTGTAAATTTCTTGATGAATTTTATTTTTATAGTTTTAAAATTATTAACTTATAGAATTTAAAATACATGCATTTATGTAGGCTGGTTCTAAATATTTATTATCTTATATTTTTTGTTTTTAATTTGCTCATTTTTTACATTGATCCAAATCGGGACCGGATAAATTATAATTTGTTGTGTACTTTTACATAGATTTTACAGTACTTATTTTCTCATTAAATGCCAAAATTAATAGAGAGTTCATGCCTATAAATGGCAAGAATGTAAAACTCTACGTTGTCGTTAATTGAATTGGATTATCATTTATAGATTTTTTGAAACAAGTGAAAAGCTCGCACTTGTCGATAACCTACCATATAATATAAATGGTATGCGTACATCATGTAGCCTGCCTGCCAGCCAAGAGCCCAAGACTAGCTTCCTCGTCGTTATCCATATTTTTAGTCACGAAGTCATTTGCGACGGGCGACGGCAGGAATGTCCAGCCGGCTTCCGCATGAAACGACGTCCGTTTTCGCCGTGCATTTACTCGTCTTTTGACTTTTCCTTTCAATTCACGCGTGTTCAGCCCATGCTCAATGGCTTATTTCCTTTCGATTTTCATACTTGGGGGTTTTTTTTTTGTTGCATTGAAGGGAGACGAAGCCAAGCCGCACAGAAGATTTTCATACTTCGTTTTTTCTTATTATTACGATGGGGAAAACATAAACAGGGCCTTAGTAATTACTTTCACAACTTTAATTAAGGAACACACTACCTTGATTTCAATTTACTTAATTCACTTGTTCTTCTTCGTCAAAACTTCATGTTTTATCATGTATTCTGCGTGAACGAAAAACCTGTTTTAAAATGAGATATTTATTTCCTAATCAAGCTACATGTGCTCAACCAAAAATATTAGTAAAAGATGACTCGAGAAAGAAAACGAAAACTCCATCTTGCGAGAAAAGAATTATTTCCTTCTTACAAAGTACGTTTGAGCATCATTGCCAGGTTCAAAGGTTTCTAAGTGTAAGTGTTGACCTTGTAAGCTTCTTGATCCACTTTCTAAGATCGGAAATCACATGTCATCGTGGTGATCTAGTGAGGAGAGGAACACCGAGCTTAGATTTGCTTGGAGACAGGCAAATTTCAAGTGTGAGATTATTTGATGACACGTGAAAGTGTATATTCTAAACCCCCGCATTGTGACCAAAAGTGTGTACCATTCCTATCATATCGTCATAATGCATTGGATTATTATTCTGATTGCTTCAAGTGTATTTTAGCAACCATAGGATTGTTCTTATACATTTGATGTTCTTATGCATTTAGTCTGATTCTCTAGCTACTTCTTCAAAGGCTTTTTATTGGCCGAATGACGCAGTAGGGGCGGTTTTCTCTCATAATGCCTAATGGAAAAGCTATATATAGGGGGGGGGACACGAGAGGTCAATGAAGAGTCGTTACTCTCCCTACGGAGCAACCTTCATGACTTAGAGCGAAACCACTTTGAAGCATGGTAAAGGAAACCGTACCGGACATCATACCGGATTCCTTTCTGGTATGGTATTTTGTGGTACGACCGTGGTTCAACCGTTTTGTACCGGTAAATATCGTTTTTCACTATTGATAGAGAAATGAAATGCGATAGTATAAAAAATATAATCCATCAAAAAAAGAACCAAATAGAGCATTATACAACCACGGTGACCCATTTTCAACATAGAAAAATAGCAAAATAATATTCTTTTTTAATTATTTTCCACATATTGGACGAGAATACAGAGAAATGAAGCTGAATCATAGACCAGGAAACCGGATCGTACCGGCCGGTTCAACCGGTCAAACCGAAAAAACCGACCGGCACGGTAAGATCAGCACAATCAGCCCACCGTACCGCTTTTGGTCCAATTTCTGGTTGAACCAGTTGAACCGTCCGGTACGATCCGGTTTCCTGGTCTATGCTTTGAAGGGGAAATCGACGGTGAAATCGGCCCCACTGGGACCGTTTTCTCTGTTATGACCCCCAATTTCTGTGGTGCTCTCGAGTCTTCATTTTTGACGATAAACGTCAGGACACCCTCCCCATGGTCAGCTAATTAAGTTTCTTAGTTGCGTAGGTACGTGAACCCTAATTGGTTCTAGCTATGTAAACTTGATGTTTGGTTTAATATGATTGTTCTTATTCTTATGCGGTGATGTTTGATTTTCTCTATTTCGTTATTTGTTTATTCTAATGACGGCTCAGTCTATCTTGCACACCTTCGAGGTGCAAGACTCGAAATTCTAGTTGTTTAGAATTGAATTAGAAATAGAAGTCCTACTCGATCGAACGTCATTCAACCAAACGATGCGTCGTCTCAATGGCAAAATTTAGAGGGACCTTGTCACACATTAGTTCGGATAAATATTTCAACACAAGAGGGGATCTAATAAAGTAAGAAATTGACAGCTCGTACACTCAATATTGAGCAAATTGACAAGTATTTTTATTACAAATGAACAGAGAAATATAAATACATGACATTGATCACATATCTCGGTCTTCATCAACAACCCTATCCCCCATGCAACAGCTTAAAACTTCAAGCTCTCAACACCTAAACACCCGACTCGAATCAGAACACAAATGCAACAACTTAAAACTTAAAGTACTCAAACATATGCTTTGGCAAACTACACAATATGGACTTATTTTCCCGCTCATTTGAGCAACCAGAGTTCGATTGCTAAGGTTGGTTCCGGCCGTTTAAATCACATGTGAGAAATTAGAAGTTGTGGCCACGTAGTATTCAACAACCCTTTGAATCTCTCCATCGCGGCGACATCCAAGCAAATGGAGAACGACACGCCATCGTCTCCATCGTTCGGTTTCGACAGTATGAAACACGACCCTTCGAAATTCGGCGCCCGGATGAAAATCGGGTCGCCCCACCCGAAGTTGAGCGCGAAGTGCAGTTGGGCCCAACTCACGACCTTGAGGTGGGGCGACCCGGAACTCCCCGGGATCCGGGCCCCGGCCCGGTCCAAATAGTCGATGGCCGATCTCATGTACACGTCATCAATCCTCTTTATCGCCCTCCGGATTCTCTTGGCCGTCTGCTGCAGCGGCTCCGACCCCAGCTCCGCCGGCGAAGCCTCCACCATGGCGTAGAACAGACAGTTGCCGAAGTAGCCACGTGGCAGCGGCGGGTCGAATCTCCTCCGACCGTCGACGGTGACGTGCAGAGGGACGGTCTGGTCTTGGTAGGCGAACCTGCGGGCGAGTGTAACGCACCGCCAGATGTGCGCCGCCACCACCTCGTAGGTGGTGTAGTTGCTGGCTTCGTCTTTCAGGCGCGCGATTTGGTCAACGGATAGGTTTAGGTTCATTGTGGAAGTCAACGTCCGAGGTGGTCGTGGGGTTTGCAGCTGGTCGTCGTCGTACTCGGGGTGCTGGCACGTCGGAGCCGGTGGAGATCTTGATCGGAGGATTGTCCGGTCGAGGAGAGGCGGCGGCAGGTTCGTCGCCGCGGGTAGGCCACGCGCTAGGAGAGACCACGTGGTGAACAAATTGTAGGATCCTGTACCGTCGGAGAGGCCATGGTGATACCCGATCCCCAGGCAAACTCCACCGCATCGGAATCTTGTCACCTGATCCATCATGAACACGAAAATTCATTTAATTAGATGAAACGAATTTACCTGGTTTACTAACATGTGTTAGCTTAGCTATTCATGTAGCAGAAGAGATTAATTTCACTTATATTTTGACGAGATGCATATTATCGAGATCGAGAAGGTATACATTATATAAATGTTAAGAACCAACCTCCAACTAGTCCTACAGGAGAAATTTAATAATGACTCTCAAATCAGTTACGTACTAACACGCCTCCTCGAATCAAAGTAACTCATATGAGGATGAAATTTTCATAGATCTGAATACCATGTGCTTAACTAATAGTTTTGTCAGGTTTCGAACAAAAGTTATTCAAGAGCCTGTTGCTTTCGATAACCTCGAGTTGTTGGAAGATATTTGATAATGAACCTTAATCATATACCAACATGCATTTAGCATCTTCTCCAGGCGAACTAACCTTAATCCAATCTAAAACGGAAGAAAAGGTCACAGACCTACAAACTGAAAACAGCAAGATCACGCGACTTTCAGTTGACGACAGATAATCTGTCTTCAAATGATAGTGTGCATATATAGGTTGGTTATGTTATGAATATGATGGTAAAAAATTCAAGTCACCTGTAGATGAAGCAGTGGGATGGAGGAGATTGCTTTGGAGAAGTCAACTTGTGGGATTAACTGCAACAGCTCAGGAGCTGGGTGGAATTCGCCCATGTCGGAAATGGTGGCATCAGTTTCGGCCTCCACGAAAAGGACGCCTTGGCCACCGCAGTCGATTTCGAATCTGCCGGATTCATCCCGGGCCAACCTCCCCGCCGCCGGGAAGAAGGCGACGAGGGCCTGGCTCAGGGACTCCTTCATCACCCTGCCGTCGAAGAAATTGTGAGAGCCGTTGTGCCTGTAAGGTTGCAGCATCGTCATGTGAGCATTATTTTTAACGAACAACTGGTCCAAGTTGGAGAGCCACAGGCGCTGCCTTGGTGTTTCCTTGGCAGGTTTGACCATGCAACTTTCCTTCACCGCAACCTTCATCCTTTCAAGTCAGTCCGGCTAGCTAAGTGTTTTGGGCTAACTTTTTACCTAAGTGCTAGAGAGGTTAACGAGGTCGAGATGGCTAGATCTGTGCAATCGTTGCAGTTTATATAGTCGCAATATGTTACACACAAAAAAAAAAAAAAAAATGATGAGCCCGCCATGCTATATATTCTTTCATTATAGTATAATGATCTTCCATGTTGATATTTTGACTAGACCAAAGACTAGGTTTCCTTTTATTCCACCCGAGTCAAGGAAAAGACCAATAGTTTAGTTCGTTACAGCAATGAGCAAATTACTAAAAAATTTCTTGTTTTTGGTAATCAAATTTTATAAAAAAAAAGGTCAAAATAATGAGATATCCATTTTCTTTGGTATACCCAATTAATACTACGGCGAGAACGCCTGCGAACTTGGGTCATTCAATAATTGGTATGCAATGCGTACATCATGTAGCCTGCCTGCCTTCTACACAGACAGCTGCAGATTTCTGGCCGAAGCCTGCCAGCCAATACTAGCAAGCTTCCTCGTCGTTATCCATATTTTTAGTCACGAAGTCATTTGCGACGGGCGACGGCAGGAATGTATTGTACAGCCGGCTTCCGCATGAAACGACGCCCGTTTCCGCCATGACATTTCCTTTCAATTCACGTGTGCCCATGCTCTATGCTTTTTCTTTAATGGGGGGTGATTGTTGGGCCTGGGCCTTTGCTGTCTTCTTGGCTCCAAAGTCCAACCCAACTGTAATTCTCAAAACAAGGTTTCAAGATCAAAGGCCCACAAAAATCTCCAGCTAAATTCTCCAAAGACTTTCCGCAACGGTTGGAGAAGGAGCCATCTCATTAGCACGCTAGTCCCTAGCGTTTAGTTTTATCGTCCTCTTTCATAAAATTTTCTGTTTCATTTGGAACTCACGAGCATGATCCAGAAGTCCCATACTAAAATTCTATGACATTCTGGAGATTTTTATACCCACAAGCTCATTTGCATCACATATACAAATTGCTATATGAAATGTGCGCAATAAAGCAACCCATAACTTCTAGAATTGGAAAAAATTCTCCTTTCGAATCAAACAAAATAACTAATAGGGTTTCCATCGCTAGTCATATCAATACGATGAGATAGTAATAATGATAATAATAACAATAAATTTAGCTACGTAGAAATATTCAAAATATTAAAAGGGGCTTCCATGCTATTTGCTTAATTTCCCCTAAATTCAAATTTCAACCCACTAAATTCAAAGAGAGACCCTTGTGTCGTACTCAGCACCAGGCGTCCAATGCTGCGGAATATGCACCAGATGAAACACGCCCTTCTCCTTTCCTTCTTCACCCTTGAACTCCAACAGCAGCGTCACGGGGCTCGCCGTCGGCGGATCAGCCAAAGCGAAAACGGCGCCGTAAGAATGGGGCACGCCGATCCACTGATTAGCCGTGCGGTCCAACACTTTGACCTGGAGCAAGTCGTACTCGCCCGCCTGGTACAGCACCACTACAGACAAATAGTCCGGGAACCTGCTCTGGTCCGTCACTTTCACGGCCAGCTTCCGGCTGCCGCCGGCACCGGCATACACGCACGGGACCCTGTGGTAGCTGATACCGACGGGGCCCATTTGCGTCAGCTGGAAGGCCATGGCCGGCACGGCCATGCCTTGCAACGCGCGCTGGCTGAGGACGAAGGCCGTACTGTTGCTTCCGTCGCCGTTGCCGGCGTCGGTTACCACCACGCGCACTCCTTCGCTGTTGCACACGCCCGACACGTTGCACGTTACCTTGCGACATCAAGAAATGCGTTAATTTTTTTGTTTTGTTTTTACCTCCATTAGATAGTATGTTTAAAAATAGTATAGTCAAAACATACTACGAAATTGACCAGACGCGTGACGGTCACTGGACAAGTAGTCGAACTCTCGATGAAAGAGTTTTTTTTTTTTACGTTAATTACCTGGTAGCAAGAGCCGCAGGCGAGGCCGTTGTTCCACATCGGATCGGAGACGGCGGCGACGTAGCCCATGTTGTAAGTTATCCCGATTTCTCCGTACCCACAAGCTCCGGTGGGCCCTCCTAGCCCGTCAAGGGAAGCGTAGTACATGGCCGTGGCTTCCTCCGCCGCAACGCCGCCGCGAGAAGCGGTAACACCGGCTAGCAGCGCAAGCACACATACCACCGCGGTCATCTTCATGATATTTTTTTTTTGTTTTCTCTTTCTTTTGGTCAGTGAATAATAGTGTTGTGTTTCTATATGGAATTGATCATCAGTATACTACAGGGTATTTATAGTAATCTGAATTGCTTGTTGGTTTACCGGAAAGATATTCAGTGAGGATTATGGTTGTTAATTGGTGATCCGATAGTTCACATGAACGAGCGGCAATTTTATTCAGTTTAAAAATTTGAAAGATATTATTAGAGATAATGTAAAATAAAATGTATTTTTTATTTTCTGTATTTCCCACGTATGTATCCCACACCTATTCAGTTCCTAACCTTTAGGAACGTGGGCATCTTTCTGTTGTAAACTCCTGTATATTAGTTTGGATTTACACTCAATGAGAATCAAGCAAAATATTCTCCACATACTTTTTTTCTCAAAACTCTTTCATGGTATCAGAGCTAGCAACGCTCCGCTAGATCCGATCCAATCTTATTCTTACTTGCCTTACCTCTCTTCCTGCTTGTGTGATCTCTACAGTCAGTCACCATGTCAGGCTCCTCTGTTTCAAATACCGCACCTGTTGCGTTCACTGACGACTCTATCATCACCTTCAACCCAGCCGCACAATTGCCTCTGAAACTCACACCAACGAACTTCAATTCTTGGCGGTCACAACTTGAAACGCTGCTCATGGGATTGGGGTTGATCGGCTTTATTGATGGCTCAACTGTTGCACCAGCATCTACAATCACAGAAGACAACACAAGTCGTCCGAATCCAGAGCATCGTCGTTGGTTTCGGCAAGATAAGCTGATTCTTCATGCTTTGCGCTGCTCTATCTCTGAATCTTTATATTCCTTTGTCTCAACTGCAAATACATTTTATTTTACATTATCTCTAATAGATATAGTATCTGGCGGAGACCGGAGTATCGGTGATTAGTTAGAGCATCTCCATCGGTTTGACTCTCCCCACTTTCATTCCTACGTGGCCCAAGTTTGCAATTTCATCTGCCCATTGCACCCATATGAGTGGCAATTGCAAAAATGGAAACTTTCATCTAGTGAAAGTGGGATTGCAAGTCACGGTGGAATTTGTGCTATAATTTTTTTTTCTTGTTTTGATTTCAATGCCCACTTTTGGCTGCATGTGCCATAGATTTAATTCTTATTGGAATTTTTTTGTATAATTTCCATGGACCATGTGTTAAATTAGTATTATTGTAATTTTTGTATCAATGGGAGTAAATAGCATCATATACTAATTTTATTAATTATAATAAAATATAAATAATAATATAAATGTAAAATTAAATTTTTATTACTTTAATTTCATATCTACAAATATCAAAATTATTATTTTATTTACTTGCAATGTGGATAAAAAGGTATTTAAAAATTGTTTTTAATGCATTAAAAATATTTAGGCCTCATATGCAATTGCAAGTTAATTGCACCAATATAGGTACAATGAAAGTAAAGTGAGTTGGCTTGCAAAAATAGTGTTGTGTCAAAAAATCACAAATGCAATTGCACCAATGAAGATGCTCTTAGGCAAAATCAGATTAAAGAGTTTTACTGATGGCACTTAGTAATTAAGAGAAAACATTCTGTTAACGGAGATCAAATAAAAGGTCTGGTGGGATTTCGTTTAGAGTTGCCACTTGATTATCTAGGGCAACTATCCAGAATGAAACAGTCCATGATAACTGCAATAACCTTTGCTACATTACATAGGAGTTAGGTGGTGATTATGCACCCCCCGGCATTTTTTTTTTATTTTTTATTTTTTATTTTTTGTAGTTAGCATGGATTATCAAGCACGAAGGTTGTCACTCGTCGATCCATTTTCGCACGTTGGCACGGTCGAGTACATTGGTAAAGGGTTAATGGTCGGATAATGTTATTCTGAACATGTAAAAAAAAATCTTTATATTAGGCTAGTTTAGCCATGCTATAACTTTTTCAAAAACAGTTTCTAACCAATCTCGTATGAGTTTGTATGTAAGAATGGTTGTGAACCTATTATCTATGTCTAATTGATGCTTAATCATTTGTCTATCTCTTGCTTTGGTAAGTGTGGTTGATTGCTTTGTTCTTGACCTAAGTTGAGGTCACCATCCCATTAGGTCAATATAGAACTCACATAAAGTATTGTGAGATTCGGATTACATGATTATTGAGTCGATGTCACATTTGTCATGGGCTTGTCCACAATTTAACGAGTCTTATCCTAAAGCTATGCTTGATTTGTTGGTCCTATGATCATTGAACCAAGAAGTCTACTATAAGTGCATCTAAGGGACATGGCCATTGCATTAGGTGATAAGTAATATGAACTCGGTCGGTCACCGGACACTATACTACTTTGCCGATATATGATGCACTTGTCCAGAATTGGAGTAGCTAGTATCGTTGACGGACCCCACAATAAATTGTAAAGATCGATGCGGGCGCATCGGATTTATCTTATTATCCAAGAAGCCACCTGTTTGATCCAACTTCGAAGTTGAGCTACTGGCCTATAAGTCTAATGTAAGATTGCTGTGGTCGCAGTCACTAGACTTCAAGCTTCAAAATAATGCAGCTAGCTGGATTCATAAGCATCTGAGTTTATTTTAGGTCTTCTTTCCTTTTCCCGCCAATATTAAAGATCACCCCTTCCAATTCCAAGGTAAACATGAGATAAGTAAAATTGAGTTACAGCTCCCTTCTTACACAGCTTCAGATTTCTTGCCAAAATCCTGCTGCCTTCCAACATCTCATTCAAGTAGTCTCTGTAACAGAGCCCTTGCTGCTGTAAAGTGTAAACAATTTATTCTTAATAATTACTCGACTTGTTCAAAAAAAAAAGTTAATTATTAATGCTATAGCCTATAAGCCTATAACACTCCCTTGCATATCTTCATCTAAAATTAGTTAAGCCAACGATTTAACTAAAAGAATGGTAACTCGTTAGGTTGTGACAAACCAGACTAGTATATTGTTGCGCTTGAAACTTGGACCCAATCATTCTTATAGTTTAAATTGCAACACTCTCAATACTAGATTGAATATTGTGTCAATAACGTGAAAGTCAAAGTAAATAGATAAGCTCTACTAACATCACCATGAAAGTTAAAACAAGGGTGGATATCAGCTGATTTTGTCTATAATCTGATCAAATCAAGATAGGAATGCACCAAAATTACAGAAAAGGAGAGCACCGTAACCCAGACCAAAAACATATTTTGTTCATTTGGTTCAATTCAGTCCGATCAAAGTTTTTTTATTCATTTTTCCTTTTATACTTAACATATTAATCATACTATTTGATCAGTAAAACTAATAAATTATTACTAATTATTTTATTACTATTTCATTAATTACTAAATATTCTAACACATAAAATTCTGAAAGTTTAGGGACTAAATCGACCATTTAACAAAGGCTAAGGATCTGTTTGCCAAACATAACTACACTGACTTATTTGCAATGGATAGATATTCTGCAGTATCTTTAGTGACTGCCTCTTTAGCGACAACCTGATTGGCGGTCATTCTAAGACGTATCTGATCTTCTCAATTGTTCGAATTTCTAATTTTGTTCTTTTCCGATTTTGAATTGTTCCTTGATTTAATCGTCCATTGATCACCCCGACCTTATATTGTCGAAGCAGGACATGTTACGGTGATTACTATAAAATAGTAATTACCGTGGTTATTAAGGGCAAATTGGATATGACAAAAAAATTATTAATTACCTTTTTTACATTTTAGGAAGTTATTAAAATATATTAATTACAATTCTCTTTCTCTCACTTCTACAATCTTCAGCCAGATCTCTCTTCCTTTTTTCCCCAATCTTTTCCTTGTTTTCATTCAGATAGCGATGCAACAATAAAACAATACCAATCCATTAAAAGAACACTACCACTACATAAAACACCAATACCATTCGTGAAATAAAAACACTACCATTTCACAAAACATTAATACCATTGCAGATTTATCAATATCAATACATGCAAATCACTACCATTACATGATAATCAATACCAATGCAAAAAAAAAAAACAATGTGAAAGAAAAACACTACCACTACAAAAAAAAACTACAATTTCACTGAAAAGCAATACACTTACATGATAATCAATACCAATGCGGAAAAAACAATACCAATGCGAAAAAACACTACCATTAAGAAAAAATCACTACCAATGCGGAAAAAACAATACCAATGCGAAAAAACACTACCACTACGAAAAAAACACTACCAATGCAAAAAAACATTAGCACTACAAAAAAATCACTACCGATGCGGAAAAAAATCAGATCTAGGGGTTTTATTCATCCCACATTTTCAATACCAATGCAAAAAAAAATACTACCATTACGGGAAAAAATACTACCAATGCGGGAAAAACACTACCATTTTTTTAATCTTAACCATGAGATTAAAAAAATGAAAAAAAAAATGGACGACAGATAATGATGTAGCCACGGTGGCTACTAGAATTTTAGTTACCATTTTGAGAAGCATTGTGGTTTGCGTCTGGGCTCTGTGGATTGAATCACTGGGCTATATGTGAGTATTGAAATCGTGGAAGACACACATCGCAAGTCGCCGCACTCACTTCCGTTGCTTGCTGAGAGTTAGGCGTCCTCTCGTCGGAACTCCTACACTTCGTTCTGTCGCAATTGGAGAGAGAACTCAACTCGCGAATGGAAATGGAAGAATGAGAATTGGGTTTATGAAATTGTACTGAAGGGTATATTTGGATTAATAGGAAATTACCAGGGGCACGCTTGTCACAAATGTAAAAGTATGGGCCGGATTTTAAAATAGCTGGGGGTGGGCAGGTTTTTCTAATTCCGGCCTGTGTTGGTTTTCAAATTCCCTGAGGGATACAATCCAGCGTTTTTTTATCACTTCCCAAACAAGGGATTGGTTTAAAATCCGGCAAGGGGAGTGATTCTATTCAAATCCCTCACCACATTTCTTAATCCAAACGACCCCTTAAGGTTTTCAAGTTTGGATCTAGTAGTTCGTCTTGTTACTATTATTGGTGTTTAGTAATTCTTTCTAGGGTTTAACGGTTGTGGGTGAGTATCTTATATCTAGCATTGTTACAATGTAGCTAGTTATATTCATGGCAGGGGGAGAAGAAGGAAGGCACCGACACTGGCTGGCTTTGAAGTGCTTATGTTGTTTTTGTTTGTCAATTAGTAGTTCTTTCTAAGGTTAACGTTTTATGAGTGAGTATCTAGCATTGTTACTATACTTAAAGTAATCAAATAATTGAAGGTTGTTGAACTTTTAAATATAGTACAGAGTCATTATTATTTTTTGTTAGACTTAGCAGATTGGTTATTATTGCTTAAAATTTAAATTACAAATAAGTTTGACTTTGTGGATAGACAACATTCATATATGAGGTACCAGGTAAGATTATTATAGAGTAGTAATAACCCCGATTACTAAGAGTAAATTGGATTTGAAAAAATATTTATTAGTTATCTTTTTTTAATAAATTACATATTAGAAGATAACAAAAATATATTAATTAAAATTTTCTTTTTCACCTTCTCTCAAAAGTGATCTCCAACCAGATTTTTCTTCTTTTTTTTTTTTCAATCTTTTCTTTGCGTTCATTCAACCAAACTAATACCATTGCAAACATAAAAACAAGAAATCAATACAAATTCATTAAACAAACACTACCACTTCAGAAAAACATAAATACAATGATAGAAATAAAACAAAAAATCAAAACCAACACATAAAAACACTACTACTATCGCAATATATACCACTTATTAACCAATATCATTACATATTTAATCAATACTAATACAAATTAACCAATAGCATTGTTGCCATGTTAAGTGTTAACTAAAATCCTGTGCACCCCAAACTAGTAAGTATGCATTGTATACTGCAAGCTTACCATTGGTTAGGATCTGAACCTGTTAGCTGGAATTCCATTGGTAAGAAGTCTACAAATTTCCTTTCAATTCTAACATGCTTATGTGTTTAATTCTCTCATGACAAATTGAATTCTAGAAAATACGTAGTAGAGCAGACTGATTGTCACAATCAAGCAAGAGCTAGATGATGGTCTAGATCGGTAGCCAACCTCATAAATGTGTAACAAAATGTAGCTTCAATAAGAGATGAATTAGTTTATCGGTTTTTTAGTCCCAATAACTTGAGATCAACTCGAGAGTTGAAATTTTCACAACGCAATAATAATTTGTGTTTAAATTAAGGTCAATATTGAGAAGCGTGAAAATTTGAACAGACAATCACTCGAGCAAACCAATTCTGATTCCTTGTCATAAATAATTTAGTTTCAATAATTACTGGACTTGTTCGGAAAAAAGATTACCTAAATAAATCACGTAACACTTTCTTGCCTAACTTGTCCTAATTTTTTTTTGTCAAGCCAACGATTTATCTAAAAGAATGGTAACTCCTTAGGTTATTACAACCCGACTAGTATATTGTTGTGTTTGAAACTTGGACCCAATCATGCTTATAGTTTAAACTTTAAGTTGAAGAACTCTCGATAGTAGATCGAATAGTGTGATGTGAGAGGATAGAAATTAAAAACTGCCGCCGACCGACATATTTTGGTAACGATGATTATCGAAGATGAAGGTCCCATTGTTGAACAACTTTCCATTGAATGAATTAGGGACAAGTTGCAGGGGAAGCGATGGAGGTGTAGGATGAACAGTGCAATGTCGTCGTCGGTGCAAGCGGTGGTGGGGAGATTGAGCCAGTTGGGCTTTAGAGATGGGAGAGTGATGGGTTGATGGGAGAGACAGGGTGTTGATGAGACTGAGAGTGTAGGTTGGAAGTAGAATGCGGTTGATTTACAGCTGCCAATCCACCCCTCTTAAATGTCGTCTTGATTTAACCATTTCCAAGGATATATGATATGGGTATTATAATCAACAATCAAACTCCGAAATCCGAATCCCATTCTGCAGCAAGACACCGCCGGAAGGGAAAAAATGGAGTTCAGAATCGTTTCCAGGGAGCTAGTGAAACCATCTTCCCCTGAAATCATACAGACGAAGCCTCCACACAGGCTCTGCCTCTTCGACCAGCTCACTCCCTTGACCTTCGTTCCCGTCGTTCTCTTCTACGCTAATCCCGACCACAGTAACTCCGTTCTCGCCTCCTCCACCGATCCCTTCATCCGCCGCCTGAAGCGCTCCCTGGCGGAGACTCTCGACATTTACTACCCTTTCTCCGGCCGGACAAATCCAGACAGCTTGTTCGTCGACAGCTTCAACGCCGGCCTCCCTTTCACTCTAGCCCAAGCGGTGGATTGCCGCCTCTCCCAGTTCTTGAAACGCAAGGAAACAGAGCACCTGAACCTCCTCCTCTCTCGACAGCCATTTCAGAAGGAACCTACCGACGTGGACTCCCCTGTTTTGGAGCTTCAGGTCTCTGTTTTCCCCTGCGGCGGAATAGTCTTAGGCTGGGCTTGTTCTCATAAGCTGATCGACGCGTCCTCCATTATATCCTTCCTCGCTACATTCTGTGCCCTGTTCCGCGGCCAACGGAACGGCGTCGTTTCCCCTGATTTCGCGCAGGCATCGCAGCTCCTCCCGCCGAGGGACCCTTTCCCTGAAAACTACATCAAACTGATGGAAACCCTATGGTTCACTGAAGAAAATTACATGACCAGGCGAGTCATGTTCGATTCCAAGTCAATCGCTCAGCTGCGAGCCATGGCGGCCGGAGGAGGGGAATCGATTAAGAAGCTGTCTAGAGTGGAGGCATTGTCCTGTTTCATCTGGAAATGCAGCATGGCGGCGTCCAAGGCGGTTTCTTCCGCATCCAAGACCTCGATTCTGGTGGAGGCGGTGAATCTCCGGAAGTTGATCAACCCGCCGCTGCCGGACGCGGCAATTGGGAACTTGTTCTGGTGGGCAGTGGCTGCGGCGAACCCGTACGACGAGTCTAACACGGAGATGTCGGAGCTAGGGAATCTGGTGAGTGAAGGGATCGGGCTATACAGGACCGATTACGTGGAGTCGCTCCAAGGGGAAGATGGGTTCGAGGCGATTTCCGGTCACTTCGAGCAGGTGGAAGCGATGTTCGAGGCGGAGAAGCCGGATATATTCGGGTTTACGAGCTGGTGCGGGTTGGGTTTCACGGGTCAGGATTTCGGGTGGGGGAAACCGGTTTGGGTGACACCGGCGGGGAAAGTGGGTCGGGCTTTTCGAAACATGACTGTGCTTGTGGACTCGACGGACGGGAGAGGAAGCATTGAGGCCTGGGTCACTTTAGACGAGAAGCGAATGGCTGTTCTTGAGCGCGATCCGAACTTTCTTGCGTTTGCTTGTCCTAACCCTGGGATTTCTAATCTGTGAATGAATGAACGAATGGTCAGTCTTGTTAGTTGTTACTATTCGTGTTAAGTTGCTCTTTTAAAGGTTGAACTGTTTTGAGTGACTACTTAGAATTAGTCATAAGAGTACTTGATATGTATTATGTGGTACCCAGAATTACAAGATTATATTATGTTTGATCCAATATTAAGTTACAAAATTGATTACGCGTACCGATTATCGATTTTTATGAATAAAATATCGAAGGTTTTCGAAACTTTCAAATATAGTATCAGACGTTATTATTTTATATTCGATGTAGCAAATTGTTTATTATTGCTTTAAATTACATCCATGGATGATCTGAACCACGCAAGATCCGCATATGTCAATTTTTTTATTTTATTTTATGATATGCAAAGGTTGAATGCACGGGGAGGTCCTCTTCGAATATTAGAGAAGCTCCAACTTGTTCTGTTAGTTAATTCTATACGAAGTTATGTGGTGTTTTTTTTTTTTTTGGACAACAAACATCATTCATTTCATTCCAAACCCAAACAAAGGGGAGCACAACGATTACAATAATGGAGCGACAAGGTTGGCAATGACAATCCATTCTGGAGGAAGGAGATCAAGACGAGAGTTCCTAGCGATCCAATCAGCTAACTTATTGAATTGACGAGGAACAAACTCGACGTAGATCCAAGGAGAGGCACAAAGAATGGAGACCACCCGAGCAAGGGAAGCCCGGCACTGCCAGGGCCAGAGGCTCGGATCCTGTCTCAACGCATTCGTCAAACGTTGACAATCAGAACGGACACACGTTGGGACAGGATCCTGGGCCGCCCAGATAACTGCATTAAGAATCGCAAACGCTTCCGCTTGTAACGGAGAAGAACAAAAGAATCTCTCAGCCTTCCCGTCGATAACCTGACCGTGGGAGTTTGCAATAGCAATCCCATAAGCCGCCATCTGTGCATCAGAAACAAAGGAACCATCACAATGCACAACCTTACTGAAAGGACCAGGCGGTGAAAAGGTCGACGACCGAGAACTCCCAGGCTGAGAAGGCAAACCAGCTGGACTAGAGGCAGGATGAGCTGAGGATCCAATCCTAGCTTCTTGGATACTTAGAACATCACGCTCAGCTAATATTGCCACAGAGGGCGGAGAGAACGCCCGACCCTCGAATACCCACCCATTTCGAGCAATCCAAATATTCCAAAGGGAACACACAATTTTGGTAATATGGGCAACGGGGACCCTGTCTTTAAGCCCAAAGAACCAATCCACAAAGCAAGAGTCATCCAAGGGGCTCTCATTCACCAAACCAAGTCGGGACCAAGTCTCACCCGCCTTGGAACAGTGGAAGAAGCAGTGCATAATCGTTTCCTCTTGGCTCTCACAGAGAGGACAGAGCGGGTTAGGAGCACACTTGCGAGCAAACAGCCTCCCTCGGGTTGCGATTGCATTTTTACAACACTTCCAGATGAAGAAACGAAGCTTGGGAGGAAGCTTGAGGTCCCACAACCATTTCCAATCATCTTTGTTAGGTCGAGCAGAAGCAGTCAAATCATTCATCGGAAATGAATCTCGATTTTCACGGAACATCCGATAGGCAGACTTAACACTGTACCCACCCGATTCAGTAAGACGCCAAACCCAGCTGTCCTTAGTAGACAAGGGACCGACCGGAACTCTGGCAATAGCATGCGCAATCTCATCAGGCACCAGATTTCGAATAGCATCCATATTCCAGCATCGGGAGTCACGGTCAATCCACTCACTAACTTTGGATGGCTCCAACCCCAAGTGAGAAAGGTTGAAACCTGGAATGGACGGAAGCCAAGGGTCACAATGGAACCAAGAATCCTCCCCAGACATAATCCCTCGTACCAAACCACTCTTCATATGTTCTTTTGCCTCCCACAGGCCATTCCAGATCTAGGAGCTCTTTCGTCCCTTCGTTGCCGAGAACAACTCATCATTTGGAAAGTAAAGCCCCTTCAGGAGCTTGGCCCACAAGGAAACGGGGTTAACAAACAGTCTCCAAACCTGTTTTCCGATAAGCGCAAGGTTGAAGAGGTGGAAGTTCTTGAAGCCCAATCCTCCTTCTTCTTTAGGTTTTTCCAGCTCCCTCGCATTACACCAATGTATGCCCTTTCTCCTCATGGACCCCGACCAGAAGAACCGTTTCAGGATCGAGTCCATTTTGTTCGTAAGGCTCAAAGGAAGCAAGAAAACACTCATGATATAGGTTGGTAAAGCTTGGATAACTGCCTTCAGCAGAACTTCTTTCCCTCCAGGAGACAGTAAAAGGCTCTTCCAGGATTCACCTTTCTTTTCCATTCGCTCCAGCAAGAACCTGAAGGTTTCTTTTTTAGATCTACCCCACTCAGTTGGAACCCCCAAGTATTTATCGTGACAAATAGTTGATGGAAACCCAAATTTACTGCTCACCAGAAGACGGATAGCCGGAGGGGTGTTCTTGCTAAAAAAGATTGAAGACTTGGACGCATTGATTTCCTGTCCAGTGGTGCTACCATACATTTTAATGATATCCAGAATCCTATCCGCTTCCATAACACTTGCTTTCCCAAAGATGACAGTGTCGTCCGCAAACAAACAGTGAGAAATTCTCGGGCAATTCTGGTTGAGCTTGATTCCACGAAGATCACCTTTCTCAATACCCTTTTCAATTAGGAGAGACAGAGCATTGGACATAAGAATAAACAAGAAAGGAGAGATGGGGTCTCCTTGTCGGATGCCTCTAGATGGCAAAAACGGCTCAGTAGGATTGCCATTCAGGAGGATAGAGAACTTGACTGTCCTGATACATGCACGAATCCAACCTCTCCATTTATCCGAAAACCCATAAGCAAGCAGGATCGAATCAAGGCCATCCCAATCCACTAAGTCGTAGGCTTTTCTCATATCCAGTTTCACCATCATATCCCAGTCACCAGATCTACGATTTTTGAAGTTATGCAGCATCTCATGGACAATAATGACATTGTCCTGGATTAGTCTCTCACCTGTGAAAGCTGCCTGCATCTCAGAAACCAAACTCGGCAGCCACTTCTTCATTCGACTCGCCAGAATCTTAGAAATTATCTTGTATCTGAAATTGCAGCAACTAATAGGACGAAACTGTGAGATCGTCTCCGGAGCAAGAACCTTAGGGATAAGGGCAATATGAGTATCATTCCACCCCTGTGGCATATTTGCAGATCTGAAGAAGTCAATCACTTCACTACAGAAGTCTGGTCCAATTTTGCTCCAAAACTTACGGTAAAATGACCCAGCAAACCCATCAGGCCCTGGTGATTTCGTAGGACCAAGGTCAAACACCGCAGCTCGAATCTCCTCAACAGATGGATCTTTGTCTAAATCCATAGTCATTTCATTAGAAACCAGCCTTGGGAAATCTTGGAGGGCATCGTCATTAAGGCCTTCTTTCTTAGTGAACAACTCTTGATAGAAACCCAAAACATGATTCGAGAGATCTTCAGGTTGGGTAATCGAGTTCCCGTTATCATCCTTGAGAGCAGAAATTTTGTTTCGAAGCTTCCGGAGAGAAGTGGAAGCGTGAAAAAATTTGTTGTTCTGGTCTCCCACACTAAGCCAATCAACCCGGGATCGTTGGCTCCACAACAATTCATCATCCTTCCAGATTGCAGCAAGCTCCTCCATGAGGCCTCTTTCCTCGTCAATAACTTCAACTGACCGATCAAGTAGAAGAATATCCCCCAGCCTCACCTGGATTTCCTCAGCCCTTTTATTCTGGTCTTTAAACATCTGTTGAGCCCATCGAGTCAATTCCTTCTCGCATTTGTGCAGTCTTTCATGGCAAAAGCCCCCACCTTCCCAATTCCGGTTAATAATATCAACGCACTCCTCCTTTTGAAGCCATCTAGTATCGAAGCGGAATGGAGCCTTAGACTTACTTCGATTCCCTTCAAATTCCAATCTCAATGGACAATGGTCAGACTCAATTGGCAACTCATGAAAGATCATAGCATTATTGAATATGGAGAACCACGAAGTAGAGCAAAGTCCTCGATCGAGCCTCTCCTCAATACGACGCAGCCCTTCTTGGTTATTTTTCCACGTAAAGGGATAGCCCTTAAACCCCAGATCGATTAAACCGTTCTCAGCAACAAAAGATTTAAAGGGCAAAGTAGAAACATTTCGAGGCTCATTCCCACCCTTCTTCTCCTCAGCAAACAACACCGCATTCATATCCCCAATAACCACCCATTTATCATCAACATTAGACCTCAGGTTACTAATTTGATCCCAAAAATCCCTCCTTCGAGCCGGATCAGACGGGGCATGAACAAACGTGATAAAAAACCCCCCGTTAACATCAACAAAAACATCGATAAAAAAACAACTACTATCAAGGATTGTGATAGGTAAGCCCGACACCCACCAAAGAGCTAAACCACCAGCAATCCCGATCGGGTTGACATGAAATTCTTCAGCAAACCTCAAACTTCTTCTTTTAGACTGCATATAGGATTCTTCCTTCTTAGTCTCGGACAGAAAAAGGATAGTCGGATGGTGTTTCTTTACCAACTTCCTTAGTTGTCGAACTGTGGGGGTCTGCCCGAAACCCCTACAGTTCCATACAATAGCATTCATGGGACCCCCGGTGGCTTGGAATCGGCCACCAAAACCACAGCAAGGTTGGGTTCAAATCCTGGCGGGATAGCAGAGTCGTCATTGGCATTATTTTCCCCAGTTTCAAAATGAACAGCAGCAGTCTGTTCAGTCCCCTGGTCAATGAAATGGCGACCAGAAGTCTTCCTCTTCTTTTTCTGGACCCGTGGGCTGATGTTGGCGGTCTGCCTGCCTTGCCTAATTGGGTTAAAGTAATCAGCAGTTTGGACTTGACTTGGGCTGGGGAAGTAGTTGTGGTTGAATGTAACCATGTTCTGGGCCTGGGTGCGAATGGTATAACAACTGTCTATTTGTTGTTACTACAACAACAAGGACAATAAGGTAATTTAACAAAATGCAATAAAAATTAAATCAAAATAATAATATAAAACCTGTCTTCTTCGTATGGGATTCCTCTCCTCCTTCTCCTTCTCTGCCTTCCTCCTTTCAGATGAGAAGAAGAAAAGAAAGGAAGTAAAGCAGTAGCAACGCCCATCTGGGATTCCTTCTTCTCCATGCTTCTCTCTTGTTCTCGTTCCTCCTCTCCTCGTTTTCTATGCTGGCTTACTTCTCCTCCGTCTCCGGCCAGGAGAATGACGTCGCCGTCACACCCATTTATCGAGATCTCTACCACCGCTGCAGTTGGGCGCCCGGAGAACGAAATAGATGCAGCAGCTGGGCGCCAGGAGAGCATCCCCAACGGCCCATCTCCCGATCACCACCGCAGCGGCGACGTTTCTCCTCCGCCATGCTTCTTCCTCCACCGCCCTTGCTTATTCCCCGCCATTATCCAATCGACGAGTAACTCTCGCAGCCTTCCCGTCCCCTAGATTTCATAACAGGGACAGTCGACCTCCTAGTCTACCGTCGTTGGGTGTGTAATTACAACTACACCACCTCTGTCTCATCTCCTTCCCGATGGCTTTCTTCGTTCTTTCCTTCTTCGCACTCTGCGTCAAGATCTGTGGCGAGAACTGCGACTCCCTCTTTCATATGAAAACTAGGTAGGTGGCGTTATTTTAGTAAAGGGAGCCCTAAATTCGAATCCAAATAATCATTGTGGAGCGTTATTTAAGTGACGGGAGCTCTATATTCGGAGGACACAATTAATTGGACCAAGTGCTGGCGGAATCTTTTTTGTGGAGATTTTTATTGGACCGGAGAATTCCTGGACGGAAAGCGGAGCGGAGTGCTGGGGAGCGAGCTGAGGGATTGAGGCGAAGTTCAAACTTGAAAGTAAAGTGATGAACGATTTATTTGCATTGTCAAAAATCTTCTAATGCAACCACAAACACGGTAAAACAAATTATAAAAGACATAAAAAAAATTTCATAATACAGACCACAAATTTTCTAAAACAAACCAGAAACCCCACAAAACAAACCACAAATATTTTAAAATCACACCAGAAACCTCATAATGCATATCACAAACACGATAAAGCAAACCACAAAAACAAACCAGAAACATCCTACTGCAGACAAAAAATCTATTAAAACAAACCAGAAACCTCACAAATCAAATCACAAAATTTTCAAAAACACACCAGAAACCTTCTAATGCAAACCACAAACATGTTAAAGCAAACCACAAAAGCAAACGAGAAACGTCCTAATGCAGATAACAAATCTATTAAAACAAACCAGAAACCTCACAAAGCAAACCAGAGAATTTTCGAAAGCACACCAGAAACACGATAAAGCAAACCACAAAAACAAACCAGAAATGTCCTAATGCAGACCAAAAATCTATTTAAACAAACCAGAAACCTCGCAAAGCAAACCAAATTTTTTTCGAAAGCACGTCAGAAACTTCTTAATGCAAACCAGAAACACGATAAAGCAAACCACAAAATGCATAAAAAAATATGAGAAACCAAACCATAATCTCACAATGCACACCACAATATCTGGTGATCGTTGACCGGTCAACAAAGTTCGTTGACCAAACTCCGACGACCGTAAGTGAGCAGATTCCGGCGCCGATGTGCATATTCCGGCCCCGATGACTAGATCCCGACGCCGATAAGCATATTTCGACACCAATAAGCATATTCCGACGCCGACAAGCATATTCCGGCGACAAAAAAGCATATTCCAGTGACCGACGAACGGATTCCGACGACCAAAAATTTGGGCAGAAAATACAAAAATTAAAAATTAAAAATAATTTTTTTTATTATTATTTAAATATATTTTCATAATGACAATTATACCCCTGCTTTGATTTTACATAGATCAACTTAACTAATAAAAAGTCATCACAATTCTAGCATCTTATTAGTTGGAAACTAGTATTGTTACAATAACAACACAAGATGTATTGTCACACTATCTTGTCCCGTGGTGTTTGGCGTATGATTAATTGATTGGAATCATGTATATACAGACACAAGGTACGCACTACGCCCAATGATTGTCTACTTTGTGTTTGAGTAGTTGTGTGTCGAAAGTGGGCCGGGCTTTTCTGAAACTTGTGGACTTGACGAACGGGAGAGCCTGGGTCATTTTAGAGCAGAATCGGATAGCTACTCTTCAGCGTGATCCGGGCTTCGTTAATTTTTTTTTCTTCTTCGTTAGATTTGCTTGCCCAAACCGATTTCTAGTCTTTGAGATCTCTTTGTTATAAGTTTTCTTTTAAGCATCGTCTACTTGCCATTAGTATTTATTTTAAAGGTTGATTGGTATGAAAGTATATCCAGATGAGATGATGAGTACTTGGTAATTGGTATGTATAATGTGGTACCTTCCCAGGAATACATGATTGTAATATGTTTCGTCTAGGTAAAAAAAATCATCGTGTATCCAATTTATTGATTTTTGTGAATAAATTAGTTTAGTTTTTTCGATTTTATCAAACATTACACGAGTCGAGCCGAGTTTTGACCTAACCAGAGCTCAGTCATAATAAACGTGTCAAGCTAGACCTTGATTTGAGCGCAAAACGAATCAGCTCACGAATTGAGCTCAACAAGTCACCGAGTCGAACTCGCTCACGAATCTTGCGAGCTGAACCAGACATAGCTCAAACTCAAACTTATTTACTAAGAAGCCGAATCTCAAACAAGATTATTTTTTCCAAATCGAATACTGATCCGATCGTAAATCCCTCGACTCGTTTACGGCCCACCCTAAGTGGTCTGGTCTCCATCCAAACGCCTATACTGAACTACTGATGCTTCCATCCATCCAACGGTCGATTTATTCTCAATCGGCAGCAGGCAGGTAGCCAACCTCATAAATGTACAGTTAATGCCGAGAGCTAGCCTTTCACATTTTCGTCAAAAAGCTCGGGCATGCATCTGCATCCTCCCCGTAGCAGCTACAGAGGTTACAGAACTGCGTGCAAAGATGCCGGCTAAAGGGTCTTGCTTTCACGTAATGGCCGGCGATACCCTAAAGTCCGCGGCAAAAAAAGTCATCGGTCTTGGCGGAAAATTCCCCGACCGGTTAAAAGCTCAAATATCAAACGCATTGATTCCGTTCCACTTCCATCTCTCAAGCTGTTTGGTGCACACAGTGCCATTTACTCTTCCCCAACGGCCCCAATCAAATCATGCACGTACTTTTTGACCTACTATAGTTCGTACTAGCCATGGCTCTCATCACCATTTTCTAATGGGTTTTTAGTAGTACGAGTAATACGATTATGCGTATAAGCGTATTGTTATGTAATTTGTCAGTGTTATATTTCTTATAAGAGTCGCGTATAAGTTAATTTTTTTTGTTAGTGTTAAGATTATTATAGCAGTCGGTCATTGTATAATGTATTATACATGAGTCCGATGTTATTTCATTGATAATAGAACAATAATACCCACCCTATTATGATTTCCAAGATGGCCCATGATGATGCAGACTAAATGTGGCTTCAATATGGGGTCAACCAAGCGAGTTATAGACTTAATCCGGCATGCTACCGCGTACCAAAAACTTCGTACTAATTTTGTCATTAAATGAAAGAACTCTGGAGAGTCGAGAATACAGCGAATCATGGATGAAGATAGTAATTCAATATGAACTATTTTTTTGTATAGTTTGAAATTGATCGTACGAAACAATACCAAACATGTAACGAAAAGAATATTAATTAGCACTTAAACTACTGTACCGATTCTGATAGGTAGATACAATAAGCAACAAAATTAACCACTTTGTATTATTCAAAGCAAACCTCCCATCTACACCAATAATAGGAAATATAGGATGGTGCTGGTCCTTGGTACTAACACAAGTACATAACTCATCGAATACAACAACTCTACAACAATGGCAATCAATTATCACTCTTTTGAATCCACAACAATCTGTCAATTTTGTACACAAACAGCGATTTCCGGTAAAGCCAACATTTATTGGAGAGGCAGAGTGGCAAATGAACTTCCCCAAAAGAACCACCGGTCCACTCTGTTCAGTGTACCCTCATCGCTTGTGAACCCAGTAGTATAAGTACACGATGAAGTTAATCAAACTGAATTCATCAACAATCACTTTCTACACTCTCCCCACCACTGAAACCAACTCCAGACAAACCCATCTTGCTCCGGCGAAGAAACCCCACCGGAGAAAATGGACGTCAGGATCGTTTCCAGGGAGCTAGTGAAGCCGTCTTCCCCTGAAACCATACAAACAAAACCTCCACACAGGTTCTGCCTCTTCGACCAGCTCACTCCCTTGACCTTTTCTCCCCTCATTCTCTTCTACGCGAATCCTGACCACAACAATCCCAATCTGGCTTCCTTCCTCCACCGCCTGAAGCGCTCCCTGGCGGAGACTCTCAACATTTACTACCCTTTCTCCGGCCGGACCGGCCCCGGCAACTTGGTCATCGACAGCTTCAATGCTGGCCTCCCTTTCACTCTAGCCCATGTTATCGATTGCCGCCTCTCCCAGTTCCTTAAACGCAAGGAGACAGAGCTCCTCAACCTCCTCCTCTCTCGACAGCCGTTTCAGAAGGAACCTTCCGACGTGGAATCCCCTGTTTTGGAGCTTCAGGTCTCTGTTTTCTCCTGCGGCGGGATCGCCTTGGGATGGGCTTGTTCTCACAAGTTGATCGACGGCTCCACCATGAGATCCTTCCTCACTACATTCACTGCCCTGCTCCGCGGCCAACCGAACGACATCGTTTCCCCTGATTTCGCCCAGGCCTCCACTCTGTTCCCGCCGAGGGACCCTTCCCCTGAAAATTTCCTCAATCTGATGGAAACCCTCTGGTTTACTGAAGAAAATTACATAACCAGGCGGTTCGTGTTCGATTCCAAGGCAATAGGTCAGCTGCGAGCCATGGCGGCCGGAGGCCGAGGAACTGATCTGCAGGGGAAATCGATTCGGAAGCTGTCTAGAGTGGAGGCATTGTCCTGTTTCATCTGGAAATGCTGCATGGCGGCGTCCAAGGCGGTTTCTTCCGCGTCCAAGACTTCCATTCTGGTGGAGGCGGTGAATCTGAGGAATCTGACGAACCCGCCGCTGCCGGACGCGGCGATCGGGGACGCGTTCTGGTGGGCGACGGCGGCGGCGAACCCGTACGACGAGTCAAATACAGAGATGTCGGAGCTGGGGAATCTGCTGAGCGAAGGAATTGGGCTGTACAGGAGCGATTACGTGGAGTCGCTCCAAGGGGAAGACGGGTTTGAGGCGATTTCGAGCTACTTCGAGCAGCTGGAAGGGATGTTCGAGGAGGAGAAGCCGGATATATTCGCGTTTACGAGCTGGTGTGGGTTTGGGTTCACGGGTCAGGATTTTGGGTGGGGGAAACCGGTTTGGGTGACGGTGATGGGAAAAGTTGGTCGGGCTTTTCGTAACCTAACCGTGTTTGTGGACTCGACGGTCGGGAGAGGGAGCATCGAGGCTTGGGTCACTTTGGACCAGAAGCGGATGGAGGTTCTTGAGCGCGATCCGAACTTCCTTGCGTTTGCGTGTGCTAATCCTATAATTTCTAGCCTTTGAATTGAATGAATGGTTTGTTCTCTTTGTTATCTATTCCTTTTTTAAGCTATAAAGTATTTAAGTTTGGATCTTTTGTCCATGGTTTTAGTTTACGTTAAAGTAAAACTTATAATTATGATTTGATGGTCTTAATTTATGTTAAAGTATTTCTTTTTAGTTTTTGGTTAAAATAGAGAACCAGTTAAACCGTGGTGGTTCATATGACTTTATGTTGAACCGTGTAAAACCATTTGGTTCATCAATAATCATCCAAATAATGAACCGGACCGCTATTGCAATTTGTTTGATGGTTCTACTTGCCCGACCGTTTTGATCCGCTTCGAATCTTATAACAATTTTCACAAACCCTCAGTTACATATTTATTTACTTATTTATTTGTAATCGGTTGGAAAATGCATTCAGATGTTTGGGGTAGTGTTAGTGATCAAGGGGTGGTAACTCATATCACGGGCGGAAACTTTGCACAGAGTTCCATTACTATTAATGGATGGCTTCGCGATTTCTTAGGGACACCAGTTACAATTTTAACGGCCCAATAACCAATTTGGTCCCAGGGTAAGGAATAACCAGTTACTCCTTTGAATGATGAATTCTTGAGTAGTCTACTCCCCTTTGAATGATGAATTCACATTATTTTAGAATTGGGTTATAGGTATAATATGCCCCTCTACTATGACGTTTTATCAAACATGTCCCTCTACTATTTTTTACATCAAACATGCCCCTGTACTTTGACCAAGTTATCAAACATGCCCTTCTCCTAAAATTTCCATTGAAAAAAATCATCAATCGTGGTTGAACCGAGATTTAGACGACCCGACATCGGCAAATGGGAGAGAAAATATCCGTTTTGTCCCCCGTTTTATTTCTCTGAGTCGTTTCAAAGTGAAATGATTTGAATTATTTGGATATACAAAAGATTCAAACAAATCCTAAAGTGAAATTATTAGAGATATTTTAGACATTTGTGTCGCCCAAACTAAAGTTCGGCATTGGTTAACGATTTTTTGGATGAAAATTTTAACAAAAGTGCATGTTTGATAATTTTACAAAGTACAAGGGCATGTTTGATGTAAAAAATAGTAAAGGGGTATGTTTGATAAAATATCATAGTAGAGGGGCATATTATACCTATAACCCTTTAGAATTCATAAGGGATTTACTTGTCTATGTCTCCTTCTATTTGATCTTTTAGGTCCCGAGTTCGCCTCGATGGTTATGCCGCGATGCTATTAAAGCCTATATACGACCTATAGACTCCTGTAACCATGCCATATTTACTTACTTACTTTAGTGTAAACATAATTTCTTTCCAAACTAACGAAAATATCAAATAAAAAGAATGATTAATTCCACAAAAGATAAAAAGAAAGAAGTTTGTTTTCACGAGGTACAACTAGCAATTCCTATTTAACTGAATCGACCATAGATCAATTCCCCTTTTATTGTGGAGTATTGAATACACCTATAATTCTGAGCTTCATGTTACTCCTCCCAAGAGACATGTCAGGGCCGAATGTGTTCTTGAACGAAGAAGGAGACCGGAGTTGGTATCAGTATATCAGACCAAAGCCAACATTTTATTTTTATGCAAATCAACACTATTTTGTCACCTAGCTCTACTCTTCATAATACATAGGGATGGCAAATTACCCACCCATGGGTAATTATACCCAAACCCAAGTAGACCCATTGATAATGGGTTGGGTATGTGTGAAGTGCATATGGATTTGGGGGTTTATAGATAGGTTTGGGTAAGGTATGAATATTGCTTACATAATCTAAATGAGTATGGGTTGGGTTGGATATGGATATCCATTTACTTGAGGGTGTTTTAACTACACATGCAAAAATTGGACCTATTTGTAAAACTTGAAAAGTTAGGTACCAAAATGTAAGACCAAAAAAAATTAGGTACCAAAACGTAATTTTCCATCGCTATTTTGAGGACTAATATGCATAAAAATCAAATTTAGGTACTAAACATGCATATCTATTAAGTTTGGGTACCAAAATGTAATTTTTATTTGGGCATGGGTACAAATACATTTGATATAAATCCAATTCAACCCAAAGTAAATGGGTATGGATACAAACCTATCAAACTCTACCCATATCCATCTATTTGGATTTCATACCCAACCCAATTGGGTTGAATAATAAAAAACCCATGAGTATGGACAAAGTTGTCATCCCTAATAATACAGGACGAATAAGAAAAACATTTTTCTTTCTGCTGCGGATGCAATTTTGATGGAGAAGATGTTCCCTTCTTGGCTGAACAATAATCATGAGGATTGGGCTGACTATTACACATCGTTGGGCTTAAGTTTATTAGAAAGCCCCAAGTTGTAATTCCAAGGCCTGCTCATCGAAGCCCATACGAGCAGTAAGTAGCCTTTTTCATTTCTTTGTTGAATTTGCTAGTCGTCTTTGTCTGGCTGCTTATATATTTGCTGAAATGAAATGAGAGACAACAAGAGAAGTCCGCAAGTCCGCAAGTCGGCAACACCGCACCGGTCCATCAGTAAAAGCTGGCCGTACAGTAAAATCCCAAGAGGTGAACAGTAACGTAAGAATATCCTAAGGAATTGGGATTTTTTCACTTAAAACTCAATGAATATTTTACAAAGAATATCAAAAGGAATAGTGCTGATTTAGTCGCTCTTTTTTGTAAAGAAAAATAACACAGTGGGGACAAAAGTGATCATAATCTAACAGCCGTCCAAGTTGATGAGCCTCTTAATGGGAAGAAAGAAATAAATGTGTTTCTTCTGGTGGACCAATTTTTGGAAGGAAAAAAATAAACTTTATAAAATAATGGAGAGTTGACATGGCCAAAGCCCACATCTAACTCTTCCATGCTCATCGAGTTGCAATGCACAGCTGTGTGACCAACACATAAGAATTGAATGCTAGCACTCAAAGTCACAGCCAAATTGGTTTTACATATATAGCAGCAGTAAATGCTGTCTTCTTAACACATTTCGCTGTTTTTTTTTTCTTTGGAAGGAGGAGGAGGAGAGCCAGCTGTGGTGCCAGAAGTGAGAACCATTGCATTAATCAAACCGGAGGGTAACAAACTGGTCAATTGGTTCCATTACTAATTTGACTAGTTCGACATGATCATTAGCTTCCTCATCAATCTCAATCACCATAATTTGCTTTTTAGTGGATGCGAATCTTTCATTTATTATACTGAGTTTACTTGAGTTGATTCAGTCACCTCTACCGAATTTAATGGATGCAACGAAAGTTCCCCTGCGAATCTTCCAGCTACCTTTGTTTCTCTCTCAGTCTGAATTTATTTGAGTTGACTTAGTTGTCTATACCAAGTTTAATGAGCTCGTATGAGCTCATGCATGTTCCGATGAGCTCCTTCCTATAGGCTTTATTAAGCTTTTAGATCTAATTGAGCTTCCCTCTATAGTCTATAGCGAGTTCATTATAACCAATTCCAAGTCATTTCAGCATTCACACCACAAAAACCAAGTTCCCCTAGTGCTCCAAATATAGCTTATAAGCATTGGTCTTTATAAACCTGGCTCCAATACCATCTAATAAGTTAAACTCGATATATCGTAGCCTAAATAACCAGTCAACAATTTGCGAATTCTCATGTGATTTTCCTTAATCGGGATGTCCTCAACAATTCTATTATGAGCATCACAATTAGTCACTTTAATTCCTATAGCTATCTATCATTGTATGAGGAATGTTCTCCATGACATTCCAACGAAAGAGACAATCAATCAATCAATGCACTCTGTTATTAGCACTTAAAACTATAAAATTAGGGGGAAATCAAAGAAAAATTAACATAAAGAAATATATCGCATTCATTCTATATCATATAACATAGTGAATGTTCATCTTATCGAAATAGAAAACAAGTTTATTTCATGATGGATGGAGGAATGAAAATACAAAGAAGAGACTATCTCAATTGTAGAAAGTGAGTTTACGACCATAAGTAACCCCACGACCATGGGCATCTATAAAATTAAGTTGACTTCATGAAAATCAATACCTCTGCACCACCACGGTCCACGGATAGTAACAAGGTCATGCCCGACCATGAACACCCCCTGATCCATACAATGGGATGCGTCTATTTATCTATCTCTTGACTTGCAAACATGTTCAAATATAACCTATCAAAAGTCTCATTGTTGGCGACTAACTTCATACCTGTGAGTTGGGTTTGATGGGTTTGAGAAGGTCCCTCCTAATCCTGCACACTACCTCCCGCTTGATAAAACAACACACATGCTTGATGGTCCAACCTTTCATGGAGGTTTTCCATGGCAGCGAGCTTGCCCATTCGGATAGTTGGCTGTTGACCTCTTCTTCTTGCTCACCATCTCTTAAGTCCTTAGGCCCATCTCTGGTCAGAGTGTCGTTAATTCCACCACCAACTCCCATTCACCCGTAATAAACACCTTCCTTCCTTGCCTCCTCACTCCTCTCAGTCTCCTCCCACTATGAAGTTCAGACTTAAAAACCCCCAACTTCCCTCCCGGCCCTGCCATGTCCCATTTCCACAGAAAACAGAGAGAAAACAGAGCACTGCAAAACAGAGCAGTGCCCTCTTAATTTCAGATCCCATTCTCCTTTCTTCCTGTTGTTGTTCTTCCTCTTCTTCTCAAGACAATGGCGAACGAATTTGAAGTGACAATCACATCCAGAGAAATCGTCAAGCCATCTTCCCCTTCAATCCATCTCCAAGAACCCTACCTCCTCTCCTGCTTCGACCAGCTGGTTCCATCCACCTACATTCCCCTCATCATCTTCCATTCCTTAGCCAACGCCAATTTCGACATCTACCAAGTCCTCGACCACGCCAAATCATGCCTCGCCGACACATTAGCCGTCTTCTACCCTATATCCGGCAGGATCCAGCAGAACTCAATCGTCCACCGCTTCGACGCCGGCGTGCCCTTCTTAGTCGCTCGAGTCACTTCCACTCTGTCCCGCTTCCTCGAATCCCACCAGCACAATGGCAGCAACCTCAACAAGCTCCTCCCCTGCCGCCCATTCTCTCAAGAGCCCGCTTCCCCTGAAGGAATCCCTCTCATGACATTTCAGATGAACATCTTCGCCTGCGGTGGGATCGCCCTGGGATGTGGACTCTGCCACAAGATCGGCGATTCGGCAACTGGGCTGGCCTTCGCCAGAACCTGGGCCGCTTTCTTCAGCGGCTCCAGAAGAAGAATTTCCCGCCCGGATTTCATCTCTGCAGCTTCCTTGTTCCCGCCCAGATCCCCAATGCCGCCGCAGTACGTATCCGTGATCGAGAAAATGTGGTTCAGGGACTACAATTTCACCACCAGGAGGTTCTTCTTCAGCCCGGAATCCATCGCCTCGCTCCGGCACCTGGCTCGAGGCGGAACCGACGCCGCCTCGACGCTGCTGCCAACCAGCGTCGAGGCGGTGTCGGGTTTCCTCTGGAAATGCTTCATTTCCGCGTCGAGGGCGGTCTCGTCGACGACGAGGCCGTCGATGCTGGGGCTGGAAGTGAACCTGAGGAAGAGGACGAGCTCCCGAACGCTCGAACGAGCGTTCGGGAACTTGTTTTGGCCCGCGACCGCGGTCGTGATGCCCGAACAGGGCACTCTGCCCCTGGAGGAGCTGGTGAAGCTGATTAGCGACGCGGTGGCCGGTTTCGACGAGGAGTACGTGAAGAGCCTGCAAGGGGAAGAAGGGTTTCAGAACATTGCCAGGAGTTTGGATGCTTTGCAGGAGATGCTGGAGATGGAGCCCGATGTGCTGGAGATTGGGAGCGTCTGCAATCTGGGTCTGGATCAAATGGATTTCGGGGCAGGGGACCCCGGTATGGTCACCATTGGAGATGTGAGAGCTAAGTTCAGCAATTTCGTGATCTTGGCTGAAGCCAGGCTCGGGAAAGGGATCGAGGCGTGGATGATTATAGAGGAGAAGAGGATGGGGTTCATGGAGCAGGATCGGGAGTTCTTGAAGTATGCTGTTCCAATCACTAGCCTCAAGATGTCCAAATTGTGATTTTTGTTGTGGTTTGATTTGTGATTATTTGATTAAAATCCTTTGGTTTCCTTTGCATGGTTATGGCTTAATAATGTAAGATCTTACATTGATTATTGTTTGTTTGTGTTTCTGATTTTGATGGGAGTTGAATTTATGAATGAATGAATGATTTCTCTTTCTTTCGTTTTCGTCGCACGATTTTTAGAACCGACAATGTCCATCTCAACTCAAGAACTTGGGTGGTAGGTTCTATTAAGTTGTTGCATGTGAAGACCATATGGGCACTTGAAATAGTTGATCCATGAAATAGTGTTGTATGGGTGGTGAGTAGTTAGGGCAGATATAAATCTAAGGATGATGCTTGTTCTTAATACTCCCTGCAAGTTGGAGGCAAGGTGGCCCTACAACTTAGAACATAATAATAGCCCAAAATGGTGAAAGGGAAGTGACTTTGGGAGTGTTGTCATCAATGTGATCTTCTTATAGATGCACGAAACCCTAAGATTATACATTTTCGAATAAAGTAAGGTACGTGATTGATATTGTTCCATCAAAGAAATTGAGTACCGCAAAGGTGAAGACCTAATTTTTCGAAGATGAGAAACCAAGACAGGATCTCTAAGGCTGTGATTGTAACGAATTAGTATTCACCCAGATTGTAACCCCCGAAGATGTCATATGAAGTTCTCTTGTGGTCCTCATATTTATATTGGCCATGTAATACCTTTGAATTTGAATTTAAGACGACCTGAATCATTACCATATTGTGAACCCAAAGGTTCTCGGGCTCATGCTATATTTTTCAAAATGTTGTGAATTCATATCTTTGAGAAGATTCAACATCATTATCATATTGTGAACCCCAAGCTTCCAAGTCTTAACTCAATCACTTATTCAATTTCCACATACGCATCAACCATATTGATTCTATGATTTGTTTTTAAAACATGAAACATTACATAAATATTTTCGCCATAGTTGAGAGTGAATTCGGTGTGTAAGATGTTACCGCCCATTATATTGGCACCTAATAGGTAAAAAAATTTCATGCGAAAATCAAAATTACTTTTAGGTTCCTTCCTAAAAGGCATCGTACTTATGGAGTTAGGTGGGGACTTATATACAAAGGTCATTTTTCATGTATAACGATGTGAAACCTGGGTACATTAAGCATCCTCTCCTTAAGACAACGACCATGAAGTCTGTGCCCTCACGCCAGGGATTATCTTGATCCACCACACACATTATATCGATATTCGATAGACTCTTCAACACAAGGATTTACCAAAAACAAATCTTCGTTGATCCGTCAGACAGATGCGGATCTCAAATATTGAGGTCATAGAATGAGGGTCGACCAATTTAACGTATTCTACCCCAAAGTCGAATCAAGCTCTGCCACTTGTTGAGGCCACATACTTCATTAGTACTATATTGTCCGATTTTTGCATAATCCACCTGAATTTTTTGTTTCTTCTCCAAAGACCTCATAATAATGGAGTTTTGTGGAAACTTATATACAATAATTTTTTCCTCGCATTTCCGTTGTGTTACTTTTAGATTCTACATATGTGTTTCTTTTCTTCTTTCAAATAAACGACTTCAAGGATAGGTTTTATTTAGTTATTTATTTATTTCCTAACGAAGAAGACAAAACGTGAGGGTAAATGTGAAAGCCCGTAGGTTATATGGGTACCAAATTATACCAACAATCAAAATGTTAATGTGAAAGCGTTGCCAATAGATTAAACCAAAGTAGGACCTTCCGAAACTCATGGGAAATTACGAAAAAGAGACGTGCAAACTTGTTTGTGGCTTCGGAATCACGTTCACATGCAAATGCAAAGAAAATATGATAAATAATCCGGTGAATAAGCTTTAGGCCTAAAAGTTTGTTGATTTGTGTTCCAATTTTTTTGGACGGATTATGGTTGGAAAAGAGAACAGTATTTAGATGAATGCAATTGCAAAATGAATTAAATATATTGTCTCTATTAGGGACGGAACCAGGATTTTTTGATAGGAGGGACCAACAAAATAATTTGAGACAAAAATATCACTTCTGAATTATACATAAGATTTGTACAAAAATTACATATATTTATATGCAATCTAAACATCATGATATATCTCTTCCGAAATATTTTATCATGTAACATATTATTTTTACGGTTTGTAATTGAAACTTTGGGTATATTACAACCATAAGATAAAAAGGAACACGTTAAAATTTTTCTTAGGAATTATTTAAAATTCAACATAAAGTGTGAAATAAACTGAAAGTGCACATAACAAAGCCTAGAATCACATGAAAAAGTGTAAAATTCGCAAATAAAATGAAAATTTGTGAAATAAACTAGACACCTCAAAGCTTGAAATCAAATGAAAAAGGTGAATTTTGCCTTAAAAATGTGAAATAGACTAAAATGCTTAGCATAGTATGAGATTCACTAAATTCCCCTTCAAACATGGAAAAAGAAATCACAATTAGGAATCGATTCCATCCATGGTTGTCAAACCGGTTTATACCGTTGTGCCGGTTTGACAAGTGGAATGGTACGACCGGTGGTATAACCAGTTTGTGCCGGTACATGTCGGTTTAAAAAAATATGAAAACAATTTATATCCAATGTATTTAATTATATATAAAACATATTTGTGGACAATTTAGTTACAATCCAACAAATATCATCAACTTTTAACTATTAAATTCATAAAATGAAGAATAAATTAATTTTTTATTAATTAAATTCATTAAAATGATGTCATTTTACTTGGAATGCGTAAGTCGATCATACCGGTCATACCGATGGTGTCGCGTCGTTTCATAACCGACACAGATTGAACCAGGTTCAACTGAGTGGCATGCCACCGGCATGACAACCATCATCCCATCTATTACTCTTCTTGAACCCGTAGGCTAGAAAGAACACGTTATATTTGTCTTGCCACGTCTTTTTTTTTTTTTATCTTAGTTTAAATTGGGTGGGGGTGGGGGGCATAGCCCCTCCTTACTGTGAGTTGCATCCGTCTCTGCTCCCTATTGTCACCTTACAATCTATTCAACCTAACTCATGCTAATTTCATTGTGTATATATATATTGCATATATGGTATGCTCAATCACTCAAGTGACTTATTATAAATAAATCATTGATTTTATTTTCTTATGTAGCTTGTATTTTGAATTTCAACATATGCAAGTTCGCATCTTTACAAATGGTCACTACATCAGTGCAATGTCCTTTACAATTGCATACTAAGTGCTAAGTAAAGTTTGCAGTTGATCAATACAATGGATGTGAATGTTCTAACCTCTAACTATTGATAGAGTGATTGAAGATGGGGAACATTTTGTTCACGACCCTTCTTTTTTCGGGCTCATCAATCTTCTTTCAACAGAAGCCGAATAATCATCTGCCGCTCCCTCTGCTCCTACTGTTTATAAATTATAATCATACTCGTAATATTGGCTGAAACCGTTTTTTCTTAAAAATATCAAAATGAATATTATTTTATACTACACAACTAATTTAATTTTCATACAAACATAAGTTTTAAGTTAAATGAATGTGATTTTAATTTGGCAAAATACACTGGCATAGCCACAACTTTCCACTTTGTGCCAACAATAGCCACATTTTGAAAAATACAGAGAAATAGCCGCGTTTTTGAAACTTATTTGCACAATCTAGCCATTACCGTTAAATTATTTAACGCCTTTAACCTCTCCGTCAGTTTAGTCGTTGGTATGCTTACGTGGCCGCCACATGTCCTACACCTATTTGCCACGTAGACGAACTATTGCCACCTATTTAACACGTCATTATCTAAAATTAAAAAATAAACATTTTCCCTATTAAAATCCCTAAACTCACCTCTGCTGCGAACCCCTTATCACCATTCTACTTTCCCCTCTTTACCTTAGGTTTCCGTCGCCGCCGCTGCTCCGCGATTTCCTCTTCGTCGACCTCTCCCCCGACGAATCTTCCCCCGACGACGACCCTCTTCCTCAACCTCTCCCCTGACGAATCTTCCCCCGACGACGACCCTCTTCCTCAACCTCTCCCCCGACGACGCCTTCTCCCCCGACGTATCTCCCCAGAAAATGCCTCACTCCCCCATACTTCTCTCCCCCCGACGACACCCCCGACGACACCCCTCTTCCTCGACATCTCCCCCGGCGTCTCTTCCCCGACGACGCCTTCTCCCTCGACCTGTCTCCCCAGTCGTTTCCTTCCCCTTCGACGCCCCTTCCTTTCGACAGAAATTGCAATCATGTCACAGAGGATTGGGTGTGGCAAATCGGTCAAGGTGGGTGATTCGGGTTCAACAAGCGTAAACAATTCCAGGCTCGTCCAGTGCTTGCATAAAAAACCTTGTGTCGTTCAAACCTCCGGAACTGATCTGAATCCAGGCCGGAAATTCTACGGCTGTCCTTATTGGAAGGTAACAGAAGCATATTTGGATTACTCATTTAGTTCGAATCATATGTGTGATGATTACAGATGGTTTGACAATGCAGGATCCGAAGAAGAACTGCGATTATTTCAGGTGGGTTGGAACTAATGGTGATGATTTTAACGGACATGACACTGAAGTGGAGGCTACAATTCTCAAGTTGGAAGAGAGTATTAAGCGAGCACAGTGCAAGGCCGAGAGGAGGAAGAAGGAAAAACAACTGGTGGCTGAAGAACTAATCAATGTAATGGCGGTTCACGATGCTCTGTTAGCTGAGACAAGGAGTATCAACCCTGATGTTAAGCTGAATAGATATATGTTGACCATTTTATTCGTAGTGAATGTAATGGTGCTTGTAGTCATCTGTAGTATGGAGTAGTAGTAAGACCTTTCAGGTTGTGATTTGTAACAATCGCCCTAAATGAATGAAAGACTTTGAATGCAAGATCAAAGTTATCATAATTTAGCATTCCTTGAAACCAACATTGATAAAGAAAGATCATGTTCCTGATTACACCTAAAGAAAGCTTGAGTTTTCAGAAGCATACTAGCATACTACCAAGTGAAAACCATGTCTTCACGACGTTCCTGATTACACCTAAATAACCGATTCTAGAGGGGGTCCTGAATACACGCATATACATGGCCTTCTTCCACTCCACTTCGTTGCACGCATATACAGCCCTCCAAAACAGCTTTCGAACTCGATTGGTTTTGTGCTTCGCCTTCCAGTTGGCAAATACATGGCGAGCACATTTACGATGTTCAGCTTCGGGCAATATTTCATGAATGGCCTCAACTAAACCCTGCAATAGACCAAATTAATCAGTTTTCACCACACATGTTATGACAGAAAGAATAACTTAACTGAAGGAAAAGAACCACAGTTTACATACCTTCTGCTGGTCTGATATAACTGTCCACCCTCTGCCATCCAAAATATAAAGATCTTGAGATAGAGTTCGCACAAACCATGACCAAGAATCTCGGTTCTCCCCCTCAACCACGGCCCAAGCAATGGGAAACATCTGATTATTCCCATCTTTACCCACAGCTGTGAGGAGCATGCCCTTAACCTCCCCTTTCAGAAAACAACCATCCAAACCAAACATTGGTCGACATCCCTCTAGAAAAGCCTTCCTCAATCCAGAAAAACCAACATAGAATCGCTGAAAATAACACTTGTCACCACTTGGATGAGGCTCGACTTCTAAATGGAAACAACCCCTTTCATCACGTTTCTTTAACTCAGCGACGTAGCTCCTCAACTTCTTATATTCTTCGACCAAAGAACCACTCAAGAGCCCTATAGCCTCCACCTTTGCCCTGTAACAGGTTCTCCTCTTAACCTCCATGTTGTGTTTTAACTTGACCTCAGCAACGATCTGGTCCGGTGCCCATTCAGGATTAATCCTGAATCGCTCAAGCATATCTTTTGCTATCCATTTCGCAGTTAATTGGTTAACTCGTAGCTTCCTTGAACACGAGTGTGGTGCCCCAACTTTCCTCACCATGAAACTTCGATCCTTCCTAAACCAGCTGGCATACAACCCCCACTGGCAGTTGGGTGCCTTGCACTTGACCTCCCTCCTTGTCGGATTACTCCTCAACCACCTAATACTTGCACCGGCTGCAATAGAATGCTGGATTACGGCATCCTTGAACTGCTCCGGACTCTCAAACTTCTGTTTCACCATGAATTGTAGGGATTTGTGGTCACAGTTAGGGTCATAATGTGGAGCATCATCATAAGGTTCACCACCGTTCTCCTCAGACAAGTTGGGACGCACATGATCGGAATTCTCGGACAACCTATAACTTGAATGATTCGAACCCTCTGGTCTATCTTGCTCAGGCCGAGAAGGATGCTGGTTGGAAAGGGAGGGATTTGTTGCATCATTCCCTGCATCAATCCCTTCTTCCTCCTCATTCACATTCCCTTCATTCACATTCCCTTCATTCACATTGGCTGCCTCATCGCCTCCTTTCTCTTCACTTTCAGAAGACAATTCCTCAAAATCATCTAACTGCTCCACCTCCTCACCATTAGCAAGCTGCCTAGCCTTAACTTTCCTTTTTCTTGACTCTCCATATGCTCTTAAGTTGGCCCTTGCCTCCAAGTATTCATCATCAGAGGTAAGTGCATCATCAGAATCCTCCACGTGGCAGATATCTCGTGCAACAGATGCATTGGCATCATCTTCTGGTGACAGGTAATCTTCTTCATCAACAGACCTGTCTGGGTCGTTCTCCCCAATCAACTCTTCCCATGAATTTGACATCTGTACACAAATGGGTCAACTAAGTGATTATCTGCTAATTAAAAAACAAAACAACAAATAATAAACAATAGGCAAAGCACAAAGCACAAACAGACAACAAACAACAATAAACAATGTGATTCAGTTCACTACTTCTACTTGAATGAATTCATTCACTGTGAATTCATTCTACTTGAATGAATTCATCCACAAGTTTCAGTTCTTTACCTCACGCGTTAAGGGTAATCTCGTGACAAACAGAAGTTGTGGTCCCTGGAAGTAAGGCCAATGTCGCTTTCTCACCAAAATCAGCCCTATAAATTGCAAACATCTCGAGGTTAATCGAGTTTCCCTTCTTCTTACCAAACTCAACCATATAAATTGAAAACATACCATATAAGAGGGGAGAATGAACCAGTCCGACAATAATCCAGTTTGCCTTCTTCTCGAGCTGCAGAATCTGAGCTAGGGTTTTCCGCCAATCGTCTTCTTCACCGCTGCTAGTAGGGCGTTGCCGTTGTCGAAGTCTCTCCCTTCACCCACTCGTGCTAGGAGGAAGAAGGAAGTCGGGTCGGCGGCGTTGGTTTTATCCGCCGTCGAGATGCATGCTGGATTTGGGAACAAAGTCGCCCAGATGAGAGGAAGTGGAAAGGACGCGCGACAGGCAGCAGTCGCCGGAGGCCGCACCAAATCGTCTCCGTCAACGGTAGTGGGCCGTCGATTGGAAAGAATGGGATCGGAGAGAAGGGAACGGGTTTCGTCGGGTGGAAACTGAAATTGGTAGGGTTAGATCGACGAAAAGGGGCTGGGCGAAAAAGGGAGGGGCCTTTTTGTTTTTTATATTTTTTAAATAAAAAAAATTAAAAATAATCAATTCCATCTGGCAACAATAGCGTTGGAGACGCGCCACATCAGCGACTCCCGTTAGCCTAGTCAACAGTTCAAGGACGTCCGTTAAAGTATTAGACGGATTGACTATTTCTCTGTATTTTTCAAAATGTGGCTATTGTTGGCACAAAGTGGAAAGTTGTGGCTATGCCAGTGTATTTTGCCTTTTAATTTTTATCGGTAAGAGTTATATTCGGGGCTTATGCAAAAAGAGTCAAGCGGGTCCCGCCCTTCAAACTGTTTCTTGCTTTGCTGAAAACAACGGATAATCGATGAATTAAAACACACCATCTCATCAGTCATCAAAGAAACAAACAAAGTTGCGTACACACTTCTCAACGGTAGACCCATCCGCACGCCATCCTCGCTTCCCCTTCCCGCCTTTTCCACGTCACCGCCCGTCAGTCACCCGCACCACCGCCGCCCCTGCAAACCAACCACCAGTCTTCCTCTTCAATCCTCCGCAGCTCCGCCGATTCCTTCTTTCCCGTCCGCACTATAAAATCCAACCGCCCGTCACCCTATCTTATCCCCCATCTTTCTCTCCCGTGTCGCACCACCCGACCTTCTTATAATAAGTAACTGAACTTCCCCTCTCTTTTCTTCGTTACGGTCCTGCTGCTGCTGCTTGTCTTGGTATTGACGGAAAATTTCACCGGAGAAATCAGCAATGGCGAAAGCCAGTTCTTTTCCGATGAGGGTGTTCCTCGTTCTGTCGCTGGTCGTCTTGTCCCGGGCGGCAGTGGACTTCGCCTCCATGGTCGAGTCCAATTTCCCGTCAGTTCAGGCTGAGAAGTTCATTAGGGATCTCAATCTCTCACCCAAGGAGGACGTTAATGTCGTCGAGGGCGGCGCAGCCCCACTTCTCAGCGAGGCTCCCACCGGGAAGAAGATTGTGGAGAAGCGGATCAGCTTCCCGAATCTGATTGGCGAGGGCGAGGTCGGATTTGCCGTCGAGGATTTGGGGCACCACGCTGGTTACTACAACATTGAGCACTCTTATGCCGCTAAGTCAGTTCCAATTTCCCTTCTTCATATTAGTTTTTTTGCTTTGTGGGTATTCTTAAGAGATTTTCAATTGATGGTATGGCTGCTTCCTGATTTGGAAGTTTGGTGAATTTGGAATTGAGGAAAGTGGTTTTCGTCTGCGAGGAATGCAGCTGCCCGATCAGTGAATTTTTTCAATGCTCGGACTCGTCTTAGATCTGTTTAGGCTTTGCTTCGAGTGTTTATTTGCAGAACTGGAGGTATACGTGGGCTTGATCACGTATTCTTTCTGTGAAATGTTTAGGGTTCTATGAAATGTTTGGACTTTCTGTATCTCGGAGTTCATCTGCTATTTAAAGTCGTGAACTTTTAGTAAATTGTTTTGTAGTCTATTTTTGTCCTGTTCTGGTTTGATGATTGTATTCTTGAGCTGGCTACTGTTCATGGAGAAGTGGTTTACCACAGGAGAAGGCTAATACCATTTTGGATGTTGGTTTGTAGGATGTTTTATTTTTTCTTCGAATCTCGCAACAGTAAGAAGGACCCTGTGGTCATCTGGTTGACTGGGGGACCGGGCTGCAGCAGCGAGCTTGCCATATTTTATGAAAATGGCCCTTTCAGCATTGCAAACAACATGTCTCTTGTGTGGAACAAGTTTGGCTGGGACAAGGTAATCTTCTTTCCTTCGCCTCCATCTTTAGCCGTCTTCAACTCTTTCTATTCCTTCTAGCACGACTTGATGCTATTATAAGAAGCTACTGTTGCTTAGAGAACTAACTCTAACCTCCTGGAGCAAGTCCTTACCTCTTGGAACAATCTCCATCCTGGAAGCAACTTTCTTTTCTTTATGCGTGGGGATCTTATGGGGGGATGCAGTCTAGGTTGAACATCTAACTTGATCTTGGTTATTGGCTATTAGGTAGACAACTATTTTGCTGCTATCAGCTAAATTTGTGATTCCAGCAGTAAATCAAAATTCTCCATGGGAAATGGACGATGGAACTCTGAGGCTGTTACATTCTGCTGCTTTTATTATACAGGCTACCCATGGATTCATCAGTTAAATAGCCGATTGTTGTCCGTTTTGCAGACATCAAATCTTATATATGTTGATCAGCCCACTGGGACTGGATTCAGTTACAGCACTGATAAGCGTGACATTCGCCATGATGAAGCTGGAGTTAGTAATGACCTATATGACTTCTTGCAGGTAAAATTCAATCTGACGGACTCAGACCTAGTATCTTCTTTGCCTTCTAAACAAATTCAATTATGAAAGCATGAGCTAAAATTTAGTTCCTGACTTCCTGCTGTTTGCGCACTATTGATTTCCCATGTTCTTTATGCTATTATTTTCATTGTTAGGTCAGATTGGTAATTATTCTGCTTAACTCACTTTGCTGGCTACTGTCTCGTTAGGCCTTTTTCACAGAGCATCCTGAACTCGCAGAGAATGACTTCTACATCACTGGTGAATCATATGCCGGGCACTACATTCCTGCTTTCGCTTCTCGAGTTCACAAAGGGAACAAGAATAAGGAAGGGATCCACATAAACTTCAAGGTTTGTTGTGTCAGTTTGTCTGGACTTGGAAGTGGTTTCTGGTCTAGTCAACTTTACTAATCTCTTGGAGGATATATTGAACAGGGTTTTGCCATTGGCAATGGCCTGACAGATCCTGCATTGCAGTATAAGGCTTACCCTGATTATGCACTAGAGAATGGGATTATCACGAAAGCTCAATTCAATAAAATTAGCAAGGCTGTCCCAGTTTGTGAAATGGCAATTAAGCTGTGTGGTAAGTAATTTTAAACGTCCTTCTGCTTCATGTTTTTCTTTTTTGTGAAATTCATGCTGTGTTCTCTTCTCCCAACATATGAATCTAGTGCATTGGTAAATGGAACAGGTACTACCACTATTCCAGCACTTGAACTTACACTATTACTGATATCTTTTGTATATGCTTGCGTACAAATCTAACGAATTTTTTATCTTAGTTGATGTTGATTGTTGATATGATGCACCAGGAGTCTTCAAATTTAGTTCTTATTCTCGACTATAATTTTTCGGTTAAGTCCAGTTACCCAATCTGATAATACATCTTTTCTTTCAGGAACTGACGGTACGGTGTCCTGTATGGCTTCCTATTATGTTTGCAATGGTATATTCAATTCCATCATGTCTGCGGCTGGTACTATAAATGTAAGGTTCTTAACTCATCTATGCATAAAGTGATATGTTTGCGGACTACTGTACATCGCTCTTCTCAGTGGCCATCGTATGCATACTAGAAGTTGTCCATAGAAATTATCTTTGAACTCCCATATCCACGAAGACTGTATTAGAAACATAATTAGCCAAATACATCAGGAGACAATTCTTGAACATGGTGACTAGAAGATGATTTGCAATTCCCTTTTTCCCACTAAGATGGATAGTTGTGTTAAAAATTTATGACTGCAGTCTGTAATTTTAACACACACACACACATCACAACTGCACAAGCGCAGATGTAGGTCTTTTGTGAGAAGCTATGAAATGATTTTAGAGTTTGACCTACTAGAACTTGTGTTATCTCTGGCAGTATTACGACATCAGGAAGGAATGTGAAGGGAGCCTTTGCTATGACTTCTCCAACATGGAAAAATTTCTCAACATCAATGCTGTTAGGGAGTCACTTGGTGTTGGGAAAATAGACTTTGTGTCGTGCAGTCCTACCGTGTACCAGGCCATGTTGGTTGACTGGATGAGAAACCTTGAAGCTGGGATTCCTGCTCTCCTCGAGGATGGAATCCAAATGCTTATCTATGCTGGAGAATATGATCTCATCTGCAATTGGTTAGGTAAGGGTTGTGTAGGTCGAAAGAAACTGTTTTGATCTCGTGTTGTAGATCTGTGGGAGTAAGTGCTTTGAATCTCTTAATTATTTTGTGAAACAATGTACAGGTAATTCTAGATGGGTTCATGCAATGGAGTGGTCTGGCCAGAAAGAGTTTGTATCGTCTCCAGAGATCGCCTTTGAAGTAGACGGTACAGAGGCTGGAGTACTGAAAACTCACGGACCCCTGTCCTTCCTCAAGGTACACTTCTCTGATCTCTCTGGATATTGCACCATCATTTAGCTGCCAAGCCATCACCTTTTGTACATATGACTGATCAATGCCATGTTTCTGTGAATTAGGTCCATAATGCTGGGCACATGGTTCCAATGGACCAGCCCAAGGCTGCACTAGAGATGCTGAAGAGGTGGACTCAAGGCAAACTATCTGATGCCACTGCCGAGGAATCCAACCCGGAGAAGTTAGTTGCCGAGTTCTGATCTTTGCTTGGTGGGCAAACATTCAGATGACAGGCTGCCTGCCTGGCTTCTGGTTTTCCTGATGTAACCTTGTAAATAAGTTTCCTTTTGTGGTAGTGCCTTGGTAGAAGAAGGTTGTATGCAAGATCGTGTTGTTCGAGTCATGAATAATGTTCGTTACGATAAATGCGAGCATGGTCGTGTACCCTGTTGTAGCATCTGATGTACCAAACCTCTTTTATAAGTCTCTTCTTGTGTCTGCTAATTTACTGCTAAATGCCTCAACGGGAGTGAGAAGAAAAGAAATAAAACAGATGCCTCATTAAAGTCAGAATCAAGAAATGAGGGAACCTAGTTCAGAGTTCACTTCAGAGTTCAGACGTACTAGATTGCTTAAAAATAAAGTAGTATGAGTGTTTATGTAATTTTCCGTTATCTTCTTTCCCAAAGGCGGAAGCGCGAAACATTTCTTCCACCAATCTCTCTTTGCTTATTTACCTTCACGGAAGAGAGTTGGGAGAACTTGAGATCGATAGCTAGAAGGGAACAGTGAGATACGCCTCTGTTGAGAAGAATGGAGTTGACACTGCCGGTTGGATTCACGGCCGTAGCCAAAGGTGGTTTCAACTCTCTGTCCCCGCCATCCCGACTGTTTCCGGTACAATCCATTTCATCGATTACCTCCAGGAAGGATGGTAGCGTTACCCATTATCACTCTGACAAGCAGAAGATCAAGAACAAAACCTCGCCACCAAGAGCTTCATCTGCAGAAGGTACCCGCCTTCCGCTTCTTCCCCTCCTCCGTTTTTTTTTTTAATCTGAAATGGTTTTACTGGGTGAGTAATCTCAGAGCTTTAATTTCCGTCGCCGTGCTGCTGTATCTTGAATGTAGCAGGAGGAATTCCGAATGAATTGGCTGAAGAAGATTCCAAGTTCGTCCCCTTAAATTCTGATGACCCTGTCTTTGGTCCTCCTGTAAGTTGTGGTTAGTTCTTGCTTAGCTTAGCTACCATATCCATCTTTAGTTTCAGTTCTCATATGAAGTTGGAAATGATTCCTTCCCTTGGCCCCCTAATTCCCCAATTATTCCTAGTTATGAAAAAACTGAGAGTTTTTGCTCTCCTGTTTTTCCTTTTCCACTTCTTCCTGGCAGGCTCTGTTATTGCTAGGCTTTGAAGTGGAGGAGGCTGCCAAGGTAATTCACCTGCTTCTTACGCTCCTTCCTAAGCCTTGGGATGGGTTACTCAAGTTTATGGAGAACAAAAATGGCTTCTCCAAGTCATGTTAACTCCATCTGTCCATTTATGACAGATACAACAGCTCTTGCAAGAGATGGGTGGTGAATTCTTGAAGGTCTGCTCGAGCATTTTTTTGTTTTATGTTCATAAGCTGCAGGTTCCTTTAGTTTGGTCTAACAGTCGGCTTTTCCTTCGTTTATTTGCAGTTAGTTTTCTGTACGGAGGATATGATTTCCAGGTCACTTTGGGAAGCAATGAACACAGATCAACCAAACCTAGAAGCAGTCAAGGTCAGTGAAAATCTTAGAAACCCGGCAAAGCGTCGATGAAGCTCATCTGTTTCCCCGCCAACTTACTTTTTTACCAGCACAAACATGACCTTCAAAGGGATTCTTATGTTCAGGTAGCCAAGTCTCTGCCGCGGATTTGCTTCTTATCTGGCCTTAGCGGAGAGGAGATGATGATGTTCATCGACGCTTTCCCGGAAACCGGTAATTGCTACTAGACCTTAGTTACAATCAATATGCAAATTGGTGGCCCATATGGCCATATCCCATTTCTGGTTCTGCATTACACAATAGTTTGGAGACTTCATCAAGCAATACCAAACGATCGTATCCTCACAAAAAAAACTTCCTTGTCACAGGAGTTGAAGCAGAAGTATTTGCAGCTATGGTTCCCAACAGTGCTGATAAATCCCTGTATGAATTAGTGGAAGAGATCATGGGTGATCATGAAATGATGGTGGGTGGATGCCGATCTTGTTAAACTGCTTCCAGTCTTCCACTTACAAATCCACCAAGTGTCAACAATGTCTCCTTCCTTCTTACACCCGTTTGCTTGCCATGATTCTTCTTTGCAGACCAGAAGACAGTCTGAATCATTGGGAGCTCCAGGCGGCCTGGTGGACAACTGATCGAAAGGCCTGCGCTTTACTCTTCTATGATGAGATCAGGGTAATTAAGAGTTGTAGATCAAGAAAGTAATGCTGCGGAAAATCGAGAATGTAATGCAATCTTTGAAGCAATTCAAATGAGCATTAGGAATTTATAATCACTGCAAGTACATAGCCCAAGAATCAATCTTCCTGGTCACTCTCATCGCTAAAATAACTGGCCTTCTTCACTTTCTTCTTCTCCGAACCCTTTCCTTCTTCATCAGCTAACAACAGTCTCTCCTCTGCCCTGCCATCCACCGCGGAAGCCCAATTCTCCTCTTCAAACGCCTGCCCATCTCCCCAATTCCCTCCTCCTACTTCCTCATCGTCCGTCGCCTCCTCGTCCCTCCTCCCAGCAACAACACCACCGCGGACGGCGCCTTCTCTCCGCCCCCGCTTCGGCGCCGGCGGCCTATCCCTCGGCCCGAGCTGATTCTTCGGGCACTCGTACGACAAATGACCGCCCTCCCCACACTCGTAACACTTGCTCTTGTCCTGATACACCCTTTTCTTAATGAACTCCGTCGCTCGGCCGTTGTCGTTGGCAATCGACGCCGATAGGGTTCTGCCGTTAAGGATCTTCTTGTCCATCTGGCGCGCGGCGGAGGCGGCATCGTCGCGGGAGACGAACTGGACGAAGGCGACGCCGCGAGACTGGCGGGTGGCGCGGTCCTTGAGGACGGTGACGCGGGCGATCTTGCCGAAGGTGGAGAAGAGGGTGTGGAGGTCGGAGTTCGTGAGGGCGAAATCGAGGTTGGAGACGTAGAGGGTCGACTTCGACGGGGCTAATCCGCCTGAACCGCGGGATTTAGGGTTCCGATTAGCAGCGACTATTGAGGATGAGGAGGATGATGGCGGGCCTGCGGCGGAGACGGAGGAATAACGGTAGTAGAAGGTGTCGTCTTCGTCGCTGTCGCTCCCGCCCCGGTGACCCATTGATGTTTGATCTATAACTCGCTGTGGATTCTTATTTGAGTGAAGTGTGTTGTCACTTGACAAAGCAACTAATTTTGGATTATTCTCGTCATGTGTTATTCACGTAAATGTGTTAATTATTCACACAATTAATACAGTTAGGTCATGCTCATTAATATTTATTCATGCATATTGTTAATTATTCATGTTGTTGTAAAATAAAATTTTAAACTTTGAAATATATCAAAATGAATGTCATTCTATATATTATTATCAATGCAACATATTTATACATATTAAATGATAATCCAAATTTAATTCCATAAAATATAGGCAATACAAATTATCATGGAAAAAGTATGAATTTTTATTTACGTGAAAAACTTACACTTTTACGTAAATCACCAGAGTATTACGTGAATGAGCACAAAATGGCGTGAGTGAGCATAAAATGGCGTGAATGAACCAGTACTAGGTGTTCTGTCACCTAACGTGACAAGAGATATTTTCCTTCTTATTTAGCTCGTTGTGGACAAAGTTAAGGGGTCGTTTGGATTGATGATTTACATGGGTTATTTTGGCTCAAATAACTCAAACAGAAATAACTCGTTTTGACTTCCGAAAAGTGTAATGAGTTAATTGGTTATTTACGAATAACTCAAAAACGAGTTATTTTTCTGAAAAATGTTTCCAGAACTATTTGAATCCGGGAACACTCAGAGAAAAAATGTCCCCAACAAGTTTTCTTTTATAACACAAACATTCATTAATCGAATTGTTTCATAAAAAAAATAGTCAAAATGTGATGAAAGGATCTTTTAGTAATGTCGATAACATAGTACTTTTATCATTACTAGATGGACAACCTATTAAACGATGAGATGTAAAGATTAGGGATGGCAACAAAACCCGAACCCATGTGTATCCACCCGACCCAACCCGGTCAATGGGGGTAAAATTCGTGTTGACGGGTTTTGGGTCGGGTTTGGGTTTAGGTAAACCCGACCCATGGGTACCCGCCCACACACATATAATTAATTTTCTCTGTATATTTAATATTCTAAACAACTAATCTTATTTATGTTTGTGGAGACATGTCTAATTTTTTCTTTCTAATTGTGTAGAATGAAGTTGATATTATCGAGTGGAGAGTGCGTTAACTTAATTGAACGGAAGAAGCTTTCAATTAATCATGTATTTATGGATAATTTGTGATTGACTTCAATTTTCTTGAGTTTTCTAGATTGGTGTTGAACAATTTGTATAGTTAATTTGTGATTTGCTTGAATTTTCTAGAATGGTGTTTTATATATGGATAATTTTATTGAGAGATTGATATTTGACTTTAATTTTGATAGGAACTTGTTATTGTAAATTTTTTAGGACAAAAACCCGTGGGAACCCATGAACCCGCGGATACCCAGCGGGTTGGGTTGGGTTTGAGTTTTTCAAACCCAGTGGGTTTTACCCCCAGGTTTTTTTCACGGATAAACCCATGGGTTTGGGTTTGGCAAAACCCGACCCAACCCGACCCATTGCCATCCATAGTAAAGATAAAGGTTGTCGATCAGATTTAACCTGTTAACCTGGTCGAACAAATTGGCAAAGAGTTAAGCATCTTATTGTTTTATCACAATTTAGCTTGGATATACGGAAATGTCATTATATAGTTCATACCTCCCACGAGCAGCATGACCAATCCTACCCTCACAGCCTCCCTCTGACTATGAGCATAGCGCACGTAGCGCTCCTGCGACCTACTCCATCGCCATGTTTGAGATGCGACACAACAACTCCGTCATCGCCATAGCATGCCCTAAATCGCATTTGTTGAAATCAGGCAACTTGCTGCTGATAATACATAGACATAGACATATGTAGTTATTAATCATCGCCAGAGCATGTCTTTTATCTTTTGGATAATGCAAGGTTGTCAAACCGGTTTATATCAGTGTGCCGGTTTAGCAAGTGAAATGGTTCGACCGGTGGTACATACCGGTTTGTGCCGGTTCATGTCGGTTAATATTACAAATAATTTACAAATACTCATATTTAAACACGACATTTAACGTCAATACCTGAATATTTGTACTTGAATCCAATAAATAACATCAACATTTAACTTTTTAACACATAAAATAAATAATAAAATACTTTTTTATCAATTAAATTCACTAAGATAAGATCATTTTATTTGGAGATCCAATTCGAGATGTTCAATTGGGCGACCAGGGACTCACCTCCATTCAATTCGTTTACTCATATGGAGTTCCAACATATCACTCTACGGGGCACTTTAGACATTTCAATTCCAAAGACAAGTTAGATAACAGAGAATGTGAACGGAAGGGCTTAATGGTTATCGACCCATAGTACATGGGCTTTTTTCATTAAAAATATAGTACAAGGGCTTATTTGTTATCTTTGCATAGTTGAGGGACTTGTATGCCTAATTGCCTATTAATCCTTAAAAAAAAACAACCCAAATCCTCGGTTGAAATGAAAAGCGATGCATGAAATTTTGCAATTAATTCCATCTCTACACAATTATTGCTTGTAACTCGTTTTTCACGCCAGGACGAACCGACGAACCAAAGGCCAAAACACGAAGGGTAAATTAGTCAAAGCCACTCGAAGGGAAATAGTTTTGGGTGGCGATAATTTTGTCTCTTTTTTGCCGTGGAAGTGAACCTTCGTCCCCCGAACGACCAAAGGGGTAATGATTTGCTGATTACCTGGAGCTGGAAGAACCCGAGAGAAAGATCAACGTCGGCACCTGAGCAAAATTTTATTGACCCTCGTTCCTCCCCCGCCGTCGATTATTGTGCGACTCGGATTCCCGGAGTAAGATTTCAGACACAAGGCTGAAGTAGAAACTGAATACCAGGATAAGAACGAATTCAGCTGCCGCAATCAGTAGTCGAAGGATTCTTGGTGACCTTCACCTGGGTGGTTCCTGTAAGTGAAAGCAATTCTCATGGTGACTTTCTTCTTCACAAATACTGCCAATTCCTGGCATGATTCCTCGTTTTAGGACCTGGGTATTGTTCATCTTTCGTTTTTGGGATGTGGGGTTTCAGGAAATCATGGGATTGGTCAGTGATTGAGAATTAGCGGAATACATTTGTATTGCGATATAGAAAGATTGGTTCTTTTGTCCTCTTCTTGTCACTATCAAGCTTAGACGTTTAATAATTTGAGTACTGGAACTATCTGTCGCTTTGTATTAATTTATCCTTGTATTGTTAGCAGACAAGTTAACTGCTTTATAATTTTTGGTACTTTCGCTTTGAACTCAAGCGTTTGGTGTGAGAAGCACAAGAGGATTGGTTTTGCGATTCAGTCAAGCAAAAAGAGTGGCACATTTTATCAAACCTAAGTTTTGCCTCTGTCCATTCACCACTTGCTTAGGTATTGGTTAATAAGAACTGACTGCCTTTGCCTCTCAAAATGTGTCGTGAAGAGCAAAAGGTTCTTCTAAGATGATATCTTTAAGAGATTTAACCAGAACATCTATGTGTAGTTCCAATTGCCGACCTGCCTCCATGACAGAATCTACTATTCTGACCTGATCTGTGTATCTAGAAAGTTTAGCCCAGAGCATAGCTAACTGCAGCCTTTGTTTACCACATGTTCTACTAGAACTCGGTGAACACATTTGAATTTCAAGTGGAGTGGTGAGAAATATAAAAGTATACTGAAACTGCTGTATCAAATGAAAGAACTGAAAGTGCTAAGTTACACCAATCTAGTATTCTGACTTTGTCTTTCTTTTCCCATTCTTAATTGCAAATAGATTTCTATTTGACAGCCCAGGGATGTACTGCTATTTGGGCTGGACAAGATGCATGGATTCTCCACTGTAGATGGATTCGTGGAGATAAGTGAGTGCATGGCGGAGATGATTAAGTACGTGGCGAATGAACCCTCGGTAGGGCTTTTCTACGTTCAGCAGCATGTGCAAAATGCAGCTCCAAACGTCATTAACATCAGGAAAAGTGTGGTGGAGAGGTCTCGTGAGACAAGCTTGAACACTGAAGACTTGGAGGATTCAATTACAATGGTGAGGTCAATGAAAGAATGTGGTTTGCCCATTGCAAACGAGATGATCAAAGACATCCGGAAATCTCTCATGATAATGTCCGAGAAACAAGAGAAGAGAGGATCAGTTCTGAGGTCATCATCCTCTGGCTTTCTGATGAGACGATCCAGCTCGACAGAAACACCGCCTGGTTGGAGTGATGGTGATGAAGCTGTTACCCTAAAAGATGTCAAGAAGTCAGGCTATTATTTCTCCACCATGTTTAAGACGGCAAAGGAGAAGGCCAGCGGTTTCAAGTGGCCTCAAATTGATCTGAAGGAAACCATTCCAAGTTTCAATTATCCATCACAGCTTGTAGCATCTTCCAGTGCGAGTTCTTCTGTGGCTGTTGCAGAAGCTGAGGAGTTGCCGTTGTCGAGTGAGGCAGCTGATGATGCGGCCGAAGAGCGCCAAACAGATGCAAAAGATGAGCTGGAGGGCACGAGCCCCCCACATTCAAATGCCATTTCAGTACCAGAAGATTATGATGTCTTTAAGGCAGATAAACAAGCCAAACTAGAGGAATGGCTGGTAGAAAGTGGTGGTAAGCGAGATAGATTGCCCCCCAGCAAGTGACATTGAAAAGAAAACATTTTGTTCTTTTGGTGGCCCGGATGAGATTCGGTTGCTTGTATAATCTACTGAATCCTGTTGTTTTGTAGTATATTGTTCTATAGTTTATGGTGACATCCAGTAGGTTTTGAAATAAAACTCGTGGCTTCTCCATCTCCTGCGGTCCTCAACTATACGTAGATTGAGTGAGATGAGATGCCAGCCACAGGTAGAGCAGCCGAATCGTGCAACCTTGCTGAGTGCTTGATATGAAGAGGTGCAAGTTGAAAGAGTTGTCAAACGCACCCTCCTGCTCATGCTTTCCCAAACTTTCTAAACTCCTGAAGGTTTGTACCCCGAGTAGAGGATGGTGGAACTCATAGCTCACTTCTTTTATAGAGAGGATATCATAATCGGTTTCCTCGACGAAGTTCTTGCCAGGAAGCGTCATTGCCAGAAACAAATGTCTTGTTGAAAGACAATTATCCACCAAGTTCAGTCACGTCGAAGTACTGCAGACATAACTTGGGGATATTGTTGATCAAAGGGTTTGGGATGGAGGAGGAAAGGTACAGAAGTGGAGGAGATCATTAGGAAGGTGGCTAGATCAACCTACTCATTTGATAACTTTCCATGGCGCAAGGACTAAAAAATATATCGATATTAAATACTTAACATAGAGATTTTTAGTGACGAAGTTAAAGGATTGATCAAGGTGACAAAGTTTGGCAAATAGGATTTGTACGCTGCCTCAAATGTAACAGTGCGATCTGGAAATGCATTTCAAAGCGAAAACCAGACCATTGGAACTTCTGGTCAGTGGTCAGATTGCATTCACCAAGACAGAGAATAAGTTGTGCGAAAAGGCGTAGCACACAGAGATATCAGATATGTAAACTCCTCGTAATTAGTCAAAGTAATGACATCGAATGCATAAAGCAGTTTTTACATAGATCTTGTCCTAGTCAAAAAGAGCTAGGAGAAACAAATTATTGGAACTACTCCGTCGAGAAAGATACTGATATAGCAGTAGCCAATCTAAACAAGCTTGACACCAGCTTCCCGCACAGAATCGACAATAGCTTTTACTTTTCCATGATACTTCTGTTCCCTCTTCAGCAAAACAGAAACAGCAGGTATGCCCTTCTGTAGAAGGCGCTCGCCAAGTAGCTTCCCAATCTTGGCAGCAGCTGCTACATCTCGAGTATTTTCCATGGCCGACCTAAGGGCCTTCTCTTGTGAGCTCGCCGAAGATGCTACTGTTGCAGTTGGTGAGTGCCTCACTGTCGCCGTCACAAACTTGTTGCTGAAATGCATCAGTAGCACGTAGGGCTTGAGATACTCTGTGATTCTAGGTGGCCTAACTGGAGGTGGAATAACCATCTTGGTCTGCAAAAGATCAGCACCCACAATTATACCCCCAACCCCAACAATCGCCGAATGAAAGAGTGACTTTCACAGATGAGCATGCACAATTCAATTGTTCTAAATGAAGGAAATGTCGAGAGAATTTAAATAAAGAATCCAGTATCTCAAGCCCCACCTTTCCAGCTTGGAAAAGAAAGAAGCAACGAGTTAGCTCAAAAGATTGTCTATGATCAACCATTGAAGCACAACTTGGAAACTTGAATCTGGTCATTCTAATGGTTGACCACCCTGATTTTGACAAAGTAGAAGTAGTTTGATCTTCCTTTCCTAATTTCCTTAGCATCAACTCAATAAGGATAGAAAGAATTCAACAGGTACAACCGTACAAGAACATGCATCTTTTTGGATCAATCTCCAGTCGTGAATATTCCAATACCAAACATTTTTCATGATTATCATTTATCAGAGTGCACATAATTCAAATATCCTTGAGAGGCTCAAGCGAATATAATCATTCAATACACCGTTCAGGTGCATATTCTTTAAGCAAATGGAAAACCAACCTACACAACCATTACGAGATCATTTTACACCCACTTACATATCTAGCAAACTTGCAGGACCCGTGGATCACTGCCTCCTTAAGTCATCATCCTAGATTTCAAGATGTAGTTGTGGCAAGCATCATTAAGCTACGTAAATCAAATGAATCATAGCAGTGAATTCCTTATCTTATGATGTAAATTCATCTATGAACAGACAGTACCCTTTCAATAGGGCTTTCACACCTATCTTTACCTAGGTGTTTCTTATCACCAACTAAAGCCAACTACTCTGTACGAGCTTAGACAAGTCCCAATTTCTATTTTCGATCATGTCGAGGAAACTTGCATATATCTAGGACCTGCAGCATGGGAAAGTGGCTACGCAGATAATTCCTTTTCGCCTGTTCGGTTACAGTCTGGAAGTTTAGAAACAGAGGAGATACTTCTGCTGCTTTCAAACATGTCAAGACACGCCAGTGAAGCTTCTAACTTGCTGCTTATACTAACTAGTGCGCACTGTACAGTTCAGCAATTTCAATTGCAGAAATGCCATGAACTCCCATAGTTTGTTTCTTGAACCCACACATGAGTCGAAATAGTACTGCCATTTTGTTGCTTACAACCACAAATCCACAATCACTATTTCTCGCACTATGAATCATTGAGACTACTACCATCCATGAGTATCAAAAACTCTAAATCAAAGCCACGCAAACCCCGAATCATTGACACAAAGCCAAAAATTGGTGCACAATTTTGGATTAAACTATGTAGAAACCACCAGCCCGAGAATCCTTTGACGAAGCGAAAAAGAAAAACCACCTGGAGATTTTGAGGAAAAAAGAGCGAGCCTTGTTATTTTCCGCGCTGGGCCTTGGCCAATAGTCGAGTACAGAAAGCTCCTGTCGAAGAAGAGAAGGGTTGTGAGAAAGAGAAACCAGAGAATGGGAATGAAAAGGAAACAAACGCGGAGAAAGGCAGAGGAGAGCCGACCTTGCGAGTCGAGTAACAATGGAAACTCTAGCTGAGAGATCAGGGTGGACGCTTTGCAAGGAGCGAGGGATGAAGTCGCGAGGCCAGAGGAAACGACGGCGGGCTGCAGTGGAAGGGTTCTTGAAAATAAAAGGAAGAGGGAGTACAATGGCAAAACAAACAAGCGAAAGAGTTAAGGGTAATTTACTCATTTCCACCCTAACTATAATACTTTTACTATTCAAGTCCCCAAACTAATATACTTGGCATCATTTTCCCTATTTGGTTAGGCAGCGTTCCATATTCAGCAGCGATGGCAATTTTGACATGACCCATTGTACTCGACCTGTTTGGCCTGTTTTGGGCAGGTCCGACCAGCTTCGTAGGCGGGGCGGGGCGGGCGGGCATGTGTACCTCTCATCGACTCGACCGGTCCTGACCTGCCCCATTCTCGACCCGTTCTTGTCTAAATTACATGTAATCTTAGTCAAATTACTTAGGATTTTTATTTTATTATCTCATATTTAGCTATAAAAAGTTGTAAATAAGTGAAAACCTCAATTTCTCTAATAATTTAACTACATTTTATCATATTATGGTTTGTTACTTGGTCTTTTAATGACAATAACGAATATTTCTAACATTTTTCAAATAAATTACATACCCATTGGGTCGACCTGCCCGACCTGCGCCCCGTGAAAAATTACCCGACCTGCCATGGGGCGGGTATGTGTATCGAGATACCTGCCCCGAACCTGCCCATTATCATTCCTAATTCAGCTTCTGAATGATTCCGAATTGTTAGTTTCTTCAAATTCTTGAGGGCAGATAGATAATGACAGCTTCTGAATGGAGGTGCAAGACGAATAATATTCAGTAATATTTTTTTGAAATCAACTCATATATTAATCATCGCAAGAACAAGTGTGAAGAAATATATCATATGTATTATTAAGTAAGCCACACTTGAAAATTCCTGCCTACACTTAATACTCATTTGCGCGACAACTCCGTAACACAACTAGCTAGGTTGCTATCTTTTTTTTTTGTTATTCCGAATTGCATCCATATAGTTTCCGGCACAATACAATGTGAATCACAACCAGTAGCCTTCAACACCTGCAGATTTGCAACCCGTCGCTAGGAACTCGTCTGACCATGATTCGTCAATTTTGGCCTCGGCTTGCCATGAATGTAGATCCTTGGTGGAAGCCTGCTACCAAAAGTCATTACCATTTACCATGTCTCTGTCTGCATCCACAGTCTTCAATGCGAGCTCCGGCTGATTAAGAAGCGTCGATAGATGCTCAACTGTACATCATCAGTTTGCATCTCCTCCTCCGTTGTCGACTTGAATAGATCACCCCGCTCACCAAGGTGCACACTAGAGGGTCATCAGTAACGGAACTTTGAGCAGCTCAATAAGACAACAAAAAATTCCCATTTTCAACCATCTATCCCATCTTCGTATTCCACAACTTCCTTCAATTGTTTTGAGTTCAGGGAAGATCTTGATTTCTGCTAGTTGACAGATTGAAGAGGAGTTGGGATCTGTTGCAGTATGTGTTCTCCTCCATAGAGGAACAGGGTGACAGATCCAACCATAGGACCTGCACCATTATGAAGACAATAAACCTAGTAAAGTAATAATTCACACCTAAAAAATGTAATGACGAATTTGTCGTGTAATCAACGACAGAACAAGTCGAGAGGAAAGGGGAGAAAGCAAAGAAGCACCATTGCACATTAGAGATCCTCAATCAGTAGTTAGCAGGTACCACACTGAGTTCTGTAAGACGAATGTTGGTAGCAGTACAGGATTTCTTACCTCAGAGGTAAGTTGCCTTCAACATGCCACTTGGTCTTCTCCCATGCAATTCAGGTCTTACTATTACCCTCTGTGATAAAACGTGAAACAGAGATTAGCATAAGAAAGACACCAGCAAGGCAAGAATTTGATAAGGCCAAGGTGAAAAATACAGCTATCCAAGCCAGAAACAATGTTCATGTACAGAGCTACACCTATCATTTCACGAGGAGACTGATTTATTGCCTTGATTCCTTCAGACACTTTTACCATGTTCGAATTGAAGGGACGTGCCAACTTGCTGTGGCTCACAATTTTAGCCCTCCTGTGAGATTTTAGCCAAAATTCCAAGCAACAGTCACAGTGAAGAAGTTTCATACTAGTTATGAGAAACAGCATCGCCGAAAATTTTGAAATCCATACCTGACCAATTTTCGCTTTAAAGTACCCATTTTCAGCTTGGAAGTACCTGCTAGGAACATAAAATGCAACCCTAAATTCTAAAACAAAAAGTAGGTATATCTCAGAGACTGAAAAATAGAAAAGCCTCCAGATGTTCTCACCTGATTTTAGAGTTAAACAAGTAGAAGCTGCTTTGCGACTGCCTCTCTCAGCTTTGATGGAAGCAATGAGAGAATCAGCTGTAGGCCCCAAACCTTTTCTTCCAACTAGCTTTACCCCAAGTTTCTCATCTAGATAACTCAACCGCACATCATCACCTCCTCTGACCTCTCTCAGCTCAAGTGCCTGTTGTTTTGATAATAGTGTATATACATGAAGCTCTTGTTGCTGGTTAAAGTGTGACTGCAGCTGCTTAAAGAGCAACTTATTGGAATGCTGTAGATCCGGCCTAGCACCTTCTTGACTCCTCTTCTGAGGGTCACTTAATGCAACCCTCAAAATTGCTGCTGGCTTGGAATCCGAATCGTTTCGAGCAAATATAACAGCAAAACTACCAAATTCTATATCAGGCTCCCTAAATAAATCGGCTAGAAGTGAAGCACATGCATGAGCGTTCTTAAATGGAGTACGATTAAGCTTAATCCTCGAGGATCTAGCATTAGCAAAGTTTGCAATATTAGCAGCTTCCCTTAAGCCAGTAAGAAAAGCTCCATGCATAGTCGCGGGGTACCTCCTAGTGGTGGCTTCCCCAGCAAAGAAAAGTCTTCCGTCCCCCACACTTTCTGCCAATATATCATAATCATCTCCGGATGCCCCAACAGCCACGTTGGAATAAGACCCCAGAGAGAAGGAATCACTACCCCATCTAGTACATACAGTTTGTATAGGCTCCGGGACATTGATTCCTCGTGGTTCATAAATACCTGTATGCATTCATGGCAATACCTCATAAATACATCATGATGCATATCCAAAATTTGTACTAAGATTCCCTTTTCTAGAAACTCATGGTAATGGAAATATTCTCAAAAGTGAATATGGGTAAAATGTCCAAACTAAATATCACTTTCATTGGCAGAACAAAAGAAGCCAACAGCAGCTATGAAGCAGATATAGTTTTGAACACTTTACCTTTAAGAATCTGAAGAACATGAGAAACAGCATCCACTGGAGGCATACTCTCAAACTTCAGGGCAGCTTCTCCAGCTACTAGTGCAAGCAAGAGTGGTCCACCAGAAACAGTCGCATAGCTATAGAACAAGAAGAACTCCCCTCGTCTGCTTGAATGACCAGTCAAATGCCCGAATGTATCAAGATCATTTTCCCAAAATACATAAGGGAAAAGCATTGCAACCTTGTTCAATAATCCGTATCCCAATCTCTTTATTCCATCAAGCTTCCTCTGTGGCAATTCTGGAACAAACTTTACTGACCCACTCTTCAGAACACCAAGAGGTATTGTACACAATACCATATCGCCTTCAAAAGTCTGACTCCCAGCAACAACCTGCACACCATCACTACCATACCTGATGGTGTGCACAGTCTTTTCATACAAGATAGGAACATTCTCGGCCAAGGCCTGAACCAACCTTCCATTCCCCCCAGGCACAAAACAATGATCCCCTCCCATATCATAAGGATCATCCTGGTCCCAAAATGCTAGGGAAAGTTTTGACAACAAACCTGCATTGGCATATTCCAAATTTGCACAATGCCAATTGAACAGGCCCATCTCCTCCTCATTCACAGCATCTCCATATACCTGCCTAAAAGTCTCTAAGGCTGCTCCCAGCGATACATCAACAGAGACATCCCCCATCAACTGCCTCAGCCTGCTTGCCTGATCCAACAATCGATTAAATGCTGCCTCAACCTTCATGTCTGTATCTAGATCAACTGGCTTCCCATCAGGTGCATAAAGAGGACACTTATCAGTCACCTTGTGTAAAGTATGCCCCAATTGCCTTGCCAGAATTCCTAGAGGATTACCCAAAGTCCCAGTCAACACACTTCCTCCTAAATCTGCTGAAGCACTAACTCTATTCGCTCCACCCCCTTCCAATTCCATTTTCTTAGTGTAAACTCTCCCACCGGGCCGTTTCCTCCCTTCCAAAACCGTAACCCGAAACCCTAACCTCATTAACTGCCTGGCCGCAGCCAGCCCAGCCAACCCAGCACCAACGATGATCACCTTCGCCTTACCAAACTCTGAAGGAAATTTTTCTTTGATGGCTTGCGATACACCAAAATTAATGTACCCGCGGGAAACCAAGTAGTCATAAGCAGAATCCAAGAGTCCATGACAATGTGCCGGCACCGAATTCAAGAACATTCCTTTCGTAATCCACGAATTTATATTCTCTCGCCATTTCGCAATAATATGGTTTCTAATAAGCGTGTAATTTACCTGCTCGATCCCACCGATCACCGGAAGCACGCCAGCCTCAATTTCCTCCTCCGTCAAAGAATCGGCGGGGAACCCAGCAGAAAGCGCAGTTAACGCCTCCGCTGTGGCTTCTCTGTTTATAACGATGATCTCCTCAGCAATGTCGGTTACCGGCTGCCTTGACGAGCTGGAATTCGGATTAGGGCTAATAATGCTCTCCCCGTTGATGTTGTTCTTAGGCGGTAAAAAGGGAACCTGTGGAAGTCGAAAGGAAGTAGGAGCAGCTGACGCAGAACGAGTGGGCCGGCCACGGCGGCGTTTCTTGGGTACGGAGAAGGAGAGGAATCGGTTGGGGTTAGGAGATGCATCGGAGTCGACGCTTGAAGTTGGGTTCGGGGATGGGGTTGGAATGGCATTGGAGGAAAGGCTAGGAAGAGGAGGGAAATCGACGAATTCTAGCGGCAGGGAGGAAAAATCTTCCGTCGTCGGTGTCGCCGAATTCATCTTCCCGATACTTTTCCCTGCGGTGATCGCAGCGCCGGAGACGGTGGCCGAGCTAGCAGTAGTGACGAGGCTGGCGGAGACTGGGCTTCTGTTCGCTGCTTGCTACGTCTTGTTGCCTCCTTGATAGAAAGACTGGGGGTAGATCCGTAAATGCCTGAACAGCTGAACTTGGTTCTAATTTGTTAATCAGTCCCTACACTTTATTCATTATCAATCCGAACCCTAGACTTTTCCAAATTAATTCAAAGCAAAACACCGAAAAAACACGGTGAAAAATAAAAGAGAGAAAAATCAAAGTATCAATCCACGTTTGATATACCAGGCCGAGAGCTGGATCGCGCTCCACATTCAGTTCTCCCTGTGTCTGTCTCGGTTTCTCACCATTGTCGTCTTCTAATCTGCTTCTTCTTCCTCTTCGTCTCCTTCTCCTTGTTTCCGGCGAGATTGCTGAATTATTTCCAGTGTAGGGGGCGACGTGACAGCCGCCACTTCTAATCGTCGAAAAGGTGAGTTGCCTGGAACTGTAATCCTCCGAAATCCCGCCGTCTCTTCCAATTTGTCTTCATTTTCTTCTCCTCACTTCCGCCAGTGAATTCGCGATTCGATAGCGTTTCCTCACCGCAATGAAGTTCGGTGGATAACGGTCGGCTCCTTGTTTTGCCGCCGTTGTCTTTCTCGGTTCCCATGTTGATCTGAATTGGAAGTCGGTTTTGAATTTTCCAAAAATGATTCTGGTTGCAGCAATACCGAAAACGTCATTTCTATCTGGCGGTTTCCGGCGTAACAATTGTGGCCTTCGCTTCCAATCTATTAGTCCCTTTGTTCTCTCTAGGATGAGAATTAACTGGTGCTTGGTCATTGCGTACTGGATCTGGAGGCTGTTTCCATTCCTTTTTTTTAGTTTTGGCAGCAGAAATTGGCGGCGAGGACAATGAAAATGGAAGACGTAGTTACTGTGCTCCCGTCTAGTTTTTTAGAGAATGAATAAGGTTCTTCAATCTTGGTGTTATGAAGTATCGCACTTCTGATTAGTAACTACTCCCTTAGAGTTTGCGGTTGAAATGCTTCCCCTTTGCATACGCTCTTCCAGGTAGTATTTGGCTTAGTATGTACTTCTTAGTGTGTTCACTCTACTTGAACTGGTTTGAGAAGCAGTCTAGACAAAGTAATCGAACTTGGATGACCAGCATATCTGGAAACAAACATAATTATTCGGTTAACTGGTTGAAGCAAATCGCTGGCTGTGTAAGGTCAATGCCTACGCAGGATGATGCAGATTCTGTGCATTAATGGCCTATCTACATGTTTCATTTCTGTGTTGCTACTTTGAAATGTGTCAAGTTATTAAGCCTTTGGTTTCTTTTTCTTCCAGGAGTAACTATTTGCTGGCAGAAGAAGAAATAGGATTTTCGCATGAGTTAATTGCAACCAATCTGTTGATGCAAAAGGACCAGGATGGGGATTTTTGATGGATTGCCAGTTCCACCTGATAAAGAGGTAAGTTGTATTTAAAATTTTCCCTTTAGAATAATATAAGTATCGGGAAATAAATCAAAAAGCATTAGACCTTGATTCTTTCGTGTGCTAGCAACAAACAATGAGAAAGGAGTTGTACTGAGGTGATAATGTTGGAACTTTTATCATCTCTTGAAATATGATTCTTGTTCCAAAAGTTATCTGATTGAGTGGTTGATCTTATTGTGTTTCTGCAATCTATCATGAAGGTAATGTCGTGTAATAAGTACTGATGCAGTATTATAATTGTGTCTACTTGTTTCTTGCTCATCATTTCTGGAAAAAAGCAATCATGAAGTGAGGAGCCAAGACTCTTTCATATTCAGCTGCTTTCGCTGATGTAATATTAAAATTGCAATTAGTTTTATCTTGCTCTTACTTCTCGCCAATTTTTCTTTTGTCTTTGATGTAGTATTTAAGGGACGAGCTTTTGAAAATCGATGAGAGTTGGGCTGTTCCTCGTTTTGACACCTTGCCTCATGTGGTTCATATTCTAACATCAAGAGATCGTGAAAATGAGCTCCACTATTTGAAGGAGCAAAGAGATATAGTTGAGGAGGTTGTGGATGAAGTTGTGCATGCTTATCACAGTGGCTTCAATAAAGCCATCCAAAACTACTCTCAGGTGCATTTCATTCTGTTTCCTGCTCATTAATGATGCTGCTTATCTGGCAAGCTTCTCAGGAAATTCCACACCTTGCGTTTGTACATCCACATTGATAAATAAATGCTCAAAGATACTGTCTGCAACTGCTGTCCCCCCTCCCCCCCTCCCTCCTCCCTTTGTACCTCTATCTTAGGTTAGATTGGTAACATTATTAGAATCTGATGGATGAAAATTGTAGGTTACACCTATTTTGTTAGATCCTGTCATGCGGTATCCAATTTTTCTGTTTTGACAACCCTTTGCTGCAGAAGGAATCGTCGCCCTTCTGAAACCAATCAAGTCATCTGATTGTTTTTTTTTTTGTTTTTTTATTTTTTTGCTTTCGGCTGCGGACGATGAACTAGGCGATTGTCATATAATGCTTTTTTGCAATGCCATGGTTATTTCTGTTGTTAAACGATTGCTATTCCATACATAGCCATGATGTACACATTCCCCAAACCAAATAAATTGTCTGATTCTTCATTATGCTTGAAATGTACTCTGAGCAGTCATAGTAATGTGAAATTGGTCATTCCTCTCTGGCTACAGAATATTATGGAAAATAACTCCATCGCGCTGTTTTCATCTCTCTTCAGATTTTGAAGTTGTTCAGTGATTCTGCTGAAAGTATTCGCACACTGAAAATTGATTTGGCTGAGGCAAAGAAGCGTCTTGGTGCTCGAAACAAGCAATTACATCAGCTATGGTCTCGATCTGTCACACTAAGGCACATTATTGCATTGTTAGATCAAATCGAGAGCATAGCTAAGGTAAATATGAATCTACCGTCAATTGACTAAGTTGTTACATATTTTTAAGCTGTCAATTTAGGGATACCCTTGATTTTCTCTCTTCACTCTTCTGCACCACTGGCGTATAAAACACCTCCTGTTTGTAGGGTGTGATTGTTCAAGGATTGACTTTTGTTTTTGCATCATGAATAGGTTCCAGCACATATTGAGAAACTCATTGCTGAGAAACAGTTTTATGCAGCCATTCAATCACTTATTCAGTCATCCTTGATGCTTGAACGAGAAGGCCTTCAGACGGTAATGTTTTACAACTTCTGGAGTCTGTACTTTGTAGTTTGAGTAAAGAGTTTGTTTTGTACTTCTCCCATTCCTACCATGCAAAGTGTAGAAGAATTTATTGGAGTCCAATTCTTGTTAAGTGCTTGACTCAGAGTCCAAAATACAAGTGGAGAACTGCTCCTTGGTCTTTGAAGCGTATCCTTGAACATTATTCCGCTTTGATTGTGTTCACCCAATTTCAGTCAGGAAACTAAAGCCTGTCATTGTCACTTAATTTTAGCATCTAACTCAGGGTAAATCATACTTCAATCATGTTAAGTGTAGATGAAGTTATTCTAGTCGAACTCTTGTTAATTCAAGTGCTTGATGCCTATTCCACATTAAAAATAGAAAATTGATCCGTGGTCTCTGGTGCTTATCCTTGAATGTTGTTCTGCTTTGATTGTGTCTGCTCAATCTGAGTCTGGTAAGTGTAGCCTGTCCACACCCATAACTTTTGTCACTTGATTGTAGCAGCTAATCGGGGTATATCATACCAGATGACTAGTTTTTCTTCTAATATGCTATCATATAATATATCTGTCAACTTACTTAGTTTCTCAAAATAATGTGTTATGTTAGTGTCTGGAACCTCCTGAAATCAACGACAACCTTGAAACGTTTCGAATGTAACTCAGGTTGGTGCTCTTCAAGATGTAAAATCTGAGTTGTCCAAGTTGAAAGGAGTTCTCTTTTTCAGAATAGTGGAGGATTTGCATGCACATCTTTACAATAAGGGAGAACATAGGTATAATATTTTTCCTCCTGCCATCTCATTTCCTTATTGCGAGAGTGGACATGTAAGGTGGAGGTGTACCATCTGGCACTTTTGTTGTAGCCTTCTCTTCCTGACGCTCGTGTCCCTTTATGTGGTTTGAATGGTATGCTTACTTGTCTGACTAATGGTGACATAGTCTTGTCTCATATTTCCTTATAGTGATAGAAAAAACAGCTGTTCATTTGATTCTTCACCTCTGTGATATGCTTATTTTTTCCATTACGTAATGTATTGGTTTGCATTTTCAATTATTCAATGACTGCTCAGTGTATGCATTCTTGATTTTCTTCCACCCTTGTTCTCTTCTCTCGCTACCTCTTGTATTCTTCAAGAGACAATGGGCCTGAGACAAATAGACTCCTTTGAGGTTTTGGAAGGAAGAAAGGTTTGAAGTCTGGAAGAGTTATCTAGTTCCAGTTAAATTTACCTATGGCTTATGACATTAGGGAGATGTCTTGCCGTGCTAGGAAGAATTCCATCAGCTGTTGGTTTTACTTCGCACTTCTTTTTCAACAATCTGTTGATGTCAAGCTGATTTGCTGATAGGGCGAGAGTCGTCTGCCTCATATTTGAGGGAAATGTTAAATTCTGCTGGGAAGTTTTTCATTGCTAGCTAATCAGATTTATTGGTACTTCTTTATTTTGATCCAGCTCATGCTGTACTACAGAATATTGCTGTCTTTAGCCTGATTTTTTTCTGCAGCTCAGTGGCTTCTACCATGGATGAAAGAGAGGATGACCTGCCAACCATTACTGCTGCTGCCTATACAATGAATGGCTCACAATCCTTGTCCCGAAGGACCAGGATGATCAAAGGAGAAAATCATGGACAGACAGATGGATCTCTCAGGTAAGGTGTAGGTGATGGTTAAGAATAGTGTTGGAGCTTTTGATTAGTGTTGGGTCTGCAGTATTTTACTCTTTGCAAATGCCTATTGAAACGGTTTATAAGTTAAGTTGTGCCGTCAGTGTCTTGCTTTTGTGTCTTATATCTGCATAGCAGATCTCTTGATGATAACTTTTATGTGCTTTTCTCAAACCAGTTAAAATGTATGATTTTTAAATATACATGTTATTCAATATTTTCGTCCAATTCATTCAACCATTTAAATCTTCTTTTTGTTGTTTACTGCATGATGGTCTTTTATTTCAATGTGTTACTATAGTTTTGCTTACTACATGTACTTTGATGGGCTTGCATTTCATCACTTACAATTGTTGCTTGCATGTCAGTTTTTGGTAAAATTCCTGCTTCAGTTGGATTGGCATATTAGACTCTGTATTCAGGATTCAGTAAATTTTTTGAATTTCTGACTTTCCAATGTTCAATTGTACTAGCCCAAGCAATTTCCATGTGATAGCCCAGTTTTTGTTCATCTAGCTCTCTGTACTTACATCTGCTATTGTCCTCAGTTCTTCATTTGATGGCCATGATGAGGATGGTTCTATTGAATTGCATGATGAGGCAACCTCAGATGGACATGCTCGAGGAAATGGTGGTGAAGGGATCACGAAGGATGCTAAAGCTGGATTACGCAAGATACCCAGTTGGCTTTTACATTCCACACCTGATGAATTCATTGTATGAACCGAGTAGCTGAAGTGGTTCATGACTTGTGTGACATTCGTTTACGGTTTCCTATTTTGTGGCTGAATATTTTCGTTTTTCCTGCTGAATTAGGAAACCATCAGAAAGAGTGATGCTCCACTTCATGTAAAGTATTTGCAAACTCTGGTTGAGTGTCTCCGCATGCTGGGCAAAGTAGCAGCTTCGGGTGCAATGATATGGTTCGTTAACTGACTGTTCACTTACTTGAATGCATTTCCTTGTGCATACACTGATGCCCTTCACCACTTCCCATATGAAAAAAAGAATTCAACTCAATCCTGGCATTTTTCAATTTCAGCTAGTCATTTATATCACACCTGTAGTGTTCGTTAGGCTTCAAACTTTGCACTTCTTGGTTCTGGTGTGTAACTTGACCATGATCTAATTCATAAAAAAAGAAACCATGATCTTAGCTTGAAAGTTTATATGCATGGCTAGAGTTCAGTTCACAGAAGACTGAAACTGTGTTTTATCAATCAAGTACATGCAAGCAGTACGTATCGAATGTATAAAAGATTAATTTTGCAGTGGAAAATTTGCTGGAGCAGAGTAAACTGTACGGTTTATGGTTGATTATGTGCAACTTGATCTGGTTTCTATTGGATGCGTAAGTGAAGTATTTGGTTTTTTTTCTGACAGCCAGAGACTGCGCCCCACTATTCACGATATTATCACTTCGAAAATCAAAGCTTATGCAGAACTAGCCAATGCTTCGAAGTCTGGCATTGGTGAGGCTGCTGAAACTGATGATACCGGCCTTCAGTTTATCAAAGTGCATGTGGAAAGCTACCAGTTAACGAAGAAGAAGCAGCAGAATGGGATATCACTGGCTGGGACTTTACTGCAAGTGAGCCCTGTATCTCCTGTTATGGCTCCCACAGGCAAAGCGCAGACTGCTGCAAAAGATCTCCTTGATTCGGTTTTGGACACTGTCGTCAGAATATTTGGTTAGATATTGAATGGCATTGATGTCGTGAAACTTTAAAACGTGAATCAAACTAACATCTTTGTTAATCCAGAAAATCATGTTATTGTTGGAGAGCTTCTGGAGTCAAAATCAGTTCATGGTGGTCATTCACACCCCCAGAGTTCATGGCAAACTAATGCGAATTTGAACCCGGGTGCCGGTCCTCAAGCTGGGGGATACAGCATGGGCTTTTCATTGACTGTTTTACAGGTTCATATAGATCCATTCTTGATATAGTCATACGCTCTTTTAAGATTCCATATCTAAGCTCTTGGCTGAATTATTTTCTTATATTTCTTTCTGGTCTCCTTACTGTTTGCCAAAGAGCGAGTGTCAACAACTTATCTGTGAAATTCTGCGAGCAACTCCAGAAGCTGCATCAGCAGATGCTGCTACACAGACTCTGCGACTTGGAAGCAAGGCCCCTTCCAATGACAATAGGTGACACCCTTTTTGTGATACAATTTGGTGTCATTCTTCACTCTCTTTTTCTTGTGATCTGTCTGTATCTCTTTTATTATACTGTGGTTTCTGTACCAAATGGCGAAAACTATGAGATGTAGCCAGGAGGTCAGGGAGAGTGACTACTTTAGCATGATTGTTAATGATTTTCAGGAATGGGTCAGAAGATGGTCTTACATTTGCCTTTCGATTTACAGATTCTACTATTCCTAATCAGGGTATGTTGAAGTTACCTCTGTCTTGCTATCTGAAGTTCTCGAATGCTACCATATTGCAATTTGTGTTCAAAGCTGTCTCAAAGACCTATTGTAATCCTATTCGAATAAACTTGAGCAAGGGCTTGCTATTGAGTCAGTCTCTAATATAATGAAGCCCTGTCGTCCAAGCATCAAGATTCTAAATTACAGAAGGAAACTGCTCTGCTGGTGTGTTGAAATCCTTTAATCTGTGTTATCTTGTTCAGGTGTTGATCTTGTTCGTCAGGGCTGGAATAGGAAGGGCCCGAATGTCCCGCAAGAAGGTTATGGCTCTGCTGCTGTCTTGCCTGAGCAAGGCATATATCTAGCCGCATCTATATATCGGCCTGTTGTGCAGGTTTGGGGATGTGAACTTTGTACTTGAGAGCCATGTAATATACTCTTCATCACCATTTTGTAAGTCAGATCCGTCTGTTCTGCAGTTTACAGATAAGATTGCTTCTATGATGCCACAAAAACATTCCCAGCTTGGGTAAGTATATTCCATTTATAACTTGCCATCATCATATTTTGAGCTTATTTGTCAGTTGGCCAATTTCTCCTATCTTTATGTATGTTCATTTGGTATGAACATGTTCATAGGAATGATGGGCTTCTGGCTTTTATGGAGAATTTTATCAAGGACCATTTTCTACCAGCCATGTTCGTGGACTACCGTAAAGCCGTACAGCAAGCTATATCAAGTACGTTTTGTTCTGTAAAATTGAGCCTGCTTTTCAAGGGCCCAGTAGTCATTCGTTAAGTTGGCTGCTGCATTTTGTGTTGCTTTGCTGAAGATAAGGAGAAGAAGTTGTGATTGTATGGATGTTTTTTTGTCACTTATTTTTTAGAGAGACAATTGTACTGAATTCTATCCAGTTAGCCAGCTACCTTAATCCAAATAGGACAGCTCGTGAAAACTGAAAACTGGATCAGCTGTTGGATAGTTAGATTTGCAGCCGAGTGGTCCATAAGCATTTTTCTTAAACGACTTTCCATAGAGCACTCAAACTGTGGGGTCCGAAATGCATTATAATTCAAGGGGCCAGTATAATTCAAGTCATTCTGCTGCTGCAAACAGTGTTATTTATGCTTGCCACAGTTGGTTTTCCTTTTAAAATTGAAGCATGAGAACCTTTCACAAAGATATAAAACAAAGTAATCTTAAGATGTAGAAGTTGTATCGAGAGAACCAACGGAATGAAGTACAACTGACCCTTTTGAATGGCACTTCTGTTGTTCATAGTTCAAGTGTCAACAATTATGGATATCTAGAGAAAGCCTTCTCTCTTGTTTGTTTCTCTGTCTTATTTCATGTTCGTCACAGGCCCAGCTGCATTTCGCCCGCGGTCTGCAGCCGCAGCTACTTACACCCCATCCGTTGAGAAAGGTCGGCCTGTCTTGCAGGGGCTCTTGGCAATTGATTTCCTGGCAAAAGAGGTAAGTACGCTATTGCTCTCTTTTCACCTCGGCCAGTGCTTAGCCAGTCCCACGATTGATGGCTGAACCACGGCATATGCCGCTAAGAACTTGAAAGAAGATTAGTTTCCTGTGTGTTAGTTCCACCAGTATTGGCAAGATATGGACAGTGAAGCTTTCCTGTTATTGGGACAGTAGCATGTTGCAAGTTGATGACCCCTTCTTACTGCAGGTGCTTGGTTGGGCTCAAGCAATGCCTAAATTTGCAAGTGACCTCGTGAAGAATTTGCAAGCATACCTGGAACGAACATACGAAAGATGCCGCACATCCTACATGGAGGTATGGATTTATTCCTTTTGATTTGATATTTACTGATCCTCTTCTACTCCTATTCATGAATTTATATGAAGTTCTAAAACTGCAGCCTACTCTGTCATGTTCCATCAGTCATTATTTTAGGAGATTTGCTCTGTTATTTTGCGATCTGTTCCTATGCTAAAGGAATTTTGTATTCTTAAGATCTACTGTAATGGCCTCTTTCATTATAGACCCACGACATAACTGAAGAGCCTAGTTTTAGTTTGAGACCTTTATTTGTCCTCATATTGGAGAGGTTAGCTGAAACTAGTTGCTTCTTGCTGACCTGTGCTTGCCACTTCTGAACACCTTTCTTCTTTGACTACCTCAACAACCCATGTCATTTTTCTTTTTTTTGTATGTAATGCACCAGGCAGTTCTTGAGAAGCAAAGCTACATGCTGATTGGGAGGTACGATATAGAGAAATTGATGCGACGTGATCCAGCAAGTTCATGCTTACCTCGTTCACTTGGCCATTCAGAGTCAACCATGGTAAACAATGCTTCAGATGCAGAGTCAGTTGAGATTGAGTCAGAACTGAGTAGCCTGCTATTGAATTTGCGCCCAATCAGACAGGTATTTTGTTGTTTGCGGGTCTATCAGTTAAAGCACATTGCTATTCAGTATTCATGAGGTGCTACGGTTGACTTAATCACAAACTTTTTAACTGTTTATTTTGTAAGCAAGTATCATCTGAATTCTCATTTTACAGGACAATCTGATTCGCGACGATAACAAACTCATTTTGCTTGCATCTCTTAGTGATTCTTTGGAGTATGTTGCTGATTCAATTGAAAGGCAAGACACTTTGATGTAGTCTTTGACATTCAATTTGTATTTCTATTGACTAGACCCCACTGAGAAAATGAAGAGCAGGGGTATATGTTCCTCCTATTTTGCACATGTTTTTATAATGACCACCTTGCTGATCTGGACAAATTATTTGTTGGCACGTAGGCTTGGTCAGTCCAACATGCGTGCTGCAAAGCAAGTAGGAGAGAGAGGGAAGAATCTGGCTTCATTCGCGGATGAATATAGGAAACTAGCAATTGACTGTCTAAAGGTTTTACGCGTGGAGATGCAGTTGGAGACCATATTCCATTTGCAGGTTTGTAATGGCAAACGTATCTGACTGTCATTTTTGGGCCAACTGAGATTGTGGTTCTGAGTTTTGTTTCACACTTCATATGTTAAATCAAAACAGGAAATGACAAATAGAGAGTACTTGGAGGACCAGGATGCAGAAGAGCCAGATGATTTTATAATATCTCTCACTGCACAGGTTAGGTTTACAGATGCCTATCCCCGGTTATTATTAGCTGGAAGCTGTTGCCCTTCCCTATCTGTCTTTAATTTGTAGTATATTTGCCTTAGTTTTAACTGAATTGCATTTTTGTTGGAACTTGGACTTCTCGGGGTGAGTTGGGTTCAAGTAGATTTATTTTTCTAACCTGATCTTTCTTAGTGGACTATTACTTTTGGGCAAGAATTTTTAAGTGGACTTGGTGTTAAAGATGTTTCCTTGGTCATTCAGGTTCTTTGTATTATAGTACATGATTACATGCAGGAGTGTCTGTTTTTCCTTCTATAGTTATAGCCTTCAAATATGAAATGTTTTGGTGATCGGACACGTGTGTATTTGATATATGTTCTAGAGGTAGACGTAATTCAGGTTTCACTAGCTAACCTACCTATTTGAACTTCTTGCCCGCTAAGTTAGTTGCAGTGGGTCCCAAATGCACCTGCAGGGCTGTTTCAGGCATTGTGATATACTTTTTCCCTTGAAATCTGATTTATAGTATCTATTATTATGTGATTCAGATAACACGCCGGGATGAAGAAATGGCACCTTTTGTTGCACCAGTAAAGCGAAACTACATATTTGGTGGAATATGCAGTGTTGCTTCAAATGCATCTATCAAGGTCTGGATCCTTGCCCATCCTGAACATTGCATGGAATTTTGTAGGACTTCCAGTATTTAGCTTTGGGCTTCTCAGTTCATTTTATTTCTCGCCACTGAAAGAGGATTGCAACGTTTCTACAGGTTCTTGCTGATCTGAGGTCTATCAACCTTTTCGGCGTTCAACAGATTTGCCGAAATTCAATAGCATTGGAGCAGGTTACATCCCTCCCCTACTGCTCATTTGAGCCCACGTATATATTTGTCCAAGTTGATTAAAACGATTTTAGATTTACTCGCACAATTATCTGCAACTTATTGGTGCCAAATCTATTCCGAAAGTTGTGGTTAGAAAAAGTTAGATGACATGAAATGGGTCTTTTCTTAATACCATGCTGTTATTTTGTATGTTAGGCCCTTGCAGTTATTCCATCAATCAACAGTGAATCTGTACAGCAGAAGCTGGACCGCGTCAGAACATATTACGAACTATTAAACATGCCCTTTGAGGTAAGCCAGCTAGTTTCCCTTTTTGCCTGTAGACATTTTTTCCTTCCTTACCATGCCTAATAACCTTGTGGGTAATCTGCATCTTCCAGGCTTTGCTTGCTTTCATTGCGGAGCACGAGCACTTGTTTACAGCTAAAGAGTCAGTTTGCTGCAACTTCTTATAATAACTACCCATCACAAGCAGCTTTTTTTTCTTTGTAAATATTGCTAAAGCATGCACTTGTGTCTTGTCTCTCTCTGCAGATATGGTTATCTGTTGAAGGTTAAGGTCCCTGGAAGAGAGGTTCCCCCTGATGCACAACATCGTGTTTCAGCCATCCTATCTCGATAGCACTTCAGCCGATTGATCGATGGGGTTCCAAGTTCTCTGCTGCGCGATGTATAGAAAGGGGCCTATTTAACTTTCGAAGAACGGATTGAACCACCCCCATGGCAAGGTGCTGAAAGAGATGCGATAGATATATGATATATCTTATGGTGTGCTTGCCGGATTCTGCCGATTTTCACGTGCATGGTGGATATAGGGTTTTCTGGTCTGTCTTCTCAACTGTAATTTCTTCTGCTGTAAGCATGCACTTGGTAGTTGGTATGGTTTTATTTCCCTCTCTTTTGCTCGCTTGTTTAGGGTAACTAGAATCAATACCCGCGGCGGCTATGCAACGCCGCGGGAACTTAAATTGCATTACAATGATTGTATGGTGGCGAGTTTAGATGACGGTAGTAATAAGTGAATGACACCTACATTCCAATAACATAGTGAATGGACTGTAAATCAAACATACCAATGGTTTTAAAATCACAGCAATCACTTGTACACCATCTCAATTTCCCAAGAATGCCAGTAATTAACTGTGACATTAATATATGTTGACTACTAATTGATTTTTAACGGGATTGTTCAAAAGCGGAAAAAGTTAGGACCATCCATAGCAATCTCTGTACCATTTTAGTTGTTATGAAAGCAAATTAAATTACCCTCAACGATCTAAACTCTCTCAAATTAGGTTAGCACTTAGATCCTTCTGTTACTGTTCAAGGCGTGACTTTATTACTGTTCAAATTTCAGCCTAGGCAAGTAAGTTGTTTCTCTTCAAATCTCATAATGTCATTGTAGGAAGGAATGTGTTTCATTACATTTCAGATGTGATTATACAAAGTAAGCTCAAGTTCAAATGGAAGTGCGTTTATAACGTGAGAAATATACATCTATGTTACTTTGGTTCTATTTGCACAGCTAAAGCAAAACCCTTGCAAGCCAAATAATCAATGCCACGAAGTTCATAACTAAGTAAATCTGCTTATACTTTAATAATGAATTCACAGTGCTTAAACAGTGATGCCTTCTTTGATAGGTTGCTCTACTTGATTGAAAGATGAATATTTCTGCAAGACAAATACAGTTTCAGATCAGGCAGACATGCACATCAAATCTTTTAGTTTGAATAACTCTATATAAAAGCTGCCTTCCCTCATAGTTCTCTTCCCTCTTTTTTGGTAAAACATATTTCTCTTCCTTTCATCCTAATTGTTCAATATCTAAACTGCCGATTCAGGCTATGCAAGGAACTCAGACCTTCGTTACAATGGATGGCATGATGGTTAAATCGTTTTAGAAGATTGTAGACCTGCATCACCATGGGCATTCTTCTTGTACTCTCATGGATTGCTAAATCATTTTAGAATGTTGCAGACATGCATCACCATAGGCATTCTTCTTGCACTCTCATGGATGCACGTGGCAAGACCTCCAGTCAAGTCAATGCAAAAATGAACATGAGTGTATTGGAAGCATAACACAAAAAGAATAACAGGGTACCCTGTACAAACGGCAAAGTCTGTGAACTTAAATATTAAATAACTAACGCATAGTCACAGTACTGGAGAAGCTAACTATAGTAGGTCGACCCCTTGTCGTATCAAGTAAACCATCAAGAGAAAGCTTCTTTAATACAGGGGAGTAAAGTGAGGACCGTAGAAACTTATTAGCGGTGGCGTGTGCGGAAGAGTTTGCAACTTGTAGAAGCAAATCGGAGTGTTGAGAGGACGGGACATGATTGAAGTGGTGGCTTGCAATTGTTGATTATGGTGGAAAGGCTGTGAAGGGATGGGGGAAAGCCTCGTCGACTGCAGGCGAAGTTCTCTTCAGCTCTAGCCAACTGCATATTCCCCTCTGGTTCAAGCTTGTTCCCCAGCTCAAAGTTCTTCTCTGATGTCTTCACTTGTTGCATGTACAACCTCTTCTTCTTCTTCTTCTTCTTCTTCTTCTTCTTCTTCTTCTCCCCTGTCTGTGACCCATCATCTGACAGCTTATCGAGCTGATCCCCACCATGTCAAGTAGGAAAACATGTAAACCTAGAGGAAAAGCAAAGTAGCAAAATTCAAAAATTCTCCAAGTATTAAGAGTAAGAAATTAGAGTTAGGTTGGACATTAATAGAAGGGAGAGATCAATGATTATACTCTACAACAGTACCTGAGAATCCAATCACCTACAATGATCTTTGGTTTTCAATCAATTCGAATTTACTATAACAAAAATGCTAAACAATGGTGAATGATTAACAACCTAAGAGAAGTAGGAAACAGAGATAGAATTTTGCACATCAAACCGATTAATCAGAGTCCCCATATAGTAGTCTCATAGTTGGATCACACCACTACTTAGATTGGCCAGGATCCATGGCCACTTACTGTGGAAACTTGTTCCCTTCACTCGATCACTCCTCGTTTCAAATTTAGTCAGCAGCTTCATCGTACCGAACCAAGATCCTAAAAAGAAGAAACAGGCAGGCATCATACTGTTATAAACTATTCAGAGTAATTCTCTAATTTCAACCAACCAACACCAAAATTAACATCTATAACCTAACCACAATACCATACACATCTTCAAACATCTCATCTCAGTGACCAACAACGTAGCAATGAACTGGTCAAATAAAAGTACATCATGCAAGAACAAATTGAGATACACGTACAAAGATCTTGAGCAAAAGTACAAACACAGAACAGAAGGTTTTCGCAGCTGTAGAAGTCAAAGGAGAAGGGAGAATGAGGACTCACCCACCAAAGCGTGATCCAACGGGTATGGGATCAGAGCGCCTTCTTTTCCTTCTCCTTCTCTGTGTTCTTCTTTCTAGCTTCTCCTGCTGCTTCTTATTCCACCAGCAAAACAAAGAGAGAAGGGGATTGAGGTGGGTAACCGCTCAAGTAGTCAAGGGCTCTTTTTAGCCATTGTCGTCTTCAGGCTACTGTAAACAAAAATCGGGCACCACCGCGAGGAAACATCGGAAAAGCTGATCCAGTTGATACGAAAAATTGATCAAGCTAGCTATGTTTTGTACCCGAATTATGACCGGCAGACCTCTCTGTGTCTCCCCTCGCCGCACTGAGGGCTGACGACCAACTGATCTCCAATTGCGACTGAGCAACGACGGCCGGCAGAGGCGCTTCCTCGGTAGACGGGTTTCATGGCGCCTTGTCTATCAAGGGACAAAGCATATGAAAGGCAGAGCTTCTCCTTTTGCTGCCGACACGTACTTTTCCCAATCGAATGTCGCCATCATCGCCAAAGGTTCGTCAACATCCTCTTCCTCAGCATCTCAAACCGGATGAAAAGAAGTTGCTCTGTTTGGGCTTTTCGTGGGAAGAGGAGACGTATGAATGGAAGTAAAAAAGGAGCAAAGAGGCATGGGAGAAGGAAAGGGAGAACTGATGGTGCATACGTGAGAGATGGAGAGATGATTGGGAGTGATGTGATTGGAGAGGGAAGAGTATAGAGAAGGATTTGGCAGGCAAGAGATGGAGCGGCAGAAAGGAAGGAGATAACCTACTTTTCCACCTTTTTTATTTAAAGTTTTGGAGTTTCTTTTAGTGTCCGTGCAGGGAATTCAAAGATGGGAAGCTCTTTCACTAAATGCCAAAAATTGAAACAGTAGTAAGATTTTTGGGCAAAAAGTGTACCCACTAATTATATATAAGAAGAATTCTGCTTGATTCATTACGGATAGGAACAGTGGGATTTAATCAGTTGCTCGACGTTTCGTTTCTGTAATATCGTTGTTTGTAAGTAGATCATCCATAAAACGTATCACTCGCCTGCTTCTGGTTTTCTAATTGGAAGCTACACCACCAGCAACTGCAATCACCCCTTTCAAACAGTTCGGTTATTCTTCAACAGCGCGGTATGAATAGGTCTGAATGTTAACTATAACTCTCCTAACTCCTGCACAGACTAATCTTCCTCCTAAATGTCGCGTAGTTATGAAAATGAATTGGATGAAAAGAATAGAAAGAGAGTAATGCAATGTTGATTTGATTAGTAACATAAATGTAATTTACTATACTAAAACACCATCGGGGAGAGCATAACCGTGTATTGTGTGGGCTTAAGCGTGCAAAAGCATGGCCTTGGAGTAAGTAATCGGTACCAAGGTTGTCAAACTGGTTTAAGCTGTTGAATCGGTGAACAAATGATTTGAGTTCATTGGTCGAATCGGGGTTTAACCGGTATAAGTCATATTATACATAATTATTATGTATAAAATAATTTAAGATTTTAATAACCTAAATTATAATAATTGAATAATTAATATATTATCTTACCCTAAAAGTTGTATATATTTGCTTTGTTTTTCATAAATCATCATAATTAAAAAGGTTTGAGAGAGGATCAAAACGCATCATTCTATATAAGAACCCAAAACTAGGCAATCCGACTAGACCACTGTTTTTTTTTTTTTTAATGGTTTTGACCGGCTACTGGTTTGGATGAAAACCGACGTTCTGGAGGCCGTTTTCAGCCCCTGCTTCAATTGGACCTGAGCCAACCGGCCGGCCTGCTTGACAAAAACTGGTCAGTACAACACATCTGTTCATTACTTACACGAGAAGCCCCGGCCGGCCGAGTCATCAACCGATCGGCCCCACAAGATATCTGTCCTAGGGTTTTCCGTTGGGAATAAGCCCCACAAGGATAGAAAGGAGAAAACTGCAAAGTATAAACCCTAAATCTTGGCTGGTAAGCCTCCCTCACTCTCGGAACTTCTCTGATTAGCTCCTCCACCCAGCCGTAAAAAACCAACTTCGATCGTCGTGTGAACTTTTGAGGAGAGCCAGGACGTCGACACATCCTTGAGACGACATGGACAAGAATATGCTCGCTGGGCTGGAAGGTATGCCCGAAGAAGACAAGATGCGAATGGCCTCCATGATCGACCAGCTCCAAATCCGCGACAGGTCATTTCCCTGCCTCCCTCCCTTTCTGCTGTAGTTTTCTATCCGTAGTATTGAATTTCCAGTTCTAGAGAATGGAGATGGCCCTTCCCGTGGTTTCGCTAGAGTATCTGATTCGTACTTGTACTTGGGGCAAATTTCTGATTTGGTTGGATGAATTACGGTCTCGTACTGCTGCCTGCTTGAACGTTTCTGCTCTCGCTCTTTGGTATTCTTACGAATTAACAGTTTTGACCAGTATCACCTTTAGATTTTTCCATCAGCTTCACATGTAACAGATGTTTGGAGATGTCTCAGAGAGATGGTTTCTCTGAATTGCTGGTGACATTTTCGGTGTCGTGAAGCCAGACTGATTCTGTATGTTCTCCTTTAAAACCATTGCAGCAATTTCTGTTGCACTTGGACGTTTTGGGAACAACATTCGCTACTGCGGTTTTACATACTTTTTCTATTCTCGGTCTTTTCTTGGGTGTAAATGTAGGTGGGAATGTGGGTTGTAGAGAAGGTGATCTCTGTTAGGGATCAACCCCATCTAGGGTTAAAGGTTGATGTCTGTTAGATGCAGTAAGTCCCTGTGCTTCTTGATTTAGTGAAGCTTCACATCTCAGAGATGTTGGGAGATGTTGCAGAGAGATAATTCTCTAAATTTCTGGTAACATTTTTGGTGGAGTGAAGCCAGTGTGATTATGTATGTTCTCCTTTCAATACCAATGCAGCAATCTCTGTTGCACTTGGACGTTTTGGGAACAACATTCAATACTGCTGTTTACATATTTTACTATTCTTGCCCGGTTCTGTGGGGTGTGAAATGTAGTTGAGAAGGTGGTAAAATCTGTGGGGAGTGAACCCATTTTGGAAAAATGGTTCATCTCTATGAGATGCAGCTAGTTTTCATGCTTCTTGATTTTCTAAAAGTCAGTGCTGTGTTTCTCTTCTTAGTTGTCTACTGCTAAATCACCACCACCAATTTGCTTTAAGTTCTGTTCTCACCACCACCAAGTCAATGTTTTGCTTCCTGCAGTTTGAAGATGTACAACTCGCTTGTGGAGAGGTGCTTTACCGACTGCGTGGATGACTTCACCCGCAAATCTCTCAAGAAGCAAGAGGAAAGTTGTGTGGCAAGATGTGCCGAGAAGTTCTTGAAGCATTCAATGCGTGTTGGGATGAGGTTTGCAGAGCTGAACCAAGGAGCTGCCACTCCAGATAACTGACCATGGGTTGCTCATTGCCTTGAATCTGTTACTGTAGCTCCATTGAATAGATCTTAGTTCTTTGATTACTGTATTTTTCAAGTTTTCCCAAGCGAGAACCAGAATAGTACGGTAGCTTTATGTCTCCATTACTTATCTTTCATATACTTTGACAGAACTTCGATCATCATAATGTCACAATGCTGGATTGCTGGTAAAGTTTCATGGTCGTCTGATTCATATATGATGTTATATTCTTTCAAACATTCCTGCAGGGTGCTGGACCCATATTTTCTAAGCGTTGTTTGTATCAGTTGAAACCACTTGCCATGAGTTTTGCACTTGATAATCTTCATCCACGAAGTGATTTTGTACCAAAAATATTGAATTAATTTAACTCTGCCAGAAAGGGGAAACGATTGAGCAAAGAAGCGTACAAGTCAAATGGATCATCTCTACTTGTGGATTACATATTATGTCTCTTAAAGTACCTGGGTGAAAAGAAAAACCTAGAATGAGATTAGACCAGTATCTTTTCTACTTTTTACAACAATTGTGGATGCATTTTCATAGTCTTTCTAGCAAGGCTGCGAATGTCTTCTCTAGCCGATTCCTGCGATATTCTGACCAGTTCTCTGGACCCTCCACTTGATACGAACTCCTTGACATTCCCCGCTGAAAGTTCAATGAAAAGTTTAACAATCTGCACTTCTTGTTGCAAGTCTTTTCATGACTCAGTGGTGAGCGTAGTAATTAGAGTAGGGTTAAGTTACCATTTTGGGCCAAATGACACAGGGCGAGCTCAACATGGCGTCTCGTAGAGGTAGAAGTCGTGGTGCAATGAGCGATCAGCCACTCCAAAGCGCCTTCATCCATCAGAAGTGAAGGCCCTTTCCTGTGTCCTGTAGTAGTAGATGACAACAATGACATTCTAGTTTCATCAAACTACACCCATTACACATTGTTTCAGACAGATTCTCTAGTAACTTCTCTGTAAGTTCAATCACACAAACCTTGAAGGGTGGCTCGGGATTCACACTTAGCGAAATTGGCCATTCCTCTGGCGACCTGTGCAACTACATCGTTGTTCCCGCACTTGGCCATTCCTAAGAGTGCCTTTATTGCTCCATCTTCCTTCAACATCAAGTGTAATGTCTCTGACAAACAGAAAGAAGAATATCAGAGGTGGATGAGATTTGATCAACCAAAAACTTCAATCAAAAGCAGCATAGTGGAAGAGAAATGTTCTTTCGGTGTTATACCATTTCCACATAAGTTGGCAAGGGCACCCGCCACCATTCTGAGGGTCTGTGGGTCGTCTGTTCTAGTTCCTGTGTCCGCCAGTAGCTCAGCGCCGCCTTTGCTCATTATCAATCCTTGATTCAGATCTGTCGGGTTAAGAACAAAATTAGTGGTGTATTAAGGATTGATTGAATACGGCTGGTTCATTGCTAAGTGTCATTTTTACTAGGGGGAAGCAATGAAACGCACAAGAGAATCATAACAGTAAAGAATACCATTCATTGCTAAGTTGGCAATGGCCCCAGAAGCCACACGAAGTATAGTCGTGTTTAACGAAGATTTCAGCAACATAAGTAAAGCATCTAAACCTCCTTCCTCCACAATCTTCTCTTGATTTATGTCTGCAAATGGTGTATATAAACAGTCTTAAGCTTGTTACATATGATATAAAACCCACAAACTTGAATAGATCTGACTGATCAAGTTACAAAAGGCAAAGGGGGATATTGCGGAAAATAAAACAGAAAAAGGGAAAAAGGTCTTACCTTCAGATGCAAGATTAGCAACCACTTTCACAGCATGGATTTGGACATCAGGATCATCAGATGCCAATAGCTGCAGTATCTTTTGAAGCCCGACTGCAATTTTAGAGCCGTAATTAGTTAAGATACATGTACTTCTCAAGGGACAGGAGATGAAAAGTACAAAAGCTTCTGAAGATGATTTATTCATACCTTCCTCGCACATCTTTGCAATTGATGCCCTCTGACCCGATAGTGTTTCCCGTAGAGGGCCTGACTTGAGTACTCCTGCTGGAAGTTTATTAGCTGAAGAAGGTTTACCAATATTTTCCTTCATGGATGACGTATCCTGCAAGCAATACGATGTGAGGTTAAAATCAAGAAGGAAAGAACAAGTGGCGATGAAAATTTGAATAATGTGCTACCAACCCCGTAACCATTTTCGATTTCAGGTGCGCTCTTCTTTATTTTGGCCAGTTCGTTCTCAACATTCTTCCTTTGCTTCTCTTCCAATTCAAGTCTTTGTTTCAATTCCCGAAGTTCTTCATCTACTCTTGCCTTCAGATATATTGACACATGTGTTCATTAGATTGCAGAGTCTGGCAGGTAACACACACTTCCCAAGAAAAAGCTAAATGGTCTCTACTAGCCATACCTTTTCTTGCAAGACATTTTTGTAATCAGACTCCAAGGATTCAAGCTCAGTTTTACTATTTGCATGAAGGTGGGGCACTTCTTCAAACTTTATCCGGGGTCCGTCCATATCATATGTATCCTGTATAACACACTGTATAAATAAGCACGAGGAACTAATTAAGAAGTTGGGGTCTGCAGCATAATGGTAGTTCAGATACTGCAGTACTAGTTTAAATAGGGCTGCAGGGAAAAACATTATTTTCTCTTAAACGTATCAATAATTAGGCTATTTTCAATTATCCACGACAAATCAATTTCGGGTATGAGGATCAGGACTAACTCTTAAAGTTTATATCAAGCGACATGAATCTGGGCACTCAACAGATGTGTTGCAAGATGCCAGTAAGGCTTCATTGAGTGCAGGAGGTCTTTTCATTTCAGAAGCAAATTAACAATATAAACTGAAAGTCATTAATCACGTCCTTACCTGCATTACGTTCTTTTGATCACTCGGAGGTTTTGATTCCTTCCAATTAGCCTTCTCATCATCATGTTGCTCGATTAGCTCCGCTATTCTCTTCTCATACATCTGTGTAGTTTCTGCAAGTGCTTTCTGGAACGAACAGTTTTCTGCCTCATGTTTCTACTTGCAATAAACAGAAATAAAAATTAGAGCTTTTTCACTAGTATGAGTGTCAAAGGAACTAAAAGTTTTAGAGCCTCAGGGGAGCTTAAATGGAACATAACCAGATAAACAAACAAAGAACACCATTAAGTCACGCATTGGAGAACACAAATAAATGAAACCATGACGAAAGATGATTTTACGTTGTAACAAGTCCACTCAGAGTTAATAACAACCTGGATTGACTTTTTGCAATCAATTAGGAGCTTGTTCGTCAACTCTAATTGTTCCTCAGCACTGGAAGTATGAGCACGCTCCTCTTCAAGCTCCTTGTTTAACTCCTCTACTTTCTTCTCGTACATTTGAGTGGTTTCTGCAAGTGCCTTCTGATACATAGAGCTTTCCATCTCATGTTGCTGCAAAAAGAAAATACAGGGGCAATTAATCAGATGAGATGACTGTCTAAAGGAGATAGTGTCATAGTGTGACAGAAGAAAAACATACATGCGAAGCCAGAACAAATTGGTGAGAGAGAAGCAATAATATTACAAGTTCACCAACCTTTACTTCTGAATGACGGTCATTTAGGAGTTCCTTCATCATATTTAGTTCTTCCTCGGCACTTTCATGTGAAGCATGTTCGTCTTCTAGCTGTTTCTTAAACTCGGCTATTTTCTCCTCATACATTTGAGTGGTTTCAGCAAGCACTTTTTGATATGTCGAATTTTCAAGCTGGTTTAGAACAAAACAAGAAATTGTCCAAGTTAACTACAAAACACAAGATACACAGATTCTAATATCTGAGATAACTGATAAGCCTACTTCCCCCTGGCCCTCGGTATGGTTACATTAAGATAAAAGGTCCAAAGGTGGTAAAGACTGAAGATATTCTCCAAGTTATCTTGATTGGTACCGTTAGCATCCATGAAAACATAAATCTTTTTGTGAAATTGAAAAAACAATAGCTAAACAGAGTTAAAATCGGAATCACAATGGTGGCCATTAGGATGTATGGAGGAGACCATCAACATGATCGGGAAACAAGCTCATGAGCTACTTGGAAAACTGAAGTACCTGGCTAAGCCTCAAGCTCATTTCCAGCTGTGCCACCTTATCACGCAGTCCACCATTTTGAGCCTTTTGGTTGTCCAATTCATTTAAGATGTCTTTAATCTGAACCTCCATATGAGTCTTCTCCTTCTCCACGAACTAGTCCAGTGCGGATATTGTAAGCATCATATAAGCACATAATTAACATGGTAAATACTATAAGCAGAGAGCATAATCACCTCAAATTTCATTGCAACATTCTTTAAAGAGTCCCGGCATTCATTAACCTGCCTTTCACAATCATATCTTTCAGTAACCCTCAATTTCTGCTCCCTTTCTATCTCCGCGGTTAGCTGGTCTACCAGAATCTGAAGCTTCCGGCATTGTCTTTCATAATCAAACTCTTCTTTAAGTTTCACCATATTTACAATTTTCATTGCCTGCAAGTAGGCAAGCTACTAATGAGTTCCTCGCTAAATTATGATCTCTATAACTAAAAAGATAATCAAGATTACTTTTTAAAGTGTTATTAATTTGATTTTACTCGCAGAATCTTTCATGACTTACCCGCTGTCCGAACAGAACTGTGCTGCTGGTCTCTGCAAGATGTCGTGCAGATGGCCCGATTGTCACAATTAGTGAGGTCCTCGCAGAACCTATATGATTAACAATGCTTATCAGTTTCAATGAGAATGATGTATCAACAGAAAAGACAAAATTTACAGGACAGTTGAAATTAAGGAATGCTAATTTGACCTCCAAAAGAATCACGCAGTAATCTGGTCAACTTCGAGTCCCTTGTAGGTATATGCGGACTGTTTTCAGCCAAAGCATTTATACATTTCCCAAGGGAAGTCAAAGAAAGATTAATGAACTTTGCCTCCTCAAGTAAGTGACCTTCGCTGCCTGCACAACTAAAAGATAATGATATAAGTTTTCAAGACTAAGAGATTCAGACAATATGCAGTCTCTTGCAGATTGCCATTGTCAAGCTTTCATGTACCTGATTTGTCTACTCTTTCAGAACCGGCAAGATCAACAATTAGCATCTTGCTTTTTCTAATTTTAGAAATGCCATTTCCTTGAGGTAGATCAGACACCACACTGATTTCATCTTCTAATTTCTCGGGGACGGATCTGCGTACAAAGACCTGAACGAGCAATAAGGTTCACACGAATATTGATTTATCATCACTCATAGAAGCATTACCACTCAAGAATTTGTAAAGAAATTTCAAGGGCATCTCAGTCGATAAAATAAGATAGAACAAGATACTGACCATCAAAATTGCGTGACTACGTGAAGATTCAGTATTTTGTTTTGTGTTGGCTGCATGACGGTTTGCTTCCCCTATCCGCATCAACTCCAAAAACTGATCAAGGTCGCGGAGTTTAACTAACGTAGCACCATGTATAGACAATTCTCCGGTCTTTGGATCATCGTTGATATGGATATTGACTTTCTCGGGCGCGAGCAAATCTTGTATGGATTCCATGTACAACTGTTCCAATGACATATGAAGAAGAATAGTGTAGTAATTGTCAAGGTTGGGTATTATCTAACACATTGATAATTGTCAACAGTAACACCTATTTGAACAAAGAATGTGTTACCAGAAAATCTACTCCATCAATCTGTTCTTACATTCAATTGTATCAGGTTTGAAATTAGAGCAAATGGATCAGGACCTTAAATGTTCATTCTTGTAGTTTCGTTTTGTTTTTCTTTTTCCCCAACACCATTCGTTTTTAAGTAATGTACCAAATACAGTCAAATTTGAGTATATTATAGTATAGTTTACGAGTTACTACCTGCAAATATGAGATCTCCACAACATCAGAGCTAGAGCTAGTACCAGAGAGTATATCCTCTAAAGATCTAACCATGATGCCTCGTTCAGATGTATCACCCTTTCCCATTCTGCCAATGGTATAAGTTTTCCCAGTACCCGTTTGACCATAAGCCATAACTGTCCCATTGTATCCGCTCAATACACTCTGTAAAGTTGGACAGAAGTTATCAGTACGTGATTAACTTCTGTAAAGTTGGACAGAAGTTATCAGTACAACAAATGACCTTGTTAGTCACAATAACTAAGGAGGTCAAAAGATTTACCATACTGTCCTGAATGCAGAATGAAACATGTATATACCACAAATATATACTGTCTCTTAAACAAATACTATGTTGTCTGAAAAATACACTGCATGATGCTTAGCTTCAATTGTTTCCTCCTAATTACTCACCTCAACCACGGGCTTTGCAACAGCTTCATATACACGCCTTTGAGAGGCTGTTTCTGTGAAAACATCATCAAATTTGTACGACTCGGCACTCCAGTTGTTTTTCCTTAAAATTAACCGCTTCAGCTGCACGAACACCATAATTACAAATGTTCATCGTCAACCCTGATGTTTCAATCCAAAAGAAGCATCTCGTAGAAGCAATAGTAAAGAAGTTACACAAAATGGACGCACGTTTACAATTTATTAGCAAGCAAAAGCCGTGCATGCAAAGTAAGATGGCACAATCAACGCAAAATCAACTGGAACTGAGAACTTGGATCAAATTTCATCATCGGAAAAGCAATGACCACAATTGCCGGCATTTGCCACACTTTACTTGGAACATACCTCTGGCTGCAGTTCAACACAATCAGCAAAATCAGCGTCTGAAAGGACCTCATCCGCACTTCTAGGCCGTACTCTAACTGCAAGTCTCACTCTTCCAGAATCTGCAACAATTCATAAGGAGAAACTGCAACATAAGATTGTGCATCCCCAAATTCTGCCGATCAAGAAAACTCTAATCATATGCCATGACCACAATAAGGGCAGTGATCCGTCCATCGTCCAACAGAATGGACACTTAAACACAAGCAAACTACGCAGTTGATATTTGCAATGCAAACTGAGGCTGTCAATTTCCGGTTCAGAATCGCCTAACTAATTTGTTCAGCTGAAAATTATTTATGAAGCCACAGTGAGCTTTGGACAAACTTCCAAGCAGAGAGCTTCTACGCAATTATAGCCAAAAAAATTACATTAACCAATCATAAAATCAATCATGGCAGTTCTTCAAAAAGCAAAAGAAAACAGCTCATAGAAACCCGCAATTTGACCTTCGTTTTCCCCCTCTTCAATCCTAAATGAAGATCCCAAATTCGAGCCTACAGAACAATACTGAGAGAGAGAGAGAGAGAGAGAGAGAGAGAGATCGGACCATTGTCTTTATTGTGGTGAGAAGACGACGAGGAAGGCGAGGGCGAGCGCTGAGAATGGGAAGCAGTCGGGGTGACGGAGCGCCGGCTGCCGGGGGAAGCGCCGGAAGGAGCCTTATTCCTGACAGACGAACCACTGCTCTGCTGCTGCTGCTGCTGCTGCTGTTGTGGTGGCTGTTTCTGAGAAGCTCCATTGCCGCTGCCGTTTCTAGCACTGGAAGCAGAAGAATAGGAAGAAGAGGAAGAAGAAGAAGACGAGGAAGGAGAAGCGGCTGGGGAAGAAGTGGTGGACGAAGAAGCAGAGAAGGGAGGAGGATGAGGAAGAGCCAAGGAAGGATGAGGACTCTGAAAGTGTCTGACAGAAGCTCTGACAGTCGCATTGGCAGCCATATCTCTGTTAATCTTCCGCCGAAATCAGTCACCACGCCATTGTTGTTGTTGTTGTTGTTGTTGTTGTTGGAAAGAGAGGGAGGGAGAGAGAGAATGATTGAGGAAGGAAGAGGCGAGGAGGGAGTTGCAGGGGAAAGCGGAAACTTCGAATTCAATATATTCTCTTCCGCATTTTATTTGTTTTTGTCTCTGTCAGATCAAATCTGTAATATTAAATAAGTTTTGGACTTTGTATTTTCTACGGACAATTATTGGTGGGGAGAGGGAGGGAGGAATGGCCGGTTGGGTTAGAGGCCGGCACGAAGAAGAAGTGTGAAGTGGCTGCCGGTGGAAGGAAATTGTTCCCTTTGCTTTCTTTCTATTTTACCGCCGTGGATTATTAAATTTGATTATTATTGATAGGTTAGAGCGGAGATGGTGGGAGGACGGCCGGTCGGAAGGACGGCTGATTTGTTGGGGTGAGTCGGAGGAGGCGTCGTTCCCGACGCAAATTTTCTCTACATTCACCCTTTTGGCCTTTTCCTCATTACTACTACTTTTTACTTTATTTCTTTGGAAAGCTACTACTACTTTTTTTTTTGGTAAGAAAGCTACTACTCTTTAATTAATTATAAAAGTAGGAAAATAAGTTATTCATTTTGGAGTAGAGAATTTTGTACAGTAAATATAGTTCAATCCTTGCATACGGTTAAAAACTGCCTACTGGTACGGTAACCGTTAGTTAGTATAATATGAAGTCACAAACACTGAAATAATACACTAAATAAGTCTTTACTTAGCAAATAAGAGAAATTGAAAAAACACGCTTCTTGCTATTAATTGATGCATGATAATTAGTTAACAGATGTTCAAATCTGAACAATTATTCTCTCGTTGAATCTTTGTTTGGTGTCTTTGTTGATGAATTGGTATCTTAGTCAATATTCTTCTTTAATCGGTCTTGTTTAATAGGGGGAAAAAATCATTGAATCGGTTAGATAATAGTAAAGTAGTCAATTATTCTTAGTCATTATATACGTGAATACAATCTTACTTTCTACTATACATGTTAAAAACAATGAGTAGGCTTGCCTTATTTTTATCGTAACCAACCAACGTTTGGTCATTGCTTTTCAAAATAAGTGACGAAACCTAGCTGAACTCCACATGAAAAATGCAAATGAAACAGATCTGCCAACATCATTGCCTGCTAAAAAGAACTAGTGTGAGCTGGTCTTCATGACTTTCTTTCCTAACAGCTGAAAAGCTTCTTCGTAGGAAGTTCATATATAAAATGTCAAAAGAAAAGAGTTGGCCAACCCATTAGGAGAGGAGAATACCCAGAAAGGGACAAAATAAAGAATCGACGTCTAAGCAAAAACCAACAAAAGGGTGATCATTACAAATCTGAAACTCCTCCTTATTGTAATCCTTGATGTTTTTATCCTTTACCGTTGTTTGTCTTGCTATGGCGCCATTGGCTACTGCAAATTTGAAGTTCACATCAGAAGGATGGAAGGAAGGATTTGTCTCCACAAGGAAAAGGTCTTCGCAGTCTAATGGATGGTATGCATGTCTCCATACCTGAAAGAAGGAATCAGATAAAAGTTAAATCCAGAACTTGAGCTTTCATTTTTTGTTCTACTCATTCACAAACCAACAGGCAACATCAGATGCAGGCAAATGGCATGTGGAGGGTGAAGTCCCACAGCTTGTTGTACATACAAAAACTGATAAACAGCTCAGCTGTTTCCCCCATTCCACATGCAAGCTACTACTACTTGCTACATTTATGCATACACAATATTCAACCTTCTTGTCCTGTCATGTCCAACCTCCACTTCGGGCAAACTGTATACCGTCGGCCAGGTAGCAGCAACAGCACAATCTCTGCCCATTTTACGAACGGGACAAGGAGCTAGAACTCGCTGGGGATGTAAAGCAAACGCAGCACTCTTGCTCAACAACGTAGTGCTCATCTAAAGCTAGAAGAAATTCACGGAACGCTTCAATCAACACTATAATCGTCACGTCTCTACAAGGAATGACATATTGTGGCATACATTTGCTTGCAATGACATTTACATTCATCGAGCTAATCTAGCAAGGTCATCTGATGTCGTAAAATTGCCTCAAAACTTCAACCACAAGGGAGTGCGGACCTTACGAGTAGACAAGGGGATCTATTAATGGAGGCATATAGTTCGAACACCTAGGCGAGTTGAATGCTCCACTATTTAGGACAGTAAAAATCCCTTGATATCTTCAAACCAGGTCGCCGTTGGGTAGCAATGATAGAGCAGCTGAATTTGCAGACAACTCCCACTTTCAACCCTTCCAACCCATTGCCTTCAGATCGCCTAGTTTAAGTTCAATATGCTTTCCAATCCTGAAATTCAATAACAAATTTAGCACAGAATTCATCCAGTTAGGATCATCAGGTAGGAGCTTCGTTAACAAAAACTTGGGTGACAGCCTATTTATGTACTTGTAACTAGTGGATGCTGTGATAATATTTCAGTGGGAAACCCAATATGCTCCTCAAACACCTAATTACTGTTCTTCTAGTATATAATTAGTTACATTCACAGAAGGATCACGAAAATACTTACCCTAGATCTACTGGAAGTCTGTAACCACCAATACGTACACGCTTCAACGCATATATCTGGTCAAAGGTTAAACATTAAGTCGGAATTAGTCAGAAAGAATCTAATCGATTACCAAAGATGAGCATGGTTCCTAATTGGTACAGATTTCAATGCAAAATGATTAACGCGAACACAGAGTCAATGAGACAAAAATATGTTGCTTCAGCTAGTAATATAAATACTTTTAAGTTAGAAACAAACACTAACCTGAAGCCCAGCATTTTTCACAAGTTCACGGACTTCATGGTTCCTTCCTTCATGAACCTGTATAGACAACGGAGTGTAGAAATTAGAATAAGAAAACCCTAGCACTACTTTATGAAACAACTAACAAATATGATCAGAGGAAATTGGAGATAGCAAACGTAGTGAGGAACAGCGAATGTTAAAATAACAGGTATAGTGACTTCGCATTTTTCATTATAGTGGATGGGATGGCAACTGCTTCCCGAAATACAAAAGTAGAATTTATTTGAACTGCACGAGCCTAAATTTTTCTCCAGATGTAACGTTGTATCATTTTATGAAATACTTGCAAACTAAACTTAAGGTTGATGGAAAACGGGGAGAAAGTCTGTGCAAAAGAAAGCAGTTGTTGTAAGAAATCCAATAGCAACTAGTCACCTCATTGAAGAGAAAATATCCAATTGTGTGTAGAAATAGTAGTGACAGGCATGTATAACAGAGTACCCAGCAGCAACAAGAAGCTACGCCCAGTATTAGCAATAACTACCGCACACATTGGTGAAAGAATATTACCACTATACGAAGTCGAGCTCTTGGCATATCTGGTTGACGTGGTAGCAGCTCAACAGAATCAGGTGTGCAGTGTACACCGTCAACAACTGTCCCTTTAGTGATAGCCATCAGATGGCGGTTTCCAACAGTACCTTCTACAGTTGCGATGTATCTGTAGTTGACCAAGGTTATATGACACATCAAAGTAAACACATTGTTTTGATTCTCAAGTTTCTTGTACATACTAAAAACCTGCATAATCAACTTTGATTGACTGATAGCAATAGGCAATTGATTTGAAAGAAAGAATTGCAAACATACTCTTTTGTCAACTTGAATGAAGGATGTGTCAATGCTTGAGCAAAATCTCCTGCAGATTAAGGCATGCAGAGTTGATAATTTTGCACTCTCATAGCAATGTTGTGTGCGTGGTTAAGGTAAGGATATATACCGTCATTAGTCACAATAATCAACCCAGACGTAGCAACATCAAGGCGCCCAACGGTGAACAATCTCGGTTTAGGCAGACCTGGATTCAACTTTCCCTGGCCATTAGAAATATCCAAAACTCGTTAGCTGAACAGAAAAGAAAATAGAGAAAACCTAGCGGAATGATACATTCCCCATTCGCCCCTTTCACGAAATCATATCACCGAGTCTTGCTTGACACATAAGAAGCTGAAAATGACTACATCAGCACTTACCCAACCTGACAAATAATCATCAAAAAGTTCCATCACAGACTTCGACTCCTTCTCTCCAGATGAACAAATGTACCTGCCACAAGCCATGTTCATCTCCTTGAAATCACTAAACAACATGCATGGCCATAAGTGAGATAAAAAATGCAGCAACCAGAGAAAGCCTAAGGCCATGGTTCACCAACCCTTTCGGCTTGTTAAGGGCTATATAAACCTTTGGAGGCAATTTCTTCGGAAGCCGATTTCCATTAACATAAATCATATCTTTGGCAGGATCAACCCGAGTCTGAAGAAGACATTGACATTCAGCGCTAACATGAAATTGGGTTCAAGCGAAAACAATATTTTAGCTTAAATGAACCATTACAAGCGCAGTACTAACTCACCTGCGGAGTATTGCACACAGAACCATTAACAGTCACCTTGCCTGCGAAAATCAGCTCCTCGCTGCTCCTTCTAGAAGCCACTGCTCAAACAACCAAACGAACCAAAAAGGGGAAACAGATATTTAATCAACAAGTAGTTCAAGGAGAAGCAAAATTCATCAATTCTATCACCGTCACCTCCAGCAGCGGCGAGAACTTTGCTGAGCCGCTGAGCAGAGTCCCTAAAATTCTCGTTATAGAACCTCCTAGCAGCCTTGGAGCGGGTCGGTGGCGGCGGGGCAGCGGCTGAAGCAGTAGCGCCGACATTAACCGGCTTCTTCGGCTTCTCCTTCTTCTTGGGCTTCCCGGTATTGGCATTAGCCAGCTCGTGAAGGAGACGGGCAGGCGGTTGAGTCTGTAGCTGGAGGTTTCCATCTTCGCCGCGGGTAATCCAGGGAATGAAAAGCTGGCGGCCGGTGCCGCCGTCGATGAAATCGAACTGGGATTTGGGCTTGGGTTTAGAAGGGGCGAAGGTTATGTTAAATTCCGCAGGAGGAGAAGGAGACGAAGATGAAGAAGAGGAGCAGGAGATGTGCGGGAACGTGCGGGAAGGTCTGAGGAAAGTGAACGCAGCAGAAGAAGAAGTAGAAGGATAATGCTTTGAGAAGAAGATGAGGTGATGGAGATGGAGAGACGAGATTGAGGACGCCATTTTTGCGCACTTGGAGCAGAGAAAGGCGGGGGCGGGTTTTTAGTTCGTCATTTCAATCTGGGCCGAAAGGCCCAATTTAGACGGGTACGAATAGTCAGGTGCAAAGGCCCAACTCTTTTCTTTTCTCCGAGGGGAATACAGGCCATTTGCGAAGCCCAATTATGACGGCTAATAAAAGAGTCTCAACTTCAAATCCTGTTGAGTGAGAATTCCTTCTCAATCAACTGAGGGCTCCCAGCCGTTAGCACCTGTTAGCGTCAAACAATGAGTCAAAGATCCACTTTCAGGATTCAGCTACACACTTCATCTTACAAGTTTGAGTATTGAATTCTTTAAATAACAGCTAACAATAAAAATAAGTCAATATTACCCTCGTAAAAAAAATATGGTTAGATCAATACAAGATGACTTTTCACTATGACGGTTAGCTAGCTAGCTTCATTAACTCGGCCGGCCGTAAATATTTTTTAGGGTTTTGATATTTCGCTTTTCATATTTTGATTATTTGAACTTGATTTTAACAACTAATTTAGATACTAGTAAAAATATACATGTAAAATATATATTATGAAAACCTTACAATACACATAATAAATACGTTATATTCAAATAACATTCCGATCATATCATCGAATCGGACACCAAAAAAGAAAAAGAATGACAGGGGAGTACGTGAGAATGCTAAGGGGGAAAATATAAAAAATACAAATGAAAAAAAGAAATTGCGATAAACTGTAATCAAGGGTCCCCTAAAAAAAATTCTCTACGTACGGTACAGCTCTGCCATAATAATAATAATATATTGGTTGGAAGGATATTATTATGGCCTTATTTATTTAAGGAGATTCTGATTCAGGCTGGCACCTGGACAGTTTACTGTAGTAATTCCTTAAATCTGGGCTCAGACATCAAGAGCGTTGGGATTGACGAGGCCATAGGCAAGCAAATCCTGGTCCCTCAAGAACACATTCATTTGGGCAGCGTCCAGAGTGAAAGCGACTTCGATCCTACGGCCAAGCCCATCTCCACGTGGCTTATCCAGAAGCACAGCAGTGTTCCACCAGTCCTTCGTCCCTGGAACTACCCACACCGGATTCCCCCACCCAAAATCGGTGTCGTACAACCCGAACCTGCACCAGCTACCCACGGTATAGTACTGTTGCACTTGCGCCGACGACGGCGGCTGAAGTTGTTTGGCTTCCGCGGCCTTTATCTCCCTCAGCCGCAGCCCCTCCTTGTCCATTCCTTGAACCGCACCCAAAAGCCGGCTCTTCTCCTTCCTGATCTCGCTCACCACCCTCGCCAGTGCCGCCTCTGACGTCACCGCATAGTGGCTGATGAAATTCCCCATCGCGCTCTCCCCCAACGGCGGCGACACCCTGCCACGCAAGTTCACCGGTTGCGTCACCTTACTGGGATTTAAATTGTTCAACACTGCCGCCGACTTAACAGCGGTGACAGATATCAGCGCCGTCACCGCTTCGGCGGTGGTTGGGTTCTGCACCTGTTCCGACTTTGCTGCTTGCTTCAGCGCCTCCACCTTTGACTGACCAAACACAATCCTCGCGTGGGCAGGCCTACTCACTGCAATTTTAGATAATAATAATTATTATTATTATTATTATATACTTTTCTCGTGTCCACGTACAATAATCTCTTCACACACCAACAATATAAAACGATTTGGTATTGGTAAGAACATTGCATCCCTACGTATACTTAATAATGCAAGGGATCTAATTCTCCACTTTGAGATAGTACCATAAATGTATGTTTCTATAGAAAGATTTGGATTTGGTATTTGTGATTTGGAATTTAAAATGTCGAATAATTTATTGGTATATTAATTACATTTGGTATCTGGAATTGTGTCAAATTCATGGGGTGATTTCTAAATACAAATCTACTGTATTACTTGTCAACTTCAAATACATTTCAACAACTAGAGATTTGAAATTCCTCCTAATAAAAGATTGGGCATATTTTTTTCTTCTTCTATGCATGTTTAAGTTGTATTTTGATTTTTGAAATTAATTCATACGGTTATTAAATATTATGTTTATTGATTCTATGCCTCGAAAACACATTCACCTTGGAGGATCATATGATTCTATGCCTCGAAAGGATCATATAATTGACAAAACAATGCTCCAATATGATCATTAAACAACCAAGTAAAAAGGATGGAATTTGGTGCATAACCTCCTTTAGTTACTGCTGGCACAAATCTCATCAAGAGCTATAGTCAAGAGTTTTTCAATTTCTCACAAATTCAGCGAATTATATCTCATCCGTTTCAACTTTGATTTTGACTTTTTTAAAACCATATTAATTGAAATTTGCCAAAGAAAAGTTGAAGAAGACTATAATGAATAATTTTATAAGAATTATACAACAATATCAAAGACAATAGTAGTTAGGCAATAATTTACCTCTACTCTTCTGTTGTTTTCAACCTCAATGTCATTCATTCGAGAGAAAACAAAATACCCACTAAAACATAAAAAAAAATTGACCAAATAGTGTCTCTCAATTGTTGTTATTTTATATATTTAGGACTAGCTGCGAGTTGTAGACAACATGGTTTAATCTAACTTTATTGGAATGAGCTAGATTTTTAGAATGTATACTGAGAAACTACTCAAAGATACTGTCAAATGAAAGAACTTTCACCTCATCGTCGCATCCTAACTAAGAGCAGGAAGTTAAATTTTCAAAATAAACTCACCCATTACAACATCGCCGAACCCATAAGTGGACACATAGTTTTGAAGATAATGACGAAAGAGATTATTGATGGTGGATATAGAAATTTCAAAGATGGAAAGAAAGAGTGAAATGTAGATAATATTTATGATTTGGATGAGGTGAAATTCTACTATCGTGAAAAGATGTTTCACATTTTCAAACATTGGAAAGAATGAATAGATTGTTGATGATGAATATAAAGTTTCATTAATGATGATGAAGTTGTGTGGAGAAGATGTTTTTTATGGCGGAGAAATCCAAAAAGGAATTTGCAGTAATTTCTAACATCAAAGAGTACACTGAAGTGTGTTTTGAATATGAAGTTTTTTAAAATTGATTCCCAACCTGAGTTGTGGTGTTTCCTTTTGATAAGGACTTCTATTGATGACTAATCAAGATGCTGTACAACTTATGATGTATGTTGTTTTTTTTATATTTTTAGTAATTGAACAATCAGGATTACTTTATGGTAGCAAATAAATGATTCTGATAATTACTATTGTTGTGTATAATATTAATTCATCCGCCCAACGGGTGGGCCCAAATCTAGTTTTAATTATAATTAATACATTTTTTCAGATATTTATACACGTACACCTACTAGTTTCAAATGTACTCCAACTATTGAGAATATTACTAAAAATGTACATAAAATAGGAATTATATTAATTATGTCTCCAACGTTTTACGTACCTGCGCCTGGAGGAGGGCTAAACATAGTTGGGGCCGCAGGGAAGTTGTTGGCGGGCGGGTAGAGGGCCCCGAGGTTGAACTCCGGCGGCGAATTCTCGTGGCTGACGCCGGCCGCCTTAGCAGCCCAAGTTCCGAGAAAATAACTGAATCCGGCCATGTCCAACACACGATGGGCAAAGGAAGCGCACACTGCCGTGGCCCCGCAGCCGAACGACGTCACTTTGACGGCCAACGGGATGCTATTGATTTCGGGCCCAAGCCCATAAGAGACGAAAAGCTGGTCAAGTAACTCGTCGCCGGAAGCAGCGTTTTGGCGGAGGAACTCGCTGAGAGACGACCCGACTCGTGCTTCCAGGAACAAGGCCCCCTCGTCGTTGCAGTCGATGACGAGGGAGGTGCCGCCGTCACCCATCCTCCCGGCCAGTGGGTAGTAATCGTATAGCGTTGCAGCCAGCGAGGCTTTCAGGAGGCTCGTTCTGCTGCTGCTGCTGGTCGCTGGCGACGGCGCCGGACGGTAAAAGAAAATGATGGGCACGCCGAAAGGAGGGACCAACTGATCGAAGATGGACAGAGCGTGAGTTTTGGGGTGGTCGGGGATTCCTTCTCCTCCCTTGGTCGTCATTGGCTTCACCAACTCTTTGGAAATGAGCTCCACCGCAGCACCAACTTCTTCACGTTGTTTCTCCATTGTTGCTTGATTGATTGATTACTTGAAACTTAGAAAGCTAGCTTCCTTTTTTTTTTTTTTAATTGGTGACTTTTTTGGGTGGTGTCCAGTTATAAATAAGTTGGTACATTCTAATTCTAATTCTAATCATATATATAGAGTACTAGTAACGGGTCCGGGCAGTTGGCCAGATTCAGTTGTCAAACAATCCAATAACAGTAGCAATATGTATTCGAGTTACGTATTAGTATAAGAAAATTTAAATTCTTCAAATATCTTAAACATTCAAATCGATTGGGAGAATAAGAGAATCTAAATTATTAAAATAGTTCAATAATTCAAAAAATGAACATTGTATTGTTCTTCAACATATTAATGACTAATCGACTAAAATCGTTTAACTAAAATGAGAGAAAGCTCCCTGGTGAGGAAATGGATTGTTTCCATTTCCTCCCGCATGAGCAACAACATCATCGTCACCATTGATAATATCTTCATATTCATTTGTGACACATTTATCCCCAATATCAATTGACTCTTCCTTATTCTCTAGGATTTTAGTTATCTCTTCCTTCTTTTCCTGCATTTCATTGAGCATAAATATTTGATGTTATTTACAAATACAAATAATATTTTTCATTGGAATAAAATTTATCTCGTCCAAGTTACGAACATTATTTAGAATTTGTTCTTTCTCCTCATCACCAGTCTTTACACCATCCTTATGAATAATGTCTTTCTTGTTCTCGACATAACCAACATCTCCTCCATCATTAGCAGTTTCATTCTTGTTGTCCTGCATCGACATTATGAATTTAGTTATTTGACACTAAAAAGTATTACACATGGTGTTGTTTAGCGGATCATGATTGATCAGTATATATTATAGATAATTTTGTAGCCGTAAAATATCATATCCTTCATATTTTCAAGCAGACAGTGAAAGAAAAAAAAAGCAGTTATCCACCTTTGCAGCAAGCTCACTATGACAGTTAAATAACTAAATCTCAATTCTATTAATTAAACCCAAAATTCCCTTCATCCAAGCCAATTCTATTAATTAAACCCACAGCTCCCTTCATTCGATCGTTGCATGACTTGTGGACTCCTACAAAGATAATGAGTAGATAGTTGTTGTGTCAGACTCTACCCTATCTTTCATAGCATGCATTCCCTCCGTGTCGCAACTGATTCGGTAAGCTATGTGTCCGGTGCACAGAGAATTGCCTTCGGTACTCAAAACTTACTTACTATCACTAAAGATTACATAATATATAGTATGAGATATGCATGGTATAAATATCCAAATCCAATAGAGAATAACACAAATCTGTAATTAATGTTGATCATCATCATTTTGATTCAAATAGAATTTACCTTGATCAAGTCGGGGATATCGGTGGTGGTCTGCTCTACCTCATCCTTCCCTATCTTGATAATTGTGTACTCATTGTTCGATTAGCGATGGTGTAATATGTGAGTTTGATGCCAAACTGCAATGTCATTCCCTCAATTAGTAGGAGATGAGCATATGATTGTCCTCTAATTCTATCGTTGTTTTGGAATAGTCCTTCTGCCGACATACTAAACAATTGAGCTCCCACTCTATCCATAATAACAAAGTCAGCCACTCCTGTTTTGTCCTCAACTCGAAAATTGATCCAAAATCTGTATAAAGTTGGTATAACACAAACAAAAACACTAAAAACTATTGAAGTAAACGCTATTCTTAGGTGCTAAATACAAAATCTCTAAATTATTCAATAAATAATACAAAAAATAGTCTCATTAGGTACGGTAGGTGGGCAGAAGAAAAGCATAGCCTCATTCTCATATCCATTTTTTAATATTGCACACCAATCTCCTGGAATCTCTCTATGTTAAGCATAGCTAATTCAATATTTTAATACGTACATAAGCTTTCCACTTGTATCAGTACCATGCATTGCTAATTATTAATAATAAGTAATTTAAACGTATCCTTATCACTGTATTTATTGACATTGACGCAATAACAGGATGCGTGCGTGATTACCCGCATTTGCAAGGATTGACATTTAATTATGTAACTATCCTACCAAAGGTTAAATAATAATTAATTCTCCTTGTGTTTCTTTGGATCTCGACGTGGAATACATAATAATTAACTCTAACAACACACAATTTTTAAATAATTTTAAATCTGTAGAGAGAACACGGTAACAAAAAAGTGCATTGGGAATTGCAATGAGAGTTGCAATGCAATTAAATAAACTTCATCAGGTAGCTTTTTCGATTTTGGCATTTTTTTCGTGTGTTTCGGATCGATTTTAACCCACCCAATAGCATCCCAAAATTATAAAAAAAAGTATCATCATCCAAAGTGATATGAATGAAAATATGGTACACAACTGGAGATATTTGGGCTTGGAAAAAAATAATTTTATAATTACATGTGGATATATGAGCTTATTGCACTATGTTCTTGGTGAGGGTCTGGACTATAAAAGACCAGACCGTAAATTGTATAGACTTGGTGAACCATATTGAAAAGAACATGATGTCTAGGAATGGTACTATCCACTTATAGGTAATTTTATATAGACACATATAAACACATTGATTATGGTAGGGTTTGGGGTCAATTTATAGGGTTTGAATATTGTTGGAAAAGACTTTATAGGGTATGAGTATTCCCATTATATTCTATTTGGATATGAGTTTACCCGTTTATATGAGACTGAATAAACTACATATGTGAATTTTGACCGATTTGTAAAATTTATAAAGTTCAGGTATAAAGTTGTAAGGATGAAAATTTCACTTAAGGAATGAATTTTTTCATTGATTTCTAGAAATTCTATGCCAAAAATTAATATTAGGTACTGAATTTTGAAAATTTTATAAGTACCAAAATCTTGGTTTTATATGGTCATGGGTACAAACCCAAACCCATGATTTAATAATTTGAACCAACCCCAAAAAATGGGTATGTGTATAAAACTATAAATATGTACACTTTCATACCCAACTCAACCTGATTGGATGATAATAAATATGTACACTTTCCCGGAAAACATCACAACCAACCTCAATAATTATTAGTCAGATTTTCAACTTCTAACGATAGTTATTCTATACTCTGTTTAATACACGTATAAATGGCCATGTGTATTTTATTTGTTAAAACTTCAGTATCTGTATACCGTGTTATTGTGAAGTTGTTTCATTTTTTTCTTTCATTTGAGGGCTCCCGTACTAAACACATATATTCATATTTAATTAACTTAATTGTTAACTTAACTATAAATTATATATTACTTTATTTTTTAAATAAGTAATTATGTATCTTTTTTAACTATTAAAGTCAAATATCTATATATATTTTATACGTAATTTACCCGTATCGTATTTTTCTAATTATGCTTCTAACAAATGAATGAATTCTATAAAAAACACTAAAATATGAGTTGTTGACTTAATAATCAAAAGAGAACTCTTTTACTATCAATCATTTCATACCTCATATCATATAATTATGAATCTGATTACAATGTTTAAAACCAAAGGGCCCCTCCGCCCCGTCAAAACCTTAAAAAACCCATCAGCTTCTTTTTGGTCCATGTCCATGTGCATTAAAAAAAACAACTGGACCAAAGGCCCCTCCGCTCTCTGCGCAGGAGGCAGCAAAATTATGATTAGTGGGGTTCTGAAAAGGTTGTTAAACTCCTATCGAACCCCCGGTTGGACCCGGTTCAACCCGAGTCGGGCTTCAAAACGGCCTCCAGAAAATCTCCCGGTCTGACCCCTAAACAGGGAGAAGAAGAGAGGCAAAAGAGAGGAAAAGGAACGAAGGAAGGGAAATAGTAGGTGGATCATGGAGGTTAGGTAGATTTATTTTGTTGAAAATAAGTTTTTAATAGATATATGTAAGATAAATTTTATTTCACTCATTAAATTTTTAATTACTACTTTATTTGTATATATATTTAGAAAACGTCTAAAACGGCTCAAACCGGCCGGACCCCGATCAGACTATTAAACCTCAAACCCCTTGCTTGACCGGCTCAATGACTTAAACCGGGTTGACAACCTTCTGATACCTACCACGCTAGCTATTTATGTCCCCCAAGTCCCAACTACCCCAACCACATCTACCTAGCACCTACAAGAAAACGCCTTTTTAGTGTCGGTTATTTCTTATTTTTTTCCTGTCGGTTAAAAAAATTTGTACGGTGTTGGAACTAGGGGTGTTCAAACGGATTGGTTACCATGGTAATCATATTAACCAGTAGTATTCGGTTAATTTGGTTTGGTTAATTTGGATAATTGATTTGGTTTGGTTAAACAATTTATCTTATTTGATTTAGGTGGTTTGGTTTGGTTTCAACACTGCTAACCAAAGAAACCAATTAACCAATTAATGATACACCTAATATAAAAAATTATTTATACTTCCATACAACCAACCAAACCAAACCAAACTTTCGTGATTCTCTATTTTATTTCCATGTGCACAACAAACCAAAACATTATGGGTCAAAAATTAAATGGGTCTGCCTATTTACTAAACCAAAACATTTGGGACAACTACTAGACTTTAGGATTACGTACAATATAATTTTTTCATGTAATTTTATGTTATTTGGTTAATCCAATTATCCGTTTAACCAAACCAATTAAACTTTGGTTTGGTTAATTTGGTTTTCGTGTTAATTTGGACGGTTTGGTTAAGACATTTTATTCCATGGTTAATGAAATTTAGACTTAATTGGTTTGGTTATTATCATGGTAACCATTTGAACACCCCTAGTCGGGACTGTACCCGTGCGGTCCACATTCCACCGGCTACTGTCGGTTGTCTCCTCTCCTCTTCTTCTTCGTTTTTATATTTGTCGGTTAGTATTCTATGAAAATAATGAAAAGCCATAACCATGAGGATTACTCCCCCATTGTTACTTTGTTTTTTATTAGTTTATTTGTGCCGCTTCAAATATTTGGAGAGGTCTTAGTATTTCGATAAGAAAGCAATGGAATGGTCGGTAGTTATTTTTAGGGTTAATATATTTGTATGGGTCGAATTTTTTGCAAATTAAATATCGGCCAATTTTTTTCCCCACCTATTATCATTTATCTTTCTCAAAATAAAAACAAGTGTTCATTTTTTCCTTCTTTTTTCAAAATAAAAAATATAAATGGTAATAGGTGGAAAATCAATTTTTTTAAGTGGTCAATGATGACTTGGCAGTGAGGTGGCACGTTGACCGTCCAAGATAACGATCAAATTTCGGATTTGGCCAATATCGTAACTTTGATGCATAGTTGAGATCACGATGTTATAGATCGAAAAAATTCGCCACGAGGTTTAATTTGTGAAAAGTTCGAGATATATATATATAATGGTGATACATTTTATCTGGTATATTCTGTCAATAATATATATTATATAGTAACACATCCTTCATTTAAAATGTTAATAGTAATTTATTTACATGCTAGTTGTCACGCTGGTTGGTGGAAGGCATGCAGTGGTATAACCTGTGTTGGCCATGGAATCGAGAGGAATACGGGTAATTAGCATAAATGGTCACAAACCTTTGCACTTAGTACAAAACAGTCACAAACCTTTAATTTGTAACTATTTGATAACAAAACTTTTTACTTAGAACAAAACGGTCACAAATTAAACAGTGTGACCATTTCATACCAGTTCAAACTTTTTGTTACCGTGTCGTTGCAAATTAGACTTTTGGTGACCGTTTTGTACAAATTAAGTTCAAAAGTTTGAACGATCAATCACTGTTACAATTCGCTCTAGTTGTATGGTGATTTTGTTAATGTATGTGAATGATATGATCGTCATAAAGGATGACAATGAAAGAACTCAATGGCTCACAAATGAGTTCCAGACTGCTTTTTAGTTGAAAAAACTCTGTCTACTTTCTTACTTTCTTGGTATCGAAATTGAAAGGTCAACTGAGGGCATTCTTATTCGGCAAAGCAAATATGTCGATGAACACATGACCTGACATCTTATATGTCGTTCAAGTGGTTAGTGTCATATACTTAACGAACAAACTACCCTACCTCAAAACATGACAAACATTTAATTTGTAACGATTCGGTAACAAACCTTTGCACTTAAAACAAAACGGTCACAAATTAAATAGCGGTGACCATTTTATATAATTTCAAAGTTTTGTTACCGTATTGTTACAATTTAAAGGTTTGTGACCGTTTTGTACTAAGTGCAAATGTTTGTTACCATTTATGCTAATTACCCAGAGGAATACCAACCAACGACATGAACAACAACGCGATTAATTATTTTGAAGCAACATAAATAAACTAATTAAAACAAATTAACAATGGCAGAATAATTGATATCATGAGAACATGGTTATTATGGCCTTTTGATTATTTTCATAATTGCATGGAATATTAACCGGCTATAAAGAAACAAATTAAAGAAAGCCGGATAGTGAAGAAAATATAATTAACCTACAGTATCCGGTGGACGGAGGCACGGTAGAATTCCCCAAAATCCGAATTATTATTATTATTATTATTATTATTATTAATCAAGAAGCTCTAACAATAAAGATGAGTCGTGGAAAATGAAATCCTAGAAGTTTTGGGTGTTTCTCATTTATACTTGGGTTTAAATAGGCTAAACCTTTACACTACAAGATAGGGGTGGGCAACGGGACGGGACGGGATACCCGTCCCATTTTAAACGGGTACCCATTCCCATTTGGAGACCAAAGTCCTCCCATATCCCAAACCCATATGGGAAACGGGTACCCATTACCCATACGGGACGGATAACGGGTACCCATACTACCCATAAATACCCAAAGTTTAAATGACATCACATTATATATCTTAATAATAACATGCTCTTGCGGGGAATAATAAGAACACGATATGATAAAAACATAAATTCAATCTCTATATACACAAGCATTCATTTCAAAACATGTCCCTAAACCCTGATGACGTTTTAGCTAAAGACAATTACATCCCAAAGGCAAACCCACTGCCATTTTCCCACTGTATCACCGAAGGGTTTTATTACTTCGTGGCCTTAGGGTGCTCCCACACTTTCCTCACTGACTACTTGTCCCCAACATTGAAGTACCCTCAACAGAGCCCTGATTTGGAGGATTTTATTCTTAAGCCCAAGATCATGGGATACTCACCTGCCAAAACGAAGCATATATTTTTCATAGTATGTTTTTCTTAACTCAATCAATGATGCTAAGCTAGCCGTTATGTGTCTGATTACACAAGCAGTATACCAACTTTTCATGTCTTTAATTTGAACCCTAGCCCCCTTTTTCTTTAGGCAATGCTTACACCTTCCATGATACTGTCTTTGTAATTTGAATGGGTACAACGGGTACCCATATTACCCAAACGGGTATTCGCGGGTACCCATATTAGAACTGTACAATCACAAGTCCCATCCGTTTAAAATATTACGGGTAATATGGGTACCCGTAACCCTTAAAAAACGGGACGGGTACGGGTATACCCAAATACCCGTTTCCCGTTGCCCACCCCTACTACAAGACAACATATGCAAGCTAGCATTTGGAGACTATAAAGTTAAAACATTAATTCAAACTAAAGTCTAAACACACATTGACATTTAAGTAAACTTGATGATGATGATGATTTCCTCTAAACTTTGTCGATTCACTTTGACATTCATGGTCAAAGTGAAGGAGAAGCTGGTGGTGAAGGACTAAGAGAAGGGACACTCTGCAATAGGTATCTCAGTTTGCTGAGTTTCTCAGATGAGAAGCTCATATTCTCCTTGGAAGACACACTTCTGGACTCGGAGTTGATCTTGGAGTCTGAGCTTGACATATCACTGTCATTGGAAGACTCTCCATGAGACACTGCTGTTGCTACTCCTCCAGCCATTCTAAGCTTCTTGTTCTTTAGTTTCCAGCATTCTTCCTTCACATGTCCATCCTTTTTGCAATAACGACAGAATTTCTTCCCATCTTGATCATCTCCTTGGACAGCCAGAGCAATTGCTACACACCTCTCGTGATCCCTTTATCTGCCTTCAACTTTTGTTCATGTTGCAATACATCATTGATAACAACTTCAACTGTGGGGAGTGGTTTCATCATCAAAATCTGAGTATGAACCACATCAAACTCTGGTCTAAGTCCTTTCAAGAACCTTATCAGATAGTCAACTTCCTGTTTCTGCTTGAAAGCCTCAACTGCAACACAGGGTTGAGTGCTCTGTGGAGCACAGTTACAGTCAACGATGGGATTAAATTGTAAATGCTCCTCCCATAAGCCTTTCAAGGCAGTGTAGTACTGGGTAACATTGAGGTTCCCTTGCTTACAAGCAATGATTTGGTCTCCCAGGTTAGACAACTTAATGGCATTTGCATACCCAAAACGAGCTTTAAGCTCTTCCCACAAATCACGAGCTACATCATGCTGCATCACACTTCTCATAATCTCTTTATCAACAGAATTCAGAATCCAGCACAGAACTAGAGTATTGCAAGTAGGGTTGTCCATTTGGTTTTGGTTTTTTGGTTTTAACCGAAACCAAACTAATTAGAAAGCTAATGGTTTCAGTTTTTTGGTTTTAAACCAATAAGCAACTTAATGGTTTTGGTTTGGTTAAAACCGAAAAACCAATAAAAACCATTAAGAAACCAATAAGAATAAAATTATTTATCAACAAATATATTATTATTTTTTTGTTTCTTTTGACACGCATACCAACCAATAATTTGTTATGGCCATTTACCATTATTATGACGTTTATTCAATAAAAAGGAGGGAAATAGGAATAAATATGAGTGTATGAGTACATGTTGGTTTTTTGGTTATCCAAACCAAAACCAAAACCATTAAGGCCCTTATTGGTTTTTGGCCTTAATGGTTTTGGTTTTGGTTTTTGGTTTTTCATACTTAATGGTTTGGTTAACCAAACCAAACCAAATTGACAGCCCTAATTGCAAGCATCCCATGTACTGTAGTTAGGGCTAGCTACTCCTGGAGATGGAATCAAACCATCTATAAAACCAATTTTGTGTTTGGTTTTCAGAGCCATTCTCATGGCTCGCTGCCACATCTGGTAATTGGGACCATCAAGAACTTCTGAAACGATGGCTTGAGAGATGTTCTCATTTGGGTTAATGTAGAAAGGGTTACCAAATTGTGGATCTGGACGATCGTTTATGATCTGAAAATTTCAGATCTGGACATATATAGTCCTTATTTTGTGGGTAGAAGGTTTTAGGTTTCTTTAGGATCTAGAGGCTCTGATACTATAACAACAAAGATGAGTTGTGGAACATGAAACCCTAGAAGTCTTGGGTGTTTCTCATTCATACTTGGGTTTAAATAGTCTAAAGCTTTGCACTACAAGACAACATGTGCAAGCTAGCATTTGGAGACCACAAAGATAAAACATTAATTCAAACTAAAGTCTAAAACACACATTGACATTAAAGTAAACTTGATGGTGATGATTTTCTCTAAACCTTGTCGATCCACTTTGACATATCACCGGTTTGAGTTTTGATGATGACTTTCAATATCTCTTGCTCCAACAACAACGACAAGTAACTTGTGGATCGCATCATCTGGTTTAATTAATTTGTTTATGTTCTCTGTTTGCTAGGTATAGGCAGCGTGGTGTGCATCATGGATCATCTCCAAGAGAGCTTCCAAGTCTTTGGCAGCACTGCCATTTGGTCCATGAGCAGCCAACATCTTGTCCCTAAGCGCAGCAACATTGGCCCTCATCTCCCTTCCCTTCTCCTCCTCCCCGAAAACAGCAGCCAAACACGCCAACACCCCGTCTTTGGTAAACACCCCGCCTTCCACGCCAACACCGATCCCCCAAACCTCTTCCACCCACCGCCTCACCATGTGATTGTCAGCCCAAACCGACCTACAAATCAAGGGCACCCCGCCGAAGATGCTCTCCAAAACGGAGTTATAGCCGGAGTGCGTCACCTGGACCCCGATCGCCCCGTGCCTCAGCACCTCCGCTTGTTGTTTCACCCAGGGGACCACCTTCCCGTACTCCCGCGTCCTCTCCACGAACCCACGTGGCAGCCTCTCCATCATGCTCTCCTTCAACGACCACAGGAACGGGGACCCACGCGCCTCCAGCGCCTCCGCCAGCCCACGCAGCTCCTCGTCCCCAAGCGCCGAAATGGTCCCCAAGCTCACGTACGCAACGGATCCCGCTCTCTGCCTTGACAGCCACGGGAAGATCATATCATCATCATCATCATCATCCTCAACTTCTTCTTCTCCAGCCACACCAAGTGGTGGTGACATAATAACTGCTGGTGCTGGTAAGGTCAAGCAACCCACAAACAACAGCTTCCTGATCAGCTTGGGTCCTTCTCCATCCAGAAATAATGAAGTGCTGCTGCTAAGTGGTGTATATTGACATATTTCCCGGCAGGCGTTCATGAGGACGACCGACGCTTCCGGGAGCGCCCTCATGATGGGGAGGAAGAACGCCCACCCTTCCCCGCTCGGCTGGAGAGAGTGTCCGGGGAGATCGGTGAAGCGCAACGGGGAGAGCCCGGGAATGATGATGTCACCATCACCATCACCGTCAGCTTGAGCTTGAGCTTTCAGATAGAGTTGATAGATGTGTTCCATCTGGAAGAAGGGGTCGAGGGCGAACGGAGCGAGGACCCACAAGGCCGCCCATGGGAGTTCCATCTCCTTGGCAATGATTGCAACTACCCTCCCGCAGAAAGCGTCCGCTATGATGTAAGAGATCTTCTTGTTGCAGGCCTTCACCGCGGCGTCGATGCCTTGCTTGAAGTTGCCGGGCATGGCCATGTTGAAGCAGTCCATGTGGTAGTGGTTTCTCTGGTCGTCGTCTGCCGAGACGCCGTCGTCTTCTGGGAGGCCATCGGGTACGGCGTAGAGCACCAGGTTGGTCGGTAGAGGAGCACCGCTGCTGTCGGCGGCGAGAAGAAGGGAATGCTTGGATGTCTGTGTGGTGAGGAAAGAGAAGGCGGTTTCGGGTGCTGCGTTGGCCAGTTTGACGGCCAAGTTGACAAGAGCTTGTGGGTGGCTTGTGAATGGCCAGGCGCAGATGGCTACATGCCCGCCGCCGACGCTCTCCACCCCTTGTTTCTTGTACGTCGTCGGCGACATTTCCCCCCTTCTTCTTCTTCCGATTAGGTCCTAGCTAGCTAGTTTGTTTTGCGAAAATATGTGATGTCTCTGTACACATGCAGTGTAGGGTGCGCGTATATATATATATAGCAAGTGAAAATAAAATATGCCATGCCATACCTCTAACTCTAAGCATGGCTGGTTCTATTGATTTGAGATTTACTTTTTTTTTTTTTTTTATAAAATGGAGGTAGAAGCCAAGAAGTACAAAACTGATCAACAAAGGAGGCTACAAGCCTGCACAGCAGCAGCTAGCAGGAAACAAGATTAAATAAATAAATAAAAACAGATTTTGAAAACAATAATATTGTTCCAACGGGATGGGAGTAGGTGCTAACCCCTATAAGGGGTTAGCACCGTGATAACTAGCAAAAAACGCTACTAAAAATAACGATATCACTACGGATTATTATAAAATCAATACAACATCTAAGCTAAATCACTACTAATTCAAACTAGTAATAGTTTTTCCCTTGTTTAGGACGGTGCTAACTATTATATAATTAGCACTGTAGCCGTTCCCGCTACCATCTCATATTGCCACAACAACATATAAAAATAAACTATCCGTCTCTATTATATTATGACATGTAATGATAACCGGAAGGAAATGATACTAATTAATAGAGAATTTGGTTTCTCTAAATAACCCTCACCTACGTAGTGCAGCATTAAATAAACTTGTGCCCTCACCACAATATTAATTCACATGGTAACATGCAAACCAGTCTCAATACCGATGTCGTTGATCGAGAAATTGCAACGTAATGATGGAGTTGAAAAAGGCAATGGGAAGCTGTACTGAAGTATTGTCGGGTCACTCATTTACCTGACACATACCAGGCCGGATCTATGTCATTCGGTAAGTCTTATATCAAGATTTATGAGTGAACCTAGCAAAATTCATTTTGCAACAGCCAAAAGAATTTCACGGTATCTTCAAGAAACGAAGAAATTGGGACTGACGTATAAGAAAGAAGTAGGAAGCAAATTGACTTGATTTACTGATAATGACTGGGCATGATTACTAGATGAGTGAAAAAGCACATCGGGGCACATATTTTATCTGGGTTCAAAACCTATTTCCTGGAGTTCAAAGAAGCAGAAGACTGTGGCATTATCTTCGGCGGAAGCAAAATATATCGTAGTTACAGATTCAGCATGCGAATCTGTATGGCTAAAAATGTTAATTTCTTATTTGCAGCAAAGCAAAAATGGTCCAACCATTATTCACTGTGATAATATGTCAGCCATAGCCATGACAACAAATCCAGTATTTCACACAAGATCGTAGCATATCGAGTTGCGTCATCATTTCATCCGAGACCTCGTCAATGACGGATTAATCGTAATGGAATTTATCAATACCAATAATCAGCCAGCATATATAATGACGAAAACGGTCACCCGTGAGAAATTCGAGAAGTTCAAGGAGCTACTCTAAATTGCAAATTAAGAGGGGGTGTTGAATGGTAATTTGCATTTGATGATATTATTAATCAATATGTTATGAATGATAGAGCTGAATTAAAGAAGTCATTTACTACATGGAGCATAGTTGGATGAGGAGTTTATCTTGTTCTCTGTCATATCAAGTCTACTTAGTAATGCAGTAAAGAAAAGGAAGACAAGCATATGAATGAATGCATGGAGTAATGAGTGGACCAATAGAATTAAATTGGCGTTTCCATTTTCCACCAAGAAGCAACGTGGGTGAATGAAGTAGAGGGCCAAGTATGCATGTGATGTATTATTAGTTTGTCTGAATTCCAATTCTATATATTTGTAAGTATGGAATTGGGAAAATTGTCAGAGAGACAGAAAAAAATGGAAAAAAGGGTGGAAAAAGTGAAGAAAAAGGGTGTAGGGATGGATTTGGCCATAATAGGTGGGAGGGAAAAGAGGGTATAGTGGGAGGGTCTTTTTTCGCAAAATCAATCTGGCGTTGATATAGTAAATTTATTTTGACAATTTATTTATTATTTTTATATAGTATTTATTAATTAATTAATACGAAAATTCCGATATAATATTTTATTTGGACATAGTTTTTTCCATCGCTAATTAAATATGACATTATCAATGACGAAAAATATAGCTATTGAAAATATAATCGTTGGAAGATTAATCTTTGGTCAATATGACGGTTAAATATGATCATCAGCCAATAACACATAATAATCTCTAATTATAACACTTAAACCAATCAAAAACAGAAACAAAACAAAAAACCTCGGGCCCCACCCACCCCTTCCCCTTTTCCCCCTCCCTCATTTGTCTTCTAGTGAAGGGTTTTCCCTTCCCTACTTCCTTTTTTTTCCTTTTTTATCATTTTTTGCTATCCTATTGTGGGGATTTCCCCCCTTCTTTCCCCATTTTCTCCTTATTTCTCATGTTTGCTATGGGTAGTCTAAAGAAAGAAAACAAAAGGAAAGAAGCAAAGCTTCTGTTTGTGTAGTGTAATAACAAGTGCCAAGTTAAGCCCGTGTTTGTTTTAGTCTTTTATAAAATTGAGTGTTTAACACCAAATATTTCCTCTACATTGATCGTAATTCATACCACTATTCCGCTAATACCTACCAAACACTCTTTGGCATCTTTGCATCAAACACCAACAGACCTAATGGTCATTCATAAATTAATAAGCACAAACAGACGCTCGACAAAACTTCCCGATGAAGATGAAATAGAAGCGTCTCAAGCGACGAACCAATCAAACGTCTTGAAATCCATGGAGACAATCACAAGCGAAAACCACTAGTAGTCACGCATGAAGAACCTAAGCGGATTCAAAATCAATGGTTCAAAAGTTTTCGATTGGGGAACCGAGAGCGAGGTCCAAAACCTTCTCGTTATCCGTTGTCGATCTCGCACCAGACCTCCTTATTTTCCCGCCGCATAAGATTGGATTGTATTTGGTTCCTCTTCTTTCGAAACAAACTGGACCCTAATTTTTGGAGCTTTCAACAACGGTAGAACCACATGGATGAAAGGTTGAGCGAATGTGGTCGATTGTTGGGAAGGTTGTCGGGTTTGTCGATTGTTTGGATGGAATAGGTGGGTAGTGGTTGGAAGAAAATAATAATAATGATCGTTTCAAAATAGTTCATGGAGGCCAACTGTTTCAAAATCCTTCATGTGGGGGGTCGTTTGGATGTAGGATTGTTGTGAGGGATTTTTAAACAATTCCTCATTACGCATGATTTTAAAACAATCTTGCGTTTGAGAATGATGAAGGATTGTATAATTAGTAATTTCAAAAACTCTCATTCAAGAGTTCATGTGGGAAATTAGGGGGAACAAAGTGACATTCGATCAAAACAAGATCGTACTTGCCGCTGGTGCCCTCTACTCTCTGCCGCCCTCTCCTTCTGATATTGAATTATGGGTTCGAAACTCAGAAGCACACCCCCGCCACAGCCTAGTTGCTTTGTTTCTCATCTTTATCGCCCCCCTTTCCCTGGCGCAATTCTTCCTCAAATCTGGTTCTTTTCCCCAAATTAGAATTTTGGGTTTAGGGGAAGAATGGTCTGATTTTCGGGTTCCTTGATTCAACATTTTGGGTTCTACGATTTGGGGAAGGAGAAGTAAAATGGGTGTGGGAATATTGGTCAGACGATGAGAGGAGGGGATGAATGAGATAGGTAGAATTTGAGGGTACGTTTGTAAATTGGTGTTTATTATTAAAATCCTTTGTTCACATCCAAACAAGTGATTTATTAAACTTTCACATACTAAAAACCTAGGTTTTTAAATTGTGGGATTGTGAGCAAAATCCCAGGCTTAAGAAAACTCTAATCCAAACGACCGAGGTTTTTGAAATATCTCATTTATTCGTCTTTCCAAACGTAGTATCATGGCAAAGTTCAGAAAAGATTGTGACAAATCCTGCACCGCAATTCCCCATCCAAACAAACCCTCAATGTTATCAATGTTCTTCAGCTTAAAATTTTGACGATTGAATTTTTTAAATAACACCTAACAATAAAAATAAATCAATATCATCCTAATAAAAATATATAGTTAGGAATCAGGATCGATTCAAGAGCCAGAACTGTCGGTTGCGGTTGTGCTATCGTATCTAGTTGTAGGCTTCTGTCTATCATTATGTGGGATGGGGTGCCACTCCTGTCTGTCTACTCAACTCGTCCAATCATTTTTCCACCTTCAGTTATGATGGTCGTTGGCCTGGGTCCTCACCCCAGCTTCAATTCACAGCTGGCGCCTGCCGCCCACCAATTTATATTTATTTATGCTACTTAAATTTAAATCATACTGTAGTGTATTATGGTGCTGTGAGAAGTGTAAAATGGATAGTAGTGAACTAGAAATATATTGAAATATATAGATAATTTTGTAGGCCACAATGAAGTCGTTCTATCTGTGAAACAAATTTTGAAATTAAATTAAACAAAAGATGATAAAAATCATTTTTTAAGTAGAATTTAAAAAAAAAATCTTAAATTTTCATCATTTAGACTAACTCCAACCCTATAGCTAAAACGTCATTTACCCATTTTTAGCTCTTTTTTGGTGCTCCAACACACACAATTTTGGGAGCTAAAAATGGGTAATTTTTTATTAAAAATGCATAAGGAAAGATAGATATCCTATTTTTGAAATAATTCGCGAGGAAAATAAAATAATTCGTCGCAGTAAGTCTAATCATTTGAACGACATATGATTGTCAAAACTAATGGTCTAACTTTCGGATTTGGCCAAATTAATAAAGTGTAGGATTAGCTCGAACTACGATGTTAAGCATTAGAAAAGTCTTTGCCAGCACTGCCATTTGGTCCAGCAGCAGCAGCCAACATCTTCTCCCTAAGGGCAGCAACATTTCGCCGATCAACTTGGTGCTGCTAGCTAGCTGGTTTTGCCTTGAATTGAATGTATGTCTCACTGGCCAGCGGGGAGGGACAAAGACAATGACAAAGATGGGTTAAATAAGGCCACAACCACCATGCATCAATGCATATGAATGCTGCTCAGAAGTAAATGTGTGGCGTCAGTGGCGGACCCAGAAAATTGACCAATGGGATATTTATTGTCATACCATAAAAAATCAACTAGGCAATTTTTTTTTAACAAAAATCAACTAAACAATAGAAAAGTCAACGTTTAAACAAAATAAAAGTCAACAATATAATACTCAAGATTCATACAATTACATCATTATAATTAGACGAACAACAACGAGATTTCATATTCTGAAACACTCTAGAACACATTCTTTGTCAAAACCAGCACACAAATCTTTACCTATATGTGACACATCCTTTATTTGTTTTCCAAAATAATTTTTTATATATTTCATGAATGAAAATGGTCTCTTCACACTTGTTGTGGTAACAGGTAGAATAAATTTGGCAACTCGTCTGAATGTGTTTCCTCGGAAAATCAAATGCCACCGCCTGTGCCGAATTCGTTTCCGACGATGTTGATTTGATGTTTCGCCGTGGAAACTCTTGCGGTGCCGTTTGATCGGAAGCACCGCTGATTGCTGAAATCGAGACGACCGTCAAATATCCGCCGCCGAATGTCGGCGCCGTTGATTTGATCGATGCACCTCTAAATGGTGAAATCAACGTGACCGTCAAATATCCACCACCGGTGTCGGCGATGTTGATTTGATCGATGCACCTCTGACTTCTAACCAAGAACGACCGTTACTACGGTTCGCACCTCTCCAAACTACGTTCGAACGAGGGTGTTTGAGTTTTGAGGAATCTACGCTACCGCTACTCCTATGGAGATTCCTGTGGAGAGCTCCGCGACTACGACTAAGACTACAACTATGGAGATCCTTCCTGGAAGGAGAGCTCCGCGAAGGAGTTACAGAGAAAAAAGGTAAAGTTTGACAGATGTGTTTCTGTGTTGATTTCGTTGTCACTTCTCTCTCCTTGCTCCGCTGCTTTTATTTGAAATCACTTGCGTAGTCTTCACGCCCTGTGGAACTGCTTCCTCAACCGCTCCGTCGTGAACTCCCACGTCTCCATTCCTGTCAACCGTGCAGGTAACTTCCTCCTTGTTGCGTGATAATCACGTGCCCTCGAAACCGTTCCTGCTTTGCCGAAACTTGGCCAAACGACCTACAACCTTGTCCATGTAACGATGCCGTTTCACCAATACCACGACATCGCCTCTCACCAATCGATGCCGTTTTATGATCCAACTCAACTGCCCCGACCCGGTTTAACCAACGACATTGTTAGTCCATCAAACAACGTCGTTCTATACTCTTGCGCCGTCGTTGGGTTTGGCGGCTGCCTTTGGCCGAACTCTTACCACTACCGCGGTGTCGTTTTACTTTTCCGTGGCATCGCTTTTCATTAAACGACGCCGTCTAAAATAATCATAAACTACTAATTAATTAAACCAGCCCTCATTGTTAACTCGCCGTCAAACTCTCACCCCGGCGTCGTTCTTGGTTAAACAACACCGTTTCCTTGTCTCGCGGTGTTGTTTCTTCCTCTTACGGCATCGCTTTCAACTAAACGACACCGTGCTAAAAAGTCATTAAAACATTAATTAATTAATCCGGCCATCACTAGCTATGGCCAACGACATCGCTAGCGCCACCACAGCTCCGATTGTTTTTTCCTTTTTGCGACATTGTTTGTTATTTTAGACACTGTCGTTTGCTAATCCACGGTACCGTTAGGCTTATCGCTGTACCGTTTTTAATTCCGCTGCACCGTTTTAGCTCTCCGCGGTGCCGCTTCTCCCTATCCAACAAGGATTAAAAAATAATATTAATTAATTAGAGTAAGCAAAACTCATTCCCCAACACTCAACTACCGCGCGGCCCCTCTTTTGTTTTTTGGTGACCGGTACCGCGGTACCGCTGAGCTTCCTTGCGGTACCGTTTTAATTCTCCATGCGGTACCGATTTTCCCCTTCCTACAAGGAATAAAGGTGATAATTAATTATAAAACTCCCTTCTCCAACCCAATTACACGCGCGCAGCCCTTTTTTTTTTCATTAAGCGGTGTCGTTTCCCATGCCGCGGTACCGCCGAGCTTTCTTGCGGTACTGTTTTAACTCTCCGCGACACCGCTTAACTCCAAACGACATCGTTTTTAACCCGCGGTATCGAATTAAATACCGAGACTAATTAATGCGGCATTTAATTCTGGTCGAATTAATTTTAAGTGTCAACAGAATGATACTAGTATTGGCAGAGGAAAAACCAATTGGTGGGGACGACAATATATAATAGTTGAGTTTTAAAGCTATACGTTTGGCGAAAGTACAAAAATTGGTCGAAGCTTATTATGAGAAAATACTCTAAATGGGCTCAAGTTTAATTTCAAATATTATAGCCCATAATTGACTTACAATAAAAAAACTTAACCTGACAGTTCACACAGAAGAAGAAATAGAACAAAGAATGGTCGGGGGTAATTTATTTTGCCCACCTCAATGAATAGCTCTGCCACTGGTTCAGCAATATATTTATTCACACCTACTACTTCAGCAAGCCACAACCACTTTAGGTTAGGTATCGTTTTACATATGATATTTGGGTGATAGAATTTTGGAAGCATTAAGGAATTGACAGAGATCTATTGTTTATTGAGATATACAGATTTGTGGGTTCATAGTTTTATATTTTTTTTTTTATATCCGAATTTGTGGACCTCATAGATTTTATTTGTAAATTCCAAGTTCTATTTAGAATTTGATTATGAAAGATGAAAATTTGAGATCGATTGTACAAAAATCTTTAAATACATGCTAAAAAAAACTAGAGAAAAAAAATAGTTCTTTTAAATTTATAGTGTAACAAATTTATCATAAATTTTAGGACTTTGCTACGGTGACATGCACTTTTCGGTCGACCTCATATAGGATTAGGTCGACCTAATCTGTTATTTCAGTGTAAAAACAATTTCATGGTTCCTACTTTGGATACTCATATCTTACAATTGGCTAGATGGAAATTGGAGATTAATTGCTTGTTCTGAAGCTGAAGTGTCCTCGGCTTTCATGTATAAAAGAATTTTCACTCTTTATAATCAGAAATTTGTGTCTTTCAGTCCTTTTTCTGGCCAGAGTTCTCTTATTGCAAACACTATTGTTTAATCTAATCTAAATATGCTTGTAGTTTGGTACTTGTGTGCGGTATTGATTGAGTGTCATGTTTTCATTGTGATTGAATGTAAGGAAATGATTAACAACATATTGATTGAATTCGGCTTTCGTCCAAAATGTAATGTGACTTAGTTACTAGCTCTCTCCTTTAGTTGTGGGTTAATAATTAAGCCTCTCCAAGCATGCCATTCTGTTGTTACAAGCACTGTGTTCATTTCACCGTGAATTCTCTTAGAGATTATCTAGACTCAAGAGGTGGGCTTCCAACTAATCAAGATTGGCAGATGGTTAGGAAGTTGAGAGACTATCTGAAAGTCTTCAATGACTTGACCCTTCTAGTCTCTGGTAAGTAAAATTCCTATACTGCATTGATTTATTTAAAAATTTTAACGATTTGCTCATTTCAATTTGTGTTATTCTAATTGTACAGGAACGAAATATGTGACTATGCATATCTTCTTCAAGAAGCTTGTTACGGTATATGACATCATTGAGAAATTGAAGAAGGATCCGCTTGAAGAGATCCAAAAGATGGATGAGAAGGTTGAGGAAAAGGTAGAAAAGTATTGGTTTGAATCACCTGTTGTGAACGAGAAGAACATGAAGGTGAACCACTTAATTTATATTGCATGTGTGCTTGATCCAAGAAGTAAGCTTGACTTGGTGTCTGAGGTTTTGGCAATGATGTATGGGAATGTGAAGGGAGGAGAAATGGTTGACTGCATTAGGAAGGAAATGCGACAGCTATTTGAGGTTTACAAAGGGAAGTATGGATCAAAAGCACCCTACTCTGCATCTGAGCCTACCACTGGTGAGAGCACGGCTGGTGGTGATAGGATTAAGGAGCTAGAGGAGAGGATTAGGAAGAGGAAAAGGGAAGCACTTTTGCAGGATACAGGAGGTAGCTCTGCTGAGCTTGACATCTATTTAAGATGTCAAACTGATGGCATCAATGAGGAGAGTGATGATGCAAAGTTTGACATCTTGAGTTGGTGGTCTCGACACTCAGGAACATATCCGATTCTTGCTGAGATGGCTAAGGATATCCTAGCTGTTCCCATCTCTTCTGTTGCCTCAGAGGCAACCTTCAGCTGTGGCGGTTGGATTCTCAGTCCATTCAGGTCTTCTTTGAGTGATATCATGCTGGAGGCATTGATTTGTGCGGAGGATTGATAAAGTATAAAGATGCCGGGCCCGGAGATAATGACGATAGGGAAGAAGATGAAGAGATCATGGATTTGGAAAGCGGTAAGTTCTAAAACTCCTTATATTATTATTTGTTAAAGTAAACAAATTCTATTTCTTTCTACATAATTCAATGTATGAATATTCTAACAATTTGTTTTATTTTTTTTCTTACTCAGTTAATACCACTTTCCAGTCTAGAATGGAAAGTGCAAGAATTGATGTTGGCAATGCAGATGGAAGTCAGAACATTCCAGATGGGAATGAGCAGGAGGGTGAAGAAAATGTGCCGGAGGGACAGTGTGAGAAAGATGGATATGACGATGTTGGTCATCACCTCTTGCCGCAACTGAAAGAAAAGGGTTATGTAGATGTTGGTTCTTCTTCGGTTGATAAGTGATGAATTGGTGGTGACTTGTAATTTGTGACTTTATGTAGTTTATGGACTTTATGTTCTAGTATTTGAGAGTTGAGACATTAATTTGGTGATTTTAAATCTATTTTGTATGCAAAAATGATTGAAACTTGACTTGTGGAGTGATTTAGATGTTGAAATGTAAGGCTGAACGTTTAATTTTAGTCAATTTGTATCGATTTTGAAGTTACAGGTGCCTGGTCGGTTTGGTTAGTCGGTTCGGTTAGGCGGTTAGTCGGGTCTGTATCTCACGTTGCGGTTGCTTCGGTTAATCGGGCAACTAACCGGTAACCGACCGGTCGGTTGCCGGTTAACCGAAGGTTTGGTTCGGTCGGTTGGCGGTAATGGTCCACCTTGGCGCGGTTAACCGGTAACCGGCATTTCGGTTATCGGTTATAACCGAACTAACCGAAATGCCAGCCCTAATTTCACGTGCAGAACCAGACAGTTTCTGAGTTAAAGGATTTTGTCAAGAAGCTCAACTCATTACCAGAAGAAATGAGTGTTATGCCAAACTCCATCTTTCTATTTGCCACTGTTCACACGGGGATTGTTAGCCCAATAAAGTCATAACAATTGCTGAATTTTTTCGAGTCGTCTTTGATATTGTTTCAGAGGCACATAAATCTTGCTCAACATTTGACAACGTTCACATATAATCTAAGCAATCTTTTCTTGCACGACTGAACATGGAACATACAACTGTTGAGGCTGAGAGTTATGACATGTAAGTCTGGAGAATCTCTCCCTGTCTTGATCGATAATGTGCCTGACATCGCTTTCTAACCACTTAATCAAGAACATTTCAAGTTGAATTTCCCATGAATGAGTTCAGAAGTTTAATTTCTAATCTTGTTAAGTGGACCTTGAACTGATTAGGTTTATTCTCTTTATCTGAACCTTGCAGGAATCGAAGTCCCAACTGGCTGAATATTAAGCGTGCTTTGCAACTTGTAGTTGAAGATACTGACACTGCCAAGTATACAACTTCCTAGCCAGCCATCTCTAAGTATTTGCATTAACAGTGTAAGTTGATATGCATATGCGGCTCATTTTTGTATCTCTTACCAATTACCATAGCATGTGGAAGTGGATTTACATTTGATTTGAGGGGACGTGTCATATGTGAATTGCACTCTGGTCTTTGCTCTTTCTGCCCCACATTTATTTATACTCTGTTGTTTTCAGATATCTGTTTCTTTTGTGACAGGGTTGTAAAATTACAGTATCTTTTGTTTTCCCTTCTTAACAGAGCTATTGGTTTCTCTTTGAAAAAGCCCCAATGACATATCATATGTGTTCTCCGGGTATGCACCACTGAGTATTCGCCTAGTTCATCATGCCATTCGATCTGGATGGTGAGCTTAGTTCTCTATGACTTGTGGTTGTGGGGACTGTGATGAATCATTATGATTATTTCCTTGTGCTATTTAAAGAAATATACCTCAGTAGGCGAGGAAGGCAGGCCTGACCTTGCCTGAATAATTGGGCTGTGTACTATGCACAAAGTTGTGTAGCCGAATTACTAGTACTGGATATCAGATGATTTTTCTTTTTGGTTGCTTAGTAGACTTATCTATGATGTCCTTGTGATCTTATAAGTTACTTTCTGAAACAGGCGCTCCATGGAGGAAATCTTGAGACTGTTGCCTGGGCCTCATTCAGAGACGAAAAGGGTTTGTAGTGTTATCGCCCTTCCTCCCTCTGCATATCTATACAAGAGCATCAATGATCTTTGTGTTATCGCAGGGCGGATTTTCATCATCTGAGTCGATGTCTGCAGGAGGTGGAAGGTATGTATGCGTAGACTGACCCTAGTGTAAACCTGTTTGAGGATCAACATAGAATAATAGAAAAACCCGACTCTCTTGATGATTTATTTATTGTCGAAAAGAAGAAGAAAAAAGATTGTATTCCAATCAAACCAGACCACTGTGAGCTTGCGAATTCAAGAACATTGTCTGTTAATGGCTGTTATTGGATGCATTCCATGGAATGCTGGAAGGAATAGCTTATGACGTGATGGTTGCTACCACAAAGATGATCAGTGGTAATAGTTTGACTGAATCATATGTTGAGAAGCTGGGCTAGTTCCGTAGATAACTTGCTGCACAAAGAAACAGCTAACAACAAACGATTTCCCCTTCCCTTGGGTAGTTTTACGGTCTTCTCGCCAGATATGGTCTCGTGTAAACCTGAAATCTACTGGATCCTCGAGTCCTGGTCTTGTGTAAACGGGATTCTACTGGATTCCTCTGAGTCCTTCGCCTTACGTGTCAGTTATAGAAGTGAGTTTAAGGAGTTGGTTGATTATTTCACATGTCAACTTGTATGTAAGTAGACCTTTTCTACCTCTTACTTGAGAATCTCGAAAGTTTCTGAAAATACATGGAACAATTTAGAATTTCCTCTATGTGCCCAGCGTCACTTCTTGTTCCTTCACAATCACGGTATCCATCGCTTGAGACCCGAAAAATAAAGAGAACGGTCGTGATTTTGTTTTCCCCCCTTCTACCTTTAAGTAGACGGAATTGCTGGCCTTCAAAGTTCAAACTACTGGTACTAGACTAGATCTTGAGAGGCTGGAATAGGAAGATAAGAACAGGAAGCAATAGCAAAATTCCATTATAAAACAATGATCATACATACAACAAGACAAAATTCCCTCCATAATTCAAATTACGTGACCTGTTCTACACAAACCTCAGCCCCTTAAACAATACCATGAAACAAAAAGTCGCCAAAAAGGAATCACATTGACAGCTACATGAAAACCCTAGAAATACTTGCTTTTCTTTTCCATCTGGCTAACAACTGTAGACATCATATTACTACACAAAGGTTAAAGTCTTCTTTTGACTCTTTCTTTTGTATACCTGTATGTATCAAGCACAACCCCACCACCCCATTTCCCTCGCCTTTTTATACATTGCTGCGGTCATTTGCAGCAGATGATCATAATCCTCGATGTCATGCTGCAAAGGCATTACTTGAAACCAGACCAAGTCTCAAAAGAAGCCGGCTTGATTTCTTCCAAATGTTATAAACAATTAGCCACTGAACTTTCCCCTCCAACTACTATACAGTGTTTCAAAAACCAGTTTGACATGTGTAACTTACAATCTGCCTATGTACCCTCCACCTCTAGTATCCAACAACTTGACTGCACACACAATGCATTCTCAGGAAACCCCCCATGGTCACTACCAACTGACTTGCCCACTCCCATTTGGGTCTGGTAGTCTCATAGGTGTGCACCCAGATACAGCTTTCCACAGAAACTACAACCTGTGTTCAGAATTGGTACCTGGAAGACTTAAAGACTAAGGCTTTTTACTAGGCTGCGGGATCAACCCGCTGGAGTAGCTCCAATAAGCTCCCAGCCTTCCGTTTCGCCCTATCAGTGCCACTCTCCGCTAATTCCTTCAATGCCTCCTCCGCAGCCAACTCCTTGGCCACTCTCAACTGCTGTAAATCGCCACCTGTGCACAAGGACCACATTACGGCGGCTGCATTCTCCCTGTTGCGAGGAGATCCAGTTCTGATCACCTCCATCAGGGCTGGAATGGGATCAGCCAACCCGATTGCCACCTTACCTTCCTGATGGCTCGCGAGAACCGCAAGGATCGCTAGAGCTTCGTCCACCATCCCACAACCAGCATCCTTTAACAGTCTCATCAACGGTGGCACGATCCCGGCCCTAACTGCTCTTGCTTTATTCCCCTGGTATATAGAGAGATTGAATATGGCAGTGGCTGCGTCCTTCTTCCCACGTGGCGACCCCTCGCATAGCAAGTTGATCAGTGCTGGGATTGCGCCAGCTGCTCCTATCGCCACCTTGTTCTCGTCCACGACCGAGAGGCTGAAGAGGGTAGCCGCTGCATTTTCCCTCGCTTCCATGCTTCCGCTCTTCAGAACATCCACGATGTCTGGTATGGCTCCCGCATTAACGATCATGCCCTTGTTTGCATCGTTTATAGAGAGGTTGAGAAGCGCTGTGACAGCATGTTCTTGAGTGCGAGCATCGGGAGATGAAAGTAATTCCACGAGGAGAGGAATGGCTCCTGCTTCAGCAATACAGACTCTGTTGTCAGCATTCCTCTTTGCAAGCAACCGAAGTTCTCCAGCAGCTGCTCTCTGCTGTTCTGGGTTACCGTTCGCTAGCTTTTCGAGCAATGCAGCAATGGTGGTTTGATCACAGTCTGAAACAGTGCTGCTTCCCAGTTTCCTGTTCTTAAAAGCAGCTTGATGCTTAGGAGGTAGCTCAACGCCATTGCTTTCGCACCACAAGGATATCAAACTCTTCAACACGTAGTTGGGAGTTAGTGCGGTGTGCAAGAGGGTTTGCTGGGTCTTTGGACATGTTTTGTGGCCAGCATCTAGCCATTTCTGAATGCAAGATCTTTCATATGTCTGCAAAAAGGAACGGAGACCAGGAATAAATGATGGCACTGACCAATTCTGCAATGAATAATGTCAACAGTTGTCGAATCACTTAATCATTTCATGATCATTTACTTGTTTGAATCATTTTTATCAAACGCACTCCACTTTTACCATTTTCTCAGTTGACCACTTCTCCAACAGGCACGCCACACCAACTGATGTAATCAAATGAATTAGAAAATAAGATTTGAAGGTGGAGATTGGTCAAACCTGTCCGGTAGAGACAATAACGGGATCTTTCATTAATTCAAGAGATATGGGGCAACGGAAGTCATCTGGGATAACAGGAGACCTGTGCTTAAGGAATTCCTTGTCAGCCTTGGGAGCAACAGCATCTTCTGGGTTTTCAACTTGTACAAAGTCCTTCAACTTTCTGAACAGAGAAGAAATCTTCCCAAACCAGTCGTCAGGATCTCCTTCGCTTGAAATCACTAACTCATGGAATGCAATGGACTCCTTTTTAAGATCCTCGATTGTCTTGAGTTGAAGCTTTTCAGAAAGCCGCTTCAGGATTGCAGGGTCTGGATCTCTCTCTCTTTGTGCAATAGCTAAGTCATGTTCAAGCTGTACATCAGGAGAGTCTGGTCTCGCGGTTGCTCTTCTGAACTGAGCATGCACAAGCTCAATCTGGTATCATAACAAAACAAGATTAAATCATGTTACAGGCAGAAGCGGCAATCAAAGATGAGTACTATTACAAATGGAGTAATAAATGAATGATGCATTTCTGATAGTTTCAACTCCAGAATACCTGTTCCCGGACTTCCTCGGACAAATCGAGCTTGTCGTAAGGAATCTTGCTCAATGCTGTTCCAATCTGTTCAGTAATCTGGTGGAACTCAGCTGCTATGTTGTCCTGATACAAGGCCTGTGACATAGAAGGACAATGTTTGTCTAAAATAATACCATCATATATAAACTACAAGGAGGTGGAGCTGTGTATACTGATTGTTCAAAGAGTAGCATTAGCCTGCTATGTTTATGTAACAAACTTAGTCAGTGGAAAACCTTTGTTGCTGCCCATGAACATGCATTTCAGCAAAAATGTTTCGCTCCTTCAATAAAAATATTAGTTTGAACTTTTAAAGGGTTGATCAGTGGTGATGCGAGGATAATAAACATCAACCAAACCCTAGGTTCCAACCTTAGAATCTGTGGCACTTTCTAAAAGGAAACGATAAGACCATTGATCAACATGAATTAACCAACAGGAGCTAGAAATCATGCTTGATTACCAATTATCTTCTTATTACTCGTAATCACAGATTCATCCACAACTGAAAAAATGGAACCTCCCAATCCCCATTCTCTCACTCTTCCCGTGGCATAGATGTAAAACAAAAAGATCACCACAATTATTCACCATATCTCACTGGCATTTCCCCTTCAGAGCCAGCATTAGTTCGCCAATCCCTTGGTTCGAGAACAGGAAAGGAAAAAATGGCAACCAAAGCAGCTAAAATCCTTAATGTTCAGTCGACGAAAACACAAAAGAAAGCAAATTACCTGATAAACCTTGCTGCCTTCATTGACTGTCCTCAGATGCTTCAGAGCTGAATCCAGAGAAGTTCTCAACAGATCAAACCCTATAGCTGCTTCCTCGACCAGCTCTTCGCTACCGTCTTTCAATTCCTCAAACATGGGACTCAAGAGCTTGATCCTCCTCACCAAATTGCCGTGCATTTTTTTGCAGACATTTCTACACTCGGGCAACCCAGAGATGGTCTTCACCAGCTCCAAGAGTTGGCTCACCAGCCCCAAGTTGTCATACACAGAACAACGACATCTCTGATAAACTGAGTTCAGTAATACCTGTTCCTGAACTTCTTCCGACAAATCAAGCTTTTTGTAAGGAATCTTGCTCAGTGCTTCTTCAACTTGTTCTGTTATTTGGTGGAATTCAGCTGCTATGCTGTCTCGATGTATGGACTGCGCAACATTGAAAACAATTGCTTCGCTTAATTATCATGAGAATAGACTGCAAGAATTATCCAAAACCTCTCCACCAAGACAAAACCGCACGCCATGTGCATTGACAAAACTAGAGATTATGGTGGGCAATAGATTACCAATCTCTATTCAACGAAAAAAATAGATTACCAATCTCTGAGCGATTATGCATCGCCCAAGAGTGATTCAAAGCCAAAACCTCTAACCCCAATTCTTCATTCAGTCTTCCTCAAATTGGTTGCCAAATGCAGTAAGCATAGCCTAACATGTAAAGTAAGAAACCTATACAATCATTTACCAAACCATTCCCTCTGAAACAGGATTGGCGGATCTTTCCTGTTATTTTCTAGACCTAGTCAACTGGCAATTCCTTGCCAACGCACCCAAAAACAAAAAAATTGACAACCGAAACAGCTGAAGACCCTCACATTCAGTTCTGAAGCCACAAAGGACGTCGGAAGACAATACCTGATATACCTTGCTGCCATCATTGACTGTCCTCAGATGCTCCATCGCTGATTCCAGAGCAATTCTCAACAGCTCAAACCCTTCAGCAGCTTCTTCGCTCAGCTCTTCATTGACATCTTTCAATTGCTCAAACATGGGTCGCAAGAGAATAATTCTTCTTACCAAATTGCCGGGCATCTTGTTGCACACATTCCCGCACTCGGGCAGCTCAGAAATCTCATTCACCAACTCCGAGAGTCGACTCACCAACCCCAAGCCGTCATCCATGTGGTTAATTAAGAACCAGGAGCCGCTGTCTGCAAATTAAACCCAAAAGGCGGCGACTTTGAGCGAAAGGATGGAGACCCAGCCGAAGAAACCGGTGTAATTTCACTGGGCTAGCCGCCCCTCACAGAATTGTGATATAAGAAGGTAAGAAATGGAAGGAGGAAGGAAGAAGAAGAAAGGAATGCCGTTTGTGATGACTGCTGACAAATGAAGAAGGGGAGAAAGAGAGAGACTTTGGTGAGCATTCTTAATGGAAGAAATGAAGAATAATCTAACCGCGGAAAATATACTCGTTCTTTTTTCATGAAGTGGAATTTTGTTTTATAATCAATTCATGAGGTGGAAATGACAAAGGAAATGATGGGTCTTTTTTGCTTTCTCTTCATTATTTATTTTCTAGCATAGTCTAATATTTATTTATTTTATCCTTCCAACTTCCAATCTGGCCAGTTTTTGTCAATTCAATCAAACCAAACGCTTGTTACCGGGACAGAATAGAATCAATGAATCTACAAATATATAACAAAAAACAAAAACAAAAAAGACTATCCATAATCTCATCATTCATTCCAAGTTCTCAAACTATCATTTGCATTGAAATAAATGAGAATATCAATTTCTCGAATAGTTTAATTATATCTATTATATTATACTTTATTTTTTTGTTCTTTTTATAAAAAAATAACATTTCTAAAATATTCTTTTTTAATACATATTCATATGTATTGACCTATTCAACCTACACTTCTTAGTAAATTAGCCAACCTATCTCGAAACGGATATAATTCCTCTCAATTTCATGTTTGCTAGCCGACATAAACTCGGTTAGGGTTAAACCGATAATTAATCTTCCATATGGATGACAGGTGGCAAGAGAAAGGGAAAGATTGGAATTTGGAAGAATAAGAGTAGAAGGAAAAGATTGAAGAAAAAAGAGAACATATTGGAAGTGTCGCCGACCATCAACGTCTGCTCCGATCAGCAGGATAGATAGTCTTAACAAAAAAGGAGTAAGCCACCTTTTATCTATCATCTCTTACAAATCCAGGTGGAAAAGGAGAGCAAAGAGAATAAAGAACCTTCGCATGGTCTTCTGGTTCATCTGCTCTCTTCATCAGATTGTCCATCCGACTCCCGAGTCCAAAACCCTATTACTTCTCGCTCACTGGGTTTGTTTCAGATTGCTTGCAGTACACGCGTGGATTTCCTCTACACATCGCTCATGGGTTGTGCTTCTTCTCTACCAGGTAAATTTGGAAGCTTTAGCAGGAAATTCGCCGTGAAACGTTGAGTAATAGCCGAATGTGATTTGTGCTTTTAGGTGGGGAATGGGTTTGCGATTGCGGATTAGGTTCGTGATTTACATACTGGTAACTAGTTCAACTAAGGTATTGGGATGGGAAATGAATAATGGGTATTGTAGGGTTTGTGATTGTGTGCGGAGTCCGAGTGATTTAGCTGAGCTGTTCGGTCACTCTGGTAGAGTTAATTTGTTACCGTTTTTAAATAGTTGAAGCTGCAGCTGCTTAAATGTCTGAGCTAGTGTGGATTTCTATACTTTCTAGTGTTGGGTTGTTCATTCGCACAGTTTCGGGGTATACTGTGTGGCGCTTCTGACTTATATATTTCGTTATGTTTTTGGTTTGATGCTTCTTGGATGCTTGGGACAACACTACCAGACCGGAGTTCTGGGCAGTTGGGCGTAATTAATTCGGACAGCAACGGATCAACTGATGCAAAGAGCCTTCGTGTAAAGGTACTAGATTGGCCCTGGGTCACCGAAGAGACGATGCTCTCTATGCAGTAACTGTAATATCGAAGTGGTGCTGGTTTTTCTCGGTTCCTGTGTATTATGCAAACTGATTTGGCATTGCAGCATTGACTGCGAGCTGAATGTTAAAATTCATTACCTAGAGACAAATTGAAATCATGTTGCCTTGTTCAGCTGTATTCCTGACTTTTGATTTCCATTCCCATGAACAGCTCGTTTTGTTAGGTGATTCTGGTGTTGGTAAAAGCTGCATTGTCCTTCGCTTCGTCAGAGGTCAGTTTGATCCAACATCTAAAGTAAGTAACCTGGTGATGGTCTCAGTGTTTTTTTGTGATTCAGAATCCCATCATGTGCAATCCTTTCCATATAACTTTGTAATATCCATATTGATTTAGAAGCATGAATGTATAAGTATACTATCCAAAAGCCATTGACTTAAGTTAATTGTGTTTTTATCGCTCCCCAGGTAACTATTGGAGCCTCATTTCTCTCACAAACAATAGCACTACAGGATTCCACGACTGTGAAGTTTGAAATATGGGATACTGCAGGACAAGAAAGGTAACTCATAGTCTCCATTTGCTGCTCCCCTTGTTTTCAACATCCTGTTTAATCGGAGAGGTAATGTGTTTGAAATATGTTTTGTGATCAGGTATGCTGCATTGGCCCCGCTCTACTACCGGGGTGCTGCAGTTGGTGTTATTGTCTATGATATAACCAGCCCCGAATCCTTCAATAAAGCACAGTATTGGGTCAAGGTACCTTTGTTGGACTTTGGTTCTGTTTTCCTATTAATAATGCTTTTACTTCGTGCAACTTGTTGGAGATAATGACTCAGTTAGTTTAGTTCAGAATTGCAAATATGCCTACTGCGGATCATGGTAGAACTGCCTGGATCCTTTTTGTGAAAGTGAATCTTGAGAGAACACCTGGGTACCAGATTGGTGTAAAGTTGTCTTTTCGTGAAAGATAGATGGATATATGTGTGAACCTTTACCTGATAATCTCATGCAAAAATAAAACAACTCATGCAAGTTGCCTCGGGCATTTTGGAATGTATGACCATGATAAAAAAAAATGTTCTCCATACTTTTTGATGGTGCATGGGTTCAGTCTGTTCTTCATGCTACTCTGTATGGTCATCAGCTGATTGGGCTTGGTTTTCGTGCATTTGATTGGGCTTGGTAAAACTTGTGGTCTTTGGTTCGTTAGTTGCTTTGAGATGAATTAGTTATGATGTCAGCTCCCTTTGGTGGGAATCAACAGAATTTAGCACGTAGGTGGTGTTTATGGGACAGATGGGTTTTCTGTTATCCCCTGTCTTCTGTCTGAACATAGTTAGATGAAATTTGTGACCAGTGGATTGCTCATTTTTTGTCCTTTGGAGGGTTCATATAAGAAAGATTGAAACTTTTGGAAAATCTAAGGAACTCTAATATGTTAGAGATGAGAGATAGAATCATATGGTTAGGTGTTGCAACAGAAAAGAGGGGACAGGTCGGTGTTTTGGGGGTGGGTTTCGAAAAGCACTTGATATGATAGTGAACATCAGAAGGAGAATTATATTTTGTGCTTGCCTTGGAGAAAGGTCATAATCAGTCTGTGATTTATTTCGTGGTGGCATTTTTATGGCAACTTATGTGTTGGCTGTCTTTGGACCTGTTTCAGGAACTTCAGAAACATGGTAGTCCTGATATAGTGTTGGCTTTAGTTGGTAACAAGGCTGATCTTCATGAGAGCAGAGAAGTGACAGCTCAAGTAAGTGCAGCACTCGACTCTTGATTTATCAGCAGACTTTCTAGACCCTCATTTTTGTGTTTTAACGTATTTGCATTTGGAAGGATGGCATCGACTATGCTGAGAAGAATGGAATGTTTTTCATCGAGACTTCTGCAAAGACAGCAGACAATATCAATCATCTTTTTCAGGTGATCCTGATACTTCTCACCTTTTACATTTCTTCAGATTTACCCCTTATTCCTTGTTTTACAAACTAGAAAAGCTGTGAAGCAATTATGATAGTTGCCTCTTTCTTCTGGTGGAAAAGAAACTCTGATAGATTGATAAGTGTGATTTCAACTTTTGTGTCTCACTGATGAGCTCATTACTGATTGCTGGGTTACCTCAAGAAAGAATGCTGCAACTACACCCTTGACCTTGCTCATTTAAGAACACTTGTTCATTCACGAATTCTGGTTATGAGTAGTGGAAGAAAATATAATCAGATGACGTTTCTCTAGATTTTTCCCTTAGCCATGGTGATAGTGAACACTAGGCATTTATATATTGTGATAGTTCGATTTCAGAGGAACTTTTCATTGGCACTTCAATAAAGGAATTTGTTTTGTGTGGACTAGAGCTCTTCCCGTATTTTCTCCATAAAAGCCCTTAAAAAGTTTGCCCAAATGTCGGTCGATCCATTTTATTTTGTAGTAATAGATATGTATTGCTAGTACTGTTTTCCAAATGTCGTTTAATCCTTTGTGGCACGTAGTGTAAGGGGTCTGTCTGTGGCTTAGCGCAAATTAAATGCTGAAGTTATCGAAGCTTGGATGTACTATGCTGACAGAGTTTCATCATCCTGCAGGAAATCGGCAAGCGGCTCCCTCGCCAGCAGCCAGAACCCTCGACATGATTTTCCAGGTTCTTGAAACAAAAACAAAGTGTATTATGAAACTGATTTATGGTATGGAACAGAACCCGCCTTCTGTCGAGTTTGTACATAGTCATCGCGCGACTCTGCTGACTCCCAACTCTCTCATTTGTCGATGTTGTGATGGAATATACCTGCCTTCGTTGTTTTATCAAAGGGGTTGTCAGTTGGTTCATGACACAAAAATAGCCACGTGAAATGGCGGACTAATTCCTTAACATGGAACTGTTTCGACTTGGCAGGGGTGGTTTCCTCCTGGTGATCATGTTTATGCGAGATTGTGATTTGTTGTTGGTAAGGTAACATTATTATTGTAGTTGCAGTGAAATGGAGATGGACTGGTTTGCCTATTCAGCCATGTTGGTGGGTTGTGTTTACTGTTTAGTCTTTTTCGGACGATGCTTCCATAACATCGCCTCGTAGTCTCTACTACTAGTACGCGCTGAGTGTAAATTTCGTCAGAGTTTGGTTTTGGGTTAATAATCCTTCAGCTTCAGGTAACAGTTAAAACCCCGAATGGGGAATAGAGTAACCCACACTCATAAACTCTATTACGCTTTCGTTTTGTTACGAAATAACATATTGTTTGGCAAAATACCCGCGAGTTGTGACAAATTCGTACAATCTCGCCGAGAAAATACACGAATTCTAAACCACCCGCAGGTTAGATGCGTGTGGTATTGGATCCTGCTGGCATGGAAATGGCAGAAGTAGTTGACACTGGAAATGACCAAACCCTAGATTGAGTTTCCACTTTCCAGTAGTGATTCTGAGAAGAAATCTCTTTTTTTTTTTTTTTTGCAAGTGCCGACATGTATTAGTTGCGTAGATCTTGTTAGCCAGCCAGTCACAGGCTTCGAATCCAATTTGTGAGCAGGTGGGGATCTCATCGTGCAGGCGACACACGTGGCACTGTCTGAACTGAGCCAGACAATGAAAAAAGCAAACAGAAGGCAAAAGAAGTGGGAGACGTGCTGATGTGGCTTACCGCCCCCCACAACCAGAAACCCTATCCAGCAGCAGCGCTGGCGGGAAAAAGGGGGTTCATCCGACGTGGCCGTTTTGTTCCTTCCCGCGTGTTCCAGCAAAGACTTATTTGACTTTTCTTACCTTCCCTTAGCAACCCACTTTCTTCTCAATGGAATGGATCACAGGCTTAATATCTTTCTTGAACCAGCCTTTTCCCCCAGATTTCCGTGTCATTTATCCGCCCTGCTGGCAACCGAAACAAAAAAATTTATTTTGTACCAGTTTATTGATATTTTGGACTAGTTTAATTCGTCAACTTCTTCACCAACAAACGTACAACAACGATAGTCGCCGCATAGGTGTCAGATGCCCAGATGAGAAGAGAAGCAAAAGGCGTATCCGGCCCGGCCAATTTGGAATACCTGTGTTGTGTCCTAATTAGTTATACAGCTAGCTAGAGCGAGCGAGCATAATAATGAAGGGCACGGGCATGCATAGCTTCCTTCCTTCTCTTCGTCAACGAAACTTCGTTCCAGCTTCCCCCAACTATCTCTCAAACTGCCACCCAACATTTAATCTATTAATTAACTCATAGGTGGTGGTGGTGGTGAGCTGGACTTATTCCCCGTTTCATTTCCTTCACGAGCTTGCTTACGTGTGCCATCGTTCTAGCTACATATTTTCCGATCAAACTAACCTTCCTTTCTTTCTCCTTTCTCTCTATATATATACCGACCGCGGCTAAGATCCAAACTTCTTCATCCCATAAATCATATATACACATTAGCCATGTCGTCTAATAACAATAATACCTTCTTTTTAGTCCTCCTCGTGCTGCTGCTGCTTCTCACGAGCACCATGGCGGCCAGGCCGCTGGCGGCGGCTCCGGCCAATAAGTCGATGACCTATGCGGCGTTCAAGCCGCCCGTCGGGCAGCGAGCAGCTGGGGAGGTGTTCGCCGGCTGCTTGCCTAAAGGGTTTCATCGCAATTCGGGTCCCAGCCGCTACATCAACTACGAGCCTGCCGGCGGAACAACAACAACAAGTACAATATTAATGTGCGACACGGAGAAGCACTGATGATACCGATCAAGTCACGAGGGGACTGATGATTATACATGCCGATACAGTTGGGTTCTTGAATGAGATGATGATCATCGTGATTATATATATATAAATACGAAATGTATACAAAACCACACCTGTGTTTATGTACCTTTTATACGTACGTTGGTGCATATATTAATGAAAACTGTGTTTAATGTTACGTAAATAGCAACTTGATCCAATGTGTTTGAAGTACCGACATCGAACAATGTCCTCTTAATTATAAGGTTTATAATATGTGAGTCAGAAGGAACGGAGAGGTATGACAAAATCAAGAAAGATTTGGAAGAGATGGGAAACAATTACGGAAGAGAGTACTTTACGATTCTTATTATTCGATGATGATAATTATATGATGGAACAATCATAAGTACGACTATAAAGTAAAACAATTCTAATTAGTCCAAACATAATAAATTGCTAAAAATGTTTCTCAGCCTTACCCTAAAGATTGAGAATTCTATTACTTTGAAAAAATAATCAAACATAATTTTTTATTAATTCCCCCCAAAAAATCGTCAACCACAATGGTTCGAACAACCTGACCTGGCAAAACGAGAGAGAAGTTGTTAGGTTTGCACCTTCACTTACTTCTCTAAGTTTCGTTACAGTATAATTATTAGGGCTATTGGGCTATACACAATAAAAAAAAAGTAAAATTTATTAGGGATATTTTAAGCATTTATGTTGGCAAAATCAATGTTCGACCATGATTGGATATTTGGATATAAATTTTAACAGAAGATCATGTTCGACCTGAGTTTTTTTTATGCATACAAGTATTTTTGTTGGAACACTGATACATAACTAATAAAATGTTTAGAGTATCTTCATTACCCCATAAAAGAATCTTATCAATCTCGGTAGAAATTATATTTTCCTCATGTTCGGCTATAGCGGTGGCTCCTGAATCAAGGCCCACTTGGCGTTCCAATCCAATTCTAACAATGTCGGTAGAAATTATCTTTTTCCTCATGTAACATATATGTCGTTACTACGTCTTACACTTTCTAGCTACTACCATTCTCATCCTTGAACAATCTCGGTTAATTTCTATGAGAATCTTAATCATACGACCATGGATATCCTCCATGACTGTACGATCAGTGTGCGAAGTACTCAATTCTCTTGTCGCTTTTTCTTTCTTCTGTACAAAGAAGTGGAACTCAACTTCTTTAATTGCCGCCCGTGGTATTGAAGCGAATACTATTACTAAGCTAGATCCTCGTTTTAAGGAGAGAATAAAGCTCATTCAACACCATTAGTTAGTGTACTGAATTAATAAAGTAATCCAATGCTTTCTATTGCAGAATTCAGATCTGTAAAACTTTACAAACTTCATATGTAGGAATGATAAAAGGGCAATCGTTGGATAATTGAACCCAATCGTCATTATGAAGAATTTCATAATGCGGAAGGAAATGAACACGAAACAAGAGTTTTACGTGATATTTATAAGACTAATCCACGGTGAGCTATGAAAAGCTCACAGCCGATCTCTTATTAGGTTTACATTGTGACGGTTTGCTATCACACAAGTCGATAGCTAAGCTTATATAGATAAACTTAGGGTTAAAACCCTAATCAAACGAATCAGACGAGGCCCAACAAGGCCCAATACTAACACGGTTTAAGTAACCGCAACAATATGAATATTGAATCAGATCTAACTGTACTTGATTTTGGGTTCGAGTTGAGTTTGGAATGAGTTCAATTTGAATAAACTTATTTGGGTCAGATCAAAATGGATGGGATCCAAATGATTGTACACACAAATAGACAATATTAACCATCTCATTAGCTGATTTCAACACAAAGCGCTCTCTCTCTCTTGGTATCCCTCGATGTGGCATTGGACATTATCAATAAGACTTGCGATTACGCATAAAATTCTTGATTAGATTGACAAACTCATCAAATTACGTGGAATGATGTTTATCAATAGCTATTCGCGTTTACAAGCTCAGCCCTCTTTTCCGCAAATTTGAATTTTCATTCTCGATCTTATTTAAAAAGCAACAACTTACTTGACGTACCTTAATCTGTGCTTCAACCGATGATGATTGAAAGTATCTTTCTTGTCGGGAAAAATGTGCATAAGCTATTTGATCTGAACGTACGTTCAAAGAAAAAAAAGCTATGTTTAATCTGATTTGCAATCTAAAAGTGATCTCTTTGCAGGCAGAGAGCCACATGCAGACTTGTGGAGTCAATGCATACAACTTGGAGATCGGGTGAGTAAAAAAAACAAGGTAACAATTTAGTATTCACAACAAGGTTCAAGAAGGTGTTGGGCACTAGACAGACGTTGGGTTACTACTTAGCGTCTAGCATACATAAATGGTGTTTAGATGATGTCTAGAAATAAAAAATTTATAGCACGCTTTTGACTTCGTTCAATTTCCAATGTTAATAACTTTGCTAACTCTCAACAATATTCCAAATAAGTCATATGATCTAGAATTGCAAATTCCAAAATTGAGGAATGAGTGAAGGATGCATTGAATATATGACAACTAAAGATGGGCGTCGTTTTGAGAAGATTAACTACAATTTTTTAATCTTTGAGCTACTAATGCAATTAAGGCGACTCACTTCAATTAATCACGCCTCACACAGATTAATCATGTCTATTTTTGTCTAAGCATTACTTAGGCGTTACCAATGCTTTATCATCTGCCTAGGACCTAACTGAGGCGTTTTGTCACTGCCTATTGTCTAGGCCCGTTTACCTGTATGCCGAATTACGCCTTCTTAAACATTGATTTGCAGTAACTATTTGTACGTATAGTATGTCATGTTGGAAACTACACCAATGTTAGATTTTGATCGAGCCCTTTGTTTGGATCAAGTTATGAAAGGAACCCCTCCGATCGATCCCCTCCACTTGTTTGGATCAAGCTAACTGCAGATCCAATTCATGACAACCTTTTTCCAGCTTCAATTCTGCAGCTGTAACAAAAATGGACAGAATGGCAATGAAGATATTGGCAAATGGCAGTTAGTTCGTCGTCCCAAAGAAGTATATACGTACGTAATTCCCACTCAGAATTCTGACTGGTTCAATGATGATGTTGACAACTTATCCTGATGATAAAATGGATACTCCACTTTCAGGCTTTCAGCCAATCGAGCAACGAGAACAATATGATCATTTTACAAAAAAAAAAAAAATGCTATCATATTGATCCACCGGTGGATATCGCTGGGATGATTTGATGGTTACCGGCAGTATTCAAAAAAAAAATATTTTTTTTTCATTTAGATTAAGACGTGCAATGTTCTTCATTCATTAATCGAGATTTTGGAAATTAAATAAATAGGTTCTTAGTTCACTAGTAAGCTGTACTATCCAAACTTGGAATAAATAGGTTTCAAGAACAACAACTAGCTAACAAGGTAACCGGACACTTTTATTACCTTCTCTACTAATTTTGTTTTGTCCTAGAAAACAAAGAGACATCCGATCAAGCCTCCTAATGAAAACCAGGCTACAAAGTTGAAATATGATATTTTGAAAAAGGAGACTTGACCACCGGGGTTTACACGCCACTGGTAGGCCTTATTCTGCGGATAAAAGAAAGACGTAATTAATTCCCCATTCATCCGAAGTATGGAGCGACCCAATTTGAGGTTCAAGGAATCATTCCTAAAGACTAAAGGCACCTATGTACAATCAAAATGATTAAGAAACCAACTGATCGATGATCCTCACGTAGTAGACGAGCACCAAGAATTAAAACACACCTCATTTTGAAGCCGGTGGATGACGATCTTCGAGTCACCTTCCATAATTACTTTGAACATTTTAGGGTCGTTTGGAAATTGTGATTTCAAATTGAGTATTGAGCTAATTCATGTATTTGTGAGATTAAGTCGGTTTTTGCTTATATTGAACTATAATGCATGCATTTACTTTTTGGAGGCTCCACCACAATCACTCAAAATTGAGGGAATTATCAATCTCTACTTTTTGTTGAGATTCTTCACAAGTGCGTATGAGATTCGAACAAACCAACAATAACAGTTGCAATAGCTCTCTTTAGTGCAAAAAAAAAAACAACCTTTCGATATTTATCAAATGGTTAAAATACATACATATAAATACCAGCTAAATGATGGTGATTATTCCAATCAAATACTTTTAAGAAGTCGTTTACTTGTAAGATTAATTAGATGAATAATTTGCAGCAATCCATGATCAAGTAAGTTATGCAAACAATAAAGTACTAAAATCCAATCCATCGTAAATTAAATGGTTAAGGAAAAGGGCCATTTTAAAAAAACAAAACAAAAAAGGGGAGGATAAGAAAGAAGAAAGGTAAAGTGGTACTAGGTTGTTGGCCATAAGTACGACAGATAGGCAAATTTAGATTGTTTTAGCTGGATCCTCAGTTTCCTTTCATTGGTTGCCGCGCTGTAATTATATTCTTTTTTACTCGCCGTTTCTCCTTTTATTTTAAATTTTTGTTTTCAAAATGAAAATGTAGCAGCAGCACCGGAAAAGAAAAATGACAAATCAGGTTAGGACATATTTATGTCGAAACTAAATTTGTGGCTGATTATTTTGTTTCGTTAGGATATTTAATTATTTATCGCTCTTGATCCACCATATTCTCCTTTCACCTTGTAATATTCTGTGATATTAGTTATACATTGACTGTACTAAAATTAAAAAAACTAATTTTAGTTACTCCAATAAATTTAGGACGTCATTAAGCTGCGTCGTGGATTTAAAAAACGGGTCTTCAGTTATAATTTTAACTATCGCCAATGAAATGATAATCTATTCCCCCTAAATAAGCACAAGTGGGCAAAATTAATGTGGGTCTGCGGAATATGTGGAGTTGGTGTATTTTATTAAAGCTATGGCCTATGGTTCTACAAATGAAATCATTAACTTCATTTTCTTTAAGCAAGATTAGTGCAGAAGACATGGTCGAACAACTCAATTATAAAATTAACATGAATCATATGTGGTAGATTGAATGCAATCGGATTACTGAAGAACAGTGGCGAAGGGAGGTGGAAGGGAGTGAGGTCCTAGTACTCCACTTTGATAAATTAAAATGGTTATATTTATGTATATACTTGTTTAATTTGGGTAAATTTAGGACCTCATTCATATGTAATTTAATTGTCCTAGCATTATGAAACACACAAATAAATTAGACTATATTGGTCATATATCATTGAAAATCCCCAATTTTATAGTCCTTATTCTAAAAATTTCTAATTCTACTAAAGATGTGTACAAATACCTCCAGCTATATCTAAAAAGGTCTTAGTTCAACTATTTTTTCCCTATCAATATGCACTTTCTTTTGTCATCAAAAGTGTTTTATAAAACGTTTGTGTATTAGATTTTGCTTGGGAACTGTTTATTTTAGCTAGTTATTGAAATGTCAATTTTCAATTATGAGTTACACAAAATGTAAGGTACAAATCTAATAACTAATGGTTTGATGAATGACTACTTGACTGGATATGTTTAAGAAATTTTACTTGATAATTAAATACAATGTTATAAAGATTTTTCGTAAATGGGACCCCACTAATCTCGAATCCTGGCTACGCCACTGCTGATGAAAGTGCATGTTTTATGCATACGTCGTCATCAATCTCAGATATGAAACGTTAGCATTGCTAACATATATAAACCGGTCGGAAAAAGTTTTCTTGAACATTGTAGCGACCAAATGCATTATATAATTTTTTTCTTTTTCAGAAACTACATCATGGCGATCTGTTATAACTTATACGAGTCGAATATTTTCTTATTTAAAAATACAACTTTCTTAGTTCGCTATTGATAGGGTAGAGAGAGAGTGCAGGGTAGCTGTGGTGCGCCGGAGTGTGAGGGAGAGAAAACCCTCCATTATTATTTCTTTCTGTCTTTTATAGGGAGAAGAAATAGGAACAATGTTGTGGTTTATATAAGAGCCTCTTAAATCTGAAACTGAAATCCCATCCCCCATCCCTTCTTCTCCTTCCCTCCCCGCTTACCTACTCACCTCACCTCAGTTCCATCCTTCCTTCCCTACCTCCGTCAGCAGTCACTCTGGTTTTCCGTTGCTTTGTTGTTTCCTTCACGCAGCTAGATGTCTGTTTGTTTGTTCGTTCTACAGTATCGTAATACGTTAAGCGGTTTCTTTTCATCTGGGTTAGTACAAGCTGCTTCAGTTCCAATTTTTTCGATCCCGCTGCTTTTCCTTTTTCTCAATTTGGTCTGGGTTCTAGCTTGTTTCCTTTCTAGAATTGGACTACTTTGAAAGAAAAAAAGAGGGCAGGAGAATTGGGTTGTAGATTGTTTTGTTCTCCACCATTGAAATTTTTCCTTAATTTCATGTATTGTTAAAGTCACGGGGAGTGAAGTGGTGGGGAGAAGTGTAAAGGAAAGAAGGAGTAAAACCGTACAGTCGACAGCTAGCTCGCATGCTAAAAGCAAAGCAGGGAAGAGATTTTCATTTTTTACAGTCATTGATCGCAGGTGCAGCATCATCAAGATTCACATGCATTTATTTAATTACTCTCTCAACACACACAAACAAAAACAAAAAACGTATATATATAGTAGTAGTAGTAGTAGAATACAGTAGTGATATATACGTACGGTGGCTGTTGGGCATCAGAAAAGAAAAGAGGGTGCTAAATTTGGCCATTTCTTGGGAGGATCTGCTATACCATAATAATAGGGGTTTGGCTGGGTTGGACTTGGATATTTCTTTCTTTTTTGTTTAGGGATAATTATGTATGTAGTGAGAATCTTGATGATGCTGCAGCAGTGATCAAATGACTTCCCGCCGGCGGCCTCTCTTCTCTTGTACATAAAAATACAGACCAATCTTCCCGGCCACCAGGTAATTCTCAAGATATACAGAATTACCTAGGTTTAATTTAATGTCTCTCTCTCTCTCTCTCTCTCTCTCTCTCTCTCTCTCTCTCTGTACATCTTCTTGATCGATCATCATTATCATCTTGCTGCCATGGCTGGCTGGGTGTATGCAGATCGAACGTGATTAGTGTCATCATTAATTCGACCTGCGATCATATTCAGTATAGCAAGTGATCATGATCTACCTCTAATTGATTCGGGTTCAATTTGACAATAGATATTAGTTGTTTCACTTGCCCGTATAGTTATTAGTGGGCCGGGGATCGCGTATTAAATTCCATAATTTTCGGACATCTCCCAAAAATATTTCTCAAATGAAGAAGTACTAGCTAGTTCGATATCAACATGATCATATATCTTAAACTTCAGTGGTGGTTCTGGTGTTCAAATCATCTATTAATCCTGACTTGTGTAAATCGCGATCTTAGATGCTATGGGGGGGGGGGGGGGGGGGGGGGGGGGGGGGGGGGGGAGATGTCATCCGTTAAAGCGTGCAAGAAAGTGATGGAACATTTTTTTTTAATCTCATTCTCACCGCGCCCGCTCGATTTAGCTGAGTAGGGATTTTTGAAGATAGTAATTCTAATGCTATATATATAATGTAAGAATTTGGGTATTATTTGCCTTGAACATATATACATTGTGAAACCCTCCACACATACATGTGAGTTGTGACACTCCTACTCTAGCTTCAACTAGATAAATTGTTGAAGTTCAGATGGATGTGTCATACAGATGCAAAGCTAGCTTTGCATCAGCTGCTTAATTAATACACTCTTACATTGAATTGGAGCTTGTTTGGTTGGTGGGCTAAAGAACAATGTTTGTTAGATAGCTTCAATATCATGAACATGTGTTGCAGCTGCCTGTCTCTGCTCATGTAGAACATATAATAGAAGTATATATAACCATGCATTTGTAGTATAGAGTATAGTGCAATAATATTCTCTGTGATCTGTCATCATTGTTTAATGATGTTATGATGATGATGATGTTGTGTTGGATATCCTACTAGCTAGAAATTTGATTAAGCAGGTGGATTATATTACTGGCCGACAACCTAAGACCAGCTAACATTTGCTGGCTTTCCCATTTTCTTCTTCTTCTTGTGTTCCTTACACCAATAGCAACAACAATAATATGAAGAAGGAATCGGCTGCACATGTTTGTCTGTATGCTAGCCCATCTTCCTTGCTTTTTCCCCCTTTCTGTTTTGGTTGGAAACCCATGTAGGGTATTCCATATAGGAATTAATGGCAATGGCTAGATCGAGGCGGGTATTTAGATACTCATATCTTTTGTGCTATTATATGGATTTTCCTGATCCTTCTTATTAATGTGCATGTATACGGTAGCTTTGGATTGACGTATAATATAAGGATGCGTTCGTACTTATTAAGTATACTTTTATATACTTACGCGAATTAATTTTACTAATTCGATCTTATAATTGGGGTTTACCGAAGAAATTGAAGGTCACCCATTAAAGATTGTGGTATAATATCTTTTTTCCTTCTGTTTTGTGGAGAGTCTCATGCGGCGGTGGGGTGGTTTGCATTACGCTTGGTTGGCGATGTTAAAGGAGTCATTGATAAGGTGAACGCGGGAAGTGTGTTGGATGCGAGGGGGAGGAGCCATTTACCAGGAGCTCAATTATATGCGCCAAGCTTATCCTGACTTTTCAGTGCATTTTGTGGCTAGACAGAATAATAGAGTAGTCCATCGGGTGGCTAAGAAGGCTCTAGTTTTGTCATTCTTGGATGTACTTAGTTTCAATTTATGCAATTGGCTCCCTTTGGAGTTGTAACATTCGACGTAATATTTTCTTGGTAATGCAAATTATCTTAGGTTTTAAAAAAAAGATCTTATAATTCAGGTTTAGTGAAGAGATTGAAATTCACCCATAAGAGATTATAATATTTTTTTGTTGCTGAATATTATGATATAATATCATGTCCCAATATCTAGTAATATATTCATGATCTAAATAACCAAATTTATTAGGTGTACGATAAGATTAGCACACGCAAACGAACAAGGACTTGGTCTAGTGGTAATACCATTAGCCTAGTTACTAGAAGTCCCATATTCGAATTCCTTAAGTAGTACTTTAATCACAAAAATGAAACCTATATCACCGTTATTATAAAAAAAAATCAGCACACCAAAGTTTGAGGCATTGTAAATATATAGCATATATTCATTTAACAACTTAGACTTGTTCATATTTCTCTCCAATTATCTAAAGAGCCTATATAACTAATCGATCGCCTAATGCCATCCCTAATACATTTATACCATTCACCGTTCTAACATAATTAAGTTTGCTTTGCCATATAAATCAATTACTCGATCGACCATTCTCTATCTTTTTTCCCCGTTGTCATCAACCGTTCACTGTCGATTTATCAGCAAGTTTCTGTATATTTTCATAATGCGTACATATGGTTGGTGAAAAAGAAAAAAACAGCTAGCGATCTAATTAAAGGGACAAATTGTGGTCATAAGGGGATAATCTCTCATTGGTATAGATATATAATAATCATTTGTTATTTGTATATAGTTATCATCAGTTGCTATCTAGCTAGCTTTTGTATATATTTACCCTCCACTAATTATGTAAATTTGTCGTTTCTTATTGTACTATATACAGTAGCTTAATGACAAGTGTTTAGGTTATCCATTCTCTCCGTGATAGTGAAGTAAACCAGTGACTAGGGGTGTCAATTCGGCCATTCGGGTTTACCCGAAACCGACCCGATTATATACATTTTCGGTTTCTCGGGTTCGGGTTCGTTACGGATTTCGGGTTTTCGGATTCGGGTTCGGTTTTTTTATCGGTTTTTCGGGTTCCGGCTAAAAACCTCCAATGAATAGAACTCAGCCCGTATTTTTAGGCGTTCGGGTTTTCGGGTTTCAGTTTTGCTTTAACCGAACCCGAACACGGTAAGGAATTTTTGGGTTTCGGGTAACCGGAACCCGCAAGTCCTTATCGGGTTTGGTTTTAGTGATTTTCGGTTTCGGGTTTTCGGGGTTTTTCGGATTTCGGTTTGGGTAACCGAATCCGACCCGAACTGACACCCCTACCAGTGACCGAATCAGGCTAATCGTACGAGTAGGAATGGCAATGGGTACTTGGGTAGGTTCGGGCGAGTATCTCGATACCCATGCACCTTACGTGATAGGTTAAGTTCAGGTTAGGTAATTTATCATGGGCACGGGTCGGAGCAAGTCGACCCAATGAGTACGTAATTTACATGAAAAATATTAGAAATATTCATTATTTTCATTAAAAGACTAAGATCATCTACATTAGTATTACAATTTCTATTGCAAGATGACATGACATGGGTGTTTGCAATTGCAAAATCAATTGCATTGATGTAGCTACCAATTGCATATTTGCAAGTTTGCAACAAATGCAATTGTATATGCAAGTGAAAAAATTCAAAAAAAATGGAGATTTTTTATTTTTTATTATTTTCTTTTCACTTCTACTTTATTTTTATAACTTAAACATAATATTTAATTACATATACAATTGCAAGTTAATTGCATTGATATATGTGAATGAAATTGATTTAAGATGGATTGTAAAAAAATTGAGTTGGCCATAAAGAGCATAAATGCAATTGCTTTTGCAATTGCATTGATGTGGATGTTCTAAGAAATGATAAAATGTAGTTAAATTATTGCAGAAATAAGAGGTACCCATGCCTGCCCCGCCCCGCCTACGGGACGGGTCAAACCCGCTCCAAAACAGGGCAAACAGATCGGGTAAAACTTGTCATCTCTACTTATGAGTTAAGTTTAACATGAAAAAATATCATGTAGATTTTATCAATATTTTACCAAGAAAAATTATGTGATTTCAAATTTTGAAAATTTTATTAAACACGTTCATCATTTAAGCTAGTTTGGAGTTACTGTTCTTTGCTTTTTTCATGATTTTGAGCTATGTTTTGATTTTTTATGTCTAATATTTTCTATATATAAAAAAATGAAACATTTAAAGATGGTTCCAACCATTATGCATTAATGAATTTTGTGAATCTCCTTGGGGTTTTTTAATTAGATTAGAGTTGAACGGTAAACCTTAGTCAAATCTAATATTGGTAAAGCAAGAGAGATCCATAATTCGTAAATAAGAAACTAATCTCAACTGACAAGATGCATTTCGCAGTGAAATGAAATAGTTCTCGTATTAACTCAAAGCTAAATGTGCTCATTATTGAACAATATAAGGACGAATGACCTCTCGATAATTCAATTTGATATACACTTAAAAAAAATTTAAACTCAACATTGACAATATTTTGATCGGTAAAAGTCGGGATGTTAAGTCCTTACTCCTATACTTTGGAAGTAAAGATAACTTGAAATATATTGGGCCAATTAACAAGGCTCATGCGTCAAAGAGACTCACTAAAGCCCAATATTGACTATCCAAGTGGCCCATTACATTACTTGAGTTTCTTTCCATAGCGTTTCCTCTTCCGACTTCTCCCCGCAAAAAGAAAGTAATGAAAATTCTCTCCGGCGACCTACCGACCGTGAAGTAGAGGAGTGCCCAATCGACCTGGAGCAGCAGAGGGAAAACGGAATAAAGACCGACGGAGGGAGATTTCTCCGGAACAGATTCTCCATGAAGTGGAATAGATTCGCGTCAATCCCAGTATGCGGCGTTCTTATGGTAATGGGTGTCGTCTACTACATCACGATCTTCATCTTCATCGAAGATTGGGTTGGTCTGGCCACCTCCGCTGGGACTCTGAATGCTGTCATCTTCACTTTCATGGCCGCTCTCTCCCTTTTCTCTTTTGCTGTCTCTGTTCTGACCGACCCTGGTTACGTCCCTTCTTCTTCTGCGCCTGATGTCGAAGCAGCTGCTGTTTTGGATCCGAAAACCCAAAACGATGTAAGCTTTCTGATCAATTTTAGTGAGAGGAGGTGAATTTCACCTTAAAGCTAGTGCAATTGCCTGTTGGTGAATTATTCCGATTTTAGGTTTGAAGTTTGAACCTTTTTCTAATAGATGCTTGATGCTTCATTCGCAGAGTTCACAACTTAGGCAATGTGAAAAGTGTGCTAGATATAAACCTCCTAGGGCTCATCACTGCCGGGTCTGCAGAGTTTGTGTTTTGAGAATGGTATGTCAGTGTTGCGATTTGACATTAAAAAAAGTTCGATTGATCTGTTAATTTTGAGCTTGTTGATCGCCGTGGATTGATGGACAATGGTTTCTTTTCCTAAAATGGGCGCAGGATCATCATTGTCTGTGGATAAACAATTGTGTTGGTTATTGGAACTATAAGGCCTTTATCGTTTTAGTATTCTACGCAACTGCAGCAAGCATCTATTCTACGGTAAGTCTGATATGCATTTCTTGACATTCGAATGAAGCTTATCGAATTGCTTCAGATTGCTATGAGAGAGGCTTTTGGCATGCATGCTTAGGTTGTGATGATGATCAGTTCTATACATAAAGATTGGGACTTTGCCGAAGTGCTTCCATTCAAGATTTTTTATGTGAGTTCTCTTACTTGGTCTGGCTTGATTGTTCTGTTATTGTTAGCATCACCATTTAGTAATGTTTATCATTTCTCCTATCAGATTCTTTCCCATCATTTTGTATATTCCTGATGTTTCAAGTGCCTCCTAATTGTGGCATTGCTGAAATTTGGCATTAGTGCATTTCGCTGTACTAATGTTTGATAATGGTGTGTGACTTAGATTCTTTCTGGTGCGATGATGGCTGGTTTGAGCATCACACTTGGTACTCTGCTGGGTTGGCATATCTACTTAATTACTCGTAATATGACTACTATAGAGGTGAGTTCTGTAAATGCAAAAGTAGACCAGCGTGCAGCAACCATTCCTTTCCTCTTCTTCCTTTTGACATTTTTTTATTAATCATGTTTTGTTGAACTTTACAGTATCATGAAGGAACAAGAGCAGCTTGGTTGGCTAAGAAATCTGGCCAGATTTATCGGCACCCTTTCAACATTACTGTCTATGCAAACATCTCCTCGGTACCTCTCTCACATGATATAAGCTTCATATTGCACCAACTGTGTGAATACGATACTTCTGAGTGAATGCAGCATTCTTGCACCTGCTATGTTGCGCCTTTACATATTTTGGTTAGATGTAACCACACAAAGCATGTATATTGATTAAGTTCCAATTTATTGCGTTGGTGCAGGTTTTGGGTCCAAACATGCTCAAATGGTTCTGTCCCACGGCAGTTAGCCACCTGAAAGACGGAATGAGCTTCCCTACCTCACATCAGAGTTAATTAAGTTCACTGGATTTATCCCAGGCAGAATCTGAATGTTTTGCTTCTATTCTTTACTGGTCATGGCTGGAGAAGCTTAGAAGATAAACTGACCGGCGCTGGAATAATCTTGCACATGTACATATGGGTGATCTAGTTTTGCAGCATACTTTATAGTGAGGTATTGATAATTTTTTATGTGCTAATTTGTTGCTGTACTGTACTCTTTTTTCTATGTATCAAAAGCTGTAGAAGTTGTATAGACGTTATACTTACTAGAATGGAAGACACTCATCTTCTGCTTAAACCGCCAAGGTCTGCTTGACAGTTGACATTATCTAGATCCTTATTTCTTGCCATCTTTCTATCATTCTTCCGTAAAGGTTATGAATATGACTTGCATCCCGTTTTCCTGTACCATTTTGTGGTTCATGCTTTTGATTGTAGCAGATATGGCCAGCTTCTCTGGTTCCTTTGTCGTGCTTTTACTTGTATTTTCAACCTGTGAAATATGCTTTGTGCCAGAGATCATCGAATGGCTATGAACCGAAATTCGGATTACATTATTCTTACCTCTGCAGACAGAAGTCATGATTGTTAACGGATTACTACTCATTGTTGAAGGAAGCTCTTGCCTGTTGCCTTTTACTGCCTTCTAATTAGTCTACTGCAACATGATACTTGCTATTGCTGATGTTGACAGGAACTTCCATGCCCATAACCACGTAAGCACTTTTGATACTTGGGGATGGATATGTTGGAACCAAACAGGACTGCTTCATGTTTTCTTATCCACACCCACCCACCCACCACACTTTAGTTGGTAGTGAAAAGTAGATGTGGCATCCACCAAGTGGAGATCAGAAGATTCATATTCACCACACAAGACCCTGGAAACTCACCAAGATTCCTTGATTAACCAGAATGTTATGAAGATACAAAGAAAAGAGAGAGAAAAAAAAGAATACTGAGAATTTCAACTTACACTCAGCATCCTAATGATTGGTCTCTCTACTAAAAACAAAAAGGTGATTCCCTCCCCTGGTTAAGCTTTGCTTTTTGGTACCCAACTGCATCTTGTAGGAGATTCAGGTGGGAAGGGTTCTGTCTGATCTGGTTCTGGTCCTCTTCTAGAACTCAGAAAGTGGAGTACTTTTTTCTATTTCCTGATGCAGTTGTTGTCATCAGCTCATTTGTAGTGTTAGTAAGTTGGAGTTTACTGTTGAGACCTTTCTGGCAGAGGCTGCAATCAGCTTCCATTACTGCTAGAATGTGGTCATCTTGTAGAGTCTTCATTGTTTTGTCCCTGGAGGCGTGGATAATGGACGAATGACGTTTTTGTCATTTGTTTAGTCCACTTTGCTCGACCTTTCCCTTCTTCCAAATACTAGTCTTATTCTTATAGCTTAGCATTCATGATTTCATGTCGAGTAAAAGATAAAAACACCAAGGCACTGTCTTTCTACTGATGGAAGAATACCCACTTCAAGTATGGGGCAAGTTGAAATCGTTATTGGATCCAAAATTCGTTTATTTAGCTTTGCTCGACCTTCCCGTTGGTGAATAGCAAATCGTAAATATCAAATTTTGATATTTGACCATTTAGTAAATCATATTATTTTTGTACTTTCATGTAATTGTAGAAATTATTTAGTTGCGTGAGACTCGTAAGCCAAATTAGTATAAATCAGTAACGATTTTCTTTATGGAGCTGCAAAGAAGGATATTCGAAATTTACAACATTCGGATATTTCCTTGTATACATATTCAAGAAAATTGAAGAGGCTAAAATAGATTTTTCTGTTGTTTTTTTCTTCTTCTTGAAAAGAATAGATTTATATGTGATGTGGTGTCGATTCGTGCATGAATTTTGGATCTAAGTGCAGGGATACAATAATTCTCTCTCTCTCTATATATATATATCCTAAAATTATAATTACATGGGGCTGATTTGTTTAATGCACATGCTATTTTAAAAAACTATGGATGGAGCTGTCTGTATGACAGAACTAAAACGTTATTTATGGTTCCATTCACTTCATCTTATCTCCACATCACACTTGCAATGCTCACACCTTAATTTGGATTTTGGACAACCCATAATATTATTTATTATGTAGAGAAAAAAAAAACCCCTAATATAACATCATCCTTATATGTTTGTACAAGAAGTTTATTTATCATTTTCTAATTTGGCTAGATCGTTGTAGAGTTTTGTAAGGGATAACATCACACCTTTATCTTCCCTTCTTCATCTGAATTTTTTTTTTTCCAGGTAATTACTTAATCTAAATTTCTATATACAAATTTCTCTTATTTTAAGCATCATATATTGTCTCACATATAACGTTAATTTCAACGTCCGACGACTCACTCATTTTAGGATACTCGGGTTTTGTCAACCTGCCTTATAACATCTAAGCAGTTCCACGCCTCTCTAACTTGTCATGGTGTCTTGCTCATTTATGATTTTTGCATTAATCATTGGATTGTAACCAGTCTTATGCCACATTAACCATTTTAGAGGGGTCTTATTGCTTGAGACGTCTTTACTTATTCAAGATCTTTCACTTTCTTTTAATTAGGATGTAAACTTGACAAGTCGAATATTGCATGAGTCGTCATCATTGATTTGTTCAATCTTCAACATTATTTCCAAGCTTGATGATTAGTATAGCCCATCGATCGTAACTGATTAGAAGTATCATGCTATACAACATTCGATTGACCCGTTAATTAATCCAAATATATAAATCATAATAATTTACGATCATGCTATGTGATAGATTAAATAGATTAAATGATCTAAATCAATTGTGGTAAGCTTTTTAGTTGCTCAATACTGATACATAAACCTTGACAAGCAGTTGCTCTAGATAAGATTGATGGAGCATAATGAGATGTTCGTTGCAGTGCTTTTCATCTAGATATTCAAACTGCTTTTGTCATACTACTAATATTTTAGATTCAATTTCTACTTGAGTGGTCGACATAAATATCCACCTCGTAACTAAGAAAATCATGTCATTATTTTCATTCAGTTCCGTAAGTTTTAATGGTTTTTCTCTGTGTTCTAAGTTATATATAAAAACTCCCTCAAAAAGGAAAAGAAGAAGAAGCTATATATGGAAGAAAAAAAGCCAAATATTGAAATTCGAATTCAATACTTGTTGTGATGATGTGGAAGTTTTTAATTGCAATTGGACTGTGGACTGAAAACCAAAACATTCATCCCCCGTAGTTTACTCTCTTTAAGTAACAAATTAAATTGATTTATTTATTTACATTCCAGCAGTAAGGCATTAACTCGTTGAATAAACAAGAGAAATTAATTAATTTGAGGCTAATTCGTAATTTGATATTGTACATGCGGGTACACCGTAAAAGGATGCAGACATTCCCAATAACTAATCCCCACCCTCGATCTTCATCTTAACAGTGGCTGGTATTCGTAAATCGTCCCTATAAATCCGCGGATGACAAAGAAAGAAGACGAGACATTGAAGCCCTTTTCCGAGCTTTCTCGTGAAGCTCTTCCCTTTCAATATCCAGAAAATTGGGCTCTCTCGTTTTCGTTGAATCTCAACCCAAGACTGGCTTCCAGTTCTTTTTAAGCTTCAACCTACGGCTGACCGAGAATAAATTGTCTGCGCCGGCTCCGACTCGTAAGTGTAACACACTGAGAATCTTGAATTTTGTTCCCTGTTTTGAATAAATCTCTGTTTGGTCGCCGGGAAATTTTGCCGGAAAAGGGCGTAACGTTGGGTGTTTCCCGGCGATGGGTTTCTGCCTTTTCACTGAATGTATTGGGTCAGAATTTTAACCTTTTTCTTAGTTTCCACTGCAGTGGGTAAGTACTCTTTTCTTCTGTGCCCAGAGCCAGAGAACAAAAAGAGTAAGTGTGTCAGTGTGAAAGTTTCGGTGACTTGCTTTCTTGAATAATTCAAAAAGAGAATCCCTATAAAGCTCTGTTTTTTCCTCCTTTTTTTTGAGGAATCCCCTTAAAGCTCTGAGCCTACCAGAGCTCCTCCATTCCCGTCTCTGTTTTTAGCCTCTTCCCAATTTCTGTCTTATCGGTATCTTCCACAAATTTAGAGGAGGCAATATTATCATGTCATTAATCGAAGACTTACCATCTCGACTCTCGATTCTCTTCCAAGATTTTTGAACTCGAGTTGAATTTCCATTTTTAAGCCATTCCCAGCCCTCGAAACCCGCACTTTTTAAAGCACTTTCCGGTAGATTTTCCTCCTCTTTCCCGGTTTCTCCCTTTTGTCACTTACCTTACCCAAGAATGTGTTTCCCCGAACCTCGACCATCTAATTTCTCGTCGGAAAGATCGAATCTTTGCGTTGTAGGTCATTGAAATCTTCGCGAATCGTCAACCGGGTTTTTCTTTCCTTTACGTCCTCTTCCCTTTTCGATTTGCAGGGATTCCTCTATAAAAATACAGAGAGGGAGGAAGAGAGAGAAACAGGGAGAAGGAAAAGATGAAGAATTCTGTGTCCGATCAAAGCTTTTACATTGACAGCGATGACGAAGACGACAAGGACTACAGCAGAGATGGTGAAGGTGAAGAAGAGGACGCAGGAAACCCCTCGGATTCCGACGAGTCCCTGGCTGATAACCAGCGGCAGCAGAGCAAAACCGGTTCTTACATTACTACATGGCCTCAGAGTTACAGGTTTGTACATTCAACATTGGAAAACCCCTCTATCCTCTGCTTTATGATTTGCCAGGGAAAGTTTTAGGTTAAATTCCAGCGAGCTATTCCTACCGGGGAAAACAGGGGACTCTGTTTTTGAAGGACAATGATTGATACAGTGCTCTGCTTTTTACTTGTCTTGTTTGTATCCTTGGTTTCTGCAGGCAATCAATCGACCTGTACAGCAGCGTGCCATCTCCAGGAATCAATTTCCTAAATACGCCATCTCTAACAAGGCTAGGCAGCTCGTTTATGCAATCTTCACTGATAAGAAGGCACACCCCTGAATCATTCCCCACCCCGGCGCCGGCGGTGACCGCGCCTCTCTTGGTGAAAGAAGATGAGCCGAAGAGGAAGAGCTCGCACGCGCTACTTCCGCCGCCGATCCCGCGGCGAAGATCCTCCATAAGAAAAGACGACGAGAAACCTTCTTCCATGATTGCTCATGGCCACGAACTCCCCATCTCTCACCAAAGCTCCTTTGGTCAAGCCGTGCTTAATGGTAAGCAACCTAACATGCCCTGCCCCCTTTTCCTAATTAATAATTAGCCTCTTTGTTTGTTTGTTTGTGTGAGGCGTGATTTCGTGTTTGCCCTCCATTAGCAAAGCAACTTGCTTTGAAATGGGATATCTCTTTTTTGTTTGTTTGCTTGTTGTGATGGCTGATGAATTAAATAGCCACGCCTTGTCCTAAACGAGAATCGCATCGCATGATGTGAATCATGAGGGGCCAGCCATCCCCACTTGGAATAGGGACCAGAGATTGGGCTAAGTACATGTTGGAGATAGATCTTTGTTCATAGCTTGAATTGGATAGTTAATTTGTCCAATGGAAGGCAGAGAGAAAGAGAGAGAGAGAGACAGTAGTGGGTTTAACAAATCAAGGGGCTTCCCTCTCAGCTGGGGCAGCAGCATTATCTTGTCTCGACTCCATGTTGCTGCTGTGGCAAAGCACATGGTGCACATGATCAGAGAGCCAGAAACCAGACAGACACAAAACAAGCAACTCCGCCATGAATATGGCAGACCAACCTGACAAGTTTATACTGCAGCATATCTTTCTCGACTGCACCTATCTCCAGTAGCTAGTCTTCGTGGCTTGGATTGAGAAATGCAATTAGTAGACAGAGCATAGCTTTTTCCCTTGTGGGTAATTTGGTTAATAGAGTTCCAAATTGATGAACAATTACAATTGCAATTTCAGGGCTGAACGTGCTGTGTGGGGTTGGGTTACTGTCGACGCCATATGCAGCCAAGGAAGGAGGGTGGGTGGGGCTTTCCATTCTCATCATATTCGGCCTCCTCTCTTTCTACACTGGGATCCTCTTGCGCCACTGCCTCGACAGTGAGCCTGGTCTCGAGACTTACCCTGATATCGGACATGCTGCTTTCGGCACCCCTGGCCGTATCGCCATCTCCGTAAGTCCCCAAATTCGCCCCTTTCCACCTCCCAGATTCAATTGATGATTGTTTCTAAACTGGGCTGACTCTTGTATTGTCATTTTCGGGCTGTTCCGTCTTTTTCATGGGGGTTTGGTTTGCTGCACAGATCATACTGTACGTGGAGCTATATGTAAGTTGCTTATCTTATCGCTTTTTTGTATATAGTAATCGAGTTTTTTCACGTTACTCCACCTTCATCGGCTAGTGTTGCAGCTGTCTATGAATGAAAGGGATGGCATATCCCCTGGTGGGTTCTGAATCTAATATTGCTTGGGGCCCAATGTCGTTGACTCTAAGAAAATGTGGTGATTGTGTTGTCTTTGATTAGGCTTGTTGTGTGGAGTATATCATATTAGAGAGCGACAACTTGTCCTCGCTGTTCCCAAATGCACACCTGAGCTTGCTTGGGATGGACTTGGATGCACACCACCTGTTTGCTTTATTGACAGCCCTTGCTGTCCTCCCCACCGTCTGGCTCAGAGACCTCCGGGTTCTCAGCTACATCTCTGGTAAACTAACTAACCAACGATAGATTGCAACTAGTACTATACACATAAGTTTATCCTCAAAAGGTCCAAGCTTTCAACCTTTGTTTTTTTATGTGGCAGCTGGTGGAGTTATTGCATCAGTTCTGGTGGTTCTGTGCCTGTTCTGGGTTGGTCTAGTTGATCAAGTCAGCGTCCACAGCAAAGGCTCGGTTATCAACTTGGGGACTCTCCCTGTGGCTCTTGGTCTCTATGGCTATTGTTACTCAGGACATGCCGTCTTCCCAAACATCTACACTTCCATGGCAAAGCCACACCAATACCCTATAGTTCTCTTGGTCTGGTAAACGACGATTCCACATTAACCAACTTCCCTCCTTGCTTAAAGTTTCCTTCTTGTTTCTTATGATGGGTTTTGAATTTCTTGTGGACGTGTTTGGTAAATTTGTGCAGCTTCGTGATATGCTCAATGCTGTACATGGGAGTTGCAGTGATGGGATACACGATGTTTGGACAGGCAACAGCGTCTCAGTTCACTCTCAACTTGCCCAAGGATCTCGTTGCCTCGAAGATAGCGTTGTGGACAACCGTCGTCAACCCTTTCACCAAGTATGCACTGACGATGATGCCGGTGGCGTTGTGCCTGGAGGAGCTGCTGCCATCAAACTTGAACAAGTCGTATATGTATGGGATGGGGATTAGGACATTGCTGGTCCTGTCGACGTTGTTCGTTGGCCTCTCTGTCCCCTTCTTCGGTTAGTCCTCTCTCTCTATCTCTCTGGTTCATTTCCGCGGATTTATGAACTTCATAATAAGTTCTTTTCCTTTATGGTTCAGGACTGGTGATGTCGCTAATCGGATCTTTGCTCACCATGTTTGTGGTTAGTTTCTTGCTGCCATCTGTTACAGTACCATTCTTTGTTCCGATTTGGAAACCATATCTGTTTTAGACCATCTAATTCTTGTCTAAATGATGCGCAGACTCTGATACTTCCTTGTGCTTGCTTCTTGAGCATCTTGAGGAACAAAGTGACTCCGGTCCAGGTTCGGATTCCCTTTCTTCTGTGTATGTATCCTGTCGCAGATTGAATGCTTCTCTTCTTGGAAATCCCAGTAATGGTGTTTGTTTGTGCTGTGTGGATGTTACTCTGCAGGTTGCTCTGTGTGGTTTGGTAATTACAGTTGGGTTAGTGGCATCAGCTTTTGGGACGTACTCTGCCTTGTCCAGTATCGTTGCCAATTTGAGCGGCTAGAGATTTATCCATTTCTACATTTTTACCAGAGGAGGTTTAGGTTCGTTTGTGAGGAGAAGAGTTTGTTTTTATTTATTTAGTTTGGCCAATTTTGAGTTTGTAAGACCATATAGCATTCCCATTGAATTCTGTACTGCAATTGCAATTTTGGTGCCATTTTTCATTCTTTGTTTGCCTTATACATACTTCTGAGATAGAACTACACGTTCAGGTTTTGTAGTTAGTATATAGGATAGTACAAGTACAATAAGTCATTGAGTTTAAATCCCATGATATGACTAAGTAAATCATCATCGATTATATCATTACGATGAATTATTATCGATCATGTCTTAGTAGGGTGCTAATAAGTGTTTATATAATTAACAAATTATTGTTAGCAAGCAATTAGATAATTTTATAAGGTCAATTCAATCATGACAATTATAATAGTCTAAACTCAATTGTAAGGGTTGGATTTTTAGATCCAATATGACCAAAGCATCCCATCTACCTTGTCATGCCCTAAATTAATAAATAGGGTCAATTTTAAATGAATTCACATTATTAGTTTAAAAATCAAATGAGAGATAAGAAGTTTATTGGAATGCTGCGTGTGGGTTGAGTAATGTTGAAGGTGATACCAAAATAATTTCGAATGATAAGCAAAGATGCTAGAACCAGGTTCAACAACGTTGAGGCGAATACTTACTATCTTTAGTTCTTCACAACTAGTCAAAGACCTAGAACAACCAATAAGTCCATAGCACCGATGATGAGAAGTCTATTGTAAAGATCAAGTTTGGCTCGAGCAATTATGCTCATGTTGAAAGTGCTAACGGATGACAAACTATGGGAGAACAGTATGAGATTTGTTTTCATATTATCTTAGCCGAATTTATTAGCATCAAAGTTTATTGGACTAAATGATTATATTTGTCATTATGTAAAAATGACTATATTTATCATTAACATCAAACTTTTGACTATACAAATGTGTTTTTTAAATATGACGTGATTAATAGGTGACATGAACTGATATCCACATAAGCTTGTCGTTAATTTTCTAACGGCATCTCTAATATTGTTTTTTTAATGAAAATGCCTATATCTGTTACACAAACCTTTAAATCTAGCTATATTTGTCATTAACTAAAAAAGTAGTCTCTAAGATTACTAAATCGTGTCATGTTTAGTCATTAGAAAAAAATTAATATCAATTTTGGTAACTCAAATTACAGTAACATGTTGATAGGGCAAAAGCGTATATGCCAATTTCCTATCTCGTAGTAAACCGGAAAGTCCGGGTATCGTCTCTCAGGGACTGGTACAACCTTATATTCTATCAATTCTATGGAGCAAACTATAGGTGAAAATGGTTTAATGAGACTAATTATCTAAAAGCAAAATTAACTAATTAAACAAAGTAAATTGGTCGGGAGAAATTCAATGGAGAAAGCTCTGGGAGAAACACCGGGATTCACTACCTATCCTATCCAGATTAATTCACATATTCCAATCAGTTTAATCCATATCTCTACAGCCAGGATATCACGAATGTGCTAGCTATCCCTGTCGGGAATTACTACGTACTAAATAATCAATTCAAATCCTACTGTCGTAGCTCAATGAATTAACTATATAGTCTGAAGATCGATATCCTATTTAAGACCGCATAGCACCTTATTTAATCCACTGTCGCTTCGATAAGTTACTATGTCACATGAAATAGGTTCAATTAATAGGGTTTCACTGTCGCTAATAACCTAATCAACTACAAATCAATGTATTGGTGGCCAGTCAACACAAAGCATTAAGCAATTTCATGCAATAGAGATTGGACGAAAAGAATCATAAATCAATCCATCAAATCAACAAATAGATACATCCTATGGTGTTTCCCCCAGAAACCGGGGTTTAGTTCATGACGAAATTAAGATAAATCGATAGGGTTTTGTTCATCATGTTCTAAATCAACAATACACAACTAGTTCGGTTTAGAAAATCCAACCAACTAATCGCTCTCGTTGAATTCAGCTCAAACCTTGAAGAATTCGATCGAAATTCTCAATCGCCGCTCGTCCTGTGCTGCGCCTCGCTGCTCCCCTTTCCCAAAGAGATTTCGCTTTTTTTTGTTTTTGTTTTTTCCACCACCAAAACCTGCTGCCTCTCTCTTTTCCGTCCAATTAAGTTTCCTTGGCCAATTTTCGTGGCCCACAAGAAATTGGCCCAACCTCCAAATCCAATTCTCCATTCAGCTGCACTCCATTTTTCGTGCTTTCTCCACCTGTAACATATCAAACTCATGGCACTAGACAGTAATGGTTTTTCAACCATTTCCGGGTTAGCGAGCCCTAAAATAGTACCAATTGGCTATAACATACCACGGATAATCACATAAAGTCCAAGAATCCGATATATTAAAGCCGAATATCACAACCCCACACTCAATTGTTGCTTGTCCCTAAGCAACGACTCAAATAACACAAACACATAATCATCCACAACAATGACACACCACATACTCAACAATCAAACACTCAAAGCAAAACACAAAATTTCCTTGTACTCTTGTTGTGATCAGTAGTTTCTTTCTCAAATGACAAGTTGTGCTTTAATGATCATACTTTTCACCCCACACTCAAGTTCTTTGCAACCATTACCATTGACTGACTCAAATCCACCAAAAACTCAAATAGCAGCACTCAATTTCGATCGTCGGTAGCGGGTGATTAACAACTTATGGTGCAACAATTATTAGGAGAATCTAACCACATCAGTGAGGTTCATATCTCGTGAGGACAATCTGGCTTACTCACACCAATCATAAGCAATTAATTAAGCATGAGTCTCAAAAACTAATGGGGGAAGCCTTTCGCAAACATGATTTTAACTTTAAGCACATCACCACCTTTTATGACAAGGAGAAGCTTTCTCTCTTTCTGCTTTTGCCTGCCGAGAGGTCGTATTTAGTACAAGTGGGATTTGTTTCTTACTACCGGTGACCGAGCAAGAGCAATTTATGCTTCTTTGCACTCGCATAAGGGCTTCTTTTAACTCCTTTTCCTCGGTCCGTGTGGAGGGTCATTGCATCCTCAAATGGCACTTCACTCAACTGGGGATCATACTTGATAAGCAACATCGTACGGTCGCGAACCGATTCTCAATTGAATCTTTCCTCATCCCCATGTGCAATGAGTGATTGCCTCACACGATTTTGGCATTTTTACCCACACTTTAATTGTTATGGCAACTTTCTTATATTTTACTTGTCAGGTAGTGTTTTCTTTTATGAAGATACAATTCACCCCATCATAAAACATTCAAAACAGAGAGACTCATTGCAAAGTCAAAAGCTCACAACAACTGCAAGTAAGCACGGTATCCAAACATATCGAATGGTCAATGTTCTCCACCTAACTACTTCACCAAAAGTCATTACACTATCCTCACAAAAGAGAATGTTGCTAAAAGAGTAGCTCATTCCTAGCATATCAAGTCAGTCAAAACATTCAAGCTCATTGTGAAGAACTATGCAATTCAACACTAGTGGGGTGATTTTGATGATTTCATTCAAGCACAAACTCATTTTCAAGGCATCACAGTCATTTACATCATGTTACCACAAGAGTACAAGGTTTTGTTTTAAATTTTTCTGATTTTTAGGTGTTTTTTAGCTATTAGCTTTGCACAGGCAGCATGCTTTTTACACAGGCAAACTGCATGCAGTTTGGCTGTGCTCAACCTAATGGCAATTTTTTTGTTTTTTTTTTTTTGGATTTTTTGTTTTTTTTTACCGACCACATGACAAAAGGAACAAACAAAAAAAAAAATTTGAAAATTTTGTTTTGGATTTTTTTGGATTTTTTTTTACCACATGCAACAGGGACAAACAACACTAAGACTCACCACCCCACACTCAGGATGGAACATTGTCCCTAATGTTCAACTCCTAATCTAAACATGCACGGGTTTGACACAACAAAAAAGAAAAATAAAGAAAAGAAAACTTACCTTGGGTTGCCTCCCAAGAAGCGCTTGTTTAACGTCCTCAGCCTGACGTTCATGGAGCTTTCAACCAATGGGTATGGAAAGGTATCCAGCATACCCTCCCGAGCAATGATAAAACGCATAACCTCCATCCAGCATATGAGTCACCTCTGCAGGGCCAGGTGTGCGAAAATTGGGTATGACCTTCTTAGCTGGCATGTTAGACCCTTTAGTGAGGCGTAGGTGGTACTGCAGCGCCTCAAGCAGGTACTCTTCTTGTTTCAATGTCAGTGAAGAAGGAATAATAACAGGAAGATTGAAATCCTTACCCAAATATCTATACTTGAGGTGCTCTGGCAAGGATTTCTGCCCTTGCTTTGATTTCAGACTTTGAGCTGCTAGGACATGTGATAGTTCTTTGGGTGGTCCACTATCACAGGAAGAGGAATTTTCCCTTTCACGAGCTCCACTTTCAAGGTCATCAATTGCATCGTGATTATGATCAACTTGAAAGACATTAAAAATTTCTTCCTCCTTACCTACTCGGAATGTCAACTTGCCTCTCCCAACATCGATGAGTGCATCACCGGTTGCTAGAAAAGGTCTGCCGAGAATTAGAGGCACTCCCCGATCATCTTCCATCTCCAGAATTACAAAATCTGTTGGGAGAATGAACTTTCCCACCTTCACCAATACATTCTCCACCACTCCTTTTGGAATTTTTACTGATCGATCAGCCAATTGGAGAGTGATCCGAGTAGGCTTAAGAACATCTCCCAATCCCAATTTCTTGTAGACTGAGTATGGCATCAAATTAATTCCTGCTCCAAGATCACAAATTGATTTATCGAACTCTCTACCTCCAATGACACATGGAATGGTGAAGCTTCCCGGATCATCCCTCTTTTCTGGTAATTTATTCTGAATCACAGCACTACATTCAGAAGTAAGGGTTACCTTCTCTAGATCAGCCCATTTCCGCTTCTTTGTCAGCAACCCCCTTAAGAATTTAGCATATGTAGGCATCTGTTCAAGTGCCTCCGCCAAGGGTATGTTAATCTGAAGTTGCTTGAAGATATTCACAAATTTCTTGAAGTTTGGGTCTTCCATGGGCTTCATTAACCTTTGAGGGAATGGTGCGGGAGGTTCATAAGGCTTTACCTCTTCATTCTTCAATTTTTCCACTTTTTGAGGTACACGGGCAGCATGCTTTTGCACAGGCAAACCGCTTTCATTTTGCCTGTGCAAGGCTGATTCTTCATTTTCTGCACAAGATCTTTCTTCTGGTGCTTCCTCTTCTGCCTCTGGTGCCTTTTTCGAGATGCTAGGGTCTTCCAAGGCCTTTCCACTCCTCAATGTCACTGCTACAACCATGGCATCCTTCGGATTCCTCTCAGTATTTGCTGGTAATGTCCCAGGAATCCTGCCTTGCATATCTGCCAAAGTTTGAGCCATCTGTCCCATCTGCCTCTCCATAGCTAGCATAGATGATTGTAAATTATTGTTGATGGCTAGCTGTTGAGTGACAAATTGATCCAGACCCTTGAAATTATTGTCTGTTTTCTGCATATGAGCCAAAATCAACTCTTCCAGTTGGGGCTTCTTCTCTGGTTGAGGTTGCTGCTGTTGAAAACCAAGAGGTGGGATGTTTCGAACACCAGCTGGATTATTGTTTGACCATGACATATTGGGGTGATGCCCCCATTGAGGGTTATATGTATTTGAATACATACCACCCTGGCCTTGACTTCGCGGATTATTGATATATTGGACATCTTCCAACTGAGCAGCTCCCAGTGGACACATATCCCTATGATGAGGACCCTCGCAAAGTTCACATGAAGCAACCTCCTCTTGTCTACCCAGAGCAATCTTGGCCAACCTTCGTTCGAGTGCATCAAACTTGGAATCCAGTTTAGCATCTATCTTGGCTTCTAGACTCGCAACTCTGTTTATCTCATGCAAGCCTCCTCTTTTTCGAATACTGGTCTCACTATCCCATTCAGTGGCTTCTGAACAGATCTTCTCTACCAGATCATATGTTGCTGGTGCCTCCATGCTTGTGAAACCATTTCGAGAAGCATTATTCAGGGCATCCCGAAACTCCCTTCTGATTCCATTGAAGAAGATAATGATCACGTTCCAATCTTCAAGACCATGGCTTGGGCATCTCATCAACAACCCCTTGTAGCGCTCCCATGCCTCAGTCAGACTCTCATCATCAGCCTGCTTAAAAGTAACAATCTCTTCTTGCCTCTTCATTGCCAAGGCAGGTGGGAAGTATTTATCCAGAAAGAACTTCTCAAGCTGACCCCATGTTGTGATGGAACGGGGTGTTAAGTTTTGGAACCAGTGTGCTGCATTCCCTAGCAGAGAAAATGAGAACATCCGAAGACGGATTGCATCATCAGACACGTTCGGGCTCTTCATAGTATCACAAATGCTCGCGAACCGGCGAAGATGCTCATGAGGATCCTCACTGCTAGCCCCGGAGAAGGTGTACCCATTAGTGATCATATTGATGAAGGATGGGGTAATCTCCATGTTTGCATCCCCAGCCGGAATGACAACACATGAAGCTCGGGCTCCAGTCCTTCGATTCAGACGAGCCCTGATCGAACGATCCTCGTCTGCCATGATGACAAGCTCAATGTCACGAGGTGGTGGTGGTGGTGTAGGGACGACAGGTGATGAAGCCTGCCCTCTCTGGGTTAGGGAAGGCCTAGTGGTTGTGGTTGGCTGCTTCCCTAACTTGACCTGCTTCCTGTTCTGTCGGCAGGTCTTCTCGATCTCCAGATCTAGTGGCAGTAAATCGCCGGTCGTCCTCCTAGGCATGCACGAGGAGGATAAACCTAAAAATTCTTCTGCACACTAACACCCAGATCAAAATAGTTCACTCACAAAAATCAATAAAAATAAGGTATGGCAGTCCCCGACAACGGCGCCAAAAACTTGATAGGGCAAAAGCGTATATGCCAATTTCCTATCTCGTAGTAAACCGAAAAGTCCGGGTATCGTCTCTCAGGGACTGGTACAACCTTATATTCTATCAATTCTATGGAGCAAACTATAGGTGAAAATGGTTTAATGAGACTAATTATCTAAAAGCAAAATTAACTAATTAAACAAAGTAAATTGGTCGGGAGAAATTCAATGGAGAAAGCTCTGGGAGAAACACCGGGATTCACTACCTATCCTATCCAGATTAATTCACATATTCCAATCAGTTTAATCCATATCTCTACAGCCAGGATATCACGAATGTGCTAGCTATCCCTGTCGGGAATTACTACGTACTAAATAATCAATTCAAATCCTACTGTCGTAGCTCAATGAATTAACTATATAGTCTGAAGATCGATATCCTATTTAAGACCGCATAGCACCTTATTTAATCCACTGTCGCTTCGATAAGTTACTATGTCACATGAAATAGGTTCAGTTAATAGGGTTTCACTGTCGCTAATAACCTAATCAACTACAAATCAATGTATTGGTGGCCAGTCAACACAAAGCATTAAGCAATTTCATGCAATAGAGATTGGACGAAAAGAATCATAAATCAATCCATCAAATCAACAAATAGATACATCCTATGGTGTTTCCCCCAGAAACCGGGGTTTAGTTCATGACGAAATTAAGATAAATCGATAGGGTTTTGTTCATCATGTTCTAAATCAACAATACACAACTAGTTCGGTTTAGAAAATCCAACCAACTAATCGCTCTCGTTGAATTCAGCTCAAACCTTGAAGAATTCGATCGAAATTCTCAATCGCCGCTCGTCCTGTGCTGCGCCTCGCTGCTCCCCTTTCCCAAAGAGATTTCGCTTTTTTTTGTTTTTGTTTTTTTCCGCCACCAAAACCTGCTGCCTCTCTCTTTTCCGTCCAATTAAGTTTCCTTGGCCAATTTTCGTGGCCCACAAGAAATTGGCCCAACCTCCAAATCCAATTCTCCATTCAGTTGCACTCCATTTTTCGTGCTTTCTCCACCTGTAACATATCAAACTCATGGCACTAGGCAGTAATGGTTTTTCAACCATTTCCGGGTTAGCGAGCCCTAAAATAGTACCAATTGGCTATAACATACCACGGATAATCACATAAAGTCCAAGAATCCGATATATTAAAGCCGAATATCACATGTCATATTTAGTCACTCTCCCATAAGTTTCCGTCCAACTCCAGTCACTCGAATTACTGAAACAGGTTACATTTAGTCACTCAAATTACTGAAACATGTCACATTTAGTCAATGTCCCGTCAGTCACCGTCCAACTCCATTAGTGGAGTTGGACGGAAACTGACGGGAGAGTGACTAAATGTGACCTATTCCAGTAATTCGAGTGACCAAAATTGATATTAAATTTTTATAGTGACTAAACATGACACGATTTAGTAATTTCAGTGACCAAATATGGCATTTACCCAAGTGTATTTTGCCAAAAAGAAAGGGCATTGCTATTCGTCGCCCTAAAATACCTAATTCGTCGCCCTAACGTTTACTAAAATGACTAAAATATCCTTCTTAATTTATTGTCTTTCGTACCCGCCGTTGGAAGTGCCGGAAAGATTGAAAAGCCGTATCCGGCGAGTTGGGACATGTTTTAAACCCGTTCGACGCCTGGAAACCAAAACATGTTTTAAACACGTTACTCATTTCATCTTCTCCCCGGCTAACTTTTTTGCTCTTCCCCCGGCTTCAAGAATTTCCCAAATCAAAACCAAAACTCAATATACAAAGGAAGAAATAAAAAACAATCAGTACTCAGACGTGATTCGTTTGTCTGCTACCTGCACAACAATGGTAACTATCTCACAGCAACAAGACCCGTGCATAGTCAGCAACTGTCGCCGCCGTTCATAGAGATAGAGAGAGAACGAAGGAAGAGGTAGGCGGCAGCCATCTTCTTCTTCGTCTTCTTTTTACTCCCTTGGGATCAACTCCGACAATGGAAGCAGAGCACCGGCGGCGGTCAGGTTGAGTTGGGTAGCTGTCGGAGAGAAGAATTCGACAGCGACAGCGTCCGGGTTGAGGTCGGCGGCGGCTTGGGAAGGGTAACAGATTGTTTGTTTAGGGGGCTGGCTAGAAAGTGAGATGAGAGGGTAATAGTGTCAATTTGGTGCATTTTAGGGCTATAAAATTTAAATTTTAGGGCGACGAATAGCAATTAAGAAAAGGAAACTAGGGTTTGATGGTGTGGTGTGGGTTTGGCCTTGTTCAACAGAAGCAGCAGCAATCTTGCCGTTCATTACCTGACGACGAACAAATTGAAGATTCTATTTAGGAATACAAAGGTATCGTGGGAAAAGCCCCAAAATGGAGCGGCCAATTCCCAAGTTCTAACAGAGTCAACGGCCCGACACCTCTCTCTATTATTCGCAAGTGGCACCCTGCGATTCTTCACTTCAATTCCCTCCTGGCCTTCATCAATTCGTCGCCTTTTCTCCCCCACTCACCATCGACATTTCACAACGAAGCAGAGAGAACCGGCGCCGTTTTCCCTAATCCCTACACATGTCTGAAGCCGTACACCTCTCTCGAGCTCCCCCTATCGGAGCTTTACCCTCTTCCAGAAGAAAATCCACTTCGATTGCTTCTTCCCCATCATCATTCCCTTCTCTAGCTCGTCGGAATCGCTCCTTGACGAGCTTTGGAGGAGTTCTTTCCTTGTCCCGAAAATGCCGCGGTTCTAATCATTCTCCGGCGGGGTCGCAATTGTCCGGTGGGAAAGTCGGGGTTTTTAATGTCTGGAATGGAGAAGCGTCCGTACAGGAGCTGGACGACGCGCCTGTATCAATTGAGCTGGAGCCCATTTGCAGCGAGACCCAATTTGACCGGCTTATAGCTGACGCCCAACAACTAGACGAAGGGGTTATTGTTGTTTGGTTAGTTCTCTCTAATTCAAAGTTCTCATTTTTTCCCATGTTTCTTCGAATTTGGTGCCTCGTGAGTCAGGATTTTGTATCAGTTGAGCGATTTATTGTGTTTGCTATACGGATGGTCCTGGTACAGTATTGCCAGGTTTCTCTCTGTATGGTTCAGGTTGTTGGGATTTCTCTGTGAGTGTGCTCTGGCCCTTTGCTTACTTGACTGCTGAAGTTTTGGTGGGAGTACTGTTCGAGCTTCATGACCATGTGGAAAATGTGTTATTGTTCTGTGGTGAATTCTATGGGACTCTGTCGGGAGATTCATTAGTTGTGTTTGCTTGAGTTCTAGGAATCTTGTCTTATGACTGGAATATTATGCGGTTGCTGGAAATATTGCCATCTCATCTGTACTTGATAGTTTTGATGTCAAGATGTTTGACTTTCCTGTCCTGGTTTATGTCAAAGCTTGTCTTGATGATGTTTACTCGTGCAGGACGGCCAAATGGTGCAGGAAATGTATATACTTGGAACCAAAATTGAAAAGACTAGCAGCCGAATATCATCCAAGGTATGTTTGATTTCAGTATCTGTCTGTCTACTGAAATATGGATGACTCGTTAACCCTCGCTCCAAAAAGAAAAAGGGATTTTCTTGGACCTTCAGTTAGAGAGGCAACTCTATGTTCTACTTGATGCATTTTATAATGAGCTTATTTCTTCTTGCCTTCCCTTGATCATTGAATCCTTGAGAATCCTAGATGATGTATAGAATGTCTAAGGTTTATATTGGTTTTGTTGAATTTTCTGGCATCTGCAGTTGAAGGTGGTCAAGAACCACCTAGATGCATTTATTTTTTCATGCACGAAATGGTGCTTTCCCTTGTTTATAAGCATGCAATTTGAGGAATCGGTTGAGTTAGTTAAGCGATTAAGAGGGCCTTTCTTGACTGTCATTCATTCGATCATGCAGATTGAGATTCTACCGTGTTGATGTCAACAATGTTCCTCACAGTCTTGTAGCTCGAGCAGGAGTCACTGTAAGTCTCCATAATTATCTAGTTCATAGCATGAATGGTGACCCTGTGGAGAGAGAAAACCGACTCGAGTTTAAGCTGAATCATCCCTGCAAACCCCCCTAGTTTTGTTGCCATTTTGCCCCTTCATTGCTGCTTGCTTATGTTAATCAAAGCAGTTTATTTTTCTTTTACCTTTTCATGTTTCAATCGTCGGTGGGGGCTGCAAAACCTTGTACAGAAAATGCCAACAATACAGGTAATCAGAATCTCAAGCCTCCCTCCTCTTGTACTCACACCTGAAGTTATCCTGTCTCATCACTCGATGATCAAGCCGAAAAGCTTGAAATCGGAAACCAATTAATGACATTTTTACATCACAGAACATTAACAAGATTGCAGGATTGCAGTAAGTTGCATGGTTATATGGAGGTACTATAGTAGCCTCTCCTTCCTAAGCTGGTTGTTTTGTGTGTGGGTGTGTGGGAATTGCAGATGTGGAAAGATGGGAAGAAGCAGGGTGAAGTGATTGGCGGACACAAGGCTCATTTGGTGGTCAATGAAATTCGAGACATGATTGAAAATAACGATGCTGACATCTGATCTCAAAGACAGCTTTGAGCTAACTTTGCAGGTCCTTGATCAATGGCAAGTAGGGTCACGGTTTTCTAGGCTGATCTCAGTCTATTGTATCTGCGGTTCGTTCAACTTGTGGGGTGGGTTATTTTTGCATTGTCATATGTTAGCCATCGTCTTTTCGATGTTGATTCAAAATAAACGATGTTGCAATAAAGGAAGGTTATCGTAGAGTTGATTGAGCTTATTAGTGAGGTGAATTCATAGAGTATATGGATTCCACACATATGTAAGTGGAACTGGGTCTTGAATCGACATAATCATATGAGGATAGTAAGTCAACACTTCACAAACGGGAATTTTGAAATGATAGAAAGAAGCTTGGCATATTTTTGCATTGTCGGATGTTAGATATTGTCTTTTCGATGTTGATTCATAATAGAACGATGTTGCAATAAAGGAAGGTTTTCATAGAGTTGACTAAGCTTACTTGTAACGTGAATTCATACAAGTATATGGATTCCACACATATGCATGAGTTAGTGGAACTGAGGTCTGGAATTGACATAATCATCATATGAGGACAATAAGTCAACACTCCACAAACGAGAATTTTGAAACGATCGAAAGAAACTACTACATACTTAGTAACATGTTTTGACCTATATTATATGGTCTTTTGAGGGTAGAGCTTTTTTCATCTCATCCCTATCCCCCATGGTATCCGCAGATAATCCTCGTCGTCCTTCACATATATCAAAATTCAATTCAAACTTAATGAAATTAAGTTCAAGATACATATATCATAAACAAATCACAAAAAGTATGACAAACATAACAAAAATATAAATTATTTCAAGAAATGAGGATTAAAAGGTGACATATAGGTATTGATGGAATTAGATAGTAAAATTCATAAGTTCATAGTTGTATTCTTTCATAATTTTGTGGGGGATGGGAGAGATAGGATGCAATAACACATAATTGGTTGTGTGTAGTATAGAGATTTGAGTGCGAGACGGTATGAGGATGTGAGTGAGACCCATCCTAATGCATCCCCGCGCACTTTAAATGTGAATATTATTTATTCGTCACATACCGAATTAATATAAGAATCTCGCATATTAACTGGGTCGAGAACTGTCACAATTACAAATAAAATTGACATCTCAAATCGTATTCATAAAACTTATTTTGTTTTTCATTTATTCAACTTAATCTATTCTCGTTCGTTTTTCTCCCTTCTTTTTAATAATCCAGACATTCAAAGGAATCCAATCAAATAAATCATAGAGAAATCATTAATGTATTGATTGAATAGTACTCTTGTTCTCTCTATTATGATTCTTTTACGGCTTCTTACTATTATGGAACTGAATCGATTAAACATACAAAGTTAGTAAAGTAATTAATTAAGGAAAAAAGATAGGCGACCGTTTCCAAGAATCTCCTCCTATCTCTCTGCTCTCTTTTTTTTTTTTTTTTTTTGTCTTTCTCTAAACTTCTTCTCCTTCCTCCTTCTTCCTAATTAGTTCCTTCGTTTATTAATTAACAAAATTCCCCTTAATACTTATCGATCACAGTTCCCAGCTCCCCCGCCTCCTTCACCCTTTCCGCCTTGTAAGCCTCGCTCAATCTCTCTCTACGTGATTTGGTGTCGTGTGTTTTTTTCACACCTGAATTTTGTGGATTAGTTAATTCTTGTATAAAAATTCTTCTGTTTCAAGAACAATTATTATTATTATGATTGTTGATTTTGATTCTTTTTGTCGCCATTGGGGGTTCCGGTTGCAGGAAGGAAAAAGATTAATGATGTATTTGATTGACGACAGTTCTTTTCTTTCCCATTCTGGTTCAGTTTGATGCCGCGATTCTGGGCGTCAGCAAGAAGGTATTTCGTTCAAAGTTTGGATTTTTAATTGTGTTCGTGTGATACTGTGGCAAAGGCTTTGTTTGGTCGCTGAGAAAGCGCAGGAAAATGTGGGAGGTAGAGAACTTGTCATGAGTTTGTGTATGATCGTGTGGGAGTCTTTTGATTTTTTGTTGGTTGTCTCTGGAAAGTGAATTTGAGTCTGAATTGTGTGCTCATTGTCCAACTTTTGCTGCCTTTTCACTGAGTGACTGTTGTCCAACTTCCAACTTAAATAACTTCTGCTGGCATGAATTTGGGGCTTCACTTTCTAGAGGGTTTGTGAAGATTAGAGTGATCTTCAGAGATGGTAGTGTGTTATGGTTCCTGGGTTCTTGTATTTTTTTCCTTCCAACCGTAAATAAATCCTTTTGCATGAATTAAGGTGTTTTCCTATTGAAAAATCTTGGTTTCTATGGTCCCGTTATAAGCTCTTGGTTTTCTTGCTGTTCAGCCATTAATTACAGGTACCTAAAACCATTGATTGCTGGGGATGGCCAGTGGGAGCAACATAGATATGTTGCCAAGCTTGGATGATCGTCTGCAAGACCCCAATGTGAGTTTGGAACACAGATTACAGAGTGAGCTAGACCTCATGCTTCGAGCTCAGCGGAATAATCAACGCATGGTTGATCGAGAGAGGGATCTTAATATATATAGGAGCGGTAGTGCACCACCGACGGTTGAGGGATCGTTACGAGCTGTGGGGAGTCTGTTTCAGAACTCCAATATTAATGGCATTAATAATAATGGTTTTGGCAACAGTAGCAGCAGTACTAATAATGTGCTGATGACAGAAGATGAGATCAGGTTACACCCAGCCTATCTTTCATACTATTATTCTAATGACAACATAAATCCTAGACTACCTCCTCCCTTGTTATCGAAAGAGGATTGGCGTGTTGCACAACGGTTTCAGGCTGGTGGATCTTCCTTTGGAGGCATTGGAGACTTGAGGAAGAAAAGGCTGGATGATGATGGGGATAGTTCATCTTTGTTCTCTATGCAGCCAGGACTTTCTGCACAGAATGCTGAGAAGGAATTAATGGAACTAAGAAATGCTAGTAGAACCAATTTCACCAGACAAGCTTTGGGTGTATGGCCAGACAACAACTCAGATGGTCTAATCGGATTGCAGGGCTCTGGGATTGGGACAAGGAGGAAAAGCTTTGCTGACATTCTGCAGGTAATGAAACCAAATTCATGTATTTTGATGCATCTTCTCATACTTGCTAATTGCTATAATTGTTTGTCATATACGTTTCCTTATAACTATGTCCCTGTGGCTACTAGCATAGACTTAAAGGTCGTTCCCCTTGTTGCTACTAATCTTGTTTCAGCATATTGTGTTTTAGCTTTTCGTTGGGTGAACTGATGTAGTTATGTTTTTGTAGGAAGGACTTGATCAGTCGCCTTCCATGTCAGGCCATTTGTCACGACCTGCAAGTCATAATGCTTTTGGCGACCTTGTCAATACGACCGTGTTATCTAATTCCACTGGGTTGGCAAATGGAATGGAGTCGATAGACGGTAGGAAAGCAGGAACACCTCCTCCTGGATTTGGTGGGCTCCAGAGCCCTGCTACTAGTGTTTCTCATTCTTTTTCACCTGCTGTGGGTGCATCATTATCAAGAAGCACAACCCCAGAACAGAAGCTGTTGGTTGGGAGACCCCCAACTCCTGGTCTTCCTCCTGCAGGAAGCAGAGTTAACCCTGTTGAGAAGAATATTTCTGCTGTTGGTTCAAGTCTGCCAAACGGCCATTCGACTGGCTTGAGTGATTTGGGTGAAATTACAGCTGCGCTATCTGGTTTAGGCCTTGCACATTCCAAACATACAGATCAAGATAGTGTTTTACAAGGCCGGGCTCAACTTGATAGGCAAACAGGAGATATGCTTCACAAAATTTCCAATGGTCAAAATCGAAGTTTACAGCATCCTGAGAATTTCCCATTATCTTCTGACTATATTAATCTGGCTAGTAAAATAGGAGTTCTCTCAAATTTCGATGGTTCTTTTGTAAACTCAAATGGAGAAGTTCGCATTCCTAAAAGAACTTCTTCCTCTGCAAATCTGCACTCAAATGTAAGTTCCTCAGGTCTTGGAAGCTTGGAAGGTGCAGATATTCGACATCAGAATATGAACATTCCAAGTATGAATTTAACAGTTCATTTTATTTTATTTTTTTATTTCTCTTTCTTTAGAAATACATTCTATTTCAATTTGATGCTGTTATATAATCTTCCTAACAGCTTCATGTTTCTTTTCTCTGCTTTAGGTTCAGCTCTAGATGGTAGTACAATTGCACAGAGTTTGAATAGACTGGGGAGTCAAGTAGGGTCTGATCTTCATTCTCCATCTACAGATATGCATTATGCTCAGTACTTGCGTAGGTTGCCGGATTATTCAAACCATACATCAGCTGGTTCAAGTGGTCCTCAGTTTAGAAATTATTTAGGCACTTCACACGGTGACCTTACTGATATTCAGAAAGCATACCTTGAGCTGATGCTTGCTCAACAGAAGCAAGAATATGATCTGCCACTTTCTCGTAAGGCTGGCACTTCGAATCAAGCATACTATAGGAATCCAGCATATGGTCTCGGTCTACCATATCCTGCGAACTCAATGGGGAATTCTGTTCTTCCTTCTCTTGCATCAGGAAATCTTCACAATGAGCGAGTTGCGCACTTTGCTTCCATGATGAGAAACTCAATGGGAGGTTCTATAGGTTCATGGCATTCTGATATTGGTGGGACTGGTGAAAGGAGATACAGCTCATCATTACTTGACGAGTTTAAGAACAACAAGACCAGGTCCTTTGAACTCTTAGATATTGTGGGTCACGTTGTCGAATTCAGGTATGTGCTTTAGAAGCGTTATATGGAATTTGGTTTGCTTCAACAACATTTAAAATATCATATATAATTTTTCCCTTTGTACCACGCAGTACGGATCAGTATGGCAGCCGGTTCATTCAGCAGAAACTAGAAACTGCTACAACTGAAGAGAAGAACAAGATATTCCCTGAAATCATCCCTCATGCTCGTACCTTAATGACGGATGTCTTCGGGAATTATGTTATTCAGAAAGTAGGTGCCTTTTACGCATGACACCCAGTGATTTCCATATAGTTGGCACATTAGTTACCAAGTAATCTTTGTGTGCAGTTCTTTGAGCATGGAACTGAAGGCCAAAGGATGGAGTTGGCTAGCCAGCTTACTGGTCATGTCTTACCTCTCAGCCTCCAGATGTATGGATGCAGGGTAATCCAGAAGGTACGAACTGTGTCAAGAATATTTGGACATATGTGGTGCACAACATAAGTCCATGCACGTCTCTGTGCATTCCTTTGCTAAGCACACCCGATTGAAGATATTACACGATCTTCTCAAAGTTTCATTAGTTTGAAAATCATGTATTCCCTGGGAACTCCATCTGTCCTATGTGAATTAGTTCTGTTATTCTTCTTATGTTGGTTTACAACTCTATCTAGTTTGGTCTGCCAATATCTCTTTCCAGTTGAAATTGTCTTGAATCTGGTGTTGCTTGAAAGGCTATCTGGTTGACCTTGACTTTTTATCTGTTTAGTTTGCATTTCATGTTATTAATGCGATTTACTTAATCCTTGGGGGTTTAAACCTAAGAAATATGTTGATTGAAACTGATAGTATGCACATCAAACAACTTACCCATATATTGTGGATATGACCATATGTTTTCGTCCACCTCCCTTACGGTTCATTCTAAATGCTCAGTGATTCTGAGTGAATTAGCAGAATTGTACTGTTGAAAGTTGATTTACTTTATTCTGATGTCTGATGCAAACTACTATCATCCGTTTTATTACCATGCCAAGCAGTAATGTTTCAACACTGACAACAGGCCTTGGAAGTGGTTGACATGGGTCAGCAGACTGAAATGGTGGCAGAGCTGGATGGTTCAATCATGAAATGTGTTCGAGATCAGAATGGTAATCATGTTATCCAGAAGTGTATAGAGTGTGTCCCTGAAGATAAAATTCAGTTTATCATCTCTTCATTTTATGGACAAGTTGTGGTGCTTTCAACTCATCCTTATGGCTGTCGTGTGATTCAGGTTAAGATCGTGTTTTTATGTTCATCAATCTTTCGACCTCTTCTGTCCTCCGTCGTTGTCTTGATTGTTAATTCACACGTTGATCTTTTTCTCTAATGTGCAACAGCGGGTATTGGAGCACTGTAAGGACGAAAAAACGCAGCAAGTTATTATGGACGAAGTCATGCAATCAGTATGCACCTTAGCACAAGATCAATATGGAAATTATGTTATTCAGGTACTTCTGTGGGCTCTCTGAAATGCATGGACTTTCTCATGTCACCGAGGAAGGGTCCATTCCTGTTTTAAAGGAGTCCATAAACTTTGCTGGTGTTTTTATGGTTTTGTCTTGAATGAATTGCCCTCTTTTGTTTTGTCAGCAAAAATTATTTCTAGCTTAACAGATATTCTGATGCATTTAACTCATGCAAGCATGTGCATTGCAATTCCTAGTTGTACATTGTCGTTACCGTCCCTGACTTCATGCCAATTGGTTCTTATTAGCACGTCCTTGAGCATGGTAAACCACATGAAAGATCGGCCATCATCAGCAAGCTTGCAGGACAAATCGTTAAAATGAGTCAACAGAAATTTGCTTCGAACGTAGTGGAAAAGTGCTTAACTTTTGGCGGTCCTGAGGAGCGCCAAATTTTGGTGAATGAGATGCTTGGTTCAACCGATGAAAACGAGCCTTTGCAGGTCCGGTTCCTCCCACACTCAGTAAATGTTTCTTAACAACTTTGCAAAACTATGTATTTGGTAAATTGTAGTGTGTCATTCTTAGGTACTAACTATCCATTGACGTATTGAATCAATTTGGGGGGGGGGGGGGGGGGGGGGGGGTCATTTCTCTGTTTAACCGTCTATCTTGCATCCCATGAATTCTTCTGGGCGGGGGGGTGTTTTCCTGTGACATGTTGGACATAAATGCGAGTGCAGGAATTTGGCTTGTTGGATGTCTGAAAAGTGAAAACCAATTTCTGCGGTTATGAAAATTGCAGGCCATGATGAAAGACCCATTTGGGAACTACGTGGTCCAAAAGGTTCTAGAGACGTGCGACGATCAGAGCCTCGAGTTAATTCTCTCTCGAATCAAGGTCCATTTGAACGCCTTGAAGAGGTACACATACGGCAAACACATTGTTTCCCGTGTTGAGAAGCTCATCACAACTGGAGGTGAGACAGAAAGCCTACTACTGCCCTTTCTTTCCCCTCTCTGGTTACCTGTGATTGAAGTAGCTGTCCTTCTTTCGCCATTCTCTCCTGTTCATCACTTTGAATCTGTCAATTTCCAGAGAGGCGCATAGGATTATCAGCGTCAGTCTCCACATAACAACTCGCTGTGGCAATCTGGAGAAGGCAACTAATAGCAATAACACAAATTTCTTCGCCCGCCCACCACCACCAGTACTGCTTAAATAAGATCGGAGAACTGGAAGGCACAGCACATCTGTACAGTACAGCAGCTAACATGGGAAGTGATCGATTTTTCTCGATGTCACATATATCATCATCGTCGTCATATATAATGATGTCACATATATCATTATGTTGGTAATTTTTTCCGGCTACATAGAAGACATTTGTAAATAAGAGAGATGGCAGTTTTAGCAGGGGCTCGGCATAATAAAAATCGAAAGGATGCCTTTCCATTGGAAATAATCTTTACCACAGTGTATATTCTTGAGCTCCTGAACAGAGGATCTTGATTCATGATGGAGATAGAATGGATATGGAGAGCTTGAGAAATGGGAGAGAGGGGCAGGCAGGTTTCTTCAGAAGGTATATAGTGAGTTGAGACATCCTCATCCCCCAGAAGACATTCTATTTATAGTAGTTTGAGGTAGCATTTTATTTGCAAGGTTGAGTTATTTTATGGGTGTTGTCTCTTTCATTTAATTTTTATAGGAAGCTAAGCAGTTATTAAGGTAAGCTCCATATTAAGATTTGAGTAAGGTTAAAATATGGCAAAGCAAGAGTGGCACCTGATAGATTCGAGACAGTTTAAGACGTTTAATTGATGCTTAGTTATCGGGAATACTAGAATTTCATAGGCTATATACAGTCAGGAATATTTCTCGAAGCATCCCTCCATTTTTACTCCTACTTCTCACTAGCAACTCGTTAGACATTCTATCCTGCTCCTATCGTTATCTAACAAGCAAAACACCGATATCTCACACTACTCAATGCCGAAACTCGGAACCTTGGGCTCCCACTAATTTTCCCCAGACTCGTGAGGGAGAGTCTATGCATGCATGCCAGCCATCTCAAGCTTAAACACGGGTGTTCCAGATATATCAAGTCATCTAGAATAACACTGACCAATTCGAGGTTAACTCAAACCTCTATAGAGCTCATACAAATTATCAGGACTAGTTCAGTGTGCAAACGCTGCTAAAAAAAATGACGGAGACAAACGTAAAAACCAATAGATCGTTAAGCAACATGTAGGAATCATTGTTTGTCACCATCATAATATGTGATTTTGTAAAAGAGGATATCCTCGCTCCAAGTCATGCCTACAGAAAACTGCATGGCATGCTCCTTGTCGTGTTTTATTAATTAACTAAACTTTAATAAACCCTTTGAAGGAAGAATGGTATGACGTGCACATGGACGACGATGATCCGAAATCTTCCACCTAATCCTCTTCTTCACGAATGGGTCCAAAGAAGGAAACTTTACATTAAACTAAACCATTTATCGCATTGCCCCCTTTTTTGAATACAGACGTCAGAAGTCCGATGGTCAAGGCAACGGAATTAATTAAGAAATTCCCCGCTCCAAGTTTCAACAATCGGAACACTGTACCGCCGACAACAATAGGTCGGCGCAGGGAACATTGTCATTTTCCCGGGAACAGGAGCCGCCGCCGGCGATGCCCTGACGACGTTGGTTCAGATAAACTGGCCCCACCACCACGGGCGGTGTCGACAACGCCGCGTGCCACGCAATAAAGCGGCACGTTCAGGGTTTTTTGTTTTTGTTTATTGCTCGGCCCGCTTGGATAGATATATAAGACGGAAACCGAATTTCAAGAAAAGACGCCTAACCAGGACACCTCTCCTCTCCTCGCAACTTGAAAGAGCAAGAGAAAAAGTAATTAAATAAAACAAAAAATTCGTCCTCGCTATCTATCATAACTTCCGCCAACCATTCAGACGATCTTTCAAATTCTGCCTTCTCGGTTCCGTTACGGCTTGGAGTTCTTTTCTTTAAGCGTCTTTCCTCTGCCCTTCTATTCGTACGCGTCGGATACACAGAAAAGGCTTTCCCCTTTTCGCCATTCTGGATTTGGGATCTTTCCTCTTGCATGCTTCGCACGTCATAGGTAATCATTATCTTTTACTTGGGGGGTTCTGAATGCTTGTGATTTCGATTTTGGCAAATGGGTTTGGATTGCGTGGCTTGTTGATTTGTGGGTTGTGGCCGGATTGGATCAAGGGTTTAAGGAGCTCGAATAATGGGTGTTTAGGGTTTCGACAGGTGAGGTTGGGGCTCTGTTCTGTGGTGTTTGGTGGAAGAGGAAGGCTTTTGTGACCAGTTTAATCCTGAAGTTATCAAGTGGGAGGAATTTGGTTGTTGTTTTATCTGAAAGGTCGCAAATTTGAATTTTAGGACCATTGACCTAGTTCTCTCTGAACTCAGCTTCTTCCTTTAGTATAAACAAAACGATTGTATTTTTTTTCTCATTTTGTTATTGCGGTGTTGAAACTTCTTCTCTTTTTTGTACTACGGTTGTTCCACGTTTTAAACTCTGGCTTCTTTACAGGCTTTCCCTCTTCCTAGTGGTTTTCCTGTTTTGGGGCAAGAAAAGAAGACAGAGGTTTTGTGCTGACTATATCTGGGGGTTACTACTTACTGGATAGCTGAAGTTATGATTGTTCAGGAACAAGATCCTGATGTTGTGCGGTGGGGTCTTCACAATCTGATCGACGTCTGTTCAATTCGCAATAATGGTTCGTGTAGTGGTGTTACTCAGTATGAAGCAGACCAAAGCCAAGTTGGTTATGTAAGGGAGGGCTATAACGAACCAGTATATAGCAACAATTTAGAGAGCGATGCAGTTATTGCACGTGCTCTGCAGGAAGAGTTTTCTCGCATAGCTGCTGCTGAAGCGTCTGGTCGACTTGGTAATGGAGAAGAGTCCATTGTTTCACAGAACTGGTTTAATCCGTCAGGAATTGGTGAGATTTTTGGTGCAGGGGATGTTCTTTGGTTTCCATATGATTGTTATTAGTTATTATGTCTTCTGATCCTTAATAATTAGTCTTTACTGATATGTTAGTAATAATATGCTATACTTGTAGATCATGAGAATGGCCAGAGAATGGGAGATAATGATAACATCAGAAATAGGGTTCCCCACTGTAAACAAAACGAAGCAGATGGCTTTAGTGATAAAAGAGTAGAAGACAGTGATGAAGGGCAAATATCAGTTTCTTCGTCTTTCCATGAAGCAAAACGTCCTAGTGTGGAAGACATGCCATTTGATTTAAACATAGCGGATGAGTATGATGAGTATGCTATTGATGGTGAAGTGGGCAAAAGATTCAATGAGAAGATGGTTCCTGTTCCTGTAAGCATAAGTTTATGAAGTTAACTCATGTAATGAATGTTAAAACATGTTTTTGGTTCTTTCTGTTTCGTAATTATATCTTCTTCAAATATCGAGTTTTTCTTTCCCGGACATCTTTATGATCTACATGATTCACATTGATCCGTCCTAGTATTTTGTCCTTGCATTTTGGTGATCTTTGTTTCCCTTTGGTAGTATAATTATCCCTTCTCGGACTCTGTTTAAGGTGTGTCCTTGTTGATTCAATGGGAGAGAAGGATACAGCCAGAATGCTTGCTTTGCAAATCATCCAGTAGGATTCTGATTAAAATCTGTTTCTGTGCAGCATTTACCTAAGATTAATGGAGAAATACCAACTCAGGATGAAGAGGTTTCAGATCATCAAAGACTCCTAGACAGGTCTTTCTCTCTTATATGTCTTCTTCTTTCAGTGTTGCCTCTTAAGTTACAGCCTTGCAATTTAGTGCATCTGTTAAGAGTTGGATGCTTGTGTGCTAGAGAAGTATTTGCCTGTAACCGAGAAACGATGATGAACTGAATTATGTTCTTAAGGTTCTGTTGTAACTGGAACATGCAAAAGGTTTATGTTTTTGTTTTATAACCAAGCCCATGCTTCGATCAGGATTAATTGTGGGTATTTTATGCCTGACTCTCCTGCGAGTTAGCCTCTTGCTTGCTTAGCAAACCTCTGACATTGTTGCTTTCTTTTTTAAGGTTGAAGGTATATTTTCTCGTTGAGAATAAGGTTCAGGGAGACGGTAACTGTCAGGTTGGATCCCTTGTATTCTTAGTGAAAAGCTATATATAAAAACAATTCAACCCCCAGGTAGTTAATGCCCAGATATCTCATTAACACTATGGTTTTTCAGTTTCGTGCTTTATCAGATCAACTATATCGTTCTACTGAGTACCACAAAGTTGTCAGGCACCGAGTGGTTGATCAGGTGAGCTGGTGTAATTGTGCTTTCCTGTGGTCTTCCCTCTCCTTCTTACTACTTGTGTGCCTGATGCTGTTGACCTTGCTTTCATGACCAGCTGAGGTCTTGTTCAGAAATGTACGAGGGGTATGTTCCTATGGCTTACAGCGACTATCTGAAGAACATGTGCAAGTATGTGTACTTCCTTCTTGATAGATTTTTTTTGTCCATCAACTATTCATGCTTACATTTATTTGCTTTTTATTGATTAAATACAGGCCTGGTGAATGGGGTGATCATGTCACACTGCAAGCTGCTGCAGATTCAGTATGTTACTCTGTTGTTTGCTTAGTTAGTTTCTTGAGTTTCCTTCACTTAGATATATGGTTCTGCGACAATCCAGGATCCACACTTGCATTGTGGATATCTTTTTTCTCCTTCTGGGTTTTCTCCTGAATAGTGAATGTAGGGGGAGATTTCTGTGCTATCATTGATTGTTTCTGTTGATGAAAGTGACCTGTTTCCACTGGAATTGCAGTATGGAGTGAAGATATTTGTGCTTACATCGTTCAAGGACACATGTTATATTGAGATCACACCCCATGTCGAGAAGTCCAAACGCAGTAAGAACTTCGAAAAGACAATTATGATTTTTGTTTACCCTCGCATTGATGTTACAAGCTTCATTTAGGGTAGAGACTCTTCATCTAGACCCATCGTTGGCCCTTTGAGTTGGAAAATCATAGAATTATGTACATAATGATGTAGTAGATCCATATCCTCGCCTTGAGACTGCTTCTTCACTAAGCTAAGGTGCTGGCTTTGTCTTTTAATTTATCTATATTTTGCAGTTATATTCTTGAGCTTCTGGGCAGAGGTGCATTATAACTCAATATACCCGGAAGGAGGTGAGGGATATGTTTACCCTTTAATCTTTTGACAAACGACATGGAAGTTTTCTTCGTTCCTTTTCTTAATAAATCTATTTTTTCAATGCTTGAAGAAAGATTCTTCTTCCCCTGTCTGAACTTTGATTTTTCTACAGAGTTGTTCTTGGCTGAGGAAAAGAAGAAAAAGAAATGGTGGAAGCAGCTACTCTCCAATTAGCAATGGCCAATGGGAAATGAAGCAGGCTACCTTCCCCCTAGGGCATTAACAGAATGTTGCTACCGTTGGTTTTCGACAGATCCTTGATAATCTTCCATTGTATATGATAAAAGAAAAACTTGCTCTCTTCTCATCTCCCTACAGGAGAGTCCTTCCCAATTTTGTCCATATATCGACTAACTAATCAATTACATTTCATTCTTTCATCTGGATTGCACTGTAAATAATAGCAGCCCATCGGCCTTATAGTCATTATTAGTATATAACACAAATCCTTTCAGTACTAAGAATTTCTGGGTTCTTGGTAATAAAGATGATAACTTTCCGACGAAACAAATCTCAAGCCTTAAACCACATTTTGTATCTATTCTGGCCTCAAGTCCTAATCTTGAAATATGTATAAAATTTCCCATTCAGAAAACAGGGGTGAAAATATCCAGTTTCCCACTTTCCCTTCATGGGTCCTATATCCATATTTGTGAATGTGTTCTATCTTTACATAGCTCGATGTTGATGTACAAATAAAGAGCACCGAACAATTTGGTCCAGATGATTCTCTTCAAAACCAGAATCGGCCGAATCTCAACATGCTGCAAAAAGCCGCCGCTTCATGGTTCCAAAAACATGACCGGCACCGATTGATGGCGTAGAAATCTAGTTCCGCATCCTCCTTTGACGCCCACCCTGCTCTGCCTCTACCCATACTCTCCGGCGAGGGCAGCACGGTGAATCCCTCTTGCCTGCAACTGCAAATCCTCCCTCGATTCTGCTCCGGCCCAGCCAAAATCGTGAAATTCCTCACCCACATATCCATGACGACCGATCTGACACTCTTCCGGCAGTACCTCACCATCTCCAGCCACCGCGATCCTCCTTCGAGAGACCGCAGCAGAGCCATCCCTTCCTCCTGCTGGCCTTGGCAAAGCATGAGAACCCCATAGATGTAGACGGATTCCGGGTGACCCGACCTTGCGGCAGATCCCAAATTCCGGAGCCCCGAATCAATTTCGAGGGTGCTGAGGTACTCAATCAACCCCCGGCGAAACAGAGCTTCCGGGTTGCCGCTGGTAATACATCGATCGATGAACAAAACGCCAGAAAGGTCGCTCTTCCAGGAGATAACAGGGAACTCGGCGATGGTGACGTGGCGATAGATGTAGTCCTCGCCGGATGCTTCCAGCAGAGCCTTGCATGTTAGCTTTGCGCTGACGAGATCGGCCGGCGATTGGAAGGCTACCCTCGCGAGGACGTCGACGAGGATGTCCTTGGGGACAGCAGCCACCAGGTGGTGGTGGTCTCCCGCTGATGGGAAAGTCGCCATGGGGGAGTTTCAGAGCTTTTGCATGTCCGTCCAATTTGTGGAAGGAAAAGAAAAACAGAGGATGGGATGAACCCAGAGAGAGAGAGAGAGGGCCGGCGTGGGTTTGGGCAATTGGGTATTGATTTATAGATGGGGAAAAGGTTGGGGGATTATAAAGAATGAATTGATGATGGCGGATTACTTACCGTATACGGGTCGGATTGGTGAATTCAGGCGTTTTTGTTCTGGCTCTGTTTTTTTTTTTTTATCAGTTTCGGATTCGAGGTGCAGGGGAGAATGTGAAGACGTGAAAGGCAAAACGGAATTAACGGTCAGCTGCCCGGAGGAAGCAGAGGCGGTGAACACGAGGGAAGGGAAAGTGGGCACGCAATGCGCTGTTTATGATGGGGGAAGAAGCAGAGGAGAAAGAAATCCTTTTTGTCTACGGACATGGACATGCACATGCCGATTCGGCCACCCAAAACCTGAACAAGTGGGTGTGTTTGTGGGGTGGGCGGTAGATGCGGCCCAAATTGCCGCCATATATGATATGCTTCAACAAAAGGAGGCTGCCAAAAAAAAAAAAAAGCAAGCAACACATTCTTCGTTTGGATGGAACAATGGGCAAATGAAGCAATTTGATCTAATTGACTCATTTTTGAGGAAATTGTGTGAAATTGTCTTGTTTGGTTAGTATTTGGGATGAGGCAATTGAAATGAAACATTTTGCCATCAATACACTTTTACCCTCCCTCTCTTCTCTTTGTAAACCATCTTGTTTGGTTAGTATTTAGGATGAGGCAATTGAAATGAAACATTTTGCCATCAATACACTTTTACCTTCCCTCTCTTCTCTTTGTAAACCACCAACACAGAGTGTAGAACGAAGGGACGACTGGGCATTACAAATGTGAAAACCCAATCCATCAAAAGGCGAAACCCAGAGAGTGAAACGTCAATTGAGAACGGAAAAGGGGAGGTGACAGTTTGCCGAGGAATCTGTTTCGTCGTCTGTGCCGACGATAGGTGAATCGCCTTGTGCGCCTGGAAACCGCCTTCGTGCGCCTGTGCCGATCTAGCTTCCCGCCGTTGTGCGGAGACGGGGCCTGGCTCTTCGGAGCCAATGGCTATAAATCCAGGTTCCCTTCGGGGTGGGATTATGGGTCTTGGTCTCAATTCAATTGAATCTTCTGATTTGCTTGTTGCTCTTGCTTCTGTGCTTTCTTTGAAAATGGCAATTGTGGTGCAGTTCGGTGATGACGATGTGGCTGCTGGAGTTGCCCGTGGAGAGTTATCTCTAATTGGGCGTTTGTTTGGCTCTCCCCCACCGTTGTATGCCCTGAAGTCGATGCTGGGCAGGGTGTGGCACTTCATTGGTGGCCTTACCATTTCCAGTGTGGAGGAGGGTTTGACGCACTTCCTGTTTTCCCAACAGGCAGATCTTCGCAAGGCGGTCAACAAATCCCCTTGGATTTTTGATAACTTTATGATTGTGTTGGCTAGATGGGCGAATCCCTCTCCGGATGTCGCTGATCAACTACGCCGAGCTCCGATGGCGGTTCACATCTGGCAGGTTCCGTTTGACTGCTTCACTGAGAAGATGGCTATGCGCCTGGGCTCTTCTTTGGGTACGCTCATCGCACCTCCTTCTCTCCATCGCTCCGACGTCTCGGGGGGACTGTATATCCGGGCGGAACCAGTGCTTGATCTCACTGCCCCTCTTCCGGTCGAGATAACGGCGGGGCACGTTGATTCGCTCAAAGGTAACTTTGTTGCCAAGGTTAAATTTGAGAGGGTGATTCACTTTTGTTTCCTTTGTGGTGTGATTGGCCACATAGGGGAAGGGTGTCCGCAGAAGGAGGAGTTTGCAGGGAAGCCACCAAGGTATGGGTTTTTCTCGGTGGAGACTGAATCGGGTCCCCCTATCTCGGAAGCTACTCTGTCGAATCGGCGTCGGCGATTCACTTGGATACGTGCAGCCGCGAAGCGCCCCGCAAAGCCTAGATCTGGTGGCAGCTTTAAGGAACCCGCTCCTTGCCTGGATCCTACCCGGCTGCTGACTGCCCAGGAAGTTGGTGCCGGCAATGTGTGGCAGGACACTCGGAGACCTCGGTCGACGGCCATGGGAGATAGGCTCCAAGGGCTTTCGCTTCATTCGGCCATGGAGGATGAAAGTGACCCGGCTTCAATGTCTCCAACTGCTAAGCGTTCCCGATCCAGCCAGGTGGTGGCGACGAACTCTGAAGACAATGGTAAGGTGGCGGTTTCCAGCCTCAACTAGGCCCAGCTTGATCCATGAGTTTCATGGTGTGGAATTGTCGAGGGATGGGCTCCCCCTTGACCGTTCCCGCGCTGGGTGGAGCTGTATCGAGATTCTTGCCTAGTCTGGTTTTTCTTAGTGAAACCAAGCATGAGGATGAGTATGTCAAAGCTAAATTTGCTAGGCTTGGGTTCAAGTCAGTTGTTTGTTTTAGTGCTTCTCAAGGCAGTGGTGGGTTAGCAGTAGCTTGGGGGGATCATGTGTCTTGTTCAGTTCACAAGTTTTCTTCTTTTCTTTGTGTTTGTGGAGTGTCTTGTTCCACCAGTAGGTCGCTTTGTCATTTTCTTTGTACACCTCTCGTGTGATGGTTCTTCTAGGCTTTCTCAGCTTAATGAAATCGCTTCTTTGGTTTTGTCGGTGTCCTTACCAGCCTTTGTTGTAGGTGACTTTAACTGCCTCCTGTCCTCAGCAGAGAAGAGGGGGGGGGGGGGGGATTGTTCCTTCCATGGCTGCCCTAGATCACCTCAATGAGTTCATTTTATCCACCGGACTTGTGGACTTAGGCTTCCATGGGTCTCCTTTCACTTGGTCAAATCGGCGAGCCGGGGGGGGGGGGGGGGTGGGGGACCACATTCTAGAGAGATTGGATAGGTGCCTCGGGTGTACATCGGCGATGACGGACTGGCCCGACCTAAAGGTAATCCATTTATCAGATTTAGGATCTGATCATCGTATCATTCTTGTGCAGCTCATTAATCAGGGTCAGCATCGGCACACCCGGTTTCAGTTTGATGGGCGCTGGAATTCCAATGATGAGGCACTGGAAATTATCCGGGCAGCGTGGGCCAAACCGACCCGTGGCTCAATGCAGTTCAGGGCATTTACCCAGCTTAAAATAGTACGCCACGACTTAGTGGAATGGGCTAAGTTAGGTACCTCTAATTCGGCCCGGCAAATTAGGGAACTCAAGGCAGCAATTCTGGATCTTCGAGAAGCAGAGGCGGTGGATTGGGATGCTATCCGGCAGCTGGAACATTCTCTTTCGAATGCATTCGTGGAGGAGGAGTGTTTTTGGCGTCAGAAATCCCGGGTGGGCTGGTTACGGGAAGGGGATGCCAATACTAACCTCTTTCACCGAGCAGTCATGCAGCGACGTCGGTTCAACCGGTTACGAGGCCTGAAAGATGACTCTGGTAACTTGCATCATGAGGAGGACGCTATGGCAGGTATAGCTGTATCCTTTTATCAATCCATCTTTTCCTCTAACAATGTGGATGCTGCAGCCTATGTAGAGTCTTTGGGACTGTCCACTCGTGTGACTAGGGAGATGAATGACCGCCTAGTTGCACCCGTCTCAACTATGGAAGTTAAAGAAGCAGTCTTCCGGATTGGGAGCCATCAAGCCCCAGGATCGGATGGGCTTTCAGCTGCTTTTTTCCAAGCTAATTGGGAGGTGGTGGGAGCACTAATCACAGATGCGGTTCTCAGCTTCTTCCGCACTGGCCGGCACCTTCACAGCTTCAACCATATGCTGATTTCCTTGCTGCCGAAGGTTCTCAATGCCGACTCAATGCGCCAAATTCGACCCATAGGTTTGTGCCAGGTATTTTACAAAATCATAGCAAAAATTTTAGCTACCAGGTTAAGTGTGATTCTTCCTGATGTGGTTAGCCCCTTTCAAAATGGCTTTGTTCGTGGTCGGTCCATTACTGACAATGTTTTAATTGGCCAAGAAGTTATGCAATTCTTGAAAACTAAAGTGCAGGGTCGCGACAAGTGGATGGCGCTTAAGCTCGATATGGAAAAAGCTTACGACCGGGTCGAATGGTTGTTTTTGTTACTGATCATGGAGCAGTTGGGGTTCTGTTATGAGTGGCGGCGCTGGATCCATGCGTGTATTTCTACGGTGTCCTTCTCAGTGTTGATCAATGGGCACCCTCATGGGTACTTCAGACCCCAGCGTGGGTTGCGACAAGGTGATCCCCTCTCGCCCCTCCTCTATGCTCTTTTCTCTGAGGCCTTCTCGGCTAAGATTTCCAGTGAGATCATGGTTTCCGCTTTACATGGTTTGCGTGTTCATCGATTTGCTCCTATGATTTCTCATTTACTTTTTGCTGATGACACCTACCTTTTCCTCCGTGCTTCTTTACCGGAATGTAATGCTTTGCTGTCTATTCTGGATGAGCTTGGCCGGATGAGCGGGCAGCGAGTGAACCTGTCCAAGTCGTCTATGTCGGTGAGCTCCAATGTTTCTGACCAGGAACGGGCAGATTTGGGAGCGTGCCTGGGGGTGGCTGACTCCCAATCGCAGGACAAGTATTTAGGGCTTCCGGTTCATATGCAGAGATCAAAGACTCAAACCTTCAGGTTTGTTGAGGAAGGGTTGGCTAACCGCATCCGCTCTTGGAAATCAAAATGCATGTCTTTGGCGGCTAAAGAAACGGTGATTAAATCTATTGGTTCAGCTTCCTCTATTTATGCTATGTTGGCTTTTCGGTTGCCAGCTTTTACTTGTCGCAGGTTAAACGGTCAACTCTCGCGGTTTTGGTGGTCTGGCCAAGACAAGGAGATTGGCATGCATTGGCTCTCGTGGCAGGAGGTTTGCCTTAGCAAATTCGAAGGGGGCCTTGGCTTTCGAGACTTTGATCGTTTCAACGTAGCTCTACTAGCCAAACAAGCCTGGCGGGTCCTTTCCAATCCTGATTCTACACTGGCGGAAGTGTATAGGGCCAGGTACCACCCTCACTCCTTGTTCCTGGAAGCCAGACCCGGTCCTCGGCCGTCTTGGGCTTGGCAGGGCATTTTAGCTGGACGGGATCTCCTCGTGAAGGGCCTGCGGTGGCGGATTGGTGACGGGACTACCGTTCAAGTCCTCGCAGATAAGTGGCTGCCATCTAACCCTCCTTCCTCTCCTCTGCTACTTCAGAATGTTTGGGCTTGTCCAATTTTTGTCTCTGAACTAATCTGTCCTGCCTCTCGTGCGTGGAACTTGCAGTTGCTTGGAAGTCTGTTTCAACCTTGTTCGGTAGCGCTGATCATATCCATTCCACTTGCGGTTCAGCCACAGCCGGACAAGCTAATTTGGCATTATTCTCCAAGCGGGGAATATACTGTCAAGACGGGTTACCACTTGTTGTCTAATGAGTTGCTTGCGTTACACCCTCCTTCCCCATTGCCTTATGACAGCAGGTTTTGGAAGATGCTTTGGGGCTTGCAGGTACCACCCAAGCTCAAATTTTTCTGGTGGCGGCTAGTTCGGGGCTTCCTTCCAGTATGAGCGGTACTACAAGTGAAGCGTCTGGTTACGGATGCCACATGCCCGATTTGTTCGGCAGGGGCGGAAACTTTGACCCACACCTTTCTCCAATGTCGGGTCGCAACTGATTTGTGGGAGCTGGCTGGTTTGGGGAATCTGCGCCGGAGATTGGTTAGTTTATCCTTTTCGGAGTGTTGGGTTGCTCTATTCTTTTCCTTCAACTTATCTAAACCCGTTATGGCTGATGTTGTATTTATGTGTTGGCGAGTTTGGAAATCCCGGTGTTGGGCGGTCCATAAGCACGTTCAGTACTTAGGGTCTGCCCTTCTCAGACAATTCAGGGCTCAGTCTGAGGAGTGGAGGCTTGCTACAGCGCCTTTGACACTGCGCAGGGGACTTGGTGGGGATTCGGTTGACGCTGCACAGGCTGTGCCGAGGTTGAATCGGCTACAAACTGCAGGGGAATGTCCAACGGATGGGATTTTGGTCAGGTTTGATGGCGCGTACAAGCGGGGAATCGGTGGTGGCGCTGGCTATGTAGGCTATACCCCTGAGGGGCAGGTTCTGTTCGCATTCGGGCAATTTTATCCAGGTGTGTCTGATCCATTTGTATCTGAAGCTTTAGCTTTTCGTGATGCGATTAATTGGTGTTTGTTGCATGGGTTTAAGGTAGCCAATTTCTGTGGAGACTGTCAACCTTTGATTCGCAGGATTCAAGACCGGGATGTGGCGCATGGGACTTGTGGAGCGGTCTTAGACGAGATTTGTTTGGTTTCCGAGTCTTTTAATTTCTTTGTTTGTACGTTTACGCCAAGGTTGTACAACAGGGCTGCCCACTTAGTGGCTTCTTATGCCCTTTCATCGACAGCTCGATTTAGTGTCGACTGTCGCGTTTGGTTGTCTAGTGTCCTGTAATATCTATTACCTTCCCGATCTATGACAAAAAAAATAATCCATCAAAAGATAAAACAGCATAGCAGATTGCAAGAATAAAAAGCAGTAGCAGTTCTAGATAGAGCTGCAACCCAAAAGAAACAAAGCAAGAGCTTCAAGAGTGAAACAGATCAGGTCCTATAAGCTGCTATTGTGGCTTCTGTTTTTATTTTGGGAATAAGGGATTGATACCCAAAGGAGGAGGAAGACTAAATCTGAAACAAAATTGAAAATTTGATGAGAAGGCTGCCCAATTAAGTTTCCCCGTAATCAAACAAAACCCCATTAAAGTAGAGCATCCAAAATCCTATCCGAAGCTTTGATTGAATTGAAAACCCACAAACAAGGTTGACGCCAAGGTAAGAAGAAGACGATGATTTCTCGCCTGAAAGGAAACAGAGAGAAAGAAAAAAAATTGACTCGTCACCGGAAGTCAGATCCGTCACGAGGAGGACGTGATTGATAACGCTCGGGAGCTCCACTTCAGAAGCCCAGAAAGCCAAGCTCAACGGCATCGGAGAAACTTCCCTTTCCTCCTCTTTGCCGCCGATGAGTCATCTTTTCACGTCGGACATCGCGCTTGGAGACTCGCTTGGGACGATGCATGAAGACTCTTGTTATGAAGAGAAGACTGGTGATTTGTGAAGTTCCGTTGTAGATCGTCTGCAGGGAAAGATGGGAAAGAGTAGAGGAGAAGATGAAGAAGGGTTTCGTTGAAGAAGAAGAAGAGAGAGGAAGGGAAAAGGCACAGAGGGCCACAATTGGAATGACTGCCAAAAAAACGCGTCAATGTCAATTGTCTCCCCCTACTCCAAGTATTTCTAATTGACCCCTAACGCGTCAAAGTAGATTTCACCGCCCCAAATTGCTCCATTTAAGATTTGGATTGCCAAATGGGTCAATCTGGCCCAATTGACTCAAAATGAGCTAATTGCGCACAATTGATCCATCACAATGTCTCATCCAAACGACCCCAGTTTCAATTTACAAGAACCTTCCTGCTGAAATTTCAATACTAGGTGACAAGAGGCATAAATTTGAACGAGGGGCTAAAAATATACGCACAGAGAATTCGTATTGAGGGGAGTAAATGCCTTATCAGCTACTATATTTTATAGTCTTCCCTATCATTAACGGGATTTTTCTAAAAATACCACTATCTTAAAAAAATATTACAAAAATACCACCCAATGCAAAAAAAATTTCACTTATACCACCTTTTTCTAAGAACCGTCTCCAGGGGAGGCGTTCTCACTATAAACCGCTCTGGGAAGAAGCGGTTTTAGTTTGGGCAACAAACTGCCCTTCCCAGGAGCGGTTTGAAGGCTTCCCTAGGTCGACATGATAGAAATCGCTCCCCCATTGTGCGGTCTGTGAAAACCGTTTTATGGAGGAGCGGTTTGAATGTCGACACCAAAACCGCCCGGTGGGGGGGGGGGGGGGGAGCGGTTTTCATGTGTTTTCCCCACTTTCCCGACAGGAAAACAGTCGACATGCAGGGGACTGCTGGAGTGGGGAGTGTGTTTTGTGAAAATCGCTTGGGGAGAGGGCGGTTTTTATGGAATTTTTTGCTATAAAAGGCAGTCCCGGAAAACACAGCATTGCACCCCTCTTCCCTTTTCCTATTCTTCTTTAAGTTTTTGTTTTAGCGATTTGTGTTTTATATTATAGCGATTAACGTTACGTTGTAAGTTTGTTTTGTATTACTTGTTATTGTAAGTTTGCTTTGCGATTAACATTGACAAATTTTATGGTATTAATTAAGTTACCGTTTTAGAAAATAGTGGTAGAAGTGGAAAATTTTCCATTAGGTGGTGCTTTTGTAAAAATTTTTTAACAGTGATATTTTTGGATTTTTCCCATCATTAACTTAGCTTTGCCACGGATAGGCGAGTTTTGTTCAATTCGTTAAAATAATTTCAAATTCGAACTCGGCTTGAGTCGAGGTTTAATAGGCAAGTTTGAGTTGGCTCGTTTATAAAAAAAGAAATTCGAGTTCGGCTCATGAAATGAGATTAACGATAAAATATTCGAGTTTAGCTTAGAAATTGCTGACTGTCAAGTAGGATTGATTTAACGGAATTAGACGTTGAGTGATCAAGGATGACATAAATATGTAGTACTGATGACTAAATTGAAGGAAAAAATTTCGAGTAGCAAATGTGTAACAAATGTAATATGAGTGATGAAACTTGCAATTCACTCGGTACTACGAACATAATTTTCCAAACTCCTCTATAAAGTTCCGTGAAATGCAACGCAAAACCTAACTACCACAGTACCAGGGATCGGTTAGCTTGACTACCCCTAAAGGGGTAGTGATTTTTGACACCCCCTTTATGATTGGCCAATTCTATTTCCAATCATTGACAAGTATTAATTAAACTGGTTTTTTATTTTTTTTTAATCTTGTAATTTGGGGTCTCTCACCACATTGGAAAAGAGAAAGAATCTGGGGAAAAACGAAATCACCCCCATTAATTACATAATTAATTTCTCTCACTGGTACATTAATTACACGTACCACTCTACTGGTACACGTACCAGTGGAGTGGTACGTGTACCAGTGGAGTGGTACGTGTACCAGTGGAGTGGTACGTGTACCAGTGGAGTGGTATTTGTATCATTGAAGTGGTACTGCATTGTTGCTCCGTTATTGTTTATCATTGTTATGAAAAATATCATTGCACTGGTATTGTTCTCACTCTAACCTACCTTGTGGATTGCTCGCACCAGTGGAGTGGTACGTGTACCAGTGGAGTGGTACGTGTACCAGTAGAGTGGTACGTGTAATTAATGTACCAGTGAGAGAAATTAATTATGTAATTAATGGGGGTGATTTCGTTTTTCCCCAGATTCTTTCTCTTTTCCAATGTGGTGAGAGACCCCAAATTACAAGATTAAAAAAAATAAAAAACCAGTTTAATTAATACTTGCCAATGATTGGAAATAAAATTGGCCAATCATAAAGGGGGTGTCAAAAATCACTACCCCTTTAGGGGTTAGCATAGTATCCTACCCCACACTACCACGATCGATCGCCGCCACTTAACTTCCGTTTCCCGCCGACGATGTGCCTACGGCATTTAGCTCTCGACTTTTCAAGCGACCATCTCCAATTTCAAACTCGCCAAGACCTTATCTAGCATCCGATTTTCTAGATTCCTACCTGATTTCTCTGCAACCCATATGATCCTCAAAAACCCCAAGTCCAAATGCATCAAAACCCTAATCTCCGCTTCCCTAAATCCCATATTTCCGCTAGCTAGCGGTGCCTACCCACCAAATCTCCAATGTTCTTACACGCAAACTCAGAGCTATGTTCAAGTGACCATGAAATGGAAGAAAGATCCCTACTTCGATTCAATCGAGCACATTCACAAGTCCACGGAGCTGAAACGCATTGTTTCACTGAAGAACGTCATAGCTCGGAACCCCAGTGGTTGCATCCCCATCTCTGATGTGTCAAAGAAAGGTCTGCAATTTGATCTGAACATCAAAGTGGCTAGGTTTTTGAGGCAATACCCATCAATCTTCGAGGAATTTGTTGGCCCCCAGCATAATTTGCCTTGGTTTAGGTTGACCCAGAAAGCAGCCGAGATTGATAGAGAAGAAATGAATGTGCTTGAGGATCATAAAGGGGATATAAGGGAAAGACTGAAGAAGTTCATTTGGATGAGTAAAGAAAAGGCAGTACCTTTGAAGATCATCCAAGGGATGGGATGGTATTTAGGTTTGCCTGATGATTATCTGCAGAAATTCGATGATGGGTCTTTCAGATTAGTGGATTTGGAAGGTGGGCTGAAGGGTTTAGCAGTTGAGAGCCAAGGAAGAGTTTTATCTGTCCTGCAAAAGAACGCCATGAAACAAGGGGTTTATTCAGGAGAACCGATGGAGGCATTAGAGTTGCCACTCTTTCCATCTAAAGGTTTGAGGCTTAAGAGGAAGATAGCTGATTGGCTCATTGAGTATCAAAAACTTCCATATGTGTCGCCATATGAGGATTACTCCTACTTGGATACCGACAGTGATATTGCGGAGAAGAGGGTTGTGGGGTTTCTTCATGAGTTGCTTTGTTTGTTTGTAGAGCATTCAGCTGAAAGAAAGAAGCTTTTGTGCCTGAAGAAGTATTTCGGTTTGCCGCAGAAAGTGCACAAGGCGTTTGAAAGGCATCCCCATATCTTTTACTTGTCTTTCAGGAACAAGACTCGTACAGCCATTCTAAAGGAGGCTTTTCGCGATGAATCGGCTATTGAGAGACATCCTTTGTCGATAGTTAGGCAGAAGTATGTTGAATTGATGATGGAATCCAACCCAAGTTTGAAGAGGCGGAGAAGCACAAATGATGAAGTTGAGGCTGTTGATCATGAGAAATCCGAGTCTGATGTGGATTGTAACTATGAAAGTGTAGAAGCAAGAACAGAGTATTCGTCAGACGGAATAGTTGCTGGAGGGAGTTGACTTTGGCTAAAAGTAAGAGGGTTCAGCTGATTGACAGGCTAAGGTCCTCTTGAACATCTTCTGAGTCCGAGGAAACTATGGTTGGTTAGACATTCCAGCTTTGACATAAGAAATGGGCATGAAAGAGTTGGCTATGGAACCAGACTTCTGCAATAGCAAAGGAAAAAACTCTTCTGCTGCTCTCCAAAACGTTGGTAACAAACCCTTTACAGTTACAGTTCTCACCTCTTAAGCAGAGAAGAATACCCATACAAGAGATAGGAATGCCTCGCTCACCACAAACATAACCCATCCATTCATGTCAGCTGAACAAAAATACTAGGATGATAATCAGTTCACTCCCTTTCGTGATGTTCTCAGAAACTTTGGTCTCTGTATTCTCCAACAGAACCATCCCTTGTCTCCCATCTTCATGCTGAAGTTCAGACGAGGAATTCGTCTGGAAGATTCTGGATCTCTCAGCATCTTCATGGGGAGTTGGGGACTAGTCCCAAGTTGTGCTGAATCCATGATTTTGTTAAGCATCTCCAGAACCTCGCTCATCTTGGGCCGTGCTTTAGCCTGTCTCATGAGACATCTGTTGGCCACTGCAGCAAGTCTCTGGGCAGACTTGATATCGTACTTTCCTTCCAGTTTTGGGTCCAGAATCAGCCTGAACTTTCTCATATCAGAGAGGTGTTGCCTCACCCATTCCAACAGCTTTTGTTCATTCTTCGGCTTGTTCCGGTCCAAAGGACGCCTGCCTGTGATGAGTTCATACAGGAAAACACCGTAGCTCCACACATCACTCTTTGCTGTGAGACGACCTGTCTGTATGTATTCAGGAGCTGCATACCCAATTGTCCCCACAACCTGAATCAAGAATATTAAGAGATGGTTTCCACTGTGTTACTTCTCCGTACGACATTGTAAAAGGGACGATGGAATTAAAGTTCCCATGTAAAGCCTGAAACTTACTGCAGTAGAAACGTGGCTCACACCCTCTGAAGGCCCCAATCTAGCCAACCCGAAATCTGACAACTTCGCATTCCAGTCTTGATCCAGAAGAATGTTAGATGACTTGAAATCTCTGAAAATGATCTGCAACGGCATTCAGATGGGAAGCACCAACTAATTTATAGTGATTAACCTTACAGTGCTAACCGGGAACCAAAAAAGGTTGAAGAAAGCTCACCTGAAACTCCATTCCTTCATGGAGGTAAGCTAATCCCCTGGCTGCATCCTGAGCAATTTTCATCCTTGTTCCCCAGGAAAGAGGCGTCTCAAACCGACTTGTTAAGTGATCCTGCACGCTCCTGTTGGGCATGTACTCGTATACCAATAGTCGCTGGATGCCTCGTTCATCGTCTTCAGCACAGTAGCCGATCAGCTTGACGAGATTCTCGTGTTCAACAATTCCCAGCACATTGACTTCTGTAACCCATTCCTTGTGTCCCTGTGTGCAACCAAAATGCAAGAACACATCAGAAAACCAACGTGCCTAGATTCTGGACGAGGATTTGTTTTCTAGCGGCCTAATTGAGATAATCTTGATAAAGTCCTGGAATGATTTAGCCTTTTATAATCATACAAGTTGGGGCAGCAGCACTCAAAAGAAGAAGGAAGAAAGGTCAAAGAAAAGCTTCTTTACCTGGAGCCCTCTTCTGCTCAACTGCTTGACAGCAATGTCAATCTTCTTCCCATGATCTTCCGCGCTCTTGATCACCCCTCGGTAGACGCCGCCGAACCCACCTTCTCCAACCATGAGCGATCTGCTGAAGTTCTTGGTGGCGGACTTCAACTCAGAGAATGTGAACACGCGGAGGTTACTACTCTGTATCAGCTGTTGTCGCCTCTGAGACATTACGGCGAACGAGTTCTGGGCAGAAGATTCGGTGCTGAAATCGGACATATTCTGGGAATTGAAATCCGACCCAGATCTTCTCACGTCAAGATCAGTCGAATTCGACATGGATACCGAAGAAGAATTCGAGCGCCCTGAAACCGATTTTGGGACTGCTGGTGGCGACGACGCTGTTTCACCTCCACCTCCATTCTTCTTCTCTCTGCTCGAGAAATAATGGAACCACTTCATAGCCACTGGAGCAGGAGAAAGAAAGACAAAAGAAAGAGAAGGGAACAGAAATGAACAAAAGTTCTCCTTTCCCACAGCAAAATCAACGAAAGGTAATAAAGCTGGGTTCTTGCAGCAACCCAAGAAGAATTACTACTTTTCCCCCCAAGAGAAGTCGATGGAGACAGGTCACCAGTCCCCTGTTTGTTTAGCCCCAAAAAGGATTTAAGAAAGAAGAAACAGAGAATGAAAGGGAAATTCTTTATAATTTTTCCTTGTTAAAAAATATCAGGGAGAAGCGCCATTGGAGAAGGTGATGATGATTTTTAATGCAGATTGAGCTGTTTTTATCATTATTATGGCGCCATGAAAGCTTTATTAAGAATGCGGAAAAGCAGCAAGAACGAGCAGTCCATGATGTGAGGCAGGTCAATCCGCGGCAGCTGGATTTGTTCTAGCTCACCAACCATAAACCGAGGAGCGGATAACTAAATGTTTAAGTATGAAAAATCCCTCCACGGAAGCGTGTAATCAGTATTTGTTTAACCTTAAGTATAATACAGACAAGTGACAGATTTTGATTTGTTTGATTCAGTCCCCTACCTAGGCCTAACTAGCGCCCTCCAAGAAGAAAGCGTTGATAATTAAAATGTGAAATCTATCTCGTAGGAGTCATTTGCGGAATTCAAGTTATCCCAAGTGATTAAGAGTCCATTACCAGAGGCAGAGTAATGAAACTCATCTAGTTTAAGTGTTTAACTCTAACCTAAGTATAAGGAAGGGGATGTAACATTGTAATTAGAGACAAAGCTTAATAAATATGTAAATTTTGATACAAGGTGGAGGGAGATGAGTGGTGTGGTTGTATTAATCAAACACTTCCTTTCATCTTCGGTCAATCGAGAGAGAAAAGAGATGAAATTGATGAGAATAACGAGTCACCAAGGGATGTTCTAAGAAGACCGAGGATATTAAGGTTGAGTTTGGGTTGTATTTTACAGTTTGGTGTGTCATATGTATATGTAATTTAGTTAATAAAAGACAATAATCATGTCATTCTATTATAATTAGTAAATACTTGTGGAATTCATTTGGAAATTCCATCTCAATTCCTCGGAATTGCTATAACTAGTTCCAATTCCATAGAATTCAAAATTTAGAATTGAAAATGAATTCTTTTTAATACTAAACACAAAAATAATTCATTTCAAAATGAATTCCTCAAAATTTATGGAATTCATTTATACCAAACGATATGTAAAATACGGTTTGTAAAATCGTACCAAAAGAAACATTAATTCAATAGACAACACACCAACACAACACCGTTATTAAAATAAAATAATATATGCAACTATAATTATACCGGTGAAATATGGCTAAAATCGACCAATATTACTAAAAATTGTCAAATTTAACTTTATAAAACCGGGTGACATGATTTTTTTTCCATAAATTTTGTTTACATTATCTGGCTTGCATATCAATATACGATTTTTATGATCACAATTTAGTTCCTTGCTTTAAAATGACAAAAGTCAATCCGATCCTACCTCTCCTTGGAGCCAAGCCATATCCAACACCAAATGTCAGACCAATACACCGGATTTTTTATTGCTTAGTAAATGTCCAACGGAAGAGCGAATCCGATCAAACATTTTTTAACAAAAGCGCACAACGATACCGAAGAACCGAATCGACTGTCGACCAAAATTTAGGAAAAATAGCCGCGATGGCGAAGCAAAGCTCAAAAACCAGAACAACAACATATCCCCTTCATGGCCCTGCCAGCCGGCCGTTTGATCCAGACCTTCGCCGGCCGCGGGTCCCATTTCCGCCACCACCCCCTCAATTCTACCTAAGTGTCCCATTCTCCCCCCTCCTTTTTAATGGGGGAGAAGGAGAACACCCTTTCCTTCTTCCCCTCGTTAGTTCTTTCCATTCGATCCTCACCGTTTACTTCCTCTTGTTTCTGACCATCATCATCCCCAGAGAAAGCAATCACTCAACTGCCGCGTTTACCTGTTCAGAAAAGAAGAAGGGCTTAATTGATTTCTTCTGTTGACTTCAATCTGGCCTTTCCCTTTGATTCGTTCATTCTGCATAGACTTCCGTGTTCAATGCTGAGCAATTTGGATAAGATTAATTTAGTGTGAGAGAATGACGTGCTTGACGGCGTCAGAGCTCCTTCCCAGCTTTCTCATACTTCTGGGTTCTCCCTCGCAGCACCTTTTATAGCTGCTGAACCCAACTTCCCCTTTTAAAATTACTTAATCATCTCGGCTCCCAAAATTGGTGCTTCGATGAGGAAGATGGTGTCAATGAAGCTCGGATTCTCGAGCTCTTCTTGCTTGATTCTGATATGGGTAGTTGCTATTTTGAGCTTTTCGGGGGAGTGTCAAGATATGAACGGCGACTATAGTGCATTTGCCGGCGACCCAACTCTTCGACCGCTCATGGCCGAGTATGCATATAACAGGATTTCAAATATGACTGCCAATATCACTCGGGCTCTCGGCGCTCAGGCCAGCTTCTGCATGAAGGACCCGTAAGTCCTCCCTTGTGTTCTTCTTTTCTGTTTGTCTTTATTTTGTGACGGACCTTTCCAGCCATTTCTAACCGTGTAGTAATATTGATTTTGGTTGTGATTTCCATTTGTCTTCTTGTGCTGAAAATTGAAAAAAGATCGAGTCTTTGACGTTTGCCTCAGTTGTAACGTGTTGCTGGGGGGTTATTTGTCCTCTTTCTCAGGGATGCTGATTGGAACCAAGCCTTCAATTTTTCGTCCAATCTGGATTTCTTGTCCAATTGCATTCTACAGACTGGCGGTATGTTAATGATCAAGATGTGGGTGTCAAAGCTCACTAGTACTAGTCAGTCCATACTGTTTCAGTGAAGGCTATATTAGATATCAAGCTGGTTAATTCTATTTTGGGTTTGAACAGGAGACATGATGCGGCGCATATGTACAGCAGCAGAAATGAAATTCTACTTCGATACGATGTTCAGCTCATTCCAGCACGCCCAGAATCAATCATCAGCAGTTACGGGTCCCAACTATCTAAAACCTAACTTGAACTGCAATTTAACGGCATGGGTCTCTGGCTGTGAGCCAGGATGGGCTTGCAGTGTTGATGGGACTCAACCAGTTGACCTTCAAAACTCCCACAATATTCCTGCTAGAACTAGCAGCTGCCAGTCATGTTGCGACGGTTTCTTTTGTCCTCATGGCCTTACTTGCATGATACGTAAGTATTTTATGGAGCTTTATCTCAATCATAAGGTTGTTTGTGGCTCTTGATTTCTCACACTTCATTCATTGCTGTGAAGCTTGCCCATTGGGTTCCTATTGCCCGCAGGCGACGCTCAATAAGGCCAATGGTGTATGTGAACCGTAAGTGTCTGCTTGCTTTCAACCCCTCCTATTCATCGAAGAATGACCGACTGTTAACTGTATGAAATTGGGATGTTAATCTGCAGATATAATTATCAGCCACCACCAGGGAAACCAAACCATACCTGTGGGGGTGCAAACAAATGGACCGACATAGCCTCTAGCAGTGAGATATTCTGTCCGGCGGGGTCATACTGTCCTACTACCATTGAGCAGACAACTTGCAGTAGTGGGTATTACTCTTTCACCCAGGCTTGTTTGTTGCTTCAATCTTCCCTACTTATCATTCTCTGCTGAAAATTCAAAACTGTGAAATGGCTGCAATAGTTTCCTTTTACTGATGTGTTCTCTTGGTGCTTCAGACATTATTGCAGAATGGGTGCCACATCGGAGACACGTAAGAGTTTTCTTCTATCACTACTAATCACAACTAGCTCAGCTAATGAATGTTTACTTTGGACATGTTCCTCGTTCATATATTGATGGTATTTCTATCTGCAGGTTGCTTCAAATTGACAACGTGTGATGCCAAAACGACAACCCAAAATATTCACGCTTATGGGGTCATGGTTATAGTAAGTTGTTAACTTTTTGGCCGAGTTATATAGTGTGTAACAGAATTAACAATTATTTTACATATTAGATATTTGCTGTATTCCAAGATTATCTGAATGGAGAAAGCTAATACAAATAGTGATGCTTTCATCCTCTTGCTCCTACACAGGTTGCTTTAATTACTGTGCTGCTCATGATTTACAACTGCTCTGATCAAGTTCTGGCCATTCGAGAGAGGAGACTGGCAAAATCAAGGGAAGCAGCAGCAAACAGTGCTAGGGAAACAGCAAAAGCACGTCAAAGATGGAAATCTGCAAAAGGTGCTGCCGCAAAGCATGCTGGTGGATTGCAGGCTCAGCTCTCTCAAACATTTTCCAGGAAGAAGTCTTCTGCACCTGCAGAGCTACCTATGATTCTGAATGAAGCCAAGACTGATGAAGACAATGATTATGAACATGTTACTGCCCAATCAAGCATTCGACATCCATCTGCATCCTCTACACCACCAAATGGAAAGGGAAATGAAAATTCTCAGGCTCAGCTCCCTCAAACATCTGATGTAGATGACAATTCATATCCACCTTCGCGACTAAGTACTGCATATTCATCTCCCTCCTCTACCCCAGTAACTGGAAAGAAAAGGGAACAGTCTCATCGTGTCCATTCGATGTATCAAGATGACATGGAGCCTGATAGTCATGCAAGTTCAACATTAGAAGTGGATCGTAAACCGAAGGCAAAGGATTTGAATACAGACAGCCAAATTTTTAGGTATGCTTATTCACAACTTGAGAGGGAAAGGGCCATGCAAGAGCAAAACAAGAACCTCACCTTCTCAGGAGTAGTTGCAATGGCTGCTAACCACAAAGTCAAAAAAAGACCTCTGATTGAGGTTGCATTCAAAGACCTGACCTTGACTTTAAAAACCAAAAAGAAGCACATTTTAAGGGGTGTGACTGGCAAAATCAAGCCAGGGCGTATTACATCTGTCATGGGTCCATCAGGAGCTGGGAAGACAACTTTCCTCTCTGCTCTAGCTGGTAAGACAACAGGATGCAAAATGTCTGGTATGATTCTTATCAATGGGAAAAGCCAATCCATCCACTCATATAAGAGAATCATCGGTTTTGTTCCACAAGATGATATCGTGCACGGGAACTTGACAGTTGAAGAGAACCTCTGGTTCAGTGCACACTGCAGGTAAACAGATTTTTCTGGTTTGACTAAGTTAGAGATTCCATTGCTTTTTGCTGCCTCTGTATCTTATAATGAGCACTTGGCTTTCTCGAAGGCTATCAGCTGACTTGCCAAAAGCGGAAAAGGTTCTAATTGTTGAAAGAGCTATAGAATCTTTGGGACTTGAGGTGGTAAGAAGCTCCGTTGTTGGGACTGTGGAAAAACGAGGAATTTCTGGAGGACAGAGGAAGCGTGTAAATGTTGGACTAGAAATGGTTATGGAACCATCCCTTTTACTCTTGGATGAACCCACATCTGGTCTGGACAGTGCATCCTCACAGTTGCTTCTTCGAGCACTTCGTCGCGAAGCTCTTGAAGGTGTCAATATATGCATGGTTGTTCATCAACCAAGGTAAGGCCACTTACAACATATATAAATCATTATTCAGTTATTCCGTTATTCTAAAGGGTCGTTTTGTTACGATGCATTATAGAATCCATGTACTTCAACAATTCCTGTATTATCCACCGAAGGATTGTGGAAAAAAATAAAAGAAGACTGGTGAGCCACCAAATACATGTATTCTTGAAAGCTTTGAGGGTTACTTTTCCAGAATATTTGAAGTTGTATATTCTGTAAATACATGGGTCTGAAATGCATGGATTTCGTACCTAGCTCATACAAGAAAAATTATGTATTGTCTGAAACCATACAATATCTCCAAGTTAATGACGACACTTTTTTTCTGTTCTGCAGCTATAACCTGTTCAAAATGTTTGATGACCTCGTACTGCTTACAAAAGGAGGACTTACTGTGTACCATGGACCGATTGCCAAAGTTGAAGGGTACTTCAATGGCCTCGGGATTAATGTCCCGGACCGCGTGAATCCTCCAGATCATTATATCGACATATTAGAGGGCATTGTCACAGCCAGTGCAAGCACAGTGGCGAACTATATGAACCTTCCTCTTAAATGGATGCTGAATAACGGATACCCAATTCCACCCGACATGCAAGAGAATAATACCCAAGAAATTGTTATGCCTGAAATGAATAGAAACTCCAGTGTGTTGCAACTTGGTGATGGAGATGAGGACCAGTCTTTTGCTGGGGAGTTATGGCAAGATGTGAAGGGTAATGTGGAGTTGCAGCGCGATAAGATACATGATCATTTTTTGATGCCAAGAGACTTGTCAAACCGAAGAACCCCAGGTGTATGGTTTCAGTATAGATACTACCTTGGCAGGTAACCACCTCATTGTATACATGCATTCTTTCTTGAAACTTTATTTCAGGAAATGGTACAGGATCTTGGCACTCTCCCAATAGCTGAGTTATTAGGATGAAATGGTTCTCGATTTGTTGACCGAGATTGGACTGAAGTCCCATCATTTGCTTTCAGCAGTATTATGTTTAAGTAAGGTGGATAATAAGCTTATGTTGGACTTCACAATATTATCTTTCAGGGTCTTTAAACAGCGACTACGGGAAGCCAAAATGCAAGCAGTCGACTTGCTCATACTGTTCCTTGCTGGAACTTGCCTGGGATCGCTGGGAAAAGCCAATGACAGAAACTTGGGAGCTTCTGGATACTCACATACAATAATTGCAGTTTGTAAGCAGGATTTAGCTTGTAATTTTCTCTCAATCCCAACCCCATCAATACATCTTTCGCTAACTTAATAATATCTGTTGGGGATTTGGTCAGCTCTCCTTTGCAAAATAGCAGCCTTGAGATCATTTTCTCTGGACAGACTACAATACTGGAGGGAGAGTGCCTCTGGGATGAGCAGTTTGGCTTACTTTCTAGCTAAGGATACAGTCGACCATTTCAGTACAGTGATCAAGCCTGTTGTGTACCTCTCCATGTTCTATTTCTTCACCAACCCAAGATCAACCTTTGCCGATAACTACATTGTTTTGCTTTGCCTTGTCTATTGTGTCACCGGCATAGCCTATGCTTTGGCCATATTTTTTGAAGCAGGTCCTGCCCAGCTGGTAAGTGTGATTATTGAATGATTTCACATCTCCAAACTCAAAAGATGGCTAGTTCGTTATAGTTTGACATATGAGCTCTTATATTTTCTGCAGTGGTCAGTTCTTCTTCCTGTGGTTTTGACTCTCGTTGCAACCCAGCAGCGACCGAACAATACCTTGAGGTTCATATCTAACTTCTGCTACCCTAGATGGGCTCTAGAAGCTTTTGTCATCGCTAATGCAGAGAGGTACGATTGACAAGAAGATTCACTTCTGAATGTCCAAGTATCTGAATCTTAGACAACTCAGACACGAGTGACACCAATAGTTAATAATGTTATGTTGTGGTCGTATAGGTACGATGGAGTATGGCTGCTTACTCGCTGCGGTGCGCTGATGAAAAGCGGCTACAGTGTCCATGACTGGCTTCTTTGTATATGCATCCTCCTCCTCTTTGGTGTTGTCAGTCGCATTGTGGCATTCTTTGGTTTGGTGACATTAGGCCGGAGGCGGTGAGTTGACAGACAGAACAACATATTATTTTTTTAGCCATTCGATTGATTCAATGAAGCATCAAGATTCATAGATAGCATAGATTTAGAAGCTGAGGTGTGATTCATGTGAATTACTTTTTCTCATTTTCCCCCAACAGAGAAGTATATTCTTTGTACATTTGTAGGAGCTTACACATGACAAAAAACAGATAGCTAGCAAGCCCTCTGTTGTACATTGTAAATCCATATTGTACTTACTCTATTGTATCCTGTTTGAGCTTTAATGGCCAGCATCTAACTTAAGGTTTCGAAACTTGAACAATATCTACATGATGTGTAGTGGTACACATTGATGCATAAATTAAAACATCAATATCGTACGAGCTCTACAAACTCTCTGCAGCCTGTGACGATAACATTCAGCTTTTCTTCCTGCAATTGCTTACTATAGGTTGATGTTTCAAATTCATGGTTCGATTCAAGGCTCTCATACTTTGCTTATGATCATTTCCATATGATGTCACCGATGAACTTGAGGGCTGGAACGCCTCTGATCTCTACATCGACCAGGGGAGCTTTGATCAATCTCAAGGTAGACAGTTCTTGATCATCCTGGATCATATCAAGAGCACGCATCTGATCCTGAAATGGGTTGATGAAAGTAACAGCTTATCTCAGCACCATGGACCTAGTGAAGCTTGGACTTTGTGAACATAGCGAGAAGAAATTTAACCTCATTACCTTCCTTTTCATTGCACAAAATTTGCAGTCAGAAACAGATGGTGGAAGGATTTGATTTACGATAAGCCTTTTAACGGGCACATTCTCCTTCTCTAAGGAGGAGCGCAATCTAGATGATTCACTAACAGCCATTACCTAGGGACAGGGCAAGAGGACGTAGAGATCAGCAACCTTGGGGAGGAAATGCAATCAAACTTTGTGTTAGTATCTATCTGCATCAATCAAACATTACCGTAGGAATTGTGACTATAACAAACTCAGTGGAGTCCACATCCCGAAACAGTTCACGTACTTTTATCATCCTTTCCCTTAGCTTCTCCAACTTGTCAGCCTAAATGCCAAAACCAAAACACCAAAAGTAGATGAAAACGTGAGATATATAGTCTTGGTGGAGCCTGAAAGCAAACCAGGGAAAACTAAACCAGCTACCCATGAATTCATGGCTTACAGCATCCTGTCGGTTTTCTTCTTGTCCGAAAACAGATTTGATTGCAGATGTAGCTGAAGATATCTTTTGTCTAAGCTGCAATAAGATACCCGAAAAATTCTTCAGAAGGATTGAAGAGGAATGCACACATATACGAATTAACTTCCTTTTTCCTTCTCATTTTATCCATCCATGGATGTTTGCTGTGAGGTACGCGATGCCAAAATGGCTTGGGATCAATCACAGAGAACTACAAGAACGACTGAACGACTCAAAGACTGAAAGATTCACGATACATAGATTTGTTTGCTTGAACAATTCAGATGTCTTATCACGTGATAGGAAGAAAACGTATGCAGGTTTCACTTTCAGTTGATTAGCACTTCTACCTTCAGTATCTTCCCAATGGATGCGTCTAGGAAGTCAGGCAACGATAGAAGCCGCAGTGTATGACCCTGTGATGAGTGATGAGATGCAGTTAATTTATTTGGAAGAATTCAAGCCACAAAAGTCGCTTTTTTGTGTTCTGGATGCTCACCGTTGGTGCAGTATCAAAAACTATTCGGGTAAACATGTTGTATTCTTCTGACTCGAGAAATTGTATCACCTGCCAAGAGGATTATTGCTATTAAGTAAGCATGAAAGACACGACATTTTTGACAATCAACAAAATGGCCTAAGCGAGAAACCCGTACTTTTGAAATCGCAATTGCTTCATCCAAACCAGGAGGAGGTGTGTCCAGTAGCTCTCCCAGTTTCAACTCTCCTAACTTGTTCATCGAAGGCATGATCATACAAACATGTTAGAAAACATAGGAATCTGTTCTGCAGATGCACTAATGCATAAAAACAAATTCTGGAAGAGCTGGATTGTTTGTATCTGCCTAGTTGGCATGTTCAAGCTGTCGGAGCAGCAGACAGTCTCAATCCCAGTAAAATGAAGTAAAAGCGAAAATTTACCTGATCAACAAGCATTCCAAGACCCATGCCTTCCATAAAATCTTTAACGCCGGTTCCACCATTCTGTTGAGATGCAGTACGAAATTCTTCCCTGGCTTTCTCCGGATTCAGCTGCCAGAAATCCACAAAGCCAGTAAAGCATAAAATAAGCAAACAGAAGCCACAGTCATAAAACTTCACTGAAGTAAGTATCTCGTATCTTGTAGGGAGTGATGACGGGGGAAGCTACCACAGACGAAAGATTGAATACCTCAAGAGCGAAAAGTGGGCAATCAGGTCCTTCGACCTGTACTAGTGTACCCCCAGTTAAATCCTGAGACATCAGCATTACAGAAAAGGCCAGGGTATCAGAACTCAGAACACTAGTTTCAAGGACTAGTCGGACAATTGTTCTCGTAAGAAGGTTAAAACCTGAGCAAAAGAATCACTCAAAGAATGTGCTGGATCTGTTGACACGACTAAAGTAGGATGCCCACTGTTTGCAAACTTCACAGCAAGTGAGGCAGCACAGCTAGTTTTTCCTACACCGCCCTTTCCACCAAGCATGTAGTACTTCCGTTGAGTTCCAGAGACCATATCGTTGAACCCAGCCACATCTTCTACTGGAGCAGCCACTGATCTCACTAAAAACAACGGTATAAACCATGTATAAATTAGACGCATGGTATCGTCATGAGATTTGCATAGATGGCATCCCCATCATTCAACAATGCGCACCAGTTTCACTAAACCTGGTTGTCCACATAAAGTATCCATTGAAGTGAATGAATTTGGCTAACATGCACATGTCATATCTAGATACTCATGCCACCCATAAGTTGGAGCAAAAGCAACACACTCCTGGTCCTGGACTCCAATATTTCTATGCACAACCTGATAGCAAATATTCAACACCAACAGCTCTTCAACAAGAAGTCATTCTAATTTGCTCTCTTTGCGCAACAAAACAACTATCTCGTTTGAAGATGAAGTAATCAGCTTGTTCGGTAATTGTTTCCAATGCCCGAAAGTTCACTCCGCGATAAAAAGATATACTAATTTCCAGATTATGAACAACCCAGCTCACCCCAATATTCACAAAACTAAAACAAACCCAATACGGTCACCGCCGTTACAAATATGTCACAGGCTTGGAAAGGCGAAATGGGGATTGATTTTGGAGGAAATAGCTTACCTTGGAGTAACCTCCTGGAGGTTTTCCGCACGGTTGAAAGAGAAATGGAGGTTGTAGTTGCAGTAAGAGGGTTTGGCGCATGAAATTTGGGCGCAGAAGCGAGGAAACCCACCGACCCGGTCCTGGAGTTGGTTGCAGAGAAAAGGTACCCAAGAGACGGTGATAATAAAGAAGAAGACGAGATTATAGTTGCAGGAGCCATGTCAAATCGCCGCAGTCAATTTATTATCACAAAAGTTCGTTTCAATCGCACTCCTTCAGAGACAGATGAACACACCAAGCTTCCCAAAAGGCGTCTTCTCCCTGCTTTTGTTCGTTAGGATGACTGTCTTCTCTTCCCGAGCTACTTCCTTCTCCTTCTTTTTTTTTTTGGTAATCCGAGCTACTTCCTTTCTGGCTTTCTGCCGACCAGATTTTGCGATTTTATCTTGGCCCCCCTAATTCTTAGTTATTACTTATTACTAATTAAAAAAAATAGGTACAATATAGTAATTTCCCGAGCCTTCATTTTGATGAATAACATATTAAGTAGGAGTGGAACTGAATTTGGACACAAATTCACAACTTACATTTACGAGGGAAGTTAGAAGTACCAAATTGTAATTAACCCTTTAGTTAGCTCAGCCAAGTATATATGTTGAAAATGAAATGGTCGAGTTACTCATGTAGACTTTACGTCATTCATAACCAAAAACTTTGCCTTGTGCCATGTATTAGTCTTAACGATTATCGTTGAGTAAATCACTTGTGTCATGTATTAGTCTTAACGATTATCGTTGAGTAAATCACATAAATCTCTTGTATCGTGATCTTGATTGCTATGATACCATGTCAATTTCACCAGGATGTCATCTTCCCCGTCTCGTAGATCGACGGCCTGACCGTAATGGCCAAAACCCAGCTAATTAAGCGCATTTAATTAGGGTAGGATTTTGTGGGTTCGTAGTTAGGAACATCGAGCGCTGCCCGATCCTAAGTCCTTCAATTAAAGCGTCCAAGAGAACCGCGATTCCGCCTAGAATGACACCCGACCTGGCGAAATCAATCACGCCCGATCCGAAAAGCAGACCTGAACCAGCGAGAAACGACGGCGAGAAACGACGAGTAAATTAATCAATTATCCCTTTTATCTCTAGCCATATCTAATAGTGTTCTATGGGGCTCCGCCGTAGCGGGTCTCCACTTATCACAATCTGTAATACTCATCTTTTTTCTTACTACACACAGTCTCTCCACAATGCACCATCTCTAGCCATATCTATTAGTCATCGGGCTTCCACTGGCTTGCTTTTCTAGCCATATCATATAGTGCTTCATCATGGAGCGCCACCGGCTTGCTTATCGGAAAATCGCGAATTTCGGGCTTTTTAGTACATCTCGAATACCGACCTCTTTAGTACACCCTGGCTCTCCACAATGGATCGCACCCAAGCCTAGGGATGGCAAAAATATCCGTAACCGTGGATATCCACCCGAATCCGGCCTAATCGGGTAGGGTAAAACTCGAACCCGAAAGATATTTAGTGGGTACGGGTAAAACCCGAACCCGAATATTGTGGGTAATGGGTGGGCATGGATTTCTCACTATCCAACCCGAACCCGCCCGATTATACAAATGCATATGTATTTTCTCTAGATATAATCATTATTTTTCTCTAACATATTTTATATTTAGCATATAAGTATAATATTTTCATGGAATTGTGTTGTTTTAATTAATTTTTTTCATTCTAGTGAATTATTGTCGTACTTTTCCTCTTACGTAATGTGAGAATTCGTGTGAATATTAACATATTAGTTGAAGTTATGAAGAGAAATGATTACCCATGGATAACCGTGGATACCCGAAATCCGAACGGGTATGGGCATGGTTTTGATTTTCTACCCGTTTCACATGTGGGTATGGGTATGGGTAAAACCCGACCTACTTTGGGTAGGGTAACGGATATGCACTATCCGCCCCCGACCCGACCCATTGCCATCCCTACCCAAGCCGGGCTTGTGTTCGTCCCACTCCTTATAAAGGTACTTGTATTTTCACGTGCCGCAGATGTCGCAATTGAAATGCAAACATATTTCATGGCTTGCTGACACTGTAAGAATTTCTTTTGCAGGCACTGTCGCTGGGACCAGATACTATAACAACACTCCTTGTGTTGTTATTATAACAACATTAATCTCCAACCAATAGGAAGTTAGAATTGTGATGACTTTTTATTAGATGAGTTGACCTAGTGTAAAATCAAAGCAGGGGTATAATTGTCATTATGAAAAATATATTTATATAAAATTAAAAAATATTTTTTATTTTTCGGCCCAAAATTTTTGGTCGCCGGAATTCAGTCACCGGTCGCCGGAATCTGGACGCCGGTCACCGGAATATGCTTTTTTGTCGCTGGAATATGCTATTTTGTCATCGGAATATGCCACCATCGCCGGAATATGCTCACCGCGGTCGGAATATGCTTACCGGCGTCGGAATCTAGTCATCGGGGCCGGAATATGCCTATCGGCGTCGGAATCTGCTGAATGACGGTCACCAGCCAACAACCACCGGATGTATGGTCTGCATTGTGAGATTTATGGTTTGGTTTCTCATATTTTCGTATGCCTTTTGTGGTTTGCTTTATCATGTTTGTGGTTTGCATTGAGAAGTTTCTGGTTTGCTTTATCGTGTTTGTGGTTTGGATTGAGAAGTTTCTGGTTTGCTTTCAAAAATTTTGTGGTTTGCATTGAGGGGTTTCTGGTTTGTTTTCATATATTTGTGGTCTGCATTAGGACGTTTATGGTTTGCTTTTTTGTGGTTTGATTTACTGTGTTTGTGGTTTGCATTAGGAGGTTTCTGGTGTGCTTCGCAAATGTTGTGGTTTGCTTTGTGAGGTTTGTGGTTTGTTTCTGGTTTTTGGTTTGCATTAAGAAGTTTATGGTGTGCTTTCGAAAATTTTATGGTTTGATTTGTGGGGTTTCTGGTTTGTTTTAATATATTTGTGGTCTGCATTAAGAGGTTTGTGGTTTGCTTTATCGTGTTTATAGTTTGTATTATGAGGTTTCTGGTGTGTTTTCGGAATATTTATGGTATGTTTTGTGGGGTTTTTGGTTTGTTTTAGGGGATTTGTGGTATGGATTGGGAGGTTTCTGCCTTTCTGGTACGCTTTTATTGACATCAAAGTAACCCATTCATTGTGTTTCCTTCTATTTATCTAAATTCAATCACAACAGTTTTCCAATGAAAAATAATTATTCAATTTCACCTCACAAAATTGAAGTATCAATGCTCAAATCAACTTGCAGTAACAACACAACAATTGAAGTAAACTATGGCTATGGAGCTGCTCCATAAGAATCAATAAGTATTCCCTAGTTCAAGTATATAAGCTACACCAACAAAAATTCAACTCATCTGGCTTGAATAATGGAACTCTTCCATTGATGATAATCTATAGTCAATGAATCAGAATTTGGAAAGACAAACCCAATTCGTCACTTCTTCTCATCTACTACTGCCAATGCTGCTGATCCTTCTTCTTTATCTTCTTCCAGCTTCTTCTTGTTCTTCTCAATCGCAGCAGCAACTTCCCCAGGCATATACTTCTCGTCGTGCTTGGCCAAAAGCTCCGTCGCCGAGAAGTAAACATCTATACCCCTGGCTTTCTCAGAAACACTCTTGCTTCCCGATTCCTTCCTCAACTCCTCCGTAATCGGCCTCACGAATCCTTCCACCACCACCGAATGACCTTCCCTGAACAAACACCATCTGGTCCTGGAAATTGTTCAGGACGATGACGATGAACCCGGCCACACAGCTGAACGCGAGCGCGTAGGTCCACAGCCGCCTTGTCTGCATCTGGCGAGCTCGGGCTCCGATGTCCACGGTCTTCGGCCGTGCCGGGTGGCGCCGCGCCGTCGATAAGAGCCGGGGACCTGAGATCAAGGCGGAATCGTTGTAAACTGCGCGGAGATATGAAATCGATGAGAGAATCAACCGCTCCGATCTGGCGGCGGAGGCGATCTGGCGAGTAGAGGAGAAGAAGATGCTTGTGCAGGAGGAAGAGGAGCCGGCAGCGAACGTAATTTTCGTGGAGCGCAGGAGCTGCGATCTCAGTCGGAGGAGGACGGAGCGAGAGGCCATCGTGCGACGGCGACGGCGGAGATTTTGATTTTAGTGCGAAGAAAATGCGTAGGATTAATTTTTATTTATAGTGTTGTTATACTATCCGGACCCCTGTTGCTGAATCAGATGATTGAGCTCGAAATTTTCACTTCACCATTGGAAGTCATTCCTGGTGAGTACTGAACAAGCAGAGGGAAGAAGCTGACCACCACCTTCTGTCACGAAAGAATATATTATTAACATGATAAAGGATGAAGCCAAGCAGCTATCAACAACCATATAGATATAGGATCAGATAAACCAATCCACAATTCCATCATTAGTTTTCAGGATCCTATAGATCAAATTCCAGAATGAAAGAGGGCGACAAGACTTTATGTGCAATTGTGCATCCATCAATCAAGAAAAGGGCAACTGAACAGAGCCAAACCCAACAAAGATTTACATTCTCCGGCAAGCAAATGCCTAATCTTTTTGACCAAAATGGAAGAACCCAAGCTCCCGACTCAGATTCTTTTAACACACCCACAAAAAAGGAGGAGATATCACAATTCGATTGTTCAGCCCTAATACCAAAAAGTCAGATATTCAATTTCACCCGAGATTTGTTGAACATAGGAGACAAGTAAACCACACAAATCGCAGAAGCTTTTGTAGGATACGAAAGAGGTCAAAATTGAGAAACCGATTATCGATCTAATTCATTGATTGCTCGGGAAATATAGGGGACCGCCATTCATATTCTTGAATGAGAGATCTAACCTCGTCCAGGGAGAAAGGCGCCGCTGCTGGGGGAACGAACATGGGAAAGGGCAGAAAGGATTCGCCCCATCTTCTAGAAGTTGCGGGAAGCCGCCATTAGATTTAGGAGCGAGTTGTGGGAGTATTCTCTTCTATCGCCGTCGACCAGAGCTCTGATGCGCAGGGCAGGGTGGAAGAATTCCAAATTTATACAAGGCGAGAGAGTGGAGGTTGCAGAAATATAGGGACGGGGAGCACAACCCCTAAAGTTTTTCCAGGGGTTTTTGGGCTTTTCGGATATCTGCTCGGCCCAAATATATCCACTTTTTATACCAAGCCCAAAGACATCCGATAAAATCAAACTGGGAAATCAAAACAAAGAAATGAAAAAGACTAAAACAGAACACAAGAAATCCCAAGAAGCTTAAATTAGTTGTCATCATCCGCCATTGGCAGATGTCGTCGTCGTGGAGATGGATTCGTCCTCGAGCGATTGTTCCATCGACAAATCTTCCTCGTCCTCTGATTCACCCACGGCCTTAATCCCTTCCACCTCCTTCAGCACCTCCGCCATCTCCGGCCTCTTCTCCGGTGACTTCTCGCAGCACCTCATCGCAAGCTGCAGCAGCTTCAGCATTCCAGGGACTCCATTCCTCTGCACCCCGATCTCCGCATCCAGCACCTCGCACGTCCACTCCTCCCTCACCGCCCGGTACACCCAATTCCACAGATCCACTCTCCCACCGCCGCCGCCGCCGCTGCCGTTCTTCTCCGCGGAGTAGGTCGAAACCCTACCGGTGAGGAGCTCCAGTAAAAGACCTCCGTAGCTCCACACGTCCGTCTTTCTGGATACCTTCTTGGAGTTCTGGTACTCCGGCGACCTGTAGCAGATCATCGCCTGGTGTGCAATTGGGACGGCTAATAGAGGGATGAAGCCGTAATCGGCGACGAGAGCCCGCTCGTTTTCGTCGAGGAGGACGTTTGTTGATGTAAGGTTGCCGTGTGGGATTCCGCCGCTCTCTGCCGCCGCCTTGGTGGTGGTGTTACGGTGGAGATACGCCATTCCCCTTGCTACGCCTTGCGCCACCGTCAGCCTCGCGCTCCACCGGAATGGGATTCTGTCCTTTGTCCCCCTTCCTCCTGTAATTTGGGCGGCAACCCATGTTAAAAAGACGCCATTTTGTGCGATTGATTTTGCAAATTGATGCGAGAATCGCAGGGGCCGCAGAGTTTAGAAATAGATAGTGAGCCTTACCATGGATGCGATTGAAGAGGTTGCCATTCTCTGCAAATCTGGAGACGAGAAGCTTCTCATCCTGTGAAATGTAGTAAGCCAATGGCGGCAACAAATTCGAATGATTCTGATCACCAATGAAATGCAACTGCTTCGTTAATTCTTCACCAGTCAAAGGCCTCAAATCCCTCAATCGCTTCACAACTACGCTCCTTACAGATCCTCCCTCCATTTTGGCTCTGTAAGTGTTTCCAAAGGTTCCCTTCCCAAGCCCTTCCGCCGAAGCCTGCAACAAGTCGGTCAACTGAAATCTCGCTTCTTCTTCCTCGCCTCCCTGCAAAAACACCAGCTTCCCCTTTTCACTTCTCATCGGAGTTCCCACTACTAATTTCTCCCCCTTCTCCACCTCCACCTCCACCGCCGCCGCCGCCGGCTCAATTTTCGGATGATGATCATCGGGCTCACGATGATGGATCTCTACAGTACTCTCGCTTTCAAAACTGGTGGACACCGGCGTTCCTTTCTCGGTACTGTCTTTCTGATACATTCTTTCCAACCTTCTTGCTTTTTTGCAGTAAAGCGCAAATAGCAGAATCACGGCGATCAGCCCTGCAATATCGAACAGCAAGAACATGATCACGAAGCTCGACATTTGAGAAGAACCCTTTTTCGATCCCGTGCTTGCTCCTCCCCCCGCCGTCTCATTCTCTGTAACGGAAACGCAAGGGTGCGAGGCCTGGGGCCCGCAGAGCTTCGGATTGTTCGCGAATGAGTCTGCGCCGAACGATTTCAGCCGCTCCGTCGCCGGAATTGTTTCGGCGATGTCGTTGTTGGAAACATTGAAGGAACTGAGGGTTGATTGGTTGAACGCCGGGATGGTCCCCGTGAGGAAGTTGTTTTGAAGGAGCAGAGATTGCAGGGAAAGGAGACGGACCATTGAAACTGGGATTGGGCCGTGGAGTCTGTTGTGTGACAGGTCGATTTGTTGGATCTTCTGGTTGGAGCTGAAGTCCATGATCCGGCCCGTTAAGGAGTTGTTGCGGAGCACGAGGGTGGTGAGTTCGGAGAAGGCGAGGAAGGACGCGCGGGAGATTAATGGGCCGGCGAGGCCCATGCTCGGTAAGGAAATGCCGGTGACTCGGCCGTCAACGTTGCAGTCGATTCCCGACCATTTGTCCGGGAAGTCATCGGAAGGGCACTGTGGGCCGGTCCAGTTAGTGTTGAGGAAGGAGTTGTTCAAGCTGGCTTTCAGCTGGAATATGGCATCTCGTTCCAGGTTCTGTTCGATGGTTTGTTGAGAAGTTGCAGAGAAAATCAGGAGGGGAAGAAGAAGAAGAAGCAGAGGTGGAGGGGTTAATCTGAATCTGGTCATCTTTTGGTTTCTTCTTCTTCCTTCTCGTTTCTTCTATCTGTCTGTCTCTGTTTGATTTCTGGGAATAATGTAGTGCATGATTTATGGAGGACGGAAGAGGGTTTGTGAAGAAGGGAAAAAGTTGATTAGAGGGCGGGAAGACCAACGGGAGAATTTTGATATTTTCCAGGCCGTACGGGTACAATGTGGTTACTTGTTATCACTTGTCCAGCCTATAGTTAGAATCGATGGCTACATCCAGCTGTGGCAGTGGCAGAGGCAGGGGGGAATTTATAGAAGTATCGCAGGATTATACTTGGGATAAAGATGTTTTTTTCCTTCTTTCTACACCTTGTTATCGTCACCATCGCAGCCGCCATCACATGCGCCTTGGTTAGTTATGACTGCCTGAAACAGCCACCGTCGTTCTAAAACAGCGAAAGCATGTCAAAGATGGAAATCGGCAGAAGGTGCTGGTGGATTGCAGGCTCAGCTCTTTGAAACATCTCCAGGAAGAAACATTCTGCACCAGCAGAGCTACCTGTGATTTTGAAGGAAGCCAAGATTGATGAAGATAATGGTGATGAATATCTTACTGGGCGATCAAGAGTTCGACATCCATCTGGATCCTGTACACCACCATTTGGGAAGGGAAATGAATATTCTCAAGTTCATCAGCTCTCTCGAACATTTGATGGAAGATGATAATTCATACCCATAGCATATCCATCGCCTTCCTTTACCCCCAGAAATTGGAAAGAAAAAAGGAACAGTCTCATTGTGTCCATTCGGTGTATCAACTTGACATGGAGCCTGACTGTCATGCAAGTTCAACATCTGAAATGGATCATAAACCCAAGGGGAAGGATGTGAGTACAGACAGCCAAATTTTTAGGTATGCTTATTCACAACTTGAGAGGGAAAGGGCCATGCAGCAAGAAAACAAGAACCTCACCTTCTCAGGACTGCTGACCACCAAGTCAAGAAAAGAGAGGATTCATTCAAAGAAGCTGAGAAAATCAAGCCAGGGTGTATTATACATCTGTCATGGGTCCATCAGGAGCTGGGAAGACTAACTTCCTCTCTGCTCTAGCTGGGAAGCCAACAGGATATAAAATGTCTGGTATGAGTCTTATCAATGCAAAATGTCAATCCATCCACACTCGTACAGACAAGTGTCATCAATTTTGTTCCACAAGATGATATCGTGCATGGGAAGTTGACAGTTGAAGAGAACTCTGGTTCAGTGCACACTGCAGGAAAACTGATATTTCTTGGTTTGACTTGGTCAGAGATTCCATTCCTAAGTATATGAATAGACCAATGAAAAATGGGGATGGAGTGGATTTAGGTTTAGGTATGGACCCTTTGGAAACAGAGGAACAAAGAAGTTATGTAAGGCAAGAATTTTCACAGAAAGGAGTCATTCATCGTATACTTGCATGGATTCAAATCAATAGACAAGCTCAAAGAGAATGCTCAACGTAGCCTGCTACCGACCCATACCATTCGAGTAACCATGAATCAGGCTATTACTAATACGAATTAGACACATATGGTGTCCGTCATTTCTAAAACAAAGTGTGTATTATCTTTTATTTTTCTTGGATGCACACACAAACCAGTGTTCACTTCACACGCCTCTTATCATTTGAAAACACAAAATGAGTCACTCGTTGTACGGACTTAGCTGATACTAATATTATTATATAAGGGCTATTGTACTGAGATTAGTGAATAGATAACTCATGCTAGACCCAATACTACACTGTAAGCATATCAGGCCACCTAATGCAACCACACAGGCACAGCCAATCAACAAACTTCTGTACCAAGTCAACAGACATCTGATAAAATATTGAGCCTGCAACAAATGAATTCCTCCTACCATTTCACCATCACCACACAGAATATATATGCCCAATCCGGAAAGCTGAAAGCATACATTTCACACATACACATACGCCATTTCATTGACTTTGTGGATTGAGTATTATGCAGCTTCTACTGTAAATAAGAAACAGTATCCTCATACCTGGAAGTAGTCGCTCACCCAATATTCTATATGGGAGTATGACAATAATATGTGTTGCACCCTCAAACCATCCTTCTTCTTTCTTTAATGATCGACTCTGCCGTTCTGGTTAGATAACGTCAACCCATTACATTCTGGGATCTATCTCCTTGTCATCTAAATCAGAAAATGACCCACCAAATAATCAAATCCAGACAGCAGGCTAGAAACCGATCCACGGTACGCGTTGGAATTATACCAAGCCAATTACATATTGGGAAGGAAGGAATTTTAGATTGGTGGACTAGAGAGAAACCATAAAGAATTGAAAAAAGAATACTGAAACGTGCATGTAGTTTACATCAACTGGTTGAACGCTAGAAACAAACATGTCAAGACAAAAGGAAAATGCCAAGGCGTAGCCTAATCTGACCGCTTCTTCACCTGGTAAACGTCTAATTCACCAAATTGACTGAAATTAAGCAACTGAGCCAGCAGAGCTCCTTGTCGGCATATAATTATTCGCATGCCGACGCCCAAATCTCTGCATCTCTAACAATGCAGCAATCGAACAGGGAAATGGGTTGTGACAAGTTCTATGCAGCAGACAGTCTCATTGTTCTTCTGAGAGCAACATGTTTTTGCAAAAACTCAAGCCGAAGCAAGATGCTTATGAGCTACCAAATCAGCACCATAAACTGACTCTTATACAGTTGCATTCCTCAGTTAAAGAAGAAAATTTTGCAATCTTAAACTGTAGTTAACTAAGTCACTAATAGGAACAGCTTTGCTCTATCTGGTATAGGTATTCTGTATTCTCTATATGACAAGAAAAAAACACAAATTCTCCTACTGATTTGTAAACACCTAGCATCACCTGGGAGCCAATGAAGATGAGAAATCAACAGGCACGCAGATCCTCTCAGCCCAATTCTTTGATTCCAGATACAACTTAGACACCTTGACAGCAACCTTCTCCATATCCGGCCGCTTCTCAGGATCCTCCTCCACACATTCCAACGCCATCAACACCATCTTCTCCGCCACATCCACCGGATATGAATCCTTCAATCTCCTATCAACCCATCTCCTCACCCCAGCACCGCCACCGGCCACCGCCTCTCTAGCCATCTCAATAACACTGATTCTCCTAACCCCTTCGCCGCCTTCATCAAACTCATACCTCAACGCCTCCAAACCAGACAGCAGCTCCAGAATCACAACTCCAAAGGCATAAACATCACATTTCTGTGTCAACACACCCTTGGCCTGAAACTCAGGCGCCATGTATCCCCTGGTTCCTTCTATTTTCGACCTTCTAGCTCCCGACGACCTGCTCTTAGATGTCGCCTTTGACTCAAGATCCGAATGATCTATCTCCCCACACAACTCGGCGGTCCCAAAATGGCAGATTTTCGCATTCAGACTCGTCTCGGTGACCAAAATGCTCGAACTCTTCACATGATTATGCACGAAATTCAGACCTGAGCAATGGTGGACGTAATCGAGGCCGTGGGCTACATCAGTAGCGATCTGCATCCGGGAGAGCCAATTGGAGAGCACCGTGAAGCTCGGGTTTTGAGGGTTCCGTAGACAATTAGCTAAACTGGATCCAGGAACGTAGTCATAGACCAGATAAATGTACCTGCCGGAGATGGTGGCGCCCAGAAGCTTAACCAGGCTGCTGTAGTGACTGCGGCATATCGTCAGTAACCTTTGCTGCAATTCGGGCAACTCAATTGGGCGGCGGAGCTTCCGCTGGAAAAGGACGGCGTCCCTGCCGCGAATCGTGCAGCGCCAGGAGGTGGAAGTGGATGAAGAGGAGAAGGGCTTGAGCAAGAAATTGTGGGTAGCTCTAGAAATTTCAGATAAGTCGTAAATGATTGCGTTTTCGGGTAAAGAGTCGCGGAGGCTGGCGAGAGAGGCTTTGCTGGAGGAGGAAGATTTGGAGGCGTCGAAATTCGATCTGGAGTTGGAGGAGTGAGTGGCTGAATTATAAGAAGAAGGATTCGGGAAAGAAGAGGAAGAAGAGAAAGAAGAAGACGGCTTGGTGGTTCTAGAAGAATGGCGGATTTCAGTGCTTTTTCTTGAATTGCACATTGGGGAAGCGGCGGGAAGATGGCCCAAAAAGCTCAAAGATGGGAGCTTCGCGTTAATGGCGGTACTGGGTCAGGGTGACTTTGGTCGTTCCATTATATATGGCCACAGAGAAGTATGGAGGAACAATTTTGTTGGCCGGCGAAAAGTACACCATGCCGAAGCAAGTTTTCCCGGTGAAATTTTACAACGAATTTTCTTTCTTTCTTTTTGGGCATAATACCAACATAGTACATAAATTTTCAATATATGAACATACCTAGCATATAGTTTATGAGATTGACAAATATAGCATGAAACAAATTTTTCAAATGCAAAAAATAACAGACCTTGTCAATGTTTGAGTGTAAGTAACAGAAGATCAACAAAAGAGTGATCTTAACAAATATAATATAATTTTTGGACCGTGAAATGTGTGCTCAACATTCATATAAAAATGGTTGATAAGAACTTTTGCTATATATTTTTCGAAACATTTTAATTATTCAATTTCAATCTACATCCTTTATTAGTTAAACTCACCTTCCTACGATAGATTCGCGGCGATGACAGTCAAGAGAGTTGATAGTATTCGGTAAATTTGTCAAAAATTAGTTGATTATGCTATATTTGTTAATAAAATAAAAGGTTGTATCTTATTTTGATAATAAGCCTTCTTTTTGTGGCATGCCACCAATAAATTAAACCAATATCATACCAAGTATAAGAAACCTTGTTTAATTTAAAATTACGAATTTTAACTTAATCTGATATCATACCTAGTAAAAGAAATAAGGAAATTAAACCAATATCGTAGTAAGTATGTCGTATATATCAATAATATACAAGAAATCACCCGGTAATGCAATAACTAACAAAATATAAAGAAAAATGAATACATTAACGAAACACGAAACATTTTTGTATATTAGAGTGTTGAAATATACGATAAATACATTCAGGATAGTAGTGCATTCCCAGAAACAATTCACGCATATTGAAACCATTAACAAAACGCGAAACATTTTTGTACATTAGAGTGTGGAAATATACAATAGATACATTCAGAGTAGTAATGCATTCTCAGAAACTATTCACGCATAATGCTAGTGAACATTAGTGGATGACTGGATGACTCAACACATAATTTAGACAGAGTTCTTGATGGATTTGCTATATCCAGTTTGATCATCATAGAACTTCGACCACAGCATCACACCACCATACTTGGAGCTGTCCTTGATTGCAGGTAGCACCTGCGATTCGAGGTCGTTCACCGGGATGAATCCGCTCCCAGCAGCATCAGGAGCAGCAGGCAGCCCCAGGAAGATCTTCTTAGCAGGAATGGCGGATGTCCATTGCTTCCAAGCATCTTCAAGGTTCGTGACACTCCCAGAAGAGTACTGGCAAGGAGGGTTGTTGTAGAATTGAACCCAAACATAGTCAAACAGTCCACTCTGAAGTGCACTCCCTATCCAAGCATCAGGGAACGGGCACTGTGGAGCTGCTGTCAGTATGATCGTTTCGTCGTGGGATTTGAGGGACCTAGCCAGATCATCCCAGTGCTGGTTTGTTCCTCCTTCGATGTCGAAGTCTACCCCATCGAGCATAGCAGGGCCAAGTGGCCTAGCAGAGGAAGAACCGCCGAAGAAGTTGTCCCAGAGGTAAGTTGCAACCTGCTCTGCATCTTGTGTGGATGCAAGGGAGTAGCCTCCAGCTCCTCCGCCGATTGACAGCAAGACCTTGATCCCTTTAGCTTGGCATGACTTGATGTCGGAAGTTAGACCAGCGCAGCCGCTGTTGGTTGGATCACAGTGGCCTGCAAGGTTGATCACCGGTGGCTGTCCGTTGCCAAATGATGACAGAAAGGCTATGTTGACATAGTGGTAGTTACCTGTGGCGCAAGTCTCAGCCAAGGTTCCTTCATTCCCGTTCTGTCCCCAGTAGATTGATATTCCACCACCTCCTTCACAACCCACCACCAGAAACGCAGCCAGAACTGCTGACAATGCGATGGCTGACCTGAATGCCATTTTTCTCTTTTGGTTGGTTGCTGCTCTTGATTAGCAATTTTATGCTGTAGTGGTGTTGTTTAGGTAGCTTCAAGTTGAGATGAATTTATAGGAAACAGAGTCTGAAACGTCCCTTGAGCTAATCCGATTATTCTTCTGCTTGCATTGTGAGACTGCTTGGAGTAGCAAGCAGGAAGTTTGCTTTGTTTTGTTGCTGTTGTTGTGTAGCTGATGACTGGACTTAAACCAACGCTGCTGCTACTAACTATCATTGCTGCCAAAATTGTATCATCAGGTGACGATAAGCTAACTAGACAAGGGTGTATTTCATCTTTCCTGTTTACTTATTCAAAGAAAACAAATAAACAAATGTATTATCATATATAACCACATTTGTAGGATAATATGAGAATTGGTTGGTCTTATTGACGTCTAGTTTGTCACTTATTCACTAGCTGTATGGCTATAGGAAATACAATATATACACCTTCCAGCAAATCTGGATACATAACTGACTACTTAAGCAACAAAAGAGAAATGTCTGGGTATATATTCTTGAACTGAATCTCCAGCTCCCTAAATAAATACCCCTTCCTCATTATTCCATTTCCTAATCCTTGCTTAGAGTTTTGCTATGGCGTGTCCCGGCAGCACGAAATTGGACCTAGAAGGAAGCTTTAGATCATCCCATTCTTCATCATCCATTCTTGAGAAGTACTGCTCAACCATCCCCTCACTTATGAGCTCCAATCTAGCAGGTTCCCACTAGTGTTTGAAGAGAAGATGATTCAGAGCCGGAGTAACTTTGAGTATGAGCACTGAAATTATGTATTCATGGAGGATACGGAGACATAGGTGAGTGTCGTGCCATTTCATTTACCTTTGGATTCCTATCCTTGTCCAATAGTATGGCCCTGCACCCCTGCATCAAAACATGAAACGTCAATGAGCAAAGGGTGAAGAGAGAGAAACTCGGTCAGAGGGAGGCAAATGGTATTGAGTTCAGCTGGGAACCTCAAAGAAGTCCTTGCTTAGCTTTCCTTCCATAACATGACAGACCATTCGAAACTCCCGAGTTAGGCATTGACCAACACCTTGTATCCTTCCTTCTCGAATCTGCAATTATAGTAAAATCAGCATATCGAGTATTGACAACCATTTCATCTCCTTGGTATCAAAGAGATAGCCAAAGTAAAATATATTCCTAAACCTGCCAGCTCTAAAGAATATCATACCACTCACTACTACAGTACAAATCATCAACAAAGTTGTTCACACTTAAGCAGGTTGGTCAAGCACTGAGATTTAACTTGCATGTCACAATATGAAAATGTAATGCTTTCAAGGCAAATACTTACTGATCGGAGTGAAATCTTAAGACTTGTTGGAGAAGCCTTCTTGAGTGACCAAATAGTGTTATTGATCCAATCATCTGCCTTATCCATGGATTCTCTTTCCTACATATGAAGAGTCATTAGTTAACTAGTTTATTAATGGATTCCCCATGAATTCAATGAACATACAAGTGGACTCAAACTAACTTACAAGCGCAGACAAGATATCTTCAACTGTTTTCCGGGAGAAGCATCTATCAATGACATCTAAACTGCAAAGACACATTAAGACATGAGAGGGATGAAGAACATCGTTCAGACATGTTTTAAGAAGTTTGCCTCGATCCTCCATTTCTGCTATACTAATTAGAAAGTCAAATAATAACCAGCATAAGCCCTCAGCCCTACTTCAAACTTACTGATCTCAGAACAAGAAACAAGAGATTGTTTTGGGAATACATGTCAACGAATTTGATATAGGCACATATGATTCAAATAAAGAAACTACACTCACGATGCTTTCCTCTTATCACATGTAATAAGCTGCCAGACACTTGAAGTGACTAGAGTGAAGGGAAACTGCATATTAAAGGAAGAGCTAACCGTTTATAAGCACTTAGGTCTTTTAACTTTGGTTTCTGAGAGTAGCAGTCAATAATTGCAGAAATGATGGCTGGATCACTTGAATCTACCTTGTATAGTGCTTCTTCCAGTAGACTCAATTTCTGTCAACATATAGACAACTCAATGTTTACTAGAACAGTTATGAAGTCAAATGGAGTCAATGTTAAGTTCCTAAGCATGAAAAGGGTAAAGATGACCAATCTATAACAAGCAAGACTCCTTTTCTAAGAAAATATTGTTGATTGAGAACCTTCAGATTTCCTGTATTCCAAATTTGATTAGACTCCTATATGAATACCATACCGTTGCAGGGACAAAATGAGTTGCAAGGCCGCATGCAAGCATTTCAGCACCATCCAACCTTGCTCCAGTAAGTCCAACGTATTCTCCTATCAATACAATCATCAAATTCAGGGAGAATATCTACGAGGACGGTGTATTGTAAATTCAACACCACCAATACTTTGTTTGGTGACATCACTACAAGGACTGCAAATCATGTTCAATAAATTTTGTGGGATGGGCATGAATGTTTCAAAAGCACGGTTGCCGGTTGGCTCATTAAACAACCAGAACCAATGCAAATAAATACAGTACATACTCCATGAATCACAAGTATTTCTGCAAAATGGGATCTGCAAAAAATAAATGAAGAATGCAAATTACTTTACCAAAGAATCCAGGGAGTCTGGACAAGAAGTAGGAGGCACCTACATCAGGGAAGAGACCTAAAGCCGTTTCAGGCATAGCAAACACCTGCAAATATTCAATATTAGTCTTCTCGTATAGACCTTCTTCAGATACTACACAAGGTATGTCCTATCAAATCATGAGGATGCTATATGTTCTGAAATTCGGTTTCTTTAAGGATTGCACTCCCCAAAATCCAGGTTTTATCAACTATAACTAAAACACCCATGGAAGAGCATGCAAAACTTAGGCCAGTCAGTTGCAATCAAGGACAAACCCAAGCTAAAAAGAAAATACATTACCGAAGTTTCAGTTGCAACGCGGAATCTTCCATGCATAGTAACACCATTTCCTCCTCCCATGACAATTCCGTTAAGGATCGACACCTTCAAGTTAGCTACAAAAAATTAGAAGCGTCATTCGAATAACTAAAAACTGAGAGATAAGTGCATTACCTGGGGTTTGGTATATGTTGCCATCACATAATTCAAGATGAACTCCTTTGAGAAAAATTGGGCTCCTGACTTCCAGTTAGCTGAGACAAACAAATGGACAAAGCAACTTCCATCTTCATCAACTAAAACATATGTATAACTGGATGCTCTGTGCTACAGATGTATCATGTGTCTTCCAGATGGGGGGAAAATGAAATGGCACGAACAAACACTTTAGGACCCTAGTATCATCATTGCAAACAGAAAATAAACTGAAATCAAACCTTTGCGAATATCATGAACAACGGCTGCAACATCACCACCCGCACAAAATGCTCTTCCATTTCCCTGAGGATAAAGATACAGTCCCCAAAACATTTACTCATTCTTAAAGTGGGGTACATTTATGAAATTCATGACTATTCGACAACAGAAACGACTGCAGACTTGACTCTCTACTAACTATGTTGGAGACAAGAAACATAAGAGTGCAAAGTTGAACTGGAAAGTACCTTAAGAATAATAAGATTGACATTAGGATCCGCCTCGTAAGCAAGGAAAAGCTCTAGAAGCCGAGAAATCTTAAACACAGATGTAGAAATACTTAATTAGTATTTCTGAACTTCGCTCTATACATCTTACACCGGATGTTCAAAGCTGAAGGGTTTGATGGGAAGCAAGGGATGAAAGATACCATTGGATACGAGAGGGCATTCAACTGTTTGGGCCTATTTAATACCAATATCCTTGCGGACGACTTCTCTTCTACAAGAACCTGGAAAATCCCAGCCAAGCAAACAAAACCTTGAACTTATATGAGATGCATGGATCTTCATAATCGGTCAGTTCAGGACAAGTAAACCATGGAACTGACATCTGCTACAGGATGTCAAGAGAGTATTACCAGCTGATCATAGAAAGGACGAACTCACGCAACTTAACTAACAACCTAATCCTCAGTTACTACTTTTCCATTGAATGTTTCCATTAAAAACAGACAGGCGATATTACGAACTTGAAACATCAAAAACTTCTCCACAGAAAGAAAGGAGTGTCAGTAGCAACCTGGTCAGTGTGGATCATGACAGAGTCTTGAGATGCCATCGATAATTTATCTTATATCTCTGGTGCAATTGATTATGTACAGCCAGAGAAGCCCTGAAACAGTCGAGAGATTCATTAGTCAAACCCAGTAACTCCTCAAACCTCAATGGTTCTCATATGTGTTTTGGTAAGGTCACCCAGCTAGAATCAACAGAAATACGCATGAGAAAAATCCACCAGAACTCGATCAACAGTTGCGATGCAGTCCTTTGTCAAAAAATCCACAGAAACAAAATGTTACTGAAACTCCCTAAGCCACAGAAAAATCCACCAAAACTCGATTTCACTCTACCCGCCATCCTAGAATTCCAATTTTTCAGAACATAGCCCTTACCCATTTCCATCAAACAAGAGAAGCCGACAAATTTAGCTGATATGAAATTGGCGCAGAAAGAAAGAGAAGGAGAAGGTTCAGTTACCCCCAGACTGCGCGGACAGGAAATGGAAAAAAATCCCCGGAGTTCTCTCTGCCGGAAAAAAATGAATTTGGCGCTCCGGCGGAGCTATATAAAGTATAATCCAAAGCCCAAATAGCACCATGTCCATGGATTCGTTCTTCGGGCCTGGGATGGAAAGACGAATAACTTTGCAGTGGATCCAACCAGGCCCATTTTCATATCAGATAAGGGCCTCGGAAGGTGGAATAATATCCATCCGCGTCGCCAAATCTAAGCGCCGGAATGGAAATGGGCAGGTCCGGGCCGGGTAAATCGATACCTATACCCGCCCCGTGGCCGGTGCGGGTTGGGGCAGGTCGACCCATTGGGTATATAATTTATGCGAAAAATATTAGAATGATTCGTTATTTTAATTAAAAGACCGAGAAAGATATCATAATTTGACAAAATGTAGTTAAATTATTGGAGAAATTGAGTTTTTCACTTATTTACAACTTTATTATACATAAAATATGATGTAATAAGAGGAAAATCATAAGTCATTTGACTAAGATTACATGTAATTTAGACAAGAACGGGTCGAGAATGTGGTGTGTCAGGGCAGGTCGGGTCGATGAGAGGTACGCATAGATGACGCGCTCCAAAACATGTCAAACAAGTCGAGTAAATCAGGTCAGGTTGAAATTGTCATCCCTAACCATGAGATCGAGATGAAGACAAACAAATATCATTCATTCAAGTGGGAAATAAAATAATGTTCTGCAGAAAGAAATGGAGAGAGAGACACACAACACAAGTGGACGCCAAGTCAGGGGCTAGTAAGCAAATGGCCGGCTCAAATGGAAAACAAGAACAACTCTTTTTTTTAATTAATTGAAAAGGTGAAAACAGGGGGAAGAAAATATACGTGGGAAATTACTCTGGAAGTTGGGATGAGAAATGAGAAGGGAAGGAGTAGAGTGTGGGATAGGAGATGAGATGAGGAAAGAGTGATGGAGACAGGCAGGGCCATGCTCACCAAATGCGTCACTTTTATAGCAAAGGACCATTCTTTCCCAATCCAAATCTCAATCCCATTCAGCAGCAGCAATTCATCAACCATATGTATTATTGGGTTGTAGATAATGAGATGAAACATTGATGACCCCATAATATGAAGGATACCCATTTTGAACCTCCTCCTTCCCTCATCCATGGCGGATGTTACTAGGCATCAAACCTCCTTCCTTCCTTCATTTCTCACTACCCACTAGACTAGCTTCACAGATATTTCCCCACAATATCCCATTCCCACTCCATTTCCTTGGAATTGGTGATGCTTCCTCCTGATCTGGATTGTCTCTTTCTCCCTCAGCTCTAGTGAGAGATACCATTTATCATCAGCTCCTCTTCCCCCCCTTTGTCATCTCTCTGGCCTTCCGTTGGTCACTCACTGCAACTTCTTGGTTTTTGAGAGAGGCCCAAGAGAAAGAAATGGCTGCTGTTGCTGCAACTTTCGTTGCCAGTTCTGGGCTTCACTCTGCTACCAACGCCAGAGCTGTTGACAATCTCCCCTTGGCTTTCGGCTTCGGCGCCACTCCTGCCACTTCTCCCCTTCCCTTCAATCAAATTGGTGGTAATTCTAGTACCAAAAGAAGGTAAACCCAGTACTTCCTTTTTTCTCCTTTATGGCTCCTTTTGTTTGCTTGTGTCATTCCTCCATAAACGAACTATTGTTCTGCATACCAGTTTATTTCCAATGAATTAGAACCCCGTTCTCTCTTCCATGGAGCGATGCCCTTTTTCCCATTCTCCTGAGTGTGCATCAAGGTTCTAAGCTTGTGGAAAGGGCTGGTGGATCTTTTTTACTTCATAACATTTGCAATTCCTACTTGCCCAGATTGTTGTGTTCTTCTAGGACCCTCGTCATTCCCCGAGCTTCAACCACAGCAGTTGAGGTGGGCAGCTGTTGTTGGTGTGGATTTTGCCTTTTTGGATCACATGGTATTTTAACACACTTGATACTTCTATGGTGGAACAGGATGGGAGTTTCAACGGCACCGATACAGTCCCAACTCCGAAGGTCATAATTGACCAGGACTCTGATCCTGATGCAACCGTTGTGGAGATCACCTTTGGGGATCGCCTTGGGGCTCTTCTTGACACTGTATGGATCATTGTTTGGCTCTTTGTCTCGTTGTTAAACTCAATTCCTCTATTGCAACTGCTTACCACCCTCCATGCTTGCTCTTAATCAAGTGTGTTCCATTCTTCTGCTTGGTGTCTATTTCTACAGATGAGTGCTCTTAAGAACCTGGGCCTCAATGTTGTTAAAGCTAATGTCTTCCTAGATGCTTCTGGGAAACACAACAAATTTGCCATAACAAAAGCGTAAGCTCAATATATGTTCTTGTTTCAATGTTTTGAGTTCTTAGGATTGTGTGTTTTAGCCATGGTTGGTAGGTGATCGAAGTGTTCGCACCTGATAGGTTGGTTACGAGTTTTGTTCTGACTGAGCTTCATTGCATCTCTTTTTACAGGAGCACCGGCAGAAAAGTTGATGATCCAGAGCTGCTGGAGGCAATTCGCTTGACAATTATCAACAACCTTCTTGAGTACCATCCGGTAATCATCAATAACATTTGTTCCTGAACCTTTGTGGAATCTGTCGTTATGAACGTAACCATAAACAAAGTAATTTGCGAAATTATAGACATTAAGCTCTTGCAATGAATGAGAAATATATGGTTTCAAGTCCCCAGTCCTAATTCAGCTTGCAGCTTCCACTTTTCTTGGTATACTGCAATTTAAAATCTCCTTGTTCAGTTTATGCTCCTGTTGACTATTGTATTCAAAATGACTTTCAAGTTTGGTAACAGGAATCAAGTTCCCAGCTTGCAATGGGGGCTGCCTTTGGTGTAGAACCGCCTCAACAACAGGTGGTTATTTGATTCCGTCATGTTTGTATACTACTATTGTTCTGACTCATGTATGTTTTTCCATTCTCAACCTTTTTGTGTGTTTGAAATCATAGAATCTAATTGCTTAACAAGGGCTATGAAACATTATGGCATCTTCTTTTCTTTTTCGAATTACTCTAACAGCTTCATGTGGGTTTCCTAAGATTGCTTTATGTTACTTTCTCAGATTGACGTGGATATAGCAACGCACATAACCATTTCCGAGGACAGTCCAGAACGAAGGTAAATCCGTTGTTCATAGCCCTGCTGAAGTCCTCCCAAAGTCACTAAATTTCCTTATGCAACAGCAATCACAGCCTGTAATGGTGCATCTGTTAGAATCAACAATGCTGAGAGTGCACTTAGCTGATAAACATTATGATGAAGTCACATTAGTCCACATAATCTAGTACTTAATTCATCGTATCAGGCATATATATGTGATGCAGTTTAGTGTTAAAAAGGAGAGCCATTATGAACTGTAGCTAATGCCATTCGTATGGGTATGCTTTCTTTGACAGCTTACTTTATGTGGAGACAGCTGATCGCCCTGGATTGTTGGTCGATCTTGTAAAGATCATCTCTGATATTAACATTACTGTAGAATCTGGGGAGTTCGACACTGAGGTAATACATATCTCTGTTCCAAGATGGGCTGGATTTCATCGCTTGCTATTCTCGCTGGGATGATATCTCATTGTTGCTTGCTTGCTTTTCATTCCAGGGCTTACTTGCTAAGGCAAAGTTCCATGTGAGCTACAAGGGCAAAGCTACCATCAAGCCCCTCCAACAGGTACAGCCCTGAAACATGACCTCTGATGCTTCATTATTTCTTTCTTTCGTCTTTTTTTTTTTTCTTCAACATTGTGATGAAGATGTTGCTTCTTGGTACATGGCAGGTCTTAACTAACAGCCTCCGATATTTTCTGAGGCGGCCTTCAACTGCGGACTCTAGCTATTGAGCCATTCCAAATCTGAGTGTGCATTGAAACCATAGATTTTTAATCCTCTTCCCTTTTTCTTTGTTAAGAATACTTTTTCATCTCCCCTCGCTCTTTCAATTTGCGATTCATTCCCAGCTCCAGTGGGGACAAATTGTAAAATCCTTAATATATAGAAAACGTGAAAAGGAGTCTCTCAACTTAGGCTTAATAAAACCTTTGCTGCGATGGTGATGATGCAGTGATTTGTGAAGCTAGGATACATCTGATGGACTTTTTTTCTCTGAACAGCACCTCGACCCAATCTTTGATATGATCCAGCAGCATGACTGCATGAGAGCCCAACCCATCTTTGTAGTTGTGCCCTTTAAGCACCTAAGCGCCCATCAATCGATTCTCAATGAGTATGCTACCTGAAGAAACATCCTCAAAGACACAAAATTAAGCATCAAATATCGCAAATTAGTTTATTCTAGTCAAATATTCAATGAACCCGATTATTGAAATTGCTCAAGATACCCTTTTTTAGCTTCTAGAATCTATTTCTTAGTTCATTATTCTAGTCAAATATTCTAGGGAGGATAATAAACGAACCTAAACAGAATCAAGTATTTCTTCCGAAAGAGTTCGAAGAAAGCTGACGAATAACAGAAGATGCACTCATTCGCAGTGTAATGACTAAGAAGAAACAACGGAACACATCCTCAGAGGACGCAAAAAAACTGAGGATCTCTGGAAATGCCTTAGACACTCCATCACGGTACATAACTAGAACACCCCTTTCAAAGAGTGGATTAAAGGCTTTAGGATCATTTAAGGCCTTAAATGCTCTAGATTGTCTGTTGCAACTGTTAGTTGTTTTTATGATTCTGATTTTCCTTCCAAAATAATGCAAATCGAGATCGGACTATGTCGAACTATTATTTGGTTCACGTGTGAATTTTAAACTGGCTTGATTCACTCGGAAACCTAAAGGATTACACCGCTACTTAAAATGATAAACCCTAGAGCAATAAGCCAATAACTATCCTAACTTTTTCCTAGTATAGGGACTTGTTTGTGCATAGCGATGAATATTTTGGGATCAAAATGGAATGTTGGTTTTTAAAGGACTGATATGTAATCATACAAATTACTCTGGAACGGATTAAGAAAAGAATTGAGAGTTCCATTTTTCGTTCCTCCCTTGCCCTTCTCTCTTTTTTTCTGGACGCTGTAGAAGAACTATCGATTTCATTGGCGTTTGCGGGAAGTTGAAATCATACGGGGTGAAAGAAGATGATCTACAGAAGGTGGAGCCTGCTGACTGGTCCGACGTCGATAATTGGCGGTATCGTCGGCGCCACGATCGTCGCCAACTACCTGTTCATTGAGAATGTAAATCCTTCCTCCTTTTCGCTCTGTTCCTTTCGATTTCCGAACCCTAGATTTAGCTTTGAAAGCTTCCCTCCGGTTATCGTCAATTCGAACTGATCAGAGGCGATAAGTTAGCATGTTCGATGCCTAACTCGGAGATTGTTCTCTTAATTCTCGAATCGTGGGAATTCTTTTTGTCAGGAATGCTGATTCGTTTGATAAACCTGGATAGGAGATATGATTCGTTGATTAGGAACTGTATTGTTTTGGCCATGTATGTGTTAAACGTTTGTGATTCTGCCTAAAGGAAATAACTTGAGTCTGCCCCTTGATTGTGTTTTGAGGGTTAATGATTGTGCCAGTTCTACTCTAATACCTTGGGCTGGTACTGCAACTTGCAGGACTGGCTTGTTAGACGAGACCAGAAGAAACAGCCTGATTCATCATCATCAGCAACGAAATAACAAGGTGGGAGAGTGACGATGTTGTTGCGAAGTCGTCTCCTGTGGTTTGTGCTGGTTCATTTTGCTTTCCTGGACTTGTTGCGAGTCTGCAATTCTAGTTTGGGATTGAACCCTTTTGTTGTTTTACTGGAACGACATGGATGCTCTGTCGGATGAATTGAGTAGTTTCGGTCCTTGCTAATAATTCAATTGCTGATTTGAGGGTGTCTTTCATAACTTTATGTTTTCCTGATGGCCTCATCAGAACGTGTTAAAAGCTTTCAATCAAGTTGAATCCTGCTGTAACAGTTTTCTTCTCCCTTTGGTGAATGATGGTTGTGTTATGATAAAGGGAAGCAAACTGCAAGTTTGATATTTGCCCTCAGTGGTATTAGAGTAAATGGAAAGGAAAGCAGCATATCAGCAGGAATGAACTCAGTAAGGGAAAGCAGAATCACAATTTTGTGAACAGAACAGAAGAGAAAGACAAATGAACAGTACGCAGGCGAGCATACTCGCTTGCCTGACGATGATCAGGTTTGATATGGTTGTGGAAGGGTTGTTTTTCCTGTCTCCTAGTTCCGGCCCCTGATAGACGTCATTCCCGACTTTATATCAATGACTTGAAAGTTGAATCATTTGGGTTGAAATCATTGTAGCTTTGCTTGAATTAGTTCTTGCAGCTTGGTACTGACATCAATCTTAAAAACACGTAGGCAGCTGAATGGACATCATCATACAGGTACTGTTCCATTTTGATTCAAAACCTGGATGGCTATTGCAGAAGTTGTCAATTGAGCCAAATATCAGGGCTAAGGTACAGTTCATCCAAAACTCGATGGTAACCAAGAGATGCATTGGTTTCCCTAGTCCCTAATCTGGGAAGAAGTTATGGTAATAAGAGATATATTGGTCCCTAATCTGGGAAGAAAATGTTGTAACCAAGTGGATTACAGTATAACACTATAATAAGCAGTTCTGATGCAAAATGAATATATCTTTTAGGTGACAATACGTCTATTATGTTAGAAGAGAAAAGAAAAGTCCATCTAGATTGCAAACAGATTAATAAATTATTACAATCCAATCATTTTAGTCATTCTCTTTACAAATGAAAAGGGAATCCACCCATGACCCTTTTATTATCGTCACCTATTTCTGAAAAGATTTTGCTCCATAAGCAGTAAGCTTGTATTATTATTATGCAGCAGCAACGTTGGTTCAGGTCCATTCATTTCTAAACTGCATTAACTCTGCAAAGCTGCTGCTACTCCACGCAGTCCCCTGCAATGGTAGGAAACTAGGAATGAATAGAAATATTATTATGAACCTTCAAACAGATAAATACAAAGGAGGTTTCCTACTCTGTTACATATAAAAAGAGATCCCAACTTGAATCTACCAAAACAAAACAAGAGACTTCTCAGAAAAGGAAAACATCAGGAAACAAGCGAATACACTAGACAGGCAAAATTTTGCAGTTCAAGAGCAGCAACAACAAAGAGAAAAGATGATGGGATTCAGGGCAGCCATGACACTATCAGCAATCCTGGCTGCAGTGCTAGTGATGGGTTGTGAAGCTGGTGGTGGAATATCAATCTACTGGGGACAGAATGGGAATGAAGGCACATTGGCGGAGACTTGCGCCACAGGAAACTATCACTATGTCAACATAGCATTTCTGTCATCATTTGGCAACGGACAGCCACCGGTGATCAACCTTGCTGGCCACTGTGATCCAACCAACAGCGGCTGTGCCGGTCTAACTTCTGACATCAAGTCATGCCAAGCTAAAGGGGTAAAGGTCTTGCTGTCAATCGGCGGAGGAGCTGGAGATTACTACCTTGCATCCAAACAAGATGCTCAGCAGGTTGCAACTTATCTGTGGGACAACTTCTTTGGTGGTTCTTCATCTGCCAGGCCACTTGGTCCGGCTGTGCTCGATGGGGTCGACTTCGACATCGAAGGAGGAACAAACCAGCACTGGGATGATCTGGCTAGGTTCCTGAAATCGCACGACGAAAACATCATACTGACAGCAGCTCCACAGTGCCCGTTCCCTGATGCTTGGATAGGCAGTGCACTTCAGAGTGGCCTGTTTGACTATGTTTGGGTTCAATTCTACAACAACCCTCCTTGCCAGTACTCTTCTGGGAGTGTCACGAACCTTGAAGATGCTTGGAAGCAATGGACCTCCGCCATTCCTGCTAAGAAGATCTTCCTGGGGCTGCCTGCTGCTCCTGATGCTGCTGGGAGCGGATTCATCCCCGTGAAGGACCTCGAATCGCGGGTGCTACCTGCAATCAAGGACAGTTCCAAGTACGGTGGTGTGATGCTGTGGTCGAAGTTCTATGATGATCAAACTGGATACAGCAAATCCATCAAGAACTCTGTCTAAGTTACGTGCTGAGCGGATCCCATCCGGTCATCCACACATGTTCACTAGCCTTGTGTGAATAGTTTGTGAGAATGCAGTTTGCTTGAATGTATTTATCGAGTGTTTCCATACTTTTATGTAAAAAAAAGGCAAAATACACTTGTATAGCCATAACTTTCACGTTTGTGACAAATATAGCCATAATTATTCGAAAACCAAAAATAGCCAATTCCGTCCATCTCTTTAACGGTGTTACTTAACACTCTGACTAGACTGACGGAAATGCTTACCTGGCGATACTTTGTCGGACACGTGGATTATAAAAAAAGGACATAAATTCAATTTTTCCGAGTTCATAAAATGAAAAATAAAAATAAAATTTTTTTATACAAAAAACTTCATCTTCCTCCCTGTACCTCCCCCACCATTGTTCGCCGCCGTCAACATCATCTTCATCCCTCCTTTCCCCCTACGATTCCCACCAGCGACGCCATCAAACCACCACCCACCCGCAGCCGTGAACAACCGCTCTCCGACTCCAAATCCTCCATCGACCTACCGACTCCAAATCCTCCATCCCCACTGCTCCCTCTTGCAGCTTATATTGCTTCCTCGAGATTCGCCCAATCAGTTCATCGATGGAGGATGGGTTCGGTGGTGAGAAACGAAAGGGATTTCTTCAAACCATGAAGAAGAACCCGATCTGGAACTGCGCCGAAATCGCAGTGATTGCCGCCATGAAATTCAACATCTGCAGGTGAGTGAATCCAACAATCTGGTTTCCAGATCTAGTTTCTGAGCAACTCCATGAGCCCAAGTCCCTCCACGCGTAGTCTCAACTGACCGACAAGGAAAATCCCCAGATTCCCAAATCAAGCCCGACTCTGGCTATTGGCGATCTGTTGGGCACGGTTCGGATTGGAAACGTCGCCGCGGGGAGATGGCGAATTGGGATTTCAGACTGGTCGTCGTTGCTTTGTCTGGGGAGAGTAGGAGGAGGATAAGAAGGCGAGCCAGTACGAGGAGTTGAAGGCGGAGAGAACTGCGGCGAAGGAACTGCAGGGCCTGGCTGTGCGGTAGGATCGGTGAGGCAGATCTGAATCGGAGACATAGGCTCTCCCACCGTGGCGTAGTACTCGATCCTGGTGGCGTCGGCGTCCATCGGAGAAAGAGCGAGAATCGAAGCCGACAGCAGCCCGATGCCCACATCAACTATGCGATTCTTCTGCTTGGGAACAGAGTTCAAAGAGGGGTTGCTATTGGCATTTCTGTCGAATTGAGGTTGCGAAGAGGAGAAGCAAGAAAACGAGCAAGTGGGTTTTGAAATGGAGGGAAGGGCTTGAGCGCGGAAGAGGGATTTGGGGCTTGCGATGGCGGCGGAAGCAGAGAGCACCATTTTTTAGTTTGAGATTTTTGTTGCAGGGAAGGGGATTTGATGAGGCGGTGGTGGATATTGAAGAACAGATGGGGAAGACGAAGGAGAGGAGAGAGGAAGAGGAGACTGGATATTGAAAAGGAAAAAATTAATAAATATTTTTATGTTTTTAAATTAGTTATTAATTGATTAACTAATTTATTTTTGAATTAAAATATGACATGGCACTTACGTGGCAAGTGTGGTTGAGTTGTCGCTGACGTGTGCGATGATTTGGCATCCTAGTCAGCCTAACGTTAATTTAACTAACGGAGTTTCTAACACCGTTAAAGTTTCTAACGGAAATGGCTAGATTTGTCACATGACCATCCAATTTCTTGGCTATTTGTGGTTTTCGAATAGAAATGGCTATATTTGTCAAAAGCGTGAAAGTTATGGCTATACAAGTGTATTTTGCCTTAAAAAAAAGGTTTCTTGTTGTGGTACATGATCTCTTGCTCTTTGTTATGTTCTTTGACCAATCGAATCCATAGATGACCGCTACTAGGGCTGCAAATGAGCTGAGTTTAGGCGTAGCTCATTTAATAAAACCTTAGCTCAAACTCGACTTTATTTAACTCAATCTCAGCTCATTAATGAGCTCACGAGCTCGATCTACTCGAGCTTACCTCATTTATCATTCTAAACGGTTGGAACCCCTAATTAAACTCTTAAATAATTGATAGATTAGATATCCTAGTAGAAGTAGCTAAAAGTACCCTATTAGATAGACAGGTGTTGTCAAAGCCGAGCCGGAGTATGACCCGATAACGTGAACGGCTTGGTCATTAGTGGTCCAGCCGACATTAGACGGTTTAAAAACCGTTTGAGAACCGGTACCTAATAAACAGTCATCTGTAATAGTAGACACTTCTTACAATGGAAAATCTAACACTACCTTTCTGAAACTTCTAAATAACTCAATCAAGTAAACAAATGCAAATTAACATTGAAATAAAAATGATGCAAATTAACATTACAATCAACCAGAAATTTGCATCAATTAGGTTTAACAAAATTAACTTACCTCGAGCAGGAGGTGAGTCGGCTGGTGGGAGATGTTGCGGACTGTGGAGGTGAGATGGCTGGAGCAGGGCAGTAGGTGGAGCAGGGCAGTGGTTGGGGGAGATGTTGCGGCAGGAGCAGGGCTGCAGGGGGCTGCTTGCGACGATGGCGGGGAGCAAAAGCAACGATGGTGACTGGCGATGGCGCTGCTTGCGGCGATTACGAGCTGCTTGCGCCGGGAGCGGGGAGCAGAAGCCACGATGGCGACTGACGATGGCGACTAGCGATGGCGCGCTGCTTGCGGCGGCGAGCTGCTTGCGGCGACGGGACGGAAGCGCTGGGGGCCTGGTGAGATGGTTGACGGCGGCAGGGTGGCGCCGCTCTCCCTCTGTCGTCTGTTCTACTTCTAGGTTGAAGATGGAGAAATAAAAGGAAAGTTTGGGTTTTGTTTGGCTGCCCAATTCCACGATTCATTTTCTATTTCTTTTAGGGTAAACCAAACGGCCGAACCGCGCGACCGGCTCGAGCGGTTAATCGCTTCGGCCGCTCGCCGGCCGCTGTATAAAACCGTGCCGGTTAAATAGCTGATCCGAGCCGATTTTACGGCCGGGTGGCGGCTTTGGCGGTCTGGCCGGCCGGCTCGGTTCGGCTTTGACAGCACTGTGTTACTATATATAGTTAAGTGAGTGATAATAGTGGGAGGGCCTTTGTTTCCATGATCATCAGCAGTAGCAAGAGCAGCTTTAACCTCATCCACATATTATACATGTGATTAATATGCTGATAAAAATAATGATAATAAATTTATGTGCTAAATTATCACAAGCTTATATTCTCTGTCAGAATATATTTAGTTTATAATTTCTCACTAGTTCAAACCATTTTATTGAACCGTACCAGTAGTTAAGCAATATATAATAAATAATTTCCCTTTGAAATTACAAATGGTACATATTTGATAGAAATTCAAAAACTTTAACCCTTCTATATTGTGAAATATACAATCTAGCAAATTTATGAACTATCAACTACTCAACTCATAATTTATAAATAGATCGATTTGCTAATACATCACTAGTTGGTGGGCTTGCTGTCCACATTGTCGAGCTAACTCATGACTTAAAAACAAGGCAGTTTACGAGTTAACCTCAACGAGCCACCGAATCGAGGTGGCTCCCGAGACTCGCGAGCTGAATAAGATTTAGCTCAAATTAGCTCTTTAGCCAACAAATCAATCTCGAGCAATTTTTTTCAAGTCGAAGACCTAGTCACTCGTCAGCAACTTGGCTCATTTGCAACCCTAGTACACTACTACTTTAAATTTTGACTATTAAATTAAGTTTAGTGATCACTGAATAAAAAACGTGAAACAGTTTAATTATCTCAATGAAATCATTTACTAATCTTAGTTTCACTTTTTATTTGTTAGACCAATGGTATTTGAATCCGATGTGTAACGAGTTTTAGGCCGAGAGCAAGTTTTATCCGGTTTAGTGTTTTTTAGTGACTGCTTTTTTTAGGGAATGAAAATTGAACGGGAATGAAAATTGAACTCAAACTCATGGATATCCAACTTATATATCGACTCTGATCAAAACCACTTGAATCCAATTTTAGTGTCTCATTCTATATTAATTTTCTATTTTGGAATAGCATTTAATAACAAGTCAAGGCTCTTCCTTTTGCTCGAAGCGGAAACCTACTACTTTGGGATTTTTTAATCTCTCTTTTTTCTTTTTTCTTTTTAAATTTTTCTTTCTTATAAATTTAACTACCTAGTTATCATCCCAATTGGGAGAAATACCCATGATGCCATCAAACTTCTCGAAATGAGGGACGGATACCACTGAAGTGAAAATAGTACATCGGGTACCATCCAAGTCTATGAAATGTGCATCCATTTTTATTTCCATCCATTTCACTGACGGAGGGGGCAAAACGCCACGTCAGCGGCAACTCTGGCCTGCTAGGTTGTTTACTCGGTTTTGTCGCAGATGATGGCGTCAGGCTCAAATCTGGACTTCAAATCATAGAATTAGGAATCGACTTCGAGGCATCTTCTCTTCTTGTAGAGAGTACCGGTCATAACTCACAATTGAGAAGACAATTTTCTTAGGAGCCCAGTTGTAGAAATCAATTCGACTAAAAGCATAGACGGCTTTCGTCGCCATTCCGGCATGGATGGAGCGGTGGATGAGGACGGAGAACGTTTCGCTACTGATTGTGATGAATCTTTGTTTCATTTGATCGATTATGTTCTACGCGTGATCGAATAGCAATATGGTCGGCCATCTAGTTGTTGGGTTCTAGCCTTCTGGGGAGGGAAGGAATTCATCGCTTAAGGGTTAATACTTTATTTTGGTATGAACTATGACCAATCAACTTTGGTACGTGGTTTTAGAAATTAACATCATGGCCTCAACTATGCAGCATATAGACTCAATTGGCCCGACACAAGGTTTGACCGTCAATTTGGACGGTCAACACGCCATGTCATTGCCTTGTCAGCCTAAAAATTATTAAAAAATTGATTTTCTCCATTTCAAAATTGGAGCCCCGAGATTGATATATATGAAGGGTAGTTTAGTGAAAACATATTTATATTAAAACTAGACATGAATACAAAATAAATAATCCCGCAACCAATCAAATTATGCCACATATTGTATTTTTCTCTCTGCTTATTTTGTCTCTCTCATTAACTGTAGACGAGTCATCTCTTTCGTTTCAAATCATATTTAACTTTTGTTTGCTTCAAAAACCCATATTCAACTAGATCTACAAAATGATACCCACTATGTGATATTTCGAAAAAACATTCATTTAGTCATAGAGTCATCAATATTCTTTTTGTTTATTACGATATTATATATATTGAAAATATACACTCTAGATTTGCTTGAAATTGGAGAAAAAATAAAATATAATCATATTTTATTCATTTTTAAATTTTATATGATATATTTAATGGCCAAAGTATGGTTCATGAAACCGTACCGGAAAAGTCAGCGATAGTAAATACCACCTATCAGCTAAGCCTCCGATACTGGTATTTTGTGGTTGAACCGCTGGTACGATATGGTATCATGAACCTCAAAGTTATACTTGTAGGACAAATTTATGAAAGTGAAAGTGACAATGATGAAACGAGATTTGAAGTAGGTTCTAAATATGGAAATAATGTTTTTCGATGATAAAGTAGAATAATTTAAATAAAATAACTGAGCAAATGTGTAATTGACCAATATTACAATGTAATTCAATTCAAAACAAATCGAATAAAAGTGTAAAACCATAAAGTATAGTCCCACCATACTTCTTCAGTTCGGCCCGTTTAGAGTGGGCTTATGTGATCGCTCTGGTAATGGGCCATTCTATTAGCCATGACAACATTCGAAGTCCCGATCCGCTAGGAATTCGGACGGCTCTTGTATAAGAACTTTTCTATCGGGCATCGGCACCCTAGGGCTGCAAATGAGCCAAGCTGTTCGGTCCCGATCCGCTAGGAATTTGGACGGCTCTTGTATAAGAACTTCTCTATCGGCACCCATAGGTTGCTTGGGCCTCGGCCCACTAGTGGTCTGGTATGTTACAACTGTGGAGGAAAATGTCATATTAAACCTTACTGCCCCAGCCCATTGATTAATCAGCATACTTCCTCGGCCCAAACTGTTCAGTCTGCTCATCCCCGCCCATCTCAAACCCCTGCTGGCCCACACACTCTTTTGTCCTCCTCGCCTGTCCAGCCTTTTAATTCTCATCAATGGATTTTGGATTCGGGGACGAATCATCATCTCACCTCGGAATTGGACAATCTTGCTCATCATTCTGAGTATAACAGGACTGACCAAGTGACTTTTGGCAACGGTAACTCTCTTCCTATCTCTCGTTTTGGATCCTCCTCAACTTCATTATCCAATACTTCGATTTCTTTGGATAATATTCTGCATGTGCATGGTGCTCCCTATAATCTTCTCTCCATTAGCTCTCTCACTCGTTCTAATCCTATCTCGATTGAATTTTTTGACTCTCTGTTTCTCATCAAGGACCGACGCACGGGGCGTGAACTTCATCGTGGCTTTGCCGTGGACGGTCTTTACTCGCTTCCTCTCAATATTTCACGGCCCCTTTCCCCTATTGCTTGTGTGGCTTCGTTTGACACTTGGCATCGTCGGCTTGGGCATGCTCACGAACGTGCGGTCAAGCAAGTCCTTCACCAGCATCAAATAAAATTCGCCCAATCCCCTCCTTCTTTGTGCCATGGCTGTGCAGTCAGTAAAATCCACAAACTCCCTTTTTCTGCTTCCACGTTCACTGCTCAAGCCCCTCTCGAATTAGTTTGTAGTGATGTATGGGGTCCTGCTCCTATTTTGTCGTACAATGAGCAATCCTATTATATTCTTTTCTATGATCATTATAGCAAATTCTCGTGGATTTATTTTATTCGTTATAAATCACAATTGCTTAATGTGTTTATTCAATTTCGGCAATTAGTGGAAAAATATTTTGGCCTCCCCATTAAAACCTTTCAATCAGACTGGGGTGGCGAATTTCAAGCTCTATCCACTTATCTCGCCCAAAATGGCATTGCTCATCGCTCTTCGTGTCCTTATACCCCTGAACAAAACGGGTGCGCCGAACGTAAACATCGGCATATCGTTAATAACGGTCTAGCTCTTCTTCATCACTCCAGTGTACCCTTGAAATACTGGCCTCTTGCTTTCGACACAGCCTGTTATCTAATCAATCGTACACCTACTCCGCTTCTAGCTCATGATTCCCCATTTCATTTTCTTTTCCATCGCGCCCCCGATATCGCTAATCTTCGAGTCTTTGGGTGTCTCTGCTACCCTTGGCTTCGTCCGCTCACTCCCAACAAATTGGTTCCTCGCTCTATTCCGTGTGTTTTTCTTGGGTATAGCAAGCTCCACAAGGGTTATCGTTGCCTTCACATTCCCACTGGTCGGATCTATGTTAGTCGTCATGTATTATTTGATGAAGCTCGTTTTCCGTTTGCCGAGTTACCTAACCCCTCTCCACCTTTACCCACCCGTTCCACCTCCCAACCCATTTTTCTGCCCCCTCCACCTGCTGCTCTTCCTAGCCCATCACCCCCTGCCATTTCTAAGCCCATTTTAGATAATATTCTAAGCCCAACTCCTACCTCCCCTAAGCCACTAACCCAGCACCCATCCAAGCCCACCCAGCCACAAGCAACGATCTCTTCCCCCGTCCCTCGCCCTCTTCTCCAATACACGCGCCGCCATGTTACCACCGCCCAACCTCCCCGCCCTGACACGCCTATCCCCTCTCCTCCATCTGCAGCTACCCAGCCCTCGCCCTCGGCGCCGCTTTCCCAATCCACCTCCCTACACCAGTCCGAACATCAAACCCACACTGAACCGCCCTCTCCATCTATAATTCTTCCATCTCCCTCGTCCTCCAATCCTCCCTCCCGCCGACCACCATCATCCCTGCCCCCTCGCCGCCCGATCCCGGATCGCCCTCCCTTTTCCACCTCACCCAGACCACGCACTGTTACCCACCCCACGAGCTCCAACCATCCCATGGTAACCCGAATCAAAACAGGAAACCTAAAACCCAAGACCTTTCTCTCTATCCTACACATCGATGACACTCCCACTTCTGTCAAACAGGCTCTCAAGAACCCCCTCTGGCGCTCGGCTATGCAAGAAGAATTCGATGCGCAGCAACGCAACCGCACCTGGGACTTGGTCCCCCCGCCACCCAACTGCAACATTCTCTCCAACAAGTGGGTCTACCGCACCAAACTTCATCCTACTGGTTCGTTGGATCGTCGCCGTGCCCGCTTGGTTGCTCGTGGTCTTGAGCAGATTCCGGGCCTGGATTTTCAACAAACATACAGCCCTGTTCTCAAACCTGCCACGCTTCGCCTAATTCTTGGTCTGGCAGTCACTCACGGATGGCCTCTCCATCAAATTGATATCGCAAATGCGTTTCTTCATGGTCACCTGCAGGAAACAGTCTATATGCAGCAGCCTGCTGGCTTTGTCGATCCCGACAAGCCCGATTATGTATGTCGTCTACGAAAATCGATTTACGGCCTCCGTCAGGCGCCTCGAACATGGTTTAGTTGTCTTGCTGCCGCCCTTACCCGTTTCGGATTCTCTGTTTCCAGGACTAATCCGTCTTTGTTCATCTATAAGACAGGTCCAACTCGGGTTTATATGCTCGTCTACGTCGATGACATCGTCATCACAGGCAATGATTCAACTATAATACAGAAGCTGTTCACATTTCTCCGCGACAACTTTGTGCTTCGTGAGTTGGGCCCTCTATCTTATTTTCTTGGCATTGAAGTGTGTCGAACGTCCACTGGTATTCTTCTTCGGCAGCACAAATTCATACAGGATTTGCTTGAACGTGCTCATATGTCCGAGGCGAATGCAATCTCCACACCCTGCACAAATGAGATTGTTCAGCAGTCAGCCATGTCCTCTTCCCCTCTGTTCGCGGATCCAGCTATGTATCGCAGTATAGTCGGTGGTCTGCAGTATCTCAGCTTTACTCGCCCCGACGTTGCATTTGCGGTGAATCATGTTTCTCAATTTCAGCACTCTCCGACGGATAATCATTGGGCTGCTGTCAAAAGGATCCTACGATATTTGAAAGGTACTATGGACCGTGGCCTAGTCATCACCAAATCTTCATCTCTTCATGTTCACGGCTACTCAGATGCCTCGTGGGCATCTTGCCCCCAGGATCGCAAGTCAGTCACTGGGTTCGCTGTATTCTGTGGGTCCAATCTGGTTTCCTGGTCTACAAGGAAACAAAAGTCCGTTGCACGGTCATCTACTGAATGTGAATATCGTGCTCTTGCTACTCTTGCTTCGGAGGTCCTCTGGTTACAGTCCTTACTCACTGAATTAGGACAGCAGCTACCCTCAGCTCCAGCTCTTTGGTGTGACAACTTAGGGGCCACTTTCCTTGCTCATAATCCAGTGTTCCACAATCGGTCGAAGCATATGGAAATCGAGTTCCACTTTGTGCGTGATCAAGTCAGCAAGGGACAGCTTCACGTGCATTTTCTCCCGGCTCCCGAACAGCTAGCAGATGTTCTCACTAAACCGTTACCCCGCCAGCCCTTCAACAAGTTCTGCTCCAAGTTTCGACTCTCCGAGCCTCAACTTGCGGGGGGGGGGGGGGGGGGGGGGGGGGGGGGTGATGAAGTGTACATGCTTCCAGCCTTTTAGGCTTCTTGTTATCTGTTGACTGTGGAACGTTGCACTCCACCATTATCTCCAGCTTTTACTCTTTCTGTTACTTTCCTTCCGTTGCACACTCTGTTACTCTTGTAATATATAAACATTGAGTTAATAATAGAAATCTCAGGTCTTGAGTCTTTAATTTCCACCCAACAAATGGTGGGTGCAAAGGCCTAAGCTCCGAGATCAAATCGTGTCAAAGGAAAGGCATTAAAGTCCTGTTCTCCATTGGAGGTGGGGCTGGCAGTTACTATCTCGCAGGTACAGATGATGCAAGGACAGTTGCAACTTACCTTTGGGATCGCTTCTTGGGGGGCCATTCCTCTGACAGGCCACTCGGTCATGCGGTTCTTGATGGGATTGACTTCGACATTGAAGGTGGGACCACCCACTACTGGGGTGATCTAGCCAGGTTCCTGAAAGATCACCACAACAATGGCCAGAAGGTGTACATAACTGGAGCTCCAAAATGTCCATATCCTGATGCTTGGATTGGGAGCGCCATTAGCACGAGACTTTTGATTATCTCTGGGAGCAATTCTACGACAACCCTCCCTGCCAGTATTCTGGTGGGAGCATTGATGGTCTTGAAGATGTTTGGGAGCACTGGACTTCTATAGCTCCTGCCAAGAAGATCTTCTTGGGATTGCCTGCTGGAAGCAGTTTCATCCCTCTTCATGAACTCATCTCCACGGTGCTTCCTGCAATCAAGAGATCTCAGAAGTATGGTAGCATTATGTTGTGGTCTAAGTACTATGATGAACAAACTGGGTACAGCAAAGCTATAAAGAGCCATGTCTGATTTACCAATCATTTTCGAAGGAAAGGCTTGGCTGGCTTCCTGCAGTTACATGCATCAATGGCAACCTTGTTTTGAAAGTAGAAGATGAGAGCTGAAGACCTTAAGTTTATGTGTAATGTAATGTAAGTATTACTGCTACTAGAGGTGGCAATTTCAATCCAATCCACCAATCCAATCCATCAATTCATTAAAAATATCCACCTAATCCAATCCATTTAAATCCAATCCATTTTATCCAAATCCAATTGGATTGGTGGATTCATGGATTGGATCCATGGATCATTGGCAAATTACGGTTTAGTACCTATAATTTTTATTTTTTACATTTTGGTACCTAAAATTTAATTTTTTATACGAAAAATATCATTGAAAAATTACGTTTTGGTACCTAAAATTTTTCATTATGACATTTTAGTACCTAAACTTTTTACATTTTACATATTGGCCCTTGGTTGAGGATGTCATTTGGATTAATGGATAATCCACCAATCCACTTGATCCAATCCATGAATCCACCAATCCATTAGATCCAATCCATTTGATCCATGGATCCACCAATCCAATCCACCAATCCAATCCATTTGCCACCTCTAACTGCTACTAGGGGTGGGCAATGGGCGGGTTGGGTGGATTTTGGTCTAAAATTGACCCACCCGCTTACTAGTGGGTTGAAATATATGTGACCCGCAATCCACCCACATACTTATGCGGGTTGGGTTGGGTGGGTGGCGGATGGGTGCGATTGGGTCGCGGGTTAACCCACAAAAGCAATTCTCCAACTAGCCAAAAATTAACTAACATTTATAATAAGTTCATAGCACATTAGTAAGATTGTATCAATAATTTGTGATTTTGATACAATTAATAATTTATAGTTTGTATCTCAATATTTAATGGATATTAACAATAATTTGCATACCAATATCCATTGCAAATGGATAGCACAACACAATAACCAATAATAGTAGTCAAAACAATTATTTATTCTCCACCTTTTGCAGTATATGGTCATACTATAGTGCATTTTGAAAATATGATGAATATTCGATACTATAAGAAACAACATTTTTCCATGTAAAAAATAGAATGTGGGTCATACGGGTGACCCGCAATCCACCCACCATCCACACACATAAGTGCGGGTGGGAGATTTAACAATCCGCAATCCACCCACATCAATCACCCATTGCATGCGAGTCGGGTTATTTGTGGGTGGATCGATATCAATCCGCGGATTAACCACCCACGTGCTCACCCCTAACTGCTACTACTCCCTCTTTTGGTTTTTCCTTTGCCACTACTCTTGGGGCTTCACTAGAAATCCAATAAGGTCATGGACCATAGGTAGTGTTACCTTCCAGACTCAATAGCCAAGTCTTCGCTAGAAAGACCAACTTGCAGGTTTTATAGTTACCAGTATCACTATGTGCCCCAAATATCACTACTATCAGTAGAGGGTTAGATCAAGCCCCACAATGTGAAAATTGGAGCTTAGTGCCCTGATTATACCGAGCTTGAAGTACTAAACATTGTGTAAATAAAAGATGAAAGAAGAGTTGCGGAACTACAAGATCCTAATCAAGTCTTTCATGTACAGGTAGGCTGCCTTCTTAATTAGGAAACTTCTTTCTAGCTCAGATATCCCAATAGTGATTCACTCCATTCATAAGGCCAAGCTACTAGGGTCAAAAGTAACAATAGCTTCACTAAGCATCCAAAATAAACAGGGCAACTCAGAAGTAGCAACGAACAGTAAGATTTCATTAATTTAGCAGCAGAGTTCAATGAAAGAAACTCTTGCAAGGAAATAAAGGACCTGATAAACAAGTTGTAATAGTAATACTACAAAGCCACTCAACCATTCTACATAGCATCGCGATACGCTTCAAGCTGAGGGCCAGTTAACCTGCAAATCCTCCACTCAGGCAAGACTTTTGCGCCCATCTCTTCGTAGAACTTAATGGCGTTCACATTCCAGTCAAGCACCACCCACTCGACCCTCCCATAACCCAACTTCACAGCCTGTGCCGCCACAGCAGACAACAGCATCCTCCCAAACCCTTTCCTCCTGTAACACTCCCTCACGAACAAATCCTCCACATAGAACCCTGGCTTGGCCAAGAAAGTGGAGTAATTGGGGAAAAACAGCACGAATCCGGCAACCACAACGTCGTTCTCGGGCCCGCTGCTGCTACTCTTGAACGATTCGGCTTCCGGGTCGACCAGGGGAAGGTCCAAGTTGACGATACGGTCGATCGGGGCGAAACCACTACCAGAAGAAGGCGGTGGATTGAAAAATGGGGAGTGTGAGATTTCGAGGAGGAAGACGGTGAAGGACTGGAAAGGAGGCGAGTTGAAGAGGGTGGAGGAGAGGTCGGATTCGGTGGCGGAGCAGATGTGGGTGAGCTTCTCGAAGACGGCCATTTGGTGGATGAGTTTGTGGATGTGGGGGACGTCGGCCGGTGTAGCCAGCCTGATGCGGGAGAAGAGGGTATGGCCGAATGGGGCGGTGGAATCGGACTGCGGCAGGCCAGTGGGCGGCGTGGGAGCCGGGGTTGGCGGCGGCGGAGGTGCTGCGGCGGCCATTTCTCGGTGGGAGAGTATAGAGTTAGGGGTTTCTAGAGCAACTGAGAGGAAGCGAAAAAGGTGAATGGACGAGAGAAAAGGCAGTGCTGTTGCTTTGAACAGTACTTTGCTGCGGCGAGGGGATTTTTTTTTTTTTTTTTTTTTTGAAGAATGGCGAGGGGATTTTAAAACAGTCTCTCTCATGCATTTGAAGAATAAATACTTCCAGAGAGAATAACGATATATAAATTAAACTGACAACTGGGCCATCATGGATCTGGGTTTTCTTAGTCTGGCTGTCTGGGCCGGGCTAAGTTTCTTCTGTTAGTAGTCCTTTTGTGGGTCAGAATTAGTTTTGGGCTGGGTTTCTTCAATTCTTTCCTATAAGGGTCGTCCGACTTTCCAAAACGGGTTAATTACTTGATCTCATAAGATGGAATGAAAATCCAATTCTTTGATTAATTTTAAATATTCATATGGAACCATGTAAGCAAATCATATAGTGCTGTTTTGGATGGATAAATTGTAAAACGTGTCACTTTAAAAATATAAGTTGTTTTCAATTATTCATCTCAGGCAAAAAAAAAAAATGATATATACTCACCTCAGGCAATTATATTTTTCTCAAAATAAGTCAATTCGAAATTCCTCAAATTTCTTTTCGTCCAAAAAAAATTATGCCAAACGGATCGATTGATCAAAATGAGTCAATTCGAAATTCCTCAGATTTCGTCCAAAATATGTGATGCCAAACGGGTCGATTGAGTCAAATTTTTTCAAAATGGTATAGTTTGGTTTAATTGATCCGTTTGAATTTCTCGTACAAACATTCTCATAAGATTCATACATAAACTCTCAAGAACTCAATTTATTCGTACTAATTGGTTGATGAACATAAGAGTTGAGTTTACATATATAATTATACCGTTGGTTTGGAAATTGAGGTTCATGACTGCAGTCCATCAACATATTGATTCAACCTAATTATAATTTCAACAAGTTGCTTGTAAATAATGTACAAAACCCAATTTCTTTAATAAAATGTTCTCCTTGGTATACAAAGAAATTGAGGTTCATGACTGCAGTCCATCAACATATTGATTCAACCTAATTATAATTTCAACAAGTTGCTTGTAAATAATGTACAAAACCCAATTTCTTTAATAAAATGTTCTCCTTGGTATACAAATATATTCGTCACCTTAATTGTAGACAACTAGCTGGATTTCTAACTATATTTTCCTTACCATTATTTTGAAAAATAAATCCCCTCTCAAACAAAAATCGTTTTCACGTCGCATTCCCCACTTAGTATTATAATTTCTCAATTACATTGATATAATAATACACATTTACTATAAACCAAAGTCCTCACTATTCAAATCAACCTCAGCTAGCTAGCTAGCCTAGCGAAACTCGGCTCCACACTTGCGAAAAAAATTAGATTAGAAGAATCAACAACATCTCCGATCCGATCCCATGCCAACCGGCGGCCAGCGGCTGTTCGGCCTCCCCGCCCTCACAATCGCCGTCGTCGTGGTCATAACAGCCACCGCCGGCCTCCTAGTCTACCGCCTCTGGGTCTACCTCTGGTGTAGTTACAACTCCACCACCACGCGGGAAGACGACGCCGACCGAGCGCCGGCCCCAATTCCGCCGGTACTCCCGCTCCGCACGGTCATGAACTTCAACGACGCCAGCAGCAACAGCCTGGAGCAGCAGTACACGTCGGTGGACCACCTCATCCCCACGTGCCAGTACAGCGACGACGTCGGCACCGTCGCCAAGACGGAGGATTATGGCACGTGCGCGGTGTGTTTGGCGCAGTTCGCGGTGGGCGAGGCCGTCCGGGTGCTGCCGGAGTGTTTACACATTTACCACGCCGGCTGCATCGACGCGTGGCTATTCCAGCACTCCGACTGCCCCGTTTGCCGGACCGACACCGGCGTGCGCGGTGTCGGTTGATTGATTGATCAAAGTCCGATGTCAGCTGTCTGTCACATTCCGGCCTGCAATTGGCGGTAGAGATGATCAAATGTTTCATATTTACGTTTAGCGACACGCCGGCCGGTTGCTGCTCTTTCATTTTCCTTGTATGTTGAATACTGTTAATTAATTACCCTGCCTGACTAGAGTAATTGTTAGTGATTTTTACTGATTAAATAATTTGCAGGGGGAAATGAGTTGAAGTTATTCCGGCCGGCTTCCCTTTTCTTAATTTTGTGTGAAAGGGAAGGATTGTCTTCGTTTTGTTTTTATATGCATATACTACTTCCTTCAAGGCTTCAACTAATCAATCATGGTTGCATTGATGTTGGACTATAATAGTTTTTGATAAATAATATATATATATATATCCATCATGTTCTCTTAAAAACACAAATTATGGTTGTAAGGACAAAAGCCATATATTTGTAGATACATTGAATATGTTATTTTCTTCCTTAGAAAGCAGAAACGATAATTTCGATCCGATTTATTTTGGGTTAGGGGTATGGGTACTTTTTACGATCTGATTTGTCCTAACACGTCTCATTCTTAGCCAATTTTGCCTAAAATCACAGGCAATTTTAACATATTATTTATGATTTTACCTCATAATTTAGCTACTGACAATCTCGATTTTTATAATAGTTTAACTACATTAATCATGTTATAATATATTTCTTTATCTTTGTAATGAAAATTGAATCTTTTTAATATTTTCCTATTCGACCTGATTCAAATTGCACCCCATGATAAATTACTCAACCTAGCTATACGGGCATAAATATCGAGATACCCATTTATCTTTACCAGTTGTTTGACCTCTAAATCATCGAGACCGCCCCGAGTTAGGCAGGTGATCGACACTAAGCGCTGAGCAGCAACGCCACCAATCACAGACGAAAGTTAAAACCGAGTTTCCAACGACAATAAAGATAATATCTTAACGAGTCAGAAAAGTTAAAACCCAATGTTTCCACGTTATACGAATCTCCATTGAATTACCCCTAAAGGGAACAGGACAGGAGGTTGCACCAATCAATGTGGGTGCCATTAATTAAAATCCAGCTCTACCAGGAAGTCTTCAAACGAAACCTTCACAAATGTTCAAGTTGTTACCCATAATTGGTTGTCGTCAAGAGGTCATAAATCCAAGTTGCAGAAGAGGCATTCAGCTGAACCAACGCTCTAACCACATAACCAAAGCTCCACGGTTTCGCAGCAGCCCTGGCATCTATCGTCCTCTTCAAAAGCGGCTACACCTTCTTGAATACCCTCCACACTGTGAATAGGAAGGCTATAATCATGATCAGAAGCAGGCTTGTTTGAACTGCTAAGCAATTATACAAAGAGAGTGAGAACAAGACAAACAAGAACTCGGAATGCTTCCCTGAAGTTCTTATTCTACTTCCAAGGGTTTCATTTCTAAGCTATAGAGAAGCGACCACGCTTCATTTTTCACTATAACCCACTCTTATAACTCTAATGTAAAGCACAGTAAGTTCCCAAATAAGGTATAATAGTAGGTTAGTCTTTTACTGTGACACTGACAACTAATCATTTTTGGTGGCTTTGTATTTGGTACTGTGCAGCATGGTTCAGATTCATTATGTTTATAAAATCAATCAATCATCTAGCAAAGGAACTTACCAAGTACGCACCCAGGAATGTAAGGTCCCTCAGCCATCACCTCTTGCGCTTTAGGGTCTTGATTTGTTTCATGATGTAGGCAATGACCTCTTTCAGCGTGGCTTTGCGTTCTTCTTTGTAATTCCAGAGCTCACGAATAATATACCTCCCACTTGGATTATACTCATTCAATTCCTTCAGGGCAGTAACCACAGCTGAGTATATCTCCTCGCCATGCTCCTGACGGAGACCTTTCAATTTTTCATCTTCATCATTCACAATTCCCTGTAGCAGATATCGTGTTATGATTGCACATTTCTCATGATTACAAAGGTTCTTGACACTAACAAAGAGAAAAAGAAGAGATTTTTTCACCTTCTCGGTCCCATCGACAATAATGACTTTAAAGGGGTACCATTCAGAATCTTTCAGATTCTCCTGCCAGGAGCTGCATAGTGTTGCAGCAGTGACCTCAGCATCTCCGGGCGGATATTTCTTTTTGCATGCATTATAGAAAGCCTTTTCATCCAGTTCGCCCATCCTCTTTATCCCAATGATGGTGCGAGCCTTATCAGATAAGGTATCACACAGGCCCTACAAAGTAAATTAGCAGACAACCACATTAATCCAAGTAACCGTTCAACAATATGATGGGAATCCATTAACAGTGGCCAGCATGGAAAATCAGGCAGCAAGTAAATAACCAGAGTCTTCAACTCATTACCTTCCCCCCAACCTCGATGAAAAGAAAAGAAAAATTGTCTCTCAATATCAACAGGGAAATAGAGACACAAAGGAAAAACACTGATTTTACTGTGTACAGTGCATTAGACTGATACCCTTGTGCTTAATATCTGCAAAATTGTCTCTCAAAATTTAAGGGACAGAGAAACAGACCTCTATGAGCAGCTTCCGTGCTTCTTGCAGCTCATCATTGCTTTGACGCTCTTTTACAATGAGAGTTTGATTAAGAGTCTCTACACTATTCAGATCCTCTATTTTCTGCTCCAACTCATCATGATACTCTTTCATGGTTTTCTTAACAGCTGCATCATCCTGATCCTCAAGATGTTTCATCACGTTTAGTTTCCCCTTTAGCTCCTGAATTTCCATTTCAAGCTTCTGTTTTGCATCAAGCTGCTTCTCCAACTGAATGATCTTATTTAAGGCCTCCTCTTTTTCCCTCTGAACATTTGTAAACCACCACAGGAAAAAGTAATTAAGTGTAACAAGTGCCGACTACCCATAAGCCAGACCACAATGTGAGAAATTACCTTTTGCTCTTCAACCAGTCTTAGAACATTCTCATCAGCCTTCTTCTGCTCCATTGATGCCAAATTGAGCGAGTTGTTTACAACGTCATTCTAAAACACCCAACAAAAATGTTAATATTGAGCATTAAGCATCATCCCAGGGCAGGATATCAAAGTCCAGCTTTTCCTCTTCACAACCTGTTAGGATATTCAAATTCACCATTATAAAAAAATAAAATAAAAACTATCTGTTAGGAACTGTTACCTTCTTCATGTCCTCATCAAGCCTTTGCCTCTCACGGTCTGTTAATGCTTCTCGCTTATTCAATTCTTTAGTCCAGTTATCAATTTTCTTTTTCCTCAACTCCAATTCATTGTTCATTCTTTCCTGCTCAGCCAAAATTCTGTGAACATTGTCTCGTGCAACCCGCTGCATCTTCCTTGTTTCTGTTTACCAATTAAAAGCAAAATATTGAACCAACATAATTCATGATCTTAAAAACAATGATAATCTAAAGCTGAACAACTGAATGAAGCAACATCATAATCTGCTACTACATTCTCAGTAATGAGCATAAATAACAAGAGAACAACAACAAAAAAACACCCAGTTTCTGAATTCAGTTTGAATTCTAGGGTTCATTCAGCACAGTAACAAACTGGAAATGGAAACATAGCAAACAAACAAGCAAAATACCTAGCAGAAAAGGTTTCCAGACAGATATAGTAATGTGAAATGGCAGCGAGCATAACCTCAAAAGAGTAGGAAACGAACCTTCAACAAAAGCATTATGCAACTTGTCTTTCTCTTCTAGTGTTCTGCTTAATGTCATTGCATTCTCATTGTACATACTCTGTAATTTATCAAGATCTTGATTGGTCTTGGCAATTTCTTCTGTCAGGCCAGCTACCACTGTATTTCTGTTTTGATTGGTTTCTTGAACAATGCCAGAGATTGTAGTCAGCTTTGCTTCTTTCCGGAGATACTCCCCTACTGGTCCATCCGAATTATAGTCGTCACTACGTGCACACCAGCCATAGAAACTTGACCCGGGAGCATTTTCGCGTGCCTTCCAATCCTTCTTACCATGACGATGACTTTCAAACGACTTTTCAAAATCGGTTGCTTTTGTGAAACCATTCCAATCACTGTCAAAATGCAGTACAGCTTGACTAGCCTGGTGATTCTCATTCCACAAAACATGCACTTTTGCAGGTTTGTACTTGGCAAAAGTTCTTGACCAGTAGTCATTTTCTTCTTGTCCTTGGGAATCCGCTGATTTCACAGCAGACATGTTCACCACAATTCCCATCCACGGCCATGCAAACTTGTCCTCTTGGTCCGAAGATGGATTGGTGACTTGAGGTAAAGGTCGAGTCAGCGTCTCATCAGCTAGATCAGCTAAATCAATTTCCAAATACTTTGCCAAGGCAAGGTGGTTAGCTTTTTGCTTCCCGCTCCTACTGGCAGCACCCTTGCCCACTCCTGACGCGTGTTGAAGCAACTCCTTGTACTTGTATCCTTGCTTTTTCTTCCCAGCACAGAAGGGGCATTTCAAAGTCCCGTGGACCTGAACTTTGTAAGCCTGAGATTGCAGCTTCTCGTATGGTTTGTCCACATAATCATTAATCTCTGACTCGCTGATGTCCGACTCTTCCTCAGAAGATTGACTCATAGCTCAAACTATTGACAAGTCGAAAAAACAGAATCACACACCTCAATTCCGATTGAGGAAAAAAGAAATGCACCATCAACGAGCAAAGCTAATATCGAACACAAATAGACTCATTATCCCCTTCAGAGAAACCCCCCATAAAACCCTAGATGAACCCTAAATTCCCTCTCTGACATACATGCATTTCATCATCCATGTGGGTGCCGCAACATACTACGGTTAACTAAACTGTGGAACCTGGCAAAGCAAAACTAGAGCATCTAATCATGAATTGAAGCATCGCGAACGCAATACAAAATTGGTTCAGAAACGGAAAGAAGAAACCCCACATTGTTTCTCAAACAGCAAACAGAGAGAGAGAGAGAGAGAGAGAGAGAGAGAGAGAGAGAGAGAGAGAGAGAAAGAACGGGTCCTATTCTTACTCAGCAACAGGAATTTGGACGGAGGGAATTACCGGAGAGTGGAGCGGTCAAAGAGTGAGGGCTCCTTTTATCGGTCTCCTTCTGAAGCCTTAACTACTCGTCACTTGATACTCCCGTCTGCTTTCCTCCCTTCCCTCCCCTCTCCTCTCGCGTCGTTGCTATTCCTCAGCTGAGAGTAAAGCAAGAAAGGGGAAATGAGGGGTTACAGAGAGAGAGCTATTGGCGTAGTGATGACTGGCAGAATAGTGAGCGTGACGATGACGTAGCTGTATTGTTTTTTTTTTTTTTTTTTTGGTAAAATAGCTGTATTGTTTTCAGGTGAAAGCGAAGCTGCTGTATATTTCCACACAGAGAGAGAGAGAGAGAGAGAGAGAGAGAGGCAAGCTGTGTAATCAGCTGCGCTCGGGTTGATGTAAAAAAAAAAGGTTGGGTCTACCCGGAAAATGGACCTGTTTACGCCATAAATTTTGTCTTGTACCACATTGATGAGTTACAAGATAATCAAGAAGTTTATAAGGCCACACCCATTATAACAATTAATGTTGTTTAAATTGGGTCTTATGGATATTGATTTTAAACCTAAGTCACTAGCTCATTAATGAGCATGAACATGATTCAATAAGGGACATGGGCCTCTCGTAAGAGGCCATGCCATGCCACGAGATGGCATAAAAATTTCTAAGTATGAGAAGTCCATGGCCATGAATGAAGAGGACATGCCGTCTCAACAAAGAGGGCCATGTCCATCTAGAAAGTGAGGAGCACATGCCGCCCCGCGACCAATACCGAATGACTGAAAAATAAACTAAGTCTGGAAGAGGTACATATCGCTTCAAGGAGAAGCATGTGCCACTTCAACGAGAACGCAAGAAAAGATACTAAGTATGAGAGGATCATGCCGTGTCACGAGAAGGGCCACAGACATGACTGAGAAGTCCATGGCCGCGAATGAGGAGACCATGTCGCCTCATGATCCAAAATATACTAAGTCTGAGAAGGTCATGCCGCCTCACGAGAAGGGTCATGTGCATAAGGAGAAGCATGTGCCACTTCAACGAGAACGCAAGAAAAGATACTAAGTATGAGAGGATCATGCATACTAAGTATGAGAGGATCATGCCGTGTCACGAGAAGGGCCACAGACATGACTGAGAAGTCCATGGCCGCGAATGAGGAGACCATGTCGCCTCATGATCCAAAATATACTAAGTCTGAGAAGGTCATGCCGCCTCACGAGAAGGGTCATGTGCATGATTAAGAGGTCCATGGTCGTGTCATGTGATGGCCATGGACGCGAAGCAAGAAGCATTAGAAATGATTGAAAATACAAAGTATGAAAAGGCCATGCCGCCTCATGAGAGGGTCCTTGTGCATGATTGAGAAGTCAATGCCACTTCACAAGAGTGGCCATGGACACGAATGAGAAGGGCGTGGTGATGGAGCATTATATCACTAGTGAATATGTCTCAAGAGGTCCATGACCGTTAGACAAGAAGGTCATGGACATGAGTAAGAAGTTCATGGCCGTAAGACAAGAAGGCCATGGACATGAGTAAGAAGTCCATGGCCGTGAGGCAAGAAGACCACGACCCCCTTTGCGAGACACTACATGCTCGTCAAAAGACTAGCATGGCACGAGATTCAGAACAAGACCAGGCGAGACAAGCTACACTCCAAAACCCACGACGGTTCCAAGAGAGGCACCTAGGCGGTTGAAGGAGTAACCACCACTCCAAGGAAGCAGGGAGCAGTTCTTTTTGGGAGTTATCCAAGAGGCGGTTTTCTACCGAAGAAGGAGGAGCGGTTCTTTGTAGTAGTTATCCAACAAGCGGTTTTTTTATGGCGGTTACCTCCTCGGGGCTATAAATAAGAGGGGTCGACAGAGACAAGGGGTTCAAAAACCAACACTCTGACACACATGTCAAGTTTATCCTTTACCTTTTCTCTATCATGTAGCAATAGATGTAGTTCGTAGTTTGGAGCTCTCTCCGAACCTCCATAGGAGTAGAAGTAATTTAATTTAGATCTCATTCCCAAAAACTATCAATCAAACACCCTCGTTCAAACTTTGTTTGAAGAGGTTTGAGCCGTGTCTTAGAAATCGTTGTCCATAGAAGTCAAAGGTGCAATCCATCTCATTTCAACAAGAGTTTTCTCGCCGAGAAACAGGACCATAGATTAGGAATAAAATGCTTTTGTAACGTATGATTTGCTAGTGTTTTTAACAAGAATGCCAAAACGATATCGGAAATTGTGTAGAAAAAACGCAGGCTGATACAGCTATGTTTTAGAATCCTTATTATATCGGTTGGTTGAATCGAAAATATCGAATATTGATACCAAATCAGTAGGTGATTTTAGTAATATGAAATGGTTGATCAATAGTTAAACTAGGTTTTAGAACAAAATATCATATCACCGACTTTTACGGTAAAACTCACAGTACGAATTCACACTCCTTGGTATTATATACTTAAAATGTGATTTAACCAATTTAATTATTTCATATAGTAGGACTCTATATCAACTTGGGCTCAGGCAGAAGTTTGTTTTTTTGTTAGTGGTGGTAGTAATTATTATTCAAGAAATAGAAATTAAAAGAATGTACATACAACTAGTTACAAGCGACAGAAAGTAGTGATGGCAATGGGGCAGGGCGGGTACCTCTATTTCCATGTCCAGCCCCACGCTATAAGAAATTGAGATAAAATGAATATAGAACGGGGCGGAAGTAGATACTCATGCCCCGCGCCACGCTACTGTGGGTAGGGTAATACCCACCCCATCGCTGGTCGGGTTGGGTAATACCCGCCGGGCGGGTTGAAATTGCCTGTAGAAAGGCAAGAGCAAACTATACCATGGTAGACATTTTTTCCAATCTCATCATTATATTTCCAATACATGCATTGTTCAAAATAGAATGCTTGAAGTTGAAAGTGTGGACAACAAAAATATGATTTATATTGTCTGAACTAAAAACTTGAAATAGTTGTTATTGTTAGTTTTAGATTTTAATTTTTTTGTTTCATTTATATATGTTTAGTAACTTTCGGATTTTATATTAAAAGCAAAGGATCAATGTGGCATTTACCCTAAAGCATAATTTTATATAAATTAGTTCGTAAATTGGAAACTCGACAATCAAACAATATAATTTATTTATTTATTTATTTTTACAAAGAGGTTACTTATATTTCACTCCGAAGAAACTTGATTACAAAAGAAAGGGATACACTCTGAAAACCAACTACAAGCCCAAACAATCAAATTTTTTTTTTAAAGAACATGAACAGAAAGAAACCCCAAAAGCAATCAGAAAGAAACCCCAAACAATCAGTTACATCGAAAATGAAGAGAAAAACCCCAAAAGCAAAAAGGGTACGGGATACAACATGAACGCTTTGTTTGGGAAGAGGGGGAAGTGAGGGGGGGTGCAAGAGACCAGGGGTAAATGCCAACCCCGATGCATTTGCACTCGTTTGGCAAATTTGGAACAGAAGGGGGGCGGAGGATTGTAGGGGCAAAATTACTGTTTTAATTGACCCCCCAAATCCGGGCGGAAGTGGAGAGAGGAAGTGTGAAGGCTCTTAACACATTTATTTTATTTTTTTTCTTTCAACAAAGGCAAGCGACGACTCTTCTCTCTTCCTCAAATCACCAGAGTTGGACTTCGCCAAAGTTGAATCTGCAACCACCATCTCTTCTATATTCCTCGACGGCAATGTTGTTTGTCGATCCGGAATCTGGTGGTCGATCTGAATTCAGGTAAATGAGAGAGAGAGAGAGAGAGAGAGAGAGAGAGAGAGAGAGAGAGAGAGAGAGAGAGAGAGAGATTGTGCTCTCATCAACATCCCAGATTCGCCGCCATTAATTCTCCTATAGATTCGCCGTCCGGCCACCCCTCAAGCAGCTGTCAACAGAGAGAGAAGCCAGATTTGTTCGATGAACGAGAAAGAGTGAATCAAGATAAGGGATTAGGTTTTCGATCTTCTTGCCTGCGGATCGATGGAGGAATCACCTCCGGCACCGGCTTTCAGCTCGCCAAGCTTCTTGTCGGCGGCGACTAGAATGATGAAGCAGCAATTGGAAAAGTAAAAGCAGAAAGGGAGAAAGAGAAACTTGGAAGTTGGAATTAGAACGGGGAAGGGATGAGATAAGATATAGTAGATAGTTGGTAAATTATATTTATTATTATATTAGTTTTAATATTTAAATTATATTAATTAATATTTTTGTATTAATACAGATTTTACACCATTTAATTTTACTTGACAAAATAATTAATTATTATTTAACCATTATTAATTAATAATTATCTTTATTAAAGTATGTTATTATTTATTAGATAATGATTTTTATTTTGTGTTTTATGTTAATATTTAATCAATTTAATAAATCAATTTGCACCCCCCTACTTTTTCATCCAAACAACAATTTACTCCTCCACTTGCACCCCCCTCGAATTTGCACCCTCCTGCAATTTACTCCTCAACTTGCACCCTCCTCGAATTTGCACCCCCCTTGTTGCCAAACACAGCGGAACAGAAAGAAAGGGGACCATCTTCAAGAACCGAAAACAGAGGATTAAGTGTTTGCAAACAGAGGATTAAAAGGTAGGTATATCGCATTAAGTATTTGCATTTCCAATAATGAGTACAAAATACAACAATTTAACTGTGACTTTAATTGCGATTTGACCATGTACCATGGTTGGCTGGGAAGGAACCAGATTCCCTGACAAGTTGATTTGACTGCCACTAATCCATTATCCACTGCATTTCTGCCCACCAACAGTTGCCTTGTGAGTTGTGTCACCAATGGCGGATCCAAGGGTGGCCACCCCGGGCCCTGGCCCAGCCTTCCTCTGGATACATAGTTAGTATAGGCCTTATGAATTTTTCGATTTTAGATATACGGGTCGTTGTTATTTTAAAATAAGATTGGGTATAATTAGAAAAATAATTCAGATGAACATATTCAAAATCACTACTCTAAATTTAGCTTATAAATTCTAACCCCAAAGGTTATTCGTCTAAAAAAACAATGAAACCTAAAAATTCAAAAAGTTTATAACGTAAAAGACTAAAACATATATGAGGTTTGTTACCTTGAAAATTTACTAGAGCAGCGGGTGGATATAGGGATGGAAATACAATGCAAGTTGATTAGTAGATTGATTTGTCTAGTGTTGATGCTGCTCGTTTCAACAGCTAATACGAAGAGAACCTTTTCAACAATGAAACATGTGAAAATTGATTTGCGCAACAAAATGACCGATGAATTTCTAGTCGATTGCTCAAGTATTTTATTTGAAACAGTGTATACTACTGGTATGGATGTGGACTCCATTATTAATGCATTCGCTAAATTAAAATACCGTCGTGTACAATTTACATTGTAAAAAAATTATAATCATGATATTTTTTTACTATTCTGATTTTCTTATGAAATGCGGCCCAGTGCACTTCTGTACTCTGAATCTGCCGCTGTGTGTCACCCCCGTAACCCTAATTTAATTACAAAAAAGAAAAACATAGCGCAATTGCTGAATCGGTCTCCTAATTATTTAAGTAACTCAAAATCATCATTTCCTTTTATAAACGGATCAACTAGGTCAATCTCTGATTGAACCATTAACACACCAACAAGTCCTCTGACCTGGCCAATGGTCTAATCAGAATTAATAACCGATTGTTGCTCTGAAGGCCCGAGGAGTCTGGTGTCTTACTCGGTATCCTATGTGTTGATGTCATCGAGAGATTATTGAACATTTGTTCTTTAAATGCCTCTTGTCCGTACGTTTATGGTCACTAGTGGGTCTAATTGATCTCCTCAACTCCGTCCCAACTATAAATTTTAGCTTATGGCGGCGAATTGTTATGCTGTGTGAGTACTCCCAATACCAAATTCTCCAATGTGTGTGCTTATTGTAAAGAATTTGGAAATATTGTAATAAAGTAATGTTTAAGTTCATTCAACCACATGTCGTTTTGTTAGCCCATCAATTTTCCTTTCAAGTCAATGAATTTGTCATTGTTTCGTCTTTCATGTTGGTCCATGTTCTCCCCACACCGTCCTCTTCATCTGCTCGTTGGGTTGCTCCTTCTGCTGAATTCCTCAAGGTTAATTTTGAATTTTTGATGGTGTTGTTGTTGATGTTAGGCGTGCTTCTAGTTGGTGGTTCGTGAGCGGGATGGGGTCGTCCTCCTAACTCTTGGCTTTCTCCACCCTGGGTTTTCTTATACTTAACATCGTGAATCTTCTTGGTGCTAGAGATGTTGCTTTTATTGTCTCCTCTCATCGTCTACTCTAAGTCATTCTGGAAGGTGATGTGGAAGTGGTGGTTCATCAGCTTCAAATTGGAGTGGTGTCCGATTCGATTGGTGGTCCAATTTTCTAAGAGTGTCGGCAGCTGGTTTCTTCTAGTTCTTGTTGTGTTGTTTTCAATTCGGTTCCTCGAGTCGACAACTGGATTGGCCATAGAGTGACATAAAAAGCCCTATTGTTATCTCTTTGAGAACTAGATTCTTTTGATTTCTTGGGTTGACTTTTCTAGTAGGGCTCTGCTGGGAGGTTATGGGGTGAGGTCTTATTCTTTTTCCCCATATTTTTTCTCTTGTTATTTCAACTTCATCAATAACTGTCCAAGCATTAAACTGGATCACTATCGTAACTGATTTAGCAGTTCTACTGACCAGTCGTTGATTCAGTTCGGTGCTTATAACAATGATTTCTATACAAATAAATCTAATCTAAATGTTATGATGAAAGTTAAAAAAAACTCCCATTCATATAAATTTAAAACTTCAAATAAATAATTTAGACGGAAACCAAATACATATCTGGTTACATCCACATCAATAATTTAGGATTTAAAATTTTTAATCCCAATTAATTATCATATACAAATTCTCAGATCGTACACCATAAATTTGTACAAAAGAAGCCATGGACGAAAGAGAACTAAGAAAATAATCTTATGGGGCTCTCTCTAACATCTTCCCTTGTTCCTCAGTAATGAATGTACAGTGAAACGTCAATTTTGCTTCTGTTTCCACTGTTTGGGGATGAAGGATTTTCAGGTGCATCTCTACACAGGTATGACTGTGAGTCTAAACTCTAAAGTGGAGCTAATAAAAGTATTCACAAAAGAAGGAAGAGCTCAAAATCCTAACTGGGTCAGGATTTGGAATCTCTGTTTCAGCCTGCACTATGTGAGAGGTTGGTTTCGGGTATGTGCAATTTTACATATTGGGTATCCAATTCAGTACTTTCTGATCTCAGCAGCATACTTTTGAACCATTTAACAGAATCCTTAGGTATTCTTGTGAGATTATTGTTGTAATCAACATAGTATAGCCCGAACCGAACGGTGTACCCTGAGTTCCATTCCCAATTGTCTAGCAAGGACCATACGAAATACCCTCCTACATTGCATCCATCTTCCCTGCACCATGAGTTTTTTCTGAATTCAAAGTTTGTTGATTGATGAGTGATATGGGTAGCGCACCAGGTGTTTGAGAAAATGCCTCATAGTGTTGTTTTACCTTATGGATGCCAACAGGTTGGAGAGATAGTCTCTGTGGTACTTTATTCTTTTCTCGTCCTGCAACGCCTTGTCTCTAGATATGAATGGGCTATTGAGATCATCCATTCCTGCAGAATTGATTATGCATCACAAAATTGTTTAAAGTTTGAATCTTTAGAACTGACTGTTTTGAGATGAAAAAGAAGAGCTTACTTACCATTCTCTGTTATGATCACAAGTGGGTTTCCGTACTTGTCTTTTACATAATTCATCAACTTACGGATGCCCCATGGGACGATCCTGAGCCAACTGGAAGCTGCCTGCAAAAATGAGCCAGAACTGGCGAGTAGTAAGAGTACATAACATTGAACTCATTACTCAATCCCTGATATTATGCAGGCAAATTCTGCTGGGTTAGCTTTGAAAGGGGGATTGGCTTACTTTTTTTCCTATGGCGATTCCATTGCGGTAAGCTACAAAGCAGAAGAGCCACAAGATCATTTATTATGATCAGTTTCGTTGTTTCATCAATTTGACTATGGAGACTTTTGGATTCTTACAGGAAGTGATGACTGCAGAATCAGTTGAAGCATCTTGCAATATCAGCTTCCGGAACCTCGTTCTATCATTTCGAACGTAAGATGTCGTATAATGGTTGAGCCCAACAAAGTCTAGTGACCCCGTAACGAGTTTTGCCATCTTTGAGGAGATCTCAGGTACTCTTTCGCCAGCAAGCTTTGTCATCGAAAGTGGGTATCTACCCATGAAAATTGGATCAAGGAACCTGCAGATTCATAATTTACTTATGTTAACCAAGTTCATACAGCAAATTTCTATTTCTACTCATATATATCACAATGGAAAAGAGTGTTTCAATGACCATCCAAGTGAAAAGTCCATCGCTCTATTTGCAGCATCTATGTCCTCGTCAGCATCAGATAATGGTTCAAACCATTTGGCATCTAGTGCTATCCCAACTCGACCTCCTTGTTTCTCCTGGAAAATCCAGGGGGCAGAATCCATGAGTCTATATTCTGACACAGAAAATTATCAAGAATCTATGTGATTGAGATGCTGGCTGGGATTACCTTGAAATGTGATTTGTAGCTATGGTAAGCAGCTGCATGTGACAAGAGGATGTGGTGGGCTACAATGTAGGGTTCTGATGATGAATTTCCTTCCTTGCAGAACAGATGGCCAATAATGGAGCACCTCCCAGGTGCTTGAATACCGAAATCATAGCTTTGTATGGCGAAATTGTGAGGCTCGTTGAAGGTTATCCAATTCTTCACTCTGTCCCCAAAAGCATGGAAGCAGGTGTACGCATAATGCTCAAAGTCCTCTCTGTAAAAGTAACGCAACTCTTCTCTCTTGTCACATTTTCTTTGGTAGTCTTTTACATCAACTGTACTTATTGTACTTCCTTGCTAGAATATAAAATATATACTTACACAATCTGCTTGCTCAACCATCCTCCAGACTTGTCGTGAAGCATCTGCGGAAGATCCCAGTGATATAGAGTCACATAAGGCTGGATTCCTGATTTAAAAAACGTTCAAACTCAGATTTTTCAGTTCTTTGCAGAAGAAGAAGTTTTAAGAAGCCATCTTATCGGATTGCCATAATAAAAAACCAACCGTTTTCTAGTAATCCATCAATGAGGTCGTTGTAGTAACTTATGCCTTCTGGATTGAGTTTCCCTGTTCCATCTGTTGCAATAAGTTTGCAAATGCAGTCAGTTGCAGACACAGCACACATTTCTGCATTGTTTACTTTCCACAACTTACTTGGGAAGATTCTTGCCCACGAGATGGAGAATCTGTAGGCGTCCATTCCCACATCTTTCATCAACCCTATATCATCCTGCAAAACATGCAAAATTCACAACTTTGTCATTATTATTAAATTATTATTATGTTTACCATGGCCATCTCTTGGTTGAAATTCCAAGTCTTGACCAATATACTTTATGTATAATATGCATGTCCTTTGTCTTCATTTGCAATTTTATTCTAGGACGGTGACGGTGACACATCATCAGCATCATCTCTAATGTGTCGTGATAATATTATATATGTGGGACATGTGGTCTCTTTTGTTTAAGATTCTTATCCAGTAACTCCCTGATTCACTTCTTTCTTTTTTTTCTTTGTCCCTAGTCTTTGGCCGGTGCCTGTTTTGTTGTAAACATGCCCTTTCAGAGTACTGTTTAATCAACAAGACTTTGACAGTTTAAAATTACGTTTCACCACACAAAAAGCAAGCATAATCATCACATGTCTACTTATTAAGGATTCTCGTACTCTTTTTGCCTCTGAAGCAAAGCAGAGAAGGATTGATCAGGAACAGTGAACAAGAAAATAGTTTACCTGAAACCTGTGGTATTGATCCACTGTAACATCAGCATTGCTGAAATCCAAAATTCTTCCAGCTGCCAAGAAACACATCAAAGAGAAAAGAGGATGGAAGGTAAGTTCCCTTTTTCTGGTCCAAAATTAACCAGCATTCTGAATGTCTCCTTGAAACGTGATCATCATCAATTTACCTGGCTTTTGTGTGAAGGTATCCCATATGCTTGCTCCTTTGTTTCCCTCTGTTGCAGCTCCTTCAAACTGAAATACCAGAATCTGATGAAGTACTTGCTTTTCTTGCAGAAAGTAGTATTGAGATGAGAAATGCCTAGGAAATAACCTGATAAGCAGAGGATGCTGTCCCAAAAATGAAGCCATCAGGGAAATGAGCTCTGCTAATTGATTCTGAGCAGCTGACAGCATGAAAAATGGTTATGAGACACAATATGATGACCTGGAGACACACTGCAGTAGCCATAGTGAAGCCCACATATGCTTTTGATCGCTGACACGTAGCAAGGAGGACAAAGAGATGAAAAACCTTTTTTTTTTTTTTTTTGCAGGAGTTTCTACTGTAAAGCTGGAGAGTTGGGAATAAGGTTGGTATTCCAATATATAAAGGGTATAGTTTGGAAGAAGACGAAGATGAAGAAAAGCTTAAATAAAAGGGACATGACTGATTGCGGGTTATGATCTCTTCCATTACAAGGTGTTTTATGGGATAGGCTTGCGGGTACAGCTTTGATATGAAAACCAAAGACTTTCTTAGCCCATACTTAGAGTACCCCTTCTCTAACCTCTTTGCTTGCACGTCACAGATAGCTAACCCAAGTGACGTTTATCGGTTTATGGCAGCAAGCACAGACAAATCAGTTTGCACATATACCAGTTACAGTAAGTAAGATTTTCCTTTCCTGAGTTTACTATGGCGATCAATATGCAGGGTTTTTTTTACTAGGAAGGGGAATGGAGTCATCCAGGTTTAAAAGCCATTCAGAAGAGCAAAAACGTGCTGTTCTATTAGCTATCTGGTGTTTTATATTTCAAGGCTGCAGGGAGAATAAAACGTGTGAGATTGCTTTTGTTTGCTCAAGTTTTTTCTTCTTCTTTTGAGGGGTTTTGTACGTAAGATTTTTTACTAATGCATATGCAGGGGAATGAATGGACGAAACGACAGAGATTGATGCTTTTGCTGCAAGGGAGCTAGAGGGGATTTGTTGATGAAGAAGAAAGCTTCGTTGATTGGCTACGTCGTATTCGGAATCTTGCTTGGTAGGAAAACCAAGCCGGGAATCTTTCTCAATAATAAACAAATTGTATGCATAAATATGGTTTAGTTTTAGTTGGTTGCAGAAGTGGGAAGCTAGCTGGAGTTTGAGAAGGACGATGAACAACTCTTAACCAAATGGGGACCCGGCCATGCAGGCAGGCAGGCTGATTAAGGTTTCCTGAAGAAATGGATTGACGTGGAGTGGAAGGGTTGCTTTGCTTGCCGATTCGACCTTGACGTGTACAATAACTGAAGCCAGCATCAGCAGAATTTCGTATCGTAATCCTATGTGACATTCATGATGACCATTGTTCATTTTTTGTGTAATTGGAACAGAACTGGCAGCCACTGTCTTTGTGTCTACACAAAACTCGGATTATCCATGAGTATCCAAAAACCGCGAAACTGAGTGGAGATGGAAAACCTTAACATGCAGTGGAAGGGTGTGAAATTGGAAATGAAAAATGGGTTTCAACTTTAAACAACTCCAACTCTGACCTGGAAATGTTTTTCCTAACATATCACCTCATCCGTCTAGAGAACAATGTTCCTGATTGGAAGATATTGCAGAGTCAAAAGAATTGGGGCTGCAGAACCATATTTATGAATTCCAACAATCAGGGGAATTGCCTTCCTACAAAATGATCAGTCAGCTTCTAAAACCCCATATACAACTACATGTATTTTACATGATTTCCCAAGCTCTCCCGTACTCAAAAGCTTAGTGTACCAACCATCATCCACACATAATACAACAGAGAATCCAAGCAGATTATCAGTCAGGCGTGTCCACAAAATAATGACCAGTTTTCCTCCTATGCCGGCTGAAATCCGACACGAACCTGAAACGAAGCCCGCAGCCCTCAACCTTGCACTGGTACGGCTTCTCGCCTGTGTGCACCCTGATGTGCTCAATCCTTGCCCATGCCCACTTAAACGACATCTTGCAACCCTTCCATGGACATTTCAGTGGTCTATCGTCCTCGTGAACTCTTTGATGGATGAGTGCGTACCTGTGACAGCTAAATTTCTTCCTGCACCCTTCATATGGGCATTGATTTCGACTGTGCAGCACTAGCTCTGCTTTGGTCTCGAACATCATCCCGCAACCTTCTATATCACACTTGTGAGGTCTCTTCGTCATCTCTTTCTTCTTCTTCTTCGGATGGGTAACTGAAACATCCGGATATTTCTTCACCCTCTTTGCTACTGCATTATTCTCCACAGCTGATTTCTCCGTATCAGTAGCTTCACTATTGCTCGTGGTCGCATCTATTATCCCCATTCTTCTGGGCCTCAACCCTTCACACGGACCTCTTACAAAGCTCTTTGGATTGGGACTGTCATTTGTTAACTGGTCAACTTCTCTTCTTCTCTTTCTGACCTTAACATCAAATGATCCAAAGCTCCTAACTGAGGCTGTCTGCTCAGCGACATTTAAAGTAGTCGCAGATAGCTCCCTTTTACTATCACTGTTTGTTTCAACTTGTAGTTGATCACAAGAAGCTTCTCCGACTGAAGTAATAGACTCCATCGCCACTGTCTCATCAGATAAAATAGAACAGTTGCTACTAGACATATTTTGGCCTTCTTCAATTTTTCCACTCTTCAATGTCACATGATCACAAGCTTCACCATTTGTGCAAGAAGTCTCCACAACTACATGTTCCTCTTGGGCTGAAGGTGAGCTAGCAATATCAGATGCCTCACTGACTAGAACAACATCTTCATCCACCTGGACTTTCAGCTTCGTAGCATTATCACAAGTGATCACATCTTCGGTTCTATCATCCTTATGTATCACCAACAGTACGTTAGCTGCTTGCACACTAGAATTGGGACCATTTATGGAACAAGGATTCTCACTCTCACTGCTTCCGTTAGTATCATTGGTGTCCTGTTGCATCTGAGCATTAGCTTCAAGAAACTGAAACTCGTTTAGCTTCTCTGCAACCCCGTCTTCTGAACCATCTTCAGGTGCCCCAGTTTTATTCTTTAAAGATACATTGCAGCTTTGCAGATTGAAGTCTCGTTGACCTTGAGCACCATTTATGGTACAAGGTTCTTTGGTCTTAAACTTCCGCCTTGTGTAAACTAGTACAGTTTCTTCTTTATTAGTCACACTCTCTGAAACTTTCTCCAGCACGCCATCTTTGTTGGATTCAAAGTTTCCACTTGAAAACCCGGCAGAATGATTTGGCTTAGTTCTTGACCTAGATCTTCTGAATTGCCACTTGAGAGTAGAAAACTCGGAATTGGGACTTCCGTCAGAAAACAGTCCTGCTAAAGCCAGTGCATGCTGGACTTGCTTAGATGGAGATTTTTTCCTGATCTTCACACAGTGGCGTAAGTTGACACACATTTTGGATGTCCAGTCCTCCCCACATTCCTCCCAGGCTTGACCGTCTATTGCAAAATCAATCAAGTTCAGATCTTCCTTCAAAGCACTTTCCAACGGTACCTCTTTGTAATCAAAATGAATATTGATCTCCTCCGCAATAGAAGTAGCATAGGCCTTCATTTTCTGAAAATCTATAAAAATAACTACCATAAGGACTTGTAAACATTATGTAAACTGCACCCAAGCATATTTTGATCTGTTGAACAACGTAATGAAAGTTCGTCAAAAACAAAACTGACCTGAATGGCATATGAGAAGCATGTTTGCGCCACCTTTAGACTGCAACAGCTCGCGAATTTGAAGACCATGCTCCAGGCAGAAAATTCGGGGTCTGTGAAATCTATTGGAAGTATCCCACCCTCTAGGCAGATGAAGATCTTTTAGAGCTGAACACGGATCAGACATATGAAGAGGATCGTCTGACAAGTATAAAGCATAAGCAGCGTCAGTCAATTCGGCCCACCATGTCTCGATTTCTCATATATTAAGGATAAACAGGGAACCCCTACTTGAGTGTTGCAATGTTATCCATAACACGACATATATCAGAAAATCTAATCAGTTCCATGTTAAATATTTCTATATAACCATGTAAACCTTGTTACATCATGATGAAACAACATTAGCGTAGGAGTGGATTATGCACAGATGCTTTAAGTAATAAGTATCATTTGTTGATTACAATGAAATCAGATTTTGACCAGCCAATTTACAAATGCTAGAATACCAGGTTGGTTGACAATAAGAAACACCAGGTCGAGTGCATAAAATGCTTAAACCTATTGCATAACATCGTGAAATGCAGCTTGCACCCGATTCACATACAAAATGTGAGACCTATAAACAGAGAGAGAGAGAGAGCATTAAGGGTCAGGATCTGTTCTTCTATTATTGGATCTTTTACACACACAAAAAAAAACCGTTCAGGGTGGGGAATGACACAGCTTTTGCAACAAGTTTTTCTCAATCTGTTGACATATTTCTAAATGCAAGAAATAGAGAGAAACCAAGTTATAACAGAAACACAGAGATAAAAAGTACCAAAACGATCTCCAGAAGAATGAGCAATTCTGACTGTTGGTTTGCCATTGCCGGTTGAAGTATTATTATCCACATGCAATAGCTCTTCTGATGCTCGCTCAGATGGTTGTAACACACACATGAACGGGAAACCAAGGATTCCACAAGCCACACAAACCAATGACCCTGAATCGACTTGAAAATCACATGATATATCACCTCCATCAGCATATAAAGCATTCAAACTCTCCACATACTTGCTCATCTCCTTAACTAGATCACTTTTTGTATTTTCCCTGTCAGGTTCTAACTGAGGTTGGGAGAGATTTTCTTCCAGTGCGGGAGCAGTAGCACAAGTTATACCAGTCACCTGAGACTCTTTCATCGCACGAGGTAGCAAATCAGGATTCCATATCACAACCTTACAGTCTGGATCCTTTCTGAGAATAGTACGTGAAGTTTTATTCTCTCGTAGCATATCTTCTATAAAAGCCCTTTTCACAGCCACCTCTCTTTCTTCCTTTTGGCGATCTCTTAGGCGAGAACTCCGTGCACCAGGGAGGAGGGATCTTGGGACTCTGACACCAAAAAAATCACAAAATATAGAGAGAAAAAAATTGAACAGTGAACTTTGAAAAATGCCAAGGACAATGCGACTACCAAAGATGTTAACCCAGAATTTCTCCTCCATGTATTCACCGACCAGCAACCACACAGTATTGCTTTTAGCTTTTGATGTAATTTCTTATCTTTATAACTAGCTTTCATGGTTCATTTAAGTTTCTGAATGAAGTTAACGCTGATCCTCCCTGCCAAATTATAACATAACAGAGGAAAAGAAGGATAGCTATACTAAACAGCTGAACTTACACGTCCATACTACTACTGAACTACGTTGACTAAAAGCTTTGCGTAATGTTAGCATCATGGAACGATATTTCTAAGGATCAGTAAAGCCAAAGTAGAGAAATTTTCAAGACAAAGCACCAAAATCAACAGATGAAGTTCTTTAGATCAGCTGCTAACCTCGAAACAAACGACATGGTCAACAAGTATAGCAGTTGCTGATGGGAAAGCATTGGAAGATAATTCATGGCGGCTCTACGGACTGCAGCTTCCTTAGCTACTTCCAGCCATTGGGGAGTGCTAAAATTAGCCGCTTCTCCACAGTTAAAACCTATGAACATTTATAGGAAACAACATATCATGATCATAGACAATTTAAAACAAGGTTCACCAGAAGTATGAACAAGATAAATAGATAGCCAATATCCATGGGAAAGGGAAAAAAATTGCAACAGATTCAGTCGCTCTCTTTACAGCATGGTTTCAGAAAAGCATCACAATTAAGAAATATTGGTTGTATAAGCAATTCCACCTAATCCGTTTGCCTCTTAATGGTAGTTACGGGCAAAGGACGACATGTAAGATTTGGCAGAAAGGACCTCGTATTTACATATAGAATGAGGCAGCTACTCCCCAATCAATATTACTATCACATCAATATTATCAACCCAAGACACAAAGCCAAATTCATTTTCCATGATGAGTGACCAATTTATCACCAGGTGCTTCATACCCAACAGATAAACTCCCCCCTCCTTTTCTCTCTTGAATTTATCATCGATCCAAATCAAAGGAATATGGTCATCCAACCATTTACTACAGTACCAGAAACCATATATTTCATCAAAATCCAGTTTGGACAAGCATACTTGCATGAGAAAACACAAAAAAATCGTAAATATTACCGTGGCTGAATCCTACATGATAAGCCCTTGGAAAAGTGACAACAAATTCACCGGGGTTCTGTATTAACCTAGAGGGACATCAGAACAAACATAAGCACAACCAACATCAGACAGGCAGTAGAGACGCAAATCCATCTTAGAGCTACTGGTACATGAAACACCATTACTTCAATTGTTGGCAACGAAAACGACAAAGCAGAATTTAACTGAGAAAAACCGAAGAACTAAATGTTAAAAGAAAGAAGATGAAAACGAAGAAAGAGGATAGGAAATAACACCCACCTACAACAAGGAATGCCGGATGAAACAACTAACTCGGGTGACAGAAGGGTTGTCTTTTCGCCCAACAGTGACAGAGCAGCTGGCAAGAAAATAAACTGGCACGGCATTAAAAATTGACATCAAGATTAAGAATAGCTCATATGGTCCATATCTCATGACACTACATTCACTTGGTCCCTAGGATGAAAAGCATGGCAAGTATAACGAACATGTCTTTGTTTTCAGTCATGAGTCCTGAATAAACTGGCACAGCATTAAAAATCCACATCAAGATTAAGAATAGCTCAAATGTGTCATATCTCATGCCACTAGATTCACTTGGTCCCTAGGATGAAAAGCATGGTAAGCATAACGAACATGTCTTTGTTTTCATTCATAAGTCCTGAAGCAGGAATCAAGCACTCTATAACATGTAGGCAGATATTATGTGCAGATAAGAAGGGTTCCAAGATGATCTAGGTGCTATTTTGCACAACTCGTAAATCAATAAGACAGAAAACGTGTATGATATACAAGCAAGGAGGGCCAAAGACTAGTGCTCTTGCAGTCTTGCTTATGGAGGATACCAGCTGCAGTAGTTATAGAAAAGAATTTATATCTTTAAATTCTTCCAAACAACTCAACAGAATGGCTTCTCAAAGATAAGCTCTTGAAATCGAATTAATCAGTAGAAGGAAAATGTTGAACTGAATTCCAACAACTTAAAGCACAACCCACTACTTACCAACAGTATACACATATCAACAAACAGGACCATGGATGAAAAACGACAGAACTAGTTAGCATTAGCAGCATGGCAGATTCGGAATAGTGAAAGGACATACCTAGGCGATCCACATGACCACCATAAGCCTGTCTTTGGATAACCTCCTCAAAAGCAAAAGCATAATCTCCAGGAACAGAATACCATGTTTTTGGAGAGCCAATATGGAGAAAGTTTATGCTGTGAAGCTCGTGATCCTCAACATGCCAAGCAAACCAACTGTATAGCATACCAATATAAATCATAGGAGAAGTAACCCCTGGGATATCATCCGGCATATAACGTGTAAGAGACCCAGGTGAACGAGCAATCATTTGAAGATTCCAAGGGCTGTTGGAAAGTTTCCACCCAGCTGTGCCTTCCACATCGCAACTAGCAATTTCACCCTTTCGGTTATCAGATCTCACAAATTCAGATGAAAGCGAAGTTGTTGAAGCAGCAGACGACAATGCACTTGAGTCATTCTTACTAGGAGCATCCGCCACATTATCAGCTATAGCGTTATCAGAACCAACCATTTTATTATTCCTGCAATTGTAGCTTTCCCCATGTCTTCGATAGGACTGGTATGATGCCCGTCTCCTTCTCCGACGATTGAAATACCGAAACTGACCCTCAGGTTCTCCAAAAGCTGACCCAGGCACATCATTTGCATATTCCACATAGATAGGTTTCTCAGAAGCTGCTTTCCAGAACAGGGCCTCTATGACTAAAGGATTAACCTCCTTGATTGAACCCAGCACACTCTTCGCAAAAGCCTTCGACTTGGATTCAAACTGTTCCAATGTATAGGCTTCCCCACTTTGCCACACTTGTTTATGGGAAACCAAATGCGGATAATCTTTTTCACCGCTTCTCTTCTTGATACTCTGTCCTAGTTCTTGATGCCTAGTCGTAAACACTGCCCTCGTATCTCCATCCCTAACACCATCCTCAGAACCCAACTTCGAAGAAGAACCAATGTTTGACAAGGCAACATCATCCCCCAATTCAGGGGATTTGGCCAGAGACTTATTCAAATTAGAGAACACATATTTCTTCGAAGGCTTGGGCAGCGGTGGCACAATCTTGCATATCCCAAAGGCGCCAGCTTCCTTCTCAATTTTGGATATATACGCGATTGGGTCGGCAAATTCCGTATCAGTGGGCCGAAACTCGGGCGCCCATGGCAACCCTTGCAGCCATTTCGGTACTTCCACGTTACCCATCTCAAGAACGATTCACATTAGCCAAAGAAAGCAGATAACCTCAGACACATGACTCCCCAGAAGTCAGACAATTGTTCATCAAAACCCTAGACTCAGGGGGGACTGAATTAAAAGAGATTGCACGGTGGGTTTCTCTGTTTCGGAAGGACTCAGAACCACAATAAGATGCAGGAATTGACGAAGTACGATAGTGCAGGGATACTTTTGAACAGAACCTGCTGTAACCGCTAGAAGAAGCACCGGGGTGACTGGGTTCTGTTGCCTTTCTTCAAAAAGCCAGCCCTAAAATTTAAGAGAGAGGGAGGAGATTGGGAATTGGGGGGTTTGTGGAGGCTTTGACTGACATGTTCTAAACGGCGCAAGGTAGGAATAGAAACGGTGTAGTGCTAATGTGAACCATTGCAGGACAGGCACACGATTCGAGACACGAGCGAAGGAACTGCTTCAATGGGCTGGCCGTATAATTTCCGTTCGGAGAAAAGCACAGAGCGGTTACTGAGGGCAGAAACAGTGGGCGCCGCCGGGCTGGCATCCAGATAATATCCCTTAAATTAAATATGATTAATTAATTTGCTACAAACTATATCACTAAAAAAAATTGGTGAAATATCATAATTTTTTTAATAATGATAAGTGTCACATAGCAATTTTCACATCCACAAAGTACGCGAGAGATTTATGATTAATAAGTAAGAAACCAATCTTTATTGACAATATGTTTTCGGGTGAAGTGAAAGAGTTGTGGTAAGAATTTCACAGTTAAGCATGTTCGCTATGGAGCAATGTAAGGACGGGTGACTCGGAAAGTCACATTGATATGCACCTCAAGGTAAAATTTGTGCGGATCTAGGCCCAATACAGACATTATTTTGGTCAAAAAAAGGTTCCGAAGGTTATAAGAGCATCTCTATTGGAATTGCAATTAGAATTGCATAATGACATGGCAATCATTTGCAATTGCATAATGCAATTGCATTGATGTAGATGACAATTGCATCTTTGCAAGCTTGCATATAATGCAATTATGGAATGCAAGCCACATCATCTTTTTTATTATTAAATTATTCATTAATTTTATGATTTGAGTGTTTATGTTTTAATAAATTAAATCAAAAAAATTAGTTGCAATTGCAAGTTAATTGCATTGATGTGGTGCAATAAAAGTAAGATGAGTTGGATTGCAAAAAAAAGAAGTAATAATAAAAAAAAAACAAATGCAATTGAAATGCCATTGCACCAATGGAGATTCTCTAAGTAGTATCCGAGCTTCTTCGCGTCCTTCTTAGGCGATGGGGGACAAATGTCACATTTGGTCATTGAGATTATTAAATCATGTCATGTTTAGTTACTAGAAAAATTTAATATTCATTTTTGGTCACTCGAATTACTGAAACATGTCACATTTAGTCACTCTCTCGGTAGCCTCCGTCCAACTTCGGTCACTCGAATTACTGAAACATGTCACATTTAGTCACTCGAATTATCGAAACAGGTTAGTCACTCTCCCATTAGTTTCCGTCCAACTCCATTAATCGAGTTGGACGGAAACTAACGGGAGAGTGACTAAATGTGACCTGTTTCAGTAATTCAAGTGACCAAAATTGATATTAAATTTTTCTAATCACTAAACATGACCCGATTTATTAATTTCAATAATCAAATGTGGCATTTACCCTGGGATTATGACATTTTGATTTTGGTGCAGTTTTGGTTGGAAATAAGGGATCAAGAACTGCACCAGAGACACCTTGCCGTAATTACACAAGTTCACATTCCGATCATCATCATCAACACCGTGATTAACATAGTTGATCTCCCCATTAATGACATCTCATTACAATTAATTCTTCTCCCTCCATTTCCCTTCGTTCCCTCGTCCTGTCGTCCTTCATGCGTGCACGTGTTTAATATAAAACTAAAGTCAACGTTGCGGTTACGAGAGAAATAAGGGATATCGGATAATAATAAGGAACCTATATATATATTTGGGTAACCCTAAATTTCCTCAACGCCATTGGAGACACAAGACAAGATGAAGAACAACCTCACATATTCTGGTCACTTTCCCTTTGCGCCCTAGCTAGCTCGTCCTCGTAATATATTCCGGGTTGCCAACTCGTAAGAGGCTTTTTTACAAAGAAAATGACGATGCTTAATAATAATATGAGCTCTCTGGCGATTATAATCAGGGTTGTAATGGTGGCGGCGGTGATGGTTACGATGACGACGGTGAGGGTCGGGGAAGCAATGGCCCACGGGTGCATGTCGGAGTGCGTACCGCAATGCGAGAGAGAGACGGGCGGTTCGTCGCCGGAGTGCGTTGAAGCTTGCTCTTCCTTATGCATCAACGTCATGGGGATCGCCGCCTCGGAATCGTCGATGGTGCCGGTGCAATCTCCGGTTGCTGATGTAGCTAGTGAATTGAATATATAGTTTTTTTTTTTAAATAATTCTTTGTTTTGTTTCTGTTATTTTTGTAATTGAAAGCTAGCCTCTATCTATCGATTACAATTACTTATGCGAAATTATTGGAAGGTATGGATTGGAATGCATATAGAAGGTAGCGGTTATTTCATGTTTCAATCCGATATATATGTGTGATCGTTACGACTATGATAATAGGATATTTGTTGAAACTAGTAGCATTGCATGCAATCTACCCGTTTCTCGAAAGAGGTGGTAATGTCCAAACAACAGGGGTAGAACAGAGAGCGACGACACTCTAATTGGGTGTTATACATGAAAAAAAATCATTAATTTATAATTGCGTAAAGAAAAATAGAAATGTTATGTGTTTGATTTAATGTGTGATTAATATTAATATTATTTATTTTGAATATATCGTCCATAGCTGTCTATTCTAATTGACTAGATAACGAACTTAACAAATTCTCAAATAACGAACATCAGCAACTACAATATAGTTTAAGAACCATTGATGTTCGAGATCTACAATTAATCCACTCAGTAAATGAAAATCTCCTTCCACATATTACAGTATGTTAGTTCACCATTTGCCCTAAAATTCTGCCATTTAGCCCTAAAATTTTCATCCAATTTCCTAAACATAAGCTTTAATGCATGGAAATTGGAACAAATACTTAACCATGTCTTAGTAAATGAAAAAATCTCATGTGGTTCTGGAGTGCTTTGGCTTTCCATAAAATAAAATTCCTATTGCATTAAATCTATGTATATATTGCTCTTGGTGAGAGTTTAACTCAAGACCTCCCGCTTATTAAGCAGGTACTCTGACCAATTAAGCTACAAGAACTATATATTAAATATTTATTTTATTATATATTTCATGATCACATTGCTTAATTACAGTCTCATAAAATCATACACATACCATGATTTCCAACATTTCAAAAAAATTACAGGGCTCATCACCACATTATTCACCTGAGTGTAGGAAAAAGCACGAAATCATATATGTTCAATCTCTATAACAGGCAATGAAAAATATTAAAGCAATAATAATATTGTGACGAACCTTGTTTCGTTACTCGAACTCTAGAGAACAACAATTGTGCTTAATTTGGTATAGCTTTGTTCTTTACGCACTCGCGTTTCTAGCGTGTGTATATATATATATATATATATATATTATAAATCCACCTTATAATAGTTGTTTTAATCATGTAATCATGTAAAACCTATCATAATTGTTAGTTCTAATACAACAGACAAGAAAAATGATGAATTTGGATGAGAATCAATCAAACTTTACTTGGATATTAAAGGTTTAGGGTTTATGAGTTTAGGTCTAGAATTTAAAATTTAGAATTTAGGACTTTTGAACTACGCATGAAATCGGTTGTTGTTCTACTGTATTATATCTTCATATCAGACCACCTAATTAAATATCACTTCTCAATCATTCATATCAATATTATTGTTCTCTAGTATGATTTGTAATTGAACTGGGATGGATACAATTACAATATCACCCACAAAACACAGAAAATTACCCAACAACAAGCATAGTTGAGTTGCAGCAAAATAGCAACTTATTATTAGTTAACCTACTGCCTACACCTTTTGTTGTGAGAGATTGGAGATTTGAGATATCTTTAGGGATCGTTTGGATGAGGAATTCTAATGGATCAATCTGATACAATTGTCTCGTTTTGAGTCAATTGTGTTAGATTGATCCGTTTGGCAGCAGAAAATTTGGATGAAGCAATTTGGGCTGGGGAATTCTGAATTGACTCATTTTGAGGGAGTGGGGGCAGGTAATCTGAATTGACTCGTTTTAAATGGCTCATTTTGTAAAATGAAACAATTGATCAAATTGTCTCGTTTTACAATTGATCCATCCAAACGACCCCTAAATTAGATCGGACAATCGACCTCTGTTTCGTTGAAGTTTCAGGGGCTCAAGTCAACTGCGCAAGTCATTGTTTAGGGTAGGTAGTCAAGGTCTCTGAAACCTTTGCTCTCTTTCATCCTTCACAAGTTTTCTGGGATTCACACACCTACATCTCCAATCTCCATCGATCGATTAAGAAAGACAGGGAGAAAGAGTTAATTGAGCAATGGAGCGGAACTGGCCTTCGTTTCTGGCAGTGGCCGGACTTTCCCTAGCTGCATTTTCCGTGATTTCCCGGCGCCAGAAGAAGAGCTCCACCTCTCACCAACCCTCCACCGACTCCGACTCCGACTGCGCCTCCTCCTCTACTTCTGATTCTTCTACGCGGGCTCTTCCAGCCGGAAATTACGAGGTTTTCCTGAGCTTCAGAGGCCCCGACGTGCGAACAACTTTTGCCGATTCTCTCTACCACTTCCTGGCCCATTCCAAGATTCGCGCCTTCTACGATGACGAACAGCTCCGAAAGGGCGAGGAGATTGCTCCGTCCCTCGTCCAGGCTATTCACGAATCTAAAATCTACATCCCAATCCTTTCCCAAGGCTATGCTTCCAGTAAATGGTGCCTCGAAGAGCTCTCTCTCATGGTCAAATCCTTGAATCAAAACCAAGGCCACATCTTGCTGCCCATTTTCTACTTCATGGAGCCTAGGGATGTTCGGCACCAAGAGGGTTCTTATAGTCGCGCATTTCGACAGCACAGTCGGAAGTATGATGCAGAGACAGTCAAGGAATGGAAGGAAGCTCTCCGAGTGGTCGGCCAAATGAAAGGATGGCGTGTCACTGAATCCGACGGGTAATGTTTTCATTTCTGTTACAAGATTCCTTGTGTTTTCCTAAGTAAAAATGGCAACTTTCTCAAATTTGCTATCCCATCTTTGTGCATCTTTGCTTAATTTGGCCTAAGAGACCAGGCACGATTGTTTTGGCAGAACAAAAATTGCTTATTTGTCCACTGATTTCAGACTCTGTGTTCGATTTCCAGACAAGGAGCAGTGATAGATAAGGTTTTCTCCCAAGTGTGGTCCCATCTGATGGGAAATTACACATTAGTGACTGATGAGTTGATTGGTGTTGAATCTCAGGTAAGGGAAGTGATTGATTTACTGGACTTGGACTCTAAGGGTCTGAAAATTGTTGGGATTCACGGGATGGGTGGTATTGGCAAGACCGCCATAAGCAAAGCTGTCTTCAACGAGGTATCTTCACGGTTTGAACGTTCTTGCTTTTTGGAAGATATCCGACAAACATTGTTGGAGAATGATGGTGTTGTTACTTTGCAAAACAAGATCATTTCTAGTATTATGAGGCATGATAGTCATGTTAAAGATACTAGCGAAGGGATCCACATAATTAGAGATAAAGTTTGCAAGTACAAGGTTTTCATTGTTCTAGATGATATAGATGGGAGGTTTGAGTTCGAAAAAATCTTTGGAAAATTACGAGATTTCTCCACGGAAAGTCGATTTATCATGACGACAAGAGACAAAAGGGTTTTAGAGTTCTTTGAAGAATGTAGGTTATTTGAAGCTAAAGAAATGAGTTACACCAACTCTTTTCAACTTTTTCGAAGACATGCGTTTCGGACGGATGATCCTCAAGAAGAAAAAGCAGCTCTTGGCAGGGAATTTGTAAAAGTTGCTGCAGGACTTCTTTTAGCTATAAAGGTTGTAGGATCACTTTTGTTTCGTAAAGAGAAAAAAGTTTGGGAAGAAAAGTTGGAGGAATTAAGGGAAGGACCTAGCACGGGTGTGTATGAAATTTTGAAAATAAGTTATAATGATTTAAGCCCCACAGAAAAGGAAATCTTTTTAGATATTGCTTGTTTTTTTATTGGAGAAACCAAAACATCACCATTTTATATGTGGAGTGATTGTAAGTTTTATCCAGAAAGTGGTGTTAGCAATCTTATTCTTAAATCCTTGATAAAAGTTGACAAGAGAAATCGGTTCTGGATGCATGACCACATCAGAGACCTTGGTCGAGCTATTGTTCGTGAAGAAAATAGTCAACAACCATGGACACGCAGTAGGATATGGTCCAACGAGGATGCATTGAATATGTTAGAAAATGGACAGGTATGCTTATTGTTTGCATTTAGCACCTTTTTTTAAATGCTGGCATAACTATTGCCTTATTCGGTTGATCAGTCTAGCTACTGGTAGTTTGAAATTTTTGTTTTGCAGCAACTGATTCTATGGTCACATAGGCTTGTGTCTTTTAGAAGATCAATATAATTTTCTCTCTCTAGAGTGTGGCCTGCCCTGCTCATTAAGCAGTTATTATGTGCATGATCAAAACGAGGAAACAAAACATAGATGATTAATATGTTTATAGTTGTTGAAAGCTGGGACATGAAAGTTCTGATGAAACTAAGAGTTACGAGTTTGAGCCGTTTCATGTTGTAGGGAAATGACAAGGTGGAAGTTCTTAGAATCAACACGATAGATCGAGATTATCTGAAGTTGACAGAACAAGAATTCAGGAATTTATCCGGGATAAGGTTTCTTCAAGTGACGAATGAGAGAATGACTGGAGATTTCAGTAACATACTTCCAAATGTACGATGGCTTAAATTGGATCGTTGTGGTTCAATACCATATGATATTAACGTGAAGAAAGTGGTAATTCTTGATATAGTTCGATCCTGCATAAGAGATGATTGGAGAGGCTGGAAAAGAGTCAAGGTGAGATGATCAATTTATATTATTTTCCTTTTCTTTGTTTCGGGGGAAAAAAATCGACTGTTACCTGTAATTATACAGGAGGAGGGTAAGAAGCTGAAGGTCGTAAATCTATGGTGGTGCAATGAATTGGTGAAAGCTCCCGACTTGTCCTCCTGTGGCAAACTAGAGGTAATAAAATTTGAGCACTGTGCTGAGATGAGAGGGGAAATGCACATTGGTAGTTTCAATAATTTAGTAGTGCTGAGGCTCTTGGGTAGCAAGATAACAAAGTTGAAAGGTGACATTGGGATGCTTAAAGATCTGAAAGAGATTGATGCTTCCAATTTGAAAGAAGTGCCAGCCGGTATTGGTAATCTAGGCTCTCTGGAAATCTTGAGTTTGAGGTCATCATCTCCTGTGGATGTACCCGCACTCCCAACAAGCTTAAAGAAACTGAAACATTCATCCCCCAAGGTTCCAAATCTGTTGGAGCTCAAGGAGTTGGAGGAGCTATGCTTTCAGTATTGTTTGGCTGAAATTCCTGGAGATATATGGCTGCACCTAACCAAGTTGAAGAGCTTGATGATAAACTATTCCCATATCAAAAGTCTACTGCTGCAGGTGGAGTCAGCTGCAGAGGGTAGTAGCACTAGTAGTGATGGGATCATGGGAGACTCAGTTGCTCAGCTCCCATCCTCTCTTAGCAGCCTTGTTGTGCTTGCTTGTTCGAAATTGGAGACGCTACCGAATCTTGCAAATCTGAGTAATTTGACCGAGCTAAGACTTCAGTGTTTTCTGGTAGACGAGATACGAGGCCTTGGACAGCTGAGAAATTTGAAAGAATTTGCAATACTTGATGCCCGATACCTGAAAAGTCTCGACGGTCTACAGAATTTGGTGCTCCTGCAACGGCTTACTGTGAGCAATTGTGATGCTCTGGATAAACTGCCCAGTCTCTGCAACTTGACCAAGTTAGACGCATTAGCGGTTCTTGATTGCCGGGTCCTGTTTGAAATCCAAGGTTTGGATGCATCAATGGGAGAGTCTTCCTTAACAGATCTGGAAATAAGGAGTTGTCCCAAGTTAGTTAATGTTGAAGGCCTTCTTCAATCTCTGCAAGCACTGACAACTTTGAAATTGAGAGACTTTGCATCACCAGATACAGGACTACTACGTATTTCTTCTTTCAGCAACCTCAAGGAGTTAACTGTTATGGAATCTCCTCCAGTTGGTCCTTTACATACTGCATCTGTGCCACGAATCCGAATCCTAGATCTCTCTGGTCTTGGTAATCTAAAAGTCATAAAGATTTGTTTTTGCCAGCAATTGACCGAGATTATGGGGTTTAACACACTGCAGTCGTTAGAAGAGCTAAATATTTTAAGTTGCCCCTCCATTCAGAAGCTGCCGAATCTATATGCCCTCCAGAATTTGAAGAAATTAACAATTCGGGATGCCACACAGTTGATCGAGCTTGAAGAGCTCAACGGGTTGGAATCGCTAGAAGAGCTAACAATGTACAGTTGGACAACGATAAAGAAGTTGACAAATCTGTCTAATCTCAAAAGATTGGATATTAGCAACTGCACATCGTTCAAGATGACAGAGGACTGTGGTTTGAATTCATTGCAAGTGCTCAAACTATCCCAGTGCCCATCAATTCTCGAGTTACCAAATCTGCTTGATCTCACGAATTTGATAGATTTGACAATTAGACGATGCACAGAACTGACAGAAATCACGGGGCTAGAAAGACTGGAGTCATTGGTATCACTAAAGTTGATTGATTGTGCATCAATTGTGAGGTTGCCTGATCTGTCAGAACTGAAGCATCTGAAAGCGTTAGACATCAGCGGGTGCACACAATTGGCGGAGATAATGGGGTTAGAGAGTTTGGAATTGTTACTAGAGATGTCGAGGTGCAAGTCAATTAACAAGTTGCCTGATCTATCTCGTCTTGAGCATGAGGATATTGAATATTACGGAATGCACAGAGCTGACAGAGGTCATGGGAGTTGAGAGATTGGAATCGCTGGAAGTACTATTGATGTCAGGGTGCAAGTCAATCAAGGAGCTGCCGGATATATCTTGTCTAAAGAATCTGAAGAAGTTGGATGTAAGGGAATGCAGCCAGTTGACCAGAGTCACTGGCCTCCACAATTTAAAATCTTTGCAAGTGCTTGGGCTGCAAGATTCCACGTCGGCGTCGGGGTCCATGGATCCATTTGCCTCACTCTGACAAGTTCAGACTGAGAATCGTTGGAAGTCCTATTGATTTGGCTCTTGACATTTGGAAATCAATAGCCAAATTATATGCTTGCCAAACAAACCCCTTAAGTAATAACTGTCAACCTACAGGGGTGTAAGCTTGACTGTATAAGCCCACTGGTCTGCTTTCCTTCAATTTCTAGTTGGTGTATGCTTAAGCAATCTGTAGTATGATTTGAAGTTGCCATTACCCATTAGCAAGCAATAGCCTTTCATGCAAGAAAAATGTACATATTCGATATGACGATATCAAGCAAATCCAATTGGAACCAGACAAAGAAAAAAGATGATATTATTGGGCTATTAAAGGATACAAAGAGCAATACATCAGACCATCTGGTCGACTTCACATTCTGAACTAAAGATTTCGGAACAAAATACTAATTCCAGTAACAAAATAGCACAATGTATCTGTCCCCCAAGCACACTAGAGGCATCAGCAACAAGAAATATATAGAGTTCCTCCACCAAAATAACCTCTGGGTTCTGGAGTTTCGAGTAGTAATAATAATGATACGAAAGCCGCAGCAAATTAATAACTGTTTTCAGTAGAGAACTCTTTTACTGCTGCAAATCAAATGCTGCAGGAATGTGTGCTCTTGTGGGATGATACCAAAATTGGATCTAATTGAACTCTGGCTTCTCTGGGTATGTGCAGCCAGACCTCTGGATGATCACATTGGCCGCATAGGTGCCAGCTTTGACAAAGTCCGCAATGGGCTTCTCTTGCACCAATTGCGACAGGAACCCACCAACAAATGCATCTCCTGGAAGAAAGAATGCAGCCATGTTATAATCAGTAGATAGATCTCAAACGAGTAAAATTTCTAAAACAGAAGTAGAATAGAATGTATCAACATTCACAGGTTACAAGAGCGGACTCAACTCGTCTTGACAGAGGAAATAATTAAAGGATTCTTACCTGCTCCGTTGGTGTCAACAAGCTTTTCCTTGGGCAACAAGGTAACTGGGAATAGTGTCACCTTCCCATCTTCTGCAACAACAACAGGGTCAGCACCCTGTGTGATGACAGTAATCCTCTTGTGTGCCCCTGACGCCTTGGGCCACTGGGAAATCCTTATGGCAATCTCCTCGACATTCTCAGTCTGAGAGAAAAGAAAACGTGATTCAAATTACTCTTCAATATCGCTTGGAGTTCTTTGTTCATCAAATGAGTATGTCAGCCAAAGCAATTACCTCCCATCCATGAACCTTTGAGAAGGTTCTAGCTTCAGTCTCATTGCCAAACACAAAGTCCGCATAACTACAGAACAAGCGCATGTGTAAGGACCAGAGTATTACAGACTGTTTATGTTATAAACTAGCAATTTGAGTGGGAAGCTTACGCCAAAACTTTCTCTTGGACATCCTTGAAGAACTCACAGATAAATGGAGCAGAAAGGTTGGTCGAGAAGATCTGTAAAACGCAAAACACTTGGACCATGAATTTTGTGAGCTACAAAAACTGGAGGAATAAAAGATAAAAAGATATGAATAATAACCTTGTTCTTGGCAGCTGCATGTTCAGCAACGAGTAGGATAGATTCGGGAGACACAGTCAAGAAAAATCCAGCAATGTAGTAATATTTTGCCTTCTCGACTATATATAGAAAACCAGAACGAAAACCAGAAAGAGAGTAAGATAAGATACTCAAACACTAATTGAGGCTGAAAAAATACTTAAATGCAAGACAAATACCTAGTGCCCAATTTTCAGGTTGCTTCAAATGGTCAACTTTGTAACAGTTTGCAGCTGACAGATTTGCAACAAGCGACCTGTGGGATCATTCAGTTTCTGACTTCAGAAAAGTGTTCAAATATATGCTTACAATATATGTATGGTGGATTTAAGCACCCTTACGCTAATACAATTCCATCTCCCTGACACTAGAAATGAGAGGGCTCTAACAAATTCAAGATGCATGCATGCTCTGTTGATTTCAACTGCCATTTAGTTTACCAATGACACTCAAATGCTCCCGCCATAACAACAACAAGAAACTCCTGGAGCAAAAAATGCAATAACACAGCCTTCGCGATTTTTTTTAGATCATGGCATGAGAAATAGCCACGATACACGGATTTGCAGTCAGTTCATTGTTTTACTCAGCATGTATAGACATGTTCACCACTAAACAGAATAACAGGTAAGAAAATTCTTAAAACTCTACAATGCAAATAACCCCTCTCAGATCTATAGAATCACTTGGATATGGCCATTAGTTTAATCAACATAGCCTTGGTCAAGAATAACAAAGTTGTTGATGACTTGGAAATCATTGGCGCATCCAGTGATGTAACCGTCGGTAAGACAGACATGCAAGACTAGCCTCATTAGAATCAATCATTTTAAGGTAGCAAATTTTGCTACTGATATGGGGAAGGAATTATAACAATGCATTTAGTGACGTGCAAGTTAAGAATAGCAGAACACTAACTAACCTCTCACCACCGACAACACAAACAGCACATGTTCCAGTGGGAGCAGCTTCATCCTCATAGTAATGAACCTAATTTATGAAATACACAATAAGGCGATAAGTTAGTACAGATGAATGAAGACAAATTACCACCAAGTTAATTCCATATGAAAAAATTACATACATTAACACCAGCGTGCTTAGCATTTTTCTTCATCTCTTCACCATACTTGTCTTTCCCAATGCAACCAATGTAGCTTGTTGCACCTGGCTTTTGGAGCATCCACTGTAATACATACGAAAACATTAAGTACAATTCAATGAAGCACAGCAGAAAGAAACCAATGTTCCGTGTGCGTCATCAAACCTGGGCAACTCTGATGGAATTTTGAGTGGCACCTATAAAATTAACAAGAGCGCGTAAAAAGATTAGCAGACAGAAAACACCAATGACAACGTTTACTGTTAAGATGGTGAAAAATGCTCGTAGAATCTGGTATTACCTCCAGCAATGTAATCGACAGTGTACTTTTCTGACATCTCATCGTACCTGCAAAAGTGAAGCATAATCAAATGATATAACAAACAATTGAAACAATAGGTATAAAAAAAAAAACTACACATATTGAAGGATTACTAGAGATCCGAAAAATGAGATGATGAAACTATTTCAAAATGGAATCAAGAAACTTACATGGGCAAGTGCTTGTCTTCGGCAAGTATAGCATTGTTTAGCTTGATGTCATACCTATTAAATGAACAAGCATCATTAGAAACCAAGATTGCCACAACGTATTACTGTTAGTTCATACAGTAATTCAGTAAACAATAAATCATATGGCAGATCAAGACAGAATTTCACAATGATTGATCCCAAAGAACCAAACATTATCAAGATTCAACGAAAGTTGAGAACTTTGCAACCTCCTTTTTTCACAACTATGCAACCGACAGACTCATTCAATCCCGAAACGCCACCAAAACAAAAGGACTAGCAGACATGATACGAGATCTACGTCCCAAATCAGAAAACAACCCATAAGGGGAAAACACTTCAGGTATCCAAACAACAACCAAAAAAGACAGCTTTCCAGCCGGAAAAAATAAACCACAGATCCGGTATTCACCAATACACATCAATTCCGAACCCACTTACTGGATCCAATTACAGTACATCATCAGCAACAAATGTAAACAAGATGAGTAAAGAAAGTGCAGATTGTTTTAAGGGGCCATACTTAGTCAAGAAGCCGTCGTCGACAACCGCAGAGATGTCGAGGAGTGGGTTCCCCATACCCAACAAGGTACCCTCGCACGCCATTCTTCGGATCTAGGAATCGGAGAAAAGAAAAAGCTGTTGCTCCTCTGCAAATCTGTGCAGTGTAGAACTGGAGAGGAGACTGAGTGAGGTTTCTCCCTTTTACCGGTTAGGTGCAAATACAGAGGCGAAGAAAAGGGAGGGTCGAAGTCGAGGATATATAGCTGCGGATCTGGAGGGCGGGCGGGGGAGTAGCCACTAGCTAGCCAGGCGGTAGTAGGTGAGTATAATAAAGTGGAGGTCAAATTGATTAGTCCTTTTTATTTGGTTTGTTTTGGATTAATAAATTGAAATAACAACCCTTTGTTGCAGGTAAATCTGGTGATTTGGCCCTTTAGCCACCAACCCCTCCTAACTCGTCGTGTCTACATTGGCTTGGTGCTATGACTTGCTTGCCTCCGTTTGGAAATTTAATGGAAATTTAAGGAAAGGATGTGGCGATGGTTTTCGTCTCTCCGATGAAATCAAAAAATTTACACCATCGATGCAATAGTTGGGTTTTTTCGTAGTCAGTTGTTAATAACAGAGTGACGAATATGACCTGATTGAAAATCATCAAGGTTTTCATATGATAACGAAATTGAATGCCTTTGCATTATAATCAAGTTATTTATCGTACAAATGTCAAATTAATGTCATGGTATTTCAATGCTACGTAAAATTATACCGGAGTGAGGTAAATTGCATGTGAAGAAGAAGTAAAATGTCAAAATAACATGTTCCAATCAATTTCAAACATCCGGTGATGAGAGTATAGCATAGTATACTAAGTATAGTATATGTCTCTTTTTTTTTTTTTTTGGTATTAAGGTGCAGACATCATTTCCATAGTAATAATTGAATAGTTGAAAACTTGTAACTTAATTCAATTCTAAACATATTCCAAACACATGAGATTTTAATTCAATCTAAATCTAACGATTTGGATATGACATTCTAAATATAGGAATTCATTTGATAATGAATTATATTAAAATTTTATTTTAAAATAAAATGAATTCTCAAATTCATTTGATTCCAAACAAAAGAAAATAAATTATGTAAAATGATAGATTGACAAAAGTAATAGAAAAAATTTCGTTCTTACCATAAAGAACTCAATATTACCTGATTATAAATGTGTGCTGAAATTTGTGGTTTAAGGACACGATCGTAAATTCAAATATGTTTAGGCTACCATAAAAAATAATCTTAAAATTGGGCTGAATCAAAACACGAAAGGGATATTGGGCCTTGCACTAATCCAAAAAATTGTGTATTTGGAATACAATTGCTAGTTAATGGTCTTTGATTCGCATAGGCTGCAGAGTATTTGCTATTGGGCTTTATTCTGATGGGTCATCTTTCTATTGCTTAGTTGGTATTGTTATCCAGCCATTTACCGGGGGGAAATATTCCAGGCGGTTTGTGTCCAATCGGAAATAACGGTACATGGAATAAGTGAAAAGCGGAATGACAATAGGCAGGTCCGGGTGGGTGGGTATCTTGATACTTATACTCGTTCATAATAAGTAGAGATTAAGTCCGATAATTTTTTATGAGGAGCGGATCGTGACAGGTCGACACAATATATGTGTAATTTATATGGAAAAAATTAGAACTATTATTTTTATTTTCATTATAAGACCAAGAAACAAACCGTAGTATGATTAATGTAGTTAAATTATTAGAAAAAATATGATTTTCACTAATTTACAACTTTATTATAGATAAAATATGATGTAATAAAAGGAAAATCCTAGTTAATTTGACTAAGATTACGTGAAACCTAGACAAGAATGGGTCAAGAATGGGGCGAGTCAGGCCAGGTCAAAATTGTCATCCTCCTAAATGTGTTTGAAACGCGTCTAACGGTGAAATAACCGCCTTCAAAGATCTATAAATATCGATCGAAGCTCGTTGTTCATATAATTATGTGTACGATATTCATATAGTGTCTAGGTTGAGAGATAGTCAGGGGATTGTTCCTAGTTTCTACATTCGATTTATAAAAAGCTTTAGTTCGTATAGTTGAGTCCCATTTTGAACACGTTTCATCTTGCTCTGTCTTAATGTCAAGAAGGTTTAACATGATAAAGCGGGGATCCTAGAAGAGAGTTATGAATAGTCACAGATGCTCTTCTTCCCCAAATGTCGGTTTGTCCATGATTATCTAATGGGCATGGCAATAAGGGCCTAGAAGAGACTTCTGCGAGTCGGAGTTGCTCTTGTGCCTTGTTTGTCATGGTTATTGGTTTCGTTGATATATATGCTTTATGGGTAGTGATGCCAATTTGAACTCGTCTTTCGGGTATTACTCGACCTGATTCGTGTGAGACGGGTATTACCCGTTGTAGTGTGGGCGGGGCATGGATATTAAGGTACCCGCCCCGCTCATTGCCATCACAACTTATGGGGTCCTAAAAGAGAACCATGATTAGGCTTAGTTGCCCTTCCGCCCCATGTTTGATTCTATATATGACTCTAAAGCTTGATAATGTTCTCCTAAATGAGAACTATGACTAGTCTTTGGTTGCTCTTTTGCCCCATCCTAGCATTTTTCTCTACGGTTCTTTAATTAGCATATGGTGAATATAATATCTGAGTTAACATGTTGCCTGTTGGGATACTTTTGTAAAATGTCTATGGAGAAACAGTTCCTACAGTATTATAAAGCCAATCCCTCTATTTCAGTCCCTTTGTACACATGGTGGTCTCTGGTGAATTGACAGGTTGTATGTTACCTACATTGATTTTCACCATGAAGTGGGTTTGGATGTTCAGATGAATACCAGCATCTCTAACAACGTGTCGGATTGGTTCTTCTTACATTGTTGAAGAACAGGTTAGCGTTTCCCTTTGTAAAGCTGCAATCCAACACAACTGTCAAAACCGTTGTGCGGATACTGGAAACATATTGGTGTGTAGCCCTCTATGATAATAAGCCTTATTTGCATGATTATCATGGAGTTGGTTTGGGTAGTGATTCTTCTACTGCAGGGGGGTCTTGATTATCAATATACTAAAACAGAATCAAGCAGTTTCCTCCCCAGAATGCAAGTATCCATATTCAAGTAACAAAGGAGATTCCTTCCATTTTCTGTTTGGGTTGGATTTCCATCCATTTGTCTTGAAAACAGTAACAAGAAAAGGAATTTTCGATATATCAGAGAAGATACACAGCATACACATTAATGGGTACAAAGGAAGAGAAGGAAAAAAGGCCGTTCACTTTTACATGAGACTTGATTTTGAATGCAGAAAAATAACCCCTTGAAGAAGAAGAAGAAGAAGAAAAGAAGTCTGTCTTGCCCCACAGTTTTGTATACTTCATTTTCATATCCTACTTAGCTGATAGGGAGAGGAGCACCATTCCATTCCTTAAGGCACTCAAGCATAGGGTCAATCAGCTTCCCTTCACACATTGCTGAGAAGACCTTGTCGAATACCTCACCTGGGGATTGGACCTTTTCGCCGGTAAGCAGACTAGTACCCATTTCTTCCCTCACAAACTTGTACAATGGGTACGATCTGCATTCCTTTATTCTGTTTGCGATCGCTGGGTTCCCATTCTCCAGCTCAGCCCTTGCACTCTCCACTTCTTTAGGCAGGATGGCTTTCAGCTCTTCCTCGAACTGTCCAATCTTGTGGAAGATTGAAGTGTTGGAGTCTTTCTCCATCTCCCCATTCGACAATGCATGCTCGACCAGCACTTGCCTCAGCTTCTGCAGCAGTGGGTAGTTTGCGCTGCAAGGATCATCAGCATAGGCAAATACATACTCCCTGTCTGCAACTTTAAGCAGGTCCTTCTCGCAGAATCTGGACGGGTGGAGCTCTCCATTCACCCCAGTGGTTAGCACTCTCTTGGCAACCTGGCTCACGGTGTTCTTCACTGTGTGTTTCAGGTTCTCCTCGATATGCCTCAAGTCAACGGCTTGACATAAAGCAACCAAGTAAGTGGTGGACATGAGCTTCAGTATCTCAACTGATTCAGCTGTCTTCCTTGCTGATATCAACCCCAGTGAGTTCACATCTTGGTTATGTTGTTCAGCACTCTGGACATGGTTTGTTACCGGGTTAGCGAGGAACTGGAGCTCCGAGCAGTAAGATGCCATGGCAATTTCAGCACCTTTGAAACCATAGTCCAAGCTAGGGTTTCGCCCACCAGTGAGGTTTGAAGGCAACCCATTGTTGTAGAAGTCATTGACAAGCTCAGAGAATTGAGCAAACATGAGCTTACCAATGGAACCAATGGCTAGACGGGTGTTGTCCATCGAGACACCAATGGGGGTGCCCTGGAAATTGCCTCCGTGGATTGCCTTCCCCCTCGATACATCGATCAATGGGTTGTCATTCACAGAGTTGATTTCTCTCTCGATCATTTTTGTCGACATCCTAATCACTTCTATCAGAGGGCCAAGCCACTGAGGTGATGTCCTAAGTGCATACCTATCTTGTTTCGGCTTCTGCAACGGGTCAATCTCGTGCAACATCTTAGCAGCTTTAATGTAGTCACTTCCATCCAGAATATGTTCCATGATTGCTGCAGCTTCAATCTGGCCAGGGTGATGCTTTAACTTGTGTGTCAAGTGATCTGTAAACTCTGGCTTCCCTTGCATAACCTCAGCAAACACCGCAGACATAATTTCGGAGAGAACAGCCAGAATGTTGGCATCAAAAAGCACCATGGAGGCAAGTCCAGAACCGACTGCTGTACCATTCACCATGGCTAGACCTTCCTTGGGCTGCAATTCAAAGAACCCACCAGAGATCCCTGCAACCTTGAACGCTCCAGCAGCGTCAAGCGACTCTCCATTAGGTCCCACCGCCTTGGAGTTAGGGCGGCCTGTCAACAGTCCAGCAATGTAGGACAATGGGACCAGGTCACCGGAGGCAGTAATGGTGCCTCTGAGGGGCAAACATGGGGTGACATTGTTGTTTAGCAGCTTGGAGATGGCTTCCAAAATCTCGAACCTGATCCCCGAGTAACCTTGCAGCAAGGTGTTGATCCTGACCAACATGGCAGCCCTGGTCGCGGAGTAAGGCAGCGTGTGTGCAGACTCTGTGCCATTGCCGAAGATCCCAGCATTCAAGAACCTGGTGCAACGTTACACAAACCATGGTTACTTCTCAAACAATAGCAGCAGCAAAACACACACATCTTTGAACTGTGGAGGTTAAAATCTAACAGTGAATTGCTGTGGATTTTTTTTATTACTGCGGTAATAGTTCAGAGGGTAGTGCTAGTGCGGGCTACAAAGTACTACTGCACCAGTCTATGGAAAAGTAAGAGATTTTAATAATTTGAAAGGACCTGGCCTGCGCTACACCATGTTCGCCACCAACCCACTTTTATTATGTGAAACATTTTTATACCAAAAATTCTACACGAAATGATGGCACCAACCTACCGACTTTCATGAATTCTTACTATAATAAGACACAGCTGCAAAAGCAAATTATATATTTACTGACCAGTAAAAGTAACCATAGTAAACAGAAATTTGAGTTCACAAAAATATGAATACATTGTATACTATCTTATTTATTTATTTATAATTTAAATCTTAGGACACTAATTTGTCCTCCTTTCACTTGATTGTAATTATATAAAGACAAAACAAACCCATCTATGGAAATTGGATTACAGACCCCACTTACTGTTACAACTTACAATTAACAACTTAAATCTTCAACATCAAGTCATAATTGCGCTAATAATTGTGTTCAGTTAGATGAAAAGACGTGTATTATTGGTTCAAGTTAGATGAACTAAAATCAACAGTAAAAATCCACTAATCCCCGAAATGGAAAACTGTGATTATTATGCTGTTTAGACCAGAAACAACAGCAGCAGCACCAGCCAAAAACCGGCCCTTCACCTAATGGAAAACAGGAAAAAATGTTTCTAACCACCCAACTAATCGATCAAACTCCTCCCCAATTCTGCCGATGAATCAATACCCACAAAAGTAATGGAAAAATAGTTTACCTGATGAGCTCGCTCTGAAGTGCTCCACCCTGTTTGGTCCTCCTATGGGACGTGGCTCCGAACCCAGTGGTGACGCCATAACTGTCCGTCCCTTTGCTCATACTCTCCATGACCCAATCGCTGCTGGCCTTCACCCTCGGCCGGGCCTCCTCCGACAGCTCCACCGCGGTGGCGCCGGCGCCGGATGCAATGGCCACGACTTGGGCAACGGTGAGGGTCTGGCCGCCAAGCTGCACGACAGGGGATCTGGACTCCTCCACCATGCGCTTCACCTCGTCCACGTGGCTGCCTTTCAGAGACTCAGCAGCCATTCCCCAGTTCAATGGGTCGGCACCAACAGCCACTGGACCGTTCTTCTCGTTGCAAAGCTCCATTCTTTTCTAAAGAATTCGAAATGGGGAACGGATGAATTGGGTGAAGAAACTAGAAAACAGAGCAGAGGGGAAGGAAAAAAGAATGGGGGAAAATTGATCTTTTTGAATGTATAAGAAGAAAAGGAAGGAACTTTCAGGTTACCCAGAAATATTCCTGAGTCTGATAAACCAAAATTGGGAGCTTTAAATAGAGAGGGGAGTTGGGTTGTTGGGGGTTTGAAGGCAAAAGTGGGAAGGGACGAAGGAGACTCTGTTTGGCTGGGAGTGTTTGTGTGTTTGTTGGGTTAGGCAGATGGGTTAGTTGAGAAGCCATGGGAGCCGTTGGATCATCAGTGGTGGGAGTTTGGAGGGTGGAGACGGTAGACACGTGGGCTGGGAACATGTGGGTAAGTGGGTTGGAGTCTGGAGAGCAGAGATTGTGGGGTGGGGCCCAGCAGAGAGGAAGGGTAGTGGTGGCTGCCATGGCTGAGGACCTTGAGGTTTAGGGGGGGTTGGTGAGAATTTTTTTGTGCTAGTTTTTGGCAATTGGGGTTTGGTAGGGATGGTAGTGGTGTGTGGTTTGTGGATTATAAGCGTAGCATCATCTTTTTGACCATTTTAGGAGGTAACTTCGCCGGCAACCAATTTCTATAGAGATCCCCTGTTTTGCACGTCGTGTTAGGCTGTTAGTCCAATGTCTTATTGTTGTTTTGTGTTTTGGATTACGTCCTAGATAGGTAGATTATGGAAGGATTGCCAATTGCTGGATAGGCCAATGGAGGTTGTTTCTCCATTTTAGGAGGTAACTTCTCCGGCAACCAATTTTTATGGAGATCCCCTGTTTTGCACATCGTGTTAGGCAGTTAGTCCAATGTGTGATTGTTTTTGTGCTTTGGAATATGCCCTAGATATGTAAATTATGGAAAGATTGCCGATTGCCCTAGATAGGCCTATGGAGGCTGTGTCTCCATTTTGATCTAAGCCTGAAGAGGAAGTCTTAGGGTAAAATACCTCCGGTACCACTAAAGTTTGAGAATTGGGGCAGACATACCACTTAAGTTTGAATAGGGCGTTGGGTACCATTAAAGTCACCAAAATGTACATCCGTCTAGTTTTCCATCCAATCCAAAATTTAATTACTTTTTGGTACCCAAAACTTTTAAAAACATCCAAAACAATATTTCAACAAGTTTTTATCTAATATAGAAATTAAAAAACCTTCTAAACATAATAATACTAAAATGACTCATCAAAATTTTCAATAAAATAGATAAGTTAGTAAAAATAATAAACAAATATCTAGAAGAAGAATAAATATATAGAATATAATAATAAATTTTTAAAATCAATATTAGAAGATCTATTTAAATCACTAATCCGATAAGAAGTACCATTAAAAATAGTTAAAATAGAATATAATCGATCATCAATACATCAAGACCAAAGAATGATAAATGGAACATAGTTAGAAAGAATTAAACATATTACAGTAATTGAAGATAATTTAGAACGAAAATAGAACGAAAGTAACCAAGAAAATTATACAACATCCAGATGATGTACGAGAATTAAATATAACATCCTCATATTATTTATATCGATATAGAATTCATAGGATATATTTTCGTAAGCAAATTATTCGATTATTATAACACATAATGGTAATTTAAAGTATATATAATAATAATTGATTCTACATTTCCTATTCAAAAATTGGTTTGGTGTCAAAATCTTAAAAAAGAGAGAATAATTCAATTATTAGAAAACATAATAATAATTGAAAATACTTACAATAATAATTGATTTTAAATTTTCTATTTAAAAATTAATTTGGTATCAAGTTTTCAAAAGAGGATACCAATTAAATAATAAAAATGGGCTAATACCACTACAACACCCGAACTATCGCGAAAATGCCACTTGTGTCCTATTGTTTCCAATATTCCATCTGTGTCCTGAACTATGATTCCGTTAGTGTTGACTTTTGTTGACCGTTAGTATTTAACAAAAAAACCAGTCAGCATCTGACGTGGCATGTGACTTAAAAATAATTAAAATAAAATAAATGAAAATAAAGCCTCTTTCCCCTTCCCTTTCCCATCTCGTCTCAGCGACGGATGCGTCCCCTCCGGTCACCCTCCCCGCTCTCGTGCCAATCGCCGCTCCAACCATCCACGACCTGTCGGAGCTCACCATTCCCTTCCCCAGATTCGGGTACCCCTTCACCCTCTCCAGCGCCTCCTTGATAACCACATCTGCCACTCCTCCTTCCTTCACCAATACTAAGAACTCCCACTCTCACTCCCTACCTTGAAGCATGAACCCGCAACAAAATGGTGACGATGGAGGTGGGATGAGCTTAGACTCCAAACCAATTTCCCTCTACAAAAAGGCTTGGGAACGAGTGGGAAGTTGGAACTCTGGTCAAATTAATTTCTAATTCCAATCACTAAGACCCCAAATCCCTAATTGCTGCAAGCTGAAGGGGTTTCGAGGATCTGGTGGTTGCGCCATCGATTGGAGGTGGAGGCTGCTACTCTGGCTTCTGGGAAGTCAGACCCTTGGTTGAATTGGAGGAGAGAAGGGCCAGGGTCGTCGGTGGCTGTTGGGGGTTCACAGGGATTCGAGGAGGATGGTCATCGCCATCGATCTGGGGAAGAGTTTCCTTGAATCCGAAAAATTGCAGCAGCAACAGTTGATTTTGGCGTGGGATTCCATCCGACCATTGATTTTGGGGGTATCACTTGAACAAACATGAGATTCCATCCGCGCGACGGTAGTAGATTTTCAATTAACCCCATTCTCTGGGTTCCGGCCATAGTAGTGGCACAATGAAAGATTGGCGAGTTGGGTTATCTTTCAGAGAGATTCTCAGAGCCGGATTGGGAGATTTTTGGCGAGTTGGCGAGTTGGTGGTGTAGTAATGGTTTGGCGGTGGCGGCGGGGAGAAGAGTGGAGGCGGCGGTGGCCTCGGGTTCTCGAAGACGAAGCCCGGCGGGATCGTCACGTTCTCACCGCGGTCGCCGAACTCGTCCTTGTAGTACAGGAGCTGCCGCCGGCGGAGGTAGGAGACCTCAGCTTGAGTGAGTGTTCCATGGCTGGAAATGGCTGGTGGGATCTCTGCAGCAAAAGTGCCCCACTCCAATGGGGCTTTTCTTTCGAGTTCTTGCTTTGATTTTCCTCTCAAACAGGAGCCAAAGCTTGAATCTTTGGCAGAGAAGAAGAAGAGTTTTTTATTATTTTGTTTTAAAATTTTGGTTTAATAACATAATTGAATTTACATTTTCTTTAATTTTAACTCATTTTTTTTATTTAATTTGAATTAAAAAAAATATTAGGTCAATGACGTGGCACCTATGTGGCAGCCTCGTTTTTTGCCACGTCAACAAAAGTCAACTTCGCGTTGACCACCGTTTGGTCAACTGTTATCTTTAACGGTCAACGAAATTGACAGGATACAAATGACACAAAGTATCATAGTTCAGGACACAGATGGAATATTGGAAACAATAGGACACAAGTGGCATTTTCGCGATAGTTCGGGTGTTGTAGTGGTATTAGCCCAATAAAAATTGATGTTTTTCATAAGTCAAAAATGATTTTTTACAATAAGAAAAGTAGAAGGACCAATTAAGAAATTTAGAAAACAGAATATTCCAAGAATATTCTGTTAACTTTAACGGAATGCACTTAACATTAAACTTAAGTGGTACCGGGTGCACAAATAATAGAGTTCAGTGGTACCCGACGCCCTATTCAAACTTAAGTGGTATGCATACCCCAATTCTGAAACTTAAGTGGTATCCTGGGTATTTTACCCGGAAGTCTTACATCCTCCTAAGAGACTATTTTTTTGTGGGTAGGGAGGGGTAATGACACCATATATTCATATGGCTTATACATCATAGTAATAGATATAGTCGCATCAAAATTGATTGATAGATAAATGTACAACCGATTGTAACATATAATACTGTTCGATTCACATTAGGATAAAATCGATAACAATGACGATGATTAGGAGCCACAACTGGACTCCTTTGGTTTGATCTATCTCTTCGGAATCACAATTCACACGTGGAGAAGAGTAAGAGGCTCCTGTCATTTATAGTCTGGCACCCAAGTTAGTATGATACATGAGTTGTGCTATGTAAAGTAGAGAGGACTGTGTACGGTTACTGTGCCAATGGAAGGGAAGATATGATCCCCAGTTTGGGAGCTTGTGTGTTCTTATATAGGAGTCTGGGGCTTCCATGATAAGATGTCCTAAAGCTTTCTTGAAGAGACGCCTCGGAGTACCTTAGCTTCCTTAAAGAGACATTTCAGAGTGGGCCGAGACCCTACGTGAGGTGTCTTAGCAATGATCTTAAACTCATTAATTCATTATGCATATTCATATGGTACCTCAACACATGCCAAATTGTTGCATTAGTCTACATTCATTTTTTTTTTATAGAAGTCTACATTCATTATGGAAAGAACAAATATCTACCATTTTGTGACTCAAGTCGGTTGTGCTCGACCCAAGTTTTAAGCAAGGAAATGAGACCACATCGAAGCTAGCAACAGAACAAGAATCTAATAGAAAATTTTAACAGGTTACAAAATGAGTATTTATGTGTATAAAAACAGTAAGATGGTGCTCCGGTCCAATATTATCCTAACGACATTCATACAAAATAAATTAATAAAAATGATCCTAACATTCTGTGTCACTGGGTGTGCATGGTATCTCTTCATCAGTTCCTTTCCTGTATCACTTTCTCATGTATGACTCTCATAAGCTCTCCGAACCCGATTTGATGTTGAATGAAACCTGAGATGCCTGGTATTCATTTAAAACAAAAAAATCCTAACAAGGCATCAGCCGACTTAATTATCCGGCCAGCAAAAGGAGACCATAAAATACAAAATATTATTTAAATTCTATGTTAATGAACTTGGGAATATATGTATCATGTCTGGCGCTAGTAATTGTATCCTTAAACTAAAGAAGATTTTAGCTGGTATCGGTCTGCCATTTGAATTTGTTGACCAAGCAAAATGAAGTGTTGAACTATTCCATTATGAACCCACCTGGCCATATTCTTCTCGTTACCATCTACTAAAATATATTCATATGAAATTCGAATAAAATCCATCTACATCATTCTCAGATAATTATATATCAAGTTTTTATTTTATAATGTGGATTTTTTCTTAGAGTGTCACTATTACTTTTAAGTTAAACATTGTTTGTAAGAGTGAAGGAAAATTAGCAAAATTTGGGTCCAAAAGATAATTACAATACTTGAGAAATATGGATGAATGAAGTCTTGAAATGAGTGACTCTAAATTACGGTAGCAATAGCACATATTCAGGTGAGTTCGGTGTGGATATTTGATATACTAAAACCGCAAAAAAATAATTGTCATTTTTGTTGGACTCTCGGATACCCATCAAAAAATAATATCGGTTGGATTTTTTCCGACGAAATTTATTTGGATTCTGTAGGATACACATGATGATGATGTGTTATTTTGTCATCCGTATTGACAAATATAAAGAGCTTTAACTAATAATGTCTTAACGTTTATAATAAGTCATATAACATCCCGTCCAACATTAATTACGTGAATGATTACAATTTTAAAATTCGAATAAAATTATAATTCCGAATGTAACATATAAAAAAATTGACCACACTCAAACTCATTCATCAGATAAACTGACAAGCAAGAAATTGTCAAACTAGAGTTTGATATGTAATTTTGTTTTCTTGTTTGGCCCATTATCGCGTTATTCATTTCCTCCAATATTCCAATGAACAACATACTCCAATAATATATAAGAAGGCCATAATATTCATCATTGACATAATCCACTTTGTTATTACTTATTTGGCCATCAGTGCTTTCGTTTAATTTATAGAGTAGCTAACTGACTCCGTCCTACGTTAGATTGATATGTTAGGATATCTACAATAAGTTGGTAAGTTGTATGTCAGTTTTGAAGTGTGTATTTGTAGTGTAACATCTGGTTAAGATGTTGGTATCACCAGCCTCCTGATTAGTGTGAGATAGGATGTGAGTTATATTTTTGCCCCGTTTTATCTCAATTTCATATTAAAATTTTGCATGGCCATATGTATACATAAAGCCTTTTCTTTGTTTTCCTTTATTTATTTTTTATTTTTTTCTCTCTTTTTTGTCTGAGTATTTCATTTGTAATTGCTATATAAATGAGTTCAATGTCTTTATCAAATAACTCACATTGAGTTATTTGGGCACAAATAACTCGTTTGGTAACGTTTTTCTGAAATTAGTTATTTGGACAATGAGTTATTTACAAATAACTCAAAACGAGTTATTTGAAATAACTTATACTCATGTGTTATTTCAAAATAACTCGTTTTATTACTCTGTTTTTACCAAATACCACATGTCGAATACCACATTTGCATGGTTCAACCAAACGAGATACTTTATTTCAATTACCATTGAAATAACACTGAAATATCACATGAATAATAAATGAGTTATTTGACTCTACAAATACCACATTGACAATTAACCCATCCAAACGACCCCAGAGATTTGTGTTCGCAGTCTTTTATACGAGCTCTTATAGTCTTATGAAAGTAAATGTGAAAATGAATTTTCCAAAGAATTTTTTTAAAAAAATTATGATGCATATCATGGTAATCTTAATCGATACAAAATATTTAGTCATTCGAATAACGATTTCGATAGTCTCAAATATGAATAAAAAATTTCAGATATTTTTATCCATATACTAGATAAATATATATCTCCGAAAGTACCTAGCGAGTTCGAGTACACCAATCTGAACTATGCCTACCTACCACAAACATTTTAGATGACTCTTTCTATTTTAATATCTCGATTATTATTCTAATCCTCATGTGGCAGAGGGGCCCTGGCGATAATGAAAACTACACTTCAAAAGTTTTGAACTACTTTATTTGAGTTCTTCCTAAACATCTTCTGCAAATTGCTTTATATGTTTTATAAATATAAACAATATATACAAATATTATCCAAACCTATTAAAATGCTATTAATTAGTCAAATCTTTTGTAATGCATCAAAATATTAGCCATTTTTATGTTATCATTAATAATTTTGTAACTCTTTTCTTAGTTGACATACTAAAATTTTGGAATCTTGACATTCATGTGTCTCTTCCAAGTCAGTATCATATTGCCAAGTCAATATTATTAACAAAATTGGTAACTGAAAATTAATATTTGACTAATTATTAGTATTTCAATAGGTTTTTCTAATAAAAAATAATCTGAAAAGGATTTAACTAATAAATATTCACCATCTGTATAAATTATTGTGATCATTATCATATTGTAAATTATTGTGATCATTATCATATTGTAAAGAAAAAAGAAACCGTCGTTGCGGATTAATGATGGGCTCCCTTAACTAAATTATAAGTTCAAGAAGGTGTTAAGAACTCAAAATAAACACAAACACAACGCCAAGATTTACGTGGTTTCCCTGAGAATCAGGACTAGTCCACGGGAGAGATAGAACTCTCCAGAGTCACTCTTATTCAACTTAAGTTTTCTGTGCATACAAGATACATATATATACGTTCGGCCTAGGGTATAAACCGAACCCTACTAGTTTATTTAGATAACTCCTGTAATTAAAGTAAATTACTAAAAGCTACCTAAATAAACTTAAGTCGTCACTTCAACACCCTCCCTCAAACTGATGATGCTGACGTAGCATCAGTTTGTGAGATAAATACCAGTGACGACTAGTGCCGACAGCCTTTGTCAACAAATCTGCAGTCTGGTCTTCTGTTGACAGATAACTGAGCTGGATGACTCCCTCCTGAATGAGCTGCCGAATATAATGCACATGAGTCTCGATGTGCTTAGTCCTGTCGTGCAACACTGGATTGTTAGCAATCCGAATTGCACTAGTATTATCACCAAACAACCTCATCGGCGTCGTGCAATTAACTCCCAAATCCATTAGTAACCGCTGCAACCATACCAATTCGGAGCTAACTTCAGACATAGACCTGTATTCTGCTTCAGTTGAAGACTTAGAGACACGATCTTGCTTCTTGCAGCGCCAAGATATAGGAGATAAACCAAGTCTAACACACCAGCCTGAAGTAGACCGTCGGGTATCGACACATCCTGCAAAATCAGCATCTGCAAATGCCTCTAAAGTCATCTCACCATGACTGGGAAAGAAAATTCCCACATCTTGAGTACCCTGAAGATACCGCAAGATCCGATGCACGGCATCAAGATGCAGAGTTCTGGCCATCCCCATATATTGACTGACAACTTGAACTGCATATGCTATATCAGGTCGAGTAGAGCTTAAATACCTGAGACTCCCTACTATCGTACGATAGTTAGTTTGATCATCGAGAAGCTCACCACTTGATCTACTTAATTTTAAGTTCTGCTCCATAGGTGTAGGACATGGCTTGCAGTCAAGGAACTGATACTCAACCAGTAAATCCCGAACATACTTTTTCTGACTCACAAAAATGCCTTGTGTCGTGCGCTCGATTTCCAAGCCCAGGAAGTATGAAACATCTCCAAGCTCCTTCAGTTTAAATGCCTGATGTAATGTCTCCTTGAGTTCCTGTATACCAACATGATCACTCCCCGTGATGATCATATCATCAACATATAGTAATAAGACAGTGAGACCAGTCGTCGTTTGACGCAAAAACAAAGATGGATCATTCTGACTTTGCACAAAGCCAGCCTGCATAACAGTGCCATGGAATTTCTCAAACCAGGTACGTGGAGCCTGTTTTAGTCCATATAAAGACTTCTTCAATCGACAAACAACGTTAGGACCACCCTTCGAATACCCTGCTGGACATGCCATATAAATAGTCTCCTTCAGATCTCCATGCAGGAATGCATTTTTGACATCTAACTGAACCAGAGGCCAATTCCGCATTGCAGCTACAGCCAATACACATCGAACAGTCTGCATCTTCGCCACAGGAGCGAAGGTTTCATCATAGTCAATCCCATATTCCTGGCTGAACCCTTGAGCTACCAACCTGGCCTTATATCGATCAAGTGATCCATCTGGTTTAAGCTTCACAGTGAACACCCACTTACACCCAACAACAGACATATCCGGAGTTCTGGGGATCACCTCCCATGTCTCATTCTCTTCAAGTGCATCGATTTCTTCTATCATAGCATTATCCCACTCTGGTATACCACATGCATATCTGTAGTGAGAAGGTACATGAATGGGTTCAACAGCAAAGGTGACGGGATCCACAGCAAAGACGACGTAGTCATTATGGCGAGGAGGTGGTTGGCCCTTGTTTACCCGATCTGATCGACGAGGCCCGGCTGGCGGTGACGGAGGATCATTGCTTTCATCACTGCCTGAGCTAGAATCCAAGGACCCATCACTGCTGCTATTTAAGATGTCATGTGATGAGGAGTTGGATCCACTATGGCTACTACTCGATGACTCATCACTGCTACTGTCCAAGGATCCCACAGGGGAGGATGTCTCGGTACCATCCCCATCATGCAATGAAAGAGAGGGAGTAGGCTCGGCAGGAACAACACAAGGGGAACCAAATGTCACGGAGTCAGCAACCACCAAGGTTTCAAGAAAGGAAAGACTACGAGCAAACTCCTCACGTGAGGATTCCTTCTTGGTGGAGTAGTACATGACATTCTCCATAAATATAACATGATAACCAATTCGTAACCGTTGACCCTCCGGATCATAACATAGGTACCCCTTATGACGATCACTGTATCCCAAAAAAACACAACGAGCTGTCTTGGGGTCGAGTTTATGACGCTCCTTGCGAGGAAGTAGCACAAAACATAAGCACCCGAAAACACGTAGGGCGCCATAGTCAGGCAACTTGGAATACAACTTCTGATAGGGAGAAGAGTTATCAAGGACTGGAGTAATCTGACGATTAATGAGGTGAACGACAGTGTTAGCTGCTTCCACCCAAAATCGTGCGGGAACTCCAGAACGAAACAATAAAGCGCGTGTCAGTTCGAGGACATGGCGGTTTTTACGCTCAACCACGCCATTTTGTTGTGATACCCCTGGGCAAGACTGCTGACTGAGAATACCCTGCGAACGATAAAATGCAAGCAGCTCATTCGAACTAAACTCTCCACCAGGATCAGAACGAATAATCTTAATAGTCTTTTGGAACTGGGTCTGTATCATACGAACAAAGTCTCGGGCATGAGTAAGAAGCTCAGATTTATGCCGCAAAAAATATATCCAAGTGTACCGGGTATGGTGATCAATAAACAACGCAAAATAAAGAAATCCATTGCGAGATGGGACCTGCGATGGACCCCAAAGGTCCGTATGCACCAGGTCAAACGGAGCATCATAAACTGTAGAACTAGTAGGGAACGATCGTTGAGCAGCCTTAGCCTCAATGCAACTAATACATGGGGGAGGAGAAAATGAAGCAGCTCGAAAATTACCAGGCAATAATTTTTCCGAAAACATCTGTAATAAACGAGAAGAATGAGGATGCCCCAAACGGCAGTGCCAAAGATCCCAAACAGAATTCCGAACATCCGAACTGAGAGAATGTTTGACAGAAACAACAGTAAATGTAGAGGAGTTCATCCTACAACTATCACGGGAAACATCAAGTCGAGCATCAACATGATCACCAGCAGCCAGCTCACGCCTACACCCAGACAAGTCCCGCGAACGCAGAGACTCCATCACATATATGCGCCCATGCTTACGACCCCGGCCGAGTTCCATCCCCGTCCTCGAGTCCTGCACCACACACCCATTATTATCAAATTTTACATCACACCCATCCTCAGCAAGTTGACCCACAGAAATCAAATTCGGAACCAATCTAGGAGCATGAAGAACCCTATCCAGATGAAGCCCAGACTCCACAATCCGACCCATCCCAGTAACCGGTAAAATCGTACCGTCAGCCACTTGCAATCGTTGAGTCACAGGACGAAGCGATGTGAACGACCCTACACGATTTGTCATATGATTGAAAGCAGCTGAGTCAAGAAGCCAGTGGGGAGAGTTACCTGAACCATTACCAGTCGAGAAAGCGGAGTGCATCACCTCCTGAAGCGCCGAGTGGATCAGCTTGGTAAGCTCTTCCTTAGAGACACCTGTGACAGATTGAAAAGCACCGGGAGTAGGCGCGGTGCACACCTCAGTAGCAGCATAAGCAGCGGGTGCAGAACTAGGACCAGCAGAACGAGGATGTGAACGACGACCCCGTTTAGGACACTCGCTCAAGATGTGCCCAGCCTGACGACAAAAGTTGCACCAATTTCTTTTCCGGCAGAATGGCTGAATATGCCCAGGATCCCTGCAATAATGACAAAAGCGAACAGGGGCAGTCCCTTGACCACCAGGAGGACCATGACCAGAGGCACCCATCTGCGAGGATGAGGACTGAAAGTGTGGCCGAAAAGAGGTAGCCGCAAACACCGAGGAATTCTCAAGGGAGCGAGCAGAACCGGCGTCAATCTGTGCCTGACTTTTAAGCCGAATTTCTTCTCTGTAAAGCTCGGCCAGAATTTCATCCAACTCAGTCACATTACGGTGGAGAAGAGAAGCTCGAATGGGCTCATATTCTGGACGTAACTTCATAAGGAAGTGCATTGTACGACTACGCGTACGTTCCACAATAGTAGCTTCAGGAGTATGAGCGGTCGAGATAGATGCCGAGAGAAGATCGCTCTCGGTCCAGAGGTTCATGGCTTCCTGATAATATGAGCGGATATCCATACGACCCTGAGCCAACCCAGCAATGGCAGTTTCCAACGCAAACTGACGCGATGCATTAGCTTGACAGTTGGTGGTACATAGATGCTTCCACATAGCACTTGCCGTCGTAAAACGGCGCAGACTCAGCCCGGTAGGAACGTCCACACATGCCACAAGCCAAGTGATGACCTGTGCATTCTCCGCCTCCCAATCGGCAAACTCCTTAGCCTCGGACTCAGCCGGCTTAGGACGAGTACCCAGCAGCAATGGAAGGAGGCGCTTGCCTTGAACAAACGTACGGAATTGAAATTCCCATAAGGGAAAATTCTTTCCATCAAAGCGAGCCACAACAGCATCGGGCTTTCCTGAATCCATCGAGACTAAACAATAGCACAACACAATATTCTAGCGAGCCAAAATAAATAGCAATCCAAGTAGTTTCCACACAGCAGTCGAGCGGAGACTCCTTAGCCAAAATAAAGAGCCAAAATAGAATTCCAAGAATAAAAGAACCCAGGGAACAAAACCTGCGCAGCCAAGTAAGACTCCAAACCAAGAGGCAGCCGAAATCCCAATAAACAGAAAGCAGCCGAGAAGAAGAACCCTGGACAGCCGAGACAAAAGCTCCGAAAGCAAAGAGACGAGTTGGCGAACAGATACAGCACACAGCAGCTGAAACCCAAAGCAGCCGAAGAAGCCCACAACAGCCGAAAAACACACAGCAGCCGAAAACCTTAGAAGAGAGGCTCTGATACTATGTTAAGAACTCAAAATAAACACAAACACAACGCCAAGATTTACGTGGTTTCCCTGAGAATCAGGACTAGTCCACGGGAGAGATAGAACTCTCCAGAGTCACTCTTATTCAACTTAAGTTTTCTGTGCATACAAGATACATATATATACGTTCGGCCTAGGGTATAAACCGAACCCTACTAGTTTATTTAGATAACTCCTGTAATTAAAGTAAATTACTAAAAGCTACCTAAATAAACTTAAGTCGTCACTTCAACAGAAGGTTTGCTCTAATTTATTTCTTACTTCATTAATTATAACATTTGGTCATCAAGTCAATATATTATCTTTTGAACCCCACTTATTCAACATGAGAATACATGCAGTATACCTCTATTTTTTGTTTGGTTATGTCGACTATACACCATATATAAATAAAATTTAGGTCATCAAACTTTGCATGGCGACAGAAAAGTCAAATATCAAAAAAGATTTTAGAGCAATTTATGGGAAAAATCAAATATCATATTGTACTATACCATAATGTTTTTGATCAATGAGTCTCGTTTGATTAATAATACGAATTAAAATCTTCGGTGCTTAGTAGAGTCTAGTTTGCATGATAAATGTACGCATTTTAGATCCTTTTCATAATAATAATATAATATGATGTTCCAAATCACTATACAATATTAATAAAAATAATGTTATATTTTTTTCCACATCATTTTAGATAAATTCCTGGCTAGTATCCTCTTGTGCTATGCTTTTCACCAGGAAAAAAACAATTAAAGCGATTTTTTTTTCTTGATGAATAAAGCGATCCTTTTGGTCATATTAGAGATGTCTTTTTTTTTATACTTTGGAACCATGTGAAAAAAAAAAAAAAACTGATCATGAGAGAACACATTACCATTATGAGAGCATGACAATTCAATTCACATCGCCTTTTCGTCGTCGATCATGCTTTCACCAACAACTACTGTTTTGGATCGGAGCTAAATTAAAGCCGCCCACTAACTACACCTTTGATTCTCTCGTTTTTTAACCCAGAAAAAAAAAGACACATGCAATTCTGTCAAATTTTCCGATATGGTTGGTGGAGGACAACAACCAATTGTCAGGAATTTGGCAGGAGATGAGAGCGGATTGAATACGTGATTAAATCACTCTCGTTAGAGTGTTGTTTGCGTTTCTATAAATTATTGCCAGAAATAGAAATATAAACAATTAACTCTAGAGTTTGTCAAATCAAAGTATGGAAGCTGCAATCTTTCATATTTCAGTGTTTGTAATAAATAAAAAATTGGAAGAAGAAGAAAAATGTTGGAACGAAAATTGGCTTTAACAATTTTTTATTGTAAAAATGATAATTTCCTTCTGAAAGGTTATTTCGTTTCACAAAATCCAAATTTAATTAATTATTATTCGAAAAATAATTAATCATATCATTGATTTTAAAACCGCGATTCAACCATTATAATGTTGACCCTACCTAACCATATTGCGACACAGTATTAATTGTACTTGCTAGAGTGAGGTAATGAATCCAGTAGGAGAACTTTGTTAGGAATTTAGCTGGGAAACTACAAGGAGCTAGCAAAGCTTTTACCTGGTTAAACTAATCAAACCGTGTGATGTGATGAGTTCAACATTTCATGCTGACTTTTTTCCAAAATGGAAAAGAGAAATCTCATAAGTCATAACTATAAGCTTGTTTATATATTATCAAACCTCGACATAGATGATGATGATAATAATAATTAATAGTATAATTATTGATGAGAAAAACAAATAATGAATATTTTCTAACAACGTCATTGACACGCTCATCATGCCTTGTACTTAACTCAATCATGAAGATTCGAACATACGACCATTTAGTTAGAACAACTATGATATTATATCATAAACCAATTGGTTCCAATAACTCGAGTTGTTGGGAAATATCTTGTATGGATTAGAAAAATACACAAATTTAATTATTGAATATGAATAGAAAATAATCAAAGATTAGGAAATAAGGATTTACTAGTGATACCACCAATGACTAAACCCTTTTAGTGACTAAATAGTGAAACTCATCTAATATATGGACAGTGTGACCCCTTTTCACACGATTTAAAAAAGACAATGACCACTTTGATACATTATAAAGTTTAGTGGTAGTTTTTTTATATTAAGCAAAAGTTTAGTGACCATTTTGCCATTTAACTCGCCAAAAGCCTAAAACCCAAAACCCTGATCCCCTGGTCTCATCCGCCGAGAATTGACGCTTTGATACCGTCCGCTGACCAGAGCGACGTTCGAGCTAAACGCAAGCTGACGAAGACCTTACCAACGGTGGATTCGTCAGTGTTTGCTTCTGGATCAGTTTCTACGATTTTCTGACCCAAATTTCAATTCGAGTAGGCTTCAGCTTGATTATTTTCAAGGTCGTTTCGAGTTGAAAAGGAAGCAATTGGAGGTTTAGTTGAACGATAATGATGGAGACAGACCGGAAAGACGGCCGCACGCCAAACCAGCTGAGGATGCTGAGTTGCTCTCGCAACATCCTCCACCGTGCTCACGGCTCCGCAAGTTGGTCTCAAGGTAAATACCACAGCATTTTGAGTTCTTGGCTGCGGCTTCCCTTCTGTTTTCTGCTGCAATGTTACTGATTATGATTTGGAAACTTATTTTTGTTAATTGCATTCGGTGTTGCTGATTGCGGGTCTTAGGAGAGACGAAGGTTCTGGCTGCTGTTTATGGACCTAATGCTGGAACGAAGAAGAACGAGGACCCTGAAAAAGCTTGTATTGAAGTTATTTGGAAACCTAAAACAGGCCAAATTGGTGAGCTTTTCTATCTGGGTGTTCAGTTGGTATTCCTCAAACTTGAACCCTGCAAAGAACGGAATGAGGTTTTTGGTTTAGGTCATTTGGGTTTCATGTGTTTGGGTCTCAGTTTTAGTGCTTAGTTGGTTTGAGTTTTGTGTCACTTGTGAGGCCTCTGATTTTCCTTTCCGTTCGAAAAATGTATAGGGAAGGCCGAAAAAGAGTGTGAGATGATAATGAAGAAGACTATACAGAGCATTTGTCTTTTGACAATCAACCCAAACACAACAACATCAGTTGTAGTTCAGGTTAGTGATCTATGTTAAAGCTTAAAACTTTATCATAGAATTTGCGCGTTCTATCCATTATTAGATTGATGTTGCCATGATGCCAGAAGTTAAATAGTACATGTTTGGAGTCCAGATCCTTGTTTAATAATTAATACACATCTCACTAGTTTGTGCCATTTCGTTTTGCAGGTTGTCAATGATGATGGAGCTGTATCCTTATATTTTCATGGTTAATAAGTGAGCCTGGAATGCAACTTGGCTGAGTTCCACTGTTTACACTTGCTGTATCAATCCTTTAATATGCTCCGGCTTGCTGTCAGCTTGTAAATGTTCCCTAAGCATTCATAAGCTAAGAAATTTCTGACAGCATCCGAACATATTGCTACTGTTAGTACTCTTTGCATGCTCCATGGGAACAATTACATTTTTTGTACTGTAGGAGCAATTTCCTCTCTCATCCTCATGGTATTCTTGGTCTGTCTATCGTGAATGCATGCTTCTTCACTCCTCTCTTGGTTCGAACTCTTGTTGGTTTCTTTTGGAGCAATCTTCTTCCAGTCTTCCTGCCCTTTTTGTCTATTGTTCCGGACAAGTCTTGCTTCAGCGATTGCTTTCTTGACTTAAAATACTTGTGTAGCTTCTACCTTGTGCCATAAATGCAGCATGTGCTGCCCTTGTTGATGCTGGAATTCCCATGAAGCACCTTGCCGGTACATATGATTAATTCCTTCTTTTCCATCCAAGCATGTTTCTTTTTTCCCCTTTCCGGCAGTTAAGTTTCTGATATTCCTTGTTTCGTCTCTGCAGTGGCAATTTGTTGCTGTGTGGCAGAAGAGGGGTCCGTGTTACTCGATCCAACAAAGCTGGAAGAGCAGGTTATTAAGCTATCCAATATCAATTTATACCCCAAGTCTTCAGTTCTTCCTTTAACTTGACCCTAACTGTCGTTAAATTTGTTTTTGGGCAGCAAATGAGAGGCTTTGCATATATAGTTTTTCCAAACTCGGCTCTGTCGGCCCTACCTAAAGGATCATCTCTTGTTGATGGTGAGCCCTTGGAACACGGGATCATCACCTCTGTCACTCATGGCGTTATGTCAGGTACGCTCAGGATAATCTCCGATTGTTAAGCATCTTGTTGCCTCTCTATCCATCACATGATGTTTCCATTGTCGCTTGTTACCTCTTGGCAGTGGATGAATACTTGAGATGTGTGGGTCGAGGGCGAGCAGCATGCGCGAAGCTGTCTGATGTCCTGAGAAGGAGCTTGCAAAAATCAGAGTCGTAAAATCCATATAGCTTCCAACCACTGGGATTAGTGATCAGCCAGCTCATACAACATGTAAGGATATTTCATAGAATCGCAGCTTATAACACTCTAATTCCAAATGGCAAACTAGTTGTGTTGTGGCAAATTGCAGTGATGTGTGTGAGCAAGCCACCAACCATTTTGTGGGTTTTCCTCCGCAATTTGGTTGAGCTGTGCCTGTGTTATCGTTGGTCTCTTTGGGCCGGAAGTGCAGATTGTTGCCCTAACAGAGCGAGACCAAATCATGAAAGTGGACGGTGGGCAAGACGAGCTCACACCAATCGGAGTTCAAATAATAAAATCTGGAAAAAAATGAGCTCTTTTGACGGAATAAAATCTTATGGTTGAACTGCCGAGCTGTCATCAACTTCATGCATGATTGAGTTTAGTGGAGTTGATGAACAAAATCTGCCTTCAATCTACGCGCAATAAAATACATTTTTTTTGGAAAAGCTTCAAAATATTGATTGATTAATTAAGAAAAGAAAGAAAAAAAACGAGACAAATTAAGAACGCCACGCGTCCATCAGGGGCGATGCTGATATACATATGAACGTTTCTCCCTCTCTGCCTATTAAATTTACGGAGGCAGAATTTAGGGGCTGGAGAAGAGAAAGATTAGAAAGAGGATTGGAGTTGGAGGGAAAACAAGAACACGCCCAGCAAAGGTTTGCATTGATCATATCATTACCGGCAGCAAATTTCTACGGGTTTGCTGCTTCAGATTTCAATCTTCCGCCACATCCATTTCATTCATCAACCCTCTCTCACAAATTCAACCCTTCTTCTTCTTCTTCTAATCGCCGTCACCTTCGTCTTCATCTCCCCGGCCGCAAAACTAGTCTGCGGTCATTCAGGAGAGAGGAGGTGCCCACGAGAGTTTGGAGATCAATTGGTGGCTTCTTTTTGTTTCTTTCTTAAACGAACAGGGTAGCTGTAACTATGTCGACTTTGAATTTCCCTCCGGTGCTTCCTTCTCCCAGAGACGATGCCATTCTCCTCAAAAAAGCTTTCAAAGGTAGGGTATATATCTTTTCCTCTTTCAAATTTCTGCTCTTTTGATTCCCCTTGATTGAGTTGGTCTGTTTGGTTGAGGGTTTCCTTTTTTTTTTTTTTCCTTTCCTTTCTTTCTTTTGGGTTTGGTTCAATATTCTACTGTTTTTGTTTGATTGATTTGGACGATTGGCTTGAGTAGTTGAGCAGCATGCTTGGATTTCCCCCTCTAGTCTAGTTTGTACCTGGCTTTTGTCGTATACGTGTAGAAATCAATTGCAGGGAGAAAGAATCCCTTCAACCTTGTTTGCTCCGCAGTGAACACATTAGATGCTTGGTGAACGTCCCTGATATGCGACCATGTCGTTTGCTTCTCCTGGAGATCGATGTAAATAAATATGCATTTGATATGAGTTTTTGTATGAAATAATCTCCTTTTTCTAGGTTCTCTTGAGTTTAACCCAGGAACCCAATTTTCGCTATGATCATGGTGCGTGATTCCCAGACTTTCTATTGTTTTTATGTTGTGGACGTGTGATCACTAATAATTGAACTCTGGCTATGCGAGTCACCTTGTTTGAAGCCATAAGAAGGTTTCAAATTTTCCTTTTGCTTTCATATCTCCTCATTGAACCGAAAGACTTGTCGAAGAACGGACTGCAAGTTTGCCATGTGGCACGTTGCAACACAACATGAAGCAATCTGATAAATTATAAGGTTTGCGGTTTTCTGTCTGTCACAGGATTCGGGTGTGATACCTCGGCAGTTATAGATATTCTGGCTCATCGAGATGCAGCACACCGTGCTTATATCCAATATGAGTACCGGACAATGTACTCGGAAGACATATTCAAGCGCTTGTCGTCGGAGCTTAGTGGCAAGCTGGAGGTAAGACCAACTTCCGCACAATTTCTGTCTCATCTTTACTTTATTATTATATTCACGTTCACCATATAAATCAGTTTAGTGGCAAGTTTGTCTTGGTTTCCGTGCTTAATCTGATCTCAAGCTCATCTGTACATGTACTCAGAATGCAGTTCTTATGTGGATGCAAGATGCTCCAGGATGTGATGCTACGATTGTCAGGCAGGGATTGATGTCTGAAACTAGTAATTTGGATGCTGTTACTGAAGTGATCTGTTCCCGTACGCCTTCACAGATACAGTTATTTAAACAGCACTACTATGCAAGGTTTCGTGTGTACCTCGAGCATGATATTGAAACTCATACTTCTGGAGATCATAAAAGGGTATCATTCTGTTTCCACTCTCTTAGGTAGTCATGTATGTTGGTTGGCTCAAAAGTTCTTACCGATCTGCATAGGAGAAGTACATTACGATCTGTTGCTGTTATGGATTGCATTTGGATGATTGGAATTATCATACGTGTATTTGTAGCTTAGGAAGCAATATCCTCGCTGCTATCATTATCATTTGCTGTTTCTAATGAATCTGTTGCCTGTTCTCAACGTTGATCTTTGTTGAACTGAAGTTGCTTATTGTCTCAGTTGTTGCTTGCTTATGCAAGTACTCCCCGCTATGAAGGCTGGGAAGTTGACAAAGAGGTGGCTGCGAATGATGCAAAGACTCTATACAAAGCAGGGGAGAAGAGGTTGGGAACTGATGAGAAGACATTCATCAACATTTTCAGCTCACGTAGCGCTGCTCATCTGGTTGCCGTTGATGCTGCTTACCAGAACTTATACGGACATGACTTGAAGAAGGTGAACGGTGCTGTACTGACTTTGTTCAGTTTCGTCGGAAACTTCTGTAATCCATTCTTAAGTTCAATTTTCATGTGCTTTATCACAGGCTGTGAAAAAGGAAACATCGGGACATTTCAAGCAAGCACTGTTGACTATTCTGTTGTGTTCAGAGAATCCTGCAAAGTACTTTGCAAAGGTATAAATAAATCATATATGCATATTTTGCCTTTCAGTTACCTGTAACAAACACTGCAATTTCTTCCCATCTCATGTTCATCATTTCCTCGCAGGTGCTGCACAAGGCGATGAAGGGTCTGGGCACCAATGACACAGCACTAATACGGGTAATCGTGACGAGGACCGAGATCGATATGCAATACATAAAAGCCGAGTACCTGAAGAAGTACAAGAAGAAACTTAATGACGCCGTTCATTCTGAAACATCAGGGAGTTACAGGAAGTTCTTGCTTGCACTTCTGGGACCTTCTGGTTAAGGTATTTGCAGGGACTAGCGGTGAAGAGCGAGTGTTTGTGTGTTTGAACCAGAAACCTATGTTGTATTGTGCATCATTCCTGTGTGTACTCTGTAAATTAATAGGGGGTTGGGAGTTTTTTTGTGCTGTGATTCATGGAACTTCTTCATGGCCCGGTGCCTCTTCTCCGGTGTATTTCACGCTTCAAACAGTTTTTTGTATATACGAGTGATTGTTATGCATCTGCTTAGCTTTTCAGGGTCCAAAAACGCATTGATGTTGACGATTATTGTCCTTTACTCTTAGTTCTGAACGCTTTGACCAGTTTACGACAAGTGAACTTCCTGTAACTGCAAGCGTGTTAATGACTTAATGTACAGAGTTAACTCGATGACAACAGGTCAAAGAAGATTCTTTCTTAAGACAGAGAAGGTCTATAAATTGCTCTTTTAATGGCCAAATCTCTTAATACCTGCAATGTTTTAACTCTGCTGACGTTAAATCCCGAGTGAAATTACGGCAAAACCGAAAAGAAACAAACGGATTATTAATTCAGTTTGAAGGGTATTCTTAATTTGGAATTGTAAGACTTTTAAGAAGAAGAAAATAGAAACATCATGGAATTGTTGAACAAGTATACTTGCCATTATTGATTGCTTCTAATCCTGTCTCAGGTTGATTTTCAATTAGAGAGGCAAAAATTTGATGTCTCAGGTTGATTTCAATTAGTGAGGCAAGAATTTGATGGACAAATGTAGGGTAAAAATAATTCTTTTACGAACAAAGAAGTGGTTTGTGAACGAATAATATTGTATCTCATTCGTATTGATTTTGAGATCATGTAAATCAATCTTACAAGTGCCGCACATGAATTGAATTTGAGATAGAGTAAAGTTCATATATTCTAGATGGATTTCTTTTAATAAGAATAGACAATTCTAATTAAAATCTTGTATTTCATTCATTTATATGTAACGACAATGCGAACAAATTATATTTTAATAAAATCACATAACTTGTTGTTCATTATTTAGGAGGAAAGAGTACAATTTTGACAGGTAAACTTATATAGATTGATGATTATTCAAACAGCAATAAACAAGAAAAGTAGCTGGCTGAGTACTTATACTCAAAGAAAATGCTTATAATAAAGAAAAAATGCAAGGGGAAATAAGTAAGTATAAAGGTCATTGGGAGAACAGAACAGATGCAATTTAAACAAATGCTAAGCAAGCAAAATGTCCACTAAATGAACGGGTCATTCATATCATTCGTTTCCCATTTATAATAAATCTCCTTTTCCCTCAGAAAGGAAAATCAGAATCTGATGCTACCAGCAGAATATGTTCAGCCTGAAACCAACAGATGTCCTGAACTGTCCTGACGAACGGAAATATAACCGTCATTGTGTTGCAGAGCTCTCTTCTGCTCTTCACTGAAAAAAACAGAGCAGCAGCTGCAGCCTCCCCTGGCGCCAGTTGTAGCCAGTTTTTTTTTTCTTTCCTTCTTTCTTTCACCCTTTTTGTCCAAATGGTAATGGTTAACGTCTCCCACTAAGCATTCCCTTCCCCCGTCTAAATTTCATCGCCTCCTCCTCCCGAAGACCAAAAAACCCACCTCATTTTCCCCACCCAATATCCACCCATCTCCTTGCCTTTCTTCAAAACGCCTGCTTTCCATGACCACTTGACTTATTCTTCCATTTCTCTGCTGGGTTCTTCCTTTCTGATGGTTTCAGTTTTGCATTGGGAGTGACTGAAAGACGAGAAAGATGGGATTCTTCGGCACCGTATTGGGTATTGTTGGGTTCGGCATTGGATTGGCAATTGGGCTTGCGGTGGGGTTCTTTCTCTTTGTTTACTCCAAGCCTAAGGTTGTTAAGGTAAAAAGAAGGCTGACCAGATCAATGCCCCTCAATTTCTTGCTTCTCTAAGTAAACTGCTTCATTCGTTTCTCTTAAGCCTGCGTTTCTTCTTATTCTTCTCTTACGTTGCATTGTTATCATCGAACCTAGTGGTGAACCAATGCTCGTCGAGATTAATGGTTGCTTTTGAAACCCCAGATTAAGGTAGTGGGTTGTGATTGATTCCCAGAATGGAGAGATTTTGGCGTTGCAAGTTTCTGTCTTTGTCTGGATTTTCTTCCATTTATTAGTGGAGAGTAATTTGTGCATACATTGGATGCGGTGTCCTGCTGAGTAAGCGAGCCAGCTCAGGCACATGACAATGAATGATGCTTGCTTGATTGCTTCAACCATACGATTAGAGGTTGTCGGTTAGCTGGCCTGCCATGGCTTGATACGATATCTCAGGGCATTTAAAGATGGATGAAGGTGACTGAGACTGACTTTCAACCTGAAACCATCAATTTTCTCTGTTTCTCTGGCGGGTCTATTCACGTCAACTTACCACCGTATTAGTTTCTAGATTGATTGGGGTTTGGATCATCCGGTTTTCCTAATTATGGGTCACGATGATCCGCGTCAAAGTTTGCGTTTCTCATTTTACTTCATATTCATCTGTCGAAATTGAGCAACGAATAGTCCCTGAAATGTGGGACCTTTACCACATTTTTTTGCTCATTTGGAATGAGAAGGGGAAAAAAAACCCATCCCTTTTCCTTTTCTTTAGTTGATGGACATAGTTCGAGTTCAAAGTCTTGCAGATCTTATCTTTCTCCAGTACCATTAGGCCAACCGCCAACCTTTATCGAAGTTATGCACGCAATGACTTAGTGATACTCAAGGGTGTAAGCTTGGTGACGTGATTTGCAGGACGCGGTGGTTAGGTCACTTGCGGAGTTGGATTCTGAGGCCTTGCAGAACATTCTACCCGAGCTTCCTTTATGGGTGAAATGTCCTGACTATGAACGAGTGAGTAATGGCTAGCAGTTTGTTATCAGCTCATTTCTCTTAGCCATTTAGGTAAGGCTGATTAGTTTTTGCTGCTTTGATGATGGGGTTTCTGCAGGTGGACTGGTTGAACAAGTTTCTCTTGGACATGTGGCCTTACCTTGATAAGGTTACACATTGTAACTTAGTGATCAATTTACTAATGCATTTCGGACGCAAATCAAGTTTAACCTTCTGAGTTTGGTATGATCATGGGCAGGCCATTTGTTCTATAATTAGAACCACTGCACAACCTATCTTCAAGGAGTATATTGGGAAGTATGGCATTGAAGCCATTGAGTTTGAGCATTTGACACTTGGAACTCTTCCTCCCACACTTCATGGTGAGATTATCAATTTTACTACTATCTGTATTTCCAAAAAGTTGGTGGCTGTTGATCGAAGTTGAGTTCATTTTCAATGTACTGACCTGACATAGCTTTGCTTGGGAAACTTCGTTTCAGGTCTCAAAGTGTTCGACACCAATCAAAATGATTTAGTCCTGGAACCAGCAGTTAGGTGGGCTGGCAATCCCAACATAACTTTGGTGTTGAAATTGAAGTCTTTAGCCGTTACTGTTCAGGTCAGCAAGAAAGCCTAATCTCGCCTACAAGAGTGACTGAATATGAATCCTTTTTTTGGTAGTTCTTTAAAGCAAAACATAACTTAAATTTGCTCATCAAAATCGACAATGCTGCTTCTATTGCAGTTGCTTGATCTGCAAGTGTTTGCAGCACCAAGGATATCATTGAAGCCTCTGGTACCTACATTCCCATGTTTTGCAAACATTGTGGTTTCCTTGATGGAAAAAGTAGGTTTTCCAAACTTGAATGAGGTTTTCTTTAACATGAACCGGTTTTGGTTTAACCATTTGATGATTTCTGACCGCTGAACTCTTATTTGCAGCCTCATGTAGACTTTGGGCTGAGGATTCTTGGAGGGGATGTCATGTCCATACCCGGTCTTTATAGATTTGTTCAGGTGCTATGCTGGTAATGCTTTAATGGGTAGCTTTGTAAGAAGCTGGTCGTTAGTTGATGTTACTTGTTAGACAAGGCATGAACCTTGGATCACCTGACTGTTGGATTGTCCTTCAGGAAACCATAAAAAAGCAGGTGGCAAGCATGTACCTTTGGCCCCAGACGCTTGAAATACCCGTCCTTGATCCTTCAACGTGAGTGCAAACATTACATTTTGAAGTAGTTTGTCCATTTTGTTCATACTATGTGGAAAACCCTGATCCAAATCCAAACCCTTTTTCATCTTGGCATTCTCAGAGTGGTTGTGAAGAAGCCAGTAGGGCTGCTGCATGTGAAGGTCGTGCGGGCGATGAAACTGATGAAGGCTGATATCATAGGAACCTCCGATCCCTATGTGAAGCTCAGTTTGAGTGGAGAGGATCTACCTGCAGTTAAAAAGACCTCAATCAAGAAGCACAATCTGAATCCAGTATGGAATGAGAACTTCAGGCTTATTGTTAAGGACCCCGGTTCTCAACTTCTTCAACTTCACGTGTATGATTGGGATAAGGTAACTAAAATTTTTTTTTTCTAAAATGCTATCGTGGCTGACAGCTTCTGGTAGATGGAAATCTTAGCTGTTGGATTAACGTGGTGACAATTTTACAATTTATAACATCCACTGTAATTCAACTAACCATCTCATTCAGTCTTTGTGCTGCTGCAACATAATATAGGTTTCCTGTTTATGGTTCTAACTTCTAACTAGGTTGGTGGCCATGACACATTGGGGATGCAAGTTGTACCCTTGAAAACACTCACCCCACAAGAGACAAAGCAACTAACTCTGGACTTGCTCAAGAGCACCGACGCATCTGATCCTCGCGACAAGAAGCAACGAGGCAGAATCATGGTGGAGCTGACCCTCGTGCCTTTCAAGGAAGACAGTTCCATCTCAGGTCGCTTGGATCAAATAAATGGCAGCAGGAAAGGAAGTGGGAAAGGAAGCGAGCTTGTGGACAACGATGACGATCCATTCAATGGATCAGGTTTGCTTTCAGTGACAGTACAATCAGCAGAGGATGTAGATGGAGAGAGCCATAACAACCCTTATGCTACCCTGCTCTTCAGGGGAGAAAGAAAAAGAACCAAGGTTATGCAACGTTTTTAAGCACATCCACCACTTAAGAACACTAAAGCAATTACATCCTGATGCTGTGTGTGTGACATTATTGTTGTTGGTTCTGTTGCAGATGATCAGGAAAACCCGTGATCCACGTTGGAACGAGGAGTTCCAGTTCATGATCGACCAGCCTCCTCTGCGAGAGAAGATCCGGATCGAGGTGTTGAGCAAAAGGACAGGTTTCAGCTTCAGATCAAGGGTAATATATATGATGCAGACAATGTAGTTGTTTATTCATACTGTTAGTTTTCAGATGTTGATCAATGGTATGGTGGGTGGTTTGCTGTTGTGAATGCAGGAATCACTTGGATATGTGGAAGTGAATCTGGATGATGTTGTGTACAATGGAAGGATCAACGAGAAGTACCATCTGATCAATTCTAAGAATGGGGTGGTTCATGTTGAGATACAGTGGGATAGAGTGTGATGTGGGAAGTTGGTTAAATCGAAGGGTGGCTGCACAGAAATTCTATACAGGTTTTGTTTGTTTCATACATGGAGATCTCCAGATTGTCACAGCACAAGAGAAATATAGCAAATGAAAGAAACCATTCAATACTTTGTGTAAAATATTAGCAAGCTAATATAATTGATATGGAGAACGATGTGAATCTAAACTTGAGTGAAGAAAAAGACAGTGAAAATGGTCAGGCTATAAATGGCAGGTATAAAAAACCTAAAATAGTCGGACCTGCATATTTAGGACTTCCTTAGGCTTGTGTGTTGAACTTTATTGTCGAATGTATCCTATACTAAAAGTTACTGAAGTGCCTAAGGTAAGGAACATTGAGAAACATGCATGTCTTGATAAACCTGTGATATTAATGGTAACACGAATCTCACGCGAGAGAGATTAATAATCGATAAGTAAGAAATCAACTTTAATTCACAAGATACGTTTTGTGGTGAAATGGAAGAGTTCTTGTGAGAACTTAGAAGTTAAATGTGTTCACTGTGAAACACTACAAGGATGAATGACTTTATGAGAAGTCACTTTGATATGTATCCCAAAACAAAAATCATGATGATATAAATCAAAATTGGACAATATCTTATTGAAAAAAAGTTTGGGGTGTCAAAATTAGTATTAACCTTTTCTTTCAATACTCAATTGCAACTAGGGCTGCAAATGAGCCGAGTCGAGTCGAGTTTTACCCCAGTTTGAGCTCGTTAATAAACGAGTCGAGCTCAGCTTGCTTATTAACGAGCCGAGTCGAGTCGAGCTCGAGCTAGCTTGTTTATTAAAATCTTAACTTTTATTTGGTACTTCATTTTGTATATCATGATACATATGATTTATTTTGTTAGCTAATCTCATATTATACTTTGTTGGTATCATATATCATTTAGTCAATAAATTTCGAACCACTCCAAATCATGTTATTTCACAGTTTCGAAGCAATCTATAATGCATAATTTCTTTTTAAAGTAAAAAATAACATATATTTGCTCACATACTCAACGTGTTAAACTTTATATATGGTGAGATATATAATTTAACAACCATATGAACTAAAATCATAAGATATAGATTGATTCGTCCATAAGTTGGTAATCGAGTTGGCTCTCTAGCCACATGTTAAGACAAATCATGAGCTCTAAACTAGCCAGCTCACGAGTTTAGCTCAACAAGCCACCGAGTCGAGCTAGCTCGCGAGCTTCACGAGTTGAACAAAGGTGAGCTCGTGTTCGACTCGTTTATTAACTCGAACGAGCTTTTCTCGAGTCGAACGCCGAGCCGCTCGCGAGCAGCTCGCCTCATTTGCAGCCCTAATTGCAACACCACCTCCTCGGTGGGAAGAACCATTAATTAGTCGATGGAGATGTTCCCTTTTTTCCCCCCTTTTCCTAGAATCTACTTGAGCTCTCTTGCTTTCTCGACATTGAAAGAAAAGGGGGCGTGATGAGCTTTTCTCGTTGACTTGCTCCCCATAAAAAATCTGGCAAAATGTTTATAAGGGTAGTAGTAAAAGAGAATCCAATCCCATCCCCCATACCAACAACTAATTAAAGTTTAAGGATTGATATGTGATTTGATTATCTGGTAATGGATCTTCACGTGTAATCATCATATATCACGTACTAATACGAATTGTTGAGAGAAATTTTGTAGTGAATTATATATCACATACTAACACAAGGAGCTTCGGAAAGAGATGGAGGGAACATGGAAGATATTATTAGATGGCAAGAAACGAAGTTGGGTATGGTTTTGGTTCCTTGTTCATGGTGTTTTGTGGGGGAGAGGAATAAATAACACTTTCTGGTATTTGTCAATAAGATGGGGCATTTTCCCCTTTCAACAAAAGGTTGGCTTTTTGGTAAAGTGAAGTGGGAATAGGGGAACTCCACTCGATGCTGTCTTCCATTTCTTGCTCATCGTGATAATAAGTTGGCACTATAAACCACAACCGCTTTCAGTTTTGAGGGTTCAACCTATTGCTATAGGTTATTAGGAACGTATAGACTCCCCGATTTACTCCAACGCTTGGTTGATAGAATGATTCATAGTATTTGATATTCTTAAATTTACTTTTAATAATTAAAAAGAAAATCACTTTTTACGAGCGAAGGAGTCCTCCGGTAAGGATTGAATCCAGTGATTGAGAATGTTGTCATACCGTTGAAACAGAGTGAAACTTCAAAATAAAGTCAAGCTCATTTTGATACTAGAGTAGGAGATTGTCCCGACTCATTTGCAATATAGGATGATCGTGGAAGTATAAATTTTTTTATTTAATTATGTGCATGGTCAAAGGGAAGAGTGTTAACTTGTTCTTCGCCGCCTACAAGCGATTGGTTAAGTCTTCGTCCAACAATATCAATTATTTGTACCATCCTTCATTTTGGATGATTTTCTAGTAATCATTGAGGGATTGCTAAATTAATATTCATTATAGGCATTGTTCAGATTTAGATAATCCACTATTTCAATCATCATAATTTAATGAAAACATACATAAATGTTTTAAAGGACTTTAAAAGAACGAGTGTTTTTTTATTAATTGAAATATTGAAGTTGAACATTCTAGTTGAACTTCTCTTGTGAAGTTGCATAATGCATACAAATTTGTAGTCTTCACAAAATAATTAAAAGAATGTATTTAATGTTGTGTTTGTTTAAATTGATCTAAAATTATATTGATCACATCTTTCGCTAAAAAAACTTATTAAGTTAAAAGGGTGCATTGAAGTTAACTCTACAAGTGGATGGATTCATATGTGGGATCTCCAACATATGAGTTTAACATTATATAAAAAAAAACATATGAATTTAACATGTATCTTAATCATTTGAACTGCAATATTGCCAGTTTGTATTTGTAAAGTTTTGAAAAAATAATTATTAACATCACATATATTTGAGGTAAAATTCTGACATAATTAATAAATATGATGTATATATTATGTATATTTTATACAAACAATGAATAAAAGACCAATTGCAAGGCCAAGAAATTAATTTTGAATAATGCATCAAAAGTACCCATTGGATTTTGGATGGCTATTATTTGCTAGCATTATGATGCACACCCCTAACAATAAAAGGCATTCAAATTTTTCTATAAAACCCCGAAATTTGGCCGTTGAATATTAGATAATGGGAAGATGTAGAATGAATGAAGCAAAGCGCCATGTGAAAATGGAAAATGTCAACTACTAATTGAGTAATTTGACTTGGGTTGGGGAATTAATTAGACGATTTCTATATATAATGACCAACCAAAGCAAAGCAAAGCGTGATGATGCGCACGTGTGGGCTTTGCCCATATCATGATCTCATGTGGCTAAAGTAAAGTAAATTAAATTAACACAACAACAATGATAACATGGAATAGTAAGAAGCTGATAATTACAAACAAAGACCATCATTTATTCCCATGATATTTATAACTAAACAATATTTTTATATTATATATAGGTAGAGGGTGGCTACTTCGGTGCACTCACTTTTTTGGGTGCACTCAGTGCACCCAACTCTAAAAGCGTCCATAATACATCGATTTTGAACTTTAATTAGTACTCTCAATATAATATGATGATATGACATAGAATCATAACAAATCAATCCATTACCCTATCCCCTTAACCTTCAATTTTGAATCCCAACCCAAAATCCCAAATTGTAAACCTAAACCCTAACCCTAAATCCCTAATCCTAAATCCTTCGAATTAAAGTGAATTTGGAATGAATTTTTTTCAAATTTATGTGCTTCTTGTTCATAATATCATAAGCTACAATTGATACCGTTTTGATATGAATCGCATGCTCAGAATGATAATTATGAGGCGGGTGCACTCAGTGGGTGCACCGAATACGCCACCATAGGTAGAGAGAGGGGTAGATGCATGATTAGAGATGAGAGTAGATCGGGTTTCTCTAAACCCAATATTAACCCAGCAATTCAGGGAAAAGAATATTGGTAAAATATTCACTCGATTTTGGAAGAGAATATCCAACAGAATCCAACAGGTATTCATGGATTCACAAACAATTTCGAACACTAATATCGTAATATTATCAAAAGCGAACAAGGGCTTGGTCCAGCAATAATATTACTGGTCTTGAACCTAAAGGGCCAAGTTTTGTATCACTCAACTAGCACCTTATAAAAAAAACAAACATATATCTTATTACCCATATACAAAATTATATTAAAAAAATTCATAGAAATATATTTTCATAAAGACTAATGCCATCCATAAATAATTCTTACTATTAAGATTATATTGTAACATCCATAAATCATCCAGATTGTTAAGGTTATACACTAGACGACGTCATTTTGGTTTCTGAGTATAGATCGGGTGGAAACAGAGTTGGACCGTTAATTTTAAAAGCGGATAAAACCCAAAATCCATCAACACTCCTTTGATCGAGTTGGATACTCCATAAATCATGAATCCGACTTGTATTGGCATCACGTATGATGATTAGCAAAATCTTGGCAATTTTGATCCATGCATGCCCTCCAACAAATCATCATTCATCATTAATCATCATCACCGACGTGAGTGCATGTGTGCATGCATGCCAGCCCAGCTCATTAATACCAACCAGACCCATTCATCCTAATCATTATTCATCCCTTGCAAATCCCATTCTATGGCCAAACCAAACGCTTAAAATTTGTGCTCAAGAAATATTGTAACTTCGATTCATCTCAGCCAGCCAGTCAAGGTTGATAACATAGTAGGCATAGGTTAGAAATTCAGACTTCTCACTACCATACATGCTTCGTGGCTGATGATATGTATCACAAATAGATCTATTGGATATTACGACTCGAAACCTGACATGCATTTTAGTTATGTAAGATACAAACAATCCTCCTTTATGGAGCCACCTCAGCCAAAATGAGTATTGTAAGTTGGAATGGTAGGGGGTTTGGCCCGCCCCTTACAAGAAGTTATGCGAAGCGTCTCTGTAGACGTTTAGGCCCTTCTATTGTTTTTCTAATGGAAACTAGCAAGAACGAGGTTTTCATGGAAGAGCAAAGAAGAAGTCTCAAAATTTTCCCCAATAGAGAGTATGTGGAACCGATTAACTCTTCTAGGGGTTTTGCTTTATGGTGGAAAGCGGGTATTAATATTACTATTTTAAGTAGTGATAACTACTACATGGATGTTAGTATAGATATGGGTAGGAAATTTTTCTGTACTTTTGTTCATGCACCCTCTACAGCTGTTAGTAGAAGGGAATTTTGGGAGCAACTTAGCTCTCTGCGGAGTAGTAGGGATGATAACTGGGTGGTTGTAGGGGACTTCAATGCTGCGGTTTATGAGAATGAAAAGGAAGGGAGATGCCCTCTTAGGTACGAGAATGTTGAACCTTTTAAGAGATTCATATTCCAAAATGCTCTTATTGATCTGGGATACAAAGGGGAACCTTTCACTTGGACCAATAAGAGAACGGGCCAAAACCTGACGAGGGTGAGACTGGATCGTGTGCTATGCTCAACATCCTGGCGTGCCCAATTTGGAGATGCAGTGGTCTTCCATGAGAAAATGGTGGAGTCTGATCACTGCCCGATCAGACTTGAGCTTCACTATCGAGGTAACAGGAGGAAGAAAACACCCTTTAGGATTGATGGAAGATGGTTGGAGAAGGAAGAATGCAAGGAGATAATAGCAAGAACGTGGGACCCTGGAGGCCATTCAACTGACCAGCTGACCAAATGTCAAAGAGAGTTAAAAGAGTGGGCTAAAGACTTGCATAAGAGTAGTATACAAAGGGAGCAAGATATACTTTCTAAGCTCGAAATTCTTCAACAACCGCCAAGAACGACAGAGAATGTGGAGGAGGAAAAGATGTTGACTATCGAGCTAACTAAATTGTGGAGGGATGAAGAAGAGTTCTGGAGTCAATGCTCGAGAGTTAACTGGCTCAAAAAAGGTGATCAAAATACTTCTTTCTTTCATTCAAGCACTATACAGAGGAAGCATAGAAACAAAATTCTGAAACTCCAAGATGGAGAAGGAAATTGGATCGAAGATGAGAATAGTCTTAAAAATCTAGCAGAAGGTTTTTACAAAGAACTCTTTAAGGCCAGGAATCCTTTTCCTTTTAACCATTTGTTAGAAGGCTTCCCAGAAAAGGTGACTACAGAGATGAACGAGGATCTTTGTGCTACGGTGACTAACGGGGAAATTAGAAAAGCTGTTTTCTCCCTGGGAGCTCGCAAAGCTCCGGGTCCTGGTGGGTTCTCAGGAAAATTTTATAGGAGATACTGGGATATCTTAGGAGACACATTATGTCGAGAAGTTAGAGGATTCTTTGAATCTGCTACCATGCCAGATGGATGGAATGAAACACACATTGCAATGATTCCCAAGGTCGACAACCCTGAGTTGATAAGCCAATACCGTCCTATTAGTTGCTGCAATTTTAGATACAAGATCATATCTAAGGTTATGGCAACGAGTCTTAAGAGGTGGACTCCCGAGCTGGTTTCAGAGCTCCAAACTGCATTCACTGGGGGAAGGCTTATTCAAGATAATATTATCATTGTCCATGAAGCCCTTCACCATTTCAAGAACCACAAGATTGGTCGTAGGAGGGATATGATGCTGAAACTGGATATGAAGAAGGCATACGATATGGTTGATTGGGATTGTCTGGAGGCTCTTCTCAAGAAATATGGGTTTGACAATAAATGGTGTGGTTGGGTCAGTGCGTGCATTAGAACGGTCAGCTTCTCCATTCTGTTCAATGGAGAAGCAACTGACTCGTTTAAGCCTTCCCGAGGAATTCGACAAGGAGACCCACTATCGCCTTTCTTATTCATTCTCATGTCAAACGCCCTTACCTTCCTTATTGATAAGGCTGTGGGGAGTGATAAGTTGAAGGGGATTAAACTGAATTCCAGATGTCCAGTGCTCACTCACTACCTGTTTGCTGATGA